CGTAACGGGCGTAGGTCAAAAAGGGACGTCGAGCTAAGATGAAGATCCCGAATCCGCGAGTCTCAAACTCGATCGGAGGTGTAAAGAGCGAAGCGAATAAACCAGTCGACAAGCAATCGCGGCGTGTTGTTCAAGACTTCCCTTCTCCGGACCTTCCTCAAGGAAACGAGAGTGTCACCTTAGCAAAGGAAGATGGATGGGGAGGAAGAAAGCGAATGGAATGGGGAAGGGGCGAGGTTGGAGGGACGAGAGAGAGACGAGATTGTGAGGAAGGAGGGAAAATATTGGCTGTGCTGTTATTTTGGGAATCGGGGGGGAATGGTTTCCACCTAATTTACGGTCCGTACGTGGTATTGAAGTACCGGTACACTTGGCAATAGGAGGCAGGTACCCGGTACTTGAGTGGAGTGTGGGAGCCACTGCGTACGTGGTGGTATTCGATACGTATCTACTGGCAGACGGAGATTAATACCGCACGTGAGGTACCGATACCATACAGGTCTATCCACATCTCTCCCTCTCAGCCTTCTATTCTCCATGTTACCTCCTCCTTGGGCCTTGACCCAACCCCCCTGGTCCTCTTGCCAATACGCCGTTGTTGTCCTATGTACTTGGTACCTTACACCCACGACATGCATACTGCCCAGACACAAATCCAGATTTCCCACCCCACCCACCGAGCGAGATCCTAATGTTATCGGCCAATAAACAGCAGTCAAGCTCACTATCCACTCCCTCATTGCACCCAATGAGACTGTCCAGCTCAGACTGGATTCCAAGGGAATTGCGACGGCCCCTGAAACCCGCCCCACCAGCGCCTTCCAGCATGTATTCCAGGTAACAAATTATGTGGTCGGAGCGGGTATTTCCATCGGGGATACCTACGAAGGGCCTGTGGCGTGCTCTGATTTGGCCGTGCCTTGTTATCGTTACCACTACGGCATGCAGGGATAAGCGTTGCGCGGGTACTCGTTTTTCATTCCTCGTTTCTATGTGACGACGGGCGACTCGCAGTTCGGTATTTTGCTGTGGCGAGTGAGGACGAAGATGAGGGAAAAAGCAGAGAAAGTCCAGATTCGACGTTCGACAAAGATCATCCCTATCCCTATCGGGGATTAAACAAAGACTCCAGCCTATCTGGCATACGATCCGTGGTTCTCAAGCGACAGAACCACCCTCCAGCCAACAATGGCACGTCTTCGATTGCGAATTGGCCGCTCAACACCGTCCGATCTTCCTCTGGGTACTTTTCTGGGATGCACTGGCCTATTCTTCGAAGGATGATCGCCCATGAAATTTTCTTCTTCTGCTGAGTTCATCCCAACTCAGACAGGGAGAGACACCAGATTTCCACGCTAACACACTCAATTTGCCACCACAAAATTACACGCAATACATTTAGGGTACATTGAGTACATCTAGCGCCGCACATCGTCTCAAATTGTACTGCTTTGCCTTTTGCCCACCGTTGGAGCTATCCCGAACTGAGTCCAGCGCGGTCCTATAATAAGAGTCCACACGCACACGACTCTCCACTGCTTACCCAGCGCTGGCCATGAAAAACCAGCTGTTGTAGGCTTTTTCCCAAGCCACAATCTCTGTTCCTTGATCGGTAGTTGCCTCGAAAATCTCATTTGGCAGGTTGATATTCTTCTTAAACAAGGAAATTCCATTTGATGTATGACAAACTTCGCGTAAATAAATCACTTCTCTTTTCCAGAGACTATATTATTAGGCTTGATTCAGTTATCATCTACCGAGTACTCAATCTGACCTCCCATCTTCATGGACTTGATTCAGATGACGAGTCCAGTCAGTCCACCAAATCTAGTACTGTTCCTCCGTAGTCCGTCCAGTACTGTGCAGACACAGCGACCGGTATCGTAAAACCGAAAGGCGTCGCAGGCCATCTCCACCGTTGGCCCAGCCTTTTCAGCCCGTCCCACCAGTCTAAGTGGATCACCGATGCTTTTATTTTCTGATTTCAAGCCTCGACTTGGGTCTTGGGGCCACCATGGTCCAGCCAAAAGTCGGTCGGCAGCCAGCATACGCAACGGGACTGCGAATATCATGCATTAAGCGGGCACTGGAGATTCTGGTCGCATGGATTTTATGCCGCTTACTACAAATACGAAATACCTGGGTTTAAGGTAGTTAGAAGAGAACTAATGAATTGATAGTAAGACTATGTATAGCATATACATTTATAGTTTATGTTCGCTTAAGACGAGACAATGCAGTAAACGAGCGGCTTGAATATATTTGTACATACTATATTCCGTAGTGGAAGCCTCAACAAAAACAAAAACTTGCTTGCTAATCGATTACAGGTGAACAATCTTAATCTTTGGATTGATTGGCCTGCCATCTTGCTATCTTTCAGACACGTCGCGCGTTGGGCGCGACCGTACAGTCTGTAACCAGCCTTTTCAGGATACATTGGTAATCCCTGCCTAACAGGATTCGCTGCTTGCTTGATGCAAGTCTGCCGCAGGAACGATACATCAACTGCATGAAAATGGGGACCGATCTCCAATTTTCATCTTGAGTTCGCCAGTCCGCTCGTTCTCGATTGCTGCCTCGGAAAGTTAATTCATTGTAATCCCGGTTTTACATATGTACACATACAGTACACTTCCTCTATCCTGTTTCCCCATTCTCCCGGTACAAGCCAGAAGTCTCCATCATCATTTCAAGCCCCCCCCCCCCCCCCCCGGGTTCCTCCTTTCCCATGGCCGATCGCCAAACCCTCCCAAAAATAACCTGTCTCGACCGGGGCGTTCGAAGGGTCTAGTCAGCGATCGCTCGCGGCATAGGCTTGCCCTAATGTTGCAAGTTTATTGTATTATTTGACCCGCTTCTTTTCAATACCCGAAACTCCGTACGGGAGGTTCTGAGATCCTTCTTGGCCTTTTTGGGCTTAAATGTGGCTGGAGGCTAGGTTTCATGGCAGCGATCTTGAAGTGTTTATTAGATTCCCGTACAGTACGGAAGATTACAGTCTTTCCACTACCGTCATTGGCGCCCCAAGATGTGTATCTGTACCGCGGATGTCTCCGGGAAGGTTATGCACAACCCCCTGTTCAGGGGAAGTTGACTTTCCACCGAGCATCCGGGATACTTAGTATGGAGAAGTGTAGGTAAATGACATTTGCAAGTAGTAGTAGTTACATCGAACGCCCTCAAATGTGAAATGGCACGCTAGTATCCTAAAATTACACACATAATCATACGTTGATCGTCCTCGTCACATTCGAGTTTAGTCATCAGTGAGGCTGTGTTCTGGAAAGGGGATTGATGAAGATCCCTCTATCCCGTCCCTCCACGATTTACATAGTAGCATTGCTAATAACTAGCTATACTCATCACCATCAAGATCATAGTCGAACAAGGAAGAGACTAATCAACAAGTTGGATTTACACCCATGCTCTGCACAGACAATCAATATGAGATTCGTCAACGAGTCGTCATGCACGTAACATTTGCTCGAGCATATTTCAACGTGGCCGCCCGTAGCGTAATCTGATACGGATCTACGTTCACAGCTGTTGAGCAACATACTCATCCGTAGATACTCTACCTCAGAGAGAGTAATCGAATACCAATAACTACTATTCGCCTGGTCTCCAGCTGGCTCACCTCCCCTCGATGCTTACTTGGACCCAGCCACCGCTGGGTGGCTTGATGCTTATCCCTACTGCGCGATGGGAGCGCTGGCAGGCAAGGGGATGTTGATCTCCGCAGAGGCATGGCAAAAGAATGAAGTGATCGACTGCCGGTTACTTGCAGTCCATGGCAAACCGAATACAGAGAGCAGATCTTGCGGTCAATGCTCCTTAACTGCTCGGAAACTATTAATGAGATCGCATATTTCGGAAACGGTAATCCATTCCACCGCAGTGCATGGCACTCTGCTCGGATGTACTCGTTTTGGTAAACAAGTTGTTGATGGCAAAACTGCCTCTCCTGTTCCTGTAGGTCAATGGAACCTCGCGTCGAGCAGCGCTTCTTGCAGTCTGTGAGTTTCAGATCAGTCTCCAAACGAGGACCCTGTACCTGAGTCATGCCCAGGTGTCTGCAGGCCGTTGCTGCAGGCCCTAATCTGCCTTGAACATTGGTTTTATGAATTAATTACATCATCATGTCATTTAAGTCCTCTACAATTGTATACAATGATCGCACTCCGGTAGTACTGTTATGAACGGTCAAATATATAGCTGTATCACCGCATTTTGAAGGATCACCATCGTCTTTAGTGGATATTTTCTAGTATTCTGTTTGGATCATTTGAAATGATTTTGTTTACTACTCCGGTGATTCAAGGTACTGAGAGATTATTGTTAGACTGGCGTCAATGTCCATGGGGCAGAGTGTGAGCCGAGACTCTATATATATTTTGTCTCCGTCAACGCCCCGAGGCATTTTACAACACAACTCTCTGCAAAGCTCATTTAGATAGAAAACAGTATCAAAGTATACTGTTAACTTGTTGTAATGTTTCTCATGACCCAGAAAATATCCCTACGTCTTAAAAAGATGGACTGAGTTGCACAATCAATCACCCACTGCTTACAGGAAGGTAGCTCGTTGAGAAGCAGTTGCTTGACAACATAACCTGGTGTAGTTTTTGGACTGGTTCCATTGTCCTTCAACCCGGCAAAAAAATCCAAACCGTGTCTCATCATTTATAAATGAGATATACATACTGTACTGCGCTCCAAAATACTGATGTTGAAGCAGTGTTGGAAGAGGAGCAGTTTACCTAAGACGTGGTTACCGGGTCAACCGCCCGCCGTTGATAGCTCAACTTGTTGAAGAAACTCTGCTATTGAACCACATTGACACCTAGTCCAAAGCAACACGACACAAAGACAACTCATATCTACCGGAGAGACACCTTGTGTTCCCTTTGGCTTGATCGAAGTCCTTTCCTATCCAGAGGTTGCGAACCCAGCCCAATCAACACCGGAGCCGCAGCCATCCCCGCAGCCCGACCACGATGGCACGACTCAACACGACGAATCCGCTGACTACCGCGGGACAGCGGAAGAAAAGCTTGAAAGAACGAACGGAGCGACTCCCAGCTCACAAATCTATCGCCGACGAACCGCGCACCAATGTTAGGTCCTCCAACGGGAGCAGCAGAAGTACACTCTCCGGAACTTCATCACAGCGGCACAGTCGGGGATCAAGCGCCATCTTCGACATATTTTCTGATGACAGCCCTGTTGTTGAGAGCAGCAACACCTCACCCCAGAAGCAAAAGAAAACACGAACCCTGAAAGCTGCGAATGTCAACTCCCTCCTCCTCCCGATCGGTCAGACCCCACGCCAGAGGCCCATGGTCAAGTTGGAAACAGACGACTTTGAGAAGGAGAACGATATCATGGAAAACACACCAGAGAGATACACAGCATCAAGGGAAGCCCCTCCACAGGTGTCTCCGACAAGACGAAACATGGCACGAACTCCAAGAATACGCCGTGCAGACAATACGCCTTTGAGGCCCCAGAGGTCACAGAGCCCAGAATCAGAGACAGAAGAAGACTGTGGGGACAATAGCTTTAACTCACTAGACGACTTTATTGTCAGTGACAATGAAGACCTCAGCTTCCATGAGACATCAAATTCCGAGACAGAGGATGAAAAGCCCGTATCACCGCCTCCACCACCAAAATCCACCCGAAAGAGATTGATGAGAGGAAGAAGACCGGATGCCGATACCGAAAAGAAGCCTCTGAAAGATACGTCTCTGAAAGCACCCTTTCGACTGGAGCCCAAAATCCCCGAAACACTGAGGCTATCTTCATCAACTGAAAATAGCCCTAAACCCGTGTCTCAGGAGGACCTCAACCTCTTTTCAAAGCTCAAATCGCTCGATCTAAATGACGACAATGAACTGTCTTCTCAGATGGAAACAAAGTCTACACGGTATGGGTTACAAGATGTCTTCGTATATGTAGATTAGAGGGTTCTATTGCTGACGAAGCAAATAATGAAGCTCTATAATAGAGCTAGACTGCTCGCCAAAACCGCTGCGACCAACAAGCAAGAAGCTGGAAACACCCCTGTCAAGCCCGAAACAAACCCGCTTGCGATCTCCAACCAAGAGCAAAATTCGAATTCCTGCCACTCCTCATCGCGAGAGCGTTGATGCGTTTTGGAACCAAGAAGACACCAACAACTGGAATGATCAATATTCCCCCCGCAAGGAAAGATCTACTACCCGGACTGTGATTGAACTCCTTCAAGACTTTGACGATTCCGACGACGAGGAGGATAGAAGCCGCGGATCTAGCTCCAGCAGTGATATCGAGGTCATTCCCAAGATGGACACGAGCATGCCCACGACACCAAAGCCACTTAGCAAGACAGCCATGAAAAAGGCTGAAGCAGAGAAGAACCGAGCAGCCAAAGCTCGTCGGCAGTCATTCAACAACAAAAAGGCCGATTTTGCGCAAAACTTCCTCAATGCGCTGGACCAAGCTGCATCCGGGGGAGAGGTCAGTCGGCTTGCAGAGCCCACTGGCGGAGTCAAAATCACTTGGTCAAAGACTCTTAACAGGACTGCCGGGCGGGCTCACTGGAGAGGAGAGCGAGTGGTTTCGCATGGACCAAATGGGGAGGCAAGGGGCTTCAGCAAGACCCTACACCATGCAACGATTGAGCTGGCCGAGAAGATTATTGATGATGAATACCGGCTCATCAATACCCTTGCTCACGAATACTGCCATCTCGCCAACTACATGGTTTCCAATGTCCACGACAGCCCGCACGGTGCAAGCTTCAAGAGCTGGGGAAAGAAGTGCGCAGAAGTCATGAAGAACCACCCTGTTTACGGCGGACAGATCCATGTTACGACAAAGCACTCCTACCAGATCGACTATAAGTATGTGTGGAACTGTATGACTTGCGGTCAGGAGTATTGCCGTCACTCAAAGAGTATTGATACGCAGCGTTCTCGCTGCGGTGCCTGCCGGGGCACTTTGCAGCAGACTAAGCCCAAGCCGCGCAATGTGTCGCCCAATAAGAGTACGGCAACACCCGGCCAGAGGAAGATCTTGGATGATGTGACAAAGAATCTTGATGAATTTGTTTTTTGAACATGTTGGATGCCCATCATGTGAATGTTCCTATGACTGTTCATTTTATTTTGTTAGAGACACTCTTTACCCTCAGCATACTTGCATTTTGAATTAGCGCATGTCTGGGCTGAGCGAATTTGTTCTTATGTTACATACAGAATTGATGATTTATAGTTCTCTTTCGGTCTAGAGATACCTATTTGCTTTGACTTGTTCATATTATTTTGTTGACTATCTAGAGATCCTAACTAATGTTGGTTTAACTAACGCCTCTGTAGGCTAGAGTCCACGCTCCTCATATTCCCAAAGTTCCCTCAGTCATATCTCCCAGATGCCCTCAATAACCATCCATCATATACCCCATCTTATTCCTTTCCACCTTCCAAGACACCACTTCTAAACGAACAACCCCCAATCCCGAATCTCCAATTGACCCACCAACGCACTCACAGTCTCCTCCGCAACAGCCTCCTCCCTCGACAAACCCCTCGCATCCCCATTCTTATCAAACTCCTCATGAGGCACATTGAAAAACGCAAGCAAGTCCGTCTCCTGCGCCTCCAACCGCACCATCAAATAGTGGCACGTCACCTTAGAAACCGGCGCCGCATCGGACACCCCATCAAGTCCAGCCCCGGCAACTGCCGCATCCGTAACGGACTCGGTAGTCCCATTCGTAGGAGCGTGAATCCGTCCACCCCGTCGTCGGGAGGTACTCAAGAACTGGACAACGCCCTTGTACGCGCTAACTGATGAACCCGGCGGCGCGTATGCGCTGAGGCGGCTCGGTTCCACGCGCGTGGGCGGGGCGACGATTTGCATGGCGTCGCCTTCGTCGCAGAGGTCGTTAAGGTGGTGTAGTGCGGCGGCTTGGTCGACTGTTTCGGTTGAGGCGGTGGCTGCCGTGCCGCTGCCAGCGGTCAGGGTTGGGTGTTGGTGGCTGTAGGTGGTGAAGGTGGCGAGGGCGTCTTGTTGGGAGACGCGCTGGTTGATTTCGAAGATGTAGTTTGAGAGTGTGTTGGGTGATAAGAAGAGTTCTTGGTGGTCTGGGATTTCGCGGAGATCACTATTATGGAGTTAGCATGTTGTCTTTTGATTTTTTTTTTCTTTCTTGGGCTGGTAGAGGTGGGTGATATGGAATGAGATGCCGGGTTAAGGAGGATGGATGGAAGGGTTCAACTCTTGAGTATGTGATGGATAGATACCCAAGACGTGTAACCAAGGGAATATAGGGCTGGGTTGAACATTAGAGCAGGATATATACTGACCTCCCATCAATCCAGCCCTGGGGCACAACCCCGCGGATCGCCCCGCCGAAAAAGTCCTGCTCGGTGACTTGAGCCATGATTGAAGCGAGCTTTTCCGAGAGTCAAAATGAAGCTGCTAGTTGATTGATAGTTTTCGCTAGTTCGACGCTCAGGATGTTGATTCGGTCTCAATGAGTCGAGAAAGTTCTCCAATATAGAAGTTTGATGCCAAGACCCCGCCGGAGCTTCAGAGCTTAAGTTTCTTTGGGGATTTCTCCAGTTGGCGAGTTCTGGGCCGAGTATTGGAATAGAGAACAAAGTAGTTTGAAAATATCAAGAGATAGTCAGGTTCAGATGGATTTAGACTCTGGTTTTATGTCGATGAGGTGTGTGAGGCAGCAATTGCGGGAGGGAGTCGTCCGCCCAATGACGTTGGACGTTTGGCGGGCGGAAGTTGACTCAATTCTGAGCCTCACAATCGTGGCTCCCAACTACGGAGTATGGACTATACGGAGATTCACCAACGAAACATTCGAAAAACATAGGATCATACTAAGATACCCTTGATTTGACTGTCAAATACTATGATACCATAAGGGTAAAAGCATATTGGCTTAAGACTAGAATCGACCCGAAATATCTGATTTAATCAAAAAGTTCCTCCACATAGGAATCCAGCTCGATCATTTGGAACTGCTGGCCCCATTTCGCACGGAATTCTTTCTTTCGATACGCATTACTAGTCACCTGCGAGAAGCTGACCAGTTCCACATTCCATCCGCGCTGAAGAGCGCGTTCCACCATACGCATGAATCCACCAGAGTATTCGGCGACTGCGGCGTCGCCGGTCGCCAGTACTATGGTCGACGGCTTATCCGTGTCCACGATACTTTCGAGCATTTTCAAGTGCAGAATTTCGTCCACACCTTGCTCAACCCATCGCTCCCCAGTTGTGCCGACCGTTTCAGGTCCGGACGTGGGGTGAGTTGCGGACCCAGGGGCCTTTCGAAATTTGGAAGGCCGCGGTGTTGTGTGCTTAACTTTGTGCACACGGTCTAAAATGTTCGCTTCGTAGCCGAGTTGTTCGGCTTCGGCGATGGAGGGAAGTCGATCCGAGCCAACCAAGACTCTCTTGGCGGCTGGACGACCTCGCTCCATGATCAAAGAGAAGTTGGCAAAGGACATGTGTAGGCGGCGAATGCGGGTTGAGACAGGAATGTTCCGCGAAACTTTTACCGAATCGTGGAAACCCACCATGATCTGACGAAAGACATTAGCTTCGAAAGTTCATACACTAGGACAAGTGGGTCGGAGACATACATTAGACATGTCGACAAAGACATGGATAGGACGGCGTTCAACACTATTCTTGGTTGAAGTCGACGAACGCCCCACTTGCAATACAAGCTGAGCATACTCGGGGAACTCCCGGAGAAGCTTCGTCATCAGCCCGATTCTGCGCTCCGTCGCAGTCTTGTAAGCAGCGGGGAGAACTCGAATCCCCGCAGAGGTGGTGATGATATTCTGAACAGCATCCGAGTTGAGGGTCCAGTCTGCCTCGTCATATGATGATGGTGGGGTATCATCATGGTTATCTCGCGCGTCACGACCGCCCACTTGGGCGGGAACAAATGCTAGGACTCCAGACTTCTTGGTGATGGGTTGATCAAACACGACGGTACTCGAGTCGGACTCTGCACCCGTGCTGCTTTCTGAGAGTATTGGTTCAGGATCGACACTAGCCTTGGTAACCTTTCCAGCAGGCTTGGGCTTGGTATTGGCCTTGGGTATTTCTGTTGGCTTCGTAGTATTGCCGATAACCCTCGATGAAGCTTTGGGAGGCGATGTAGCTGCAACATCGCTCTTGGTAGGATAGCTGCCTGCAGCGCGCTTTAAAATCGTAACGGGCTCTTGAACGAGGGATGCTGGTGATGGCTGAGATCGATTGAGGGTTGACTCTTTGGTCACCGGTGACTTCGAGGTCTTGAGTACTGGGACAGATTTGGGAGGGGTTGACGTTCCTTTGACGGGTTCATCCGGGAGAGGTCGCTTGAGGATTGTGAGGGCTGGGAGACGGTCGAGGGGAGGCTGCCGTGTGTCTCCGGGCGCCGAATCATTCTTCGAAGAGGTGTCATCTTTGCTAAGAAGATCCCAAATTAAGCCAAAGTCTCCAAGCTTCGTAGAAAGCAGTTGAGGTTTGACTTCATCGGGATGGCTGCTGGCACCGTATGAGGGAGCTTGACTTGACGGTCCGTTGCCGGCCGGAGCAACGGTAATATCGATATGATGAGCGACATCAGGACTGCTCTCATAGGTGGGAGACCTGAGAAGGTCAAGCACCTGGGAGAAGTCCCAATTTGAGGCTGGATCGGTGGTTTCCGTTGCGAGCATTGACGAGTCGGCGGTCGGTTTAGATAAGATTGATTGGAGGAGGTAAGCAGAGGTGATAAGCAGAGGTCACAAAGATTGCAAAGAAGGCACGCAGTGAAGGGTCGACATTCAAGTTAAATCGCATTTCGCAAAAATGTAAGAAGCAGAGTTCGCACACACATGGTGTGAGTTAGGTAGAATCTGGGCAGCAAACAATGGGCTTTGGAGATGCGGTGGCGTTGGGTTGAATCGGGGATCGTACTGCGGGTTGTGACCGCTTGCCGTTCCCGCAGGAGATTGCACTAGTCCACACCGGGACAGATCACCATGACTCATCAAGGTCCCTCAGTCATCATACACGTGACTCTAAATGATGACCAACAATTCTTGGCATCAGGTTTCCAGCTTGGCACTACAGTCATTCCAACGTCATGCCCAACATGGACAGCTTTCGGATCCTGGCAGGATGCCAGCACGTCATACCACAAGAACACTCCAGGATCTTCTCTGATTCGGTGGTCCAGCGATCCGCGATTCAAGCTTGTTCTTATTTTTGACCTCCTCCCTAGGCAGTCAACATATCCAAGGTTGAAAGAGTACATTGTAGATTAAACAAACTTGTTCGCATCCGCGCAATAGCGCACTACGTCATGTTGTTTGTCATGTTGTTTAGCATCACATGGAATCGTATATCCTATATATAAACCTCTTAGCTGTCTAGTTTGCTGACCTTTATCCATTAACTCTCCAACTTCTATAAACTCCAACTTTCCATCAATTTTTCAAACATCAATACTTCAATCAACTATCAACCATCATGTCTGACGCCGGCCGCAAGGATTTCACCACCAGTATGTGATGCACTCAAGTGTCTCTCAACTCGTCCTTGATGCTAACCATCTTTTCCAACAGAGGCTAAGGAGGAGATTACTCCTGACGCCAGCAAGTCCACCCAGGACAAGGTCAAGGAGACCTTCACCGACACCACCGACCGTGTCGCTCGTGGTTTCCAGTCCGACGACAGCAAGAGTGCCCCCCAGCAGGCCTTCGACAAGACCCAGCGCACCCATGACAATGAGGCTCACGGTGGTGCCACCAGCTCCATGTAAGACAAACCAAACCTTCCCAAAGGAGGAGTCTTCCTTTAGGTAAAGCATCCAGCAATGAACAGCTTGCTAATATATCTCTTGCACAGTGGCGACAAGGTCAAGGGTGCCCTCGGCTTGAACAACTAAGGTGTTCAACCATACTCCTACGTCGAGACCCCTAGTCTGGGCTTCTCGCTGATTTTGCTGTTTTCCTGGCTCAATCATGAGTCGTCAACGATACCTTTTTTGCTTTTATCATGACCTAGTTACGAACATCAAACGCAGACCCGCACTGCTACATATCTACACTTTATGAAGTCTTGTAGGCCCAATTAAGCATGCCTTAAGCTGTACTTGAATATCGTAGTTCATCGACGCTCGACAAGATTCCCAAACATCGTATCTCGCTGTCGTGTAAGCTGGCCTAACTCGCGCTCTAATTCTTTGTATCGTGCCCGAGCTCCTAATATGTCCTTGGGTAGATCGTGGAAAGCTTTCACACGACCTTCAAGAGACCTGACATTTTCCCGTAGCCGAATGACATTCTCTTCTTCCACCATGAGCTCGTCAATAGTAGGGCCGTGTGGTTGATTCCGCTCGAGTGATGAAATACGGTCTTGATATTCCCCAACTTTCGTACTGAGCACCTTCGTGCCGCGCACCCACTCTGACGTCAAACGTTGAGTATCCGCAGGCGTCTCGTAAGCCTTGTCAGACCTGAGCTCGTCTAGATCGTCCTGCAGCCGTACAAGCTCCTTTTGGAGGTATCGGTGCAACATATCCACCTTTGCCATTTGATCTTGCGCGTCAAACTCTTCTGCTGTGAGCTCGACAATCGACTGGCTCAGATCCTCAGGTGTAGGATTCAAAGTGTTACCAAGGGCAACTCCTGCATCGGTAAGATCGTCTAGATTGGTTCTGCCTCTTTCGTCAAGGCACAGTTCGACTTCGTCCAGAATTTCATTCTTCTGCTGTTCATGGGCGTCCTTTGCTTCTGCCTTTTCACGTAATTTGAAGGTCTGGACAGCTTCCTCGCGTGCGCGGTGTTGGAGACTTGCTTCCTCGTCAGCGGCATCATTGGCCGCAGCTAACGTCAGGAGAACCCGGAGGGTATCCTCGTTGCGTTCGAAATGGGGCACTGGTTTAGGCGCATACTGCCGGCTTAACCAGGAGTTCACGTATGCCCAGTCTTTGGCTTGAATAGCAGCCTGGCGGGCTTTGGTAGGAGAGGCGTGCGAGCCATCGTGAAACGAGTCCATTGTGTAATCCCGAAGAAAACGATTGCAATTGGATTATTAGGGGCAAGTACTGAAGATTGTCGTTTGGATAATTGGTGCAGTTCCGATAAGATACGCGGAAGGCGGTCTGACCCCAAGCCTCGCCCGCGAAGCTGTCCTTTTTCCCCGCCCAAGCGAGAGAGGGGAGACAATTGTGTGTCAACAACTATGACAAGTTACTTTCCTGCTGGGGCCAGCAATGGCTCGTCGCCGGCATCAACCCCGCTGTCTCCGCCACCCTCCCAACGCTCTACGGCATTGTCGAATCGCCTGACCTCCGTGCTCTCGGCGTCGTATGCCGACTCCGATATCCGCGATGCTCTGGAAACATTGAGTGTACGGGGGATCCATAATACTGCCGAGACAAGACGTCAGCTACGCTTGGATGTACAAAAGGAGGTCGTGGATAGCAACGCGGAGATTGTGAGAGACTTTGGGAATGTAGCGGAGGTAAGATCCCCCCGCGCAATGTTCACATTGTAGCCTCCCGGACAGCTAACTAATTCCTTCATACAACAGCAATTGAAACGAATTGGAAGCGTGATATCAGCCCTCAATCAGACATGTGACGAAATGCGCAAGCATATTGGCCAGGCCAAGCAGGAAACGGCGCCAGTGTTGGAAGAAGCCACTGCGTTGATGGACCAGAAGAAAGGCACCGAGACGAAACAACGGTTACTCGATGCTTTCTCGAAACACTTCCTGGTGCCAGAAGAGGACCTCATGGCTCTTACAGCAGCAGAAGAGCCTATTGATGATCGCTTCTTTGAGGTACTTGCCCGCGTCAAACAAGTGCATCATGATTGCGAGCTACTTCTCGGCGGCGAAAACCAACGACTGGGCTTGGAGGTAATGGAACTGAGCTCCCGACATCTCAACACCGCGTATCAAAAACTATACCGGTGGATCCAGAAGGAATTCCAATCCTTGAACCTTGAGGATCCACGGATCAGCAGCTCGATCCGCCGCGCATTGCGGGTGTTGGCAGAGAAGCCAAGTCTGTTCCACAGCTGTCTTGACTTCTTCGCGGAGGCCCGCGATTACGTTCTTTCTGATTCGTTCCATTATGCGCTGACAGATGCCATATCTGGTGCTACTGGAGCCGGAGCAGGGGGTGATCGCACCGTCAAGCCGATCGAATTCTCGGCGCATGACCCGTTGCGATATGTGGGTGATATGCTTGCATGGGTACATTCCACAACGGTATCGGAGAGAGAGGCTTTGGAAGCTCTTTTCGTCGCTGATGGAGAAGAGCTCGCGCGAGGCATCCAGGCCGGACTGAGCAGCGAACCGTGGTCACGGATCGACGAGGAGGAAGAGGTCACCTTTGATGGTCGAAAGGCCCTCAGTGATCTAGTTAATCGCGATCTAACAGGTGTCTCCCGTTCTCTTCGGCAGAGAGTCGAGCTCGTGATCCAGGGACACGACGATCCTGTGACCTGCTATAAAGTGGTCAATCTGCTCTCCTTCTACCGTACGACTTTTGCCAAACTGGTTGGCCCGCAATCGAACCTGGTCGACTTGATGCAAATTTTGGAGAAATTCACCTTTGGTCATTTCGAGACCTTGATGCGCGATCAGTCTAGCGCCCTGTCAACCGATCAAGTTGCCCTTGCTCCACCAGATGACCTGTCGCCACCCGAGTTCCTGCTGGACGCCCTCGAAAGCTTACTATCTCTCATGAAATCTTACGAAGCATCAGTGGGCGTGGAGGACCCATCTGACACCGACAACGAGAATTCATTCACCCCCGTGCTCCGCGCTGCCTTTGATCCATTCCTGACGCTAGCTCGTTCATCATCAGATGAGCTCAAAGATACTACCGCGCAAACCATCTACCGCACCAATATCCTTCTTGCAGCGCGTGCGACTGTCCAGCCATTCTCTTTTGCCAGTGCAACACACATCGCACCTCTCTCCACTGCCCTGTCCACACTTCGCACAAACCTTCTCGACATTCAGCACCAGTTCCTTCTAGAGACCTCTGGGTTACAGACGCTTCTGGAAGCCCTGGAGCCATTCTCTAAGACGGCTAAGGATGAGGAGACAGTTGAACAGTCTGAGAAGCCCGATCACCAGAAGCCCCAGCTTGCAGATCTCGCCAGCCTCGCTGCCTTCCAACCTGAATCCCTGGTTGCATCGAGTCAACAGTTGGATGACTTCCTCCCATCAGCTCTCATGGATGCCACCGATAACCTCAAGCGTGTGCAAAGCGCGTCCCTCGTTCAAAGTGTAACCGAAGATGCCGTTGAGGCATTTTGTCGCGATTTCGAGTTCGTGGAAGGCATGATCATCGCCGCTGACGAAGCGCGGGGAATGACGCAGGTCAGTCTGGGAACCGGAGGCAGCGTCATCAGTGGTCGCAGTGGAAGATCTTCGAGGAGGCCGGGGGTGGCAGAGGACCGTGACGAGGATGAGGATGAGAAAGAGGATCAGTGGAGTCTGCGGTCGTTGTTCCCTCGGACGACTGGAGAAATCCGGGTGTTGTTGAGTTGAGTTTGATATTAGAACTTGGGGTCGGGAGTATACCTTGAACGAACATAGATGCACCTGAAGGACTTTGTATATACTGAATTTCATTCAAGATGACCTTTCTTGGAGCTGCTCTCGGGATAGATCAAGTAGAATTCACGGTTTCAATTAATATACGACTTGATATCGCTGTGTAGCTCAAGCGGGAAACCCGAGTTGATAGTAGGGGTGGGAATCGCCTGAGGTGTTATCATTTACTTCCAGTTGAAATCTATCGCCGGGCCTTCCCGTAACCTAGTGGTCAAACGCTTCGTTACTTTCGCTACCTATGGTAGGTTATCTGCGACGTTGCTGGGAAGCTTCTGTGGAGCATGGGCGGATGGCGGTTGGCTCGGCGGGTGGGTGGGATGCAGGGGTCCGATCCCCCTGCGGGATTACCTTTTTTAAATATCTTTTCTTTATACTTTATTTATTTTATTTTAATCACTAAAATCTATAGAATTTATAATCTTTATTTAAAGGATTAAAAATGTGATCTGGTGGTGATATCTTGTGTTGTTCATTAGGTACGGCATCGATATGAAGTTATTGAGCATCGCGAGCTGTACATGGACCATCGATAAGAGTTTGTATGGTAGAGCGAGGTCGCTGGTTCAATTCATGGCGAGGGCGAATTTTCAAGTTTGGAATTCTGCACATGATAATGATATTCGCTTGATCTCCTCTATTACTTTGAACATGGAGAGTACGCTTTATGTGTACTGTATATGGCAATATCTCCCATTCTCGATAACCATTTACCCCCCATCATGGCTCCCCAGGACGTAATTTACCTTCAACAGGCCCCTGACTATACTGATTCGCACCCTCAGGCTTTGACCGAATCAACCGGTTACCCTTCAACGTTTCGGGCTTGCTCACGTCCTCGAGATCATAAGCAGCTAAACGTAAGACCAAAATGTCAGCGAGTCACGAATAGTGTGAGCAGATTCCTGATACTAACAGCGATTCTCCTGAGTAATGTTCATATACCGTGGCTGAACGCCACTCCAGGGCTTCGACTCGCCCAAGCCGACATCTTTGTCGGTGTCGTGAAGGTCCTCTTGTCCTTGAGCTTTCGCTTGTTGTTTGGCGGTTACAGACATTTTGGGTAAGCAGCCGGTTAATAGACCAAGCGCTTTTAAAGATTGAATATGACGGGTCGAGGATTTGCTTTGCGTAGGTGGATTGCAGTAGGGGTTGTTCTACGGCCTTCGATTTATATGAGATCGGATTTGCCGCCGGGCGTCATGTTTACGCTACAGTTACGCTGTACCCGAGGGGCGTTCAACAACTTCGGGGGAATAGACATTATATCTTAATAGAGAGGTCGATAGATATCGGATAAAATAATCTGTTCACAGCTTGAATAAGTCAAAAGACTTGATCTATAAATTCGGAAAATGATCTAATGGGGCTATGATACGCTTATGGAGAATGGCTATGAGACCCAAACAGATGGTAGCAATATAACTAGTCCACAAATAGATTTCAGAAGACTTTCGGAGGTTGGTTCGATCATTTGTTCAACTGATACTGGCCAAAGAAATCGAAAATATACTCGGTGGCGTTGAAGACATACTTGCCCAACGGACACTGAGAAGCCAGTCTCTCGTAGTCGTCATTGCCCACCGTCGAGGGCCAACAGTGACCATTTTCACCCTCACGATAGTGCTGCACAATATCAGTCTTACCGGCACAGTTCCAAGTAGCATGTTTAACGAGCGGTTGCTGGAAAACGGTCTCATTCTTGGCCCACTTGGCACCCGCGCCACATCCATTCCGCTCCGCCCAGCCCTCGAGTATATCGATGACGGGAAGCTTGGGATGTTCCTTAGTGTTACCATCAATAGGAGCCGTGGTGTCGATAGTGCCATGGAACTCGAGGAATGGATATCCTTCTTCACGCTTCGCAGGCGCACAGGGGCCTACGCCGGGGATGTCGTCGGTGTTATACCAGGCGCCACTCACGGCGGCAAAGGCAGCGAAGCGGCTACCGACGGTGGCATTGCATGCAATCACGCCGGTGAAGCCTCCGCCATTAGACTTGCCCGCGGCATAGACTCTGCTAGTATCGATGCAGAGTTTCTCTTCCATATGGATCAAGAGATCGTTGGTAAAGTCCAGATCGTTCGGGCGCGACGTATTGGCGCTGGGGTTGGAGAGCCAGTAGCCATTCTTGCTGTTGGGATAGATTGCGATACCATTCGGGTTGAATAGCGGATTGGAGAATTGGGACAGTGATTCTTCCTCGTGCATATCCCGGGATGCGCCATGGAAAGAGAAATAGAGCGCTGTTGGCTTGGTTTGGTCATAGTTGGCGGGGATGAAGAGCTGGTATTCGCGATCGGAGCCTGGCAGTTTCAAAGTCTTGCTCTCACCAGGACTGGGAAACTTGGATGGAATATCCTTGCCACAGCCAGAGGGACTTGCGGTGCTCACGCCAGCCAATACGGCAAGGGAGAGAAGGGATAGGTGATGCATCGTATGTTGTTTACCCCTGGGAGAAGACACGTACTGAGGATTCTCAGAGGGGAGCAATGCCTCAATTATAGCATTGCTCGAGGATTTCCCCTAGGTGTAAGTTGCAAAAGTCAATCTGGCAAAAGATCAGTTTCACTCTTTCGATGGAGACGAGCTGAACGGCCCGTCAGCACCAGTTTCCCAACCAGGAAGGATATGCCTTCGCCCTTTTCTCGACATTTTGGCCCCCGCGATCGACACCACCCTTGCAGCTCTAGCTAGGATGCGGTCAGCACCGTCCAAAATCAAGGCACGCTAATCAGGTAGGGCAGTATGATTGGTTGTATATCCCTTGGGAAAACCTTTGCATCAATCTGAGACCGGCCCGACTTGCAGAATCTCTTGAAGAAGAGATTGGTTGTTGATGCTGAACGTGGGAACTGCCAAGTCCATATTCTTGCCCCCAATCAGCAAGAATATGGCTCTGCAGTATGAAAGATCTTCTTTCTGCATGCCATGCTCCACCATGCGACTGACTCGTGGGGACTACGAGGGGCAGGGCCATTTCGTCACGAAATGATAAGCTGCAGATGCCGAACAACCGGCCTCGATAAATGTCCATGCTATTCCACTGACGGACGTAAGACCGTCGTTACAATGGCTTTTGAGCCGTCACTATGCTCTTGAATCTCAACCCTCATAGCGTGATTGCCGTGGGTGTGCTACTTCCTACACTGGCCTCGGTCGCGGTCGGCCTACGATTCTTTACTCGACGTCGTTTACGAGTGGCTCTAAGAGAGGATGACTGGACTCTTTTGATCTCCGCGGTCTTGGTATGGGGATTGGGAATCACGAACATTGCTGGCGCTACGTTAGGAGCGTTGGGCGCTCATTCAGTGCGGGCAGGTCCTGATGCACCTCATCAGAATACAATTCTCCGTGGACCAGAAGATGAATTAGCCGAACAGGTAAAACCATCTCTATTCTCTGGTTCTCACCACTTTGGCAACCTAATAATTTGTTTTAGATTGTCCTTGGATACAGTATTGTCGAAAAGATCACGTTTGGAGTCATCAAGATCAGCGTACTCCTGGCTTACCGGAGGATTTTCCGAGGGGGGCCCTTCAATATTGCCTCATTATGCATGATCGTGACTTGCACACTTCTCGCTCTTTCATTCCTGATCACATCGGCCTTTCAATGCCACGTGCGGAACTGGAGTCTGAAGTATCTGGACTGGTCGCATCGAAAACACTGCATTCAAGCGGAGATCTCCTGGTCTGGCTATGCGATCTCGGATGTTGTTACCGATTTTATACTTTTGCTATTTCCGGTACCACTGGTATGGAAGCTGCAGCTTACTCTATCAAAGAAAATTAGTGTGATGGTGGTCTTTCTTCTCGGATCTCTTTCCACTGCTGTCGGAATCACCAGGATGGCTGTGATTTTATATTTCACATATGGTATGTATATCTTCATCGTCATGTCAACAAAAGCTAACTCACTTACAGGCACATCTAATGGATATCGAGATTTGCTCGACACCATCTCAACAGCATTGATATGGAGCCTGGTGGAAGCTTCAGTGGCGATCATTGCAGCTTGTCTGCCTTCTATCCGCCCGCTAGTCCATCGGTCCTCGGCCAGCTGCGGAAGTCAAAAGCAACCATTCGATAGCAAACAATTGTCCAAGCCAAGAGGTCCGCAGCTATTGACGCATCCCACCATGCATGAATTCGACGAAATTGATGACTGTCAACGAGTTACCTATCCACCAAATGTGAAGCGATGTCGTTAGCATTATCAAATATACAGAGTACCGTGAGGCAGTGATACAACACAGCATTATTAAACTGCAATTAATGGTCAGGGCCTCGAAGACATCCGGAGATCTCCGAATATGTGTTGTGTTATTCCTTGAATGCGGAGTGGCGGCATTGATAGAAAAAGCAAGGAACTCATAGTTCATATGCACGGCACGTTGAGAACTTCATTAGTCTCATGTAAGGTACATTTGACATTGTAGCTGCACATTTTTAGATCTTGGCTGTGCTCTAGCAGGATTATAACGTCTTTATGGAGTACACATAGTAGAGACAGAGAATTGTGTTCAGGAGATTAGATAACCTGAATGAGGACTCGCTGTCCTCCGGCTTAAACTGTACTTACAGTCCACTGGAATGTGAATCGAATCCGATAAATTAATCAACCACCTAAGCGACACCCATACGTTATATCCAGCCAAGGTGGTGGTTATTACGATATTCATGCGTGGGGCAGCTTCAATATTTGTCAGTTGTAAACAAGCAAAAAGTCGACTATTGACTCAGTGTAACTTACGAAATGCCATGTGACGTACATGAGCCATATAATGTGCTTTACTGAGTGCGGTCTGCAATACAATGCTAAGTTATCCGATTCCCATCATTCACGTGGAGAATTTACATATCAAGGTTGAGAAATCCGCTCGAGCTGAACTCGCACTACTCTAAGTTCATCGATCTTATTGACAACAAGCCACTATGAAGTTCCTCGCCTTGATCCCCGTATTCCTCACCCTGGGCTACTGCCTACAGCCCAACACAATCTCTAACCAGAAACCGTCCAAGTTTTACGGCGTTAGTACTATTACATAGCTATATATCGATGGCAGAGCTTTCCTAACTCCTAACAGAACAATCTCATCGTAACCACGTATGACGAGGATACCGCAGGCTTGACTTACTACGGCTACAAAGTGCCAAAAGATGAGTGTGCCGATGTGGAAGGCCTATCGTGGGTTCCCAGCATTTCCCTCGTCATGAGCAAAGAGCATTCATCCTCTAATTCTCACTTAGTGGCCACACTACCGATTTACGCATCAATCCTGATTCACTCCTGTCCTGTGAATTCTTCAGGTGAGTTTCCCGCTCAATTTAGAAAGTATCACGGTATTAACTTCTTATAGAGAGAAAGCTTGCGAGGGCGATCCCGTCGCCTTCGTAAACAGCTGTACCTACCCCGAGTGGGCCAGTACAGTTTCGGCTCAGTCTTTGAAATGCGAGTCTATTGCTGACAAGGAGGAATGCACGTCGTAAAGAGTTATCGTATGGATTGTGCTTGAGCGTGTCCCGTACCTATCTGGATAGCAGTTGGCGAAGGCACACGTACACTCAAGCATATCCGTTTCCATTTATATTGTCCAGACACGAATGGGTATATTGATATATCTTGTCTCACTGTTAGTTGTGTTGTGCTGTTGGAAGAGGAATAGTCTCGCAGACACACTGGTAATGTACTAGGGTCTGCTAGGCCAATGGAAACAGAGCCAAATGATGTGCACTCTATTATACACAAAGTCTGTAGACAACTCGTGTATTTCATCTAGTGCTCTTATTCTCGACCTTGAAATTTTCAGCCGCTAAAGACAGGCAGGGCCATTGCTAAGCCCGAAGAAAACCCCAACAAAGTAAGAACAAAGCCGCAAACCAAAGCACCCCATCCAATGCATCCCATGGATCAATCAGAAGTTGACGCCCAAAGACGGACAGAACACCCATCCCAACAAACCAAAGAAGGCAAACATGGTTATAACCGGACCGGCCGAGTGTCGGACGAAATCAACCCGAAGTAAAGAGAAAAAAAGAGTATTATTCATAATTTCATTTCATTTCATTTCTTGAAGAGGAACCAAAACAGAATGCGTGTTCATAGGAGGGCTAAGATGGCGTCAATACCATCTATCCACCACGTTCACCAAAATCCCGTGCCCAATCTTCGTACTTTCGCAATCCATCTGGTGAGACACTGGGTCTAATAGAGTACAAGCTAGCCTCAAAATCCTGGAATTTAATCGGACGAATCTGATCCATGGGGGTGTGTAGGAGTGCTTCGCCGAGGTTACGGAGGGGTCCCATGGCGGCGTCTTTGGCGAGGGCTGTGATGTCAGAGCCAGAGAAGCCTGAATGAGTGTTAGCAATGAAACTGATAGATGGTATGGGTGAGGAAAGGTGTTTACCTTCTGTGACATGGACCAGGACTTCGATATCCTCGTCACTAAGTTCATGATGCTGGTGACTTAATAGCTTCCGCAGCTGCTGCTCGCGGACGTGGTGTTCAGGCAGGGGGATATATTGCCTTCGCACGAAACGGCGCCGTGCCGCCTCGTCAATATCCCAGGGCATGTTGGTTGCAGCAAGGACCAAGACGCGACTTGCATCACCTTCCTTCTTATCGCGAGCACTCTGCTCACGACCCGCGGCAGCACGCTGGAGATCGGACCACTGAATCAAGAACTCGGTCTTCGATCGACGGGACGCCTCGTGCTCAGAACCGGAAGACCTCGCAGAAAGTAGAGAGTCGATCTCGTCAACGAAGATGATGGAGGGTGCGAGGACTTTAGCAAGACCGAACAAGGCGCGAACGAGCTTTTCGCTTTCACCGTGCCATTTGGATGTCAGGCTGGAAGAGGAGACGGAGAAAAATGTTGATTTGGATTCCGTGGCTACGGCGCGGGCGAGCATGGTTTTACCCGTGCCGGGGGGACCGAAGAGAAGCATGCCGCGAGCGGGTTCACGGAGACCTGAGAAAAGATCAGGGCGGAGGAATGGATACACCACTGCTTCTTTGAGAGCTTTCTTTGCTCCGTCCAGACCCGCAATATCATCCCAATGTACTTCGTCGCCGCGTACGACGATGTCATTGAGAATCTGCCGAGCAGACTGCAGATCCACACCCTTGGGCAGCTTGCTCAGGATTTTGGCGATATCTTGGTTGTCACCACCCTCATCCTCATCCTCTGCTTCCCCTTCTGATGATCGTTGCTCCCAAGACTCCTGGTCGCTTGAAGGGGGCGTCTCTCGCCGTTTCACCGGGGGCGGCTTGCGTCGCAACGCGTTGTTGCCATTTGCGGCCGAGATGGACATACGATCGACACCACGCTGTATGTCGTCGCTTCCTGATGACGGTGACATATATGCCGACTGGCTAGCCGAATGACTGGCCGGAGCACCGCGCGGTGTAGACTTGGTGGTCCGTGGCTTACTACTCGATACATTGCCGTCCCGATCCTGCCGGGGCGTCGTTGGTTGAGAATTGCCTTCTGATTTCGTAATATTTGTGATTCGTGGCGGAGGTGGTAGTGAGGTCCTTAGCCCAACAGGTTTAGGCTTTATTGATGGCTTGGGAGCAGGCGAAGAGGTAGGTTTTGGTGTAAAGTCTCTCGGATCCGGCATGGAAACCGGACCCGAATGAGGAGGAACAGGCTTGCGGCTTTCAGAGGAAGGCTGAGGTTTCCGCGGAGACATTTGCGCTAAGGGCCTGGGTGATAGTCTGCTCGGTGATGCTGGAAGCTTAGGCTCTCGCCAATTTGCCGCTGGGATGCGGTCCCCTGCAGAATCCCTTCGAGGTAGATGTCTACCCGACGATGCAGGTTCGTCGCCAGAGCTCGTTCTCGGCTCCATTTCACGGCGAAAGCTAGGGTCACTGGCCGCCATCTGACGAGACGAAGCCAGCGTCGCATCGCCCACGGTCTTTTCACTCGACGGAGTGCGATAAATATTGCCCCAAGCCAATCCCGCTGCCTTGGATGCGGCCGGCCGCATCTCCTTTTCCTTCTTCTTAGTGCTGACCTTGGACTTCTTTCCATTCTTCTTCCCATCCGTGTTCCGCAACGTTGTCAACATCGTCTTGCGTCGTTCCGGGCTGGACCCTCGAGACTTTGTCTTCTCCGACGAGTTCGAGTTGACGCGCAGAGCCGGCGAGTCCAGTACGGGAGCGTCATCGTGGAGGGTTTGCGACTCGGGGGTGTGTTTGGCCATGGATGGAGCGGAATGACGACCTGGGATAGCGGCCGGTTTGGAAAGGTCGGTGTAGCCGACGGCGGGAATGGTACCGTCTCCGATCCAGCCGGGGTGGTTATTGGACGAGGAGGAGGAGCGTCGTAATATGGCGGGGAATTTGCCCTTGACCAGGGTGGCAGGGTCTTTACTCCCGTTGGCCTCGGCAGACTCCTTCCGGCTCTCGCGCAGGGCCTCGAGTAGATCGACTCGCTCGCGGCATTGGACCTCTAGCGCGCGGATAGAATCCTGCAGGGCCCTCTCCGTTTCAGACTTTGGGGTATAGTTCGATGGTACCCGACGGGCATTGTGATGGTAGATAGTCTCGAGGGCGGATCTCCAGGACCTCAATGCTTCCTCTTCGTTGTTCTGATGTCATGAGCGAGTGTCGTTTTGACCCTGCCCGATCCGATCGGGACCTGATTTTGGGGAAACACATACCTGACCCTCGAAATAGACCGCGGTTGAGCACGCGAGATAACATTCATCGTATGTCTTCTGCAGGGAAGACGCGGGCCGTGGGCGCATCATTGGGAAACTGCAAACCCGCACCCATTTCACTGCAGAGTTGGTGTGGTGGTGGGGAGAAAGTGAGGATGATGATCTCCCGCGGATGAGGGGGAGGATTTTTCGCGTGACGTCGTCGGTTCGGTGGTTACTGCATGCGGACTTGGATAACTTGGCTCTACTCCACTGGTTCGTGGTGGCTTAGTCTTACTTGATTATTTTGAATGTCTTGAAAGTGTCTTGATTCATCGATGGTTCTAGGGGAGAGGTTTTATTTATAGCACAAGTAGTTTACATCTATTCTACTTTATTCCACAAACGGGATATTGTCTGCTGAGCTACTGCCTGAGCTGTCCACTTTTGTGCGCTCGCCATTACCTTTGGCTTACTAGGTAGATATCACTAATATGGCCTCGAGTTATGGCTCAGTGAGGATATTCGTCTCGTTACCTATGGAATGGCCAATGACCACAGGTTGCTTAGTTACTAGTCCCTTAGGGTCTGCTCCCGAAACTACTGTCTAGCCTACAAATGTCCCTGCGTCGCTTAGCCTATGATAGACTACTTCTATGCACAAATTTCGAGGGCTATCTATTTTGAATTGGCTAGATTGGCAATGGGTCTTACTGTGGAGTTTCAGACTTCTTCTGTTGAACAATCTCATCATGAACCTGGAGGGATTGCTGGAGCACTACCAAGCACAGCTACTCATCCATGCCAATAGTTCAGATCAATATACGAGGATCAGTAGAATGGAGCAAGAGATTAAGCTTTATAAGCAGATCTACACAATGAGCAACTATGAAATACGAAGGACTTCCCTAGTGATATAGAATGTACGACTAATACATACCGATACCTGGTGTTCGTCCACTTTTATGCGGTGAAGATTTAATACACGCTCGCTCCGTATTACCTATTACAGACAGGGCGTCGCGTCGCGAGAGCGTAAAGCGATATGTCAAATTCAACCCTCGAACCAGCCGTGAATCCAGCTGGCTTTCTCAAACCTGTCTACCAACTTTGAATACCTTCACAATCTTGTTTCACAACTCGCATCTACAATGACAGACACCATCGAAGAACTCCCCCGACTCAACGCCGCAATTGGCAGAGTATCAAAGGAAGTCCTGGCAGTTATGCTGACGGTACTCTGTGAGAAGAACCCAACCGCCAGGGATTTTGTAAAAGGGCACCTTTTCGTGGACGAAAACGAAGTCCCTCAACCAGGGACGCCGCCTATCTTCGAGTCCGATACCGAAGACACTGACGACGAAGACAAAGAGAATGTTAAACGCCCCTTGACGACTACGACCACCGGTCCTTAGAGGTTGAGACCACGCTATGCTGTCTGCATAAACTGCAAGGAGGAGTTTGATGTTGCGGAAAACACTCAGAAGAGTTGTTCCTACCACCCATGTATGTATAGTGTGCCCCTTTTCTCTGTCTCGAGGGTATACTTGAATGTGTACTCAATGTTTTGTCTAGATGATTACCCCGAGGCGGATGAAGACATGTTTCCTGACCATGAAGAATGTACTCATGGGCCGATTGACACTGAGGAAAATCGGAGAAATCATCCAGAAAACTTCATCTATGGTTGTTGTGATCGCTATGGCGATGAAGAGCCTTGTATCACGGATTGGCATAGGGAGCGTGAGTATGAGAGCTCCAAGAGGAGGAAATTCTAAGCAATAGTTAGGACGAAGGTTCAGGAAATCGCAGTTTCGGGATCGCCCTCTACGATGCTTTACCAATGTCATCTAGTAGTCACTATGTTGGAAGACCTTATTAGGACCTGGTAGAGTACTATGATTGCCTAACATCAGATTAGCCCCCAAACATGTATCTAAGCTCTGCGAACTAGCTAAAACAGGCAAAGCGCAAGCTACATTAAAGCCGATGAAATATCTTTCTACTCCATGAACAAACAGACCCATTCGAATATCACATCTAGATTCCTCGTGGCAGACGTCTATCGGTACATGCAAAAGTAGGCAATCGAAAACAAAACCATAAAGACAATAAAAAACGTATATCGATGCAAACAGAGTGAAAACCCCAGCCCGCAAAATAAAACAAAGAACCCCGAAGTTTCCACGTTCCAACGCCAGTAACGAGATAGAACACATCGGACGGAGGGAGAGTGTCGAGGAGGGAGATGATGAGAGAGAAGATAAAAAAGAAAGGCGTATGACGAGGTCGATCTCCGGCCGGCTTGCATCAATTTCCATCTCGTTCTCCAAACTGTACATTACCCGCATCGCTTTTTTTGATTGGTGAAAAAGAGGAAAATGGTCCAAATAGGCAGGAACAAGGAGAAATCGAGTCCATTTGTTCCAGCTCCAGATGCACACTGTATCGCGTTGAACTAACTGGGCACTGCCCGTATCTTCCAACACTCAGCCAGAAAGGATGCAGAAGAAGTCCGTATCGCATCGAGAAATCGGGGGAAGGGTATTATGTGATGTTCACACATCACTGGATATTGCACGACGGTGGGAATAGATAGGGGAGATTGGGTTGATAGATGGGATTCAAGTCGGTAAATAGGGATTCGAGGGGTGGGGAGTCTCCGATGGGTTATATTTACTCGGAGAGGCTCTTGAAGTAGGCCTTGGCCATCTCATAAGAAGTCCTAAAACAACAAAGTCAGCACATAGTACTTGAATGATAATCCAAACGGTAAATACGTACCAGCAAATAGCTGTGCTGGGCATGGTCGAGATAATACGCGGCCGCATACCGCGCAGGAAACCGGCCCAGCCAAACTGGCGCTTGATGATAGCCGCGGCGTTGAAGAGACCCCGAACGGAACGAATTTCCTCGCTCTCCGCAAGACCACGGGTCTGGAGGAGAGTCTTCACCACGTCCAAGGGAGTAGTGATACCAGCGGCAAAGGCACCGGCAAGACCACCGGCCATGCAGTGGGTGAAAGGATCGTACTCGCCCTTGGGGTTCATGACCTTGGAAATAGATTCATATGCGACGAATTGGGTGGCGGTAAAAGGCACGGTCATGCAGAGGGTGGTAGGGTAGGAGAGATAGAAGGCCTGGAGACCCTCGGTGCGGTAAACGGTTTTGGCGCATTGCATCAGGCTCTTGTGAACGGATCCGTGGACTTGCATACGTTGCTTGATGACTATTGAGATTATTAGCAAGACACTCGGGCTAATCTTCCGGGAGACCACTGACCATCGAAGGGGTTCATCAGCGCATCGCTGGCAATTGTCGCAGAAGCTCCGCTCAGAGCTGTATTTCCTCATTAGTCACGCGACACCAAAAAACAAGAAGCGAGCCATGAGTTTCCTACCAGCTGCCAGAGGATGATGCCCGTCATCCACATTTCCACCAGCCATTTCCTTCACAATCTCGTATGTGCCAAAGTACACCGCGTGCGCAGGACCTAGAAAATTGCTCATCAGTCTCCCACCCAATTCAAAAATCCTAGACCCCATCCAAAAAAACGTACCAGCGCCAACAATCACGCTCGAAACACCCTTCCATAGTGTCCGCCAGCCCTCAATCCGATAAATCGTCGAAACCGCGTTGGTCAAACCGGTGTAGAGGCCGCCCGTGGAGGGATGCAAGATTTGCATGCGGGTCTGACAACAAATTCCCAACCACGTCAGTTATATGCGCTTTCACCTAACCAGTCACCCCCCAAAAACTCGAAAAGAAAAGTACATACCTTGAGCAAGTCAACGGGGTACATAACCGAATGCTCCTGTAAATCCGCTCGTCAGCCCGTGATCCCGACTTCCCATCATCTCAACGCCCCCGAATAATTCCCCGCCCAAAACGTACCGCTATCCCTGCAAAAGCACCGGCAAGCATGTTGTGGCCAAGGCCATAGTTAGATGGAAGGGCTTCATAACTAGAGAGTAACAAGATGAATTAGCTCGTTGTCCTTTATGAGTTCGGCCAGTTGTCCGCTAAACAGAAAAATTGCGGAGGCAAGTATCTCCCTCGGTCTCCGGTGAGCCAGATCGCCCGCACCACCACACACAGAGACAATGCAGCCACTGCAGAGCAACCGAAATCAATCTTTCGATCAGGATAGGATGCCGCGCGCTGGAAAACGATCCTTTCACCGAGCCCGCTGGGAGATACTGGGCCGGGTTATCGACATACTCATATTCCTGCCCCGGGATCTGATCGGAGGCCGCCATGGAGCTCCGCTAGCTCAAGGCGCAGCGAGCGCAATTCGGAAAAAGAGGGAGGAGGAGGTTGAAGAACGGTGAATTTGAATGGTAAGACCGAGACCGAGGAGTTGCCGCAAGAGAAGAAGGGACGGGGGGCGTGGATGAGGGTCGACGGGGGTTCTCCGTGGAGCAGAAGCACCAAACAGGCACGGAGTAACAAGATTTCTTTTGGCTCGGGAACCAGAGGATTGGGGAGAGGAGAGAGTAATTGGCTTTGTCGCAAAGGAATAGAAGAAGGAGGAGAAGAAGAAGAAGAAGAAGAAGAAAAGGGAAGAAATGAACAAATGAACAAAGTGTAGGAACTCTTTGTTTTGTCAAAGGTCAAATATTTTTTTTTCGGGGAGCCCGGAGAAGAGGAAGGGGAGATAGTTGGAGTTCAAAGACAATAATTAACCACAGACCAACGAGATACACACGGCCGACCTTCGCCGGATTCCACAGCCTCCGGACTCCATTCCTGCCACGATCCTTTACTTTATTCTAACCATGACTCTATACACAATACTTGCATTTACTTGAACTTCTTCATCATTCTGAATCTATCACATCCTATCTCCTACCTGCTTAACAACCCATCTCTATCACCGATTACTCAGAAGTCCGAGTCCAGAATTCAAAGATCCGATGACGGAGCTTACCTAAGGGGGATCCCGGGACCGGAACTACTTACCAAATCGGGGCTTCGGGAAATCTTGGCGCTGCCGAGGAAAAAGCCGAGGTACGAGATGGTAACTTACCGGATACTTGTCTTCCACGCAGAATTTACCAGTGACAACAAGTACCCACTCGGTATATTTCTTGGTACCGAATTATCAATCTGATAAGCAGCCCAAATGAAATCTTTCCCAAGAAAACCCCGTCACCCCCCTGTGATCGGTTTAGTGTACTGGGGTACACTCAGGAACTGCGTGACTAGGAGTGGACCACTCATTTTCCCATTTTCTCAACTAGATGGAACTAGTAAACTGCTGGGACTGTTGGCGTCTGTCGAATCCTTCGAGAAGATGATCCACCCTGACAAGTTACAACCGTCCCCTTTTTCCCTTGGAGATCGGCCGTCTCTGAACGTTGGGCGGGAACGAGACATGTGGCTACTAAAGAGTTTAGAGACATAGAACAACACAGAATACGATAGTATTATGCATGACAAATGCCCAGTGAAAACAGCCTTATCTTCCCACCCTTTCCCATCTTTCTATTCGGCTAAAACCCCCTCTATCCATGGCCTCGACATGTCAACGGCAAAATGACACAGCCCGAACACGCGACTCCGCGGAGCCGGCTGCCGAGGCCCGAGTGGGCTTCAACCCGTGTCGACTAAACCCTGCCTGGCCTCGTATAGTAACATAATCCAAAACTACCAATAATCGAGGTCCACATGACGGTCCGATCCCAGTAAGGAGTGACTGTAGCAAAGGATGTGTTTGTTATAGCCGTGGCAACGAGGATATCATGCAGACGTCTAGAAAATAGCAGCAAGGAATCGGGACTCGGAGGAATCAATCCCGAGGACGTTGACTAAACTACAAAAGCAAAAAGATTCTACAATGCACAAGGATCCAACCAAGATAAAGATTCGCTAGCTGGCTATGGAAATGAATAAACACGGGGAAACGGAGGATAGTGATCTGACCATGTGAGAAAAACCATTAAGAACGGAACCCAACTCCACTGCGCCGCTGCATAGTTTTTCCATGAGAGAAGGAGAGGAAAACAGAGACCGAGGGAGTATGATGTTGAGACTATCATTTCAAGTTACAAGTGAAAAAAGGGGGGTTGATCCCCTTCTTCCACTTGTAACCTGTAATACATTGTGGAATGGATAGGGGCCTTGGAATCGGACAACAAGGTAGGATGAGGTAGACTGAGAGAAGGCATCGGCGTAGGAGGTGAGTGAAATATAGAGAGATGAAGGGGTGGATAGGATCGTTCACGTCGTCAAGAAGTGTCGTCTGCATATGCAGTCATGTCGTTGTTTTCCGTTGGAACTCGACTGTCGATTTCTCACCAGTCGATGTTGAACGACCATTCTCCTGTAAACGTGTCAGTAATCCAAAACATACCCAGAGCCCGATATAATTGCGTACCATTCTTCAAGTTCTCAGCCGTATCACTCAACAGAATGACCCGCCGCTTGTTGCAGTACGTTGTCTTGTCGAGAATAACCACCTTCAGCTCGGCCAGTTCAGCCACGGGCTTCTCAAACATCTCACTCAGACTCTCAACCGCCATCTCCAGATCCTTCTGATTATCCTCGAAAATCTCGGTGAGATTGTTCCGCGCCAGATAAAATGCAAATGCATATGTCCACTTCAGCGTCTGGCGGCACTGTTGAAGAGCCTGCGAGGCGGTGTCCAGGAACTGCACTTCAATCCAGGACATACCAGACGCGGACTGCAGACTGGTCATCTTCTTCTCGGTCTTGAGATACAGATCCTTGTCCAGTTTGGCGGATTGCTCGTGGTTCGCATATCGATTGTAGTAGTGCAGGTAGCGTTCCAACGAGGCACGAGATTTGGCCTGTGCACCGCGAGCTTCCGATCCAGATTTCTCCTCGTATCGGTTGCAGTTGTACCAGCTAGTACCGTGCTCGGACCAGAGACCCATGCACATCCAGCAGAACTCGTGCTTGCACTTGCGGCATGTCATGTGGTTGCAACCGCCGTTCTTCTCGATCGTGGACTGGCACTTGGGGCATTCCTTGGTATTGGCCGATATCCAGTTAGCGGTCTCGGAGTCGTCCTCACACTTTTGTAACCACATCTTGACCAGTGTGCACGGTGTGGGCTGATGATCGTTGAGGGAACAGCCGAAGCAGAACTCGTGTCCACAACGGCATCGCACCGTTGGGACGATGCGGCGGAGATCTCGAGTCTTGACGGCGCAGTCGACCGCATATACGCATTCGGGAGCCGGGCACCACCGTAGATTGTCCTTATCATCCACGTAGGTCCTGGTAAGAAGCGTGCGGTAACTATGAGTTAAATCAACATGTCAGTTTCAACATTTATCTATCTTTCCTCGAAGGATGTAAGGCTGACTCACCGTTCCTGCAAGTCCTCGGTAACCAACAGATCTAAAGACTTCGAGTCCACGATGCGATGACACTTTTCACCGGGACACTGAATCCTCGCAGCCTCGCCTTCTTCCTTGATTTTCTGAGCCAGATATTGCCGGTAACAATTCACGCAGAAGCGATGCCCACAACGCATCGCATAGCTCTCTAGATTATCCCCATCATCACAGCAGATGTCACACATGAACCCGGGGATGACTTCCGTCTTGGCCGAACCCTGTGAACTCTTCCCTAGGCCAGCATCTTCAAGCGTCTTATCCTCATTCTCCATGTACCCCTCGATGAGCTTTTCCTTTTTCCATCGGGCAAATCGGAGCAGGATGGCTGCCGACTCTGGGGGCAAGCCGAGGATAGCGGAAACCTCGTTGACTTGCACGAGCTGTTCATAGTCGATATCGGAGGGGGCTAAGACCTTGAACTTGACTTCGTATGGTTTGCGCTTTTGCTTGAGGAGATCTTTATCGTCGGAGAAACCAGTGTCTAAATCGCTGAAATCTATCAGAGAAAAAAAAGGAGTGTCAGCAAATCAGAAACCCCAGATGACGTACGTTTCGTCTGATCCTCAAGACCCTCAAGATCACGTAGATCAAGGCAGGAGTTCCTTTCTTCTCGGTAACAACACGTACCTTCACCCAAACTCTCATCGTCACTTCCCTGTGTATCAAGAAAATCCTCCGCACTCGAGACATCGCTCATAAAATCATCATCCGAGTCCATACTGCCCGTCGTAGTTGCCGGCGTCGCAATACGACTCTTCTTGTGATCCAAGCCAGCAGAACTAGTCGAGCTACCCCTCTCAGTATCCAGAGAAGTCACCGTCACGGAAGAAACCTGCTTGGAGCGTGACTTGGGGTCAGACCCAGACGTAGTAGTATCAGCAGCAGCAGTGGCAGTGGCGTTTCCGGTGTTGGCAGCCTTGGTGGCGGCTTTGGGGGAAGACTGGTCGTTGTCCGCAATCGCCGCCTCAGCCGCCTTTCTCTTCCGCGTGAGGCGAGGCGTGGTGAAAAGGGGGACGGCCGTGCCGACGGTGGGGGGAGGGAAGGGGTGGATGTGGTTATTTGGGTTGAGTCTGGTGAGGCAGGGAGGGAGGGGTTCAAACCACCCAAGGGATCGTGTGAACCAGTTGAGCCACAACGTCACTAGTAGAAATTGGCAAGACGGTCGGGAATCGGGGGAGGGAGGGAGTCGGGTGGGGAAGGGGGGGGCGCTGATCGGACGGAACCGTTCACTAGGAACTTACTCATGAGGATTAACAAAGTAGCAGCTAACTAACGAGATTAGACGCCTGATGAGTCAAGGGTTGATTAATAACACGATCAGTCATAGGCTAACTACTAAATCGATGTGTCAACGTGGTTTTTCTTCTATGAGACATCTCTTTCATACCTGAAATGACCAAAGCCCAATGGGATTTGATTCGCGAGGCTGAAAAGTGACCTGCAGATCGTAGGGCGTGGCTGGAGCCTTATGGATGCCCACTCTATGAATGACGGCAAGATTAAGGTCTAGAAGAGCAAGAGTAAGACAAAGGGGCGAGAAATATAAGAGTATAGTGACGGACGGAACCAAAGTTTTTATTAAGAAGCAAAAGGTTTGCTAGTTACTACTCACTAGTCACTCAACGGGGATTTTCATACGATCTATAGATGCTTCCGATGGATTAGGACAAATACGACTACGACTATGACTTTGCCTACATCCTACAGCTATACCATACTAACCTAGCTCAACCAGTCTAAAAGTAATGCATGTGCCCATTTTTTGCCCTATCAGAATCGTGTGGTATATCTACTCATCATCACTCTCCTCCTCCTCGCTCTCATCCTCCTCCTCTTCACTACTCTCCTCTTCAGCATTCGCCAACCAATCCACAAACTGCTGCGTCTGAGCCCGAACAGTCCGCATCTCCTCACTACTACTAGACCGCTCATCATCCCACCACTGCTCATACGCCTCCTCATCCACCAGCTCCAGATCATACAGCTCCTTCGCCGTAAACAGGAGGATACTCGAGCCCTTGTTCCGGTGCACAAGATCCTGCTGCAACTGAAGCAAGAAGTCGACCTGGTCCTTCTTGACTTCCTTGTTCCGGTCGAACAAGGTCCGGTCCACGACTTCACGGTATTTGGTGAAGACTTCTTTCACGGCCTCGCCGGCGCCCTTGCCACCCTCCATCAATTGTTGGATGTACTTCATGAAGGAGGAGACGACGGCGCGGCGGACTTGGACGTCGGAGGCGTTGGCGGTCATACGGAGACTGACCAGCTCCAACTGTACCACGTCGGCGGACGTACCCTCGCGCAGACTGTCGAAGACACTGACGGAGGCGTCGTGGTGGAAGTTGTCTTGCTCTTCACCGTCGGAGAAACTGCTTCGTCCGGAACGGGGCCATGATCCCTCGGACACTTCGGAGGATAGGGTAGAGATTGAGGCGTTGGATAGTGAAAGACCGGGCATGCGGTATACCAATCCCGACGAGGCAACGCTGATATCATCTTCTTCCTCGTCGTCGTCCTCGCCGTGGATAAACTCGTAGCCCTCGCCGCCCTCACCGACTACCGAGGGGTCACTGGTACCCACGCTGCCATCGGGCCGGGACCGGGTAATGCGCATGCCACTCTCGATCTTGACTCCATCTGCGATCTTGACGCCGTAGGAGAGGAGAGCGCCTTGTGCGATAGAGCAGTTCTTGCCAACTACCACGCCATCGGCAATGATAGCCCCGCGAACATCCGAGCCGTCCCCGATCACGACATTATCCCAGATATAGGCGCCATCCAGCTGGACATTCTTGCCAATCTTGCAGTTCCGTCCGAGAATCGTGCTGTGCACCGTTGACCGGTCGCCGATGCTAGTGCCCCGACCGATTACGGTGCGTCGGCCAAGTACGCACGAGCGAGCCAACGTGACGCCCTGCTCTTGGTACAAGTTGCCCTTCCGGAGACTGTAGGTGTGGCCTGGGAGGAGGTTGGTATCCGGGCACAAGGGGTAAGCCCAGCGCGAGACGATGTCCTTGCTGACGGCATCGTAGGCCTTGAGGTTACGTACCCGCGCGGCGTAGTCCTCTTTAATGATGTATGTGTGGATGGTCTTGCCGTTCAGCTCGTAGTCCTTGAGGACTCCGTACAAGTAGTGTTTCCGGGGAGACTGGTAGTCAAAGCTGTCGGACCACAAGCTCAGCACGTCCGGAGTGCAGATATCGATGCTGCAGTCGATAAGGTCCTGGCGAATGTCCAACTCAGGCGTAGACAGAATGATATCGGAATCGATGTTCAAGCGTGCCGGGTGCTCATCGGAGTGGTGATCAATCTCCTCGTAGTGCAGGCAGCGATCCTTGGTTGGGTCGATAACGAAGACGGGAGAGATGGAGGAGGATTTGGCGCGGTGGTTGCGGCCCGCCTCGCGGAGGACCATGGTCATGATGGCGTTCTTGTCGGCCTCGCGACGCTTGCGGTGCTTGGACAGAGCGCCCTCGATGGGGAGGTTGCTGATGACATCGCCGCTGACAACGATGAAATCGCCAGTGATGAGATGCTTGCCGTCGAGATCGCGCATGACATCACCGACGGAGGTGGAGGTGGACTTGAGGAAGGTCAATTGCTTGAAGGGTGAGGATGGAGCTCGCCATTTGGAGGTGCTATAGTCATCGGGTTAGCAATGTCCCCGACTAGGAGATAGTATGGCATGAGCTCCGTACTTGATGTATTTCTCTAGTTGATCTGAATGAGCTCCTGCGTATAGGAACACTTCTTCCACGCCAGCATTGGCAAGGAACTCGAGGGTGTATTCGATGAGAGGGGTATTGGCGAGAGGGAGTAGACACTATTTCCACCCCAAATGCTGGTCAGCTTTATCTTATATCAAGCATTGCTTCTGCGTACATACCCTCGGCTTGTCGCGAGTGAAAGGCTCGAATCTAGTCTCGAAAGTATCGGCAAGCACCACAGCCTGAAGAGTCTCCTCGACCTCCTCCGCCGTATTCTTCGGCTTCGCGCCGCCCTTTTGCTTGGCGCCCATGCTGTTCGGAGATCCTGGAGAGCACCGTCAATCGGAATGATTCACACAAAAGCTGTGACGGTCGAATCGCAAAGATGGGACAAATTTCGAATCCACCAAAGGGCAGCCGTACCTCTGATATTTGAGGATCACAGAATGGGAATGTAACCGGAACTCGATCGCCAGAAACGCTCTGAAAGGGTGGTGTAGCTCGCAGTTCCAACGTGACTCCGCGGTCATTCAAAGGCACAAAAAACCCCGCCAAGCCTCGGACTCCCACCGTGTTGCTTTGTTTGCACTGTTTGCCATATTTGCATAGTTGATCGTCAAAACCTTCACGTGATATCTTTGGCGCAGGGGCCAGCTACACTAGCCACAGGCAGCGATAGGCAGCCACAGGAAGCCGCAAAAGGTCCAGATGGTCCAGAACTTCCTGCAAGGCCTGGGCCCTGGTGGACTCCCTTCATAGCCCTACGACGAGGGAATTCGGTCTAGGCGCGTCTACAAGATGCCCCTTCAAGATCTCGGGTTCGCCCGACCGGCCCTCGTGTGTGGGAATGCGGGTACATTGGAGATGGTTCGTCGGAAGTGGTACGCGTACGCGGCGAGACAAGTCAATTGGTCATGTTGTGATATTTTGCATCGACGATGCCAAAGAACGCAGAAAGCTTGAAATGAACTGATCCCTACATACCTTGCCTCATCCGGCCTTGAAAGGAACCTCGGTGGACTAAATACCCTTTCGAGATACTACTAACTCTACCCCTAGATGGCAGGAAAACAGGGACCAAAACACGTTGAGAACTAATGTATGTGATTGTGTATAATATGTACCTGGCTTAACAATCTCCCCAGTCATAGATAGGGTAAAATAAGTGTATATGAGAGTCCAGGGGTGGATCGACGCTGATGCGTGAATCGTAAACGCACAAATTCGCCACCCAAAATCCAAGAACCTTGGAACAATAGAGCAACACAAAACGCCATGACCTGTAAGGGATAGAACGACGGTGACCAAGGCAACAGGACAAGCTGGGAATGACGACCGAGCAAAGCGAGTAATATACGAGTGAAGGCCTCATTATAGACAGTGGGAATCGTAGGGCAATGGACAGAGGGAGAGAAAATAGAGAGAAGAGGAGTATATGAATAAGAAGAGAGCACATGGAGAAGAAATGGCGCATGTAAGGTTTAACCAGGTCGCCCAGCTTGTACCGCCATCATCGGTTGAGGTTGGGGGTACATGCGTTGTCGCTTGACGTTCGGGTTTTCTGTAACACTAGCCATTTCAGACATTTGCCGACGATGTTGTGGTCGAGGAGGGGCACCACTAGAGGGAACGGTCACTGCGGGTGGCGCAGGGAATTGTACGCCATTCTGGTCCACCGTATATGCTCCCGGTGGCGCGCCGGGGGCAGCCACGAATTGTCCTGGAACTGCAGGCATAGGTTGTGGCACCGGCGCCATGCCATGGAACTGGCCCGGTGATTGCCAGTTGTTCATTGACCCAGCCGGGGATTGACCAGGGGAGCTATTGTCCTCTTTTATTGATTGCGTGGCCGATGTTTGAGCCGCCATTGTTGCTGCTACTGCGGTGGGCGGGGCGGCCTCGATGCCTTGCGCCATAGTCTTGAGGTGTACCAAATGCTTCTCTAGCATACCGAGAAGACTCTTGCGGGTGAAAGGTTTAGGGAGAACGTCGTCCATACCTATTGGCGTATATTAGTTGAGACTCTTCCAGTTGATTGAGTGTCGAGAATATGAGTGGAGCTGCCTTACCATGTTGGAAGTAGAGTTGAATATCATCACTACGGATGTTGGAGGTCATGGCGATGATAGGCGTGCGGTCGAATTGGCGGATAAGATGACAGGCGGATACACCATCCAGGTTTGGCATGATGATATCCATGAGAATCAGATCGTACTTCGAACCACCTTGCATCTTGTTCACAGCTTCAAGACCGTCGAACTAGAGAAAGAACAACGTTAGATCCCCATGCAATATATTGCCATGAAAGAATTAAACATACCGCAGTGTCAACCACACAGTTGAAAGAGTATAAGAATTTGCCGCCAATTTGTCGACAAGTCGCGTCATCCTCGACCAGCAAGATTTGCGGACTGCGCACCCAGCCAGGGTCGACGTTGGTAGTCTTCTTGCGGTTACCGTTGTCTTGGTACCGCCGAGCCTCTGCAGGATCAACCTCTGGCTTGGCGGGCATAGGATACGGCACGTTATTGACGTGCTCGCTATACATCGGATCGATACCGTTGGTGGCACCCACTGGGTAAACCACTTGTTCCAAGTCGCCGCCCATCTTGGGGTAGACCAGAGCAGCAGGGTTAGGCGGTGCGGTAGTCACTGGACGAGCGACCGCGGCAACTGCAGCAACCCCGTTGCGCGCCGCAGGATCCATGGCGGGCGTAGCCACCGGGACTGCGCCAACCTTTTGGGGATCATTTGCTGTGGCCGGGTCCATGGCCGCCAGGTTGAACTGCATCTCAGAGTTCATGTCGTTCAACAGCTTCGATGCCTGCTGCAGAGGCGAGGATGGCTCATCATCCCCAGCTCCAACCTGAGACGGGCTCATGGCAGCGCCGCCCTGTGCCTGGAAGGAAAGAGCCTTGCTGTCCCTCCTCTGGCGCGCATCAACCGAGAGCAAGTAAGTCATGACCTGGTGAATGACATTTTCATGGTTCAAGACCGTCTTCTGCACCCGCATCACCTCTTGCAACATGAGCTGATGATCCACCGTGAGCTGAGCATAGCGATCGGAAAGATGCTGGATTTGTTGTTGTTGGGCGACAATCTGCTGGTTGAGTAGATCGATCTGTTGGGTCGGTACGGATTCATCGGTAGTCTGGGTCTGCTTGCGGGGAGCAGGGGCCTTTCGACGAATGTTGTCTAGGGAATCCTTGCTGTTGGCGCGGAACTCGGGGTGTTTAAACTCCCATGCCTAATGCGATAGTGGTATTAGCCCAAGCCAACGGTGACGATGTGTGGGTGGCCCCGATCGGCGGAGGGGGGGGGTATTCCCGGTGGGAGGAGGGACGGTAAATGGATTGCAGCCTTACGTTTTGACCATACGGCGACTGGCCGTTCTCCTCGTTGTTTTGGCGGACCTTGTGGAAGTCGTATTTGTTGAGTTGGCGCACGAAACTGGCAAAGTTGCTATGCTTGAAGTGTTTGGGTAGGATGGTCTTTGTGAATTTTTCGCACTAGATTTCCCAAGCTCGAAGTTAGGAGCGATCGCGACCGAAGGGACGAGATCAGGGGGGTTGGGGCGCATTTACCTCTAGAACAACGAAACTATCTCCTTCATCTCCCCAGCGTACGATAGAGGCGTAGGAGGGATCCTCCAGCATCCTATAAGCTCGGTCAATACATGATCGGAAAGATTGCCGCGGTGGGTGACAGGGGTGTGGTTCTTTGTGGCGGGCGGGTTGCAGGTTGCAGCTAGAAGCAAAGAGGTGCGGAGAGAGGGGGAAAGGATTCGGGCAGAACTCACTTATACAGTTTGCGAACCTAGCCATGATGAAGTAGAGTTAGCAAACAGAAGAAGAGGCTTTAAAGATCATCACGACATACAAAGTCGCTGGAGTTCCCAGCGGGGGCGGGATTCGACGAGGTCTGGCCACCCTCCATGCTGGGCTAGACGGGTCGCGACCGGTCGAACAAGCAGCAGGCTGGACCCGCGGGCTGGCGGGTATAACGAAGTATCAAAGGGTAATAAGCAATGCAAAATTCCAAGAGGAACCGGGAACTGGAGAGGTATAACGGAGACCCGTCGCTGGCTGGGAGGGCTAAGGGGAAAAAAGAAAAGAAAAGGAGACCAGCAAAGCCGGAGAGTCGCGAGGTTGGGGGGGAAGAAGGGAAAAAAAGAAGGGAATAATTTCTGATCAGAAGCGAACGGGGTACCGCCTCGATCGGATTACTACGAACGGGTAGAGCCAAGTACCAAAGTTACGGACACCAGCATTAAAGGAGACAATAGCGATGTTTATAATAGGTATATATTAATAGAAAAAAAATAAAATAACATAACATAACCTGGGAAGAGTTGTCTGAATCCGGAGTTTGGTCCAAATCTTTTGACAGCCAGTCTCTTGAGTCGGCATTTGGAGGTAGTTTTAGACTACTTATGGAATGATGCAAGGAGGTCTTGTATCTACATTGTACTTATATCGTATTCTCCTATCGTCTCAATTATTTTGTCCCAAGTATAGCCTTCCTACAATCATAGTCTATCATCAGTATCATTTATTACTCCCCCTCCTCTCCGAGAGTAGACAAACCTTCCTTCGACCCTGCTGCTGCATGATAAAAATCCACGCTACTCATTGGTAGAGACGCCCATCCGTTGACATGGGATTGTCAGTGCGCACGAGTTGGAGGGGGGCCACCATGCAGAAGTGCGGCCTCGAAGCTGTCGTGGTATCCCTCTCAACTTCATCATAGTCCCCCATTCATGACGATGAGAAAATAACTGGAAAGAAATCGCATCCAATCGCCAATCGCCAAGAACTCCCCGTAAGACATTGGCTTTAACCCGGAAAGAATAATAGCAGATCCCAGTCAAATCAATGGGAAACTGGATCAAATAATGCAAAAGCAAAGCTCCACCGGTCGGAGCAAATCCTTGGGTCCAGGGAAACAAAGTGTGGATCTTTGCTTTTTGCTGGTTCCCACACGCGTCCGGTCGAGCTTCGCAACTGGTGGGCTGCGTTCTCCGGTAGTGTTCACACATTGGCTGGTGAATCCCGAGTCGTTCGCTGATGAGTTGGCAAGAACGGTGAGAATCCAATGGTTTGGTACTATTTGGACCGGCCGGGAGATCTTCATAAAACTATGAAGCTGGTGGTTCCTCCCATGGTTCCCATACCACACTTGCCGAAACGAGTTCAAGTCGTCACGAGGCATTGTCAACGATGATCACGATCACCAGGGAGTCCGTAAGCATTGGATGGCCTTCGTCTCCATCAGTGGGCCAAAGCGCCCTGGCTTGTCGGCGAATTCACCGAGCGGGTTCGTGGGTGCCCCTCAGAGAGCATTGCCGCATGGGAGGAATAACAATGGCCTAAGATGATGATAAGCTGTATACTCTGAACATCATAAAAAAGTAAAACAAAGCGTAATGATCCTTCCTCGAGTGCTGGTCCCAAGTTAGGGGAACCGGGGTCCCTTTTGAATGCAGGGTTTCAACGGGCGACGATCGTGTCCCAACGGCCGATGACGAAATCATCAATTCTGCCTCCTCCTCGCAAAACATCAACAACGCGACCTCCCACCTTCCACCCGCCCTCCCTCACCCACGTCCTCTCCACCACAACTCCTATAATTTAACTCTTAGGATCCTCAATTAATCGCAATCATGTTCGCCCGCCGCATTGCCACCAACCTTCCCCGCGTCCGCGCTGCCCCCTTCCACAGCACCTCGCGCAACCTCGTCCAGAAGGGCGACGCCATTCCCAACCTAGACGTCCTAGTCGAGAACTCTCCCGGCAACAAGATCAACCTCGCCAAGGAGATTAAGGGCAAGGCTGTTATCATTGGCACCCCCGCCGCCTTCAGTGCGTGAATTCGGACACTCCTATGAATGGGAATGAACCCCTCGCAAGAGCTTCGTTATTGACCGATGTACTTTCTTCTTCTTTTCTAGGCCCCGCCTGCTCTAGCACCCACGTCCCGGGATACATCAACCACCCCAAGCTGAAGGAGGCCGGTCAGGTCTTTGTCGTTTCCGTCAATGATCCCTTTGTGTAAGCTCGAGCTCGCGATCATGTGGAGCGGGGAAGCCCATTGATGGGAACATATCACTAACCCGCAATGATAATATAGGACCCAGGCTTGGGGCGTTTCCCTGGACCCCCAGGGCAAGAGCGGTGTATGTCTATATCTATCATTCCTTTGGAGATTTAACACCATTGCTAACAAGGTTCCCTCGATATAGGTCCGCTTCCTCGGCGACCCTACCGGCAAGTTCACCGAGGCTCTTGACCTGAGCTTCGACAGCGTTGCTATCTTCGGTAACAACCGCAGCAAGCGCTATGCTCTGCTGGTCGAGGATGGAAAGGTCAAGGAGGCCTTTGTCGAGCCCGATAACACTGGCGTTAACGGTAAGTGATTGTGCAATCGGATTGTCGGTCTTCGTGGATAGAGTGATAGTGGCTAACATATTATGAATAGTCTCGGCTGCTGAGAAGGTGCTCGGATAAAGGGCTGCTTAGTTGAGCTGCTGTAAGAGTATGAAATATTAGTCCATTTGCATATAGTAACCGAATGGCGAGAAATAAAAATTAAAAGAATCATCGAAGGATAATTCTTGGGATCATGGTCCTTCCATAGGTGACTACCTAGGTACATTCGTAGGGCTTCCAATCTTAGGTTGGTGACAAGAATATATAATCAACGCTGTGGTATTCATATGATTCCATATTGTTCGACCTAGTAACTTCACGCAAGAATAACACAGTAGTAGAGGGTAGGTAAATCTCGATCTGATTACATGTAGTACGCTAAGCGACATGCGATTTATACAGGTGCATGAGGTGGACGATAAGAGCCAATTGCTCAAAACATATTTTCCAAGGAAGAAGGTCCGGCAGAATTCACATGACCTACAGAAGCTAAAAGACAAGATAAAAGATAAGGAAGTGGGATAGTTAAATCGGTACTACAGTCATAGCGTCACCCTGGCCTAAAGAAGAAGGCATCACGGCAAAGGCGGCTATGGAAGCGGTCGATAAACTGACCAATTATAATTATGGGTTTTGAGCAACTGGGGTCTATCGTCCGCCCCAGGTACAGTACATACTGCATTCAAGGTTGGCGGTTGCCTAACCCCGAAACCCGGGCCGAATGGGTCTTGCTATTCGCACGACGGCTCCTCATAATATCACAACCGCTAGCTGTATCAAGTTAGTGCGGGTTTACTACAGGGGTTTTGTCTTCTGGTATTTTACACCATAATGACTCCCGAAAACGGCTACCTCGGACGTTACTTTAAGCTTCATTTCTACCATAATAGAAGTTAGTCACCGGGCTCTTGCGTGATCTGTCCCTGCCCACCATTTCCGTATGCCCCCTTAGTGATCATGGATTGCTCCCGGAGCACTCATGGTGGCCTAGGATTGCTAAGGGATTAGCTCGCCCTTCACTCAAGACGCTGAGGGTACGTAGTTAGGGATGCCGTCATATTTCTTTATTTATCTTATCCGATTATAGCCGTTAATTACAAAAATAGGAACCCCAATGAAGGTGCCTGATCCAAAGTACGATCTTATTCCCTTCAGACGAGAAGTGCACAGTGGGATAGTCGAGGAGGAAACATTGGCGAGATCGAGCTTTAAGATCTGATTGACGTCGAACCTGCTTGGCATTAACGGAGATGTCTTTCGCTTATGGTTGTTCATGTTTTTTGGTCGCATCCATGAGTCCAAGGCAATTAATTGCAGGTATTCGAGCTTCTCTTGCTATCCTGCAAGCGTATTCACGTTCTCAAGGAGTTTTTGAATAGGGAACTGCCCAGGCAGACTTTCAACATAATGCGCTTGCTTACAGCTAATGAGCCATACTGGACAGAATGGTACGAACGGGGGGATCATCAATAACCAACCATTTATTGGTTCCAGTGCATTCTGTTTTTACTTCCTCGTTGATCACAGCCAGATCGTGTACATCTGCGATCTCCTGCAGCTGTTCGGCTTATTTGACCCTAATCCCGGATGGATTCCTGTTTCCTAGTACCACTTGCTCTGAGGGCACGTGGCTATTGTGTCTCTGGATGAAAGGGGATTATTGCTGTTACGAGTTGTAGATCGACTTTTTGACACGAAGAAGTAAAAAAGCTGTCAATTCTTTGCGCTCCTTCTCAATTGCATTTATTGTTTCCTCCTTGGACGAGGTAGTCGGTCTTTGCTGGCTGGTAATTTGCGTTGTCGCCTATACTTCCAGTTCCACCCATAGTGTTCGTCTTCGTTTCATTATATGGAAAACTGAGAATAAGGGTGGTGGTACACACGCTACATCATGCTACAGCAATACCTGTGGGTATTTTCGAGATTGGCATATCTGTCTGACTAGAACTCTGCCTCTAGGGACACCATCGTTTCCAGTGGAAAGCGCGGGAAGGTATGCATGCAATACACACTTGATATTCCAGAAATTGAAAATGGAGACTCCCCATTATTTGAAAGTTCTAGCGCCGTCGACCTCCATAACGTGCGTGGTGACTATTATAGTGATTTCATGACTGGACACGGTCTATCCCGCCGCCGTCTTCTCTCAAAAGTTCTGTGGCTCGGCCGATACGCTCGACAAGCAGATCTCGCTCGATCTACGAATTTTTTTATTATAATTAGTTCCATGCCATCAACCAGACTTTGAAATAGCACACTCACTTGAATAAAGGAGGAGTTCATCTCCTGGATTGCTTTCTCCAGGGTAGGGAATCCGCTCTTGTGTACATAGTATGGTGTCGACGGCACAAATAAATGATTTGAGTCCCGAGTCAGTCTATCGATATCGCGACAAAACACTCGTTCAAACGCCATATACTTTCTGTTAACAGTCTGAAGCTCTGTCTGTAGCTTGGGTGGAGTGGGCCTAGCGAGCGTCTCTGCGAGCAGGGAGGCGCCCTTGGAATCGTGCACGATAGCAGCTTCGAAGAGGGTGTCAATTGCCTCCTGAAGTGAATTCAGAGTTGGGGTGTCGTGGCCAGAGAGTAGGCTCTCCAGATAGTTCGCAGCCTTTTTCATGGCGATGGCATAATCAGTAACATTGAACGCCAGAACGGGTGTCTCAGAAAGGTGAGCCGCCAATGACCCCCACATCTTCGCGGTTGCTGTGTGATACTCCCAGGTGGGATCGCCAAACTTGTCCATGTACTCCAATGTGTCATAAAGAGAGTGGTAGGGAAACACAGGATCCCCAGGACCGGCTAAGAACCCAAAGTCACTGCTCGGCAAGCAGGCGCAGCCCTGGAACAGAATTGAATCGCCTGCAGTACCGAATCGAACATCACCGCCCCAGACATCGAGCACCGTCTGCCCTGACATAGTTTGATTTGGTGACAAGACGCGATCTGAGGCGGCCAGAATAGCTCGAGACAGTAGTGGACTGGCCTGAACATGGAAGTTCTGTCCGGCAGCAGCTTCCACCACATTCAAGTACGCAGCAATAGTAGTGTTTGCTTTCTGCATGTTGTCCTGAAACCAGGACCGTGATCCAACGCGACCAACCTCCTCCCCTTCCCAGCTAGCAATGACAATGGTACGAAGTGGCTTCCAGCCTTGTTGGAGAGCGGTACCAAGCGCGCGGACCACTTCGTTGAGGGCACTAGAGCCACTGTGGCTGTCACCAGCTCCGGGCCCCCAAGTATCTCGGTGATTTCCGAGCAGAATGATCTCGTCCTTGATGCTACCCTCGACTGTGCCAAGCACATTGTGAACTTGGCCGACTTCGATCTCAGAGTCGCAGTGCAAGTTGATGACCATACCGGGTGCGGAGGGTCCGACATTATATTGAACACCTCGGTACCCAAGTCCTCCTCCCCACCATCTCTCGCTGAGCTCAGAGGCATTGGGTCCTCGATTGTTCAGCGCTTGCAGAAGCTGAGCTGCGTCCGCGTAAGAGATAGGAACAGCTGGGATTTGGGGGAGATGAGCTCTGAAATCGGCGTCATTCGGAGAGGATTCTACAAGAAGTCACAACTTCTGATTAGTTCATGTCCCAACGCCGGGGTAATGTTAAGGTTTACTCACCGATGAGTCCAATAGTCCCTCTTTGGATCATAGAAGGAGGACGTGCCGGGCCATCTGGCAACGGCAAATATCCATTTGCTTCCGTATACGGCTCATCTCCTTGCGTATCTGTGTATGCAAGAACGCCGATCGCACCAGCTTTGGTCGCGCTGAGAATTTGGTTGAAGCGACTTGCCGTTGCATTCAGTCGTTCGAGAAGCGGTGAATTAAAGGTCAACTTGATGATGACAATTTTGCCCTTTACGCTGATTCCTCTTTGCAAAAGTTCTTCATAGTCCTGATCGAGCCCGAAATTGGCGTAGACATATTCAGCTGTCACATTGCCCTTCGGCGACCAGGCAAAAAAGGCTGGAATAAATGGCCGTTCGGCGCTGCTAGGGGGAGCAGTATCTTCCATAAGGCTGACTTCATGAACGACTTGGTTGTGGGTCTGATTGAGATTAAGCAACGCAACACGTTGATCCTTGAGTCGAGGCAAGTAGACGGAATGCTGGGTGATCTCGATATCTTGCAGTCCAAATTCCGACCATCTCGTTTTCGTCCACCGAGCTTGGTCAAATCCCTCTCCTGGAAAGTGGGAGCCCCAGGTGTAATAGCTGCTCCATTCTCTTGCCTTGTGAGGACAGGGAACGTTGAGCAGCAGGTCCTGTAGCTCTGCGTAGGAAAATTCAAGCTTCGAAATGGGATTCGACCATTGTCGGTAAATCATAAAAACGGTAGCCACACTGAGGAACGCCTTCATACCGGTGGCCAGCCACCGTCTGGGTGACTTCCTTCCTTCATGATGTCCGTGTTCATCTGGTCGACCCATGGTGTCGTGTAGGTCGTCTCACACTACAGCGCTGAAGAAGAGCGCAGATGCCAGTGGATGATTAGATCAATAACAACGGAAGGGATGTGGGGTGTGGTCTCGTTTATATGTTGCCTCACTCCACACAGGTACTGTAAGTCTGTATTTTATTTCAGTAATATTGTACAGGTCGGCTAAGTCTTCGTAAAAAAAACGGAGTATTTAACTAACGCAATCGACCAAGGTTGGTCCGAGGAGCGACTCCCGCCTCGGCTTACAGATGAACGATAGTTCAAGTAGTTACAGCTAAGCTGAACTTACTCTAAAATTACTATTCTCCGTGGAAAGAAAATCATAAAAGCATATGCTTATCTCCCGTATCTTCGAATTGCGCGCTCAATCATCCTTGATGGTAAAGAAGATGGTAGCTACGCGAATATACGGTAACGTATCTCATAAAGCAATTTCCTCCTCACGTCGCTTGATCTCAATCTGGCCCCAGGCGTTGGCATACTGAGCTACACCGTGCTCGATCACATTTGGACGCTCCCCGACAAGCCGAATGTCATACTTAAGAAGAATATGACAAAGCGTGATCTTCACCTCCGCCGCAGCGAAGAATCTACCTGGACAGGCGTGGAGACCATGCCCAAATGCAAAGTGATTTGGGCTAGTCGAGACCAGCTGCGAAGAGTTTTCCTGTCCGGGAAGTTTTCGAAGTTCGTAGAATCGGTATCCGTCGAATTGATCGGCGTTATCATAGACTCCCTTATCCCACATGTTGTGACATGAAACGAGCGTCTTGGTGCCCCTGGGGACGCGCAGTCCGTCGGATAATGTCACATCGTCCAAAGTCACACGCACCATTGTACCTAAAGATTGTCATTAGCAGGTAAAAAAATGGCGAACGGCAAAATGATATCTCCTACCGATGGAAATCGGCTTCAGCCGCTGAGTCTCTTTCAACACACTGTCCATCAGCTTCATGTTGTAGAGCGTAGCCTTTTTCCAGCCATGTGTCCCGACAGTCGACATAGTCTCTCTGCGCAGGTCTCGAATCAGTGCAGGATTATCGGCAATATTGAAGAGTGTCTGTGTCAGAAGATCAGAAGTAGTGTGTATGGCTGCCACGGAGATCTTAAGCTGGGCGCCAGCCGCGTCGTAAGAACGACCATCAGCCGTTTCTTCCAACCATTCAATCAAGTCGTCAGGCTTCGTGGAAGCTGCGTACTTTGAGTGTGCCTGCCGCTGAGCTCTCCGATTTTCCAAGATGGGCGTGATAATGCGACGAGCCTCTTCAATCTCCGCCCGCAGATTTTTGCACATGGGTGAGAATTTAGCTGCCAGGGGCCTCAAAATCTTCGGCCACACACGTAAAGCCTCTACAGCCATGAAGAAGCTAACGGTATGATTTACCGTGATTCGCAACCAGTCCGCATTGTGACAGAGCTCTTCACCCAGGAAAACTCTGGATGACTGCTGCGCAATGACAGGCAGCACCGTTGAGTGCAGAGAAATTCTATGCCATTCTGGAACCAATTAGCGATGTCTAAGGACAGAAAGACATCCCCCACTCTACCTTTACTGTCGGTCCAGTGCTGTCGAAGGGCACTAGTGACCTCCTCTGAAATAGGTCCTAGGAGTTTGCCTAAAGAAGAATCAACCTGTTAGCGAAGTAATTCCAATCTCCATAGCGACAAACTTACCAAGAGACCGAGTCAGCCTGCTCCGTACCGCATTGATAAATAATTGTTCCTCAACGATATTTTCCTTGAACATTTCAAACCCAGGTATTCTTCCGTGGAAAGACTAACAGGCCTGTAAGTCAGGATACAATGAAGCACGAATCTAGTCAATTACCTGCTCATTGTAGGCGGAGATACTGAATCGCTCGTCGTTGCGGATTTCATTGGCATATTTTGGGTGAATAATCATTTCGACGCCATTATCTGTGACCATGTAGAATGCATCTTTGTGCTTTCCATCGTTCTACGTTAGCATCATGAATTACTTTGATATGGCAAGTTTTTGAAGCGATAGTAAAGTACCTGATTGAAAGCTGCGGTGATGAGCTCACGTGCGCCAGACTGAAAGCGTCTTTTCGCGTGGCTCCATGAAAGCTCGAATGTTTTCTTGTTATTGACCAGGCCACCCTTGTAGCCAATGCCTGGAAATAAAACAATGATCGCGAGAATCGCGATACCAATTGCGAGTCCGCCGCGAACAAAATCGCTATCTCTCACTCCGAGCCTTTCTGGGTCCATGTTTGAGTGACGATGAGAGGTTCGGCGTGGCCAGACAGATAAGTCGGTCAACAGTGATAGAGACAATGGTCAGCACTCGAAATGTGGGGAATGTGTTCGGACCTGAGAAATTATCCAACGCACCCCGAAGAGACCGCAGACAAACAAATCCAGAGACTGAATGTCAGCCCAGTGTTGCCACTGTTTATTCGGCTCAGTGAGACATGGAGAGACGCCGAGTATCTCCGTGGCTGCGTCCCCCAGCTATGCCAGAGATGGGCATGCTACCGAGACGTCGTCCTCTTCCCGCCATCTCCAAGCCCCTTCCTCGGCCATATTGCTTTTTGGAAACCATTAATGTAGAACACAAATGTGATAAGATACATGTGGAAGGTGGAGTTTACTGCAGTCTGGATCAAGATCGGCGGTACTGAACTTGTGATATCGGAGATGTCCTCCATTCTATCGTTACAGTATTGATGTATAGAAGTAACTTACAGGTATCTTTGCAATTCATGGTCAAATCTTCCGTATTACGGTGGCTGAACAAGGCGGGAGTGGAAACTTTTAGCTACCTTGGCAAGCTTCTGATACAGAACCGGTGGGGCCAGCGTGGCACGGTGACGATGCATCTCGCCCAAAAACTCTAAACACGAAGAGTTGAACTATGACCCGCTAGTGGATACCTCCTGCTGCTATCTCACGCGAGCTCTGCGATCGACCGCCAACATGCCCTATTTGTTCGATAGTGAATGCAGCTTTGACTTGTGCAGCATGCACGGTGATGAGGAAGGCATCACAGCTCACTCATCCCCACCTTGACCCATCACCCACCCACAGGAATTGTAGCAGACAAACGATGTGTGATTTGTTTCTCCAAGGTCTAGTGTGAACTGGAAACTCTGTGAGAGAATCCGCAATTAGTCAGCCTCTCTGAGCCCTTCAGCCCGGGGTGGGAACGGGGCCTGTTGCGTTTCGTTGAGTTTTGACTGGCAGCAAAAAAAAGCGACAGCGAAAGCGAGATCTCCAAGTATGCTTAGCCAGAGAGCTGGCATCCTCGTAATAGGGGTGCTTGCGACAGCCACCTTCTGGCTATGCCGAAGGTATTTCCAGCTGCGCGGCATTCCGGGCCCATTTACCGCGAGAATCACCAATCTGTGTCGCGTGCGGTGGGTTGGAAGTCGAAAATCCCACGAGATACACAGCAGATTGCACGACCAGTATGGAAGTGTAGTGCGTTTCGGACCCAATATGGTCTCAGTGGCAGATCCAGCAGCTATCTCTTTAATATACCCCGCTCGCTCTGGATTCCTAAAGGTAGATGCGAGGCCAATTCCGCTTATAAAAATCTCGAGGCTGACAGTCGATTAATCTTAAAGGGCGATTTCTACCAAGTCTTCAAAAGTCCTGATGAGCCACCGGATGTCTTTACCGCTCAAAATGAAGGAATACACAAAAATCTCAGAGCACCTGTGGCTCCTTATTATTCCTTCTCAAAATTACAGAGCCTTGAGCGCGCGATTGACAACAACATAGACCGGCTTTTTCGCCAGTTGGACCGTGAAGACACCGAAGACAAAACATCCCTCATAACTTGGCTTCAAGCATTTGCATTCGATACCGTATGGGCATGGATGTTCACCAACCCGTATGGCATGTTGGAAATGGGGTCGATGGCGGCGAAGAAAACATTGGAATCCAATTGGGAGATTTTTCAGATCATTGGCCCGGTCAGTATGTCTGTCAATATTTTGCAGCCTCCAAGCGGATCTCGGAGTAATCACAAAGTCGCCGGCCAATCACTGACGTGTGGAAAACAAATTCATAGTTGAGCCAAAGTTCGACCCTACGGAACTTAGCTGGTATCATCAATGCCATACTGACTGCTTTGAAAATCGACTCTATCCCTCAATTGCATAAACATACAGTGTCGCTTATCAAGTCTCGCGAAAAACAGTTTGAATCTTCTTCCGAAGAGCTGAATGCGTCAGATAATGTGGACATGATCACAACATTGCTGCTCATGAAATCAAAGAATTCCATGATACCGCCCTGGTAAAGATAATATATACAAGTAATAAACTGATCTATGCTAATGATGCGATATTCAATCTGCAGGACAGTATCCTCGCTTTCGTTGCTGAATGTCTTTGCCGGATCAGACTCCACGGCGGTCGTCATGGGGACCATGTGGCATAACTTGCTTCTTCACAGAGACTCTATGCAATGTCTTTACAACGAACTGCTCCAGCATGAGGCGCAGGGTTTGCTTACCCGGCCTGTTCCACAATGGAAAGAAGTGCAGGGTCTCACCTATCTGGATGCTTGCCTAAACGAAGCCTTACGGCTACACCCTCCATTCTGTCTTCCTTTTGAGCGAGTGGTGCCAGACACAGGCTTGTCAATTGGCGATTACTATCTTCCTCCTGGTACGTTGGTGGGAATGAGTCCGTACGTTGTCGGGCGCTACAAGCCAGCTTTTGGCCAGGACGCAGATCAATGGCGCCCGGAGCGATGGCTTGAATGTTCTCCACAGGATCGCAGGAAGATGGAATCTAGTATGATCACAGTAAGCGATTTGTCTCCGTATCTACGCATTCCATCAACTAGTTGTGCTGATCGTTTCATTTAGTTTGGCGCCGGAAGGAGAGTTTGTCTAGGCAAAAATGTTGCCATCATGGAGATCAAAAAGTTGATCCCAGCGCTGGTGCTACGATATGATGTGAGTTATTGCAGCGCAATTGGTCTCGGGGACCTTGACTGAGATTTAGTAGATCAAATTGCTAGACCCAGCGGTCTTCAAAGTCGAAAATTCATGGTTCTTCAAGCAAGAGGGCTTGGATGTTGAAATGAAGAAACGTGATGCATCTGTTTGACTTACATACTGCAGTGTGAATAATATCTGGGTGAATTATTACCATACAGGAAATTCTAGCTTTGATGCGTCCCATATCTTTAGAGAAATTTAGTCATTGATGCTGTACTACAGGTATCTAAGTGTAAACTAATTTGAGACATGAATACTTGAAAAACTGCATATTGGGCACATAATTGTAAGTACCAGACAAAATAATTTCTATTAATTAACCTCGCCCAGTGCCTCACGTCGGGTTTGGCTCTCAGGATCGAGGTATGGCTGTTCGCCCACCCCAACGTATCGGTGCCCAGTGCGGTGCCCTTGTCCCTTGTAATCCATGATTCCCGCATGGAACACCGCTCTGTTATCCCAGATGGCTGAACATAAGTCAGCGGTCGAACAATACTAGTAGAGACTCTGATCTTTCGAGAGGAAGACTTACCAACATCGTACGGATTCTTCCACGAGTGACGAAATTGCAAATCATGGTTCTCGACAATCATTTGCAGCAACCAGTCTGCCAGACGGCGACTCTCATCAGCAGTGACTTCATTGAACCTGCGGGTATGCATGCCAGCTCCATACAGACTCTTCCACCCAGTAACGGGGTTGGTTCGCACAACCGGGTGGATGGCACTGAGATCGCTTCCCACGTTATTCGGCGAGCCACGAGGCTCCACGTGAATCTCCGACTTCTTCTCGTGCGAGGACTGATTGTAGCGTGGTTGCGCAAAAGTGGCCGTCAGAGTTTCAAGGAACTTTCGGTAAGCAGGGGAGATCTTGTCCAAAACCTCATAGGATGACGCGTAAAGGGTATCTGATTGATCGATTGAGTTAGCACACTTCGCGTTGGCCATTGTGCCGTGTCGCTCAACAGGAGTGAAAATTAGAAGCTGAGGTCACTTGCCTCCACCGTTCGTAGGAAGCTGCACCATCTTCAAGCAACTATAGTCTGCCGGGTTGGGCTCGTAACTGATATCGGTATGCCATGCCGCCCGCACACCCATGGGCTGTTCGGCCTGATTCCTGAACCGATCTTCAGCCGGTTTGTTTTTCGGATCCGTGGTGATCAAATGACGAGTTGAGTCCCCAGTGGGGTTGTATTTTGCGAGCGGGTGGATGTGCCAAGTTGAGTCTGATGGTTTGCCTGTCAATTCCCCAAGCTTCTGGACCAAAGTCTTCTGAAGCTCATCAGTGAGATCGACTTGAGATCTGAAGATCACGACTCCTCTTTGCGAGACTAATTACCAAGGAATTAGCAACTATCGTTCAATTCGTTATGCGAGCCATTCGCTGATGGAAAGGTGATGTTCACTTGTGATAGCAAGATCTCTAATCAAATCATCTGCATTAGGCGCTTGAAGCCATTGCGCCAGCTTCGCATCCGGAAATTCGGTCCCCAGCACTGGGGTGCAGTCAAAAGCCTTGAAGGACGCCAAATGTCCTTGAAGCTTCAAAGGTTGACGTTCGTGTGACTGACTAATAGAGCCCATTGTTGGTTGAATGGTCGACAGAGCTAAGACAGAAGAGATGGAGAGTGAGAGAGAGAGGTCGTGCTGTATCCGATGCGGTCGCGTGACAATAACTGTCGTGACACGATAGCGACCAGCTGAATATCTACCCAAGCCGCAAGGATGACGAAAGGAGTTGCAGTCAGCCTCGGCGGATGTCACCAGTCCAATGGGATATTCGACGCGTGCGACAGACGATCCCTTACCAGTTGGGGTGGTACGGCGCCAAGGAAATACCTCAATGATCGGTTTTAGTGGAGATTCCAAACTTCAGCTCGTCCTGCAGGAGACGCATTTCCAAGGCAGCTGTAATAAAAGGCCCACATCTCTCCATTGTCAGTGTGGAGAATTGAGCAGTCATTGGTACCGGGCCGCTTGAAGCATCTGATTGAGTCGTCGGTCATGGAGACTCGTCCAATTCTCGGATCCTACAGACATCTTTATTTTGATGCGATTTGCGTAATAGTTGGAGCGCCACTGCCCTCGTCTATGCGCGCCCCGATCACAAGCGAGGCGTACGAAAGCTGCAAATGATTTCCCTTAGGCAAACTTTCGTCACAGAGTCCAAGAAACATGCAGGTAATTCACACTACTGGCGCTCGGTATGTGCCTCGATGAGTTTGGGCAATTCCGTCTTGATCAATGCTTCTTGTTGGTGGGACTTATGGGTGGGATTGCACCATACCTCGCCCTTATTGTATTTCTGGGCTGGGCCTGATCTGTCCATCTCCGAATCATCATAGTTTTTAAGGGGTAATATGACAACTCTTTATCGCTACACTGTGAGTAATCGGGTGCATTTAATCTACTGAGATACATGGTTTCTAAGAAGAGCTAAGCTCTTCATCGATAAGGGGTGAACGTCCCTTCCTGCCCAGCAGATGATGCCAAACAGAAGCGTCACAGAAAGGATGAGGGGCAAACTGCCAGAAAAGAGTTTCGAGTTGGGAGCGAAATCTTGCCAACCAGGTGCAGAGTAAGTGGGAAGAGGCAGATAGTCCAAGTAGACACCACTCGCAATTGACTTGGAGGCCTGGTTTGCCGGAACATCGCCCGTATTAGGCAGATAGTACCGGCCCATGAGCCGGAGAAAGAGGTTTCGTCCGGCATGTAGACGAACCACGATTCTTGACATTTTGTAGATACTCTGCAGCCGATTGATGCGATCTCGACTGAAGTTTTCAAAAAGTGTGTTGAGGTCCTCTTGTGAAGGCTTTGCGGCCCCTTTCCGGCCATCCAGGTAATGCCGTAAAGAGTTTGCAAGAAGAGCAGCATCTTCCATGGCGCAGTTCGCTCCTTGCCCTGTATTGGGAGCCATCTGGATCCGAGGGGGTTAGTTCATCAAATATGTCTCTCGCAATTTTGGAGGAACCATTACCTTGTGCATGCTGTCTCCAAGACACACGACTCTGCCGGAGTGCCATGTTTGGAAGATGTTTTCTTCCAGGTTTGTGATCCCGCACACTTCCTTCTTACCCCAGATATCTTTAAATTGGACACCATTCCAGATGTTATCATCGATATATCGCGCGGCAATTTTTTCGGCGTCCTCGGGGGACCATCGTGGTGCTCCGGGGTATGCGTATTTCTTATCCAATTTGTGCATCAGGAACCAGAATACCCTCCCATCTCTTCCCGGGAAGGTGAGGAATGATCTTCCCTTATTTAGGCTGGCGACTTGTTCCCCGGCGACCAAGCCTGAGACACCGTTGGAGATGCCAAAAATGCAGGCATATTCAATTGCCATACCTGTATTTCAAGTGTCAGCGCCTGATCCTCTAGTCCTCTTCTCGTGTGCAACGGAGACCGACTCTTTTTTTCCTTGTCTTTGACGGTACCCGACCGAATCGCGTCGCTCAAGCGCCACACCTCATCGCGTACGCGACTGTGAACACCATCGGCACCAACCACCAGATCACCTTCGTGAACGCTCCCATCGTCTACCGTGACGGCGACGCGACCGTTATGATGGTTCAATGACACCACTTTCTTGCCGAGTTGTACGCGTGACTGATCCGGCAGCGAATTGTAGAGGACTTTGAGTAGATTTCGTCGCTCCACCAATGCCAAAGGTATTCCGAAACTATTGATGATGCTAGAATTTAGCCTGTATACAACAACTGCAGAGTGACAAAAAAAGGGTTAGATGAAGTACCGGTCGGTGAGAACCTGCGGTGACCTGTTAGTATGGGTGAACCCATCAGAGTAGGATATATGAGCCGTATGCAATGGCTCCATATATTGTGATAGCGATTTGAATATCCCCAGTTGGTCCAGTATGCGGCCACCATGGGGCAGAATCAGGATCGAGGCACCCTCCTGATGCGTGATCTCCTTCCGCTTCTCCAACACCACATAGTCAATTCCTGCTTTGTCCAAGCAGTGGGCCAACGTGAGCCCGGCAACAGAGCCCCCGACGATGATGACTTTCAAGCGTTCTGCGCCCATTGTGCACTCATCAGAGAGTATTTGCTTTGACTCTCCTGCGTCGGCGGAAGCCCGTGTTCTTTTGCGACCTACCTAGCGACCCTCCGCTGAGTTTGATAATGGGTGCTCCGCCTCGCACCAAATTGTACGATCGGCAATCTAAGGGTGATAATCTGAAGGGTGGCGTCGGTTACATGGCTGGTTCAGCATGAGCAACAGAGCAACAAGCGAGGCTACGCAAGTCCGACTGTGAATTACCTTGATCTGCATGATTATCAGCGACCACAGAGGAGGGGAAATGGTTATCGTGACGGTGTCATGGCGGAGCTGAGCTGTGGAGACAAATTCCCGTCGTCGATCTGACTACCGAAGAGATACATCTTCCCCGATCGGCGACGTGCAGGACCCACCGGAGCCTGAGCAAGAACCGTGGTTCCTGCACGGGTTAGCCCGCGTGGGGCGGGAACAAAGTCAAACTTTATTACCATACAGATGCCTGGTATTGTTACCGGCCTAGCCCCGTAAGCTCTGTTTTTCGGTATTGTATTCAAATACGGTCAAGCCGCAAGTAAGGGTAATGAAAATTACTGCCTCGATTGCTTCGAATGACGAGGGAATCCTAGTGATAGTACTTCAGAACCACAGCCGCTTTCACGCTGCCTCCCTACGACAACTTTTTGTTACTCTCATCGTTTATCTCAAGTCAAGTATAACATTTATTTTCGCCATGATTCAGCTGCCTCCCACACCCCTCCATGATCTTAATCCCGCTTTCCATCAGGAATTCTCTTCCATGAGTTGGAGTGCCTTGCACGCAATGCCTTCTACAGCCTCGGCCGGGTCCTCTCTCAAGGATGTCAATCCTTTCTCCCGGCCCAAGTCGCACTCGATCTTCCATCATGGAGCAGAAATCGAGCAGCAGAATAAATTTAGACAAGAGAAGGTAGTATAATGTTGACGCTGTACAAGGCTTATCTCGACGCTCACACTATTTCCGTGGTAGATCATCTCCGCACCCTTGGATTATCTCGGCAGCCTGCCAGGTAAGGACATCCGAGGAAAGCTGATCTCTGCTTTCAACGAATGGTTCAAAATTCCCGAGGAAAAACTCGAGGTTATCAAGCGCGTGGTTGGGCTGCTCCATGTGGCCTCTTTGTTGTACGTGAACCTGAGATTGAACATACACACTCTGAGCCGGGCTTTTACTAAACCATTCAAATCACAATATAGAATCGACGACATTCAGGACTCTTCAAAGCTACGAAGGGGGTTGCCCGTGGCACACAACATTTTTGGCGTCGCGCAAACAATCAACTCTGCGAATTATGCATACTTCCGAGCGCAAAGCGAATTGTTCACGTTGGGCAAGCCGCAAGCACTTGACATTTTTACAGAAGAGCTTTTACGCCTCCATCGAGGCCAAGGAATGGATCTCTACTGGAGAGACTCGCTCATCTGCCCAACAGAGGAGGAATACCTGGAGATGGTGGCGAACAAAACTGGAGGCCTTTTCCGACTTGCAATCAAGCTGATCCAGCTTGAAAGCGAAAACACGATGTGAGTGATCCCTGCCAGTCCGAGCCGTTTGCAGAGTCTGACTGACCTGGAATTTCAAGGAATTGCGTACCCCTCGTCGATCTTCTTGGCGTGATCTTCCAGATTCGAGATGATTACCAAAACCTCCAAAGCGACCAGTATGCCAAGAACAAAGGCTTTGGCGAAGACATTACCGAGGGGAAATTCTCTTATCCGATCATTCACAGTATCCGGCAGGACCACGGAAATCCTCAATTAATGAACATTCTGAGACAGAAGACGGAGGATGAGGATGTCAAGCGCTACACAATCCAAATCATCGAGTCCACTGGGAGTTTCGAGTTCACTCGGCAAAAGTTGATCTCACTAACAACCCAGGCTAGAGCTGTGCTGAAAAGCCTCGGAGTCGACCAGTCTTCGGGCCTTGCCAGCATTTTGGAATTCCTGGAACTAAAGCAATGATCGTCATTTGAAGTGTATCGGACGCCTCCTGCTGTCGCACCTTTTGTTATTTATTTCAGGAACTCAATGATATGTGTTGCATTCAGACGTAAGAATTATGAAGCATACGGGGCTCGTCACTGTCCTCATTTCACCTGGCCAATTGCGGTAAAGTGGTGTCCAAAGTAGCAAGTATTCAAAAGTGCAACTATCGAGAAATAGGTTCAACGTCTGCCCTGTTTATATAGCACTGGATTGTCATGGTCCCTTGTTAGTTATATAAAAGGAATCCCTTCATAGCCCGTACCTAGGCGACGTCTTGATCGCTCCTCTGCAATGGAGGCTACATTTTGACAGGTTTCTTTTTCGAAATATCCCCTGTACCTCGAGGAGCCACCTGTTAAATGCTGACCGCTGTCGCCGTAAACCTTTTGGAAGTAGGTCGACCTTGACAGAAGGGGACGAGGAGCCTACCTAGGAATATGCGACAGTGAATAGAACTAGGTATACATGAATTCTGATTGGACACTCTTCTTAGAAGTCAACGAGACCCGAGACTATATCCCTAAATTTCAACAAATCTTCTACTTCTTCAGCGCCATGATCAATCTAAATACATCTGACTCGCGACTTTCGTCGTTCGACCAATCCACATGGGTGAATCCCGCTCCTTGAAGCAGCCTCTTCCACATCTGCTCATTAGCAAGCGCATGCTCCCGCCCATCATCAAAGCGCCACCATCCATCGAGGAGACCAAAAGTAAGATCAAGCCACGGAACGTCTCGGGTCAGCTCGAGAAGGCAGAGCATACCTTTTGGCCGTAAGAGATCATACAATCCTTGACATGATTGTCGCAGGTCCTTTGTGGCATGGATACAATTGGACGAAAGAATAACATCGTAGCTTCCAGCCACCTCGGGAGGAATCTGCTCGACATTCAAGGTCATGTACTCAACGCAATCGTAGGCACGGAAAGTATCACGAGCACGTGAGACAAGCGTCGAGGAGATATCAGTGAAAGTGTACTGGATCGGTATACCTCGTGTGACTAGCTGATCAAGAATGAATCGTGTAGTTCCGCCAGTGCCCGCGCCAAGCTCTAGTATGCGCACAGGCTCTTTGCAGGTCGCCGCGAAAGACTCAAGGGCCTGAGGTAGGAAATGGCCGAGGATGAGGGTTCCCATTTTGAACATCGGCGCGTTCGTATAGACGTCCTGGAGGAGCTCCCCAGTGGTCTTGTCACTGAAGAGGAGACGGAGGGCATCGGCCTTGCCGGTGAGGCAGTCTGCGAGCTGCGCACCGGTCCGGCGCAGCAATTCATGCTCAGAGCCGTGGTACGGGAAGCTGTGAACAATATCGAGGTGCAATGGGCCGGGATCAACCCGCTTGCAGGGCTCAGAGGTTCGAATAAACCCATTGTCGGACGGAATGATGAGACCCACTTGGTGAAGGAAATGATGGTAATAAGCTATAACATTGTCATGTTTCGGGATGTGAGGAATGCAAGGAATCAAGCTTCCTGGCGAAATTTCACTGAGATCACACCCCAATGCTGCAAAAGCTTCTGTCACGTAAGCAAGTACAAGGGACATCTGTTGTGGGTAGACGCGATCAAAAAATCCCAGGAAGTGAGCTGCTTCCGCATATTCTCCGATCTTATATTGCACCAGTGCAAATGTGTCCGCAGCCTCATCGACAAAATGAGGAGACTGTGAAGCCTTCCAGGCGATGGACTGTTTTGACTCAATTCTTTCATCAACAACCGTTGCTAGATGCGATTGCATAAGAAGATCATGGAGTTCATTTATTGTCACTTCCTCGCCCATCTGCATCAAGCTCAATTGCTGGCCAAACGTCTTATATAGCTCCGACTCAAGCTCCATCGTGACAAGTGAGTCGAGTCCTAGACTCCGAAGCTCCATTCCAGGCTGCACGGATTCAGTGCTTCCAAGGTACTCTTCGACGATCTTGCACAATTTGATCATAGCATCACTCAAGATTCCGCAGCTGTCAACTTCTGAGACAGGAGAGGAGCGACCCGCAGATGAGGTGAAAGGAGTAGAGCAGATGGAGCTTCCAGTGTTTTCGGCCTGCCTGGAGCTTCCCTGCGAAGGAACCATGTCCACAAGGGAGCCAAAAGTGAAATTTTGTCCAAAGGACTGGATATTGATATCAGCTTCGAGGATTTCTCTAATTTTGTGCTCGAGCTCTGTCGCTGCCAATGAGTCCATGCCAACGTTGCATAGCATCGTTTCTGCTGTAATGCGCTCTACTGGGTAACCCGTGAGCTCATGAACAAGCTGTGCTGCCACGGACCAGACATGTGGTAAGGAATGAAGATTTGTTGGTAGGGTTGGAAGGGGGTCTGCTTTCTGAATCGTTTGCATAGCTGGTGATGCGGCTTTGGTTTGAAGGGTGTTTTCACTGAGATCCGGGGTGGAGTTCGCACGATGCACAATCTCTTGGAGGATATGAGAAGAAATCTTGACAAATTTAGCACCCAGAACTGAAAAAATGATCGTCCTACTGGCAGAGTCGAAAACGTAGATATCGTAAGTTGCGACACGGCCGTGCAGCGATGACTGGTAAGTGTAGACTGTCCATGATGCTGTAGAGACCGGCGACAATTCTTCGTACACGACTGTTTCCCCGACTTCGGAGCAAGTAAAAACTTCTGCTCGCTTGCACTTGATCATCGAGAGGGCGTGTAACTCAGCAACGAGTGTGAATTGGTCGAGCAGAACAGGATGCACAGTCTTTCGCTTCACCCACTCACCAGCAGCCCGTGGCACGATGACCTGAGCGAGAGCTTCTTGTTCATTCATCTTAATTGACGCAATGGCCTGATAAGACATGTCGTACTCTGCAACTTTTTCAAGAAGCTTATAGGCAATGCTGCCCGATGCGGAGAACGCTGTATCATCAGCAAGAAGGCCACGGCAATGCTTGCTTTCAAGAATGCTGAGATAAGACCGCTGGATTTCGGTTCCTGACCGTCGTCGATCTTCGAGGACTACTCTTCCCGTGGCGTACAGCAGAGTTTGCATGCTGGTCTGGCCTTCCAAAGACCACTCCCAGGCCCTCTGGCCGGTTATTCTTAGCCGCAATTCCAAATGAGTGTCTACTTGAGACCCAAGCGGAGACTTGATCTCAAGATTTTCGACTCGCAGGCGTTGAAATTCTCGTGGTAATGCTGGCGTGAGAAGAGCTGCAGCCCGACAGACCAGTTCAATGTATAATGACAGCGGCCAAAGGAGTCCGTCTAGCACTTTACGGGCTTGTAAGATCTCAGCGATTTCGGAAGACAGTTGATCAATCGTGAATACTGAGAGGTGGCGCTCGGGACTCGAAAAGTTTTCCAGTGAAAGCATAGGTGGCACCCTTTTAGACAATGGCTCATTTCGTACTCGCTCCGCCCGAGGTAGCCAGTGAGATGTTTCGTCGAATTGATAGCCCGGGAGAGAGAGTGGTTTGAACGAAGAATTTTCTCCTCGATGGTATTTCCAAAATTGCACTGACACACGATCTTTCCAAAGTCGCGAAGTTGTCTCGCTGAGGCTTTCCAGGGCGTCTTCTGTCCCAAGTTGCAGCCCATGAAAAGAGTCCGAATCGCTACCATTCAGCGCAGACTTTGCTAGAGTTACTCCACTGGATCCAGAGCCTGCTTCAAGCCAAACACACGACCCAAGGCTCTCTTTGATTCGACGGACAGCATCAACAAAGTAAACTGGCTTTCGTGAGTGCTCCACCACCAGGGCTGGAGTAAAGCTCTCCCAGCTTGATAGTTCCGAACATGTCTCGATTGGGATGGTTGGAGTTGAATAATTTATACTCTGGGCCAACTCGAGATACTCATCCAAGAACGAATCGATATACCTTGAATGGAATCCATGACTAGTATTCAGCTTCCGCACAGTTGAATTTGACGCTGTGCTTGCCACGGTCTCGATAGCTGCATTGCTCCCCACAAGCACATGGCTTGTTGGTCCATTGAAGCATGCGATTTCCAAACCGAGCTTTGCTTCAGATTGAGTCAGGGCGACGGTAGTCGCTCTATCTGCTTTGATGGAGAGCATGGCTCCTTTTTCATTGCCCCACTTGGACTCGATCAACTTAGCCCGACCGGATACAAGCTTCAAACCGTCAGACAGCGTTATGATGCCAGCGACGCACATCGCGGTCAATTGACCAAAACTGTGGCCAATGACCCTTTGCACACTCAATCCTGAATCGAGCCAAGCGGCCGCACATGCATATTGAAGTGTAAAAATTGCGCAGTGCAACTGAACAATGTCGGAGATTGGGTCCTGACTAAAGATGGCGGGAAACATGGATGGCAACCCCATGCTGCGGAGAATGGCATCACATTGGTCCACGTGCTTCCGAACCAGACAGGATGCATCGTAGACAGCCTTGTGCAGATGAACTGTCACGCCACTTTGGCCAGAAAAGACCATCACGACTGGTTTTGGACCGGCTTCGGTGGTATGGGTGTCCAAAGAGAGATGACTCGGATCCTTCAAGCGATGCTGCAATTCTTCAAGAGATGATGCACCAAAAACTACTCGATGACGAAGGCTGCGATTTTGCATTCGCGCAACATTGAAAGCCACGTCATCAAGTGTAGGATGACACATATCGACGAACTTCGAGATGGCTGCAATATTTCTTTTCAAACTTCCCAGCGAGTGTCCCGATATCAAAAAGGGATGAGAAGTGCCAGTCTGGTTTCCCCGCTCGTCTCGGATGAGGCTTTTTGTCGTCTTGGCCTTTGGCGGTTCGCAGACAATTATGACAGTATTGTTGCCAGACGCACCATAATTGTTCACACACGCTGCCCGCAGCCTCCGATTCCATTGCAGGGATCTTTTGTTCACCGTCAGGTGTTTCTGTTGCGCAGAAGGAATGTCGTGATTCAAGCTTGTGAAGTGGGCTTGTGGTGGCAGCTGCTGATACTTGATCATCAAAAGCACTTTCAAGACACTCGCGACGCCTGATGCAGCCTCTGTATGCCCAATATTGCCTTTGACCGAACCGATATTTAGGTTGCTCTCCCTTCCTCGACCAAAGACTTCGTGAATACTTCTCCATTCGATTGGATCTCCTCGCGGGGTTCCTGTACCATGCGCCTCGACGTATGATATATCTTCAGGTATCATCTTCGCACGACCCAATGCCCGGCGATAAAGGCTGATCTGTTGTTCTGAAACTGGGACAGTGATAGAGCTGCTACCGTCGGATTGATTTGTAGCTGTGGCTGGAATTACGCCGAGAATATGGTCGCCGTCAGCAACGGCCACGGTTAACTTTTTAAGGACCACCAATCCGCATCCTTCCCCACGAGAGTAGCCATTCCCACCAGAATCAAAGGACCGACAGGGTGTACTTGTGGCGTTGAGGAAGTTGGCAGTAGCAAGATTCTGATGCGTAGTTGAATTTGACATGACATTGATGCCACCTGCTAGGGCCATTGCACAGTCGCCCGATAAGATATCTCGACATGCCTGGTGGATCGCAACCGCGGAGGACGAGCACGCCGTGTCAATCGTCATAGAGGGTCCAGTCCATCGGAAGAAATGGCTGATGCGCCCACTGATGAAGGCTCGGGAAGTGCCAATGAACGAAAAGGCAGTTGGAGTATGGGCGTTGACATTGTGTTCGTAGTCAGACCCACCTACACCGAGGTAACAGCCGACCTCTGTAGTTTGTGACCCATCTCCAAAATATCCGGAAGACTCGACAGCCCGGTAAGCAACCTGCAACGCGATTCGTTGTTGCGGATCCATGTACATAGCTTCACGTGGGGATATTCCAAAAAATGAGTAGTCAAATTGGTCCACGCCCGATATAAAGTTCCCACTCAAGTCCATCGATTGAGAAGGGCCTTGGCGCAAGTCCGTCGGATCATATCTTTGAGATGGGGCTTGACCATTCATAGTTTGCGCTGTCGAAATGACCCTCCAAAGCTCGTCCAATGATTCGGCCCCAGGATATTTGCATGCAGCTCCGACAACCGCGATACATTCTTCCGTGTAATTATAGTCACGAAGCTCAGAAATATTTTGGGTCTCGCCGGGCACAGCGGCTCGAGAAACGTGCACGTTTGGCAAAGATGAGAGAGACGATGGCACACAAGATATAAGACCAACCTCCAGGATTTGAATGTGGCAGTCATCGGGTGTAGCAGATGCAATAGTTTTGACAGTCTCCGATATGGTTAGATGCCAACTTGCTGGCTCTGTGAGAATTGAGCGGAGGCAAATTTCATGTAACTGATCTGCTCTTTCCACCACTTTCCCCGTGGTGTTATTTCGCCAGGGAATATTCTGATAATCTGTTTGTGGAAAACGCAGCTTTGACTGATGTTGAGAAAATTCGAGCAGATTTCCCAGGGATTTGATATTTCTCACGGTATGATAGCGGCCGTTGACTTGTACTTTCGCAAATTGAATTGACTTGCTGCGAAGACAATCGCGCAATGCTGGAATGCTGGCCTCCAAGGCGGTTATTGTTGCGCTGCACTCATCCATATTGACTGAAACATAGGCCTTAGGGACAAAAAAATGAGTCACAGGTTCATGGCCTGATAGGTCTGATTTGAGACGTACCTGAGGATAATTATTCAAGATCTGGTCAACGTCCTCCCTTTGAGAACCATGTCGCCACCGTGCGATGAAGCAAGTCATTGGTGAATCGGGCTCCAAAGCTAGTCCCAGATCCACATAGGCTCCAATGCACATGGCCAGATTCAACGCAACTGCTGCGTTCTGATCTATCTCGGCTCTTGTCGTTGAGCATGCCAGTGCAGCGGCGCTTAATGACCCTGTGCATAAGCCCTGAAAGCCACCGTTGCGAATTGATTGCCGAAGGCGAGCATGCGCATCTTCTGATGACAGGTGGTCACAGTATTCTAGGTATTGGATAATATGAATTAAGACGGTCAACGGCGCAAGAAGAACATTTGGTAATGTCTCCGGAATTTGAAGAACGATGCTGTGGTCGAGGCACCATTCACGCAGATGGTTGAGAGACGATACGGGAATTAAACGCAGATCAGGATCATGCTCTTGCAGAGCAGATAGCAAGTCTGGGAGCTCTGTGACGGCCTGTAGCAGGTGTTCGACGTCTGAGCGCTGTGTCAGGTAGTTTCGCAGCCGGTCAAGGTTGCGTTTAGATGGAAGATTTGTCTGCGGCCCGCAGACAATTGCGGACGGCAATAGAAGAGACATATCAGAGTTAATCCCGTATCTGGAGCAGTGTGTGGAAATGAAGGAAAATTTGAAAGTATCGTGTGATCTTCACTCGTCTAAGGTCATTCTTAAAGTCTTAAAGTAGGACTTATCTCTGCACGGCTGAAGTAGACGAGCCCGCTGAATATTACCACTAAGCTGTGGCAAATCGCAAATTGTCATTACAGGCTGTGTAATATTGGTCTGTATCATACCCTCTCCGGTATTTTTGGAGTTGGGATCCACATGTCGTCTAATACCCGATCGTATTTTAGATCCAGTTCTACACCAGCCACCAATTGGAAATGACGTGGATAATCACAACCCGCTCTTATGACCCCGAGCTTCCCCCAGCAAATTTGCCCACTAGAGATTCTTTGACCATCATGGCTTTCTATTCCGCGGTCGAAGCAGCGCTTGGTGTATCGTGGTTCTCTGCCTTGTTCACTCTTGGCTCGCTTTCAGTATTCTGGTTGCTCAGGCACAGGGAGAGGAAGACCCAACATGCATCTCACAACGCATGGCCTCAGATCTGTGGATTTGATCCTTCATCCTTAGATCGCTCTAAGGTACCTTATCGCCTATCCTGGCTGACTCCTGGAGTGGGTGATACTCACAATTATAGACTGCCGATGATTGGAAAACCACAAGACTCGGCAAAGCCACGGTTGTTTCGAATAGATATGCACATGAAATTCGCAATGATGAGCGATTGAGCTTCCAATTGGGACTGGAAAAGGTGAGAGAGCCCATATTATGAGCCATTCAATACAAATGATTGACGCAACCCTGCGAAGGACTTCCTCACGAAGGTGCCTGGCCTCGAGTCCCTCTTTGGTGGGACCTTCCATAATGGTATTGTTTGGGATACAGCGATGCACTTCTCGCGTAAATTGAGTGAGTCACTACTACATTATTTTGGGTAAAATTTATACTCATTATGATTTTGTAGATACGGTGGTGGACCCTTTATCTGAGGAGACAATTGAGTACTTGCAAAAGAATTGGGGCGATGATAAAGGTAATTTCTTTGCGGGTCCTGTTTGACTGGTCATCATCTACTAACCAGACTTCGTCTCAGAATGGCATACGGTTTCCCTTCCTCAGTCTATGCTCATGCTAATCGCGCAACTCACCGCGCGTCTCTTTATCGGCGAAGAGCTATGTCGTGACCCTGAGTGGCTGGGGATTGCGACTGGCTACACCATGGATCGGACATTTGCGGTTAAGGAGCTACAACAGTGGAACCCGCAGCTCATCCCGATCGTGCATTGGTTCCTCCCCTCTTGTAGAAAATTGCGTACTACCATTAAGAAAGCCCGTGGCTTTGTTGATCGCGTTCAGACAGAGAGAAAGCAAAAGAAAACCACAGCGGATGACACGAATCGAGTCGATGCCATGACTTGGATTGACAGGGTTGCCAGAGACCAGAAATGCTCTTATGATGCGACCCTGACTCAACTGCGTCTGGCTTATGCGGCCGTACATACCACGGGAGATATGATGACCAAGGTTGTTGCTGCTTTGTGTGAAAATCCAGAGATGATTGAGCCATTACGAAATGAGATCATCTCAATCATCCGTGAACACGGTTGGCGGGAGGCTGCATTGCACAAGATGACTTTGCTGGACAGTGTGCTCAAGGAGAGTCAACGAATTCAACCATTGGGCTTGTGTGAGTACCATATTTCGACGGCGACTTTTTGGAAACCCGCTCTGACTGAATTTAAAGATACTCTCTCCCGTATCGCTCTGGAGCCCATCACACTGGATGACGGAACCCAGATCCAAAAAGGCGAACAGGTCAAGATCTCCACGGATCACATGTGGAACTCGTCTGTCTGGCCTGATGCAGCCCAATTCGACGGTTATCGGTTTCAACGACTTCGGGATGATCCGAACCAGTCCTCGGCTGTTTCTTTTGTAAGTCTCTCAGCAAATCACATGGGCTTCGGTTACGGCAAGCACGCATGCCCTGGGCGATTTTTGGCTGCGATCGAGGCCAAGGTTGCTCTCTGTCACCTCCTTTTGAAATACGATTTCGAACTGGAGAACAAGGAAGGGTTCTCGGCGCAGACAGAAGGTGTTATGATTTGGAGGGACCACCGGGCGCAGCTTCAGATCAAGAGGCGGGTGGAAGAGATCAAATGGTAAAAATATTTATTTTTGCGCATTGGTTCTCTTCTCTCAATATATTCCATCATTTAGGTAGCTTGAGGGAATTGAGAAGTTTGTGAGAAGTTAAATCTACCAAATCCATGAAACTTGTTAATTTTCATCTTCTAACTTGGTAGACTATCACTATTCATTGATTCCCAACTCTTGCCTCTACGTCACATCTCACAACATCATGCACAAAATGCAAAATGCTTTCAAATACCTCATTGAAAATACTCCATTATTTTCCACAATCTCTTCCACAACAAATTCACCATAATCCCAAAAAAACCTCTATCTCCCTCTTGCACCTTCAGCTCTGTCCGTCCGAGGAATACTCAAGACTTCAGTAAGAGCTCGACGGCGCAAGCAAAAACGGTCCATACGCCGAGAGCAAAGTTCTCCTTGTGCAATGTTCCACCACTGGAAGGATCCTTTGCACTAAACCGCGAGAGTTGGCTGGCGAGGGAATAACCCCAGACGGACAGCCAGGAGCCCCACAGCCACTGCGAAGCCTGCGCCTTAAGCTGGAGAGATGTCGCTCCCAAGACGAGAGCAGCAAGGAAGACCAGGAAGTAGTGGATATAGGAGCCGGCAAGGAAGTAAACTGAGTTGACGTTGGCTTTCTTATCGCCCTCTATATCCTGGTAGCTGTATGCAGTGTTGAGATACAGCACCCAGGTAAAAACTGTGGTAGCAAGTGCCAATGACTCCATGAAATTGTCTTGCAGGGATTGATCCTGGCCTTTGATGGCCAGCCATCCAATCACGCTGGGGTAACCCAATGTAAAGCCAAGGAAGTACTGTGGGTAGAAGTAGATCGTTTTGAAGAATGCCCTCTTGCCGAATGGGTAAAGAATCGTACTGATGGTGACTGGGATCATGGCCTCGAGGCTAATTATGATGATTAGCAAGATCCGAAACATAGTTTGAAATCCATTTGACTTACACATTTTTCCAATTGAGTGTGTATGCAACCAAGTACCAGGAAGCAATATACTGAGCCATCATCCAGATCAAGGCTTCTGTGCTGGTGATTCTGCCAGCGGCGAGAGGACGCTGCTTCGTCCGCGCCACTTGCTTGTCGATATTCAGATCAATCCAGTCATTCCAGACCATCCCCGCACCGCAGAAAATATAGCCGCCGACAAACACCAGAAGTGACTGCTTGAAAACGTATTCAGTTGAGATCGATCCCGGGTGGTCCATGCTCTTGCTGGCTCCCGCAAGCAATGTTGCCCACACTACAATTCCGATTAGCCTTCACACCTCTCTTTGGGATTTTGAAGACTTACCACCGGAAAAAGTCGCGAGCAGCGGGTTGTATCGGTTGAAGCGGGACAAGACAAAAAGGTCCTTTGCCAGATCTCCCGCGGTACGCTTCTGAGGGCCAGATCTTGGGAGTGTGTCCAGGAATGCCTTCGCCATTGTGGTGGTGCGGTGGTCGTCAAAAGTTTGAGAAAACGATTAGGAGTGATACCGAGATCAGGAATAAATCGAGCAGACTCGAGCAAGTTTCTGCCTGGACTTATCATTTCTCACTCCAGTCATCAATGTATTGGGGCTGAACTCACACAGATGAATCATCACAGGCAAGAACGAATGGTATCATTGTGTTTCAAGGTGTATTGCAATTTTCCCCCAACATTCCAAGAAATCTCGTATCTACCAACCGTAGCTGCTGGGGCAGGATGCAGTAGGTATCCCGCGGTCTGAAATACATACCTTATACCTGTATTGATGTAATACCATCGGCTGAATTGATGAGCTCTCAGTACAATACACAGCTGGTAATAGACTAGTGTGTCTGGGCTAGTGCTCGCCCACCTTGATGGCGCCCGTGCCAGCTACCAACTTTGTTTTCGACAGGCGGAGCTCCATGTTGCACCGATCGGCAGAGGAACATGCGAACTTCTCCGGTCCGGCATGAATCTCCTGCAGGGTGGTCGGACGTGTTGCAAACCCCCACGCGTGCTGGTCATACTACCGCTAGGCATCGAGTGGGCAGGTCAGCTCCGAGGAAGGCCAATCGTGGAAAAATACTATCTACCTTGCCCATCTTAACTTTTTTGGGCAAGAGTTCATGGTGCAGCATGGTGTCATGCAGAATCTCGAGTCAACCTGTCAAGATTGCGGCAAATGTCCTTTGCCGCTTGCCTTGGCTGCCTTTGTCTCCACTGTTCTACCTTGGAGAATCGTTTCGGAATCGAGTCACAAAGTCATCTCCGCACATTCCCACTGCTTTCGGAGCTCCAGACTCGCACATTTTTTTGAAGTTCCAGGACAAATCCATCTGAGACGACGCCTCTTCACCGAACCCCCCTTCATCGCGAGTTTCCCAGGGCTGACCATGGATGAGTTCGACTTCAATGCTGCCCCTCCCGAGTTCCAGGAGATTCGATGGATGGTGGCATCGATTTTCCTCATTTCTGGGACCGGATGGATTGTGAATTATGTGACAACGATTCGCACTGCTTTGCGTGACCGCGCATCTGGCGTATCACTATTGTCCCTGTGTAATAATCTTGCCTGGGAAACGGTCTTCGCGGTTATTCATCGTCCGCCTCATCTCATTGCAGCGCTGGTGATCACAGTTTGGCTGCTGGTCAATATCTACGTGATCTACGTCTCAGTGAAGTTCGGGCGCGAATCTCAGGATGTGTCACCCCTGCTGCGAAGACACTTGCCTGCTGTTACCCTCTTGGGTTTCGTGGGTTTCCTGACGGGTCATATTGCTCTATCAATGCACCTTGGTCCGACAAAGGCATTGTACTGGGGTGGGATGATATGTCAGGTCACATTAAGCGCAAGTGCTCTTGGGCTACTTATTCAGCGGGGACATACTCGTGGAGCTTCCCCCGCTATGTGGTACGATCACATCTTTCTTTTCAAAGTTTTGCGTGCAACAAGCTAAATGGATGCAACATATAGGCTTTCGCGGTTCATTGCTTCTAGTTTTGGTGTTCCAGGCCTTTTTGTTCGAGCCGTCTATTGGCCTTCCGCATGGGGCTGGGCAGATAACATTCTGATGAGATGGCTCTCTGGTGTATTTTTTCTTCTGGATCTCTCGTACGGAGCGGTATATTATCACATCTCTCGGTCAGAGCATGAGGTGGGGGCAAGTGGGAGCAACATGTCAAAGCGAGAGTAGACGAACAAGGAGAATGATTGGAACGCGATAGCTGATGCACTAGAGCTTATGAATTAGTTTCAGATGGAAAACGTAAGCATTGGGGATAGATCATTGTCAATCTAGTTCATTATGACTGTCATGCCAATACTGTCATGCCGATTGGAATATACGAGAATAAACGAAAGTTGCCTAGTATTTGACTCGGCCTAATTAGACGTCGGGTGGCCACAAGATCCACCGTTATCCGTGCACATTCATAAGCGAATTACTGTCAACCTTGGTCAACACTGACAGCAGTGTCAGCTAGCGATTTTTGTCTTCTTTTTAATACCTCTCCTATAACAGACGTACAGCGCTTTGCTCGTTGCGACCACCATGACTGTCACCATGGGCGAATCTACGGACGTCGTCCCTCGAAACATTCCCGACGAACTTGCTCCTATCTTTGAAGAATTGCGGCACACTCAGTTTGCATGCACTGCAATTGACGAAGTCCCGGGCCAACGTATAAACTCAACACTGTACGCAGCCTTGGCCAAGCCGCTCCCAAATGGCAGTACGAGTGTTGTGATCAAGCATACAAAAGGCTGGGATGCTCCATGGTTAGGCATTTCAATTGCCGCAGCTCGTTGTGTAAGCTATGCTCTATTTGTGCAAAACTTGTCAAGGACTCGATCTCATTCTTTCCTCACAATCCAGGTCACTGAGAGCAACGTCCTCTCTCAGCAACTCTGCCCGGTCGTGCACGAGGGCAATTTCACCGTTCGCCCTCCGCGGCTGCTTCATTTCATCCCACAACACAGCACCCAGGTTATCGAGAGGCTGGAGAATACGTCGACTCTTCCGGAATATCTCCGTTCATCTGCTGGGAAGGCTATCACTGCTCAATTTTCAACATCGTTAGGTCATGCGATTGGAAAATGGCTGAGCGCGTTCCACGCTCAGAATTCGGCAGAGAATGGTGCTAAGCCCGCCCTCCAACAGGGAAAAATTCCTGATCGCGATCTTTACGTCAATCTTTACCTTGGGACGGTAGACACGCATATCAAAATGTCACCAAAGCTCTTCGAGGATAAAGAAGAAGCTCTTCGAAGTAAGGTAGCAGAAGGGTTGAAGAAAGATGTCAAGGGTAGAATAGGCCTGATCCATGGAGACCTTGGTGCGCGGCAGTAAGTGACTTCGGTACTAATCTTCTCCTGCCTCTCTTCAAATGACTGATGCATTTGGTGGCTCAACCAGTATTTTGATCCATAAGGAAGCGCCCACCCCCGGTCAGGCTACGTTACTGACGCCAATTGATTGGGAGACCGTGCACTTTGGTTGCCAGAATCAAGATCTTGGTCAAATTGTTGGTGAACTGAGTCTTGTCAATCAATTCGATCAAGTGGCAGCCAGTAGTCAGGTACTACAGGGTCTATCTAGTGGCTACCAGTCTCTCACTGATGAGTCCGTATTCCACGTCGCTTTCTATGCAGGCCTTCATATTCTCATGATTCTGTTGACTGATGGGGAGCCCAATACCCCTAAGCAAGACAGAATGGTTGGGTTTGCACTGGATTGCATTCTGAAAGGGGCGGAGCATGATCGTCAGTGGCTAGAACTGACCCCTTTCAAGGATCTGATGGAGAGAGCTTCCTAGTTACGAGCTACTAAGCAATTACACGAACACCTTAACAACAGGTGGTTGTCAGGTTTCACAAAGTGTTACTGTTTAATGCAATTCGGCCATATTCTCAACACCTGGGTTTTAGATGACAAACATTGAAGGGATAGCAGTATCTCTAAGGCCGTCCTCATCCCGCACATCAGTATCCGGTTTGAAGATGATCTTTATCAATCGCAGTTAACCCTAATCAATATCGCCTAGTAGGCTCACATGTGTGCTTTGTTTGCGTTTGTTCTCTTCTAAGTCATACCTAAAACCTATTATCTACACTCTCCTTGATGGCTCTTTTGGCGGTCATCAGACAGTATACTGACGTATCCTGTGACTTCCAACAAAGACCCATTCTTTCGTACATAGCTGACTTGTCGCAGCGGTCTGAATGCTACTTGCGATCGTAATTTCAGTCGCTTCGTACCGAGTGGTACCCAGGCATAACCATACTAATCCCAATCGCACATTCTCTGACGACTTGCAATTACGTATGCGGAAGAGAGATCCACTAAGCCATAGTGACTCGTACATTGTCGTGAGCTTCTTGAATGGCGCTTTACCTTGAATGCTGGATGCCAATGGTTTCTGAGTGGTCCCCAAAGGCCCGCTAGCGTTAAGCCCATCACGTCGGCATTCTAAACTCCGCATAACGCGCATTTTACCCACAGTACCAGAAGGGCGGGGATCCAGTAATGCTATGGCGCCTGCAGCTGCATCGATGAGGTAATGACTCATGCGAGCGATTGTCTATCACCATCCATGTCAGGGGACTAGAGGGGAGTGAGCCGTCAAGCGGTCAATCACAATGCGGTGCCTCACGGCTAGTTAGTCGGTTATCGACGAGTATCTTTTAGTCAAGTATTGGATCTCAATAGGCTCAAAGATGGACGATCGACTGATCGGCGGCAAATCTAGGGATCTTTCTAGGTCCAGATCTAACTTATCTCATCCCGTCGGGCTGTACCGTACAGTACAAGTGCCAAGTCCTCAAGAACCGGGTGACTGGTTAAATTGAGTTTGTATGAATAGCGCTACTCCACGTAGACTTCCTCCAAAGTTTGTCAGGGATCATTCAAAGATTGGTTCGGAACCAGGCAAGATAAGGTAGGAGTCTGTGCGGTCCCGCTGTTCGTCCGCTCTACAGTACTCCGAACAGCACATGGCACTAATGTACAATGCTGCAAGGTCGATTTTCAGCCAGCCTTCAAGACCTTGTTTGAAGAACTATTACGTGCCCAGTTCACCTTGTGCGTGCAGATCTACTGCCAGGAGTAGGACAAAAGTCCCGCAGTGACGCCACAAAAATCCGTACCTATCGAGGACACTCATTTGATTATACAATACTTGCGTATTGTGAAACATTCACTATCCGCGCGAGCTGAAACTACACACACTAACTTTTCCCAGATAGTTAGTTTTGAGAGCATCACGTATCGTAACTACTGTATGTAGATCCCGTTTGTACGCGTTACATCGTCTTGAATTTTAAAAAAAAATACTGCCATTCATGGTGACCGGCGATCTGTAATGTAAGCACCGTAATACCCGACGATTACGTAAATTTGAAAGACAAATGAAACGAAAAGTATGTTACTCTGGTTTCCCGCTTCTTAACCGGTAATTAATGTCACGCTTCGTATTGATATAAGTGATTTCCCTCCCGGATAAGTCAGAACTTCAGAAGAGACGTGCTGCTTCCTGCGTGGGTCGTCAAGACAGACATATGTGAACACGTGTCGAGTTAACCACCTCTCTGTGTGTGACATTGTTTCTGAGGTATCTCCAGGCACGGCCTGCATATACCAACCTTAGGAAAGCCACTGGACAGACAAATATATAGATTGTCACGTGGACGTATTTTCGGACTCGGTGAAAAACTGGTTACTTGCTATGATTGTCTTCGGCTTCGAGTACTCCCTAGCCTGGTATCTCGACAGACAGGTATCAAGATGGACTGTCGGAACACTGGCCATGCTGCGGGCACTTATCGTGCAATTAACACAGCAACATCAGTGTCATCCACGATTTCATCACAGAAACAGCATCAACGATACTTGGCAAGGGCCCCGCCGACGGACAACAGGAATTACTCTACTTTTGCAACTAGAGGACCATCGACGGACGACTCAGACAACAATTTCGTTTCCGACGGTGACACGAGCAGCAGCTCCGACTCTGACTGTACCGATATCACATTCGTTAGTCAAGATGAGGCATCTCCCAGAGTCGCCAGCTGGTCGTCAATGCCAAAGAAAGGTCAACTTGCGATATTGACTTTCGCGCGTCTCTCCGAACCACTCACACAGACCTCCCTCCAAGCTTATTTGTTCTCGCAACTACAATCTTACGATTCGTCTCTTCCAGCATCGACCATTAGTACTCAGGCTGGGATCATGCAAGGAAGCTTTACGGCCGCGCAATTCCTGACCGCAGTGTGGTGGGGGGCGTTTGCGGATATGGAGGTCATGGGTCGAAAAAGGGTCATGTTAATTGGCCTCGCAGGAACGTGCATTTCATGCCTTGGATTTGCATTCTCGAAAAGCTTCACTGCGGCCATCAGCTTTCGCATTGCGGGGGGTGTGCTGAACAGCAATGTTGGTGTGTTGAGAACTATGATTGCGGAGATTGTGAAAGACAAGGACTATCAGGCCCTCGCGTTCTTGATATTGCCCATGTGCTTCAACGTCGGCGTCATCATCGGTCCCATCTTTGGAGGCTCAATGGCAGACCCATTGAATACCTACCCGGGGCTGTTCGGACCTGGAACTTGGTTGGGTGGAAGTAAAGGAGTTCAATGGATGGAAGACTGGCCATTTGCGCTGCCAAATATTTTCAACGCGCTTGTGGTTTTTATGGCTGCGTTAGCCGTTCTCTTTGGATTAGAAGAGGTGAGTTACCTGTGCAACAAGTCTCTACTTTCAAAAATATAACCAAATTAATTCTTAGACCCATGAAATTGCTCGATACCGAAGTGACTGGGGACTGAAGGCTGGGATGAAGATCAAGAGATTCCTAGCCAGCCGCTTTCTCAAGGAAGACTACCAACCTTTGAGCCAGCACATTGAGCCCAATGGATCTTTACGGAACAACAGCGCGACTGCATGCTCGACCACGGAACACACCCATGCAAAACAGAGAATGCGTCCCAAGTTCCGCGAGGCTTGGACTCGGAACTTGATATTGGTGTTGATCATCAATTTTCTCCTCGGTTTTCACACCAGCGCTTTCAACTCAATGACTTTCACCTTTCTCCCAACCCCAGAAGCTCCCGAAGAGAATCAGGGCTTCCTTCACTTCGGGGGTGGTCTCGGACTAGACACATCACAGGTCGGTTTTGCGACAGCCATGATTGGTATTCTAGGCCTGCCTTTGCAGATCTTCATTTATCCCTATGTCCAGTCCCGCCTGGGTATTTTGCGGGCGATTCGTGTTTTCCTGCCCTTCTCTGTGGTCGCATACGCACTATTGCCATTTGTGGTGATTTTGCCAAGAATAGCCTATGTAGTTTGGCCATTCTTTGTCACTGTCATCTTGCTCCAAGTCATTTCCCGCACTTTCGCACTTCCAGCGGGTATCATCCTGATCAACAACTGCGTCTCTAATCCTCTGGTTTTGGGTACCGTTCACGGTGTCGCACAGAGTGTCACTAGTGCGGGGCGGACCTTGGGGCCAGTTGTTGGTGGCTGGGGACTAGGCCTCGGTTTAAAATATAACCTTGTCGGCGCGGTATGGTGGGCGCTTGCCGCAGAGGCTCTCCTAGGATGGTTGCTGCTATGGAAAGTTCATCAGGGCAATGGCCTTGAGGAAGATATAGATAACGAGTGAATTGCTGGTGCCGGGGTTGACATCGAATAACGAGTAGTAATCAGGGCGTGGTACCTTCCATGTATATTAAGCATTTGGTGGACGAGGCTCCTAGAGCCCCACGATTCTTTCGCTCTCGTGCTACTCTTTTCATTACTTTAGGTTTCTTTCCTCCACTGTGTCTGAAATTTCTTCGGATACTCACTCTGCTAATCTTCCCGATACCCATTTTTAGAACACCTGCTGGCAACCTAATTCCATTTCTGCCCCTTGGCTTCTCCAAAAGCCACGCTTGAGGCAGTTAGAAGTGAGTTTGGTGAAGCCTTAATTAATGAGCATTCTAAGATTGCCGGAATTTTTATGTCACCCACTTCTGAGCTTTTGGGGGCGGATGAGGCGAGCCTTTGATCCCGATATATATCTCTTGGCCCTCAATATACGTTCATTTTCACTGACAGACGACATCTATGGCGGGTGGTGAAGTGCAGCAAACTTACCTACTCTTGACTTCAGATACCTATAAGTTTCCATTCGATGATAACTGAACAGGCAGCCAGAGGCGAGAATTCATTGACTGCAACACCTCAATATACCTACTTCCGTGCTCCAAGGTTAGCCCGTTGGTAGTAAATGTGGGTAGATCACAACGATTATCATTACCAAGCCTATCTCCATGAGCTACTGATAGGATCGGCTGCTCTGGATGCTCGGTTACTTGAATATGTTGACCTGACTTGCTTGGCTTTTACTGCCTGGATCTTATAATTGTCAGATTGTATCCGTTGTATCCAGGTATTTCATCAAAGTCGCAGCTCATAGGAGCCAACCTCGGTAGATGTTTCTTAATTCACAGCCTAATTTCCCTAGTAGAGCTCGCGCCATATTTCAAGATGAGACAACTTGGCAGGCCAAGTGGCTTTTCCCTCACCCCTACATCAGATGGTTGACCATCCATCATCGATAGGAAGCATCGCACCACTGATTCTGGAACTCTTGTCGGATGCCAGGAAGATGATAGCATTCGCAACATCCTCTGCGCGAACGAGCTCAAAATCCGGACGGTTCACTTTCACTGAATCAATAATGGGGAGCATAGTTTCCACAGCAGCAAAGTCAATTGCAGAAGAGTCGATTTTGCTCGAGATTGCCGAAGTTACCCCTGAAAATGAAATTAATCAGGCTTGCGCCATCTTAAGTGAGGTCTTGAAACACTCACCACCGGGACATATCGCGTTGCAGCGAATGTTATCCGCTTTGAATCTCCATGCCACATTCTTAGTCACCCCCTGAAGGGCATGCTTGCCTGGATATGATCAGCGGAGAAAGGGTGTAGGGTACAGATGTGTACAAACTCACTCGCGGTATATGCAACTCCAGAAACAGCGCCACTTGACCCTGCCTTGCTGGAAATGTTGACTATACTCCCACCCTTTTGCTTCTTCATGATGGGAAGAACCTCTCGCATCAATTTCACCGGCGCATTCAAATTGACAGCCATACAGCGCTCCCAAATGCCATCGGTCAATGTATCCACACTACTGCAGTGGTCTATAATGCCCGCGACATTAACAAGGACATTGATTCCCCCGAAGACCTTTAAACATCTCTGCGTGATGTCCGCAGCGGCAGATGGGCTAGTCAGATCACATTGGAAGAAATCGAGTTCAGGATCCTCTTCGAGACATGACGGCCGAGGGCAAATATCGACAGCCAACACCCGAGCTCCTTCTTTGAGGGCAGCTTTTGTAGTAGCCAATCCGATACCAGATGCACTCCCAGTAACAATCACTACCTGCAGGCCAAAGAGAGTCAGCGGTCATGTGAGTGCCTGTTAAACCTAAGATGCTCTGTCTACCTTTGCTTTAAGAGCTGCCATGATGCGGTGAGCGGATGAGTGCTTTGTCGGTCAACGTCACTGTTCGTTCCAGTTTGTTGTTGGCGGATGGAGAAAACAAATGCCACTGCCTGACAGAACCGACGAATCCCTATAACATAATTTGCTCGCTAGCGACTGTCCGGTTTCAAACAATTCTCCCGTGTATACGAGCTGGACCTAGGTAACCTGAGTTATCTCTTGTGGCCTACGGTAACGTCAAAGCTTCTGCCACTGAAGGGAACGAAACATCTGGTATCGGAACTTCTGTTATTTACAAAGAGGGAATCAAGTACAGAAAAGTCTTACACCTTCCTTGGCGTGAAATAAATAACAGGCCTCGGACTTGAAAAAGCTGATAGTATTGTGGCCGTTCATTCGTATTCAGAAAACAGTACTTTCGACCACTAGCAAAAGATAAGTAGGGAAGGTAGCATGTTTCGGATACTAATGAAAGCTATCACAATGGTCACATCGTTATGCTGATATGGGACAAGCCTCTGCGCATCCACCCAATGGGCAGCAAAAATTGGCAGGAGTAGCGCCATAGCCATTGCGCTGAACTCAGATCAGCTAATCATGTACTTACTTTAGAGACTCCGCTTGGTTGAAAATCACACCAACAGAGGCCGCGCAGTCAAGCTGAGGATCCACCGAGATAGTATTGCGGAGAAGATATCGATATCAGAGTGGCAATCTAGTTTTTGATCAGCCAGCCGTGTATCCATGTCGATCAATCTTCCTCTGGCGCGGAAAATGACAGAAAGGAAAAATTTCCATTCAAGCATCTGTAAGTTTCAGCAACAAAATCTGGTACTGTACATTGAAGTATGAGAAATTCTGTATTTAGCTTGGTTAGATTTGTCAAGCGTGTGTCGGTATTGTAATTGAAATTTCGTAATGAGACAGTGCAGCAGTATTGATAATTTTATTTCGGGCAGTACAACGTATTTCACGGCAAATTAAGAAAAATAAAAATTTCACGGGAAGTCGAATACAAGTCCCTGAAAGTACGCTAGTGAGTCCCATGCAAGTCTCGGAATATATGCGTATCGACTGATCAAGGCTGCTTGATTCCCAGTGAAATAGTATACAGCTTCACAGGACGCTACTGTACGAGTCATATGCAGGATTCATGCAAAAAGCAAAAGTCCAAGTGGGCACACGATACTGTTCCTGAAATGGCTAATTAGCTCCACATGGCCCGGCGTTGTTCGGTCTATTGAACTACTACTACACACGCTCGAGCTCATTTTCCCCTCAGCTGAAGATTCTATACGTGCCTGAGATTGTTCTGATGCTGATCACTGGCTCTGGAATTCTTCATCACAATAATTCACACATCATTCGCCACTTCACGCTATTATGTACTCACCTTCAAAAAGTGGATGGTTATTACTTGTGGAGTTGACAAATTATTCTGTTTAGCCTGCACTGAGCGGTGCTTATTACATGGATCCCTTGGGCTATGATGAGACCGGGTTGTTGTCTGTGTATCCTCTAGTTTCTGTAACTTACGAGACCGTGAAGCCAGGGGGTAAACATACAAGCGGACAGATTTGTTTATTTTTGCAAACGAGGCAGTAGATCCCGTGTCGTCGTACAGCAATGGCAGTGCTATCGGCAACAGAGCTTGACTTGCTGCATACAGAGCACAAAGTCACTCCGAGCACGGAAAAACGTTGAAGGTTATTCCTTCCTTCTCGACGAAGACTAGATCAGTCAATAATCATATTTCTTTGTTAAAAATTACCACCCTCGGGGCTATTTCTGCGCATTTGAAGTCTACAATGATGAAGAACGTACGCAACTGGCAAATGGATCTCGATACCAGGTCTATTCCAGCAACATGGATGAGAGCTGGTACCTCCAAGGGGCTTTTTCTCCGTGGCGAGCATCTGCCTAGGTCTACCAAGGACTGGGAACCGATCTTGCTTGCAATGATGGGATCCAGTAACGGAGATCCAAGACAGCTAGATGGCGTTGGTGGAGGAACATCTACAACATCCAAAATTGCCGTAATCACACGCTCCGAAAGACCGGGAATTGACCTGGACTACACATTTGTTCAAGTCGATTTCGCCAGAGGCAGGGTGGATATGTCAGGGAATTGCGGCAACATGGCTTCGGGGACAGGACTCTTCGCATTGTATCAGGGGCTTGTGAGACCCGAACCTCACCAAAACGAAGTGAGTAAAGAAACCGACCCCAATCATCTTGATTGGTGGTACCTTGACTTGAGCTCAGGAATTAATTGAACAAGCTTGCCGTTAGCGTATTCGCTGTCAACACAGGCCAGACCCTCATGGTATCGGTGAACTTGAGCGAAGTTTGCCACGGGCCCAGCAACCAGTCTCAGATCAACTACGGTCGTGGCCCAAGAGTATATCCTGTAAAGGTTTCCTTCCTAGCACCAGGAGGAACAATGACTGGAAAGCTCCTGCCAACGGATGAAGTGCAGACGACTCTGGCTTTTCAGTGCCCCGAAACTGGTCTGACTCGCGCTGTCAAGACCACCTTGATAGACTGCGCCAACCCGTTTGTGCTGGTCGACTCGCGGTCCTTGCCTGCCGAGTATCACCTTGACGGTCCAACAGGCAAGACGGCCAAGGAATTGATTGAGACAATTCGCCGTGCCGCCATGGTTCGGATGGGGCTTCATACCCCCACTGACAACAAGGCCAGTCGTATTCCTCGAGGTACTCCCAAGATTGTGGTATTGGCTACACCCAGTGGATCAACACAAATTTCAGACGCACTGGGACCGATGGCCGACGTGAAGGTAGCGGCATATAGCATGGGAAATCTTCATCCTACCCTTCAACTGACTGGCGCGATTTGTTTGGGAGCTGCCTTGAGTATTCCTGGGACGGTCGCGTCGGAAATCCTGATGACAGGCGAGGCCACCTACCCATCCCCTTCGAGCGAGTCTGGGAGCGATTTTCCCGCGCCTCAATTTAGCGAAACAAAAAGGTGGTGTATACAACATCCGACTGGGTTTATCGAGTCCGAGATCACCGCATGTCACTCTGAGAAAGGCACGCCGGTCATTGAACAGGGAAGCGTGTATTGCACAGCGAGGAAACTATTTGAAGGCACTGTATTTTACTAGAATAGGTTGATGAATATGAATCACGGCCTTAAGCCTCAAGAAAGCAACGCTGAATGATTTCATCACCGTATCTACCTAAGCAAGGGTAGATACCTGCCCTTTGACGATAACTCTAAACGAGCTGGTGGATAACTAGAGCCCTGGTAATTAATTTGGGGAAGAAATCCAGGAAATGTTATGCTCGTAACAAACGGGTATTGATCAATACCCGTAAAATTACCACCATTGTCTTACTTAGCGCCCGCCCGGCTTCCAGGGTTTCCCTTTCCTCCTTTCAGTCCTTCGTTCCCAACACGCATTTCATCCTTCTGGACTGGGAGGTTTCGATTGATTCCAAGTGTTCCTGGATTAACCAATTTCACCGAGGCCGTCCCTATCAACTTGAATCACTAGTCTTGCACCATAATAAAACCTTGTGCTGGGGAAAGATGCAGGACAGCCCCCAGATGGTCCTGGGGGACACTTTCCTGAGAGCGTCCTCGCCGCCCAATGGTCAAGACATCTTTCAAGAAGGGTCCCATAAATTTCTCTGCAGAGATGCGGAAGGATGGGGGCCGATAAGCTCGGCGCGAAATGATTTCACTCCGTGCTTCCTGGAAATCAGCATCGCCTCCGTTGCTATCTACGGACTGCTATTCGGTGCAGGCGCGATCTGGATCTTGTCCAAGAATGCTGCGCAGCCAGTCAAGAAGAATTGGCACTTCTATGCTAAACTGGTGAGTAAGGAGTAGCTTGGCTCGCTCTGCTGTCCGGTCCATTGGGGCTAATCGTGATTTCTACACTATGCAGGCGGTGATTTTCGCGACCATCGTGACCACAGGACTCCAAATCTTTTTTGAAGTTTACGCAGGGACCAGATTAAACGACATCCAGATTTGGTCCACGATCTCCGTGTTGATTTCCCTGGGCATCATCGTTGCGATCCAGTATCTTGAACATCGGCGGAGCAGACATCCTAATGGGGTCGTTTTATTCTATTGGTTACTCCTGACCATCGCCTACGCATTCAAGTTGCAGTCACTCGTGAGACGTGAGGTCTACGAAAGCGAGGCCAACCGCTTCTTTGTCTTCATCGCAACTCTTGGTTTAGCTCTGGTGCAATTTGTTCTCGAGTACTGGGTGCCAAAGAACCAGTCCGATTACAGTGCGATCGAGAACGAGTCACCATATGAGAGTGCAGACATCTTTGCTGTAATCACATTCTCCTGGTTGACCCCAATGATGAAATACGGATACGAGCATTATATCACTCAGGACGACCTATGGAAGCTACCTCACGACAGCACCACCCGTGTCACTGGTGACAACCTCGCTAAACAGTGGGACAAAGAGGTGGCAAGCAAGAAAGCGCCTTCCTTGTGGCTGGCTCTCATTCGGACTTACCGGGGCCCATACATATGGGGAATCATTTTGAAATGCGCTAGCGATGTTTTCGCTTTCATTCAACCGCAACTGCTAAGAGTCCTTATTGCATTTATCGAATCTTATCGGACGGACGCACCCCAGTCGCCGGTCAGAGGAGTCGCTATTGCAGTGGTCATGTTCTTGGTGTCGACTCTGCAAAGTGTCCTGATTCATCAACACTATCAGAGGGCATTTAATACAGGGATGCAGGTGAAGTCTTCTTTGACGTCACTGATCTATGTTAAAGCGCTGAAGCTCTCAAACGAAGGCCGCTCCTCGAAAACGACTGGCGACATCGTGAATCATATGTCGGTTGACCAGCAGCGTATCTCCGATTTCGCGTCAAGTGGTGCACAGCTTGTATCTGGTCCGTTCCAAATAATCATCTGTTTGGTATCCCTGTACCAGCTTGTTGGACCGAGTATGTTTGCCGGGGTTGGTGTGATGGTAATTATGATACCTCTGAACAGCTTTATCACTCGGTCCATGAAAAGGGTGCAGATTACGCAGATGAAAAACAAAGACGCCAGAACCCGCCTCATGACCGGTATTCTTAACAATATGAAGAGCATCAAGCTTTACGCGTGGAGCGAGGCCTTTATGACGAAGTTGAATCATATTCGAAACGACATGGAGCTAAAGACTCTGAAAAGATTCGGTGTCATGCAAGCTTTCGCAAACTTTGCATGGAATCTGGCTCCTTTTCTAGTTTCCTGTGGCACTTTTAGCATCTTTGCTCTCACAAGTGGTCGTCCTCTTACCACAGACATCGTTTTCCCCTCCCTCACGCTTTTTAATCTACTCGCCTTCCCACTCGCTATATTACCAATGACGATTACTGCGACTGTGGAAGCTGGTGTTGCAGTCAAACGTATCACAGACTATCTTATGGCCGAGGAGTTACAAACGAATGCTGTCGACGTTGAAGATCGTGTTGAAAATGCTGGAGAGGTGTCTATCGAAATCTTGGACGCTTCCTTCACGTGGGACAGACACCAAGGAGAGGATGGCCAGGTCTTGAAGAATCTCCACTTCAAAGCTAGAAAAGGAGAATTGAGCTGCCTTGTGGGTCGGGTGGGATCTGGCAAGTCATCATTGCTACAAGCTATCCTTGGTGATCTCTGGAAAGCAACTGGTCGGGTAATTGTCCGTGGACAGGTAGCCTATGTTGCCCAGACGCCCTGGATTATGAACACATCCATCAAAGAGAATATTCTTTTTGGCCACCGATGGGATCCCGATTTCTACAACCTCACTCTGGAAGCCTGTGCACTACAGGATGACATGAAGAATTTGCCCGACGGTGACAGGACTGAGGTCGGTGAGCGAGGAATTTCACTCTCAGGGGGTCAAAAAGCCCGACTGTCCCTCGCCAGGGCTATCTACGCCCGGGCAGATATTTACCTCTTTGACGACATTCTCTCGGCGGTGGATCAACATGTTGGACGGCACCTGATTAATCGTGTTCTCGGAAAGGACGGCATCTTGAGCACCAAAACTCGGGTGCTCGCGACGAACACACTCAGTGTCTTGAAGGAAGCGGACTTCGTGACACTCCTTGCAAACAAAACTCTCGTCGAGAGCGGTACATATGCGCATCTTGTGGCTGCGAATGGAGAAGTAGCCAGACTCCTCAAAACCGGCGTGAAGAACTCCAACAATAAGAGTTCAAGCAGTGGCTCCAATACCCCCCGCAAAGTTAATGAGCCGGATCAGGATGCTTCTGACTTTGAGCAAGAACCTCCGACTCCGCTTCTCATTCCATCAGGTGCTGCCACTCGACGTGGAAGTACCGTCACACTCCGCCGCGCAAGTACTGTGAGCTGGCATGGCCCAAATCGCAAGCTAGGGGATGAAGAAACCGGTAAATTGAGGACGCGGAAGAAGGGGGAAAGTTCTGCTCAAGGCAAGGTCAAATGGGCTGTGTACTGGGAGTATGCCAAGGAAAGCAACATCGTTGGCGTCTTGTTTTATTTCAGCGCTATTTTGGCGGTTCAAACTGGGCAAGTTGGCAGTGGTTTCTGGCTGAAATATTGGTCGGAGAGTGGAGATCGCGGTGATTCTCCCACTGTCGGCTACTTCATCGGAATCTATTTTGCCCTCGGTATGGCGTCGGCTGCGATGGTTATTGTGCAAAATCTGCTTTTGTGGATCTTCTGCGCAATTGAGGTAAGACTTGATTAATCCAATACGGGGAAGATATAGGCAAATCTAACTTTGGCCATGGGTTCAGGCATCTCGAAAGCTGCACCAACGCATGGCTTTCTCCATTTTCCGCTCGCCCATGAGCTTTTTTGAGACGACCCCCTCCGGACAGATTCTGAATCGCTTTTCCAGGTATGATTGTGAGCGATTCCCCTTGGGTAGATGGTAGATGATTGACCTGCTTCAAGTGACATTTATCGCCTTGATGAGGTACTCGCCCGCGCATTCAACACTGTGAGTAATATCTTATAGCAGCCCACAGCATCACCTCTCGTCGGCCAGCACCATATTGATCTTTAGCACAGTTATTCAACAACCTGAGCAGACTGCTATTCACGACTGTTGTTATCTCAATTTCCACCCCTGCATTCCTCTTTGTTATTGTTCCTCTAAGTTGGATCTATCACCGCTACCAAAGATATTATTTGCGGGCCTCGCGCGAACTCAAACGACTGGACAGCACCTCCAAAAGCCCAATATTCGCCCACTTCCAGGAGACTCTCAACGGTACCTCAACGATCAGAGCCTTCAGGCAGCAAAATATATTCTCCCTTGAGAATGAGTGGTATATGGATGCTAACCTGCGCGCTTATTTCCCGTCTATTAATGCGAATCGTTGGCTGGCAATTCGCCTGGAATTCATTGGATCAGTGGTCATTCTCGCAGCTGCAGGGCTATCGGTCCTTTCAGTGGCAACTGTTCCCAACTCGACCCTTTCGGCTAGTATGGTCGGCCTTGCAATGTCTTATGCTCTTCAAATCACCCAGTTCTTGAATTCTCTTGTTCGACAGACCGTCGAGGTGGAGACAAATATTATCTCGGTTGAGCGTGTGCTCGAGTACGCTAGCCTGCCTAGCGAAGCTCCCACCGTGATTGAGAACAAACGCCCACCTAGCAGCTGGCCCGTAGATGGAACCGTCTCTTTTGAAGACTACAGCATGCGTTACCGCGAGAATCTTGATCTTGTGTTGAAAGGCATTACCATCAATATCAAGCCACACGAGAAGATTGGTGTCGTTGGCCGTACAGGTGCAGGCAAAAGCTCTCTTACTCTGGCCCTGTTCCGCCTTGTCGAACCCGCAGGTGGTAAAATTGGGTAGGTCTTCTGCTCCGAAAGCAGTGATGATATTTGAGAGCATCTTTGACAATTTCCAGTGTCGATGGCATAGATGTGTCCACTATCGGTCTCGATGACCTGCGGAGTCGCCTAGCCATCATTCCCCAAGATCCCGCCATCTTCGAGGGTACTATCCGAGAAAATCTAGACCCCCATGGAAACCACGACGATACTGACCTGTGGCGTGTGCTTGGTAAGTGATTGAGAGATTTTCTTGTCCCTCGTCGCTAATCTAGTCCAACAGAACAATCGCGGTTGAAGGACTACGTCGAGCAGTTGGAGGGCAAACTTGATGCAAAGGTACAGGAGGGAGGTATGTTCACCATGACAGAATCAAGTGACCGCTCCATGATTTGTGACTTTGATTTGACAAATCTTTCGACAGGGTCGAACCTGAGCCAGGGCCAGCGCCAACTTGTATCTCTTGCTCGGGCATTGTTGACTTCGAGCAATATCCTCATCCTAGATGAAGCTACGGTAAGTTTTCCCAGTGACCCAAGAAAGGCTCCTCCACGCAGTCTGATTGACATTTTGAAACAGGCCGCCGTCGACGTGGAAACAGATGCCGCTCTCCAGCAAACCCTTCGGAGCGATGTCCTGAAGAGCCGCACAATTATCACCATCGCACACCGTATCAACACCATCATTGATTCGGACCGAATCCTTGTACTGGACAAAGGCAAGGTTGTTGAATTCGATACCCCTACCAAGTTACTCAATGATCGGGGCGAGTTCTACGAGTTGGTCAAAGAAGCGGGTCTGCTAGAGGAAGGAGAAGAGGCGGCCATACTAATGGATTGAAGGCATGACACATTTGTGGATAAGATAATGCATTTTGTCACATCACTGAAGGCCTTTTTGTCATCTACATGTTAGTGACAACTTGCACAGATTAAGACGGTTTATATAACTAGTGGCGATATTGAAGTTATGGGTTCGAATATGCAACAGTAGGATAGAAAATAGGAAGTCAATAAAGAAAACATAATGATCGGGTGATCATGATTATTCACAGGTTCAGGGTATCTAGAACCAAATTCCTTACCTAGGTGTGTACGCGATAGTCTACTATAGGTGTGCAATTTGATATTGCAAACATGTAGTAAATCCGGGATGTAGCAACATCCATGGTTCGCTTGATCGCCGTGACCCCAATTTAAATCTATCACTGCCCTTCACTTGAGTTGGAACTTTGGGTAGAACAAAATCATCCATGCTTATATGAATTTGCGGAATATATTTGCTACCCGCTACGTCAGTATGATCCAAACCATCTCTTCCGGGATACAGGCTCATCAGTTCACTCCAGTAATCGAGTAGGTTCGTGTAGTCGATACGGAAATTTATATCTACGTTCTCTTCCTCTAAAGCCGAGGCAGCTTAGAAATCGTAGTCAACTGTCAACTCATACGTATCTAATAAAGACCGAGCAGAGATATCGCGCTTCTGAGTTCCAAGGGGTACAAGACTAATAACACGCGCATATAGACCAGCACCGATACCCTTTGGCATCTTGACAATAGTGTTGGCGGCTCCGCCCTTAAAAATAGATAAGCAGGCCGACACGTTAACGGACATGGCATCACAACGGATGTGATAGACCTCGATCTCATTATCAAATGTATCATCGCGCTTCTCGAACATGTTCTGTCGTTTGTGAAATTTGAGGGTCGCGAGTCACAAGCTGATCCTCGTCTGTCAAGAAACTCCACTGATCGACCAGAGATTCATCATATGCACTGGTATCTCCATCAATCATGACAAATGCAAAAGGGTCTTTATCGTCGTCGTCGCCAGCTAAATAGGGAAGTAGTGAGACCATTTGTAGACTACACTTTCAGGATTCGAAGCTCCGGCTTTCGCCTTGATTCATGGAAATTGATGAGGAATGACATCTGAATGATCGTGACAAGCTTCTAATTTTAGTAGCTGATTGAAGTCTTGCGAACGGTCTTCAACGGGCTCTATTTTCCGGTCTTCAACTCGTGGGTTTCCTACGCTTCAAGTTGCAACAACAACCCCCCTTCTAATACAAGAGCAGTCCGTCCCAGATAAACATTGAGCGATTTATCCAATCACCGCATGATGTATTTGGTATGCGACCCATGCACAACATTGAGCTCTTGCGCTGTAGAATCTACGATACATCCGTACAATTCTCCAGTAAACAGGTAGATTGATAGCGCCCTCGCCTATTTTAACTAGTCCCTAATGCGACTTACTCTAGAGTTACTTAGAATGAAAGGATCGCACTAGTGTCTAATGAGCATCGGAAACACTCTTTACGTTAAATAGCACGATTCAGCATGCAAGAGTATCTGGATACCTTCAAGCGATGTAAGATTTAATGAGAATCAATGGAATCGATAAGATGGGGCTACCGGTTTCGCGGAAGATTGATAATTTACACGGCTTATAATGGGAACAGAAGTTTGGTCACAACTGAAGAAAAATATGAACAAATCAAAAACTATGAGCAAGAAAATCTCAAATTGATACGAACTTGTCCTTTTCAAAAATATGTGATAATTCCCTACCATCCTTCAATGACAGACGCAGCTCGTCGCGGGAGACGTAGAATCAGACTTGCTGCCTGAGGCTGTAGCTAAAGAGGAGACTGTGCTCGAAGAAGAGGCTATTGCCGCAGTTAAGGCCTTCAACCTATAATCAGACGCATTGCACCAACTACCAACCTGAAGTCCATTACTCAAAGTACATCCTGGTCAGTCTGAGCCCCAGCTTGAGCACCCTTAAAGAGGCGACACCTTGGGCAGCAAAGCACTAGTGGATCCGGACATTTAGATTTGTTTGCATAAGCGGATATACTTTCATCTGTTCGCATTGCATTTCGCTCCTCATTTCAAATTGGACGAGTGCCTGCCAGACTCTACATAATCACACAGACTTCATCTAAGGCACAAGGTTAGGATCCATTACTCCCGCCTATACCAGTACTGTACATCCGCACTGGTCCTAGTACAAGCTCTGACGAACAAGCCGATCCGTAAAGAAACTCATCACCACCACTATAACCCCCTGATATTACAATCCATTGGTGGCACATAGCACTTCCTCTCTGTATAAAATCCGCTCGTATGTCTCGAGGTCTTGCTCACTACTGATAGGTCGAAGAGCGAAACGCCTAGCAAGCTCTTCAAGTGCAATCACGGAGGGGAATAATTGTCCTGGGGATTCTTCAGTAAATTGTAGGTAAGTGTATACGCTGTCATAGATGGCTTGCTGCTAACGGACACAATCCGCCCATGGACGGAGTCGTGTCGGGCAATGTTTGCCCTTAGAAGGGGGATCCTCCCAGTGGTCGAGCGAGACGGCGTTACGACTTTCAATGGCCGGGACAGGAGGTTGTGGCAGTGGTTTAGAAATTCCAGAAAGTTGTCCGACGGATGCGCTCTTCAGCCTGCTTGCGCCTCTATTTCGCCTGCAGAAAGAGAGCCTTATCATCTGGGGAGCTATTGTCGGCCGTCGATCTCTCAGAGGCGGAAAAATAGCCTAAGACAACAACCACGACAGGTCTCCATTAGGGGGTACTTTTCTAGGAGGCTGATGTCAGCTGATCACGGTTCCTGGTAGAAGTATTTCCCCGAGGAATGAAGCAAGGTTTCCATTAATCTTGACGTTTATTAACCACTTGTTTAGCATGGAATTGCTTTCGCACCAGTCCGAAAGGGTTAGTAGGAAACTGCCATTCCCTTCTGGTTGACGGCCAATTCTCAATGCGCCCTGAGATCGAGATAGCGTCGGATATTATCTTGGAGTGAGTGTGGGTGGTGTGGGGGATAGGCTGAGAGCCGGGTAAGAGCGGGCGAGAACAAGGTGAGTGTTTTCAGCCACAATTACCCCACTCTCCCACATTTGCTTGAGTCTAGGCCATGGATATGAGTATGAGTCCTAAGAAAGCTGTCTGGTTCGCTATTCCTAATCTTTTGTTGCCTCGTCATTGAATAGAAGATGCTCCCGAGGCTGTAAAGATTCTCGACACAAAGATTGCACGGGATGCTTCACAATGGTAGGCTTTACCCTCAAGTATCTCGGTTATCAGAATAAGCGGGGAAACAAAGAGAGCTCTGTCCACCTTAGGAGCTAGCCCTGGGCACGCTCAAGGAGTATAAGAACATAGTATCGAGTTGGGCATTGTAAGTTTTATGTGAAGGGCTCAGACCGAACTTCGTTCAATTGGGTGTGGCCGGCAATCTGTCTATCAAATGCTTTAGGGTAATCAAACACATAGGCTCCTTCAGAAGTGTCGGAACAGAGATAAACCAGCCATGTGGGTGCACCAACAGTTAGCAACCACAATGGGTCTGAATGGTTACCAGGCCCCTAGCCGGCAATTTGGATGGGCTGGTTACATGACTAGTCATGGCGGATTTATAGCTTTTCCTTCCTCCGAGTATCCACCAATGCTGGTGCTGCGACAAGAGACTTTCACGTGACATGTGATCAACAACGGGCTCTGGCCCGTTACACCCATCTCTTCCAGGACTGACGCCCTGATACCTTACTTGGAGGATTTCTTGTTCCCACTTCGACACATCAGCAAGCTGAACACAGCCCTTCCTGGCTAGTCTCACTAGTCTGATTAGTCGCATATCGCTTTGACAGTAGCCTCACTGACGTTCGAGTCTTTATGCTTAAAACGCGCAATTATCGCGCTCAGCAAAATTAAAACATCTGTCAGTGGCGTTACAAAGCGGCATCTTTGCAGCTGGTCTTGGATTAATATTAGTAAAGAAACGAAAAGCTAGCTTGTTGCCCTGAGATTTAGCTTTGTTTTACTTTTTTATTCTTTCGTGATCTACTGGATTGAAGACTCTATACTCAAAAAGTGCTGAATGAAAAATTAAACACCCATCACCGCAGCAAGAACAAAAGTAGGATACGTATATCTGATGGCGTCTTTGACGCCAGCCCAAAAAGAAGCAAATGGAAACGAGTCGATTCGGCTACCTAAAAGAAACCAAGAAGACGATCTCGAGGAAGAGGGAATGAAGAAGCGAAAACCGAAAAGGCAAGGTCTATATAGACCTGCCAGACAAAGAGACAAAGACCTGGTCCCGGACACCAGAAGACCTGCCACAGGTAAACCATGTAGGTCTATGAAGAAAAATAAATCACTAAACCACTGAGTAATCGAGGCCAATGGGGATCAAGTCATCAAGATCTCCTTCCTCGAGAACAAAAGAAGAGAGATGATTTCGGCAAGCGGTCGCACGTTTCCTCCAGTAGCAACCCAAAGCGTCCCAACAAAGGTTTTACTCTACCTGGAAAGGCTTAGATCACCACCTTGCAGAAAATAATTTCGAGGGTGGCCTCCCCAACGCTCCCATCGCGGTTCTTCCAAACCCAGGTAGATGCTCCGGCATCATGAAGGCCAGAGCTAGGGTCATCACAAACAGTAGCATCCTTCCAAGCGTCAACGCAAGTGGCGACATCAGGGAAATTTCCAATTTTCCCAATTTTCACATTAGGGAGAGGACTAAGGTCCTGCCAGTCGCCATTCAGGGTGTTGTAGTGGTTGTGGCACCAGCGCCATGCCTCATCGTCCAAGCGATCCCTAGACACGCAGTCCTGGCGAAAGGCGTGTCGGTTCCAGCACTCTGCAGCCCACGATAAAGGGAAAAGACTGGTAAGAGAGAGGGCAGTCAAGGTTTGGAAACGCATTATGGCGGAAGGTTCTTTACATTAGAGTTAGATGCGGGTCCAAGTCTTCAGTCTCGAGTCGACTCACAACCAAATTGGGAACAAGTGTTAGGTTAAGATATAGAAGATTCTGATGAATTTGCTTTGGGGCACTGATGGATTTTCGTCTGGATAGGAGGTACGGAGGAGGTATTTGTACTAAGAGAAGGCAATGAGATGAAATCTTTGACTGCTGAGACAGCAGGTGGTTAATCCAAGCTGGTCATGACACCTGAACTACGCACAAGGGATGGTATGAAGGATCTTTGAAACTAAACTTTATTGAAAATCCAATTGGCTCAAGGCTAGAAGGGGTGACAAGTATTGGGTCAACAGCAGCGTGTCGCTTTTTTTTACTTGTACTTGTCTCCCCATAATGAAACTAAACTATAGTAGGCTGGTAGTCTAGGACGTATGCTATCTTACATCCGCAGACAAAAAGTTGTCTATTATTTTTCCCGCATTCTTGACAGTGAATGAGGCGTAATGTTAGGTCAGGAGGACTGGAAGCAGGTAAACTAGACTGCTTGTGATGCCTAGGCCTAACAAGACCTCGAAGGAAGACAAGACAATCAGACTGTAGTTTCAATTTCTCTATGTTAGCAAAATTGCTGCCAAGGACTACCTTTTCATCAGAACACCCCGAGAGTTTCAGCTCTTTTCTCCCGCAAATTGTCTTTTAGGAGACTATTTGATATATTAGAAATTGAACTGCTCATGATCTTCATGATCGAGGTGAAAAATACATCAAGGTCATTAGTTGCTCAAGTTTCTCACTCAAAACTACGAACGTAGAATCCTCAAGAGTCATAGCCACACGCATGCAAATATGGGTTCATTACCCGATAGCATGCGCTTGGTGGTGCGTGGACGCAGTAATCATTAAGGAATCTCTAAATCCTACGCGACTGATATAGTGAGGAACGAGGCATATTGGGCTAGACTTGTGATGTATTGAATTCTCCGTCCACGTGGAAGGAACCGAAGAATATGTTGTACGCGTGATTAACTCAGGAATTAAAAGACTTAAGTTACCATCAACATCTTTTGCGGTGTTCTGCCATAATGAAAGCTCCTAGCATTAGTAGCCCCTAGAACTATGAATACCGGCTGTAAAAACTCCCAGGAGAATGCAGGGCTCCGTCCTGTGATGCCTTTGACATAGCTAATTTCTTATCTGAATAAAGGAGCTTTACAAGATAGATAATTCCTGCCTTTCATACTATCCAGTGTATGGGGCCTCAGGGCACACAATAAAGATTAGTCAACGAGAATAAGAAAGTTCGCAAGAGATAAACAATATATGTGATCATGTGCAATCTCCAGTACTGTGGCAATCTTCAAGCTTGGGGCCAGTTTAATATTAGCTAAACAGAACTCCCAGTTCGAATACACTACACTACACATCCTAATTTTTCCACCACTCATAAACTTACGACAGTTCGAGCTTCCGATATCACAAGCTACGTGTGGTTCAATGAAGGGATAATTACTCCAAGAATTAAGAATTTAACGCAAAAATCGTCTTTACAGGTTAGCATACATATTGGCTTTCGACCGAAGAAAGATTTCCGGGAAAACATCACAGGACGTGACGATGGGAATAAAGGCAGGATTTAGGAGGGTTATGATATACAAAATGCTAGGTCTATGCATGGCTTAATAAAAAATGTAAATGGACGATGTGAATGTATACCCAGTTTCCATTCTTCTTGATCTGGGAGTGGCTCTTTTGCGGCCAATCCAAGAGAAATAGCTTTCTTGATAGATAATCCTCTGTCAGCATTATGAAAGACACCAGCATGCCCACAGTATCTTCAATTAACATACTAGAGCTATTAGAGATCTCCATATACATGCAGATTTTTATTGAGACTTTGCCCTATTACCCTTGGCTTCTGAGCAAAACGTATAATAACTTTGCGCTTGGTTGAAATGGAAGTTCTCAAACATTGTAAAACAATATTAGCTTAGAATGATTTGAGCGGATATGCAGTCCAGATTCTAACAGTGACCTACCCCTTACAAACACTAGAGTTAATTTTTATTTTAAATACGTTGGTCTAGTCACACTTGCGTTAGATAACCCCCCCACGGGAAGCTTACCGTTAACAATTGATCCTTGAAAGTCGATAGACTTTGTAACATCAAATGGTGTTGAATCTTAACGACCAAATTGTATGGGATGGAAAGAGGGACACCCCGCTGAATCGCTTCATTACGCTACTTTAGCGGGAACCAATGATAGACGGCCGTCTAGATGTGCCTAATTATGCAAGCATCAGGTGAGATCGGTCATTCTTGATTCGATTACCTAAAATGTCTCCTTAGAATGGCTACTAAGCTCAAGAATTCGAACGCGTGGTGGTATCCACTACATTCCGTGGCAGCTCGATTTCCCCCTGCGCTCGGAAGGATCTTCCGGCTATTTTTAGTATACATAAAGCATGTCGGCTAAATGGGCATCGAAAAGTCCTTCCAAAGACTCTGGCCAGTTAACGGAGGGTGATGTTTGTACCCAGAGCCAGTTTCTAGAATTAACTGGACCCTTCCAAGAAAACGTTGGAATGAGCCTAGATTAAGCTGTCACTTGAACTCTCTTGAAGCAAGCTTCAGTGATGGACAGCAACTTAAGACATCGTACAGTGGCGCCGCAAAAGTCTGTGACCCCCTGGCTGACCCGAAAGCAGCGATTGTTTCATCAAGTAGGATACTCTACCCGGGTACGGTAGACAATTGAGGACAACAGCTCAAGCCGGCGTCTTTTACCATCTACCGTAAACCGGGGCGTTTTGGGGACTTCAGGCCGTGAGTGACGAACTTGACACCAAGGCTGTTTTCAGCGATGAAAAGTTACACTTCTTAAGTGCAGGGAATGTAGAATTAAAAAGTTTTATAAGCCCCGCGTTGAAATCCAAGCATTGGAAACCCCGTAGTCCGGCATTCCAAGGTAGAGACACCCACAATCAAGAACTCGCATGCCATCCAAAAGTTCTACTTATTGTTGCCAAATGACTCCTCGAATTGATTTCAAGGCCTGCAGGACCGTTCAAATCGTGTTTGCACTCTGCGGTGCCTATTTCATATTGTCGTTCTTTTTGAAAGGCGAGCAATTTGCGTGGCCACCAAGTATACCTCACTTCTCGCAGCCCAGCATACGTAACGGGGCTCTGGACCATATTCTGAACGAGACTCTTGGGGTAAACACTGAAATGATATGCTCTAATGCTCTTTCATACACTGATAGCTGATTCTTTTTACAGTTTCAGCATATATATGCTATTGGTCTGAAAGAACGCACGGATAAGCGTGACTTCTTGACTGTAGCAGCCTCAGTCACAGGCTTTAAGGTTGAATGGCTAGATGGAGTTCTCTCAAAAGACCTACAGCAAAAAAGCTTACCCAAGGTATGTATCCATGAATAGTTAATAAGACCCCTGTAGCAGGGGCTGATTTACAATACAGGGATACAACCTTACTACTGTCCAGCCTACTATTATTGGATGTTGGCGAGCCCACATGAATGCATTGAACAGGTAAAATGGACTCATTATCTATTATTTGAGCATGACCTAACTCTAATGCATTTTTGAGAATACAGGGTCATCGAAAACTCGTATTCTACTGCCTTGATACTCGAAGACGATGCCGATTGGGATGTTGGAATCAAGTCCCAACTACGTGAATTTGCTCGAGGAATTCACTCTTTGAAAGGGAACACTAAAGTGTCTAAGCAAGCTCCTTACGGAACTGATTGGGACCTTCTCTGGATTGGGGGATGTGCTTCAGGACCACATGCGAACCAAACTCAATTTTATGCTATACCAGATGACCCCACCGTTCCAAGTGTCCAACGGCGAGCCACTTGGTCTGGCCCCCTTGACAGTTGGAAAGAGCAATTTCCCGAAGACTCAACCCGATTTATTTACCGTGCTGAAGCAGGTTGCTGCACTTTTGGATATGCAGTCACTAGTAGAGGCGCAAAGAAGATTCTTACCGCCCTTGCTATTGAGCATATAGAGGCGCCCGTTGATAACGCCATGTCTGAATTGTGTGGTGGCCTTGGTGATCGTCAACAAATCGATTGTTTCGCACCTTTCCCGAACCTTATCGGTACATATAGACCAGCGGGTCCAGCATACCGAGACTCCGACATAGCCATTACTAGCGACCAGAGCATTCATGAGGAACAGTCTTACAATTTGGTATATAGCACACGTCGCAATATTCATAGGCTGGTAGGTGGCGAGCCAACCGTCTTCGCGCAGTGGGGCGAAGAGTCACCGTGGTCACCGGGAGAGATTCGCTTACAAGACTTTGTTTATCCTCGAGGCTATCTTGTCAGCTAGTGTTGGATCCTATCAGAAGGGTGTGGTGCGCGGAAAATGAGATGATGCCCCCCGAGAGAATAGTGTACAAATTAATAGAATCAGTTTTTGAATTCTGGCGAAAAGACAAAGAATATGATCTGTATGGCTGTATTTAATATCTTGTTAAATGAGGCCGGGAGGAAATTATTGCGATTAGAGGACGAGCCATAAAAGCTGTATAGTGTGTAGTTTTCTAATTTCTTAAACTGCATTCAGTCCGCCCATCACTCGACATCAGATCCATCTCCGGAAACAGAGAGCAGTTATTAAACGACCGGAGATAGCTTATTAGCTCGTTCTGAAAGAGGGGTTGTTAGCTCTGTGTTTTCTGTAACACAGGACTTTCCAGCAATGCACATACATTCGTAACCTGGCAACGTTCTCGTGAAATATATGAACAGAATTCCCATCGGGTGGAAGACAGTGTAACAGAGAATGGCAAGGGGTAGGGCAAAGGGAAGGTCGAAGTTCTCTTGGCCTGTGTCCAAACTTTGTTGAAGGCGGGATGGAATATTCCACCTAGCCGCAAACGAATTTCCAACGCATTTCAATGCTATATAGTATTACGAAGATGCCACTGGCGTTGAAATGACACACTCAAGAAAACCATTCTTATAGCAGAATGGATCAAAGACGATTGAGAGTTCTGGTCCTGCCGACCGCCCGTGAAATCTTTGCCCAGTTTCACACGCTCGGATCGAGATTTACGAGAGGAATTGGATTGTATCGCCTTCGATCTTCAAATTCACCAGAGAACACAACTTGGAGTGATTCGGAATTGAAGCTCCTCGAAGAGAGAAACGTCTCGGAACCCGAGTCCCTTGAACATTTACCCTCTGCTGAACCGAGGAATCCCCCTTCAAAGCTCTGCCTCATGCTAGGCATTATGACGAATATTGTCTCAACAATCTCCATTGTAAGCAGTGAGCAGGAGCAGCGGGAACCTAATGCCTTGAATATGTACTGAATTTTCTAAGGTTTTCACAAACAAATATGTTTTCTCACACGAAGGACTACGCAACTGTCAATTAGCGTTTGCAGCCTACCACTTCATGATCACCGGACTTACATTATGGGCTATAACCCAGCTTCGTTGCGGTGATTTTGTTGCAAAACGAATTCCCATTCACCGTAACTTCCACCTTGTTACCCTGACTAGCACCCAAGTGGTTCTCCAAAATCTCTCTCTCGCATATTCGTCGGTCATATTCCACCAGCTTGTGAGACTACTCCTCACGCCAGCTACCGCTTTTTTCAGCTTTTTACTCTATCGTGCTACTATTCCAAGGGCATCAATAATCCCCTTAATAATCCTATGTGGTGGCGTGGGAATTACTTTTTACTGTGATTCTCATGCTCCGACTGATCAAGCCGTTGGGATATCTCCAGAGGGAATCGTCTTCGCTTTCACCGGCGTACTGGCCAGTGCTCTTTATACAACGCTAATCGGAGCATATCAGAAAAAGCTGCAAGTAAATAGCATGCAGCTTCTTCTCAATCAAGCGCCTATGAGCGCCGGCTTTCTTGTGTGTTTGGCCCCCTTTATTGATTCCGCTCCCACGGCCAACTTGCTTTCACCATCAGTGTGCATTGCAATTTTCGGGGTAAGTTAACATCGTCCACGATATCCTTTCTGATTAGAACAGTTCGGCCACTAACCTCTATACTCATTGACATTTAGAGTGGATTGTTGGCTTGCCTTGTGAACATTTCCCAATTTTACGTCATCAATGCCGTAGGCCCAGTCAGCAGCACTGTAATTGGACATTTGAAAACGTGCATGATTGTGGCTTTGGGATGGTATTTTAGTGATCGATCAATTTCAATGCAAAGTGTTATTGGCATAATAATGGCTTTGGTGGGTATGAGCCTGTAAGTCACACTATTTCGGCAATTGTCTATAACCCCCACTAACCGGTTGGTCTTTCTGAGCAGATATATGAGTGTCGTGTCTCGAAACCGAATGTGAAATGCTGTTAGTTAAAGCCCATTTTGTGATGCAAGTTGAAGAACTGAGTTTTCGAAGAGATCAACATTTCCATTTATGCAAGTGTAATATCAATCAATCATCAATCAACACTCTATTAACCTGTTGCATCCAAACTAGTGGCGTAATGGCTACGCAGGCGCTTCCTACGCCAGAAGCAAGAGTGATTCGTACGCCCAAATCGCGTGTGAAACAGTAAATGCATAGGAAAACGGCGTATTACCATTTAGAATCGGCCCAAAAACAGTACCAAAACGCCCGTAGTGCACTCAAACCCTCAATATATCTCTCATATCGCCCGTACAACGGCGTGCGGTCTCCTCTTTATCTCCAACCCTGCTTCCTTCAGCGTCTACATCCTTTTACCCGGTTTCGATTGATGGCGCTCGTTGATGTTGGGCGTAGTCTTCTAAGACCTCTCGGTTGGCCTTTGGGTTGGCGTTCCTAAGACCCAGCATCTTCACCACCTATAGCTGCTAGTCTATCCTGGCCTATTTTTTCATCGCCTGTTGTTTTTGGTTCAATCTCAACGTGTCGAAGCTGTCCCAGAAGTCCTGTTTGCAGCATGAATTCGGCTACGTAGCGGGTGGCCTGCGAGTGCGATAGAGGAGGATGTGGAAGCTGAAGGAAGCAGGGATGAAGATATAGAGAAGACAGCAGGCCGTTAAACGGTACTTGGAATAAAGAAGTTTGTGAAAGACACAGGCAGAAATATAAAATTGCACCAGGCTGATTGGGACGTCAGGTATAAAAATAGCTAAGTCAAACTAATGAGATAGAGTGTTGGAGGTGCTTCTTAGGCTTATTGGATGCGAATCAGCTTAATGAATTTGATAAGGTAGTCAATCCATCAATCAATTGATTCTTGAGGATCTTTCAAAAGGACCCGATCGAATTGCCTTTCATCCTCAAGACTTTTTTGGAAAATACATGCAGCCATAGAAAGATACTCTAACGGCTTAGTCCTGGCCGCCGGAGCCCATCGGAAATTTCAAGACATGAAGTGATAACAATGACAGAATCTTGCAAGGCAGAGATCACAATGATATGCGATTCACCACCGAATTCACAGGGTTTTCCAAATGCTCCGACCGGGGGCCATTCAGCAATGCAACCCAAAGTTTTCCTTTACAATACTCCGTACCTCCGGCTAAACGTATAAAGTGAAGCGGTTTCTTGTAATAAATGCTCAAGACACTAAAGCTACCTATAACTTATAGCTTTCCTACTATTATGCTACTATACTAATATAAACTAATATAACCGACGTTAGGTACACGATTAAGTACGGATAAAGCTCTAGCGAGGGCTAGGTCGAGCTTCGGTATAATAAGTATAGCTAGGAATAGTGAAATGACAAATTTGATTAATATCCGTATAACGTCTATAGTGTCTAGTAAGTACGCTACCTTAATACAAGGTAACATTTAGCTTAGCCTGACCTTTGATCTAGCTAATTCGAGCTTAAAATTCGATAGGATAAGCGAGTGCTAAGAGAACGCGGTTTGAGCTATAATGACGAAAACTAATAGAACTATACATAAGCGTAGGTGCGAGGATCCATGCGTGGGGACTTACCTAGGAGTCGCGGGGAGGGTGAGAATCATCCGCTCTTACCCAGATTCTCACCCTGCGTACTACGTACTCACCCTATCTCACCCTAGTCGCGCGACGCTAAAGTAGCGTTCACCCTAAACTCACCTAGGCGACACCCACCCGACTACTGACCGTATATAAGCCACGCACTATTTGCCAATCCTAGCGAATAAGATAGTTTAGCTTGGCGGGGAAAAGGATCGCCGCTTTATGGTCACGCGACTAGGAGCTAGCAGGGTGAGCGCGCAACGAGCAGGGTGAGATACAGGGTGAGAGCAGGTGAGTCTCACCTTCTATCGCGCAACGGATGTTAATTTTGCTGTTACTGTAGATAGATCTTGGACTCTATTGTAGAGAAATAGTCTAATTAATCTTGTAGCACAGAACCATCACATGTAACTTGTGGGTGTTGGACATATATCTTCAGATTGGAGCTAGAGCACCTTTCGATTTTTGTGCGGGTGCTATTGGCATTACAGTAAACTCCCGTTTTCGGCACGGGCCTCCGTGCAACAGAATTCCGATGTGCCTAATGAAAGTGTGCCACTAATATCGCGCTAAACCTCATCTAGTAAGAACTAGTCTGTTTTTGGTCTAAAGTAGTCATCCACCCTTCTTTGCTTCCTCCCATTGATCTCGAATCGAGAAAAAAGATGAGCGATCCTCTCTATATCACGTAGATCTCTCTCAGTAATTCCCTCTTGGTGCTGGGCAAATTGAAGAGCTTTATGCATATATTCAATAGCTTCAACACGCGAGAGGATATCCAGCGGTGGTCCGAATATATATTCGTCCTGGTCGTCCTCGCTATCCTGAACCCCATTATCCCCACCTGTATTTTCTTCTGAAAAATGAACGATAATATCAGATAAATCAGGCTCTTCCACGTCGATGTTTTCTCCTGGAGGGTCTAGAAATTCATCTAATGCCATAACCTCTGTACCAGGAAGCCGGTCGGTCACCTCTGCGTATAAATCACCTAGTTGAAGGTCCTCAGACGGAGACGTATTCATCTCATTAGTGCTAGGACTAATAAGCGTGCTCTTGATAAAGCACTTCTGAATAGTCTCATCTAGGACGTCACGTCTCCAAGCCTGGGTGATCCAATGTAGTGTGTAATAGAGGCTCATTCTCTGCGTAGGATCGACGCCGCGGTCTATTATATTAACCATCCATGTCAACTATTTCTTCCGATAATGGTGCTTAAGGTTTCTGATGATACCCTGGTCTAATGGCTGGTAAACCGAGGTCGCGTTTGGTAGCAAAAAAACGACTTTAATATTAGACGGCGGTGGCGCATATTCAAGCGCAGAGAGATGCGCGCTAAAGTTATCGAGCAATAGCACGACTCGTCTTTGTGTGCCAATATGCCTATAAAACGAGCGGAACCATTCTTGTATAACATTACCGCGCATCCATGCGTTCTTGTTCCATCGCCAGACACATCTAAGTGCTGGGATATTGAGTTTTCGTAGAGCACGAGGCATCTTCGCAGTGCCTATTAACCATAGAGGCATTCGATCTGAACCAGTAGCATTGGTCGTTACTACGAGAGTAATCCTGGTCTTGTCTTTTTTATAACTAGGACTACCCTTACTCGATAGACCCCCATTTGGCATTCGACGCCAGAATAGACCTGTTTCATCCATATTATAGACATCGTTTGGCTGATATTGGTCGCAGATAGCCCGAATAGCTTCTATATCGGAATATATCGAAGCCGGAACCGATGCAGATTCGCTATAGGAGGTATGATATCGGATCGAATGGCGCTGTTTGAACCGTGATAGCCACCCTTCAGAGAAAAGTGGCGGGTCGAGATCTTTATACTGGGGTATTTTCTTCTAATATTCGACGGCTTTGCTCTGAATCAATGGGCCTGTTATAGGAAAACCGGCATTCTCGTGACGCTGCTGCCAGATATATAGGGCCTCATCTAATAGAGGCCACCGAGATGCTAACGGGCGTTTGTTCTGACCAGCTAAACCAGTATCAAGGTACTCGTATTTAGATGAAAGAATCTTGGAGACGGTCGCACGGTTGATATGACGATTAAATTGAGATGAAAACCACTCAGCGCATTCTCTCTGAGTAGGTTTAGGGCGTGTCTCCGATGCATAGATACGTAATGCTTTTTTCTGAGCATCGGATATGCCTTTGTTGGGTTGTTTTGGTATAGCCAGTTTAGCTGAAAGAGCGACCGAAGAAGGGGTGGAAGGGTTGGAAGGGGAAAAATCCTGCATTCTGATTGGTCGGTTTATATGACTAAGCAAAAATTGAAGAGAATTTTGTGTGCCAGACAAAAAGGTGTGCCGGTTGGCCTCTTATATATGGGAAAACTCTAATAAGTGGGTCCATCCAACAGATTTTGGTGCCTAATAAAAATGTGTGCCTAACCTGGGAGTGCCGAAAACGGGAGTTTACTGTATGCTGGGATACCATCTCAGCCTTGCGGGAGCTGATTTGACATACCTTGTGCGTCCTCATCATGTACACCGTCACAGTCGTCCTCAGATTCTGTACAGTTATCACGACACAACATCGGTCGAATTCAAGGGTTATCACTTTATCACCGATCCAGCACAAATTGGTCACTCGGAGTACGACTATGTTCTCGTCACGCCAGATGCGGCCACTCTGATGGCTCCGCTGGGCGCAGCCCTAGTCAAAACGATGGGAGAGGTCTTCAAAGGAAAAAATGCAAAAATTCTTCTGGCAGGCACCTTCCACAACTTCAAGAGTTGGTTCGCGGAGACTTCTGGACTTCCAGAAGATCGGCTTGCATGAATTGTCGTTCCAATCGCAATCCATGAAACAAAGGCCAAACTCAAAACTCATGGCTATGTGGACATGGAACTGTTCGACAAAGCCGATTATGCCTACGCAAGACTTAATCCCGACATTACCTTATAAATCGAGGATGAGCCCGCGTTTGCTGGTTTTGTCAGCTTGTACAATACTTGTGGAGTTGGGCGCTGGATTACTACGCCTGCTATGCAAATGGCTGCTCGTTTGCTTCCTGTTTTTTCTCTCCTCATACCGATGGAGTTGCTCGGATGGCCCGCGATGAAGGACCTCGACAGAAACAGTAATCTTTGGTGTCTTGGCACTGCTGCAGTAAAGGAACTTCGTTCCTTGAGTCTCTACGGCGAAGCCGGCCGACAGACAGCGGATGCAACAAACGAGGACTCCCTTTTCAATGATTTCTCGGGTATGGCGCAAACGGCACTTCCGCTCGACCAGGCGGATTTTAATCGCTATCACCACGGGGGAAAGGTTAGCAAGCAGGCCCAGGACCATGTCAGAGCTTGTATCAAATATGCCGAAGACGATGGGAAGCCGCTGACTGCCACACCCGAGTTACTGCGGCGTCTAGAGGAGAAGCTAGGAAGATCGGCATAGTGAATACAGTGGATGGATGGATGGATGATTGATTTCATGTACGCCAACCCCACTCGCGCAGCGATAGGTAGGTATGTGAATATATATCTTTGCTTTTGTGAGAAGGGGCCACTTCCTGGACGCATCTCCATTTGGAGCCTAGCCGGCTGGAGCCTGTTTAATTTTTCATTTTGACACTAGCCAATGCCATTGTATCTCCCAAAAGAGATGTGATGGTGATTTTTTATGAACCGCCGGCTTTGGGATCCAACTCTGAGAACCTTAGAAGATACAGATTGACCGATTCCGTACTATATTAGGACGCTTGGGTTCTTGCTTCGATTTAACACTGTATCATGTTAAAGGAATTTTTAGTCGTGAAGTTTGTTTTTCCGATGTTGGCATAATTTCATAGTTGACAGTGAGACCGATACAGTATATCTGAGCATCTTTGCACCAAAAATTTGTATCTAAAAAATATGGTCGTACAATATGTTCTTCTGGAATATGTAACAACCCTCGAGGTACGGAGGTCCCAGCTAATTGAAGAGCAACCGAGAGCCAATAAACCCACAGGTGCTTTGCATTAGCGCTATTCCGTGCAGATTCAATCTTCCAGGCACACCCTGAGAAGAAAACCAGGAAAGGCCTGCAACTAACCGTAGGTACCGTCGGACCCGCTTACATGATTAGACGGTTAACACTAACGTAGGAAACAACAATCAATATCAAAAGATACTAAACATAATCTCAAACTTGTAGCACATGGACTAAACATGGACTAAACATGGACTAGACATGTAGCTTTTCAATATGTGCGTGCACTTCAACATATACACCTCTGACCCTTCTGATTTAACCATTCCTCACTCAATTTATCATTCACTTAGTGGTAAAATAAGCGATATTATTAGTGAAAACACCAATATTATCGCTATAAGAAGCAAGACTCTTTCCATCCTGGTCAACCAAACTCTTCGAGCCAAGCACATTGAGGTTATAAACGGAGATTTCCGAAGCTCCCTCAATGCTGAAAATAGAGTTCTGGCAGTTCTGAGGGCCGCCATATGCGGAACAGGCTAGTGGTTGGTGGAGTTAGTGTTTGGATTCGAGAATGTTCCTCAGATGGCCAGAGGATGATGAATTTGAGTAAACTTACTAGCGTCGTAGTTGTTGAAGAAGGAGTATAGCCCTGCGCCGTACACGTACAGGTCTGTAGAGTCGACCACGCGGAGACCCCAGCCCAGAGCGCAGTTTCCTGTGCTGCCGCTGCAGCTGGAGGCGAATTCTGGGTCGTGGATGGCTGTGTTTGGTGTGAAGGGTGTCAGGGCATTGGGGTTGGGTTGATAGTATCTGCAGATATTTCGTGTAAGTAATTTCTGCTAGAGTAAGAAAAATGAGGAACTAACGCTGTTTCGGTTTGGATTTGTCCCATGTACACATTCTTGGTGGACGCGAACTGGTATTGGTAAAGGGAGCTATGTTCGACGGATGTGCCGGACCTGATTTGTCTCGCATTAGCTTGAAAGGAGTAGGAAAGCCGATCCGTTAAAGACAAAACATACAGCCAGATATTGCCCTCCGTGCTCTCAACGTTCAACCCACGACCGCTGTAGAGGGTGATTTGACCACCGTCGGCTTCAGTCTGAACATCAACGTCACTTTCGAAATTGTTAGCACGAAATCTCAAGAGAATGGACTTTCTCGCAAAAGAGATGGAGGGAGACGCACTGATCCGAAACCCAAAGCCAGCAGTTCTCCATGTACAAATTCGACGCGGAAGGAGTCACATGCATGAGCATATAAGCTGCGATACAGTTCTTATTGACGTCCGAAGAGTCAGTTGTTTTGGCGCATTGAGCAGTGGTTTGCTGGGAACCTGCGAATCCTCCAACTCGCGCGTGGACATCCCAGAGTCCAGCTGGCGCAGAGGGCGACGCAATATTCCACTGAATAAGAATGGCACCGGCTTGAGGTCCTTGAGTGCTAAGAATTAGATCCGAGAGCTCAACTTGTCCCTGATCACCTGCCTGTCCAACCTGGATCACAGGCTTCGGCGAATCCATATTGTTAAAGAAGTCCCCACTCGACATGATGACTGGATATGCCTCTCCGACGATCTTGGAGTTGGCCGGTATTTTGAGGGTATTGGTGACCTTGTAGACTCCAGCATCCATATATACGACCTTGCCAGATCCAGCGGCGCTATCTATCACACTCTGAAGGGCAGCTGTGTCGTCGGTTGTTCCATCGCCCTTCGCACCGCCATCCCGAACGCTCGAAAACGAGGAAGCAGACAAGGATTCGTACTGCGGCTTCGATCGCTGGTAATACATTTGACCATCCAAAAGGCCTGCTGGGCGGGAGACTGGTGTGATATCACCGGCAACTTTGGTGGGACCGGTAGGAGTATATTGATTGCCCTGGCCCCAGGCTGCAATGACACTCGAGCCAGGGCTACCAGCCAGAACTGTCCCATTGGGTCCCTCAACCACGACACCAACATTATCAAGAGCCACATTCTCCAGAATGATGCTACCTGCAGTCTGCGGGGCGGAGGAATCGGTCTTAGCGGACTTAATGGCGACGGGCGTGTTGGCGAAGGAGCTGTCAAACAAGGTAATAGAACCGACGCTCTGCTGCTCGCTGCCGCCAGTCGAGATATCAATTCCGAGCTGGCAGTTGTTGATGGTAATTCCTTGATATGTCCAACCCCAGTTCCAGAAGTGGCTGATGGCAGTCACTGCATTGTTGAAGGTCAGGTTGCGCATGGTAAACTGCTGATTTCCAAGGGCAGCTCCAATCTTGCCTCCATTGAAGACAAGATCACCAGCAAAGCCAGCAGAGCCTATGCAATTTGAACTCAGTAGATATTCAATTATGTATCGAATTTCGGGAAGAGAAGGGTAAACTCACCACTTTCACAAAAGATTCCTTGATGCTCAGTCCCCTGGTCAGCACTCAACTGGAAAACAATATTCTGTAAGCTTGTCGCCTGAGCGGTAGGCCAGTGAATTCCGCTAATCTGAGTTCCCGCGGCGACAGCAGTGGTATCGAGGACAAAATTCCGGACTTGTCTCCAGAAGACAGTAGTCGCAGGCCAGTTCGGATCAGCACTGAAATACGGATCTCCGTCAATCAGATAGCCGCCCTTGAACCCGGAGGATGCCTTGATAACAGGCAGCGAATTTGGGTTTCCAATGATGATCGTGTTGTAATAGTCGAAGATTGGTGCTGAAATAACGTACGAGCCCGAGGGAAAGTACACGACTGCGGGTGTGGTCGTGCTCGAGAAGCAGCCTTGCCCGCAGCGTGTGCCACTGCTTATGGCGTTGTTGATTGCTTCGGTGTCGTCCGTAACGCCATCACCTGAATTTTGTATAAGTACAGAGAAACATCGGAGACTAGAGTTGGCCTATAGTGCCTTCATACGTACCCTTTGCTCCGAAGTCCTTGACGTTACGGAAAACAGTATACTCCGAAGGTCCCATGGGAGAGATGCCCTGGTGCTTTATCGACTCCATCCAGAACTCAGGTCCATCCCGAGCAACAATTTTCACATCGGAGAAGCCGCGGCTTGCTAAATCTGAGCCATAGTGATAGCCATCATGTCGGCCTTGTAGAGCATCAATAGCAGATTCAGCTACCGGGATCGCGCCGGCAGGGGACAGAGACCCCAGAAGAAGGGAAAGCGGAAGAAGAGAGGAGATATGCATTGTGGCCTGGTCACACTTCTCAAGTAGATGATGAGATTCGGCTGTTGTCTGCACATCCATCAAAACCTGGAGATAGAGGCCATATTTATGTCTTCGCACGATGCACAGCTTGAAAACTGACACGAGTTCGTCAGGACTATGAAGAGATCTTCCCCGCGCTGAAACTGCTTTTCCTTCAATTGGAGAACAGCGGTTCCACATTTCTGACAAAAGCGACTGGTCATGATGGTTGATCGGCTCTTTGCCGTGCCCGACATCTAGATGAACCGTAGGTGACCCCCTTGAGGGTTCATAGAACCGCGGAATCTCGCACGAGACGCCATTCCTCCATCTTCTCCGCAGAATTGATCAAAATGAATCTGTCTCCACAGAAAGCTAATTCTTTGACAATGACCGACCTTGGCAGAAGGAACTTGCCCAGTATTTCGGAGTGAGGGATTTCGGAGAAGAAGCAGGGTATTCTCGCAGCGCGAGATTGCGGGGAAACGGATATCGGGCCTTTCGCGCGAGTGAGGCTTTGGCACCTGCAATATGACTTTCGCTTCATCAGGCTCGTTCCGCACCAATAGTGATCGTGTCTTCATTTCTTCGGGTTGGGCACTAACTTGCTCCCCGCGTTTATGAACCCATGTACTGTTCCTGGTTTCAAGGGTTCTTCAGTTTTCCACGCGACAATCCGCGGGGGGTGTTGAGCCTTGATCGTTGCCAAAACCCGGCAAAAGCCTAAGGTAGGTACGCTGCACGGCCCTAATTTGGCAGTTCCTGCTCTTTGGGTCATTGTATACGGGGTCCCCACACCGGCTCGGGATTGTTTATAGCCGAACGCTCGCTATTACGCCCGATTGTCCACAGGCGTCAGAGGCGTGGGAGGCGTTAGAGGGTCTGTACTAGCAATTTCTTGCCTAAATGGGGAAATAACCACCGATTGCGGGGTATTCGCTTGTAAATTGATGGACTACTGAATGGGAATAGTATACGAGGAATGAGACGGATAGGAAAAAGAATATAATCTTGCTGTAGAAATTCGAGTATTGAAATTTGAAGATGAGATCCATACCATGTGAAAGCAACCTCACAGGAACAACCTATCTTTATTTCTAAACAGAAAAAGTACATGTGAGACTACTATAGGAAAATATAGAGATAGGCTAAATAAAATCCATTGGTTCTACTCAAGTGAGCGTGTAGTTAGATAACAGACAGAACACATAGTACGGATATTTCTAGGGTCAAAATAGAACCAATATCAAACCAATCATCAATTCGCTCCCGTCAGTCCTCCAACCATTCCCATCTGCTACAGGGCCCCCTGCATTGTTCCCCTCCTTCTAATGAGGCACCACAGGGTACTGAAGATTACTGCAACTGCCGTCACACTTCTGATACAGACCGATAAACCCGTACCCGCCACAGTTCTGGAGAGGGTCACCAGCGCATGTCATCAGACAATTGCCCATAGGAGTAACCTTGGGCATATTATCCGCGGCAACGCTGTTACCACAGAAGCACTGATTCTGATTCTCCACGCCAGCGATGGTATAACCATCAGCAATGCATTTTTCAACGCATTTGGCCGGAGTCATGTCAGAGATATCGCCATAAGAACCAGTCAGGATACGCACACCACCGACATTATCCTGAGTGCATCCAATCCATTCCCATTGATGATCTCCAGTGAGATCGGTGTAGTAATGCAGAGGTTGACCAACCTCGGTAGGCGCATCGCATCCCGTCACAACATGAGCATCGTCTGGGCCTGGCTGGATGGGGTTACATCCGGGGAGTGCATCGAGCCATCCGTCAACCTGCTCATCGATTGAGCGCTCGAGGATGCAGCCGTCTGTGATCGAGTCTGGCTGGAGGGTGATAGGCTCGCACTGTGTGATATCACCGCCTCCGTCGTTGCAAGTGTTGATCGCATCCTGGAGAACGTCGATGTCCCAGCCATTAAGCTAAGGAGCAGAAATAATGTCATTAATAGTTTCTCGGTACCATGAAATGGGCTTTTGGTACTCACGAAGTCTCCATGTAATCCATAGCCAGTGGGATCACCAAAGGAAAACACAAATGGCTGTTGGTCACCATACCACATGTCGCCAAACTGCTCAGTATGCCAAGTGACCTCGATAAAGATCGAGATAATTCGAACGGGATGAGTTGCAGGACAAGGGCCGTTGTCGTAGTCCTGAGTAGGATAGGCCACATGGGCCTTGTGGTCAGAACTATCCAGGTTGACGCCGTCCCAGCACGAAGGGAAATAAACCTGGGCACGCAGGCCATTGGGGCAATTGGTTGTTGGGAAGGTGTGCGTCTGCGGAGTACCCGGGGCATCATAGTTCAGACAGGCAAAGCTTCGAGCGTGAGTCTCAATTGTTCCTTTATCGCTGCGATCGAAAGGACTCCCAGCGATCATGCGGAACCCGGCTGGTGGTGCGACAATCGCGCCATTAGTACTTGGGTCAGGTCTCTGTCTTTATGCGATGTTAGAAATGGCCTGTGAACCGAGAATGGATAGAGTCGAAACTTACTCGTAGTAGATGAGAGCACCCCCATTCTGTGGCACTTGATGAAAGCTTCCGTTCTGGGCGTGATAGTACAACGCGGCAATCCAGTAGTTTGACTTGTCTTCAATTGCTGAGCAGGAGTTGCACTGCGATGTCTGGGTCATGTTGTAGTCCATGGTGAATCCAAAGCCGGATCCACCCATGATTGTGTGGACATGGTTAGAGGCGACGCCGGGTTGAACGATTGGGTCTGCTCGTTGAATAACCAGGGGCGTGCTGCAAGGCACTTTGAAAAAGGCAAGAGATGGATGCGCAGAGCAAAGAAATATCCAGGCCAGGGAGGCCTGCTTCATGAAGAAGGGCATTTTGACTGCAGATGAGCAGGGAGGAACTAGATGCAAGGATAACGATTCACTTTAGTCTCCGAGAAGGGCAGTAATCGGCCCTCTTAAACAAAATAATTCGATTCATGTGGGCATAGAGCAGGGAGGGATTTCTCGATCCTCGTAAGTGGCTTCAATCCGAGTCATCTGTGTGATGGGACGAAACGAAAACGAGGCATCCAGGTTCAGGTTGCAACGGATTGACCAACGCCGAAGGGAGATACCGAGTGGAGATGGAACTCCTTCAGGGTTTCACCGTTCCCCGCATATACCCCTTCGTATCTTAGGCTTAATCTGCAGGGACTCTTCATGGGGAACATGGGGATAAGCTAGTAGTGGCGTATGTCGGCGTCCGAGACTCCGCGACCCCGAGACTCCGCGCGATTCTGCAGTTCCATCTTCGGATTAATGCATGCATATCGTGAAGAACCAAGGTTACGCAGGGGCAGTCGGAGATATTTTGCGGGTGAATAGTCCGGGGTAGTCTGGGGTACATCTGTAGACATCTGCAGAATGTCAACCGGCACGACTGCAGACTATAACAGGGGTAGTCCTTCAAAACAAATCCGGAGATTTCAGAGTCAAAATTAATCTCAGCACCAACTCGTCGAAATGAATTGAAACCCTTGGAGCTAACAGCGGGCACATTCAGTCCTTTCCGTCACCGATACTCCGCTGCATTCCATCGGCGGCCTTGGGAAAAGGAGATTACTCGAATATGGAAGGGAAGAAAGATGAAACTCGCACGATGTTCCGAGATGATGAAGAATATCACGGCCCTAAGTCAAATTGGAAGTCCGCGTGGTATTGAATTATGGAGCTCAATTAAACCTGGATAACTATATAAGGACATACATTGGATACCTCAAGACCAGACTCAGTCCATAGCACCCATCTGTATCAATCACGTCCACCTTACGAAAATGGCCTCTAAGACTGCCTCCTTCCTCCTGTTCTCTTTAGGACCAGCACTTGCCCTTGCTCAAGGCAAGCGCGGTCTATCGTACAACAACGGTACTCTCGCAAACCTATTCAGCGGATATGACCAAGTCACATGGGTCTACAACTGGGGATTTGATCGCATTGGAGCCGATAGCTCCTTTGACTTCTCGCCCATGCTTTGGGGCCTCCCCTCCTCGGACAATCCAGACTGGACAGCAGCAGTTCAAGTGCAAGGCACAAAGGAGATACTCGGTTTCAACGAGCCGGACTTGGGCTCTCAAGCCAACATCAACCCGTCCGATGCTGCCGCTGGTTATCGCAAGTTTATGGAGCCTTTTGCCAATCAGGTCCGAATCTCGACTCCTGCGGTGACAAATGGACCGCCCCCAGGCATGGGAATCGGTTGGATGGATCAGTTCTTTGGGAATTGTACATCCTGCACGCTGGATTTCGTGGCTATTCACTGGTACTCGAACAACGACCCGGAAGGCTTCAAGTCCCATGTGCAGCAATTCTACAAGTACAATCTTCCTATTTGGATCACTGAGTTTGCGGCTAGTGGCACGGAGGACGAACAGATCTCGTTCCTGCAGGCGGTTCTTCCTTGGCTTGATTCGGAGCCTAATGTGGAGCGATACGCTTATTTTGGTGACTTCCCGGGCTTTCTAGCAAATGAGAATGGAGACGGTCTCTCGCAGCTTGGTCAAGTCTATGCCACTTATAGTGAATAGTGGATAGGCTTGGTGTTTCTAGCTAGCCTTATGACATTATTCGACCATGTTGTCAAAGTTCTAGTCAACTCTGAAGTGTTCTGTTATTTCGATCCATCTCATAACTAAAAAGCCCCGACCTAGTAGCTAATATAAACGGCTTGGCAGTCGAAGCCCTTCCCAGAGGATTCGATGCCCCGTGCCGTTCACACTCGCTATATTAGCCATAACCGGTAGTTTTTTCGTAGACTGCTGTTCCATAGCGGTAGATTTCAAGAATGATGGTGTGGCTATACAAATAACACACTTAAATCTCAAACATATGCTCTGAAAACCTGCCAAGCTAGCTTCACCGGCGATGAAGCAATATTCAGTAAAAACTGCGAACGAAAGGGCAAGAAAGCATATCGGAACGGGACTCCATGAATCGGAAGCTATACGCCAGTATATCTGGGGTAGAGTTTAGCAAAGGAGACCAGCGAATGAAAGTCCAAACATTGTGCCACTTTGGTTTCAGATCTGGTTCACCTTAGTAGCCACATCGCATAGTATGCCTATGCGGGCCGCCAAGACCAAGGCTGACTCTTCTCGCTTCCTGTCACAAACTCGTATTTGGCAAAAGAGTGTGATATTTAATCTGTTTGACTTTGACCCCCGCGCCCTGGCTGCCACAATTGCCGGGGCCCCCGCCTCTTAGCTTGGCCGTTGAGATACTAACTTGCTCGAGTATTGGTTCGAGTATATACTCTTTGTAGTTTAGCCTCGGGAAGTCGAGATGCCGAGCTCGGTGGGCTCGGGTCGAACTAGTCTCCGAAAGTTTGCTGTATGTCGGCCCCAACCCGGGTCAAACCATATTACCCTACGCTGTTGGATTTTGATTTAATTATGATATCTGATATTGATTTCTTGACCTGATTCAAATGCTTAAGGATGAGGAATCACTCCCGCAATTCCGCGAGGCAGAAGAATTGCATTCGGTGCTCTCGGGCCTCAGGGCAGCCGGTTGCCGGTCAGCCGTTTAGTTAAATGGCTGCTTTGGAGCGGGGTCGTCTAGTCGTCTGGGGTAGACGCATGGACCCTGGGGACTCCATGGACCGGCGAGATCCGATAAACCGGGTTCCTGGCCCGTTTTCGTATTCTCTTCAATAGATCGAGTGACACTATCTTAGGGATGACATTATTAGTCATTTGACCCCCCGAGCCCATATTGCCCCGTAGCCGAACATCGAATCATAGGCGAGTTACTACAATTTCGGGTTTGGCTCTTGTCTCTCGGCAAGTCCCATCTAGGTGATGGCACGTATAGGACTCGGACTTGAAATCCTTGGCGTCAGAGACTGCGATCGCTGGTGATACAGACGCGAATTGCTTTGAAATTCTATCAATTGGCACGGAGATTTGGAATAAACAGAATGACGTCCCTTATTTCGTGTCTTTGGACCAATCCATTGAATATCAGGCAGGAACTAGCAAACTAGACTCAAGATAATACAATACACGTTCATTGCTCGAACGAAACACGATAACAAGAATTGCCCTCAGTATTGTTCAGAGACCAGCTCCAAACCCATTCAAACCCTCGTGCGGCCACGCCTCAACCAACTCCGTGAGAATTCGCAGCCGATCACGCGAATCCTCTGCCTCATCCTGCCAATACGCCAGCATCTCCACCGCACTCATGACCGCATCCTTCCAGCCGAGGGGGAGCAGGTCCTCTGTAGCTGGTGAGCGACTAGCGGCCAGTAGGACCAGGGCACTACGCGTGCAAGAGCGGAGCATCAACCAGACGCCATGATGGCGGTGTTTGAACCCCTTGCGATTTTTGTGGATCCGCTCGACGGACATTTGTAGGCCTTTGACGACGAACTCGTCGGTTAGAGGGTCGCGGGTCCGGTGTGCGATTGCTTCGAGCATGTAGGGGAAGTAGATCCACTCGTAGCAGTCGAGGAGGTGGCCGCGGAGAACGAATTTGAGCACGTCGTCGTCCATTTCGGGGCTTGAGAGGGAGAGGATTGGTGGTAGTGAGGCCGTCCTAGGGTTAAGCTGTTAGCAGGTCTTTCAAGTTTAGTCGATTTGAAGCGGTGTCAGAAGTGGGAATTACCATTCGGAGGCTTGAACCTCAAAATCTAATGAGGAATCTCTCAATTGGTAGGCATCCGGGAATCGGCCCTGGGTTTGATTCCGGAAGAATAGTTGGATAATTCGCATTGTTAACCGTCGAATGGCGGTCTCTGCTAGATAGAAGTACCAAACTCGAGATTCCTCACGGCTCAACTGTTCGATTGGGAGTGCAGGGAAGAAAGTCGGATATGTAAAGCCAAGTGGATTGGGTTGGTTAAGACCAAGCTCCAAGCGCAGCTCACTGGAGGAAAATACATCAAACCTAGTCAGCAAGGTCCAGCAAGTACAGGGCACAGAAAATGGCGTACCCGACCAAAGATATACTTACAGTTCAGACTTGAGACATGCCCAGTGTGTTGTCTCTAAACAGCGAATATCGCTGTTGAGACTTGCATGATTATCAGATACCCGGCTCGAAAATACCATGGTCTCTGCCATTGCCGCAGTCTGCACGAAGCATCTCCAGGCCTTGATTGGTTGGAAGATAGCCATCAAATATACTCCAGAGTAGAAGAAACATTGCACCTCCAGCACTCCATGCGTGCGCAGAACCACACCAAGTCTCATCTGCGCAGCTTCGAAGTACTTTTGACCGAGATGGAAGGATGGGGATCGCCGGGCTGTCATTGAGCTAGCTTCATGGTGCTCCTGGAAGCTTTCGGATATGGCGCCTAAAGCGCATACCAGCAGCTATAGAGATTGAATGTACATTAGCGATGATTGTTCAACTAGCTATGATTGATGGGAAATTAGAAAGAGTGAGATTCTTACCACGAGGCATGAGGGTGCATCCCAGCCTATCCCGTGAACGCATGCTTGGTACAAATAGTCGGTGATCAAAGGAACGTCGAGGATTGGATTTGCAATATGCACATGCTCGAGAAATATGTGGAGCAACCTGGTGCATGTTTCCAGGTCGAGATCCAGTCGCTCGAGACGAGGATCGCTTTTGGTGAGGAAAGGCTCGCCCGACACTGTCGGTGAAATGACTAAAGCTTTGAGATTGGTACTTGAGTCGAATTTGCCCTCGAAGACACTCCAGGATAGAATCGTCTCGATGGTGACTCGACTTAAATCCGAGCTGTAGTATAAGGGACTGCCGATTAAAGTCGAGGCATCGCCATCTACCACCACTGAAGATGAAGCCTTGATGGTCGCTAGATCATCGGCACGAGGATCTACAGGTGGTTTTGGCTTTGTAGACTCGGTTATTGATTGTTGCTGTTGTTGGATCAACAATTCTAGCTGATCCAGGCGTTGGATAATCACCAAACTGGCAGGATCGAATCTTCGGTGGCAGTTAGCTGCGATGGTCTATGGGTATTTTGCATGTAAAATCTGTACTGGACTGGAGGGTTTGCATACGCAGACAGGTCCGCCGGGTCGTTTACCACGCATTTAGCGCCTATTCTCTCGCAGAATGAACATGATGGCTTCTTGTTGTCGCATTTGGTTCTGCGAGCGCGACACGTTTGACAGGCTCTCACGGCCCTTTTGCGAGGGTATGCGCCACGAGGCCTGGACGCTTGCTTGGTGGCTGTTGGATTGGGACTATCAGAGGTAAGGATTTCAGAATTGAGGAGTGGAGGAAGCAGAATACGACTGCTACGGGAAGAGCCGAAGCGATACTCCGCGTCGGAGAGCAGCAGATCGGGGGAGCCGGAAGACGGTAGAGCCATCGTGTGCCGAGAGTGGGTTTGCAACAGCGGAGTCTCGCTCCAGACTGAATTTGCGGGGGAAAATCAGTGTCTTAAATCAATCAGAGACGGCGAGTGGGGATGTAGGGGTCGGAGACTAGACGAACTAGAAAACTCTCGTAGTTAACTTGCCTTTCCGGTTGAAGCTAAGCGTCGGGTTCGCTTCCAATTGAGAAAAAAGAATAATTGCGGGGAAACCGCCCAAAAGGGTCACTGCTACCACCCTCGACGCCCTAACGGGCTAACAGGGGGTCTCGCGCGACTTTTGCGACTTTTTCAACTTTTCACCTTTTTTCGCTTCTTCTTCCCATTGGAGATCTGTTCCTCCTTAACCCGGATGCCAGTTTGATATCGCTTAGCATGAACCTTGACGCCCTTGACATCTGCTTGAATAATCTATACTTCATATTATGCGTCAGGTATATAAGCCGTGGACTCCTTCCTACGGCTGATTCTTGTTGACACTGTTCTACTTCAAATCCATACATTGTTAATCGATTCTTCCAACCGCTTTAAAAATGGCGACCGAGAAGTCAGTCGAGCACTCCAACGTCGAGACGGTCACCACACCTAATCCGCCCAATGACCATGGCAAATCTGCTCTGATCACCGACAACTTCTTGGAGCATGAGCAGACTGTCTTTCAGGTCATTCGGGATCATCCGGCCTTGGTCTGGTGGGCTTTCTTCTTCAGCGTCAGTGCTATCGGATGGTAAGTTTTGCTACGCAGATTGACTTCCGTCTTTTTCTTGATCCCACGCTGACGCTGCGGTTCATATAGGGGATTTGATGCCCAGGTCAACGGAGCAGTTCTCTCCATCCCGTCTTTCCGACGAGATTTTGGAGAAGAGTACGACAGTGGCTATGTGGTCCCTGCTCCATGGCTAAGCGCGTTCAACTCGATTTCCTCCGTTGGACAGTTCTTTGGAGGCTTTATTTGCAGTATCTTTGCCGACCGTTTCGGTAGAAGACTGGCCCTGGCCATTGGCGTGCTCATTTCTTGTGGAGGTATCTTTGGAGAACTCTTTTCGACCGCCAGAGCTGCATTCCTGATCAGCAAGTTGATCTTGGGAGTCGGACTGGGTTTCTACCTCACTATCGGACCCTTGTACTCTTCTGAAGTGAGTTTGTGATCATCCTCCAGAGTAGAAGACGGAACTCGTCCTCTAACGATTTGAACAGGTCTCGCCTGTTGTCCTTCGAGGTATCACCACCGCAGGTGTCAATCTGGGTATTGTGATCGGCCAGTTGCTTTCCAACGCAGCCATCAAGGGATTCGGTGATCGGGATGATAGATGGGCATACCGTGGCCCATTTGCCATTCAGTTCTTCTTTGTCGGTACGTCACGATTCCAGCTGACAGAGTGATTTTCCTTTCAAAAATAATCGTTGGAAGGCTGACCTGTATTTTGAATAAAGCCTTCCTTGCCCTTGGACTTCCATTCTCCGTCGAGTCCCCTTGGTTCCTTGTCCGCCATGAGAGGATGGAGGCCGCTCGAAACGCTCTCCAGCGCCTCTACGGCCGCGGAACGAACGTCGAGACAAAACTCGTGGCCATTCAGATGACCGTTGCCCAAGACCTGGCAGCTCAAGAGTCCAAGTGGTCTGACGCTATCCGTGGCCCCAATCGCCTTCGCACTGCAATTTCCTGCGGAGTCTTCGTTTGCCAACATCTCGTTGGAATCATCTTCGTCCTAGGCTTTTCCACATATTTCTTCCAACTGGCCGGTCTCCCTACCGAGCGGTCATTCGATCTCGGCGTGGGAGTTACCGCCTGCGGTGTCGTTGGAACCATCATCTCCTGGACCATCGTCAATCGTATTGGAAGACGTACCATCTTCAACTCCGGCATGGCAATTCTCAGCATCATTAACTTGCTCATCGGTATCCTGGACGTCGTTCCCACCAGTGGCGCGAGCTGGACACAGGCCGCACTCACTGTGGTCTGGGCCTTCTTCTACCAAGTCAGCATTGGAGCCGTCGCCTTTGTCCTGCTCGGTGAAACATCCGCGCCCTCCCTGCGTGCTAAGACCACCGCCATGGCGACCGCTACCCAGGCTGTCTTTGGTATTGTCATGAACATTGTCGTGCCATACATGGTCAACCCGGATGCTGGCAACATGAAGGGTAAAGTGGGATTCGTCTTTGGTGGGCTGGGTGCGATCGCAACGGTTGGTTGTTTCTTGTATATTCCGGACTTGAAAGACCGCACTTTCGAGGAGATCGATACTATGTTTGCCAATCGCGTGCCGCCACGCAAGATGGGAGAATATGTGGTCGAACATTAAGGTTCCACTTTGGAGCAGATACCTATATACTATGTGTTCTATTTTGGATGTCTTTGTTTGAGGGTGCGGTTGTACTGCAGGTGATGCAGGTGGGCTCAGGCCTGCTCTGTATCTAGGTGGGTGTCCTTCCGTCTTCCATTCAAGGCCACCTATCTAGCTACAAAAGCTTTGACTTTGCAGCGCAGGCTAGTTAGCTCCGTCAGAGGAGGGAGAATAATAATGCTTAATCAGATTGGCCCAATCCTTCAGGTAGCACAATGACTTTGTCAGCGTAATAGAACTCATTCAAGTTAGTCCACCACTACCCAAAAGGAATATAAAATTATCCTATCCGCATAGAGACGGGTTGAGATTTAGCAAGTTTCTATAATTATAACTGGCGAGCTACACAGTTCATTGTAAGTAGGCATATTACACCAAATCCTAAGTCAACCAGGTCATCCTGACATCTATACCATGCTGTAAGCGAACACAATCGGAATTCCGAGCATGGGGTAGTAGATTGCAACTACGGCCCGAATCAATGAAATTACTTACTCGACACGGCCAACACTGCCCCACATTCTAGAAACACAACATAAGCCGATGCATCGTCTCGGCTTTAAACAGTGCATGCAATGCCCCATGGGGATATACCCTTGGGGCCGTGTGACACCACCTGGTAGCCAATCAGAGAAGAACGCGACACTCCGCGGCCGCGACCCCACTGCCAAGAAGCTCCTGCATTAGCGCCAGCCGCACATCCGTAACATGGCGGATGGCTGCTCACGCTCACAATAATCCTCGGCCTATCGCGACCTGCTGGAGTCCGAGACTGGAAGTCCCTCAAGGAGATTTTGGCTAATCTCACAAAAGTGGAACCGATGCACGTGGGTATACAGAAATGTCTATCCGCGACTGTTGCACTCCTCGCGGAGTCGTGCCCCCGAGCTGCAACTATGCCATCCCACAATATCATACGGGATAGTTCCAGACATTTTTTTTTCAAACATGCCGATCATATAAAGGTTGGAACAGCTCCTGGACTTTTGTACTGTTTCAACGGCTTTTCACCCTCTCTATCTTGACCTGATTAGAGGAATTGGACGAAGCAAGCTCACCATGGCTGAGATGGACATTGACCACATTCTTTCCGAACTTTCCATAAACGAGAAAGTTGCATTGCTCTCAGGTATTTAGCATTTACTAGTCCGTTCCTATTCTTTCTTCCCAATCAACATCATTGACAAATGCTCCCGACTTCATAGGCGTTGATGCCTGGCACACCTATGCAATCCCTCGCCTAGGGGTCCCAGCAATCCGGACAACAGACGGACCAAACGGTGCTCGTGGAACACGTTATTTCAATGGCGTGCCCTCTGCCTGCCTCCCATGCGGAACAGCATTAGGCGCTACCTTTGACACAGACCTAATATTCGAGCTTGGCCGCCTTCTAGCCGCAGAGTGCAAGGCTAAGGGTGCACACGTTCTTCTAGGTCCAACGATCAATATACAACGTGGTCCATTGGGTGGAAGAGGCTTCGAGTCTTTTTCTGAGGACCCGGTCCTCTCGGGTCTTGCGGCGGCAAGCTACTGCGCTGGCGTGAAAGACCTCGGTGTGATTCCTACGCTGAAACATCTAGTTTGCAATGACCAGGAGCATGAGCGTGTTGCTGTCAGTGCGATGGTGACTGAGCGTGCTTTACGTGAGATCTATCTTCTGCCCTTCCAGCTGGCGATTAAGGGCGCGAGGCCAGGTGCCTTGATGACTTCCTACAATAAAGTGAACGGATCTCATGCGAGCGAGAGCCCCAGGTTGCTAACGGATATCGTCCGGAATGAATGGGGCTACGAGGGTTTGATCGTTAGTGACTGGTTCGTCTTCTCACTTTGTCCCGGATTTTGTTTCCTATCATCTAACATCGAACAGGTTCGGCACTTATAGCGTTGCGGGGGCAGTCAACGCCGGCCTCGATCTCGAAATGCCCGGCCCTTCACGATTCCGTGGTCCAGCTTTGATGCACGCTTTGACTTCCAACAAAGTCTCGAGTAAAACACTTGATGACCGCGTACGCAAGGTGCTGGAGATGGTCCAACTCGCTTCAAAGGCCGAGATCCCGGAATATGCCCCAGAGCGCCAGCTGAACCGGCCAGAGGACCGCGCGCTTCTTAGGCGTGCCGCAGCCGAGTCAATAGTATTGCTCAAAAATGACAACAATGTTTTGCCTCTTGATCCGAAGAAAAAGACCCTTGTTCTCGGCCCCAACGCAGATGTCGCCGCCTACTGTGGTGGTGGATCAGCGTCGTTGCTGGCATACTACACGGTCTCGCCGAGGCAAGGTATCGCTGAAAAGTGTGAAGTGGAATTTACACAGGGCGTTTATGGACACAAAGAGCTGCCACTGTTCGGAGAACATCTTAAGACTGACAGTGGCGAGCCTGGATATACGTTCCGTGTCTTCACCGAGCCCCCGAGCTGCAAACAGCGCCAGCCAGTCGACGAGCTTCACATGACCAACAGCTCTGCCTTTTTGATGGACTACAGCCATCCCAAGGTATCCGGCGACACCTACTACGCTACTCTCGAGGGAATCTTTGAACCTCCCGAGAGTGGTGTCTATGAATTCGGACTCACTGTGGCGGGTACGGGACTCCTCTATATCGACGGCGAGTTGGTCGTAGACAACAAGACGGAACAGCGTCCCGGGACGTCATTCTTCGGAATAGGAACTTTGGAAGAGAGAGGCTCTCGATATTTAGAAGCTGGCAAGCAACACCGACTGTTCATCGAATACAGCACTGCCCCTACTTCAAACCTGAAGCACCACGGCGTTGTCTCATTCGGACCTGGTGGTGTGCGACTCGGCGGGTGCCGGAAGCTAGACGCGGAACTTTCGATCCAGGAGGCAGTGAAGCTGGCAGCACAGACGGAGCAGGTAGTTGTCTGTGTGGGATTGAGCGGCGACTGGGAAAGTGAAGGCTTTGATCGCCCTCATATGGACCTGCCACCGCAGACAGATGACCTCGTCAAGGCCGTGCTGGAGGTTCAGCCAAACGCAGTCGTTGTCGTGCAGAGCGGTACGCCTGTGACAATACCTTGGGCCCATCAGACTAAGGCGCTGCTTCAGGCTTGGTACGGGGGTAACGAGGCTGGAAATGGAATTGCCGATGTACTCTTTGGTGATGTGAATCCGGTATGTATACCCACTGGAGAGGAAGATTGGATAATATTCAAGCTCGCCTGACTGATCGACTGACACATTAAATAGTCTGCGAAGCTTCCCTGACCTTCCCAGCGGACATTTCGCACAATCCCTCGTACTTGAGTTACCGCTCTGAGCGCGGAAGAGTCCTGTACAGCGAGGACGTGTACGTTGGATATCGATACTACGACAAAGTTGGCAGCGCACCGCTCTTCCGCTTCGGCCATGGACTCTCGTACACAACGTTCAACCTGTCCAATCTCACAGTCCACGAGACGGCCGCGCCCAACAAGACAGCGATTCAGGATGAATCTATCGAGATCTCCGTCTCCGTGGCCAACACTGGCCATCGCAGCGGCGCAGAGGTTGTTCAGGTTTATGTGCTACCGCCGGCTAGTGCATCTGTGGGACGGCCTGTGCGGGAGCTCAAGGGATATCGGAAGATCATGCTTCAGCCTGTTGAGACAAAGGAGGTTTCTATTTTCGTTCCGGTCGGGCTTGCGACTAGCTTCTGGGATGAGGGCCGAGCTGCGTGGTTGAGTGAAGCGGGGATTTATACTATCGAGGTTGTGGGCACTGGAGAAGGGAATAAGTTATCGGCAGAGTTTGAGGTCAAGACTTCGAGGTATTGGAATGGGCTATAGTGGGAATCTCCTATTTTCATATCGAAATTATTAGATATCCTCTCAAAAAATACGCCATTTTCATCTTTCTTTATGCGTATTGAGGATACCAAACCCCGAGGATTATATAGTAGAACCGTACTAACTGAATGCAGTTAGCGGTCGTGCCATCATGCACCGAGCGGCGTGCGAATAACAAGCACCGACAGACTGACGCGGCCCTCTTGCCACAATTGTGGCGGCACAACGTGTTCGAGAAGACTTGAACCCTGCAGATCCACTGCTCGATACCTTGGAGTTAACATGATGTATTCTGGTGACGAGTCTAGCTATTCTATCTATCACACTAGCATTATCAGCCCTTCGACATTGGAATCGCAGTATCAGATACTTTAAATTGCACTTGTAATTAAAACGCTCGGCCTCGAATCATAAAATCAAGTAGGAATGGCTGCAAGCGAAGGCGGGATGACCGGCAACAATGAATGGAATACCAGTCTATAGGGGTCTTCGTCCATGCTTAACGTCAGATTAATATTCATATAAAGCCAGACACCCCTAGAGTTATTTCTTTCCTTTGAAGCCAATCTCCTAACTGTCAAATTTTTGGTCCTATCGTAGTTACTCCCAAGGTCGGCCGCTTCGTCATAGCCTAGTGCCAAGGCTCGTGCACCCGTTCCAGCCACAGTCCCCTCTCGGTCTCTCTTGACACTCTCTCATCCTCTCCATCTGTCCCCTCCCTATTCCCCCCCCCCCTCTCACCTCCTTCCTCCGATCGAGCCCAGCGTCCAATTCTTGTCGCATTCCCCTCCAGTGGCTGGTCCGCCCTCCTACCATTCCGAAGACCCTACAGGTGACCCTCGACCTCCGCACGCCTTACCTCTTACCTTCTCTCGCCTTGGGCCGCTATCCGGAGCAACGACATCAAGTGGGCTGTGAGAGCTTGGCAAGAGACTCTCCGCTATAACCATACGAATCGCCCGATCGGTACTACTCCTCGGCTGCCTCCTTTATTGTCTCTATCCCCTCTCAACCGTCGCGTTTACACCCGCCACTATGTCGAAGGTCGTTCGCAGTGTCAAGAACGTCACAAAGGGATACTCCTCGGTGCAGGTAAAGGTCCGAAATGGTATGCGTAGCCCCCTCCTCCTCATCTGGATCGATGCAGTCAATCCCCCGCGATCACTACATTTGCGCCTACTCTCTGTATCTCCTTGCCACTGCCTCCTTGCTTTCGGCAGTGACGATTAGAGGATGGAGAGATGCATTGGCGATGAGCCTGCGATTTGATAATAACATGCTAACTCGGCGATTCTTAAAGCTACCAGCAACGATCCATGGGGCCCGACGGGCACTGATATGTCCGAGATCGCAGCCATGACATTCGGGAGGTAGGTGTTCACCTGATGGTCTCCATCTTGACGGGAGTGGGTCTAACGTCACCTTGCATATAGCCCGAACGAGTTCTACGAGATCATGGATATGCTCGACAAGCGCCTCAACGACAAAGGAAAGAATTGGCGCCATGTGCTCAAGTCATTGAAGGTGCTGGATTACTGCCTGCACGAGGGTTCCGAGCTAGTGGTGACGTGGGCCCGGAAGAACGTCTATATCATCAAGACTCTGCGCGAATTTCAATACGTTGACGAGGAGGGCAGAGATGTGGGCCAGAACGGTGAGTACTCATGTCAATCTATTTCGTGCGCATTCCTTACTAATGATCGTCGGCAGTCCGTGTGGCCGCGAAGGAGCTCACGGCATTGGTGTTGGATGAGGATAGACTACGCAGCGAACGTTCAGATCGCAAACTCTGGAAGACCCGTGTGAGCGGACTCGACGATGGATATGGTGGAGGAAGCAGCGAGCCGTCTCGTCGGGAGCGCCGGCGACCCCGCCATGACGACGAGGATGATACCGAATACCGATTGGCGATCGAAGCTAGCAAGGCCGAGGCCGAGGAGGAGCGCAAGCGACGGGCGAAGAATGCCAACAATGATGATGACGAGGATCTGGCCAAAGCGATCCAGCTTAGCCGGGAAGAAGAGGATCTGCGGAAGCGTGAACTGGAGGAAAGCAATGCACACTCGCTCTTCGATGAAACCCCAGCCCAGGTTCAGCCTACCGGCTTCAATCAGGGTTACCAGCAACAAGGTGCTGTCGACTGGTTCGGCAACCCCATTAATGTCCAGCAGCCGATGACGACTGGCTTCTTGAACAACCAATATGCGCAGCCCACGGGATTCCAAGGCCAGCCAACCGGCATGGCTAACCCATATGCCAATGGCTATCAGCAGCAGCAGCAGCCCTCTGTCTTTGACCAAAACCCCTACGGACAACCCCAGAACAACTTCTTGCAGCCACAAGCTACCCTCCAACCCCAGCAGACTGCCTACAACACCAACAATCCCTATGGAACAACCGATGTTTTCGGTCAGCAACAGCAACAGCAACAGCAACAGCCCCAAGAAAACTACCTGTCCGCGGGAACCAACAACCCTTGGGCTGCAAACCAGCCTGCCGATGCATTGAAACCCATGCCAACTGGCTCCAACAATCCCTTCGCCCAACGCACCCAGCCCCAGTTCACCAACCAACCAGCAAAGGCGGGCCCACCATCTCTTAACACTTTGGCCGAAGATCGTGCCACCTCCCAATTCAACAACAACCAGTATAATGCTAGCCAATTCGCTCAGCAGCCCACCCAGTCCAACCCTATTGCCAACTTCCAGGCCCCCCAGCCATCAAAGAGTGTTCCGCCCCAGCCTGCAGACCCTCACCACGCCCGTCTCAATGCGCTTCTCGCATCAGGCGAAGGCCAGGACACCTTCGGCAACGTTGGCGACTTGCGTATCCCTGCCCAGCACACGGCTCCGGGTACATTCGTCAACTCCGCCGGTCAGGGTTTGGATCGTCTGCACGCCGCCCAGACTGGCAACAACCCCTTCTTCGGTCAGCAGTACACTGGTATGCCTCAGCAGACCGGTTTCATGCAACAACAGCCCACCAACAACCCTTGGGGCGCTCAGCAAAGACCGCAGCAGCATGGCGGTAGTCTGATTGACCTCTAAATCCATTATCCTCGGATACCATCTCCCTTTTCTTTGTTCACGAAGTCTCGATCCCTTGCTTCGCCTTTTTTTTCTTCCTCCCTTATCAAACCCCCCTCCATGTCACGCCACCTACATGGAAAACACAGCGCAATTGCATTGTGAAGCTACACGTCCCAGATCCTGAACTTCCATCACACTCTGCTTGTCTCCCCTTTGTTCCACTTTCCCTCTGGGCCACAGAATTCCCTCGGTCGTCTTCTTTTTGTCTCTTTGTGCTTTCCTCGTGTCCTGCCCACTGTTTCTCTTCTGTTTTGTTGCCTCCGTTTTTGTCATTAGGATATCCTTCTCACTTCTCACTTCTCAACTGGGCTTGAGGTTTTTCGTGCCTTGTCACTTCATTCATCATGCTAGATACTGTAGGAATTGGTAGATCTAAGTGCTGGTTGTCAGTTATGGTATTCGGTTGTAGCTATGCTGCTGGCTAGACTTGTACTCGTCTTTTCTAGCTGTGACAAGGATAAACTATTCAGCAAGTGTAGTCACAGGTTATTAAGGAGTGATAGCTAAGTACGGTGTTGCATGAAAGTTCACTCGATCAAAAAAAATTAGAATGCTATTGACAATCGACTTTTACAAAACTCATGCGCACGCATAGCTCGTTGGCACAGATGGACTGCCCACCCCGTCGTAGATAGCACTTTTCGGGTAGGGACAAACAGGTCTCGTCCATGACTCTCCATCCACAGAGAAAGAGATAGGGAGCGAATCTGGCTTGATATCATTTTCGACCCAGTCTCGCAAAGCATCGAATATGCTCAGTGGTTGGTTGGTGGTATGTCCACCGCAGTGTCCCAAGCCTGGGACTTCGTAGAGACGGTAAAAGTCATGGATGTCCGGGATCAGCGTGGTTACTCTTTTATAGTAGTCTTCAGAGCCTGCTGTGGGAATTGTTGGATCGGACTAGATTATTGTTAGTCTTGTACGGGACGAGTGTCAGAGTCGAGCAGTGACAACCTACCAATCCATGATAACCCATAATCTTGCCACCAGCCTTTTTAAAAGCAGATAGATCTGGATCATCGGTGCCAATAATTGGCCCATACTTGGCGGCCGAGATATCAACCAGCTTAACGAACTCGGGAATCGTCATTGCTTCAAAGTCAAACGAAGGATCGTTCTCACTGGCGAAATATTGAAGCCATTGAGCCCCTAGGGCGAGGGGTTCCCCGACACAAGTGCCATTGGGGATACACTTTGTGACGGCATTGGCATCCCTGCCAGTGAGATCACCCGAGATATCAGCGCCGTAGTTCAGCCCATACCAAATGAATTCCCCATCTTCATCCCGAGGGCCCGTCCATGTTGCATTTGCCACTTTAGCTGCTGCACTGCTGAGAGTTCGGATAGTTCCAGTAGATGAGCAATTGAATTGTTGACCGACGTGCGAAAACGGATCGAATACGCATTTGTCCATGGCAGAGATAATCCGGTCTTTGACACCGTCCAATTCGTCGCAAGCTGAGATCGCCGCCTCGCCGAGGTAATCTAGCTCACAGCCCTCGGGGTATTCCTTCAAATTATTCATAACCACCTGTGGCCACACCCGAGAAGGGATGAGATGCCCCCAATTAATATCCGTCGCAGAAGCGACAATACCATCGTATAAATCCGGATATCTCTGTGCCAACATTAACCCCTGACGACCACCCTGAGAGCACCCGCTGAAGTACGAGTACAACGGGGCTTGCCCATAAAAGCTATTGATAAGATTCTTTCCAATCAAAGCTTCATCACCGAGCGAGACGGACGCTAGATTTTTGAGGATGTTGATACTGGGTTCCCCATTCTCATCTAGTGCCCAGCCACTGAAGTCCCGGGTATTGTTGACCTGTCCTGCATTGGTGCTGATAGTAGCATACCCCTGTCCGACTGCAGCGTACATTTCATAGTGCGAGATACTGTTCAACCCGGCGGAAGCACTGGCGCCGCCGACGGCTTGGAAGCGACCGTTCCAGGATCCGAATGGGAGCCATGTCATGACGGTGATTAGATCGTTGTGTCCAGGGTGGGTGTACTCGATTGTGATGTTGCATATTGAGATATTTGTGAAATTGATGGTCGGGTGGTTGAATGTTTGGGATGATGGTGCCGATCCAGAGAAATTGGTTACTAGGAATGAGTTGATGGATAGAAATTGGGCGTTGGGGACCACGGGGGTTGGGAAGCACTGAGATGTGCAGAGTGATATAGACCCCTCGGGGAAAGACATATCTTCCGGTGTTTGGGATCTTTTAAAATGATGGCAGGAACTGTGTTTCTAGGTAAGTTTAAACGAGATGGAGGCGGATAAAAAGGGTGATCCCTGCATTAGGCCCCCCTCCCCCTCTCGGATAACATCAGAATCCATCCATCCATCCAGCTGGACCTTAAGTTCATCGCTTCTACGCTGACAAAATGAGTGATTGCAGATAGTTGAAATTTTAAGAAACAAACTGGAAAAAAAACATCTTCGTTTGAGATACCGAGAGTAAAACACACAAAGTTGCTGAGGGACCCGCGGACGCGAACAGCTTGAAAGATATATATGGATCTTTGACCTACCGCAACCTTAAGGTATTCGGACAGAATCTTCGGCCACTCAGGTTGATCGCTATCGGACGAGCTCAGCGTGATCCTAATGGGCATATCGATCAAACAATTCACTCATCCTATTTACGTCATGGCGGAAAGTCAGCCTGCAGATGAGGGGAAAGAACAATTTATGTGCGAAGCGGTAGTTAGGATAGTCTATATGTTGTCCGCAAATTTCCAGCTGACTAGGTGTAACAACATGAAAGAACGGTGCTTCGGAAGCCTAATACACTCGAATCATATTCAACCATGCATAGCACCAAGGCCTGTATCAGGCTGAATCCTCTGCCACTCTTTACCATGGGCCGTGACAATAGAAAGCGCTGACAGTGCGACAGTCAGAATCGAACCCAACATCCTAGCGTACTTGTACTTGTCAAATCAGATCCTTGAACAAGACCAAAATTACTCTGACTTCACACCAATATAGTAATACAAAGTGATGAATGGGAATTGGACAGTTTTCTGTCCACTGTGGAAGGTCCACTTAGAAAGGTCAAGCCCCGGCTGATCCAGCAATGCCCGGACTTCCTCTGTGGTGCGAGTTCGCAAGCAGGAGATGAACCCATCAAGCCAAATTGTCAATGGTGCTATGGGGAGGATAAATGTGAAGAGGAGATGGACAGGCGAGTTCCAAAACCAGAGAAGGGTTACGTGGAAAGCCCAGAAGAACACCAATGGCGAACATAGGCAAGTCCAAACATCGCGTGCTGTGATTTCAAATATTCTGACGCTCATCAGCATTGTATGCGAAATGATGAACATAGTCACTCACATAAATGCGTCGGCAGACTCAATGTTATTCTTCAGAATGCCCGCTGCATCCTCGTCTGCAAAGTGGTGGAAGCAGATATTGAAAATTCGACACTCTTTCATGCCTTTCGCCGCAAATCGAGGAGCAGCTCGTGCATCGACTCGGTTCTCAATGTATGTCACATTTTGTTGTTTCTTCGAGATGCGACTCCATTCTTCGTGGTGGGGATAAAGATCACTCAGGATGAACTGAACGGGTTTCTTGCCTTCAGACTCAAGCTTTTTATTGATCTCAGATTCGAGCACCGGGGTAGGACCGCCAGCGCCAGCGCAAATATCCAATATCGTGTAAGAAGAAAGATCTTGCAGATGCTCCTCGACCACTGAACATGCCTGCGTCGCGAGACTTCCGCGGCTCCATCCGGGTACTTTAAGATTCCACAATCGAGTGAGAGAGAATTGCTCATGTTGATGAAGCCATGAAGGGCACCATGTCTGATCACCAATTTCTAGAAGCTGCGATCGAGGCCAGGACATATCTTTTGAGTTGACGTGGATTTTGAGGTTTAGCAGTATGAATCGAAAAGGGCAGGAGGGTGGTTGGGTTTGGAATGGAAATTACCGATTGCTGACTGTATTTGAACTAGTCCGTATTTGGTAAAGTTTCAATAGATCCCAGCAGGAGAGATATTGAATCGATCGATAGTGACAGCCATGATCATGATCGCTCGGTAAATTTGCTAATTGATTTTTACAGAATATGATATGTCTGGAAACGTCTTTTGTGCAAGAAGACAAGGAGTCCGTGGAGTGCGCCCGCTGCCAATGTCAACGTGCCTAAAAGTAAAGTTAATTAGGCTTTTCTCTTTGTAGAATTCAGCCATCGTATTTCACTAGTATTAGCGTATCTTCACGAAAGCGGTGAATGGCCATCATGCGTTGCGCGTAGAACATCTCGTTGCTGACGCTCCCATCAACAACATCAGCAGAAAATATAATGAAGGTTCTGATTGTCGGCGCAGGCCTAGGGGGACTGGCTTGTGCAATTGCTTGCCGCCGCGAGGGAATTGACGTGGAGATCCTTGAACGGTCACCAGAGATCCGCGAAGTCGGAGCAGGCATCCAAGTACCACCAAATGGAACCAGAATAATGCGCGACTTTGGGCTTCTGCCCCAAATGCTGGAGAAAGGAACGCAAGTTCAAGAAGTGAGCTTCCGAAGATACAAGGATGGTCGTCTGTTGCGAACAATGCCATTTGGTGATGATATCACGGAGCAATTCGGGGCACCCTGGATGTATGTTGTTGTGTGACCCTCGTCTCTCTCGGGATCCTAAACTATGTTCAGTGTTATTCACCGCGTTGACTACCATCGCATACTTCATGATGAAGCGATTCGTCTTGGTGCGGCCCTTCGACTGGGAGCGGAGGTCACTAGTATCTCTACCGAGGAAACAACAGCCCTTCTTGCCGATGGGACAATAATACAAGCAGATGTCATTATTGGTGCTGATGGTAATTAATAAAGACTTCCAGTTCTCGCTTGGGACATATGAGCTGACAACAACAGGCCAAATGTCTTCAGTGAGAACAGCCGTTCTTGAAGCTCCTGTGTCTCCGACTGCCACGGGAGACATGGCGTATCGAGCAACGTTCTCTAGGGAGCAGCTCGAGGCTCTAGGTGATGAAGATGTTAATGAGCTCTGCCAGAAAATCGCCGTGACTACCTGGTTGGGACCGGACAAGCATACTATATTCTATCCTGTCCGCGGCGGGAAGGAGTTCAACCTTGTCCTGCTTCGACCGGATAATTTATCCTCAGATATCCGTAAGGAACAAGGTGATGTTGATGAAATGCGTGAGAGCTACACAGACTGGGACAAAATGTGAGCATCTTAGGAATATTTTCTTCAGCGATACAGGGTGGCTTGCTAATTGTTGCTCATCTCCACTATGCCAGTATACAGAAAGTGATCTCTTGTGTGCCGTCAGTTTATAAATGGAAGCTGACCCATCTTCCTGAACTTGAATCATGGACAAAGGTTGGTACTTCCCAGTGTCACTCATCTTTTAAAAAGCCTATTCTAACTCAGTCAGGGATCCGTTGCCCTTCTTGGTGATGCTTGCCATCCCACCCTGCCTTACCAAGCGCAAGGGGCTGCTATGGCGGTCGAGGATGGAGCCGTCATTGGCAAGCTTCTTGGCTCCTTACAAACTCAAATTCTAAAGCCAAATAGCTCTGATGAGCAACCTTTATCAACAAGATTCTCAACGCAGGAGCTCACTACTGAGGTGTTGGCTCTTTATGAGAAGAATCGCAAAGCACGCACAACGCGAAATGTTCAAGGAGCAGTGAAGAACCGCAAACTATTCCACATCCAGGATGGAATTTTACAAAAGATTCGAGATTTTGTATTAGGGTATGCGGGGGTGACTCGGAAAAGCGATTGGACATGGCTCTCTTCATTCCGGCAGGGCCAAACTCTTGGCTTGGATGTGCTGGAAGATTGTGGAAAGGCCTTTGAAGATTGGGAGTTATCAATTGTACGAGAGATATGAATGTAACAATAACGACTCACGATTATGCGAAGTCCGTTGTTTACAGTGATTACTTCGGCTCCCTTAGTTTGGTAAATTTTTCGAGACGTCGTTGCTTGTTTCAGAGCTCGGGAGAACCACATTACATGCATAGCGATAGGAAGAAGATACCCTAGATTTAACATTGTCTCAATGGCCAGTAGATACATATCAAGTCCGCGAGTAGAAAGACGATCGAAATATATATGCTTTCTCATAGCAGGAAACATCAGGCTCCTCGCCTATGTGCGTAATGAATCGCAAATAGAAAACATGAAGATGCAGAAGGAAGCATATGCTCTTGTGGCTTCGAGAAAAGGAAGAAATTATGCAAGGGTGCCAATGACACCACAAAATCGTGCAAAAACAACCATGAGATAGAACAGCGCCAGTAATAGTACATTTTCCTTACGTGTGCGCCGCCATATACCAAGTCTTCCGAACTTTTGAAGAACCAATATCCAGGCCCTAAATCCCGAACCCCGAGGTCTTTTCTTGGAGAGTTACCTAATTTGTTCTGGCTGCCTGGTTTCTGCGTTTCAGCCAACTTGCCAATGTTGGGAAATAAGTCTTAGTCTTGCGATTTGACTTTGACGCCTGAAGGTAAGCGATCGGATGCGTCAAAGTAGAAGGCTGTGTTGGTGAACCTGAAATGGCATCAGGTTGTTGAAAGCGCTGAGATTGACCGTTCTCTTGTAATATTTTAAAATCCGAGTGCCATTCAGCAAGCCGTTTATCTTCGATGGCTTGTGCAACTATGCGTTCAGTTCCCGACAGGGTGGAGATGCGATCAGCTTCTTCCCCTCGGCGGACAACCTCTAAGTGTTGTAGATCCGCAAGGCTGTAGGAGTGTGGACTCTCTAGAAAGCTATTGTTAGAACATGAACGCATTTTCTTTGGTATGGGGAGTGGTACCTGTCAGCGGTTCGCGTCTTTTATCAAAATCAATCGCAAAGAAGTAAGTCTCCTTGTCTTCGTCTTCATAGTCCTCATCATCATCCGTGAAGCAGTCTTGATATCGTGAAAATACTTCGTTATCAAAGAGAAATGTGTCGCTCAAGATAACATCCACCGGAGCATCTTGCAAAATATGAAAGTCAAGCTGATAAGGCGAACTGAATGAATCATCGTATCCAAAACGCCATTCCACGTCGTATGCCATACCTATAGTCTCAGCAACTGAATTGTCGGCAAATATCACTTTTCGTCGAAGATGACGGCCAGTCTCAATATTAACGCCAATATCTCGTGCATATGCCTCATTCATCACCAAAACCTTCGACCCGGAGTCGGCCAGGGCAGTGTGAGGCTGACCGTTGACAGATCCTGAGACCATCGACGTCGATGCACCAAGATATAGAAAGCGGAACTGTGATATCCCCTTGACCATTCGCTCCTTCACACGACGAGCGTAATTGGTCAAGTTTGAGAATGTTTGTGTGATCTTCAAGAATTGCTTCCCAACGATAACGTCGTGAATGCAATCGGGTAGGATGTGAAATTTGAGGATATGCACAGTTTTCTCCTCTCTGAACCTAAACGGCACCACTGTCGTCCCAACAGTTTCAACCTGCTTTCCACTCCCAACAGTCACTTTGCCCGTCCAAGAACGCATGATGGGCAGTCCTAGTTGTGTAGCAAACCCTTCTCTGAGGAAGTTGCCCTTAGCCCCATAATCCCCGAGTGCGTTTGCTGATTGCTCCGCAATTTGACAAGGTATTTCGAAAACTCGCATATCGCCATCATTTGGAAGCAAATGCATCGATCTCGGTGTTTTCATGTGAAGTAAATCCATCATTCTTCGAAGTCGGAGCCACGGAGCTTCTGATAGGCCTTGCCACGAGTTCGTATGTAGCCCTTCACACTTGGTTTGAATTCTCTTTATCCAAGGGGCAACCCTAGCATAGGTCTCAACAACCCTCGCATAGGTCGCAAAAATGGCTACGAATTCCATCTTGGGTGAAGGCTATGCGGTTCCTGATGGGACGAACAAAGGCTGTTCTCTACGGAGACCAGGCGAGTCGGAGTGAAATACCTTATTGTGACTCGTTTCCTCAGAGAAATTCCTACAGTGAGTCAGAATAAAACTCTACTCCAGAGTAATAGAGGTCATTGATAGCATACCCCTAGGCTCACTTTGTGGGTTTCCGTGACGATGAAGCCTTCCCGGACTTTGATCGTGGTGTTGATGAGCTTGACGTTGGTCTGTGAACGAAATGGCAAAATGAGTCTCACTGAGAAGGGATTTATGAAAACTGACAGGTGTGTTAGCGAGCCCCCATGCGGCGCTTTGGGCAGGATGGCTCAGCCACTTGACGTTGGGCACGCTGACGAGGAAGAAAGCCGCATCACACGATTGGCTGCCTCGCGCAGGGCGCCCTTCAAGGCGGTCTTCGCCCACTCGTAATCAGGACGACTAATCTTTACATTTGAATATAGCCTTCTGGCAAGTACTATTGACTACACAATGATATGGCAACAGCTATCAACGTGACAGGTTCTGATAGCGAACTTGGCCATGTCCGAGATGGCTACCCTGCACTCGCTACTTGGATAGGCGGGGATCCAGATGGCGAAACACTGGTATTCCGCAGGTTCAGACGACTAAGCGCCCGCAATCTTCTTCATTTACAGAGTCAGCTGGTTCAGTTGGAACAAGAAATAGATGAGCTTGATATGCAAGCGCGGACGAGTGCCGACCTTGACGCTTGCCAGGCATCGAGACGATGGGAAACATTCACGCAGCTTGCTGCTGATCCGGATAGGCCGGAGAGGGTACGCATGGAGAAGGTGAATGAGCTATCTGTTAAAATGAAGGAGTATGGTAAGGGAATCGCGCTGGACATTCATCCGACTGAGCTAATATCATCTTCTAGAAGAGGCACTGTTGCGACAGTCCCAAATCGCCAGTTTAAGCGGGCCTAGCAGCCGAGTACTTAACACTTATCGCCATTACATGGATGGGGACTCCTGGAAAGGCCCGTACGTCCCATCCGTCCGGTTGATCAGTGGAAAAGCCAAAGACATGCTCAATGAAGCGGATGACTTGGTCGCTTTAAAACGTCGCACCGATGAGGACCTTCTTACCAAGTTTCTGCAAGACCATTGGGTTTTTCAAAGTCGCAAAACTAAAGACCCAGTGGACCGTACGACTCTCTACAAGGGGAACCACGTCAAACATTTCGTTTCAGTGATCAGTATACTCTTTGCAGCCATCCTGTTGATTCTCGCAATTGTCAGTCTATATATCGCCAAGCACCCGGCTACGAAACTGGGTTTGGTGGTCACCTATACATTTGTGTTTGCTTTGAGTCTTGCTCTTTTGACTAGTGCTAGAAGGGCGGAAGTCTATAGCGCTGCAGCTACCTATGCTGCAGTGCTCGTTGTTTTTATCTCAGGGAATTTGGGTGCGGGATGACATGTACTACACAAGTTCCAATAGTAAAGCAGAATCACCTCTAATATTTTCATAGATGATGGTGTCATCGACACCTACGCAGAGGAAGCAGAAAAGAAGGGGAATCTGAATCAATGTCTCTATCTAGACTATGATGAAGATGGATCTAGAGAAGAAGAAGGAAAGGAAGAAGAGAAAGACCTAAATAGGTCTACAAGACAAAGAACAAAGCGTCGGCCCTGGAAAGAGCCATCAAACCTGCAGAGCAATCTATGCAGGTGTAAACGGGAGGACGCATGACCAAACGACCGAGTAGCCGAGGTCAATAGGGTCGAGTCATCAATAGACTAGATCATGTCTCAATCGACTAGATTAAGATCTCCAGATCATGATTCCATAGGGATCACGATCCGCATCACTAACAGATACCTCCACGCTAGCATCCTGGTAAACTTCCTCTCCCACTGCCGAAGAAGTAGCTCCACCCTGCTTCGCAGAGTCCTTGAGTGCCTGGAGAGCCACTTGCCGGTCACTTTCCCAGCATTGCGACAACTCATCCTGCAACTTGCGCTGCATAACCGCACGGATATACCCACGTTCAGAGTTTGAGTGAGAAAGAGAGATAACCACTGATCCACGCTCGGTGGCAGCAAGAGCTTCGTGATGGCTCATCTCGCCAGTGAAAAGAAGGTCGGGAATATCACTTCCGCGGAGAAGGACACCAGATCCGGAGCCGGGGCACATACCGACAGTGCGGATCCGGATATCGTCGACGGACCGTCCTTGTGGGATGGCGATGGGAATACCTGCTTGGAGACCGACGCCACGGCCTATGTGGTCGATCAAGGTTGTGAGAGGCTGGGCGTCGTTGAATGTGACTAGACGGCCGGCGCCAGCAGACTCGAAGCCTTCCGGGATGGAAACTGGGGGTGATGGGTGGATGGTTGATCGAGTGTGAGGCAATTGCTGAGAAATGTTTGCTGAACCAGTCGCCGGAATAGATTGGGACTGCGGGTAGGTGGGTGCAGAGTATAGAGTCGAGGAGCATTCTTTAATAGAAGGCTTCAGCTCGGCTTTAGAAGACTGATAGTTGCCAGTCACTACATCGCACAGCCAGTCTGCCATTCCACCCGGAACGGTGTCAACTGCCGTGTGTGGTGAGTAGACACTGATTCCATGCTGAGCCAGGCGCAGGAGAGACCGCTGCTGAGTGTCATCAAGAGTGATGGACTTGAGTCCACGGAAAATGATAGGATCTATTGGGAGTTAGCAATGGTATGTATGTAAACATGATAAAGTCAATCTTACGATAGGCAACAACAGCAGAGTCTTGGCGCTTGATTGCCTCGTCTGCAACGGCTGTAGTAAGATCAATGGCTAGAAGCACCGAGTTCTTCTGTCTGCGGGTTGGCTCGAAGGGAGCTTCAAGGAGCACTGTGTGTTTGGTGAGCACAAGATCATAGAGGGATAACCGCTAAAATAGTCGATAATAGAGATTTCAACATACATCCAGTATTGTCGAAGCTCTTGTCTGCCAATGCCTCGGGATAGCTGCATATTGGTTAGCATCCAAAGCTCCATCAATTTCACAGCGAGCTCCCCACATCAGAAATAACGTACAGCTTTCGCATTGAGCTCACAACAGCCTGTGTGAAAGGCGAGCATGTGGTAGTTGGTAAAGCCATTGTAGAGAACCGACGTACAACAGTCCGCAGGGAATTCATGAATTCTTGAAAGAAGGACAAGTAGATCCACAGCAACAGCAGAAGCAAACGGGACGGTGACGCTATCGCTATCGGGCGCCACAGGGGTGCACGTGCCACACCAGCCACACCCATCGGAACAGGCGAATTTGTAATACAACCTCATCGCAATCCCGCGGACTTGAATCCTCGAACAGCTCTCAAGACCCGTTTCGATCGTGCTTAATGTTCTCCCGCGCCTCATCTCTCACCAAGCTGAGCCGGGGCTGTCGCTATTTCCTCCGCCCTACGCCTGCATATATCTCGCAGTCTCCGTTCTCCCTAACCGCACGCTCGTTCTCCGCTGTCGGTGCAGCCATGGCAGACACTTCCGGTGTTACGGCGGAATTGCTCCAGAAGAAGCTCGAGGATGAGCTGGAGGCTAAGACTGTGAAGATTGAGGATCTTTCTGGTGAGATATCCTTCTGCCGAGGTCCAGTGCTTTGGGTGTTGGTTATGTGGCTGTTTGTACTAACTATATGTTCTTCTCATAGGTGGCTGTGGACAGGCTTTCCAGGCTGTTATTGTCTCCGACAAGTTTGCTGGCAAGACTCTGCTGGCCCGTCACCGTCTCGTCAATGCTGTCCTAAAGGAAGAGATCCCCAAGATTCACGCTTGGACCCCGAAGTGCTACACCACTGAGCAATACGAGGCTCTCGGAGAGTAAGAGGGGGAGACTACAGGATATGACATGATACCAGAAAAATGATAAAGAAGGTGGAATTTGGCTATGATGTCTAGGGGTGAAGGGTGACCAATGTCGTCCTATCACTTGAACTATGATCGGTGGCTACACAGGATGTTGCCCCGATCAACCTGCGACATCATTTCACATGGAAACCTGAACGATATTCCCGGGTCAGCATTTACCAAGATAGCGTAATTGCTGCCAAAATTTCTTTGTACGATAGAATTAAATCAAATAACTTTCTCAAATGCTTGTCGCTATGAATGCTGTTTATATACAAATCTATCGATGCACATTGCGTAATTCCATCATTGCTCAGAACCTGCGAGTTCCTTAACATTTGCGTCAGCCTCGGCCTCGGTTTCTCGCTCAAATGTTGACCCAATAATCCCGTCAATATCACCGGCCACGGTACCTGCAAGGACACCCACGCCGATGATGCCACCGTCACTTGCTTCTCGAAGGAAGATGCTCTTCCCTTCGCTCTGAGGTCCCGCACTGATGACTAGCCGGTCAACGTAGCGTTGAACAGTCTCTTTATAATGCGGGTAGTGTTGGATGACACCACCATTGACAGCCACGACCAATTCCTCCGGCCCCTTGAGCCATCCTGGCGTCGAGGATCCGAAATCTGGGATCTTTCGGTTTTCAGTTGACACCTGCTGGCTTCCATTGGAATTCTTGGCTATCGACTCGGGGTGATCTTTATCTTGCAATTCGATCTCACGAATACACGCGAGAAGTCCAACTGTGGCGGCGGCAATCAGCGCAGCAGATCGGTCCTGCACGGCGGCTGCTATAGCGCGAATATGACCAGCATACTCGGCCGTCCACGCCCAATCACTGGACTCTGGAGGGGGCATTTCTCGCATCAAGTCTTCGGCCAATTTCTCATCGGAGTAGCTTGATGCCACAGAGAGGGAAAGGAAATTTGTCGTGAGAGCATATTCGGTGATCAACTTCACGGGCATTGCCGACCGTGGTACAGCCTTGATATTCTTAAACCAGTCATAGCTGATAATCCGCACCAGCTCGCCAATATAACGACCGCCCACCATATACTCAAGGGGCTGGAAACCGGGCAGGTTCGAATGAGTATCCAGCTCGGTATCCCACTTGGTGACAACATCGAATTCCTGCAATGGCCCCGTTGCGCCTCGAAGTGTCCATTCGGTAGAGACAACCGACTCCACTGCATCAGGGTCTTTCTCTCGGATATGGCGGATTTTTGACTCTTGCAGGTCGGTAAGTTTCATCGGTACCGCAGAGTTGCAGCCCGCGCCTACTAGCAGGCCCATTACGACGCGCGTATTGGGAAGAGCGCGAATAGAGTAAGCCAGAGATGCGAGCGTGGAGATAGTATCGTTAGTCATAACGGAGATCTTGAGTTTAGGTAGACAGTATTTCTTTTGTCGTTTTGCGGGCATCTCGGCGGGGTCATCTTCCGCCGAGCGCCGTGTGTGGCATTCATAGCCGTCAAGAAGGGCTTGATGGAGGTTCAGAGAAGTTCCCAATGCAAAGCCCTTGCCAGTTGGCATTAGGATAGCCTCGTTGACGGAGTTTTGTCTAGGAAATAGTGTTAATCTCAACTCCGTGTGTAGTGTTTATTAGCAGAAGCGAGATGTGTACTTAATAGGAAAACAAAATGAGATGCCCATGGCCAGCTCTGAAGGCGTCTCATCTTTCGAATTGGCCAGATCATCGTGAATCACTTCTGCGATACAATCTCCGATCCAGGAAAATAGTGAGTCAGGCTGATCTCGGCGCAACCGGTCTTCGATCGGCCACGCTTTCTCTAGCGTGCGTCGAACATGGGAATGTTTGCCTATTTGTTCTTCGCCCAGTAGGTCAATGAACGCTACTCGCAGATAGTACAAACCCAGGTAGACGGCCAGATAGCGGCCGGTTTCTTGACCTGTAGGCAGACGCGTGGTGGCAGTGGGGAAGAACTGCTCTGAGGAGCTGGCGGCCAGTTCTCGATATGTCAGAGAGAGGCGGTATGACAAGCGATATAGCCTGCCATGGTCAATTTTCAGGGGTGATAGAAAATCTTGCAACGCAGGGTCGATTCTGGCCATGGTTGGGATTGCTGGTCAGATGTTGCATCGGATCTGGGTGTGTTGTAACTAGTTAAGCAGGGCCCTTGCAGTAGCTTTTTTTGGGTTGGGCGGGGACTCGGTGGGGCCAATCACGTTGGCCTTGAAAATGGACAACTCGCGTGCCCAATATAGGCATTGTAAGGACAGAAAATAAGGGAAAGATATTAAAGAATATTTAATTGGATGTGCATTAAAATAGGAAATTGTCAATTTACACATATACTTCGTTTGTTGGTATCGATGTCAAGGCTAGTGTCATACTCCTTATATTTTCTGTCTTAAATTACTCTCGATGTATTGAGATGTCACCTCGTATCCACTTCCATCTTGCTTACGCTGGAGGCCAGGGGAAATCCTTCCAAGGCTTTCCACCGGTCTCGTGGGCTAAATCTGTCAAGCTCTTCCACTTCCACAACTCTTCGTTGGGATTGACAAGCTCATTGTCATCCCCGAGAGCCCCCACACTATGATTAATCTTATTCTCCCCCATCAAAAACCGCAAGTACTGTGCTGGATCCCATGAAGATGTGGAAGTGACATCCTCCTTGTACTTCTGGAGAGGAGTCTCAGATACCTCAATCCGTCCTGCTCCACCATCTCTCATAATTTCAGAGATTTCGAGGAAACTGCGAGTATCACCCCCGACATGAACAGTATCAGGAATTTTCTCCTTTGGCAGAGTAGCCAGCGAAGCAACCACCTTGCCCACATCCTCTAACGAGGTAAACGATATAGGCGAATTAGCCGATCCGACACTCTCATATCGCCCATTCTTAGTATTGAAGCCAAACCACGGCCCAACGCTATCCTCTATGAAGAGTCCACAAAAGACACGACAGATCTTCTTATCGGGGATCAATGACTGCGCCAAAGCAAAATGCTTCTTCTTCGTATCCCATTCTAAATGCGGGAAATCATGAACATAATGATCAACTCCGAATTCAGAGGGGAAGTAGACTTGGACCTCGGTATGTGGGAGGGCGTGTAGTAGTTTCTCCTTGAATGCATGGCCACAGGGTCCGACGGTGTTTACGAGGATGTGGACTCCACGAAGGGCTTCGACGAGGCTTTCCTCATCGTACTTTCGTGTAGTATATTTTCCGACGGACTCTGAAGATGGTTCTGGTGAAGTTTCGCTTCGTGAGAGGAGAATGACATCAGAGAATTTTTCGTTGAAAGGAGGAGAAAGGAAGGCTGATGCGACCTGGCGTCCAAGGTGACCGGTAGCACCGGCAATGGCCACGACTGGTCGTGAGATGATGGAGGTCATTCTGTTTGAGGTATTGAAGGGATTCCAAGCTTATTTGGGAGACTTATATAAATCCAGCCAAGAAGATAAGATCATTGATTAACAATTGATTATCATACAGTCCGGAATCAGTCCGCGGTAACTAGCCCCACTCGAAAGTTGCGGTGTGGGTTTTGATTGGCTGAAAGGTAAGTTTGCTTCAACTGCAAAGGGTTCAAACAAACTGCTCGGCCAATCATTTCTCACGAGCTGGGACCAAGTCGTTGTTTGCACTGTTTTAGGGCGTTGCATAGTGCAGGAGGAGGAGTATATAGATCGGACGACTCCTTCATGCTAGTGCTTGTAAAATATTCTTCACTTGAAATCTGCTTGAAATTTATACTCTCATTTAAGCTCTGTTCAAAAGGATGCACCCATGGCCGATATCCCGTGTTCATCCCGACTCGAAAGAGTCCTCCGATACCTCCTAAAGTACCAGCCTCAGCCAACACATACCGACCGTCAATGCACCCACCATCGCAATCAAGACTGGATATTCGACGCAGATACATGGTCCCAACTCGAAACCCTTCGCCGGCTATTATGCCAACGACCAACAATCCCCAGACTTCCAGCAGATATCTTAGAAGATATCGACGTAGTCATCACCTATCGAAACAGCCACAACATTCTCACATCAACAATCTCAATTCCCCCCAGTCTCACAATTCAAGCCAAGTCTCCGAAATCCAATGCTACCAGGATATCCTGCTGGAAGGGCGATATTACCACCTTAACCGATATCACGGCAATCGTCAACGCAGCAAACTCCCAACTGGAAGGATGTTTTCGTCCCGAGCACCGCTGCATCGATAACGTGATTCACTCCGCGGCTGGTCCACGACTCCGCGATGCATGTCATAATATCATCGAGTCACAGGAATATCCTGAACCCGTTGGTTCTGCTAAGGTCACGCCAGGGTTCCTTCTACCGGCGCAATATATCCTACACACCGTCGGCCCGCAGCTACATCAAAAAGTGAAGCCGCATGCGCATCAACAGGCCCAGCTCGCATCATGCTATCAAGCCTGTCTCGATGCAGCAGAGAATTTACCCCCGCTCAAGGATGGCCGTAAAGTCATCGCCTTCTGTTGCATATCAACCGGTCTCTTCGCGTTTCCATCAGATATGGCAGCGCAAATCGCCGTGGATACCGTATTAGCCTGGTGCGCGACGCATCCGGATACTACCATCACGGACATCATATTTGATACCTTCCTAGAGAAGGATTGGGACTTGTACCGGGATATACTGTCAAATGTCGAGATCAGTTCTTCCCAAGTTGATATGAACATCAACATCAAAATCAGCAACACAGACAAAGATGCACCCACTCACACATCGCTATACCAACCACCAACCCTCCCCCAAATCACCACTCTCTCCCCATCCTTCCTCAAAGCCCGTACCTGGCTCAACCAAGCAAACACCCTCATAATCTCCGCCGGCGCAGGCCTCTCCGCCGCAACAGGACTGGACTATACATCCCCGGCCCTCTTTGCAAACCACTTCCCAGCCTTCCTGCCAAAAGGTCTCCGCAGGTTATACGACGTCTTTGGGTATACCGGCTGGGACAGTCCCGCCCAGAAATGGGGGTACTACTTCACGCACTTGGATATGGTACGACGCTGGCCCGAAGAGCAGTCAGGCGTCTACCAGACCCTTCGAGAGTTAACGGCGCGATTTGGAGAGAGGTGGTTCGTACGGACGAGTAATGCGGATGGATTCTTTGTGAAGAATGGGTTTGATGCTGGCAGGGTTGCTACGCCGCAGGGTGGGTATAAATTTTTGCAGTGTTTGGCGAAGTGTAGGCCCGGTGCTGTTGTTGAGAGTGGGCATTTGGTTGAGAGGGCGATGTCCGTGGTTGATCCCGTTACTCAGGAACTTGTGGATGAAGAGATGGTACCGAAGTGTGATTTCTGCGGTGGGGATATGACGCTTTGTGTTAGAGGGGGGAGGTATTTTGATGAAGCGCCGTTTCGGGGGATGGAGAGGGAGTGGGAGAGGTTTTTGGGGGAGTTGGTTAGTGAGGATGGTCTGATGGGTGAGTCTGGGTCTGGGTCTGTGGTTATCTTGGAGTTGGGGGTTGGATTGAATACTCCTGCTGTGCTGAGATGGCCGAATGAGGATTTAGTCTCGGAGTCGGAGAGTCAGCGGTTTCGGCTTATTCGTGTGGGCATCGAAGCTTCAGGGTGTGTGCCGTGGGAATTGGAAGAGCAAGACCTCTCTGTGGGGATTTCGGGGGATATCAAGGCAGCGCTGGATGTTCTGATATCGTGAATGATTACATCGCTGGTACATAGAGGGTCACAATTATACAAACCCTCGAGATTAAGATAAAATAGATGCATCAATCATAGATATTGTCTTCACTGTCAAGTCGCTAGGAAGTATGCCAACACATCAACCCGAAAGAACTGCTTTACACCAACACATTTTAGTACTCCATCAAGCCGAAGAACCAGCATCCGTCTCCATGCTGAGGTACTTCGCCTCCGCACCACGAATACAAGCAATATTCGCCCCAAGCTTGTTAATAGTCTCGATATACTCATCATACGGATCCGAGTCAAACACGATACCACCACCAGCCTGGAGATACGCAACGCCATCCTTAACCATCATCGTCCGCAAAGCAATGCACGTGTCCATCGCACCGGGCACCTCGCTCGATCCATCTGCATTGGCAATGTTGTAACCAAAGTAACCCACCGCACCAGCATAGACACCGCGCTTCTCACCTTCCAGCTCGGCAATGAGTTGCATGGCGCGAACCTTGGGCGCACCGGATACCGTGCCGGCAGGGAAGATGGAGCGGAAGGCATCGAAGCGGGTCTTATCCGGTCGAAGGACGCCGGATACTTGCGAAACGAGGTGCTGCACGTGCGAGAACTTCTCGACGACCATCAGTCTGTCCACTTGGGTGGTGATCGGGTCGCAGACGCGGTTGACGTCGTTACGGGCTAGATCGACCAGCATGACGTGCTCGGCGCGATCCTTCAAGCTGCTGCGTAGCTCGTCGGCCAATGCGGTGTCTTCTTCCGGAGTCTTGCCGCGCTTGACGGTTCCCGCGATGGGGTGGGTGATGATGCGGCCACGCTCTTCCTTGACGAGGAGCTCGGGGCTAGCGCCGACGAGCTGGAAGTCTTGGCAGTCAATGTAGAATAGGTAAGGGGAGGGATTGACGGTGCGAAGGTGGCGGAAGAGGTTGAATGGGTGGAGGGATGTCGGGCGGGATAGCCGTTGTGAAGGCACGGTCTGGAAGATATCACCCTTCTTGATGTGCTCCTTCAACCGGTGGACGTGGTTCTCATAACCCTCCTGTCCGATGTTGGATGTATACTCCTGGTCGGGGATAATGGGGCCCTGCTTGGGCAGTGGCGTACGGTCTTGCAGCAGAGTCTCAATCGTCGTCTTGATCACCTCCTGGCCCTTGAGGTACTCGGCCTCGATATCGGCATCATTGGCGGGAATAGGAACGTAGGTGATAATCTTGACAACCTGGAAGAAGTGGTCAAAGGCGACAATGGTGTCGAACAGCATGAACAGCGACTCGGGCACACCCAGAATATCCTTCATAGGCCGGGCCGTCTTGGGCTCGAAGTATCGGACACAGTCGTAGCCCACATAGCCGATTGCTCCGCCGGTGAGAGGCGGGAGGACCAGGCCAGGCACGGATGCCACGCGGGACTGGGAAAGTTCGGCTTCGAGGATGGGGAGGGGGTCGGCAGCAGGGCCATGGCCGGGTCCGGTCTTAATCACTTTTTTGGGGTCTGTGAAGAGCGAATAGTTTAGTGGTATGACTCGACAAAAGCCCGAGCGATATCGGTATCGCAGATCTTAAATCACCCACCTGCGCCAACGAAGCTGTACCGTCCGATAGTCTCTGTAGTAGCCGCACTCTCGTACAAAAATGACATGCGCGAGCTATATCCGAGTCAACGATCCCATCCAGAACTCCCCTCTGCCAGAACCACCCCGCAGGCCCGGCGCAATCAGTCAGGGACCGGGGTTACCTACTTCTCTGCAAGCTTGAGATAGGCCAATGTCGGGGTCAACAGGTCGGCCGGAATCGAGGCCGTCACGGGCAGCAGGTTGGGAGGGAATTGGGAGTTTCTCGACTTTGCGATGACTTCTCGCGCCGTGTCGAGCGACGGAACATTGGCGATCTGAGTCATTGTAGAGGGTCACGTTAGCTATAAGTGAATCGTGGAGGCAGGAGTCGAATGGACGTTGCTTCAAAGGAATTTCCATGCTTACAGGAGGTGCCATTGTCAGTTAGTACCCTGTTAAATATCCGGGGCACGGTATAGTCGGGAGTCTGTCGCGATGATAGAGGATTTGGCGGTGGGAAAATGAGTAACTAACTGTGGGGCCCTGGATTGGCCCTCCGCTGATACTGTAGAGTCAGAGTCAATCTCGATGGTTTAGCTCGTATTCGAGTCAAAAATAAAATAAAATAAAATAAATGAGAAAAGGCTCTGATCCTTCATAACGTACTCCTGATTCTAAAATAATCCCAAATACACCAGAAATCATTCCAACCAACGAGTCCATCGCCGACCCAAAACGGACTAGCGCGGGGATTGGTTATCGGAGACTCATCGCTTATCGATACGGCCTCTCATCAAAGTTGTTTGTTAATTATTCCGTGCGACAGCGACAACCGATCGTCGCGCAACTCTCAAAATACATACAGACGATGCCCAGCCCTTCACAACCCTAACTCGTCCATCTATATACACACCTCCCACTCTCATGTCGTCTTTCGAAACTCTCTCAAACAAACTAGGCCAGCCCGCGGAGCCGCGCGCCCCAAGTTCCACAGCAGATGGGCTCGGCCTCGATCTCGATCTCGACGCACCAACGAGGACACCCTGGCCCGAACGGCTGCGCGAGCTATCGCAGCTAGCTGCCACATCACCGGGTACTGTTTACATCGAGGCCGACACCGAGGAGACCATCCATGCGCACCTCGATGCGGTCGAGGCTATTCTGCGCGATCCGCGGCCGGAGCTTACAAGGGAGATTAAGAGGAACCGGCGACGCAGCTCGGTGTTGAGAACTGATGTGGAGGTTGTGGAGAGAGCCACTATGACGGAGGAGATGGAGGAGAAAATGGAGGAGGAACCAAGTCTAGACCAAGATGCTGTCTTAGCGCAGTTGACAGCGCTTTTGCGAGAGGTCACCCTCTTAAATGGGGAAGTTGAGCGCCGGCGCGAAGAAGCGCGGGAGATCCGCGATTTATTCGAAGAGAGGTGTCGCGGGCTAACACGAACGGTCGCCGAATTAGAAGACGAAGTCCTAGAACTGTAAGTCCGGCATACCCCGTCCATCCAGCCAATTGTGTCGAATCATGCTAACATTTCCATCCCCAGACAATCCGATCTCGTCGAGGACGCGGTTGATTTGGAAGGTATCCAGGGTACTGTGCATGGACTACACGATTGGATAGACCGGATACGGGAAGAGCAGAAATTAGTTCGGATTTCACGGACGCTGGCTTACCAGAAGTCGCGGCGGTCCTGGATAGGGCGGAAGGGGAAGGAGGATTGGAGTGTTGAGACGGATGGGGAGATGATGGTGGAAGGGTTGAGTGCTTGGATGCGTGGGTGGAGAGATGTCGAGGAGGGCTTTCAGGTCCGAGCGCGAGCGAGGCAGATGCGAAGGGATCGGAGGCAAGAACAGCTGGTACGAATGGGAGAAAAGGCTAAGTTTGTACAGCAAGGGATGTCTTTGGTAGATCCCGTACATCGTTCTATAGCTACTTAACTCTGAGAGATACACTTGAATATACACGAAAGAGAAGAGATTCCCTGCATGCCGATTCCCGTCTAATACGAGGGCTGACTCGAAATTGATTCATACATTTTTTAACATTCGAGATGCACACGAACAGAAAAATAGTGACGTTCAAAACCACAGACCACCAACCAACCCCAAACAAATATAACGAGAATTGTAAAAAGACAAGGCCACTCTCGCCGGAAATCCGTGAATCGTTCGCCGTACCCAACCTAGTTCCCAAAGCAAATGCATGCCGTAATGCATCTTCTAAATCAAAAACGTTATATGTTCACAGAAAATATGTAGAGGAAAGGGGGTGGAGGAGCAGAGGCCATTGACTGCATCCGCCTTTCGGCGGAATGGAATCGAAGGGTTGGCCTGTGGTGCAATATGCAGTGCAGTATGCAATGCAGTATACCGACAGAATTGCCCTTCGAGGCCTCTAGATGGAGAATTATTCCCAAGGCAACTGGTTTGGGTGGTCGCATGGGCGCAAAGAGAATGAGACTGGAGAAAGGCGTGGAAAAAAAATACCAGGATCAAGCCCCGCCGTTCAGGGTTCAAAGTAAGATGATCAGACAGACCGACTCGATAGTCATGTGGTCGGAAGTAAAAGGCAACTAAGCCGTAATTATGGCGAATGCGTAGAACACCCGAGGAACGAATCGCCAGGCATCTGTCAAGTTATGGTGAAGCTGCTAGCACTGTCACCGCTGGAGATTCACGATAGCCATCTGGAGGTAAAGTCAGCAATTCATCCCATAGTATTGAGAATAGATCAACATACTTGATTTCCTAAGCCGCAAGCGAGCTTTTTGCCATCGGGATCCCATGATAAAGCACGGTCTGGATTTGCTGGTCCATGGCCATTCTGCCCATTCGTTACGCGGTCAGGGTCTTCCTTGACTTGAGCCGCGCTCGGGGCTTTCCATGTGGCCATGGGATCGCCACCGCGCTCCACATTCCAGATAAAGACTTGATCTTTACTGACAGCCCCCAGAGCATATCCATCTGGAGAGAAGCTGCCGGTAAGGGCGGGTATCGAGGCGCCAAGGCGCAAACGATGGACGGAAGTGTATTGTTTCGTTTCCAAGTCCACCTGCCATACTCCAACTGTACTATCGGCAGAGTATGAAGCGATGGTGATCGTGGTGCTTCCTTGTTTCGTTTGCAACGCCGACTGAGGCTGAATGTCGATGGCGGTGATGGCATCTTGGTGAGCATTTTCAATCAAAATGTCATGAGTGGGAATCCAGATCGACGCTTTCGTGGCGCTCGCCGTGACCGCCACAGAATAGTTGGCAGTATGGGCGCAGCGGAGGAACGTCCACTCCGTGTCGGCCTGCTGCGAGGTGTATGTCTTGGTCAGGCGAATGTTATTGTCTACTTCACATTCGTACACGGCGCCATTACCACAGGCGAGTATCTGATTGCGTCCACACCATGCAAGATCGTAGATCTGGTTGTCTATGACCTGGGGCGGCGGGTATACGTCGGGTCGTCGGCTGTCATCCCACAGAGCCAATTCAGAGGTGCGTTCATCAGATGCCACAATCACCAACTGTGGACTTTCTTCCGCCCAGTGCAACCCACTGATCACACGAGGAAGGTCCGGCAACAAATCCACCACGTTACCCTCTGCGTTATACATGGTCACGTTTCCCTTCATGTCTCGGAAGGAGGCCACGGCCAATTTGGCACCGATGCCATCCCACGCCACCGTGGATACATATGCACCCGTACCCTTGAGGTTCAAAAACTTATTCTGAACGGGCGCCGACGTTGAAGACAACTTCCAAATGCTACAGAAAGTGTCTCCAGCGGCCACCAGCAACGAGGGATCACGTGGGCGCCAGCTTGCGGAGAGCACGTGATCTTCATCGAGCAAGGCGGTGTCGGGGGTCAAATCAGCGGCCTTGGCGGGGGAGATCTGGATACCCACGCTGCTGCCCGTGCTGAGAGTGGGTTCCTGAGGCACCTCTTCCGGCTCCATGGCCCCCATGCTAACGTCCCCGTCGCCATCCACATCGGGCGCATGTGGATGTGGGCAGGCCGGTTTGCTCTCGGCCTCATCAACTTCCATTGCCTCGTCGCCATTAGTCTCGCTGGTGCGGGTTTTGGGGGAGCCTCCACTGGGTGACCATTCGTCACGCGGTCGTGCGCCGGCTCTGGCTCTGGCTCTGGTGCTGGTGCTGGTGCTGGCGCAGGTGCGGGCGCGGGCGCTTGGTCTGCGCTCGCTTCATCGCGGCTTTTCAATGTGCTCACTTCAAATGGCTCCGGTCCAAAAAAGTAGTTGGCAGGTGTTAAAGTAGTTGGGTTGCCCTCCTAAAGCTCATGGTTAGATTGGCCGGCACGAGGAAAGCTAGGCGCCGGTAGGGGGAGGCGGGAAAAGAAAGAAACGGATGGTCCCCGTTGTAACACCAAAGAAAATGGGTCGCGCGAACATACTTTGTCAATAGAGGACTCGAGCTCGTGGTACTGCAGACCTTTCTGGACCAGCGACACTAGCGCATGTGTTTTAATGTGGCGCGCAAAGGGAAGCGCCTGGGGGTCGGGGTACCATGCGCGCTGCAGTGATACGGCAGCATCGCCATGACCTGTAGGTGGAACGCGGTTAGGAATGAGACCAGAGGGAAATGAGAGAATCGAGCGCAAATGTTGAGCGCATGGCGGCGTTGAGATGCGACAGCACAGAAGGAACCGAGCTTGGGGCAGCTACTCACCTGATTCTTGAAGGTACCTGGAAGCGCACGGGGGCGGGATTAGCGAGCTGCAGCGCGCATCTCGAGGAGAACTGGGGGAAAGAGTACGTACCGCCATATTAGGTAGTTGACATGATGCGATGTTAAGTCAGGTTGTGCCATGATTACATGTGCGACCAGTTAAGTGCCGCGAACATGCCAGGAAAATGGGGGTGGGAATGAGGCGGGCTTCCGCAAGGGAAGGTGAAAATCAAAAGTGGAGGCTCTGGGCGGCGGAGACCAGATGGAGCTTCCAGGAACGCGAACACGAGTCGGGCCTCGAAAAGTGCGGAGGGTCAGGTAAGTTTTAGTTAGACCGAGTGAGCCGAAAGTAGAAAGGGGGCGAACGGGTCTCCCGAAGTGCCGTGACGGCTTTAGGCTGGGAATTCTGGGGGGGAGGGAGTTGATGGGTTGAGGAGAGCAAGGGAGAGGGAAGGAAGTTGAAGGTGGGAATTGGAGATGAGAAAATGTGGGAAGAGTTGAAGATGGACCGGGCCAGAATAATGGGGGGGGAAGAGAGGAACACAGGGAAAAAGAGAGAAAAAGCGACGGGGGTTCCAGCCGCCGATGACTAGCAGAGAAGCGGCAGATGGCAGGTGGCAGGTGGCTGTCGAGATTGGTCCGGTGAATTGGGAGGGTTCACGTCCAAGATCGATCGTGGAACGTGAAGGAGGAGGAGGGAAGGGAAGGGAAGGAGGAGAGAGATGAGGTTGGTGGTTGGTGGTGGTAGAGAACCAAAGAACCCAATGACCAAATGACCGACAACTCGGACAAGGAACCACGGCGGATTGGAGGAATGCTGGACAATGGAGAAGCTGAAGAAAGCCGTGACAGCGACAAGAGCGAGAGGTCCCCCCTTCGAGAGGTTAAGCGCACTAGCCACCACTGGTCCAAAACGCTAAAAGTGGGCTCGGGCTCAATCTTGAAATCCTGCGTGGCGTCTTCCCCGAGAACGACGGATTGATCGGAATGACCTAAGGGATTAGAACAGGGATAGGGATCGACAGAGAGTGCACTTAAGGTATATAGTAGTAGAACTCTGTCTACTACTGTAATACTGTAGATACTCCGTATATAATAAGAACTCGACCCTTCAGCCTGGATTTGCCCATTACTGTAGTTAGCAGTGTTCTGACTAACGGCTTTCGGTGCCAACCGGTGGATCATCAAATCGCATTTTCTTAAAGGGGGAGACTCTGCACATCATCGGAACTCGTCTCCACCCGGAGCTTTTTTACCCCGTGACCCGAATATATCTACTTGTACTATACACCTGCATATAATATCTTGATAATCATACTATGCATTTCTAGATTGGCATATCCCTAAATCGGGTCCTAGATATCTGTAACAGAATTACCCCATGAGGCTATTCAACTCCTCTCATACCTATGCCGGACTCCAAGGTGACATCTATCACGTGGATTACCAGGAGCCCTTCAGTCTCGACCTACTAACCTGGTGCTAAGAGAGGTCCATCGGGAACTAGATAATGCCCATCGATAATCACGGACTTAGGTATCGTATTTGAATAATCTCTTTCTCATATCCCCTAACTGTCGGGAATTCCTCCCATGTGGTATCCCACTTCGAGATATATAACACTCACGTCATGTCATGGATATGTCAGCACTAACACACGTTCCTACCTAGCAGAAGCTTATTCTAACAAGCCCGTATCCTGCTAACGAGCTGATTCTGAATGCCCGAGTAGACCTAGTCTGCCGAGACCTATTCAAACTATACTATATTCTACGGATTCGCGACTTTAATACCTAGAGTACGGCCGATATCCATTTTCTTAGTACTCAGTTAACTAGACCACTCCATAGTGAAACTTTTTGTCGAAAATTGAAGCCCTCTGTAGAATTCAAGCCAAGCATTAGCATCTTACAATTAGATCAATGAAATCGAAATACTATGTTCTATGGCTTTCGTTGTATACCTCCTAAAGCGGGTTCCCTAGCCAGCCACTAAGGAACTAATCTGATCGGTCCGCCGCCTTTCCAAGCCCGGGAACTTCAGCCCCCAACCTTGAACCTACGTAGACGTTCCTCTTTACACAACTGAAAACCTCCGGGCTTCTGGTCGACAAGCCCTGCGGTCTCGCGTCCGCCGCGAGTCGAAAATGCCCCTCCGAGTCAATATCCCTCCGGCCACTCGCGCCGTCCTCGTCAGCCTGTTGGCTCTCTCCCTCCTCTACAATATCGCCAGATGGCGCCAACTTGACACCTCCGTCGGCAGCGTCCAAACCAGCCCCATCATTCCCTACCTCACCCTCGTTCCCTCTCTCTTCTATTACTACCCCTGGACCCTGCTCACGGCTACCTTTGTGGAGCAGAATATCTTTACCGTCTCTCTAAATGCTGCCACGATCTTCTATGGAGGGAAATACCTCGAGCGCGCGTGGGGGTCTCGCGAATTCAGCAAGTTCATCATCGCCGTCGCCCTGATCCCAAATGTCGTGATTGTTCCGTTTTATCTGATCTGGGGTGCCATCACTGGCTCCTCAACCAGAGCGTATGTTTCTTTCCCTCCAGTTCTCTATGTTGGGGCCTCATTCTGGAAAACGAACTGACCGTTGACCCCCCTCTCTATACACAGTCTCACCCAGATCTGCGGCGGCGTCGCCATTCAAGCTTCTTTCCTTGTCGCCTTCAAGCAACTCGTTCCCGAACACACGGTCGCCATTTTCAAGGGCTTGGTCAAGATGCGCGTCAAGCATTTCCCTGCTCTATTCCTCCTCCTCAACACCATCAGCGGCATCATCATTGGAACCGATACCGCCGCCGTCTTGGCCTGGCTAGGCCTCCTATCCAGCTGGACCTACCTCCGCTTCTATAAGCGACAGCCTGATCTCACCGGCACCTCCACCAATGGCTTTGGTATCAAAGGTGATGCCAGCGAGACCTTTGCCTTTGCCTGCCTATTCCCCGACGTGATGCAGCCCCCTATTGCATTTGTCGCCGATCAGATCTACGCCCTGCTGGTCGCAGTGAAACTCCTGACACCCTTCTCGGAGGATGAGATCGCCTCGGGAAACCAACAGGTGCTGGCTCGTGGTGAAGCTGGACTCCCCACACTCCTCAGCAACCAGCGTGGAGGAGCGCGGGGTTCCGGTAAGCGGGAGGAGGCTGAGCGGAGGCGTGCTCTGGCACTCAAGGCTCTGGACCAGCGACTACAGGCGGCGGCGGGCGGACGAGTCCATGCCGGCCCGTCAACATTAGGAGAGCCCTCTTCACAGCACCACCCCACGACGCCGACGCCGTCGGCACCCACTGGGCAAGGTATGCTGGGAGAGACCAGCTATAACCCTGATCATGCATGAAAAGGCGCAGTATTGGGACTGTATGGACATACTTGCACGTTTAAAATTAGGGGGCCCCTCCGTTTTGACGGAACTACTCCTTGTCTCTGTTGCTTTAATATCTGCTTCTGATGATGTATATTGCACACGGATTTCTTTCTTCATATCTTGTCCTGGATCTCGACCTTCCATTATTTTGCGTTCCTCGGCACATGTGTGACTTTGTGAAGGTCAATGATTCTTTTCTTACGACCAAGCGCGACTGCTGTTTGTATTCTTTACAATTGGGGACTTTCCTCCCATCTTAGCTTTATACCAACCGACAGCGAGAGCGAGCATATTGCAACGAAAGCTTTTCCAAAACAAAATAGGTCAATGTGCCATCCGAATGGATTTGATCAGAGTTTCCAAGAAATACAAAGTCGTAATAAGACAACCAAAACAAATCAAAGATGCTAGTATACTATGCTACAGGTGATCTCTCCAGTCCACCCATCACGTAGGTAGGGCAGAACAAGAAGAGACCAGAAAGGTGTATTGGATACATCCCCCAACCACACCACACACCAGATTCAACCATCAAAGGGCAGTCGAACCCCCTCACAGCTCTCTCAACTTCTCAACCTCACCACGAGCCTCAGCCAACATCCGCTCCTGATCCTTCTTCGCCTGCCGCATACCCCGTATACGCTCACGATCCTTACCCGCCTTAGCCGTAATAGCCTCCAACCGCTTCCGCTCCACCTCATCCTCCGCAGAAGCAGGAACCTCCTCCGCCCCCGTCGAAGCCTGCACCCGACTCCAAATCTCCTTGTAGGTAAGATCCTTCAGATCCACGACGGCAGTCTTCTCGCCGCTCTCAGCGGCCGGCGCGTGCTTGTCGGCGATCTTTTTGGCGCCGATGATCGCGGACGCGGTGCTGCTCAGACGCTCGGCGAAGTAGATTGTCAGCGCGGGAGGCGCGTTTTGGTCGTCTGTTTGTTGGACGGTCATGCGGACGCCCGGGTTGTGGTACTTTAGCCGGGGCAGGCAGTTGCGCCAGAAGTGGCGGGCGCCTTGGTGGCCGTTGTAGATCTTGCGGGCGTATGTGAGGTGCAGTCGGGTTACCGGGGGGAATTCTTTTGTGGCGGAGGTTGGGCTGGGGAAGATGGCGGCGCCGGTACCGGTTCGGATGTCGAGGATCTGATAGTGAGAGGAGTGGTTAGTTGTTGTAGGGTTTGATTCAGTGGGAATGATCTGGAATAGGCGTGGTTGTGACGAGGTGTTCGAGTTCGATGTTGGATAACATTCGAGGAGTGAGTGTTTAACGGGGAGAAAATGGGATGATTTACCCTCTAGAAGAGATGAACAGGATCAGATTAGCCACCGATTCAATTCATTTATCAAGTTTTCAAGAATTGAGTCTCACGACTCTGTTATTCCGAATCACTTACAGTCTGCAGCTTCCGCATCCGCTTGAATAGGTTGACCATGATGGCAGTGTGTGTCGCACAGGGGGTAACCCTGCTGCGGAGGAATTATTGAAGTCGACAAAGAGGATAATTGACCCGAGAATCGAGAACCCTTGTTCAATGGCCTGACTCAGAGCTTAGTGTGTGTTGTCGTGGATCTGGGGAAATTTGACTGCGGAAACTCTTGCGCTCGAAAGTTGCTCCGTGATATCGAATCACGTGATACATACATTATATGCAGTACACGTTCTGGCCGCCAAACCAACCCAACGACTTGGTCCAAGCATCTTCTGAAATCATAGTAACATAAACCAGTGAATCATTTTCTTATCTATTGACTTTGACTCACATTCTACATAGCCACCACCATTGTGATTCAAGTAGATAAGAGGCACGTGCGGAAATCTCGGCCAGTCACAGCCACCGCTTCTCGACCGCCTTTGAGTCACTGGCACAATCCGATTTGAATTTATATCACCCCGCGATCTTTTGTTTCCCTGCCCCTCGGGAGTCTTGCAAACAGGGTTCAATCCGGCTGAAATAAATCATGGCAGCCGCCGCTGCGTCCGCTGCTGCGCTCGATCCGAGCAACAGCACAAAAAACACCCTGAAGCTTGAAAATGTGACCACTTGCCCCTCCCCCTCCATTAGGCCGCTTTTCCCCAAATTTTTTGGATCTATAATCGCAAGTTGCTGACTGTACTATGATCTGCCCAGACCGAGAAGCGTGATTCCCTCATTGCAATTGAGAAGAAATACCAGGCACAATGGAAGGAGAACAAGGTCTTCGAGGTCGATGCTCCCTCGTTCGAGGAAGTCCCCCAGGGCTCTATGACTGCCGCCGAGCTGCGTGAGAAGCACCCCAAGTTCTTCGGTACCATGGCCTACCCCTACATGAACGGTACCCTGCACGCCGGTCACAGTTTCACTGCCAGTAAGGTCGAGTTCATGACCGGTTTCGCCCGCATGGAGGGCAAGCGTGCTCTGTTCCCGCTCGGTTTCCACTGCACTGGTATGCCCATCAAGGCCTGTGCCGATAAGCTGCGCGACGAGGTGAAGATGTTCGGCCAGAACTTCGAGGGATACCAGGAGGACGAGGAGCCCAGCGCCCCCGCTGCGCCTACCCAGGAGTCTAAGCCCGAGGCCAAGGCCCAGGCCGAGAAGTTCTCCGGCAAGAAGAGCAAGGCCGCCGCCAAGACTGTGAAGATGAAGTACCAGTTCCAGATCATGCTGGCCATTGGTGTTCCCCTGGAGGATATTCACAAGTTCGCTGACGCCAACCACTGGCTGCACCACTTCCCCCCTCTTGCCGTCCGTGATCTGGACAGCATGGGTGCCCGTGTTGACTGGCGCAGACAGTTTGTCACCACCGACGCCAACCCTTACTACGATGCTTTCGTCCGCTGGCAGATGAACCGCCTGCACGAGCTCGGCAAGATCATGTACGGTAACCGTTACACTATCTACTCGCCCAAGGATGGCCAGCCCTGCATGGACCACGACCGCACGGAGGGTGAGGGCATTGGTCCTCAGGAATACACTGCCCTGAAGCTCCAGGTCAAGGAATGGGCCCCCGAGATTGCTGAGATTGTCAAGGGTAAGATTGAGGATGATGCCAAGGTCTTCTTCGTTCCCGCTACCCTGCGTCCCGAGACCATGTACGGTCAGACCAACTGCTTCGTTGGCCCCAAGATCAAGTACGGTCTGTTCAAGCTGAAGGAGAAGGAGTACGTTATTGTCACCAAGCGTGCTGCCTGGAACATGGCTTTCCAGGGCCACTTCTTCGAGAACGGCTACTTCCCTAAGACCCAGGATGAGCTTCCTCTCGTCCTTGAGGCTCCTGGTTCCGCCTTTGTTGGTACTCTTATCAACGCTCCTCTGTCCTTCCACAAGGAGGGTGTGTACATTCTGCCCATGGAGAGCGTCTCCGCTTCCAAGGGTACCGGTGTCGTTACTTCCGTTCCCTCGGACAGCCCCGACGACTACGCTACTCTGATGGACCTGATCAAGAAGGCCGATTACTACGGTATCAAGAAGGAGTGGGCTGAGAAGGAAATCTTCCCTCTGATCGATACCCCTACCTACGGCAACCTGACCGCTCCTGCTCTGATTAAGCAGCTCAAGATCAACTCGCCCAAGGACGTCACACAGCTCGCCGAGGCCAAGGATCTTGCCTACACCGAGGGCTTCTACAAGGGTACCATGATCGTGGGTGAGTTCAAGGGCGAGCCCGTCAGCGTTGCCAAGGACAAGGTCCGCCAGTCTCTGTACCAGACCGGCGACGCCTTCCCCTTCGCCGACCCTATGGGTAAGGTTGTTTCTCGCTCTGGTGACGAGTGTGTTGTTGCATACCTCGGCCAGTGGTTCTTGAACTACGGTGAGAACGACGCCGAGTGGCAGCAGGAGACTCTGAACCACGTTGTCAACAAGCTCAACACCTACGCTACTGAGACCAAGCACGGTTTCGAGAAGAACCTGTCCTGGCTGAACCGTTGGGCCTGTGCCCGTACCTACGGTCTGGGCTCCAAGCTGCCCTGGGACACCCAGTTCCTGGTCGAGTCCCTGAGTGACAGTACTGTCTACATGGCCTACTACACCATCGCTCACCTCCTGCACGGTGACCGTTACGGCAAGACCACCGGTCCTCTGAACGTCACCGCTGACCAGATGATCGATGAGGTTTGGGACTACATCTTCACCCGTCGTGAGATCAGCGACGAGCTGATCTCCAAGTCCGGTATCAGCAAGGATGCTCTGCTCCAGATGCGTCGCGAGTTTGAGTACTGGTACCCCCTGGATGTCCGTGTTTCCGGCAAGGATCTGATCCAGAACCACCTGACCTTCTTCCTGTACATCCACATTGCTCTCTTCCCTCCCGAGTACTGGCCCCGGGGTGTTCGTGCCAACGGTCACCTGCTGCTGAACGGCGAGAAGATGAGTAAGAGTACTGGTAACTTCCTTACCCTGAAGGACGCCGTCGACAAGTTCGGTGCCGATGCTACCCGTATCGCCTTTGCCGATGCCGGTGATGGTATCGAGGATGCCAACTTCGAGGAGGCCGTCGCCAACAGCAACATTCTGCGTCTGTTCACTCTGAAGGAATGGATTGAGGAGGTTGTCAAGGATACTTCCCTGCGCACTGGTCCCTCCGAGAACGCCTCTGACAAGCTGTTCGACGAGCTGTTCGACAACGAGCTGAACAGCCTTGTCCGTGAGGCCCAGAAGCACTACCAAGAGTAAGTTGGGGTACGATTTAACGTTAGGTCAGTGCGTTGCTAACGTTCTTCTTTAGCACTGACTTCAAGCTTGCCCTGAAGTCTGGTCTGTATGACTTCACTGCTGCTCGTGATACTTACCGTGAGGCTGCCACCGCTGCCGGTGTTGGCATGCACCGCGATACCATCCTGCGCTACATTGAGCTGCAGGCTCTGATGCTCGCCCCCATTGCTCCTCACTGGGCTGAGTACGTGTGGCTCGAGGTTCTCAACAAGGTCAGATGCCCCCTATCTATAAAACCTCCAAACGAGAAACCTAGTCTAACCAATCCACAGCCCGAGTCCATCCACTTTGCCAAGTTCCCCACCGTTCCCGAGCCCAAGCTGGACCTCAGTGCTGCCCAGAACTACGTCCGCAGCACCGCCTCCAGCATTCTGTCCTCCGAGGGCCAGTTCACCAAGCGTCTGTCCAAGGGCAAGGCCTCGAACTTCGACCCGCGCAAGCCCAAGAAGCTCACTATCTACTATGCTGAGAACTTCCCCGCCTGGCAGGACAAGTACATCGACCTTGTGCGCGAGGCTTTCGATTCTCTGACCGTCACTATCAACGATAAGGAGCTCAACGCCAAGGTCGGCAAGCTCGGCGAGATGAAGAAGGCCATGCCCTTCGTCCAGACCCTGAAGCGCCGCCTGGTTGGCAGCCGCGAGTCTCCCGAGCTCGTCTTCGGCCGCAAGCTGCCCTTCGACGAGCTCAAGTATCTGTCTGCGATGATTCCCGGCCTGAAGCGTACTTCTGGTTATAAGGAGATCGAGCTGATTATCGTCAATGAGGGCGGTAAGTCTGGCAAGGTCCTTGCCACTGGTGAGGTTCGCGAAGGTCTGAATGCTGAGAACGCCGTGCCTGGCCAGCCTTCCTTCACCTTTGCTAACGTTGATTAAATGGGGTTTGCCTAGTTCAAGATATAAATGGGTTCCACCCTTTGTCTTTTGCCTGTCCAAGAGTCATGTTTGATGAGCTTATGCTACGAAAAAAGAATAAATGCATTTTCATGGTTCAAATCGTATGCAATCCTTCGTATGTGGATAGTGGTTCTTCAGCAGGGTGTTTTGGAGGTCTTTAAGCTGCCTTTAGATTTCATCCCCGCGGATTAGAAGCCATGACCATTCCAAGTAGATTATGCTGGTCCTTTCTATTGTAAATTCAGAAATCCTTCTTTCGGATTTCTTTGGTGGATTGCGTATATATAGTCAGTCCCACGATCTAGAATTCGCCCTACATACTCCATTTCACACGAGTCTTTTGAGTTCTCTTTTGAGTACGTGGGCCTTCTTGTCTCTGGGAACCTGGAGGATACCTGATGTTATTTTGCATTCACCTTATAGGTTTGATGATAGCCCCGATAGCTTGTAGTCTCAAGAGAGTACCGATCTTTGCAAGTTGGGGTGCCGACTCTCGCTGGAAAAATAACCAAAATGGTAAATTTTGGCAACGGAATGGAAAGGGCCTAGGTAAAAATGGGAGAGCCAGAAGTGTATTATACAAGGTGATTTTTCAGAACGCCAGTCGCTATGCTAACAGTGGTAATGTACATAGTACTCCTCCAGAAGAACCAGACTGAGAGTCAGGTGCCCAGCTCAACTATATCGGTGTCTTAGGCGCGGCCTCTTGCGTTTGTCAGCTTTGATCTTCTCTGCAATGAAGTTCCAACATTCAATTGGTGGTCGAGAGCCAACGTGTTTCCCGTTGGGTGTGAACACTTCGATTTGAGGGTAGGTCTCTGTTTCGGTCTCTGGGGTGCGCTTGGTGCGGACCTGGATACTCACTTCGACCCAGCCGCAGCCTTCAACGAGGATATCGGCTGACATCACGCGATATGGGAGCTTGGGAATAGGAATTCCTTTGTCCTTGACAGCCTTGGCGACCGTGGAGGGCAGATTCGAAGCGGTGGTGTCCCACTTTAAGTCAAACTTTCCAGCAGATGCCATTGTGCTGCCTGTGCCTTCTTTCATGAGGACGGTTCCTGCATAGGCTCGCTGTTCAGTCTGCACCTCGATAGCCTTCTCCGTCTTTGTGACGTGGGTTTCGATGGGCACGAAGCAGGCAGCAAGAATTGTGTCTTCCGGGTTTACTGCGGTAACGCGCACAAGACCACCACCTAAAAGCAGAGACTGGCCAGGCTTGACGGTGCATCGATCGGGCTTGATCCGTTTGGTCATGATCAAATCACGCTTGTGCTCATCACGCACGTAATCCTCCAGCTCGCCACGTTCGAGGCCAGGCAAGTCGATGACTTCACCCTTCCCGCGGCCGAATGGAATTCGAATAGGCGATACGGTCGTTCCCGGCATGGATGACACTACCGGTAGAACTGGATACACGTCCTCGCGGGGGGCAGGAGGAAGCAGACTATCGGGATCCAATAGAGAGGCCTGCCGTTGATTAGGAATCTCGTGCTCCTCCCGTTGGCGTTCGACCCATTCGGCCATATTTTCGAGACGTCGTGAGTCCTTGGGATAGCACGCCTCAATGAAGCTGCTCTTGCCAACATTTGCCTTGCCAACCACCCAGATACCTCCTCCATGCTCATTGATCTCCTCTTTGACCTGCTTCGTCCACCAGCCTCGGTGTGCACTAATCATGTGCACATTGCCTAGCCGCACGTCTCTCCCAGACCTCCCCAGGGCATCGCGGAGCACGGTACGGACATATTCCATCTTGGAATCTACTTGGTCCTTCGTTGCTGCCAGTAGATCTGAGCGCGTGATGACGAAGCTGAGAGTAGGAAGCTTTTTGCCTCCGCGGTATTTCTCGTTGGCTGATCGTCGGTTTTTGGAACGCTGCTCTTGAACAAGAAGTGCCCAATGAATGCGTGGAATAAGGGACATGGGGAAGTCGGCTGCATCCAAGATATGGTAGACTCGATTATTCTTGTAAGGTGACTCGTTCATAAAGGCTCGGATTGAATGGACGGAAGGCTTTGGGGAGGCAACAGCCTTGTTATGGTGTATTAAGTCGTGGCAGCGATCACAAACGTGGGAACCGCGCGATGGGGATTGTAATGAGTAGTCGTCGGGTACAACAGCGTCATCTGGAAGTGCACCACCTGTGATATTAGTTAGTAGCTAACTCAGGGTGTGCTATGAGGGCATGCATTCGACAACTGACCTTGGCTAGGTATGGGGACTGTGGATTGTGCCTCCTCCATAAGGTCGCTCTGCTCCGTGTTTGTATTCGTCACGTCCTCCGCCGTATTGCTCTGCTCGATGGCCTCTTTCTTGGAGGCCAGAAGTTTCCGGGTCTGCTTCCGGCTGGCACTATAATAGCCTGGTTCATTTGGTTCGATCGTTTGCGAGAAAGCACCACATCCAGGACAACATGTTGGCAGGACATCAGTCAGATTCTCGATATTGACTTGCTCTTGCAGCAGATGCGATGATGAAAACTTGCGACACTGGTTGCGGCTTCGGTCGACAAAGGAGCTGTGCTGGATCACAGGTGGCGCAGCGCGGCATCGTGAATATATGGAATATGTCAGTCGCCGAGAACATATATTCGAAGTGAATCGCAGGCCATCGGGCCTCAGGGCCCTGGATAATGCGCCCCGGGCACAAAGCGACATGGTTGTGTACAGCCGTAAGTTGCGGAGTTTGAGCGGAGCTTTTTTTGCTAGCCGTCTTATCGATAAGGCCCACCTTCTATCCAATGTTGACCTGCATGTAGAGCATCAATGTCAGAAACTTGTACCAGCTCGATAAAAATGCCAACTCTTGACATTTGATAGTTGAGGGCTGGCGCTGGTATGGTCTTGAGAAGTTGAGTAGGCTGTTGGATTGACATTTGCTCGCTAATGGAACGTCACTGAATGTCTCTTCGCAGATAAGAATATGGATGGTCTAGCTAGTAAATATACATTCAAACAAGACATCCAATCAGGTCTTGATTAAGATACCCAAGTGTTAAAAAAAAGAAGATATTATTGATAGACTATTGACACAAAAGTATTCGCTTGAACCAATGCACTCAGGTAAACCCTTTGAAGTAAGAACGCCATCGTTAAACATAAGCCAGAATTTCTGTCGATACCCCATTCAAGCGCGGGCTTTACCCTTGCCCTTGGGGTCGTTTTCCTCTGCCTCCTCCTCGGAATCACTCATGAACTCGTCGTCATCATCAAACCCGATGAAACGACGAGGTGCCGGCTTCTGTACCGATGTGGAGGCCGCCGCAGAACCTGAAGATTCGCCATTGTTTTTTTCCTCCTCGTCCTCATCCTCAGAGCCGGATGAGGTTCCATGATCGCTACCCTCGCTAGCACTGGTGCTAGATCCGCCCAGAATCGCATCACGTAGGTTGTCCGTCCATGCGCCGTCCTTCATTGCAAGAAGAACTGCCTCGCGTGCCTTTTCATTCATCTCCTCCTTGTCGTCCATCCATTGACCATCGATCTTTTGCTTTCCACCACCATTCTTGATCTCATCCTGGCGCTTCTCGGCCATCTCTACCACAGCCTGCCACCGGCGGCGGCGCTCTTCCTTCTCTTGCTTATCCATTTCCGGCTTGACCGCGAGGTACTCGGCAAGTGCCTTGGCCTCATTGACAGTGCGCAAACGGCGGCCATCGAGGTTACGGCTAGAGCCGTTGTTGTCGCCCTGGTTGCGCTTGCGCTTACTGGCCATGCGCCCACCCGCGGCACGAAGTTGCGATCCGAAACCACCCTTACCACCACAGAGCGGCGCCGAGAGGCGGATGGGAAGCAGAGTAGTGGCGGAATCATTGTCGCGAGTGATTAAAGACTGGAGAGGAGCAGGAGAGGCGAAAATTTGCTTGTTGTTGGTGGTTGTAAGAATGAGACGTTCGAGAGAAAGCGAGGTCGGCAGGTATGAGGCGACTTTGTCCGTCAGATCTGACACGCTCGCTGTGGAGGGAAGTGCGAATGAGAGGGTAGATGGGAGCGAGAGTCCAGGGAATGACGAGAGCAGGACGTTAATATTTGATTGCGCCATGTTGTAGGAGCTGTTGCGCTGTGGATCTGAGTTGTAGAGATGAAGGACAGTACAAGGCTACCGATCAACGCCATCGAGATAAGCACGGCGGGCCACTGGGGACAGCACATCATGTGACTTGCCTATAGATGACTCAGCTGACGAACAGCTTCAGTCACATGACATGACCCAAACCAAGTGATTAGGGCGGAAACCCTAGCGAGCCCCCGAAGAGGAATATCGCACTTTTTCTCGCGCCGCAGCTCCACTCTCTGATCTTTAAATCACCCATCTTTTCCTGACGTTGTCAAAGCGATTCCACGAATTGCGCCAGGAACTCGCGACAATGTAAGATTTCACTCCAGACCTTCTTTGATACTGTTAAGTCACTAACAATGCCCCAGGCTTATCCCCAAGGACGACCGCAAGAAGATCCACGAGTACCTCTTCCGTGGTATGTAACCAACATCCTCGCCGACGCCTCGACTGGCCCAGGTTTCGCCTACCGTTGTCGCGCCGAGCATCTCGAAATACAGGACGACGATTGACTGACATGGATTCACAGAGGGTGTGCTCGTGGCCAAGAAGGACTTCAACCTTCCCAAGCACGGTGACATTGACACCAAGAACCTCTATGTACGATGAACCCGACAACCCGCCATTTGGTCCCCTCCACAACATGCACTAACGTTACGGTTCCAATAGGTCATCAAGGCTATGCAGTCCCTGAACTCCCGTGGCTTCGTCAAGACCCAGTTCTCGTGGCAGTACTACTACTACACCCTCACCCCCGAGGGTCTGGACTACCTCCGCGAGTGGCTCCACCTCCCCGCTGAGGTTGTCCCCGCCACCCACATCAAGCAGCAGCGCTCCCACGCTCCCCCCGCGGCATGATGGGCGGTGAGGACCGTGAGCGTCGTCCCCGTGCTCCCCGTGAGGGCCGCGAGGGTGGCTACCGCCGCCGTGAGGAGGGTGGCAAGGAGGGCGGTGCCCCCGGCGAGTTCGCTCCTTCCTTCCGTGGTGGCTTCGGCCGTGGCCGCGGTGCTCCCCAGCAGTAAAGGACTCTTCCTTGATGCCTTGGTGTCCTGTCATCCAATGCTCGGTCATCCTTAGGGGCCGATGTTATCGACTTCCGGTTCGGAGTAGGCGATGCTGAAAGGGGCTGGTCGTTGGTACATCTTCCGTCGGTTCCCAGTCTCTGAGACTCGGGAATACGGGAAAAATCAAAAAAGTTCAAACGATGTTATGATGTAGCTAGTCTTAATGGCACATTCATGACTCACTGCAAATCTTGTTCTTCTCGTAGATGCTTCGTACATATGGACTTGTAAATCAATTCGACATTGAACCTACGATTAGGGCTTATTGAAAGGGTATCATGGGTTGGTATTCGCTGCCTATGTATTCAACTGACACGATGATCGATTCTACGCGAATCTCTTACGATCATACCGCACCACCGCTTGCAGAATCACCGATGCTCCAGTGGCACAGTCGTCCGCAGAGCAGAACTCCTCGGGATGATGACTGAGTCCATCCTTGCATGGTACAAAGATCATGCTAGTCGGAACTCGCTTGGACGTGAACACGCTATCGTGACCAGCTCCACTCATGATGGGCCGAACCAACGTTGTGGTATCAGCCACGGGAGCATCTGCAACCACAGCATGAGCCGACTGCTGAACACATTCGATACAATCCTCATGGAACTTGACAGCCGGCGAGTCAAAGTCGAGCGTCCACTCAACACGACACGGCTTGCCAATCCCAGCACCTTCTGCAGCAGCAATCTTGTCGAAATCGCCGCGCAGCTCCTTTTCAACCTCTGCTACAAGCGCTGTCTCTGGGCCGCGAATATCTAAACTGAAGCTCACCTGCCCAGGCACTGTGTTGACACTTCCAGGCGCAACTTCGATAATACCTACGCTGGCCAGACACCCTTTGGCAGCGGCCACCTCTCGTGCTCGTACCATCATCTGTGCAAAGGCATACAATGCATCAGCACGATGCTCGAAAGCGGTGGTCCCGGTATGGGTGTCTCGTCCGATGATCTTCAACCGGAACCAGCGATAGGCCTGGACTGCTGTGACAACACCAACTCGCTGACCAGCCGAAATCAGGTGCGGGCCTTGCTCGATGTGAAGCTCGAAATGTGCAGCCATGGGCGTGGTCTTGTAAGAGCATGGCACATCACCTAGGTAGTTTATCTTCTCCAAAGCAGACTTCATCGTCTCGGGTGCTGATGCAGCTGTCGGAAGGGATGCAACGGTCGGTACCTCCTTGAGGTTATGGGCTTTTGATAGTGGGATACATTCTGCCCATACTCCCGATGCGATCATACTCACTGGGAATCGTGCACCCTCTTCACTAAAAATGGTCAGTATATCATGTAGAGGAATCGTGGATGTTGTTTCATACTTGGTCCAGTTCACTACTCCGACTCCCCCTCCGTTTCTAGACCGAGCTCATCCAGTCTCTTCAAAGCTTCCACACCTGATAGAACGCCTAGGATGCCATCGTATCGGCCGCCCGTGGGCTGTGTATCAAGATGACTGCCGATAAACGTAGCGGGGACATCCTTGCGTCGACCCGGGCGCACGGCGAAGATATTACCCATTTCATCCACGGTGATCTCGCATTTGAGATCCTTCATAGTCTGAATAAACCAGTCTCGAACACTCTTGTCTTCTTCGGACAGCGCAAGGCGCTGCATGCCTGTATCTGTTGGATCACTGCATGTGGTCAACTTTTATTCTGTACCCATGATCAATGCTATAAGTCTTAGGAACACTCACTCGCCCCATCGAATCCCAGACCCCCATTGACAGGAATGATGGAGGTCCTTTGCCAGTCGCTCCTGGTTGACTCTCAATGCCGATACGTCGGCTTCAGAAAGCTCCGTGGTCAACATAGCGCGATAGTTTGATGTGGAGAAGGAGCTAGTAAAACGAGGATGAAGTGGTAGCTTGGGCTGTCGCAAGATTGTCGCCCCAAGGGATGGTCGGCTCAAAGTCGTACGAAGTAACTTGATCGTATACATGGTGGAATGTGGATGTTCTTATAGAGGAGTTCTCCAACATCGGCAGTCGGAACTGCTATTGATAAGGGAGCGGGGAAGGACAGCGGTACAAAGTCCGCCAGCGATAGACCTGATATACATGCAGCCCCCACATTGGGGTAGATGGAGTAACTACTGATATCCTTTCTCCATTTTTGTGTGCACGGGCCTGCCTGTTCGGCCTTTTGATCTAGAGTGTTAAACAGCATTCGGTCCCTGAAGTCACGGGCTCGTCGGGGACAGGCTTTGTTTTCGGACCGCCAATTAAAAATCCGAACAACGCAAGATCAACAACCATGGTCATTGATAAACGCGACGAGATCCACATTCTTGCTCAAAATGAATAGGTTATTGATAGGCTTGCTATTCTTGCAATTTGTCTCGATTATCGATGCTTTCTACGATTGTCCTCGCGAATTGTGTGAAACATGCCTCTCGACGCAGATTCACGATGCTCCCGGGATTGGCTTTGACCTGACTCCGTCATATGGGTGAGCAAATAATTCTTCTGCTAGCCATATGACTTCTCTAATGGTCAAAACAGAACAGCATCTGTACATTACTATAACGGGACTGTCGTTGAAGTAGCCCATATCCAAGGAAATCCCGAATACCTTGAGCTTATGATGCGACTTGCACGCGAACCCAGGCGAGGGTTCGACAGACCCGAGAAATCTCGCTATGAAATTATTCCTTCCCGGTTCTCCCTATCTGATACCACTTCATGGGGCGCTTGGTGGCGTTGGCTTAACAAGAAGCTCGGTCGCCCGATCAAAGCCCACGGCGATGTTGAACTCATCAGTGAATTACTACGAGAACTAAAAGTTTCTACCGAAAAAGAAATATCACAACCACTTGACAGAGTTGCTGTTACGACCCCGGATATCGGCTCCATCAGTGAAATTGTCAACGCTGCCCTCGGAGACCTGAACCTACGCACATGGGTAGGCGACAGCGGTTATTACCCCAAACGCTTGGTGGAGGCCGATGCTGTTTATGCAGCAAACGGATATGGACTCTGTGCAAACTACCAGAATCTTTGGGAATGCTCAGACGAGTTTGATGAATGGTCCATTACCCAAGTCTTCACTATCTTCTACAGTCGACATCTTCTATACACCAGCATCATAGCCCCTATCTCTGGCGAGGCTTTAACTCGATTCACTTGGGACGAAGCGCAGCTTCTGGATTTTGAAGTCGGGCTAGACCATATTCTCCATACAAATGGTTCTCAGGATGCACTATGGTCCCGTATTCGTTCGCAACTATTGGTCCTACCTCGAGAGTACCCGGGTTCTCTGACTCATATTCTTCTGGCTGGGGAGAGTATCACCCACCCGCAATTTTTAGCCATTTTGAGAGATGCCCTGGCTGAAATGATGCCTATATTGTCCGTGAATCTTCAAACGGATATCCCAAATGATACAGATCCTGCTATTGTGTCTAATATCATCGATCCAACATTCGCAGCCTCGCGAGGTGCCGCACTTTTTGCTCGAAGACGACAAGAGGTACAGGCCCACTGTACTGAGCCCTTCAAATGCGAAGTGGCAAGGAAAAGAGAGCGAAAAGGCCCTCCACTGAAGGTTGATCTACGTTAAGAATAGTATCCACAATAAGATCTTGAGGTCTTTCCAACAACCTTGAGAATATCCTGATGAACTCGGACCCGGTAACCTTAATTTATCACAATAACCGCCGACATATTTGGCGAGTCGCTCAGCTATTCACGACGACATAGCAGGATGCGTAATGCCCTGATATGATTGGGGTTGAGAGCTCTTATATTACAATGAAGCCTACACAGACAAGTGATGCTACCCGCTGCCGCACAGTCCTATTAGGAATTGAGACTAATTGTTTATTATTCATTCTCGGTCGATACGCCGAGAAATCAGAACATGATCTCTGAAACGTTGGCACCGTTATCTAGCGAATCTGCTTCTCTTCGAAGGACATCGGCTCTGAACCTTCTAAAAGCAGTCTCGATCCGCCTTTTCCTTTCCGGATCAGCTGTGATGCTGCGGCTTCCACTGGCTGCTCCGCCCATAAAGCCTATTGCTTGGAGTTAGTTGAAAATCAAAGGTATGTCCATGAGTGAAGCCATATACCTAGTTCTCCACCCAAAAATAGACCACCGAGTGAAGCAAAGAAATAGGTTGCAACATCCCCGAGGGTGGTAGGTTTCAGTAGTGGTGTCAAATCTGGAATAGGCTCTGGTGGATCGTCAGTCAAACGTCCACCGCTGGGATCGTATATAACCTATGATGTAGAGATCCTTGAACATACCGGTACGTCCATCTGCAAAGACAACCTTGGTAGGCCGTTCCTGTGCTCGAATAGCGGCAAAGAACGCCTTGCGGGTGCTTCGTAGCCGAATGGCAGCATACAATCCAAGCCCAAGGCCTACCGCAGATCCAACCGTAGTCCACAAGGAAACAGTTGATGCAGCTGACTTGAGTGCATCCCGATCGTCTGCCTGGAGTTCATGTTGCAGATGCTCATCGGCAAGCTTGGCAAGCTCGTCGCTGCGGCGACGGCGGAGAAGGGCAAGCGAGTCAGACATGATGAGATAGCTCGCGCAGATAATACTGACATACAGGGAGAATGGCCAAGGAAGAAAGCTTTATGAATTAAGCGAAGTTCGGCTCCGATGAGCCGGTTTCGACAAGCCACAAGCTGCCCTGGAGGAGCTTGCAGTGATGACGTCACACATTTCTGGACCATCCGCAATAGACCGAGCACATGGAATGAGTAATCTAATCGTACTTTCTAGTCACTACGGAGGATATTGAGATAAGCGGGGCAAGCAGTAAAATTGAAGTGATGGATTGCGAGTTTGTGGCACTGTGTCACTGTACAATGGGCGAATGAGCGAACTGATCGCTTGGAGTGTTCCATAGATCCATGTGTTCTTCCACCTGGGCTTCCAGAACACTCTGTTATGGACTAGAAATATTCCCTTCATATGGTATTGTCTTAATATAGTGAGTCATCACCACTTGAAAGCTGAATATAGCTCAATTTCCTAATCAGATAAGACGGTATGGTCATCTTCCCCCACAGCAGTCGCATGACACCTTTTTCGACAGTTCTCTTATTAATCTAAGCTAAGATGTATGGATATCGCATCATGCGCGGCTCGGTTGTTTGAGTTATCTTTCGGTACCTCTTATCTAGTATTGTGTGACTGAAGAAACGTCACAGATCTCGGCTCTCCCGAATCGCCGGGGCTTCGATAGAATTGCCCTGGGTTCGTCGCCCTTTCCACGTAGTATAGACAGGGTCTCCATGATGTATCTAACCAGGATAAAGCTTGCTACAGCAGTTCTAATGATCTGACGCGTGGCGGCGAACCTTATACAGTGTGGGGCAACGCCAGATCATTCCGTCAATCTTGCCTTGGCTAGTCTACACCGAATATCTGTCGCGTCGGGCATGAACCCAACGTCGGATTTTGCCCTGAGTATGCAATGCTGTTGCCTCTACACCGAAAATTGGGTTGTTCAGTCTTGCCTGAACTAGGTACGTCATGGTCTTCTTTTGCTTCCCTTTCTATCTTCGAGCGTGGGGGCTAAGCGTGCGCTCGAACCCATTTCTTTGACTCGGCGCATGTGAGGAAGTTGAAAAATAGTCGTAGCTAAGACTGTACGAAATCAAACTTTAAAACGCCTCTTCCATGAATCTTACTTCCATTAGTTTTGTGAAAGGGAGCATAGAGACTGATTGGCTGGAAATCTTATCAATCTTCACGAAGGACTCCTGGGCGTTTAGCTAACTTGCGCTAATTTAGGGTCCGGTCCGTCTTTCCTAGTCTGTCAATCAAAACTCCTTCGGATCGAAGATACTCAATATCGTATCATGGATGATGATTCTAGCACATCTGTAAATAGGCAGAATTTTTGTTAGACACACGGACGCAGATTTACAGTCCAAAACGATAAATCCAATAATAAACTCCACGTTTTGATCTCCGAGAAGTTTTCAGCTCCACAATATGCCAAAAAGGCCATCGACACAAAGTGGCAAAAAGGGGCACATGGTACAGCCCTTGCTTTATCATGTGTCCAAGAGGCGTAAGGATTGTCCACCAGATATGATTATATTTGCTTTTCCCCATACACCGCCCTGATCGTGAGGTTACACAATCCTGTTTGCCATGCATGAGCTGAAGGGATGTTCCCCTCGTAGGATTTATGCACGCTAGCACGTAAAACGTGTCGATAATTTCTCTCACGACTCATATGAGCTGAACGACTAGCTGCTTCCCCACTCTACTACTTTAAGGTCTGATCGCAACGAGATTGCCTTCCTCTTAGCAATTTGATTGGCTTCGAGTTGTACCCCCTCCCCGAATCATCTTCCTTGTCACTGCATGGTCCTGCATGTTTCTGCACATTATCTGCGGGCCGACTGGGGAGTCTTCCCGCCTCCCCCCTCAGTGAATACGGGCAACAATAGACGACGGTCATTCATATATAAAAAGAGCCTTGGTCGGAACCTAGTTGTACGTATGTCCATTAATATTTCTCGATTCTTTATCCTACCCTAACACAAGTATGGCAGACGAGAGTATCAATCGTCATATTCGGTACCAACCCGACACCGTCGCCCTAGCCGGGGAGAAAGACCCCAAAGTCTCCCAGTCACCAAATTCCCTCGAGGATGGCAGCCTTTCACACTCTCCAACTGATTTTGAGCAAGATCGGGTAATACAGGGAAACAAAAAGTTCAATCGACTAGGTTGGAAACGCCTGACTATTTGCCTCATCGTGGAAGCCATCGCTCTGGGCAGCCTGAGTCTTCCTGCGGCATTCTCAACACTTGGAATGGTTGCTGGGGTTATATCATCCGTTGTCATCGGCCTCATTGCCACTTATGCTGGCTATATCGTGGGGGCTGTAAAGATAAAGTATCCAGAGATTGAGAACTATCCGGACATTGGGAGATTACTCCTTGGAGAGACCGGCTTCTGGATTATTACCTGCGCTTTCGTCATTGGGATAATGCTAGGCGTAGGCTCCCATTGTCTGACTGGTATAATTGCCTTTGTGAGAATCACAGAGAGTGATATTTGCACGGTGATTTTTGGGTTGATCTCAACAATCATCCTTCTCTTAGCCGCCATTCCTCCATCTTTTGCGGACCTTGCCATATTGGGCTACATTGATTTTGCATCAATCATTATAGCCATCGGAATTACAATAATTGCTACTGGGATACAGAGTTCTCAAAGCCCTGGTGGTCTATCGAGCTCAACATGGTCAGCCTGGCCTCGCGAGGACGCTGATTTCCCGAAAGTGATGGTCGCTCTTAATAATATCGTCTTCGCCTATTCTTTTGCACCTACTCTCCCATCCTTTATGGCCGAAATGCACACGCCAAGGGATTATGTCAAGTCAGTATACGCAATCGGCATGATTGAAATTATTCTTTACACATTGATTGGATCTCTTGTGTTTTACTTCGTCGGCCAGGATGTCCAATCCCCAGCATTGCTCTCAGCTGGGCCTCTGATCTCAAGAATCGCGTTTGGTATTGCCCTCCCAGTCATTTTTATCTCGGGTTCAATAAATACCTCCGTGGTTGCTCGATATATTCATGGCCATATCTATCGAAACTCCGTGGTGCGTTATGTGAATACCAAAACCGGTTGGATTACCTGGATCGCGCTCGTGACCATCCTCACTTTCCTCTCGTGGATTGTTGCCGAAGCTATTCCCGTGTTTTCCGACATGCTATCTATCACGGCTGCCCTGCTGAACTCGGGACTCTGTTTTTATGTTCCCGCGATTATGTGGTTTGTTCTTCTCAAAGAAGGCAGTTGGCTCTCAAGGAAAAATATCAGAACTGCCTTTTATAATGGAGTTGTCTTTCTGCTTGGAATAGGCATTCTCGTTTGTGGAATGTACGCAAACGTCCTTAATTTGGTAAGTGAAAACAATCTTCAATCCTAGGTTGAGTGTCAGCTAACACTAAGGAAACAGATAGAAGAATCAAAGACTGGAATTGTTGGACGACCCTTTACTTGTTCAGTGGCTGAGCTGTCTTAGTTAAAGATCCGAGAACGAAAAGAACTTCAGACTGATTATGATACGATACGATATGATTTCAAGCCTCATGATCCTAAAAGTATATGGAAATTTAATGAGTCACAGTCTTATGGTGACACGATCTTGTCCGGGCCCTCCTTAAAGAAGGTAACCTGATTCTGGACCAAATTCCAAACAGTGTCTGGCGTAGGCGCATTTCGCCTCTATTTCTTTTTTTCTCTATTACTTCTTTGACACAACCTTGATTGGAAATAATTTTACATTGTGACTTGATCAACTTTGCACTATACCCCTCATCCTCGGAGCTGTGAGGCTGCAGCTCTGGCTATCTTCCCTAAGTCTTCTCTGCTATCACAAGAAGCAAATATGAATCTATCTGGCCGAACAATAGTGAATCGCCTTCCTTTCAAGGCCTTCCCTAAACAGAGCGGGTCATAAAACGCTGGCCTCGGCCTGTTGGTACATAGCTGAGACTGGGCAAACTCTTCCCCAGAAGCAAGCCGGAATACCTCATGCCCAACTTTGCAAGGAGCACAGGATATATCCTCCACGAGGAAGGTGGCCTCGCTAGCAAGGATCTCGCCATGGGACAAGTCGTCAATGTCCAATGCAATCTCTCGGGCTGAAGAGATTTCTTCAGATGTCTTGACGTATACGAGGAGCTGGAACAAGCCACTTTTGCCTGGTCCAAAAATAACATCGTCTGTGAAACACACTTCTGTGTTGGAGCTTCCCATAGACCTGCAATAGACTTGGGGGAGACACAGGCCGCCGTTATATTCGGGGATGAATGGCATTCCAGACGAATGCTCGTAGCGCACGAGTCCCTCCTTGCGTCTACCAAGGGACAATTCGTGGCGCCAGGAGGGTACCAGCTGTACAAACCAAAGGTACACGTTTCGTACGAAGATTTTCAATGGGTTACCCTCGGTCACGAATTTTCCGTTTTCAATAGTTGATGCTAGCGACTTTTCCAGCTGCTGTTTTCGCTCTTCGTACCAAGCTTTTAAAACTTGTTTGTGGAAGCCGGAGTCCTTTGCTTGGACACGACAGAGTAGGGCGAGGCGCCAAGCAAGAGATACTGCATCACGGAAGCCAGATGCAATTCCTTGACCCCCAACTGTGTATAATCAATTAGTTTAGGCCAGATATGCGCGTATTTAAGCGTTTGCAAACATACACGGCGGGAAGACGTGGGCTGCATCGCCACATAGTACAACTCGGCCATCAGACCATCTGTTGCAGCTTCTAGCGGAGAATCTAAATGGCCGTGACCGTAGAACTTGGATGCAATCATCTGGGAAGACAATATCCTGGGGTATGCTAGCTCGATTGTTAGTCAATATCTTCAAGGATGGAATTCAAACGGAGAGATACCCATAGCGTTTCCCAGGATGGGTTATGTAAGGAAAGACCACTTTCTTGATCATTTCTGGCTTCGCCATCTCGTCCCCATCCTCACCTTTTTGGACGACGAATTCAAACCTCCATAAGCGATCTGACGGCAATCCAAAACGTCCACAGACAGATGGCCGATTTGGGTTGCAAATGAAGCGGAAGTTGGATGGGAAGAAAAGATCATATACTTGTTCAGGTGTATACCCGAGTCTCCACAATGGAAAGTCGGGATGGGTCTTTTCATTTGGAAGGCTAATCTTCCAATTCAATGCCACCCAGGTCTCTTCGTAAAACGACCTGTTATAAGACGTTCAGAAAGAACACAAGTAACTGATTCTTAGTTCACTTACTGGTGGGCCTGCTCCATGAGAATTCCTCGTGGCTCCAGGTACTGCTTTCTTGTGAAGCCAGTTTTGCCATCAGCGCCTATAAAGAATCGCGACCGGATCTGACGCTCTTGGCCTGTCGCGTCGCGATAGTGACAAAGTGTTCCCTGGTCATCTTCTGACAGACTGGTAACTTCGCACCCCGATCGCAAGTCGCAATATTTCGAGGATGCCATCGCATCCCTCAAGCATTTCTCTAATGCCGGCTGCTTGTGACAGATGAAGCCCACATGTCCCGTACCACCCTCGGTCTATCCGGTGATAACCAAGTCCTTAGCTGAATAGTTCTGCTGGAACTCAGTTGGGAAAGGCCTTACAGTTCCGTAGTCCATCTCAATAAATGCTCGCTTATCCAAAACAGGATCCTTTCCTCCAATGAACTTGAATATGTGCATGCCTGGAATTGATTAGCAGGATTCCATACCATCTATTGCATATTAGAGTGCCTCGCTCAGGTTGCTCATGGCTAAGACCCCGAATCGAAGAGGGAGATGGTAGTCTTACATGTCCCAATTTCCGAATACACAGACGAGTACAAGCCGGCGCCCTGAAGAAGGCGAATGCCATCTTCATCCAAGGCAATACCGCGAGGGTCCGTCGTGATTTCAGCTCCCTTCTCCAACACAATGTTGGAGATATTCATCTTGCCTAGATACGCGGAAAGCATGGCTCCTGTCGGGCCACAGCCACAAATAACCACGTCGGTCGTTTCGCACTCCATGCTGAATCACTTGAAGCGAGTCAAGGAATATCGCAACCTCACTAGCTTAACAAGCTCCAAGTTGTCTTATAGAGCTTTGAATTTCAGTTGGAGGCAAAATAACATCGAACCACTCTGTTATTCTCCACAGGGATACGGAGGTCCCGCATTCCTCCGCAGGTCCCGCCAGGGGTCTCTCCAAGAGGAGCTCAACCAGCCACACAGGGCCCACTCGGTCATTAGTTAATGCCGTTCTGTGAGTTATAACTTTTTTGCATTAATGCGGATATATGAATTTATATCCGGCTCCTGATAGCTCTTGTGGGGGAAGTGGCAAAAGCCGAGTATAATACCCGATGTTGGGATGGATGATTGACCCCACGTCCCGCAAAAGGAGGGGGAGCCGGGGCAAATATGATGATCCACTAATTTAGTCAAGTAGCGTAAATAGTTCAGCTTGTCCTTCTATTTCGGCAAGAATAGGAACTCATAATTTCTTCACGAACTGCTCTCAAAATGCCAGACTGGACCCATTTGATTCGGTTTATCGCGGAGGAGGATAGCCTTGTGCACCTTGGTCAACTTGTCGATGTGACCCGTGATATCGGCCGAGACAGCGTTGATGGCGTCGAGATCGCAGCCTATGTGATCGAGGGAACCATTTTCGATGGCAAGGTTACAAAGGATGTTTTGCATGTCAAGCAGGTAAGAATGTCTCAAAACAGTCAGCCCAACAGGAAGGCTAATTTCTTTAGTTGCTGTCTCCTGTTTCAAGGGAAGAGTGCAACTACATTCGATGCTTGGGACTGAATTACATAGATCATGCAAATGTAAGTCAGAAGAATCCATGGAGGATAGTATCGCAACGGCTAATCATCATAAAGGAAGCGAACATGGCTCTCCCCAAGGCCCCCATTCTATTCACCAAGCCTCGAACCGCCCTGATCGGACCCTACCCCGCCGCTATCAACGTTCCAAAGTGTGCGCAAGATGATACCAGTGACTACGAAGCTGAGCTTTGTCTGATAATTGGCAAGAGTGGTCGTGATATTCCGGAAGAGGAGGCCCTGGATTATGTGCTTGGATACACTGCGTCGAATGACGTCTCTGCCAGAGATCTGCAAATGCTCACTACGCAGTGGTCTTTCTCCAAAGGCCTTGACGGAAGTTGCCCAATTGGTAAGCCAGCCAAATTCCTCTCTCCGATGCCTTCATTTACTAAAGGTCATCTCGTAGGACCCGTTCTGGTTGCACCATCTGTAATCAAGGACCCCCAGACATTGGCCATCAAGGCGATTCACAACGGCGCTACCGTCCAGGACGGCCATACCAGGGACATGATCTTTTCAATCAAGAAGCAGATCTCATATCTCTCTCAAGGTACTACTCTGGAGGCGGGGACCATGTTCTTGACGGGAACGCCTGCCGGTATTGGCTATTTCCGTCAGCCAAGAGTGGTTCTGAGGGACGGCGATGAGATCTCGATCCAAATTGATCAGATCGGAACTCTTGTCAACAAAGTTCGCTATGACACCCGTTGATATTCTAAATATTTTATGGTTCCCTTAGAGCAGAGGAGATGAGGCTTGCAAATTTATATAGAATCGCGCAACTGTTCAATTACGAAAATGAAAATAGATTTCGAATAGGAATGGCCCAGATAAACAATTTAGCGTTATTTTCATTCAAAGTGATTCCCGCGGTTGAGCTTGACTGATCACAACCTTAACCCCATTACAAACTAAAATGCCCCAAAACAACCAGCCTCTAGAAGTACTTCTGTTGTAAAAGTCCTTACATGCTATGTTATGTGCATGATGTTCTAGATTTTCCCGTGACATACAAGGGATGATCCCTTTGGCTTACCGCGATGTAAGTTAAATCCCTCAAATATGTCGTGGCTTCTTTTCCGGAGCCAATCAACTGAAGAATTGGAAAAAGAATTTGAGATTGGAATTGGAAAAAAATTTTGAGATTGGAATTGGAAAAAACTAGTTATAGTCATCGCCCGCTATTTCAAAAACCAAGACGGAACTTCAGGTCCCCAAACTGCCAGAGACTCATCTCCTGCAGGACCATACCCAATGGGTGTCTGATCATTAACTAGATCACCGTCTGCATAATGCTCAATCATATTCCCAGTAGTATCCCACCAGTAATCAAAGATTTGTGACCCGAGGATGTGTCTGCCAACGCCCCACACAGACTCATATTTCTTGTCGGCAAGCCACTGGTGTCCAAGCTTCTGAGTGTCAAAGTCATGAACCTCGAATGAGCAATGATGGACATGTGTAGTCGCATTGGTACTGATGAAGAAGCTGTGGTGGTCTACATAATCGCTGCCACGATCGATGTGAGCGAAAAGCGCGACGTTTCTCTTCTGACCATCCTCTCCGACGTAGAGGAAGTCAGTTGGGACTATGTTGAAATTTTTGGTGTAGAACGTGACCAGGTCGTCAAATTTCTGCGTGCAGACCCCAAAATGTCCGAGCTTCGTCTAGCTGTCAGTTTGATGTGCTTCATGATTGTTTCATTTGGTGTACGCACCTTGTGCACGGCCGCAGGACCAGGTTGGAAGCGCTGGAACCTTCGAATGCGAGGTTTTTCATCTTCATAATTGACAGTGAGCTTCTCCGGGAATTCGCCTTTCTCTGCTGCCTCCTGTCCATATATCAAGTTGACTGGGAATCCTTCGGGATCAGTCAGTGTAACCATAGAGCCCCCACCAGGAGCGTCAGATAATTCCTTGATTTCACTGGCAGTTGGGAGCTTAGTAGCTCTATCAACAGTTAGCTAGCTTGCTTTTTGAAATAGAACATATGAGGACTCCGCACTTCTCCAGATCTTGGTATGTCTCCACGGTGAATGTACCCCCGAGATACTCTTTCGGCCCCTTGCGAGCGTAGTAGACATACTGATCATCACCGTAACCTCGATACCAGATTTGGCCTTCTGTCCTCTTTGCGACCGTCATACCAAAATCTGGATTTTGTACCCTTAGCTCAAATCCTGCAAGAGGGTAAGACATGAAGAGACTCGTACCTTCGAGAAAGGTCGTAATTTGATGGAGATCAGGATGCTGGTAACGCATGTGCGCCAACTTGACCAGACGGATCTGATCCTCTTTCTTGATTCCACATCGCTCTTGCCACTGCGTCACATTCTCACGTTCGCTGCCGATGGCAACAACATCGGGAACCGAAGCTCCATGGTTCGGTCGCACCATGGCTGTAGGATAGTGAGATACGAAACTGATGTTCAATCGAAGGTCTGTATGGAATCTTGTAAAAGGCTTAGATCCTTTATGATGTATATTTTGAACCCGGCAATCTTAAGAAGTACCGCACCCGAGCTGTTCGAAGCTACGTAAGTCAGTCCTCCCCATACCCCACACTTGGAGGTCCCACAAGCAAACCGTCCCGCGCTGGTGGTTGTACATCCGAGTCGGAAATAGCCCCACCTTTTCACCTCTGGTGAGGGGAAGGCGACCAACAAACCTCTATCTATTATTGATCCTGTCTCTTGAGATAGAAAGTATAGTCCTCCTTGGTTGGAGTCTTTAGAACTTGAAAAATTACTCACCTAAGCGAGCTCTGTACTTCGGCATCGACAAAATAACGATGCCGTGATTGTGCACCTAATTGCTGCTGAGTGAGTGTCGCGATATGTGTCTGTTGAACAGCCCGACAGGAGACGATAACTTGCAAGAAGCAGACGCTACGGTGGTATTTGACAAGTTATTCTTTCGTTTTTCTAGATTAACCCTTTCAAGCAGCAAAAATATATAGCGATAGCTCAAATGCTATCGATGTTTTATTATCCTCATACACATTTCACACCCCAGCACACGTTTACAATACCGGCCCAACCAAGTCGGTCGCGAACGGTACCAAGAACAATGGGCAACCCAAATACATATTGTATCAGATAATTATCTTCTGACATCAAAGCCGGTACTTCACCGCGGCATAACATGGGGAAGACATTATAGAGTCATGCTAGGAATGGTTAGTGTTCCGATACCTACCACTCCATGTTCTCGGCCAAGTCTTACTTTATCAAAATTGTCTTTGGTTCGGTAAACGCCCGCAAAGCCTGAAAGAATTAGTACTTCATAAGCTGTCCAATGCTAATAATTGAAAAACCCACATATTCACCAAATTCTCTCCCAATTCCAGAGGCCTTTTTACCACCGAAAGGTGCTTGGATGTTCATCTGTTCTGCTTTCAGCCGACTGCAAGACATGCCCACCATTAAATTGACATACCAGACTGACACAGTTGACACCTACAACGCCGGAATCGATCTTTGCGGAGACTCTCATGGCACGATTGATGTCCCGCGTGAACACTCCTGCCATCAGTCCGTACTCGGTATCATTGGCCAATGCAATAACTTCATCTTCTGTATCAAACGTCTTTACAACTGAGACCGGTCCAAAGACCTCATTTTTGTAAATCTCAGCGTCGGGATTAGGGTTCAGGACCACTGCTGGCTCGAGGAAACAACCCTCCTCACCAATGCGATCTCCCCCTATGACCTGCTCGCTTTCCTTCTTAGCACGTGTAATCATTGACTGGACATTTTCAAAGGCTGCAGTATCTGCAAGTGGTCCAAACTTGGTCTCAAGCTCTTGAGGATCACCGATATCATTTACCGCATCCTTCATCCGCGTACAGTAAAGTTCGATGAATTTAGGGGCAATTGAGCGGTGCACGTAGACCCGAGATGCCGCGACACAAACTTGTCCCGTCCGTGCCAAAATGCCGTTTACAGTCCTATCTATTGTTAGCCAGGCCCTTTGAAGCCATCACTGAACTCGGGATTTTGGATGAGATACCATGTAACTGCGTTCTCTAGGTCCGCATCCTCAAAGATCACTGCTGGGCTCTTGCCACCTAAAATTCCAGTTAGTAGGCGGATCCACTTAGAATAATCTCATTCTGACCTACCAAGTTCCAATGTGACTCTCTTCAGGTTGCTTTGAGCTGCAGCAACTTGAATTTTCTTTCCCGTAGCAACGCTTCCAGTAAAACTGATCTTTGGTCGTAGGTTAGAAGGGCCTTCGTAAACAAATTTGATGAACGTGAAATGTCCTTTCCTACCTTTCTTACTCTCATATGGCTGGCAAGTCGTGCGCCTGTGCTGCCATCGCCTGTCAAGACCTGGACAACACCACGTGGAAATCCCGCTTCTTCAAATAGCGCTGCAACTGCCAAGGACCCCAGCGGACTCTTCTCCGATGGCTTCACAATGAGTACATTTCCGGTCGCGAGACACGGTGCGGCTTTGATGAAAAAAGATGCTACGGGCGAGTTGTACGGGTTGATGGCAACGCAGACACTTTCGAGTTTGTCAGTATAGATTTTTCAGAGATTTAAGTAGTTCTCTGGAGGTTCATACCCGATGGGTTCGTGTCTGACAAGCTTTATGAACCCGTCATCGTCAGGGAAGTAATCCCCACGTTGCTTGTCCGTCCAGCCCGCTAGAAATTCGTCAGCCTTTAGGCACTTCAACAGAATTAAACAATGAACTCTAATAATCTCACCGTAGTATAGAAGGCAATTTCTAATGTAATTCCTCTCTCGTGTTGGAATGAGTGAGACTGGATTCCCCGTTGTCAACGAGTCAAGGCGCAGAATATGAGGTAACCTTTCTTCCAGTAGATCGACCAGTCGGTGGAAGCAAGCCGCGCGCTCTGTGGCGCTAAACTTGGACCATGGACCGGCAAAGGCTGCTTCAGCGAATTTCACAGCGTTGTCGACATCGGTATCATCTGCAACAGGAATTCGATCTGCGACAAGTGTGTTGTTCTTTGGGTTCAGAACGGAAAAAGACTCGGATGAATGAGGGGCACTATAGCCTCCATTTAGGTATAGCTGGTTGAATGTAACTGGAATGGAAGAATTAAGGAGACTCATTTTGTTGGAGAAATTGATGAGAGACTTTCGTTTATTTACAACGGAATTCCTCTAGCTCTCTTATATGACGGAGAAGTGTAAGGAAACAGATGGATAAAGCATGCTCGGCTTCTCAAGACTACTTCATCAATGAAACAAGATGCCGACCGTAAGTAGAATAGTATTTTACCCAAGTTGAGGTAATAAGTGCCATAGCTATAATTGTAAAGTAGTCCGGAGATGGAAGTCCTGATCCTCTCGGCCTCTCGGCTTCTTGGCCCCACGCGGGTACTGAGTAGAGACGCCGAACGCCACTTTTAAACCCATAAAATGCAATGAAATCTATGGAAAAAGAGATCCAGAGCAAGAGCAAAGAATTGATATTGCATTCTCAATCATGTCTATGAAAGCTGTTGTTTTCCGTGGCCCATTCGACATTGGTGTCGAGCAGAAGCCAAGGCCCCGAATCGAAGATGCTACTGATGCCATCATTCGAGTCAAGTTGGCAGGAATATGCGGAAGGTATGCACTGTACCGTACCAGAAAAAGTCCGATTGACTAATTCTGATGCAGTGAGCTTCACATGTATCGAGGCCATCAACAAACGGGCACCGGTCACATTATGGTAACTCTCATCACAACCTGGACGTTTTGGAATTGCTAACATTAAGTGGTAACCAAGGGTCACGAGTTTGTCGGCATTGTAGAGGAAATTGGAAATGATGTCGCCTTGTTTCGCCCGGGAGATGAGATCGTATCCATCTTTTCCCCAGTCTGGTAAGTTTCAGCGACAACTCAAAGTTCATGTTCAGATCCTAATCATAAAAAGTTTGAAATGTTGGTTTTGTCGCCAGGGCCTAACAAACCGTTGCGTCAATGGAGTGGCGTTTGGCACTCAATTGCTCAACGGTGGTCAAGCCGAATACGTGCGCGTTCCTTTCGCCGATGGGACCCTTCATCATGTCCCAGACGAACTGGATCGCCAATTGCTTATCATGATGTGCGACATCTTTCCAACGGGATACTACGGGGCGCAACGTGCTATTGAGGGACTTCGTACACAATATACTTCGAGACTTACAAGCTTCCCATCTGAGCAAGATAGCCACGCTATCTCGTGCGAGTCTTCTAGTTTGAACACAGAGAAGGAGAAACTTCGAGAATCCACTATCGTCATTCTTGGTTGTGGGCCGGTAGGAATTTGTGCTATTGCTACTGCTCGCTCAGAGGGGATCAAGACTGTGTTCGCGATTGATAGCGTTCAAGACCGCTTGGATGAGGCCGCGCAGTTTGGCGCAATTCCGATCATGCTCGGACAGGAAGATTTGAAAGCTCGAGTGTTTGAGGCAACTGATAATAGAGGAGCAGATGCGTGTGTTGAGGTTGTTGGAAATAAGGCAGCCTTGCGCTCTGCATTCGATCTACTACGGCCATGCGGTATTCTGTCATCAGTGGGGTTCCATCGAGGAGAGCTACCATTTACAGCACTTGAGTGCTATCAAAGTAACATCACGTTCGTCCGTTCCTTCCCTGACGAGCTTTCCTAGACTAACTCCATGTCTCAGTGTTAATTTTGGACGCGTCCCTGTCCGTACGGTTTTCGAGGATGCGTTGCAATGCTTGGCAGACAACCAGGAAAAGATGCAGAGTTATATTACGCACGAGTTTCCACTGGATGATGCGGCTAGAGGGTATGAGGTATTTGAGCAGAGGAAAGCGCGAAAGGTCATACTCAATGTTTCGAACTAGCTGAATTGAAAGTAAGCGTTTAAAGTTCAAGTTCAGCCATCTGTAAACTAGGATGATGAATATGGTGATATCTAGTTGTCAATACAGATAATGGAGACCTCTCATCCCGATAACAGTGAGGCTCACACCCTTGATACTACTGTCCAAGATGGACGGTGCTTATTACGAGAGCTCTTCACTGTTCTCCAACACGGCTGCCGCGGCTTCGCAAAAGCTGGTTCGGCTAGCTTCGTAAAATACTCGATCTAGTGAAGCGAGTTCAGGATGGGTGCAGTAGGATGAAATGAGTCGGATGATTATCAATGAAATCATTTCTGACGCGGCATTTTGGCCCAGTCATGATTTGATGTTTAACTACGATCAAGATACCGTCCGGGTCAAGAAAAGCCCGGGAGCAAGATGGGCCCCGGGACCTGCTCGGCCGAATCACCGAGTATCTCGTCATCGACCCTTCGGCTTCTTGTCTCGTCCCCGCTCTTCGACAATTCGACCCGATACTCCGACTAACGCCGAATCTGCAGCTCGGTGAATCTTCTTTGAGTGACGGCCATGGATGTTTCAAATATGGAATTGGTTGAGTCGAATGACCGACGCACACGCGTGGCCTGTCGCCGATGTAACTCCAAAAAGATCAAGTGCAACGCCCAGAGAGGGGTTCCATGTAAAGGATGTGTATCGACCAATACGGAATGTGTGCTTATAGAATCACAGCGTGGACGGTATGTGCCGATCTCTGTCTAATTGTACCTAATTCTTTTGCTGATGTTTGCCCACTTAGGTACATTCGCAAAGGGTCCAGGGCTGCCAGGAAATCGCGAGTCTCTCGAAATGATAGAGATATACCACGAGTAAACCACTCATCGGCTATCCCTACTAGCGAAATCGATCATATTTCCCCATCGGAAATAGGTCTGCCTCCCCATAATGATGTATCAAGTTCCACTCGAGGAACACTGGAATTACCTGATCAGGACAGTGATCGCAGGTTCTACTTGCACATCGCGGACCAAGGTCTCAGCTCAACACCTCAGCCTATCTCAAGTGAAAGAGGAACCCTGTTTCTCGGCGAATCATTTAGCTTGACGTATGTCGTTCACGACGTTTTGGCACCCTTCCTCAGTACAGAGTGTGCTCCAAATTATCGCAGACGCCTCCATTTCCCAGTCGATGAGGGATTTGACCAATCCAGTCTAGGCCAACAAAAGATGGTTGGGGCGCAGATGAAGCTGCTGCGAAGCAGAGACCTTTTGTTCCAACCAGACCAGAGAGCCTTGGAACAGCTCCTTGCAGGATACTTTAGGTGGTTTCATCCCGCGTTTCCCGTGCTCGAAAAATTCACGTTTTTGCAAAAATGCAGCAGGAACGAGTTATCATTACTTGTGCTGAATTCTGTTCTCATGATTTCTGTCACGGTCTGCGAGGAGGAAGTGCTTGGCCTTCTTGGTGTTCACGACCGCTACAAAGCACGCGAGTTGTTTTACAACCAAGCCCGTGCATTATATGAGACGGACTCTGACCCCGATAAGCTTAACAACGTGGTAGCTGTTTTCTTGATCAGTTTCTGGTGGGGTGGCCCTAATGATCAGAAAGACTCGTGGCATTGGCTGGGGATTGCAATAAGTTCGGCTCAGAACCTTGGCATGCACCGTTCGTATGTATACTCTACTTGATTCATACATTGGTATCTGTGCTAATTTGTATCCTTTGCTCAGAGCAGCAAAGTCTCATATGTCTAGTCATCGAGTGCGAATGTGGAGGCGCATATGGTGGTGTTTACGAGTAGGTACTCACTCTGGTCTTGGGGTACTTACCCTCTAACATAGTCAATTTTAGATAAGAGATGTCTTGGTCAGTAGCTCGATTGGCCGGCCACAGCACTTTTCTATATATGACTGCGACGTGGAAATGCTATCACCGCATGACCTAGAAGGCGAGTTTCAGAGTGAACAAGAGGTCCACTACGCTTGTCAGATGGCCGGTCTTTCCACTATCAGTAGGCATTCCCATTCTGCTTTGTATCGAATTGGGCTGAATAGTGAATGTAGTGAGTGACATCATTGCCTCAAGATATGCAGCAGTCAAACCAGATCATCCTGCGCAGAAAAAGATACAGCTCGAGAAAGAACTCGACGATTTTCGGTTGCAAATACCCGAAATTTTGAGATACACGGGGATTAATTCAGACAGCAAAATATGTCTATGGTCATCAATGCTGTTGATGGCATACAAGTGAGTTCCGTCCAGTGATGACCTGCCTATCATACTGAACTAGGGACAGCTTTGGGGTTATTCTGCTTTGTCGACCCCCGCACAATAAGGGTTCAGACATGTCTCAATTATGGGGCAATCATTCCAAAGCATTAGCAGCGGCGAATGAAGTCACTCGGGTGATCGAGGATATTCTATCACTCTCGATGGGAAGAGTCTGCCAAATCCACACGTATGAATACCCGCCCATGAATAACATGTGAGATCTGGCTAAATCTTGACAATAGAATTCCTGCACTCTTCAACTCCCTCGCTATACACGTTTTCATGATATGTACCTCGCGCGCTATAGGGCGGGAGCTCGCCGAAAATCGAGCACGTACGTGTATGCTCGGCCTCACGTCCCTACAGGAATCCTGGCCTGTTAGTGGGTGGATTTTGCGGCTGTTCGTTTATATAATGGACCGGTTGAAGAGTATATCGAAACTACCGACTGCTCCTGGGCTTAGGCAGGGCCTCTTCAACGCAGGTATTCACCCGAGGTCGGGCTCACACTGCTCCCTGATTCCCCAACTCGATAAGCCGACCGCAGACACCCCCCTACGCCAGATGCGTGATCATAGAAACATACCAAACCAGCAGACACAGACCGACACACCTGCCACTGCAAACATATTTGAAGATTTTGACATATTTCCGGAGATGTTTTTCCCCGATCAGAATTACGAGGGTCAGGAAGTGGGTCAAGCGGACTTTTTTGATCTATTACGAGTCCCCGACTGGGACAACATGGCTACATCATTCAATACCTGAGAATTTAAAAAGGGCTTGTTAGTTAGTGCCAATAGGGCCTTCTATGTATAAGCAAGCAACTTCTGTGGTCGTAACCTTATCGTCCAAAGCGAGGCAAAAAGAATTCAAGTGAACTCCTACCGATTATATATCTCAGTGACCCGTAACGCGAACATCCTTGAGCACCATTGACTTATCCAAAAGCAGAAAGGAGTTTTCCCCTACGGCCACACTTCTCAGTCTCCAAATATAGTTCCTTTGATTTTCAAGGCGATTTAATTTTGATCATACAAATGGTCGCTGACTGGGCACACTGGCGTGATGACATAAAACGGCCCGTGGGGGCTAAATAGGTGTGTCCCGCAGACACGGATCTCCGTCTCCGATCATTCGTTTTGTAGCACGAGGTACCCTCGGAATATTCCATCCACTTGCTGACATTTAAGGTTTTAGCTCAGGTCTGTTGCATTTCTCAGCTACGTGTCTGTGGGGCGAAACGCTGGTCCGTCCCCGTTCATCATGGACGAGGCAAGCGCAGTCCGCATGCCGAAGGCATGCAGGACATGCGCCAAGGCAAAGGTTCGCTGTGAGCCCCAGAGTGAAGGCCCTTGTAAGCGGCAAGTATCTGCAGATTCTTGAACCTTTGGAATAGGACTTTTAGCTAAAAGTCTCTAGATGTCGTCGTCTCAATAAGGACTGTAGTGGCCAAGCGCCTGGAGCTCACCGACGGCAAAAAAGTAAGCCTGCCAATGGGTAAGTTGTCCATCGAGAATATCCGGCCAATCCGGGCTTGGCTGATTGAACAGTGACGTTGCTGCCTTGGAAGCCAAATTAGACCGAATGGTCGCTTTACTAGCTGCTTCTGAGCGACTTCCTAGAAGTCTCTCATCAGACGTCGTCTCATCGCCAGGGTGCTTCTCTGCGACTTCCAGGAGCATGGATGCATCTACGCCAGGAGATGGAGAAGACCACGCTCTGTTGGAGAAATATGCCAAGATGATGATACCCATGTTCCCTTTCGTTCCAATACCGCCTCATATGACGATTGAAGATCTACGTCGTGAAAGGCCATTTCTACACTTGAACATCTCAATGATCGCCAGCCCGAACCCTGAGCGCCAACGAGAGCTATCAAAGGCTATCAAGGAATATTTGTCAGACCGTATCATCATGCAGGGGCAGCGGAGTCTAGATCTTCTTCAAGGGCTGCTTGTCCACCTGGTTTGGTTCATTTCCGTCTCTCGTATATCTCAACAGAACTTCTCTGGTCCGATTGACGGCCCTGTGTCCGATTCAAAGCTACCCTCTCAAGGAACTGCTCAACTAGATGCTTTTCTACATCTTACTATGGCACAGGCAATTAGTTTGGGTTTGAACCAGGATCCACGCAGCCCGAAGACAATGAATCAGCCCATCGCCTACCTAAGTCAGGCTGACCTCCATCGGGATGGAAGTCCGCCTCGTACGATAGAGGATCGTCGAACGTTCTTGGGCTGCTACTATGCAATGACGATGTGCGTACTGGACCTCCGCCCTGATATTTGTTGGGAAACACTGACGGGAAATACTGACGATACTTAAAGGTTATCGGTCTGTGCCAAAGATATGGAATCATTCCTGTTTACTCAGTACGCGAATGAGTGCTGCGGGATATTGGAAGACTCTCTCGAGTGTCCTACAGACAAATACGCGGTTCAACTCGTGAGAACCATGCATCTTGCCGAGAATATCAATCAGACGATGACTGTGCGTGAGGTCTCCTCCTCAGTCCCCTCCGCACCGCTTGGTATGAGCTTGCGATGGCATCAAGCCGAGCTTCAAAAGCTGAGAGATGCTCTCTCGTGTGAGGAGCCACACGCAGGTATGTAGACGACTTCTAAACTGTATACTGGTTTTCCATATGCTAACTCTACTCGGTACTACAAAAGCCATACTATCCTTTCACTACGATACGCTTGAGATGTTACTATATCGCAGCTCCCTCAACAACGAAACCTCAGACAACGAATATGGCAACTACCCTGTAACACGACTGGATCTCCTCTATCGCTGCCTGGAAGCCACGAAATCCTTCTTTCACCATTTGTATACCCTTCCGGCCGTATATTTCCGCTTTCTTCCCTTTACAATATCCAGCCAATTCGGGCAAGCAGTCGTCACATTGTCACAGTTGACCCTTTACCAAGCCGCGAACGGCGCTTGGGATAGCGCGTATGTCAAAAACACCATTGACTTTGACCAGACCGTCGATATGCTAGGACAGAAGTTGGACGAGGCTCGAGCTTTGATCCCAAAAGCAGGCGAGCAGGATGCAGTGTCCTCTACTGAGCCGCCCGAGATTTTCCGGAGACTCGCTGCTCGAATTAAAATGATGAAGGCGATGCATCGACGCAGACAAGAAGCTCAAGAGAAGGCGCAGGCACAAGAAGCCGTTGAAGAACCGTGTGATATCAATTACATGTTGAATTTGCCGGCAGACTTTTTCATTACTGATTCTGATTTTTATGATTTTGCGGGGGCTTTCAGTGGTTCCGGTATGATGTGAGAGATGTGCTGTTGGGGTGTTAGTGGAGATTCCATGCCCACGGAGACGGAATTCCGCTCCCTGTCACCTTTTCAAAGTTCTGCGGATAACTTGACCTCTCATACGAGAAGGGCAGACTTTAATGAGAACATGCTTCCAAAGCTCCAGTCCGCTGAAAGAAAGAAGAACATCATTCTAGCGCCCGAAAACTCTTAACAGCTGGAGAAGGTCAAAGGAGTTGGGAAATAAGTGGAGTTTTCGGTGACTACGCTCGTACAAGGATGTGATAGCTGCATCTATTTTGATCTCCCGGTAATGACAAAGGGTATTCTAATGGTTCCTTCTCCAATATTAAGAGATTATGTATTTCCATATAACGTTATTACAGGGCAACAGCACCGACAGCAGCGGCAACAATAGCCATGACACCAGCCAGGTTGGTAGCAGCGAATCCACTAGCACCACCAGTATGAACGGGAGTCGTAGCAGAAGTGGTCGAGTTTCCAGAGGCAGTGGAGTTTGCGACCTTTGAAGTAGACGAAGTAATCGTAGTCAAAGAGACAACGGGCGAGCTAGTCGGCGCAGCGGTGACCATGCTCCCCTCGCTCTCAGTCTGAGTAGTGGTCTTCTCTGAAGCTTCGCCAGTCGCGGTAGTCTTGGTGGAGGCGGTGGTTTGCGCGACGGTGGTGGTAGTAGCGGCCAACTTGCCGTTGGGACCCCAGCCGGGCATGTAGCTGGGAGTCAAAGTCGCAGTGCCGGAGTAGAGAGGGCAACCGGGCTGGGTGGTCTTGGGAGGAGCACGACCGCCGCCGCAATCAACGAAGTCGCAGATCTCGCCGGTGTCGGGAACCCACCAGATCATACTGGCCTCGTGCCATTGATTGGTGGTCTGGGATGAGATGCAGCCGCCGAGATCAGTGCGGGCAGTCGCGAGGCCAGCAAGGCCGAGAAGGACGGGCAGGGCAAAAGCCTTCATTTTTGCGAATGGTTTGAAACGAATGGATTGGTGCAATATGCAGTTAAAGAGCGGTCCCGGGTTTGGCGGGTTCAATGAGCGACGGCGAAGGAAATGAAGACTGCGCGACGAAGAGCATTTCCGAAACGGCGCGTGAGCGTTGTCTTATATGTCATTGTTCTTGGTCCCTCCGGCATTGGGATCTGGATTGGATCTAGTACCAAACTCTCCGGCAAAGCCACTGGTCACATCTTGCTTTGGGCCAATCTAGTCCTTCCAAAGGCGCGAAAAGAGGCACTTTGGGGTCCCTGCCAAGAAGCGAGTGGCGGGCATTGCCGACACGCGATTGGACTGCCGGCCTCGAACCGACCCTGGTGGATGGGGGCTAAACCGTTATAAGCACTTCGTGAGCCTCAAGGGGTCAAGGGTCTTGTTTTTGGGGGGTCCAGCTATTGATCCTGACTCGGGGCGTCCGGCATGTTTTATTGGCCTGGTAGATTTTGTAATTTGGTGGCTCTTCAAGAAGAAGAGGCTTTGCACCCCTGGAAGGTGATGCCGAACCTCCGATCTGGGGAGTTATTTTTAGCGCGACTTGAATCATGGGGAACATTATGTACTACTTCCATCGGAAAGCAATTTTGATGGCGATCATCTTTTGTGGGTTATTGACACAGTCGATCGAAGGTTGTTTATTGTTTCGACGTGGCCGAGACAATCGAAATCCTTACTGCGGGTCTTCGGGCTTTGGTGCCCTGGTGCCTCAGGCCCTTTTCTACAGTGCGTCTGTTGATCAACGACGTCTATACAAACAAGAAGGTTCGAGACTTAAACGTGTACAAATTGGGGAAAGCTATCCCAAAATAAATAACTGTTCTCTCTCATCTACCACTTAAAAATTTGAAGACTGTATAAAATTCCTCCTTACATCATGGACGGAGGAAAGCACGACCACCGTCAAATGCGCTGAGCACGCGCAATAAAGACCGTCTTGTGGTGAGTCTTGCCTCCTTTCTCGAACACAAACTGCTCTGGAATCAGCTCATAATCAAATCCGGCCCCCAATCCAGCATCCTTGAACAACTTCTCCATGTCCTCCCGCGAAAATCCATGCGTCTGTACTGTGTGGGCTGCATCGCCGAAGTCGTGTCCTTCCTTCGCATGGCTGTGGCCATGGCCATGATGTCCGTGATTATGGCCGTGTCCATTATCGTGGCCAGATGCAGGGATCAAATCGATGATCAAGAACGAACCACCTTTCTTCAGTCGTGATGCTAGCCGTTGCAGTGCAACACCCGGATATTGAAAGTGGTGCAGGGCCATGCTAACGGCCACGACATCAAATTCATTGTAATCAGGACCAGAGAACTCTTCCGGGGCAGGCTCCGCTAGCAGGTCGGCCTTGTAACCGATCATTTTGTCACTGAGCCCAATGGTACTAGCATTGCGGTTGAACTCGGCCACCATTTTCTCAGAGACATCAATGCCGATCACTTTGGTCAAGAAGGGGGCCAGTGTCTGTTAAGTTATATCAGCTTTGATTCGTCGAAGAACGGTGTATTCATTAAGATACTCACCATCGAGACGATACCGGGCCCGCAGGCATATTCAAGTAGCTTAACTTCTTGGCCGTTGCCCGCTTCGGTGTCGGTCCATCGATCACTGAGCCAAAGTCGGTGCTTAAGCGTCTGTGCAGCAATGATTTTCATAGAGTCGGCAAATTTGCTCTGATAGGTCGTCGCCATTTGACTGCATAGGATTTGAGTTAGTTGACTGTTGGTATATGTCGGCGAGGTCCAGTCGAGGGGGCCTTACTCGAAGTATGCTCGATTGGCCTCAGTAAATTCGGTCATGTTGGCAACGAGATCAATGTTAATACTTTGCAGCAAGTATATAGTCACTTCTAATGAGTTGTGAAAGTCTTGGATTAGGTTGAGATGGTGTGGATGAAGGAACCGGAGTTGGGTGGAAGGAGGTTATTTATGTGGTGGTTCGGAGACATCTTCGGACACTTCCACTGCACCAGTAGACTAAACTTTCCACAGTAATTGCCCACCACCAGATCTCTCGGAGATATTACTAACCTGCAAGGTAGATCAAAGTCTCCGAGTTCTATTCCTGTTCCTCACGCTAACCTTAGATTATTTTTCAAAAGTCTACGACGGCTCCGCGAGGCTAAGGTGGCTGTGTCTGAAGTGCTCAAGAGTTCTAAGAGATGACTAGCTCTATCTAGCGCGGAGGACCTCGTATAGCGAGATTCCAAGCGACCAACTACTAGATCATGATCCTATATTCAGAAGGAAGGGTTATTCGATTCAAAGGTGGAGCATTGAAGTATCCCTCCTGCCTAGGAAACCAGGAACAACCAGCTCCCTTCACCGCCCGCCGAGCTCCAAACTGCCAAAAAGACATCATCAGCTCCGGACTCCTCCAATCCCCACACCCAACACGACTCTCCTTCCTGATCCTCTATCCTTTAACCTAATCGCCATCTACATCTGCCTGTGATTCGATCGATAAACTCTCATTGACCCCCCGCCTCCCGCTCTCCGCCATGGATGCCTCCAAGATCCCCGATTTCCTGGCCGAGCAGCAAGCACAAGGCACGCCCGAGACGCAGACCTATTTCCTTACCTTTGAAGATTTCTGGGAGCGGAAACTATGGCATCAGCTTACCGATGCGCTGGTTGAGTTCTTCCGTATGAAGGAGAGCGCGCCGCAGCGCTTGGCTATCTTCAAGGCATTTGTGTTGAGCTTCGCCGATCGGATCAATCAGCTCAAGTTTGTGTCGTTGGGATTGATGGCAGCAACAGAATGTCCTGGTAAGCGTAGATATAGGGTCCAGATATCTTGTGGCCTTGGTGTCCTGTCTTGGATGTTGAACATTGCTAATGGTTGTCCTGGCATGACAGATGACAACGAACGGCTCGCGTTCCTCACAGCCCTCTCCAACAAGGTCAACAAGCCCGAATCACAAGATGCGTACGTCTATGCGCTCGCCGACGTGGCCAACGTCAAGTTGCGACTACCGGATCTCGATGGAGCACAGAAGGATCTCGCCGCTTGCCAGAAGGTGCTGGACTCGTTCGACTCGGTCGAGACCGTCGTACATGCGTCATTCTACAAAGTGAATGCCGATTATTATCACGTACGTATAGTCAACACAAGCCTGGACGTATCGAAGCAGGCATGCAAAGCTGGAGGTAAAAGACAAAACTAACGATATCCCAGACTAAGCAAGAATTCGCCTCCTTCTACAAAAACGCCCTCCTCTACCTGGCCTGCATCGACCTCGAAGAACTCCCCGAGACCGAGCGCGTCTCCCGCGCCTACAACCTCAGCGTCGCCGCGCTAGTCTCAGACTCAATCTACAACTTCGGCGAGCTCCTCCTGCACCCGATCCTGGATTCCCTGACCGAGACACCACACAACTGGCTGCGCGATCTGCTCTTCGCCTTCAACCGGGGCGACCTGACCGCATACGACGTGCTGGCCGGCAACATTAGCAAGAACAAGCTGCTCGAGTCGCACCGCGTGTTTCTGTACCAGAAGATTTCGCTCTCCGCCCTGACGGAGATGGTGTTCCGCCGCCCGCCGCATGACCGTTCCCTCTCGTTCGCTGATATCGCCTCCGAGACGAAGGTGCAGCCTGATGAGATTGAGCATTTGGTTATGAAGGCGCTGTCGCTGGGTTTGCTTAAGGGGTCGATCGATCAGGTCGCACAGGTGGCGCACATCCACTGGGTGCAGCCTAAGGTGTTGGATATGAAGCAGATTGACGGCATGCGGAACCGTTTGAAGGATTGGGATGCGGGTGTCAATCAGCTCGGTCATTGGATCGAGGGTGTTGGTAAGGATGTCTGGGCTGCATAGACGGTGTACACGTATTCCTTTCTAGCCGCTTTTTATCTATAATGAATGAATAGGGTGGTTCCTGCTTGCATGAACCTGATGGTTCTTATATTCTCGTTTATTGGTAGAGTAGTTGCTAGACTTGGAGTGATAGCATAGATATAGAAAATGATTAAAACATAGAGGATCCCAACAGGACGCATCCAATCAACCAAGCCGGCCACCACACACACCAGACCACCACTTGCGTCCACATGCCCCAGACATCCCATCCGAACGCAGCTTGAGTGAGCACGGTCTCAATAGGCACACCGGTATACCAGCAGACGCCAATGAGAACGGCGGGCGGGGACAGAAGATTCAGCAGTGCGAGTCCCAAAACAGAGATGGGGTATCGCACAGCCGCGGCGCCTTGGATACGGGTAATGAAGGTTAGAGGGGCGCAGAGGAGGCCGATCATGAAAGAGAGGGAGAAATTGAGAGTAGCGAGCGTAGAGAGGGAAAGACCAAGCAGGAGCAGCGCGAAAGACTTGATCAAGAGGTATTGTTGGGGGACGATGGGCCTTGAGATTCCGAGGCCATTCGAGAGTAGTGCGGCCAAGATCAAGGGGAGGACCACGTCTACACCGACAAAGATGTAGGTAGCAGCAGTGAAATACTTTGAGCGTAGTTAGTATATACTCTCTTGCTGAATGGGGGGAATAGCTCACCTGGTGGAAGATTGTGTTAAATATCCACAGAGGAACGAGACCAATCAAATGCAATCCGCTGACCAGCGTAAGTGGCAAGGCCAGGACACGCTCTGCGACGGTACTTCCATTGAGCTTGCTCTCGGTTACTTCCTTCTCAGTCACTGTGCCAGAGGGCTTTTCGCTCTTAGACTTGGGAGTATCAGAGCCAGCGGACACACCGGGCTTAGAGTCCGAGTAGTAGCCGGTTCGCATCCACAACGCAATCGCCATGATAGTGAAGTTGCCTGCGATCAGCATGGCACTAGGCAAATAAGTTCCAATGCTGACGAAACGATTAGACTGCATGAGCAGATAGAAGAAAAAACTCTGGTGCAAGTGCTCGAGTAAGTTGTTCAAGCTACGGCAAAGACTTTCAATTGTCCGACCCAGGGCCATCTCATCTTCCCAGCCCTCACCCTTGGGCTGGAGAGTGATGGCGTCAATGTGATATGGCATGAAACTACTGTGCGCTCCGGTAGCATAGCCGAGGCCTTGCTTGGTCATGCCGCGCAAAATCGTCTTCAGACGGTCCTGGTAGGAGTCGTCGTGCTTCCACATTTCTTGTAGATTGGCCCCAATGCCCATCTGCCCACCTGCGATGGCCACAGCAGTGTTGAAGAGATCAAGATTTGGCAGTTGACCATTGACACCATCATAGACAATGTGAAGTGTGTGGAAGTGGTTCTCGAAAGGGTATTCGATGACCAGCGCGCCTTGCAACGCGCCACTCTTCAATGGCAGCGGTTGTACGGTCGCAGGGTGCAGGTCATGGTAGGCATCGATCCATGCTTGGGTTCCGGTTTTGCTGTCAGGTGGGAAAACGAAGATGATATCCTTAGACCAAAGCGACCAGCCTAGTGAAAACGCATCAGTGCTTGTTTGAGGGTATGCAGGCCCGAGTCGATGTAGAGTGACACTCACGTTTGAAGTATCTGGCCAGCGTCAAGGCAAGTGTCACACCGTTCAGGTTCAACTCGTCATCCGCGGTCTTCCACGCTGCGACCAAGACAATTGCCTCCGTCGCATCACCCCGCGGCGCGTGGATGATACCATAGACGTTCTCTCCTTGGTAGCCAATTCCTGCAGAGGTGTACTCGTATTTCTGGGTTGCAACTTTTAATCCAGCAGCTTGCAAGATCGAAAAGATTTTGTTAGAGATCCTTTTCTCATTATCAGCACACTGTTCAGCTCGAGTTGTTCTCCCGATCGCTTCACGTACGCTGGTGTTGACACCACCTCAGGGTTCAGAGGCCCATTCTCACGACCCTCCTGAATCAATGCTTGGATCTCCTTCTTGTACCCTCGGAAGATGTTCTGCTCACTGCCGGTGAAATAGGCATGGACTTGACCCGGCAATAACGCATTCTCGGAGATGTAGGTTTGTCGGGAGTAGTCGTTCAAGGGAAGGAGGAGCAGCCAGACGACACCGACAACGATGCAAAGGAAGGAAAGTATATTCGGCAGGCGAACGAAGAGAAGCTGGGGGTTATTCCGCAAGTTGCGGATCGCAGCTAATAGGAGTATATCGCTGTTAGGAACTGGATCTTGACGTCAAGGTTGTAGGTTTGTGAGGGGAAGGGGTTTTCTTGCTCGGCATCGTATCTTTCTTAAATACTCACATTTTAGCGCCATTGAACGAGAACCATTGGGGAATAGAACTCCCAATCCACCACGACGAGCTGGTCAAATGAATGTTCCGTCGAGTGGACGGTGAGAGGCCAGCTTGTTGCGGAGTCGCGGAGCTCGGCGTTGTTTACGGGGAATTTACGACCGACGGAAGAGACCAAATGCGCAAGAATTATAGATGTAGTTCGCTATGCATGATCCTATCCAAATTCCCCCTTGCACCTGACCAAGACAATGAAAGTAACTATGACAAAATATACACGTAAGATTAGGTAGTCGTTGGCATAATGCAGGACGTTCATGCGCCGAGGCGCTGGGAAGTGCCCAAAAAGCTCATGGGCACCTGGTTTCCACTGGAGCCGGCCGCGCTCGAGGGCAGAACACCGTATCGGCCGTAGGTCTTCTGGTCGACAGACACGTAGTGTGGGAGTCTTCCGAGGAGGTTCAGCTTGCCCTCGATCCAGCGAAGGACCTTCTCTGGGGGCACGAAGACCTTCAGATAACCGAGTCCGACTGGGTCAATTAGCAACCGAATTCTAACCAATCTGCTCACATAGAGCCTGAAAGAGGAAACTTACAGAGATAACCAACAAGGATGGCACAGAGATGGCCGAGGAAGCTGACGTTTGAAACCAGGATGGAAAGGACAGCGCAGGCCAAGAGAGGCGATGTCCAAGTGGGGATTTTGTACGGGCCCAGGCTGTTATCCGTTAGGTACAGCTTGGATAATCATCTTGAGACTTTCAACTCACCTGAAGTAGGGGTTAGACTTGAAAGTCCGGATCGCCTCGGAACCCAAAAGAAGAAAGACCCAAACGCTATAAACCATATTAGACACGTTCTGAGAGCGGCACGCTAGAGACAGATACTCACCTCGATCCAACGACGGAGGTGTTGCGGTGCAGAATCACCTTCTCAATCAGTAGGTAAAGTCCAGCCGGCACGGTAGAGAGCGCTGTCGAACGAAATTCAGTCAGTACAAGTGTACCTCCACAGCAATCAGACTCGGGCGAATGGCTGAATCAATCCACTCCTCGAAAGACCACGACCAAGGTGCTACTCACGTCCAACAAACAAGGCAATTGATGTAAGCGTGCCGTGCTCCGCCTCGAACCGTTCCAAAAGGGGTGTCAAGGCCAAGGTATTCAGGAATGCATGGAAGAAGCCAGTATGAATGATGGGATAGGTGTTCAGTCGGTACACTATAAAGCATATCAGCTCATTGTTCATCGAGATATTGTTCAGAGCCGAGACACCCGGCAGAGTCATGCGTACTGGTTCCGAGGTTGATTTTATCCGGGATCAAAGCACCCCATTCCACCACACTCCAGATAGTCTGTAGCTCGAGCAACCAGAATGCAAGTATGACCAGAAGAACGAGTCGTGTGAACAGCGGCAATCGCACGAGGTAGGATCGAACCCGACCCGGATTGAAGGGCAGCGGGGGTAGAGCGGCCGGAGTAGCCATATCGAGTGGCGGACGAGGTTTATGGGAATCTGACGGAATAGCACAGCGCGCGGGTACCCGAGTGACAAGAATCAGGTTCTAGAATGGCAAACGCGTGGGACAACGATTCGGTCACCGTTTTCTAGACCTCGAGTTTCGAGGGGCAGGTGGGACAACTGGGCGAGTAGCGCAGACGGGACGCGACGGGCTCAATAAGGAGATCTCTGTCTAGATGGTATTATGTTGCCCTGAATAGTATGAGATCGGATAGGCAACTATTCGGTGGCCAGTATAATTAGTGAGGGCACAACATAGTACCACCGAGCGTTCGGACTCAGTAGTGTTCGGTCTCTGCCAGGGATAACTCACAAGACACGCGATCCGTTGGTCGGGCTTCAAAAACGCGACCGGCGGGGTAGGATCAAACACAGACCGCAAAGTTCTGAATAAATCGGCAGGAAGCGACAACCCCCAAGCAAGGAACAAAGCAGAACAAGAAAGTAGGGTAAGAGAAGTGATTGTGAAGTTCTCCGGGGTCCCGTAAACTCTGGGGGCTTTTCGGAAAACCGTGGCCGCGACGATCCCCGCTATTCCTAATTTGGAACTGGTCCACTCTGTGGGAGACTAACTACTGTATATGCTACATAGTAATATACTATATAGTATACTAGTAAATACGAGAGAACGATTGGAAATGTTTCTCATCAACCCATTACCCTGTCAGTACTATTCTAGGAAACCCATTCATTCAACGACAGTATAACACCATTCCGATCTCTCCACTGCACATCCACGAACCTAGACTAGGAACGTCAATATCCCTCGTCTTTATGACACCCAACAGTTACAAACAGATTTTCAGGCTAAATTAGACGATTCCATTCATACCATAACTCCATAGACCTCGGTGAATATGAGCAGCGCTCCTTAAAGTCGATGCTAGAGTAGCCGAAACGAGTCCCTTCTAGGCTTCGAGGGTTCCTCGTGGCGAAGCACCAGTACTAGACTGGCGTTGGGCGGAACTAGTTGTTGACTTTCTCGAGGAGGAGTTAGTTTTAGATCCCTTTGCAGACTTTGCGAAATAAGAGTCAGTTCCATGTCCGAATCATGTCCCAATAAGCCTTAGGTGAGGGAGTTCTTCCATACACGTTTTTTATGTCTGCCCTCCGCCTCCGCCTTCCAGCAGTGGAACACGCTCTGTAAGCTCGGAAGAGTGCGATCTTGCCCGTATGCTGCGTTGTATGCTAGAAGGATCTCCGGCCAACGCATTTTGGAGGCTTTCCGCTGTGCGATGAACTCGTATCCGCTTTCATTTTCCTCGTCTGTTCTTCGTTTTCGCCCGCTTTTATTTTCCTCGTCTGTTTTCCGCATTCGCAGTTTCATGATGCGCCTCGAGGGACTCGCGTTGCTTATGCTCGTAGCGTCGGCGTCACTCCCATCGATTTCAATAACTTCGTCCGGCGAATCACTCATTGACCGGCCATTTCTCAGGGAACTTCTGGTGAGTACGGGCTCGTTTGGGGAAGTGACGTCTGTCTCTCGGGTCTCCTCTGTCTGTTGCGTAGTTGGGAGAATAGCTGGTAGGATATCCGTGCCGGGCTCTTCAGGTCTAACATGGTCGATGTCCTGCATTTCCATGTCCTCGTCTGAGCTCTGATCGGTGGAAGAGTCCTCACTAGATATCTCATGGCCAATATCGCCTCTCGTATCGTATACTATGGAGTTTGGCGGAGACATTTCCCGTGATTTCAAAGGAGGTTTCGGAGCTCTAGAATCCTGAGATGGCTCTGACAGAGATCGCAAGTAGCCAGCTATCATCCTACGCCGTTCATTAAACCTCGTAACAATTGCCTTCTTGCTTCGGACAGCTGTTATTAAGGATCAATCTATGTCCAACTAAGAAGTAGTACATATAACTTACCAGCCAGCAGTTTAGTTTCATAATCATCCAACTCTTCGATCGAAGCTTCGAGGGCCTCATCCTCCTTCTTCATATAATCTGGGTCAGGGCATGATTGAAAAACCTTGCGGAAGTGGATGAGGCACCGTCTGTCATACTCCGATAGCCGCGACGGTTGCCCCTGGAAACTATGTTGATAAGTGCCATCCTCTTGCAAGACAAGATCAGCATTTACTGCCTCTCGAATGATATCCACCACATTCCGAGGCGGGGTGGGCCCATTATCTCCGGTTTCATCTGCCAGTGGACCTGGTCCCCGTGGATTGGCTTCGAAAGCACCGGCGTTGGGCACCTGCGGATCCTGATCTCTGTGTCGAAAAACACTCGTGTTTTCATCAGCAGCAGCTTGATAGTTATCCATTAGGCTGACTACCCGTGACAAGGTTGGGTCCTTCCTAATATCGAAAATCTTCTTGTCTCGGTTGTATGTCACAAAATCCAGATCGGATGGGACCATGGTGGTAATGAGAGATGACGAAGAATCGCGGCCATGCGGCATGTCGGTATGCAGTAATAGAATTGTCTCCCAAAACTTAGAATGATCTTTTGTTTGGCTGCGAGAGATAAAGAAATCGGGAAAGGGGGGAGAAGGCAAATTTTGAATGGAGAAGTGCAAGGTCGGGGCTCTTAATCTTGTGACTTCGTTTGGTCGATTAAGCGCCCATTGATCCCGGCTCGCCGGGCGCAGAGGAAGGAGTCACGTACACGTACTTTTGCTGTGGCCTCCGCACTCATTATAATCAACTGCTCAGCCTCTTCTTCCTTTTCTCATAATATTCACAGATTTATAAAAGGCACCGAAGATGGAATCCTTCGCAAAAATCTCAACTGAAATCATTTGTCTAATTCTCGGATCTTGCTGGACGGTCTTCAACAAATATCTCCCCGAGTGAAGGAAACCTCCTGGTGACGAGATGCATAATAATTCTAGAATTGAGCCTCATCAGCTTTATCCACGCGTTGATTAATGTGGAGACAGCCTGGATCGGACTCTGTCGAGTTGCGTACTCCCCCAAATCAGTTCGTCTCTCAAACACCTTTTAGCTGGCTTTTTCAACAGACCCAATGGACTAGGAACAAAATCTGACCTGTCGTTTGGCCCCCAAATGCACGTTTGTTCATCCGGCAGGGACATCCATTCTCTTCTCTCTCGATATAAGCGCACCTACAATTCTAGATATAAGAATAATTATCTTGAAAGTATGAGGGGCATCTTTAAGTTATTTCCGTGGCTTCTAGTGTCACCTTTCAACTCCAGTATGGGAGACCAAGAAGGGTTGCGCAGCTTGCGCCGAGTAGGATCACCACTGGCAAACCCCAAATGTGGGGAAGAGGTTCTTTTAGTTCAAGCAGGGATCCAATCAGCGTTACACTGCCCCTTTCTCTATTGGGCAATGCTCAACGTCTAACTAACAAGCGTCTAGTCGCTGATCTACCAGATTCAGAGGGACGTGGCTTGGATAGTGGTGTCCAGGGACTAGTTTCGCCGCAAGATATGCCAGGCAACTGGAATATGTAGAATATAGACTAGTGTGGAAGAAAAATGTTCCTTTGACCTAGGTAGGTCGACCCCAAAGTCGCTCGTCTAACGGCCGAATCGAGCCCACACAGTCGCAGGGCTTCTTCATTTGAAGGGCTGGTCAAAGGTTTCTTCAATCTCCAGGTAGTATTTCTTGTTAGCTATAGAGTGTGACTAGGTCAGCAACTCTGGGCGTCTTTCCTGCTGACGGATTGCCTCAAGAGGCTAGCATTGCAGAGTTATGTATAAAAAAGGTTGACACGACTCGCGAGGGATTCAGATTAGCGTGAGAGTGACTCCTTTATACCAATTTGATGATGGCAGCTTCATACTTCTCCCATTCGAATACTCGATAATCTGACATCCCGGGGTAGACCTCGTGCAGCTATTAGCATCTGATGGCTTGGCGCTCCTGTCAAAGGGTTACCGGATAGAGGGACTGGCTATTCTGGGCTTGGTCTAGACGACTGAAGCATCAAATCTCAAAAGAAATCGGAAAATGAAAAGGACTTGCCCGCACGGTGAATCGAACCCGCGATCTCGCTCTACCATACAAACTCTTATCGATGCTCCATGTACAGCTCACGATGCTCAACAATTTCACATCTATGCCACAATCATTGAACAAGACAAGATATCACCACCTAAACCACGTTTTTAATCGTTTATTTAGGGCTTATTATATTCTTTAAGATTTAGTGATTAATTTAGTATAAGTAAGCTATAATAAAAAATAATCTTAAACAAGATAATCCCGTAGGGGGGTCGGCCCCTACATCCCACCCACCCGCCGAGCCAACCGCCATCCGCCCATGCTCCACAGAAGCTTCCCAGCAACGTCGCAGATAACCTACCATAGGTAGCGAAAGTAACGAAGCGTTTGACCACTAGGTTACGGGAAGGCCCGGCGATAGATTTCAACTGGAAGTAAATGATAACACCTCAAGCGTGATAGTATTGGCTGTTAGTTTTTCGAACACCCCGGTGCTAATTATCCACGTTCTGCGATGAAACCATCGTTATATACAGGCAAATTCAACCTCATCCAGATCCACTCGCTTTCGAGACCCTCTTCGTCTTCTAATCCTCCTTTTGAATATCATGGAGCTCAAGTTCCTCGCCTGTACGACTTCCATGTCGCCAACCACCCTTTTTTTCTTCCCACAACCCCACCCCCCCCCCCCCCCAAAAGAGTCACGCACCTTTATTTTTCGAGATACGATGGCCTAGAGGGATGCCTTCGCCTGTTCAACTAAATGCAGCATCTCTGTCACAACTTTGGATTCTGGAAATGCTACCTCCCTCGTCAATATGTACCTCGATGTCTAAAGCGCGCTGACCATGAATCATCTCCTCCAGTGCTCGGACGACGCCTCCTTCTCGATGCCCTCGACGTTGATTCTCCATCGTACTCGCCTCAAATTTCGTCTGTTACCGTCACCGCAATGAGCATATCCAGCTCATATGACATACGCCGGAATCCCGTTTTACGGACAACTCCATCCCCATTTTTATCCCTCGATGGCCATGCTCCACTTCTTCATAAACCAAGGCTTGGCTTCCCAGCTCCTCGAGTCCCAAGGATGACAATCTCCATTCTCCAGATATCGCCGACAGATAAGAGCACGCCGAGTATAAATATCCAACTTGAGCTCCCACAGATCAAAGATATCGGGCATAGCAAAAGTCATCATGATGGCGCGCTCACGAAGCAACGGCAAGGGTATCAGATCCAGGCTGGCATGATGTGGAATGAGGATCTGCGCCATGGTCGGTTGTAAATGTATGGGGACTGAAGTATTAAGGGTGGAAGCGACCACATCGCGGGGACTATCTTGTGTTGCGATGGGTCTGTAGAATGGTGACATGTAGGAGTTACTACATTCTGCAAGCTTTTGAAGATCAAAGCCCAAACATAGAGCATTGTTGAGAACTGCCAGCCAAATAGTGTCTCCCATCGTTTGGAGCGTGTTTGAGAGCGGATCGGCACCTCGGATGAGCGCTGTACCTGTGCTGGTTTCGTCGTCTACTGAAGCAGTCTTCACTTGGTAGTTTGAAATTGGTACATTCTCGGATATCTGGGGTTCAGACAATCTAGGTGGCAACGAACCCGGTAACGGTCGAGGCGCAAGGCTCCTTACTTTTCCGCTTGGGGCGATATTGGACTTTGGATTGCCCTTTTGTCTCTCTCCTTTGGGTAGTAATTAGCACCCAGGAATACAACAGCGTTCAATTATTAAGACGCACGATAGGCCCGCTGGGCAGCCTTGTTCTGCTCCCTCCTAGCCGGTGTGACAATTCGTTTCTTGGCTCTAGTGGCTGTGGTGTGAGGTTCGCGCCGGCGTCTGCCTTGTGTGTAGGAGGGTTGTGATTCGCTGGAGCATTCGGGATCCGTCATGGACTCGGATCGTAGTCTAGAGCCCGAAACCACTTTTTCCCTGCAGAGAGTCATGATTCATTTGCGATGGAGCTGTGACAGAGCACGGGAGTGGTCGTTGGAAGGTTGATGTGCTTAACTCCGTTTGGTCCGACGGGCGGTAGTGAGTGGGGAGAGCCCAAAAAGGAATAGCGAGAATCACTCGACGGCTGGCTTACTCGTGGCTTACGCCTTCAGGCCAATCAGATAGGGCTAACTATACTTGGCCACTTAAGACGCTGAATTCACAAGTCTTTACCTCCTCTAGTATAAAATCGCTCAAACCCCCAAGGATAACAGTGGAATTTCACACTATAGCACTATTCAACTCCTTTTCTATACAGCAGTCATTCTCGGACAGCAAAAATGACCACCAATCCGAAGAAGATCATTGCGGTAGTAGGTGCAACTGGCACCCAGGGCTCGTCTGTTGCCCGTACATTCTTGAGTCTTCCCGGCTGGTCCGTTCGGTGCCTGACTCGAGATCCAAACTCCGACAAAGCCACCGAACTATCCAAGTTAGGTGCCGAGGTCGTTAAAGCAGATATGGAAGACAAAGAATCTCTGCAACAAGCATTCAACGGCGTTCATGCAATCTTTCTCAACACGGACTTCTGGCATCCGTATCGCAAAGCACTCGCCGCAGGAGTTGATCTTCTTACCAGTGCCAAGAAAGGCTATGACGTGGAGGTTTCCCATGGAAAGAACGCCGCCGATGTGGCTGCGACTATCCCAACCCTGGAGCGACTCATTTACTCTGCGCTCGGTCCCATGAAAGCTGCTTCCGGTGGAAAGTATTCGCTGTCATACCATTGGGAGACCAAGGCATACATTGCCGAGTATATTCAAGCCCAGCCCAACTTGGTCAAGAAGGCTTCTTTCATTTACATCGGTGCTTATATCACCAATGCTTTCCTCTACCCCAAATTCCAGCCCGAGAGCGGGGAGTTTGTTTCAATCATTCCAGCAAAGAAAGAGACGATGATGCCGATCATCAACACTGCCGAGTCGACGGGACCTTTTGTCCGTGCTTTGGTGGAGGATGAAGAGTCGGGGACAAAGCTTCTCGCGTATGACGACTATCTCAGCCTCCAGCAGATCACAGATATTTGGTCCACGGCTCTGGGAAAGCACGTCAGTTTGATCTCGATGAGCATGGAAGAGATGAATCAGAAGATGGGTATCCCCTTGGAGGTTCTCCATGGTCCTGCCTTTATTAGCGAATATGGCTATTGCGCGGGACTTGAGAATGTCATCGAGCCTGGTCAGCTCAAGAAGCGTGTACAACACCAATCATTCGAGGACTGGCTCAAAGAGCAAGATATTGCGGAATTGCTTGATCTGAAGAAGGAAAACCGCTGGGATGGCCGTATCCAGTAAGACTGTGGATTTTTGAGGGATATTTGGTGTCCGTCATCTAGGCAAGCATTGGAAGCATCCTAGAATCTAAGTTTGCCTTCAGCTTCGGGTTACCACCTACTATTCCAAATTCAGTAATCTCAATTCTGTCCTTATTATCAAGGTCCAGCATGACTACCCGATGGCTTTGGCAGCAGAATATTGAAAGAATTTCCATGTTTGATTGTTCTGGATACTACTCTTCGTTTACATCATCATATTTATAATAATCATTGCCTAGCGCAGCGAAGGATATGAGCTTACCCCAAGTCAGTCTATAACCGCCCCGGGGGAATTTCCAAATAGAACCTCGTATTTCCCCTGGCATGATTGTTGGGCCATAGGTGGGGCGTGGGCGACGTGGTCAGAGATCTTGCCAGGCATCGACAGGTAAGACTTTTAAGTATTCAAAGAAAATTGTGCATGTCAGTATAATGATGACTAGGAGTACTTCCACATGATCATATTAAAGAGTATGATATAACAGTTGAGTCTATTTTGGAAACATCTTGCACCTTTGCAAGATATTTTCTCACTTGCAAGCAGTTGTCAGTGGGTCAAGCCCTCCAACAAACCTCTCCGGGCTGGCCCATTGAAGCTTACGCTATTGACTTCCCGCACCTCTCGGAACTTGGCCGTTCACGAGCCTCCTCTCTATATGCTTCCTCGTTACGAAACAACGAGACATGATTATTTCCCCAACACGATATTTCGGCTATAGCCCGGTTAGTCCTGGGGCATCCCCGCATAGGAACCCCCAGGTTAATATTCGGTGGACAAACCGAATCATGTAATATCAAGATAATCAGACGTCTTCTTAATCGTTCTAAGTGGCGTAAAACAGACTCAAAGGCTCCACCACTCGGCGTTTCGGGTTCGGAAGTGGGAAGTGGAGCTCCACCGAAGAAGGCTATCGTCGGGCTCGGCGGGTCCAATCCAGGATTAGGGCATGCCTTTTCTCGACCAGATGTAGTCATCGTCCGATTTTCGAGCACTTTCTGAGTTTTCTTTACATAACAGTTCCCGACTGCCCCAGATCGACTTTAAGCTTCTTCTTTTTTCCCCTCGTAACCCCTCAGAATCTCACATTCCCCTCCAATTCCTGCTCGCTTTATTTCGCCTAACTGTCTCTGATCGACGAGGGCGAGTAACGCCTTGGGAACGTCTTTTTTTCCTTTCTGGGCTTCTGAGTGGGTTAGAATATACGTGAGGGAATCTCGTTGGCCGAAGAATCTCCCGGATTCGCCCGTATTTAAGCGTCAGCTTTTCTTCCTCTGTGGGATTTCCTAGTTTCTGAGCATATTTGGAGCGTGCCCTATCATCGTTTCTTCTCTCATCTACTCTGCTCAACGCAGCACCTTGTCATCATGAACCACGACGAGATATCCGCTAATGGCAACGCCAACGCGGGCGCTGACGAGGAGCGCAAGGTCCAACCAATCCCACCATTGGACGAGAGAGATATTAAGCTGGGATACATGAGCGAGGCCGATCGACATGTCTACGAACATGGTATTCAAAAGTTCAGCCGTCTCGGCTGGAAGCGTCTTACCGTCGTGCTTATTGTGGAGGCTATCGCATTGGGCAGTTTGTCAATTCCTTCTACGTTCGCTACTCTCGGTATGGTTGCGGGTGTGATTTGTACCGTTGGACTTGGTCTAGTTGCCATTTACACCAGTCATATCATTGGCCAAGTCAAGCTTGCTTTCCCCGAGATCACTAGTTATGCGGATACTGGTCGGTTGATGGGAGCGCGTCTTGGATGCCCTCGTTTTGGTTATGAATTGATGAGTGGGATGCTTGCTCTTCAACTACTATTCCTTACTGGCTCTCACTGCCTAACTGGAACTATTGCTTTCTTGAATATAACCAAAAGCGACGTCTGCTCAGTGGTATTTGGAGTAGTCTCTGCGATTATTCTCCTATTACTCGCAGTCCCTCCTAGCTTCACCGAGATGGCTATCCTGGGCTATGTCGATTTTGCCTCGATTATCCTCGCTATTGGTATTACCGTCATCGCTACGGGCATTGATGCACACAACTCCCCCGGCGGTCTTACCGGTGTTAACTGGTCCGCATGGCCTAAGGAGGGTATCACGTTCTCCGAGGCATTCGTGGCATTGACGAATATCATTTTCGCGTATAGCTTCGCCCTCTGCCAATTCTCCTTTATGGATGAAATGCACACTCCTCGCGACTACGTCAAGTCTATCTGGGCTCTCGGTATCACGGAGATTATTATCTATACCCTTGCCGGAGCCTTGATCTACGCTTTCGTCGGACAGGATGTGGGTAGTCCCGCTCTTCTGTCGGCTGGTAGTCTGATGAAGCGTGTTGCTTTTGGTGTTGCTCTGCCAGTTATCTTTATCAGTGGTTCTATCAACACTGTCGTGTTTGGACGTCTTGTCCATGGTCGCATCTTTGCTGATTCCCACATCCGCTTTATTAATACGAAGATGGGATGGTTGACGTGGCTTGCTGTTATTACTGCTGGCACGATTATTGCATTCATCATTGCTGAGGTCATTCCTTTCTTTAATGATTTGCTTTCAATTTCTTCGTCGCTGTTCATCTCTGGCTTCACTTTCTATTTCCCTCCTATGATGTGGGCATTGCTTCTCAAGAAAGGCAAGTGGAGTGAGCCTAAGAATATCATGCTCGGTCTTGTCAACTTGGGTGTCTTCCTGATTGGTATGGTTACACTAGTGGCTGGAACATACTCTAGTGTTGATGATATTGTAAGTCCCCGCACACTCTGTTGCATCCTGCACAGTACTAATCCAAACTCGCATAGATCAACAAGTACAAGGCGGGTACTGTGCATGGTGTTTTCACTTGTGGCTCTCCTGAGTAGAGCGATTGACAAATCAAGTCTCTGTCAGGAGTACACCTTTACGTTGATCGGAGTACTCCACTCCATTACGACATGAATCAGTTTTGTTTAGCATGGGTGATTAACAGCGTGTTACGTGAAGATAACCTACGAATAGCGTATTTGAAAAGCTTATAGACATCAATTGTTACTTGAAAAAAATCATATTATATCCAATTCTCAAAAAAGCAGATATTTCATTCCTCATAACTTGGCCATCTCAGAATCCCCAGTCCCATCTCTACGGAACCAATCAGCCCAAATCCCGCAGACCAAAAAAGGAACCATCCGAAGACAGAGACCAATGACCCTTGACAGTGCCAATTATCTCAACCAGCATGGATTATTTTCCTTACAGGTACTGGTTGAACCAAGCAACGGCCTGGACGAAGGCCTGCTCCTTAGCCCACTTCTGGATCTTAACGTTCAGGTCGCCGCGGACGGCGAAGCCGTGGGCGACGCCGCTGAAGAGGTTGATTTGCCAGGGCTGACCGGTCTTGATGAGGGTGTCCTCGGACTCGTGCCGGAGCTGGGTGGTGAAGATAGAGTCGGTCTCTGTGGGAGTTGTATTAGTGATATGCCTTGCAATTGGAATTGAAGGTGCTAGTGTTCGTATGAGGGGAGAAAACGTACCGGCAGCAGCGATGGAGTAGGGGCCCTGGATAGCGCCAAGCTCCTCGTGAGTGACGAAGGAGGGGTGGGCAACGAAGCCAACGTCGACGTTGTCAGTCTTCAGGAAGCGGGTGACGTACTAAAGCGTAGCGTAGCGCGTGTTAGAACCACTTTCCCACGTTCATAATATAGTGGTTTCCGCAAAGATTGTCGAACATACCTTAGCACCGAAGCAGTAACCAACGGCGCCAACCTTCTTCACTCCCAAAGTCTCACGGACGTACTTAATGGAGGCCTCAACGACGGGGTCAACGTTGGCGGGCTGGTGCTTGGGCAACCAGGAGGGGAGATCAGCCTTGCCGGACTCCATGTCGGCGACGCTGATCTGGTCACCCTGAAACAGATCCGGGATGACGGTCAGGTAGCCGCTCTTGGCGAACTCATCGGCGAGGAGCTGGGCGTTGGGGAAGATGCCGAAGATGTCGGTAAGGAAAACGATGGCCTTCTCGGGGGTCTTGTTGTCCTTGGGGTAGGTGATGTAGGTGTTGACTATGAGGGGGAAAAGGGAGAGGTTGTTAGCTCGGTGTATTTCAGATGTTAGGGAGAGCTCGTTCTTACCACCGTCAATGTTCTTCACCTCGCCGAAGGGAGTACCCTCGTGCTTGAAGCCAGTAGCGCAGCAGGCGGCAGGGGGGTTGGAAGCCATTGTGAAGGTAGTGGATTATGAAGGGGTTTGGGATATCTCAAAAAAGTGAAGAATGCAAAGAAAAAGTCGCAGATGCCAGAAAGTGAAGGACAACTCGGGGATTTATTAGAACAGCAATTAAATCTCAACCGGTGCCCCTCCAACGAGCACGACACGGCCCCATTATGCTTCTCCGTTCTTCCATCACCGGTTCAATTGCATCCAATCACAGTGTGCGATGGCACAAGCTCTTGCGGAATTGAGGAGTTTTCAACCCCTCGATTTGGGTGCCGATCTCCACTTTTTGCCCCTCGGCATGAGTTGTGTGACTGTATACCGGCGATACAGAACTACACATAGTACATGTGTTAGTTAGACGATTTTGAGATTTTCCGATAGAAGAGTACAGATAGAATCACAATATCTACTAGTATATCCAGATGATATTATCATATCACAGGTAATCATTTTATGCAAAACCCAACTGACTCGGTACTCGGCACGCGGCCCCGGCTTTAAGAACTCGTTAGCTCCGAAGTCGGCTAAAGGCTAAATTCTAATTGCCATAAGCATAATTCGCCTTTGCCAATGATAAACAATCCCCATGACCACAAACCTGCAAGCCATGCCATACACCACGAACCATCAATATTGTAGTCTAAATTCATCATTTAAAGTTCGAAATGCTGCCATTGTATATCTGCATCGTACATTCAATATCTCTGCAACTATGTCTGTACTGGATATCTGCGGATGAACTATCAACCCGCCAGTCATTGGCCCATGTATCAGTATCACTGCCTCATTAAGTCCATAAGCATTCATTCCGATCATTAAGTTTCGGAAATATTCCGATTCTCACACCAGGGACAGACGTTCCGATCACATCACGTCTACACATTCATAATAATGAAAAACATTCGCATCCACATTTAGTTCATCCCCGCTTCATATCCATATCCACATCAAAATCAAAATCCATCACCTAGGTATAAGGGGGTATCAAAGGAAAATAAAATCATAATAACAGCAATTACGCCGTGCATGGAGGGATGTTCACGGGAAGCGATACCCCAGCTGAGGACGATGCTCGCGCTTCACAGCCCACGCCTTCAAGGCGATGAAGAGAATCTCCAACGCCATGACGAATGCAGTGAATCCCATGCCCACCGTAAAGGTGAACATCGCATCCACGTCATAGTATTCCATCGCCTCGATCACGTTGCGCGTGCTCAGCATGAAGATCAGTCCACCCGCCATCAGACAGAATGCCGCAACAATCTCGGTTGGTGGGCGGGCAGGCAGATACGAGGTGGGTGGGCGCAGGAACAGTAGGATGTAAGTCATACCGCGAGCCAGCGCGAAGCCCACCAGCATGTTGCCCCACTGCTTGTGCACCATGGTCGAGGTCATGCTGGTCTGGTGGTGCGAACCCATCATCATACCCAGCAAGAGGATGATCAGAGCCGGCATCGGGTTAAGAGGCACACCCTGCGAACGGGGAACCTGCCAGTTCTCGTCGCGGGTGTTGTGGGCGGGGGATCGAAGAATGGTATTGTTGAGAGCTTCTCGGATACGCGAGGATTCGAAGAGCATACCGGCCTGATGGAGATATTAGCATGATTCGCAAGAGTAATTGGTATTTCGATCCTTACCAAGCCACCGCCAAAGAACATAACTGAGATAGAGGCGTGCTCCAGATCAGTCGCAGACCAGGCCCCGCCTGCACTGGAAAGGTGCTCAAGGAACACATTGGTGACACCATACAACCAGATCACAAAGGACTCGACAAACTCGCCAGAGGGGACCTTGGACTTCCAGCCAACGACGGACGCGGGGGCTTCTTGTTCCACGCCCATCCCAAGTCTGCCCAGCAGCCCACATAGCGACCCAGGGTCAAAACACCATACCAGAAGAAGATGCCACCCTTGATGAAGTGAGCCAGACCGTTGAAGATTTCGCGATTCCGCATAATACCGCCATAGGTCACAGCACCGGTGGCGATGGCAATGAACCCGAATGGCAGAATAATGCGATCAATGACGTTGTACACCCCATTGAAGATGCGCAGTACACGGCTCGAGACCATTCCCGGAACGCGATTCGACAGGAAACGGTCCACAAAGGTGCTGTGCAACCACCCACGCGGTGCAGCCGGCTGTGCTGGAAGGTCTTCCTCCGGCTTCTCAAAGCCGTCGCATTCAGAAGGCGACTCGAAAGAGGGCGATCCGGGGCTGTGGCTAGGTGAGTTGGGCTCAGTACCTTGGCCGCTATCTCTGGACCAGCGGTACTCGTGCATGGGACCCGTCGGGAACGTGTGTTCATGCTCCTCTGTTGCGACGGGTAAGAACGAAGCATGCTCATAGGATGTATGGTTCGACTTGGACTCGCCGCGGCCCGCATAAGCAAAGATCAGAGCTAGGACCACCTGAGCGCTGATCACCCACGTCGCGATCCAACCAATCTTGTGGTGCGCGTTGTTCTCGTACAGATCGGGAGTCTGACTGTTGTAGACGATACCGAGCAACAAACCGAACGCATTGACCAGCAGGAAGAGGAACTGCGACGGGAGCGCAAGTCGCGAGCGTCCAATGCTAAGCATAACAGCTGTCGCAAGCCCGTTAATTGCTGCGCTAACACGGTACGTTGGAATAAAACTATCGGATCAACTTACCAGCTGGCAGAACAATGCACCAACCAAGCATCATCAGCGCAATGTGCGCCATAATGGCGCCCGAGTGCTTCCCATACGCAAAGTAGCTCATGGGACCCTCGCTATTCGGATGCGCCGTTGGCGCCGGTGTCGCGACAGCACCGGAATTCATATCCATGCTCATGCCCATGTCCATATCCGAATGCTCGTCGTCTCCATGTGGAACGGCCGTCGCAAGGCACGCGAGAAAGACTGCCGCAAAGGCAGCGCGGGTAACTAACAGCCGCATCGGGCTCAAGGGAGAATGATCGCGGAGCTCTCGGGTTTTGGAACTATGTACTACTTCGAGAGAAAGAAAAGACGAGCGCCTTCGTTACGTCCAGAGAAGAAAGAGAAGAGAAAAAGATCCGTCAGCTCGAGCTCGAGGCTTTGTCAAATCGTGACGTAACGTCGCTGCCGAACCCGGGGAAAGTATTGCAAGCTCCAGTCTGTACCCTGATTTTCCTTGCTGAGTCAAACGGAGCTGTCAACCGAGGATATGGGTTCTACGCGATGAACTCTGAGATGTACCCTCGGTTGGGCCAGCTTTGGGAGAGGTGTGGTGGTGTGGTCGGTTGTGGTTGACGTGAAGGAGGAAAGTGGTAGGGCTGAAGGGGGAAGTATAAGGCGGATCGGCTTCAGAAGGTGGAAGGAGGTATAAAAAGAGCTGTTGCGCCGGGGGTGGACAGGGAATTAATAATGAGAAATGAAGAGGAAGGAAGGTCGGATATGACTGGGTTTAAGGAATTATTCAGAATTGAATAATAATTAATATTATTTTTCTTTTTTGCTCGCCGGCGCTGATTTCCAATGGCTTCGGAATCGACGGGGATAAAAGCTGCGGTCGCCGGGTGCGTGGCAGTAAAAGGAAGCTCCGGCATTAACCCTAGGCACTAGACTGGGCTAGACACTAGTAAGTACTCCTCCTCCGCCCTTTTCTTTCCACTCGTTTTCTCTTTTCTGCTCTTCCTTGGCCTTCCGGGACCCGTTCCTGTTCAACGAACTCCGATTTTGCCGTTCCTATATACTCCAAGATCTAGTCCACTGTCTACGTCTAGACTACCATCAGGAGGCAGTGTATAGTGTACACTATCTACATTATAAGTACCTATTCTTGAGCAACTCTTCTCTTTGTCCTCCCCTCCTTCTTTATCTCCATGCATCCTCGCTTGACTGTGACCACAGGAAGCACCGGCATGGATCTGCAGTCATATGCATTGCATTAAGGACTTTGTCGACTGGACAGGAGAAGTCTTGGCAAGACCAGTTTGCTCTTTAAGAGAAACCAATAAGAAAATGGTGTAGCGAAAAAAAGAATTATTGTCGGCTCGGATGGTCCGGGATCTAGACTATTCAGAGTCAGCTCCATCGGCATCGATACCAACGCACTGGGCCTGAGTGACCTCATTTCCACGAGACTGGCCGTCGGAAGTAAGAAAAAAATAATCAAGATGGAAAATGGGCGAATAATCAAACGACAAGAAGGGTGTGCCTCCGAGTGAATTTCCGTATTTCCTTTGAGCTGTTATAGACTTTTTTGGCTGGTCCTTGCTAATTAGGACTTATGCATTTGCTGCATAAGCGCCGAGTTTCCTATGACGTAGTCGATCGCTTCCTCGTTGGGCATTTGCTTTCACCGCCAGGGTCATCTTGAAAGTTGAAAGTCTCTTGGGCTGAACCAAGGCAACAATCAGACCTAATTATGGGAATATTTCTCGTGAATCATAGAACTTGATCATATCACACGTCTTACTTGCTTCAAGTTCCAGGTCGAGAGTCACAGCCTTGTCTAACTCCGGTTATCACCAACACATATCCGAAGACCCTACTCTGTGGCTCCGTTGAAGATCAGACGATCGCTATGGAATCTAAATCGTACCTACACCCAATCATCTGCCCCTAATCTCGTACCTATCGTAAGTCAACTATCATCGTCCATAGTCACGGTCTTTGTTAGATGTCAGAACACCTAAATTCGATCCCGGATATCGACCAACTATGTACTACTAGGTCTACCTACAGTAATAGTAGTTGATGCCCAGCCCCCACTTCGGTCAGCAGCCATCGGACCCCCGGCATAGCCAACACCCTTTGGCCATCCCTGTCTCGGTCTCGCACGCCCTTCCCTCCGAGCCGCACTTTTGAGTTGTCCGCCTGAAAGTGGGGGGTGTTTAGCGTACCGCCAATCCCCGATGGGCCCCGGTCGGGCCATATCCAGCCCTTGAATATCGCCAGTGGACAAGATGGCGCATTTGGTGGCTGGGAAGACCATGCACGGTGTCACGATTCAACCAGCCATGAGCTAGCTATACGGTGGGGGAGGATCAAAGCATGCCAGCATAGGGCTTGGTTTTCGCACGAGCATACTGCATAAGGCCACCAGCCCTGTGCCCAGGGCTTAGGGTCCATGTCCACATGCATGTTCGTAAGGCCCAGGCTTGCCATGAAGTATGAATCATCGAGCGTGCAGGATGATGTTATCTCCGAGCGAAACAGCCTCGTATCCGAGATCTTCGTTGGCTCCCGTATTGCCGGAATGTGTAAAAGGAGCTAATTGCCCATAATTATGGCCATGTAACAAGCAACTAGTGACGATCAATGAGCTTGCGCGCTGACAAATGATATTGAGCACGATCGGTAAGTGCAGTCCCAGCTAATCATCCCAACTGTCAGCCCACTGTGGACAAAGCTCAGGCTGTAGATTGTATAACGATCTGTCTCTCGGCCCTTGTTAGTCAAATAGCCCCAAGACAGCCGCCGTGCAACTATCTCGAAACAGCCTCTTGGTCTAGAGCGCCAAAGGGTCATCCGAGCGCCGCTTAATAATGTCTGTTCGGCCATCCAACTTGGGCATGTACAAGTGCATATTTTTGATAAACTTCCAAGGACCTATAGCTCAAGAACATGGCATGCTAAAGGATTATTGACGACCAGTATAGAGAACTGCGGAAGTGAGGATTCTTAGACATTACTAGCAGCAAAGAGGCCTCTTTTCCAATTATATGGTCGCATCGCATTGCAGCACGCTGTTATACCGATCAACAGGAGATCAGCCCCAGTACCTAACGTGTTAAATTGGTCCATCTCTGACCTTCTAATGATTATTGTATCGACTGTAAAATGATATACCTTCGATATACTATCCTTATCTGCGTGTTATGGCCCCACAGTTCGTATTAAGTGTGTGCGGCTCTTAACGTGTTCTGCTTAGCGCTTGGAATACAGTATTTTCCCCGCTGAGATTCCACGGACCCTTGAAGTTATCTAGACTTACAACCCCACATAACAAGCTTATATTTTAAGAGTAGTTTCCATAAGATCCAAGTGTCGCATGTGGCATCTATGGGTTGGTGGTAAGGTTCCACGTGTCGGTCGAATGCACGTCGAATTAGTCGCCTTCTACGAATCCATCGATCGTATTTCGATCTACACACCCCTGAGATATGCATAAGTATCCCCCGAGTACCTAGAGCACTCTTGTCGCTATTGGTCGGTCTGGAAGATTGGAAGGGAGGGTGGGGAAAGGAGGCTGATAGTTTTCTACCTCAGAGGTCCACGAAGCAATTGTGATTTGAGAATCTGCAAGCAAGGATCCTGAATGTGAGTAGCGTAGATATATGAAACTATTTAGATTTACAATTAGAAGTTTATCTTCAAGAGTCAGATCTTTTGATTTGTGTTCCACTGGTACGGCTAAGTGCCCAGTAGATCGCGGGTATTGGTGGAGGGGATGCAGCTCTATTCAAGTGAGAATGGACTGAATATAAATTCCAAAGATTGCCTGTGAGAAGCATTAAACCAAATTGAATCCAATTTTTTTATCATGTTCTTCTTCATCACTAAATTTAATTATAGTCAGCTGAATCTGCATTGTTTGATGTCAATACGAAAACACAATGCATGTTATGGCATTGAAGAATCCTTTTCGGCTCGGAATTTATCGATGAGCTGAATTGTTGGCACTCCGCGATCAAGTACCCTCTAGCCATTGTGTTCAACGATTTATGTGGGATATCCATACGATGAGAAAAAAATGGGTTCAAGTGCTTCGGTGGTTTTATATGATCGGGAAGAGACTGAACATGCTTGTCTACTGAAGAATGTGGATATTCTTCTTCTCTTTATTTTTTGAAAATTTGATTTGTGAAAAAACGAGACCATGGAATAGCTTTGCTTGGGGAATAAGCTTTTCTATGCCACACCTCATGTTTAAGCATGTTATATCTAGGTCGTTTCTAGTTTGTGCCAAGCCATAGTGAAGCATACCTGACGCACAGGTGGGCGTATAGTCAGTTACTAAGCCCGTGTCAGGTGAATAGTTAATTAAAAGAAAGACATTAGCAAAGATGACCTCTAGCCAAGGACTAAAGCGAACGGGTCCGATTCGGACCCGTTCTTACTAGCCAGCATGACAATCTTCGCCGCGCCACGATTGGTCGTGATGGAATCGGTATCCGCGGCCTTCCGGACAACGCTGGGGATCAAACGCACACGCACCTTTCACCACGCACATCCCCGAGTCCAAAAGTCCAACCCGATCTTATTTCGTGGTCATTTCCTCTTTTGTGGATTTTTTTCTGGTGATTTCATCGGAGCTGTCATATGACACATCCTTGCCATATTAGTTAGTTAGTTATTCTCCTACGCTTAATAATTATTTGTTCATTTTCGTACTAAGTTATGAGTAGTTCGATTTTGACTGGTCGCTTGGATGACTTTTGCGCCCTTGCTCCATTTCCCCCTTTAATACCTTTATAGCTGCATTTACTAGTCACCTTGAAGGCGGCACTCATTTTACTTCCGTGTACCCCGGAATCGGTACTTCGGGTGCTACAAGATCATATGGTGTGACATAGGCATATGCAGCTGTCCGCTCTTGAGTCTGGGGGAAAGACGAGCGTACATACTCTGTTTAGAGTAACTATTGCCTTCTGTAGTCCAATCGTCAGCTCTGGGAGCTATATCAATACTTCCAGGTTTCCAGCCTTCCCATTTAACCTTTTAGTCTATCCATCTAGGTCCTTCTCTTCTCAACGATACTTGTTTCTTCACAAGGGGGGATCTCTTCCCACAACCCCTCCATCCCGATCAGCAGATCGACATGCATCGAGCGGGCTCGAGCGATATTACTATCCTAAGTAGAAACGTCCTGCAGAGCATCGGATATTCGGCACTAACACCATCCGCAAGCCGTGTTCCCATCTAAGCGTTCCTCAGGCACGGGCATCCAATTAGACCCACTTGAACCCTGGTCTCTTCCCGTGCGATCAGCAAGGACATGTTTAGCCCGGATGAGATGTGAATGTGAATAACTTGCATAAATTGAATTATTCGGGTGTCACTGGCAAAGCTCATATGTAGTACATTGTACGACTTGGGCTCTACTGTGCTTGGCATTATTTCTACCCCAGCTTTTGATTTTGTGGTACCTAATGTAGACGCGATTAACTCCTCATTATTCTAGGCTACTTCTGACGTCGCTGTCGTCGGGAATTAGTGTCACGAGTATACACTAGACGAGACTGACTCAAGCAGGGATCCAGCCACTTATGTTAACGGCCAATATGGGGAAAGAAAGGTACTACTATAGATTTTGATGTTACTTTTTGATAATGCAAAAACCGCGTTTATTCTTTACTTTAGACAGCATTTACCATATTTGAACTCATTCCTTCTCGACTCCCGTGCTTGACAATAGCCTAGACCCGTATTCCTAGCCCATTCAGCCTAAGTACCATATTATAAATATCAACCCGTTGCGGAATGCACCTTGTTTGAATCTTGTCGTACGTTGAGTCCTGGCGCTCGTTTCATGTGTGTTCGACCTAATGCTTGGGCGATGGGAGTCTTCTAGGGACATCTTTTCTTGAGCTAGATTGGGTCACCTCACCAACAGTCTCCAAGAAGAAATTCCTAGACACCCCGCTATCGGTAAATTCTCCTCTAGAAGCGCAGTCGAACCCCCATTTCTACCAAGTGAACCCGGCAATGTCATCCCTTGCCTTGACGCGCAGAACGGTGAAGAAATGGCGTGTGGTTTAAGTACGGCCCAGCGGACGGGAAGCCCTGTCCTCCACGCCCGATAGCCGTATGTGCTAGATTAATGCTTGAAGAGAATTGGAAACACTGTCTTTTAGTGTCTGACTTGGCTGATTTGTATGCAGATATACATGAGAGTTAATTTCTACTTCATGATGGCGCTTTCTAACTACAACCACAGCATCACTCATCAACCGATCAACTCAGTCGACGAATAATTATCAGAATTTTGCCTTTATGGGCTCCGTGCGCCAGTATTTATTGATCCCACCCTTTTCACCAACAACAGGATCTAGCTTGGGAGTTGGAACATTCCATACAGACTCATACCGACCGACATCATCTCCTCCCTCATCCCAGGTCCATGAGAATCCCTTCGGATATGCCCCCAGCATGGTAAACTCTGTCATTGGCAGCTGTCCGACTAACTTTCGCGGCTCTGGGGAATCAATATAATGAGCCTCCCCTCCGGTCAAAGGCTGAGCATCAAACTGGGTTGCCTTGGGGTTGTAATTCTTGTGCGTGACTCCAGCCGGTATGACAAAAACGTCACCGACGTCCACTTCCATATCGAGGCCGCCTTCCTCGTTCGCACCGCCGTAGGTATGCTTGTCCGGATCGTCGTCTAGATCTGCGACTCCCCAACGGATTGCTCCCGGACCGGACAAAATGGCCATCACCTCATGAGTTGTCCCATGGTAGTGTGATCTTTGGTGGGTACCATATCTGGTAACCCATCGCGGCTCCCATCCATTGCTCATAAAAGTATCATATATGAGAAGAGGGTCAACTTTCCCATCCCGAAGGAAGAAGCCTTTATAATATAATAGTGGTTTTGGAGAGTTAGGAATCAGCTTTGTTGGCTTGATGTGGTAGACAATTGGTTCTGCAGTCGCCATGGTATCTGACGTGGAGGCTCACGGGATAGGTAGAGCTATGAAGGGTGTAGGGAAGAGAAGCAGATGCAGGTTGCCAATGGAATGAACTCGGGAATCTGCAATAGCTTTCACGAAAGAGAGATCAGAGGACTTGATGTGAGAACTTCGTCTTTATACGTAAAATCCATAGGGAGGTGCATCTGCGGGTGGAATCTCCGAGATCTGCTGAGATTCTCTTGTACTGTGACGATATGTCCCACGTGAATCATCATGTCCATGACATGGTCTGATAAATGCCGTTTCCAAGAAGGTCAATTTTGCTCCCGATAGGCCTGGGGCGTCATCATTCCTCTCGGTAAGAGTTACCGACCTGCTCAAAGAAATGAGGGGTCAAAGGGAGGGGTATGGCACCGCAAACAAAGTACTGCCTCAGGATAAGGACTGGCGAAATCTTTGACTAATTAGAAACCTCGACCTTTTTGTCGCTAGCTGATGAAAACTATTGAGAAGGTGTTTCCTAGGTTTCGTAGACAGAAAAAGCCACAAAGTGCTTCGTATCCCAAATAAGTAAAAGATCCCACTCCATGGGTCGAGATAAGCTACCGGGCTGCCCGTTCGGATCGGTAATGGTAACCGATCGTATCTGATTGAACCTGTGATCATTTCAAGGGTCAGATGCTTGGTTTCAGGGCTTTCTATTGCCTATTTTAACTAGGCAATACGTTCGGGTCTCTTGGAAAGATTCACATTATGGCAACTCTGGCATTCTGCTTACTGGTCCTAATTGTAACCCCTAGGTCCCACGGAGCGATTGCTTGTGCAAATCTCACTTTGAGCCTTCCTATATAGCTGCAATTGTAGCCTTAAATTCAGCAACAACTCTCCATTCCAAAGTTTCCATCTCTGTGTATATAAGGAGGTCTTATCTTCCACTTCACTGCACAGCATACCACAAGATGGCCACCCCTTTGATGAATATTGTTTCCCTTGAAGGGGCCTCTGAAAATGGCTTCTACTCCAATGGCAGCGAGCCCAACGGTCCTTACCTCGATAGCGTCAAGTCCAACGACGCTGTGACGAAAGATAAGCCACCAGTTCTGATAGCAAATAGTACTGTGAATTCAACCCCAAGAGATCATCTTGGTACGATCTTACAAATAAAGGCTGAGTCAAAGCCATGGATTTCCGAGCGGTGTGTGGACCAAGGAAGGCCTCTCAAGGTCATTTATATAGGCTCCGGGATATCCGGGATTACTGGGGCCATCGAATTCTTGAAGCGGGTTCCCGAGCTTGAATTGGTCCTTTACGAGAAGAATCCCGAAATTGGCGGGACCTGGTTTGAGAATAGGTGAATATCGCGTCCTGATTACACTGCATTTAAATGCCAACTGACGGGAGATTCCGACAGATATCCAGGTTGTGCATGTGGTAAGTTTGCCAGCATTACGGAGGCACTGGAATTATCTCACAGTCTCAACCCTTTCAGATGTTCCCGCCCATGCATACCAACTCTCCTTTGAGTCTTCACCTCAGTGGAGCTCATTCTTTGCATCTGCTCCCGAGATCCTCGAATACTGGAAAGAGGTAACCAAGAAGTATGATATTAGGAAGCTGATTCGGTTCGAACAAAAGTGCACGGGTGCCCGTTGGAGCGAGACAGTTGGCAAGTGGTTTGTCCAGCTTCAGGATCTGAAGACCGGTGATACATATGAAGATTCCTCAGACGTACTCATGACTGGGGAAGGAGTTCTCAACGAATGGAAATGGCCGGACATCGAAGGAATCGACACCTTCCGGGGCGAAATTCTTCATAGTGCCAACTGGGACCCTCAAATCTCTCTAAAGGTCCGCTTTCTTTCCTTCTTCTCACTCTATGGCACCTCTCTCAAATGATAATAGGCTAACTAGAGTTTCTATAAAGGATAAATCGGTGGCCGTGATTGGGTCTGGTAGCAGCGGTATCCAAATTGTGCCCGCAATCTTGCCCGACGTCATTTCGATGGACCACTATGTACGCGGAAGTAATTGGCTCGGCGGCGCATTTGGACGGGATGAGTTTCGAAAGCGAATTGAAGCGGAAGGTGGAAATTTTGCATATACCGAGGCAGAAAAGATGATGTGGGCGAATGACCGCGACGCCTATGTGGAATACCGCCGAGCAATCGAGTATGATATCATGAACAAGTTCGGCGTCCTCATCAGTGGCTCTAAAGAGCAAACAGAAGTCCGCAAACAAACTGAAGCTTCCATGTTACAGAGGCTCAAAGGCAGCTCCAAGATCATGGATTATCTGCGACCTGAATTCTCGCCCTACTGCAAGCGCCTGTCCCCTGGGCCTGGCTATTTAGAGGCTCTTACATCCTCCAAAGTCCGCACAATCACCACCAGGATCTCGCATATTGACCAACATGGAATCACCACCACTGATGGCGTGAATCATCCTGTCGACGTTATAATTTGCGCTACCGGTTTCCAAACTGCCCCAGGAAGTCGCCGCTTTCCGATCTATGGTAAAGGTGGGATCAACCTGAGAGAGCGGTTTCAAGATCGGGCTGAGACATATTTGGGTATCTGCACTGATGGATTTCCCAACTTCTTTCAGTCTCTGGGCCCGAACTCTATGCCAGGGGTGGGAAGTCTCTTGTTAGTGATTGAGAAGACCCATCATTATGTGGGTCAAATTCTCGCGAGAATGGCTTACGATAACATTGGGCGAGTTGAGCCTAAGCGCAAGGTAGTTACTGCGTTCACTGATTTTTGTGATGAATTCTTCAAGAAGACTGTCTTCGCCGAGGACTGTACATCCTGGTACAAGGCTGTCAAGCTCGGTGCTACTCGTGAAGAACAAAAGCGAGGGCGCATCACTGCTCTTTGGCCAGGGAGCAGTCTTCAGTGTGTTAGAGCACTAAGTTCAGTTAGATGGGAAGACTTTGAGTTGCAGGTTTACGATGGCAACGAATTCGGCTGGTTTGGCAATGGTTGGACTGTGGCGGAGAAAAGGCCTAATACTGACACGGAATCGTTAACCTGGTATCTGAACGATACAAAGATTTTTAGGTTCTAGTGATTTGAATGACATACAGCTTCAATATCTTGCACTGGACGGTCCGAGACACTTTAATGAATGTTGGAGGGCATACGCCCAGATGGCAGACATCCCGAGATAAGTCAAAAGTTGATACTTAACTAGAATACGCGCCTTAGTAGAAGTGTAGACCATTGAGGTGGACGATAAGCGCCAATTGCTCAAACCCTATTTTCTAAGGCAGAAAGTCCGGCAGAATTCACATGGCCTACAGAAGAGAGAAGACAAGAGAAAAGACAAAGATAAAGATAAGGAAGGGGGATAGTTAAATCGGTACTACAGTCGTAGCGTCACCCTAGCCTAAAGAAGAAGGCATCAGGGCAAAGGCGGCTATGGAAGCGGTCGATAAACTGACCAACTATGGGTTTTGAGCAACTGGCGTTTATCGTCCGCCCCAGACCATCAGATTGGAGTATCTATATACATAAAGGTCTTATCCGTGTTCTCTACTATGGTTTAAATCTATCGACGGATTTTTACTTACTATGCAGGATGAACTTCGAGGGGGGAAACTCGATCTTATCAGGGTGATAGATCTATTTAACTGTTACTAGTCCTTTAAACTAGCGTCAGTAACATTCAAAAAAATGTTTTCAAGGACCTTGAGCACTACCAAATGCGAACTCATAACTATACAGTCCACTGCTTCCTATTTTCATATAGTCTTCTTCATGACAAGAAAGGATTTGGATATACAATGCCAATATATTTGGAATTCTGTTATTGAAAGGAACGCAAAATTTTCAGGCTTGATAGTCTGCATGCAGGAAGTAAATACGATACAAAATGTTAGGACCTAGGCCTCGTCCCCCTAGGCCTAACGTTGCGCGCTACTTATATCGGTCCCGGGAATGCTAGAACATAGCGTTCTAGCATATTTAGTCTTTTAGCTTGTTTGGTTAGTGCGCCCGGGCACGTACCGTAACACAAAAAGGATCAACAAGCCCTTCATCTCGTTTCATTAACATGACTGCAGGAAAACTATACATCCTTCTCGTTGCGGTTTGGAATCCATTTCCAAAACCGGACCAGGTCTAGCATTTCGCCCCAGAAGGTTGTCACGGGCTCGTCAACGGTAGACTCATAGGCACTCAAGAGGTCGCTCTGCCAGACAAGGTCAACATCGCGTGGCTTGAGCCAGGTTGTCTTCTTGTAAAACTTCCAGAAGAGGAACAAAACTATGTCTATAATGAGCATGGAATAGTAAGTAAAGAAGTTGGCCGTGTTCCAGGGGGAGAAACTAGTGTAGCCATAGACGAGAACTATCATAGTTTCCAGGATCAGCGCGATATATCCGCTGTAAGGCTGGAACCATCCTTTGTAAGGAAGGTAATCACGCGAGATGCCTTGAGCTTTGTGAGCGCGATAGAAGCTGGTGTATGTCACACAGATCACAACAAAGTCGATGATTCCACCACCGGTGATGATATTGATCAACCACTGTAAGGCCTGGGATGACCCATTCGAGAGAGACAGAAGGGATAGGAAAGGGAAGAGCATTGTCACGCCGAATGCAAAGACTGGCACACCACTCTTTGTGCATTTTGCCAGCATCTTGGGCGCTCTTCCTTGAAGAGCGAGGCCATAAAGAGTTCGTGTGCCGCAGAAAACCAGATTGTTGCCAGCGGAAAAAATGCTCGTACATAATAGAGCACTCACGATATGCGGCAAAATACTGATTTTCATATTTTGCATGGCGATCACATAGGGCGAAGCGGAAGCAGTCCCGGAGCCACCCAAATCGCCATTGATAATTCCAACCAAGGTTGGGTCATTATACGCGACGACAATGCCAGCACACAGAGCAGATCCGACGAAGAAAATGAAGAATCGCCAGTATACTGATTTGTATGCGTTTTTGATGTATATCCGGGGGTGTTTAGCTTCTGCTGCGGTCATCGAGACAAGCTCAGGCCCCACGATCGTAAATGCCGCGGTCCAGATGCATTTAAGGAAGCCTTCGAAGCGGCCGAGGCTTCCAGTGGAGCGTGTTTCAGCAAAAGCTCCGGGGTTGTTCCAGAATCGAAAACCATAGCTATCATGTTGAGGATTACCACCGACCATCGTGACGAAGGTAAATCCAAAGAGGAGGAATAGGAGTAGAATCTTTCCTCCGGAAAGCCAAAATTCCACCTCGCCATAGAATCGAACAGCGAAGATGTTCAGGAGTCTACTCGTTGTGTCAGCAAGACGTTTTTTGTTCCCCTCAAAGGAAACCCAGCCTCTGAATTCAGCGTTCAGATATCCGATGACCAGATACGTGCTCACCCATAGAGAAAAATACACACTAAACACACTGCCACGGCTGGGATTTTATCAGTCCAGAAAGAGAGCACCACATTCAGAGCAGTGATTTCAAACGGAATGAGAAAGCCTTCGTAGAAGAAGAAATTCCATCCTGCCATGAAGCCCCATGCATCATCTACCCAGTGGCCAGCCAGGCGGACAAATCCACCACTGATGGGCATATGCACGACCATCTCAGCTGCGCAATTGTTGACCAACCCCATGATACCCGCATAAAACAGAAAGGCAAGAAACAAGCTGCCAGGACCACCAGCTGCGAGAGCCGTACCAATGCTCACGAAATTTGCAGTACCAATGGCGCCGCCGATAGCGATGATTTGGAGCTGTCGATTACCGAGTCGACGATGAAGACTGTATTCATGGGAAGAAGTTATGACAGAGCCCACTTCATGGTCTTGCGATGCGACAATGTCGAGGTGTGGGCCATCATCTTCCTTCGAGTACCCGGGGCCTTTGTCGTGTATGGTCGCCATATTCTCAACCCTGATAGAGGAGGTAAGGTTAGAGGTGGAAATGTTTGTTTTTTACTCCACGGTGATAGGCGAAATATATACCAACCTCCTAGGAACTATATTCGCAAGCCTAGGTCCAGTGATGAATTTCCGGAACAAGTTTAAATTTGAAATGTTAACGATAGTGAGAATCAGAAATTGACCAACTCGTTAGTCTTCATCCCCTCGATTAACTTGCGTTGTTATCCCCGGAAAATGGAGAATCCTTGGTCAGTTGGTGGACACTAGGCCAAGGGGGGAATGATCTCGGCTCCACTCACCGAGCCATCGACCCCTCAGAGACGACACGGAGAGCAAAATCCCTTCTTGTTGTTATCTTCGGTCATGAATCAAAGATCTAATATTAAAATCATTGCAGGTCTAAATTCGACTACCGGTAAGAAGGAGGGCTCGGTCAGGCTTGCCGAGTCACGAGCACTGTCAGTGTCTGGGATCATTTTGACGGGCCCGTTCTCTTCTCCGCATTCCAGCATCCTGGAATGACTTGCCCTTGAGGATAATGTTGATTTTTATTCGTGCATTTCAATGAATAATCCTGTAATGAGGCCTTTAATACGGCCAGTGTTTATTTGTCCAATCTAGCAATCGACACGTCTTGGTGACGCCCATATATCAGTTGTAGACTCTCCGTTTGAGGAGAACAGGAAACACTCTCCGATCTTTTGAGATGCGGTCCATCAGAGCGGTACTGACGCCCTACAATGCTTATCACCAGGATCGTGGCTTCAAAGTGCTGGAGTTATCAGTTCTATTGCTTATTGTTTTGATTATCGATAGAGCAATCGTCCAGCAGGGTTCATTACGATACCAATGTGACTAGGCCTGCAATGCTTTATGTCTCCCCAAGCTCCGATAGATTCTCCTTGGACAACTCCATGTCCAAATACTTGACAATCAAGAGGGCAAGAGACTATAGATGGCCTAACCTCATAACTACATATCATATTCGTTTAGACGGCCAAAGAAGCGAAGCCTCACCCCTCACGAAGCGGGGTATTACCCACGTGATGCCAGCCTCCCAATCGAAACCACGGCGATTCAGCACGAAACATCAAACGAACAAGGAAACGTCATATTAACATCGGCATTGATCAGGCTAAAGTAAACCGAGGACGAACGTTGTTGTGGATGCTGGATTGCCCGTGCCTGTTAGTTTCGAATGTCGAACAATAGAGCCATGGACCTCGATGAAGACCGCACCAGGAAGCGAAGTTTGAACGCGTATGGAAGCCTAAAAATGGCCTATCATATAATCACTGCTCACAATATATGTACTATAGCTGTGTTAGGTGTCGACGGCACAAAATTAAATGCGGCGGCAAGCATCCCTGCGATCCCTGCATACGACGCAGACTCACATGCGACTACGAAGCCGATGAGCCTAAGATCTTCGTCTCTAAAAAGTACGCTTTCGAGCCTGCACCACTTTGATGGGGCAAGCGACAAAAAGGGGAGCATTCAGTTTCTAACCAATCGTATGATAGGTATCTCTCTGATCTCCAAGACAAGGTCGCTCTACTAGAATCCCAGCTTGCTTCTCCATCAGTGACGTCGAGTATGGCCTCCCCTGCAGCCCTGCCAGTCTCCGAAAATTTGCAAAGCCAATCCACAACATGTGAGCTTCAAGAACAGACTCCTTTTTCTCGACAACATCAAGAGAGCTTTCAGATAACAGATCCACTTTTGTCATCTGAATATTTAACGCATGTCACAGACCAAGAAGGAACACCACGTCAGTGCTCACATCATTGACTACTTACAAGGGCCCCTAAAGCTTATCGAACGTGAATTTTAGACCATTTAGGGCACTCATCAAACTACTCATTCACCCAGCGAGTCTTACGTCTGCTACATTCTCGTTTCTCCCATGATCCCTATCCCCCAAGTAACTGGCACCCTTGTGGTTCATATGACTTGGGATGGAATGGACTGAGAACACCCGTGGAAGATGAAGTTGGGAGTCTTCCATCGATAGACCACGCGATTTTCTTACTCAACGCAGTCAAATTCCATGCAGGGCAGATTTACCACATGTTTGATGAGGATACTTTTATGCCTCAGCTCCATCAATTCTACGCTAATCCTGCCGAGAACGTACATGTCATGAAAATATGGTACATTCACTTTCTTGTTCTTCTTGCCTTTGGAAAGGCTTTTGTCGTGTGTGAGACCCAAGGGGTAAACCCTCCCGGGTCTGACCTATTCGTGCGTGCAGCGAAATTGCTTCCCGAGGCAACTTACCTTTTCGGTGATTTTATTGCGGCGACTGAAATTCTCTCTTGCATGGCTCTCTACTATCAAGCTTTGGATGGCAGAGTTGCTGCATATGAAAAGGTAAAGAGCCCTTATTTTTGCTGCAATTAGACCCCAGCCGTTGACTATCTAGATCGGACAAGCCGCCCGAATGGGTCTAACGGCAGGCATGCACACTTCTATGCAACCGAATCGTCTGAACGAAGCTTTCATTCAGCGGTGCCGCAGACTTTGGTGGACAGTAGTCATTTTGGATCGTCAAATATCAGCAACATTAGGACTGCCTATACAAATTCGAGATGAAGACATCACAGCGCCTTTGCCGTCGTTTCCCGATTCTGAGAAGCGTGCAGCGGCAACGGAAATACAAATTGGACTGTCGCGAGCGCTGGTCCAAGTAGTGAAAGGTTGGTTGCCTTACCATTTCTCCTTACAGTCAAGTTGACCACTTTTAGCCGTTTATTCGGGAGATGTCAAAAACAGCGCCAGCTTTATTTCTAGAACTCAGGATGCTCTCCGCTATGTTGCAAGTGTGGCTGATGGGCTATCCACACATTTCATGCTGCCAGCTCCCTACTCTGGTGATGGCATATCCCCGAATACTGGCCATTTAAACATCCTTTATCACCAAGTACGTTGATGCTCCTTCTTGTCACTGTGTTCTTCAGCTAAGATCTGCTAGTGTATCGTTGTAGCTACCAGACCTTTCCTCTACATCTTTCTAGAAAAGCAGATGAGCTCTTCCGAGGATGAATTATCTGCGATTTTTCAGAAAGATCCGATTCGTCAGATACTTATAGCCGGAATCGACTCTGCCAAAACGATCAGTTCCATCTTGTTCTCGCTAAAAAGCCAGCATTTGATAGGTATTTTTGCTTCAATTTAACCATTTAGCATATTATATTAAGGAGCGTTGCAGAAAAATTCCTGCCTTTCGAGTTAGAGAGCGCCTTCTCGGCCGGCACGGTGCTCGCAATTGGATCGACACGTTTTCCTGTCCTGTTTCAAGAAAACGACGCTTCACTCCAAACAATCATCGATATCTTGCAGATTATGACAACCAAAGGCAATCGGACCGCCATGGAGCGATTATCTGAACTTCAAGCTGTCACAAATATGCTTGAAGAAACTAAGGATCTCTTGCGAGAATCTCAGCAATTCGCGCTGGCTCCTGAGAAATTCAACAATCCGGGTGCTCCAGTTGCCCCCTTATCACAGGATAATTGTGAAGACATAAGTCAGGCTACATCTTGGGCAGAGGGGAGTACAACTGGAGTCATGTACTCACAGCCGCACCAATTGACTGCAATAGCAGAGTCGTTAAATGCTTGGGACTCAATAAATTGGTATTCCACGATGTTTGATGATACTTTTGTACCTAACTTCACGCGATGAACTATGTGCCTTCTGGCTCCCCAGATTTTCATATCTAGAGGCTTTTTGACTGTATCCGAGCTCTCTCGTGTTATTATGTACAGGGGTTAGAAGGTATCAAAGTCGGCTCTTTGGGGTCAAATCTCCTTTCGAGAGTGAGTCTCCTTTCGAGAGTGAGTCTCCTTTCGAGAGTGAGTCTCCTTTCGAGAGTGAGTCTCCTTTCGAGAGTGAGTCTCCTTTCGAGAGTGAGTCTCCTTTCGAGAGTGAGTCTCCTTTCGAGAGTGAGTCTCCTTTCGAGAGTGAGTCTACCAGCTCACGAACCCTCAAAGCTACCCCATAGCTAAAAATGTATCCCAGACCCGCAAACCCGTAGGCGTGTACTGTATTCCCCTCGACTTCAAGCCGATATCCCCCTTTTCTTCCCGGTCGGAAAGCAACGATATCCTTCTGTACACTTTTCTCTAAACTCAACGAATCAAGTTCCCCGCCCGCAAGAGATTTCACTCGCTGTAGTATATCCGCACGTAGATCCTCGTCGACATTACGATCGTGATTACCACGTTGACTCACGCCTCCAATGATAGCGCCATTGGTATGCATTCGGGGAATGACATAGGTGTAATGAGACCCTTGATGCATCTTCACCTCTTCAAAGTCGGTTTCAACAAATATTGTCTGTCCTCGAATAGCTTCCACGTTCTTATCGTTCGCAAGGGTAAGCGCCCCGAGGCCCGATGCGTGCACAATGATCTTTGCACCAGTGATAGCCTTAGCTTGTTCAATGGTGTGTAAGGTTCTTCGAATGAACCTAACCCCACGAGCAATTAGCTGTTTCTGAATCCAAGGTAAAAGAAAATCGGGGTTAATCGTCATAGAGGTGTATGTGAACCCGACTTTTACACCCTCTGGTAATTTGTCTTTGGGGATTCGGCGATATCGTGGCACAAGCGTCTTATACCAGATACTAGAATCATCATCTCGATCGTCATAGTATTCGGTTGCTTTTAGAGTCTGAGCAGGAGGTCAATAAAGTAATTTGGGGAAACACTGTCCAGCGAAATAGAGAGATGACACACTTGAACACCACTCGTTGGGTCTCTGTGTGCCAATGCCCAAAAATATTTGAAGTTTTCGGTTTGTAGGGAGTGACCCCCAGCATCTGGGTGAGGATAAATCGATACCCCGGCCCTGTGGAACGTGAGCAAAATGAGTGAGGCCGTTAGTCTTGGAAGGAGCTGTTCATAATGATACTGACCATGGACTTGCCCAGTCCTGACTTTCATCTCCTGGTAGGTCGCGCGCAACCATAGTCACTTTGTACCCCGCATCAGTCAGGGCCAACGCTGACATGAGACCGATGATGCCCGATCCAATGATACTGACGTCCATCTTAGCAAGGGGAAGATCGTGAGATTCTAGCGGGGTTTCTAGAAATCAGGCATGGTGAGAGAGAGAGCCGGTCATATAAACCGTTTGGCTTGTCCATTCCAATTTCGGAATGGCTGCTGGAATGGATCAGATCTTATGTGATAAGTGGATTATGGGCTAGCTTGATGTAATCCCATGGGGCAAGATTGTCCCATGTTGGTATGTACGAGTCCTTGAGGAACGCGGAAGACCTTGCCCCCAGAGCACTCCAAAATATCGGCAAACCTCCCCGGGAAAAGTGATTGGTACCAATTCAGTGTATCTGCCGAGGCATGGGTGTCCTATCTGTGACAGTTCCAATGCGCCCTGATACGGGCGGATTCCATGGACTGTTTTGGGGGTGATCTTGATCATCAAATCCTCAGTAAAGCGATTCGGCAAGGCTGACAAGAGCCCCCGCCCACTTGGTCTTAAAGTCGGTTGTTGATGCCGATGATACTGTATATTCTGGGTTACATTCCCGAAACAGAACGCGGGGTTTCCCTAATTAATACAAATTAAATTGCAGACATCACTCTCAGTCGCACAACTTCCAACCACAGCGACTTCGTTTGTCTTGATTGATATGCAAACATGGCATGGTAGAGAAAAAAGCCATGCAGAAGGGGTCAAACGACGGGAACAGTCTGATTTCTGTTTATGATTTTGGTAGTGGCCTTTGGCAGACTTCCTAATGAACCGACAAACCATCGATAGTGAATATGAACATATATTCGATCATTGATACGTAAAGTCGGACTAGAAAGTCCGATGTCTCCTTTCCGCACGGTCGATTTACAATTTTCGTGGTAGAATGTTGACAATCGACAATTCGCATCCGACTTCGCGTCGAGGCAGATTGATTAAATCTACGCTGCAACGTTAGATAACAGTAAATTGGGCACCGAAGTTGGCTACTCTTGGCCCCATTTTAAGCGTCCTCGTGCCAGGATCTCAGCCATCTTTAATATGCCGGTCATGGGTGTCAAACAGTTGCCAATGACCGATCGGGTCCCTGGCGGCCTTCCCTTCCCTCCCCCGCTAACCTTGAAATCTTGAAAGCGTAAATCACGCATTTGGATCATGATATTCATTGCATTTCATATGGTCTAGCTGTTCTATAGTCTCTATACAAAGGACATGCTTTCCTAGACTTCCCTTCAATGACCAAAATTGAGCCCCTCGTTAAACAATGCGCTTGTCCTCAATTGACTCGTCATTACCACAGAGGGATTTCAACCGTGTTGACGTAGTCGATGTTATCTGCGTGGCCCTCGATCCGAGGAATTGATGTCCTAAACAGACGATCCCAAACCCGGGTTTGCTTGCCATAGTTATGGCTGTTCTTCCAGCCTTTGCGGTGATGAAGATCATGGTCTTCTAGCAGGAGTTCCATATCAAGCACTCTCAGTAGCGAAGTCCATGGGTTCACCGCGGTGGCGATCATACGTAAACCACTGTGGCCCAGAACCTCTGTGAATACCACATATTGTTGGCAAACCCACCATTCATAGAACCCCATAGGGAACCCCATCAGTTTCATCGTGCCGTAGGTGATAACGGGGGTTCCGATGACATCGATGAACTCTTGCACCTTGTCTGCATAAGCCGTCAGGAGAGGGTTGGGGTGCTTAGTCAAGTGATGGGTGCGGTGGAATTTCCATAGGTGTTCCGATTCGTGAGCAGAGCGATGGAAGAGATAATACCAGAAGTCGAGAACGAGGGCGTACATTCCGGTCTCAAAGATGAGCCATCCCCAACGGATCGAAGCAGGAGTCTCATCAGCACGATATGCGAGGAAAACTGTCACCATTGGTCGGAATATAATGACGGATAGCACGGTTTGCACCGTCTTGCCCACGCCTACATCAGGCACGCCATCGCGAGGATGCTTGTCACCGTCGAAGAATCCAATTTTGTGTCCGACACGGCGGAGGACCCGTACTTCGTGTACAGCATTGAATTCGAGGCAAAGGCTGTAGAAGACGAAAACAGCCCACGATGGGGGTAGACCGAAGTAGTTGATGTAGATTTGATGCAGAACGAGTGGGACGAAAGCATGGATCAGGACCCAACGGTGGAATTGCATTTCGGGCGCGTATGGCACTTTCTCGGACTTGTCATGGACGGGGACATCCTGACCCAGGTTCAGATGATGCACATCCAAGACTTCCAACAGCCAGTGGCCGAACTTCCACTGCGACTTTTCCCACGTCCGCCAGGTGGACGTCATGGAGTCTTTTGGGTTTCGCATGGGAGTAGCCATTTTGAAGGGGATGAGGTGGAAAATGAAAAGTCTGGGGAAGCCAGGCAGATCTTCCATCTATATTTCACCGTACTGACCACCTGAAGCCGAGGTGTGGGTACCCACTAGTTGGGGTTCATCGCAGATCCATTTTCATCCCCCTTTCCACCACGCCACTTAGCGCGGTGGCCTATTTTTCATTGAACCCCTCCTGATTGGTATTGAAAGCATTGTGCGAACTTTTGACGTCACTAGTTCTTGGGATTGTATAGCAATGGACTATTCTAGTACGAGACTTTCTCGGTCTAGCTCTCGCTTCCTCAGATCTGCGCCGTGCGTTCACATGAAACCAACAGAATATCTTTCCAAGGAGTTCTGGGAAATCTTGTCATAGGCTGGGGCCTTAAAAAGATTATTGAACCAAAACATCTGATCCCGAGGTCAGGTCCGTCAAGGAGTCCAGCCACCCCAAATAGGAATTTATGTTCCGGCGTCTAAGACTGGTCTCGCTAACCCGATGAAGTTGTGATCGGCACGAATCAAGTGATAGATCAGACCCTATCTTTTATCAAAAAATGTGGCACGCATGGAAACAACGTAAATTCCATTCTGGAGTCACTTAGAAACAATAATATGTTTGGCTACACTCTGCATGTGACTACGAGATGCTCTTTTTTCCGCCCACAAGCCAATCCAGAGCATAACTATGTAGTTCCTCATCTGCTTTGCTAATCAAGTCCGCTTCTGTACCGTGCATCGCTCGCTTTGCTGGCCAAATCTCTTGCCCTGTCTTTTTCTCCTTCTCATAGTGAGCTTTAATAACTTTCCGATCCTTATTCTGCAAAAAGAAAGGGACTTTCTCTTGCTTTAGATGCATCTGCCGTTCCTCTCATCAGGTTTTCGTGGGAGAATTAGCAGGGTACTTTGTCTTCCGAGACGATTTTGGCGAAGGTTTTGCTAGGAGTCTCAAACTCTTCATCAGTAGCATTCTTGTCGGGGAACACCTGATAGTTCATTTCTGCCTTGTGTCATCAGGGACAAATCTTTGGATCATTATAAGCCGAGGATTAGGACCTTTGTTGGCCCAACTAATGATTGCCAGGTTTAGTTAAACTTACTAGACAGATATGGAACTATTGGGGTAGAAGTAGGTGGATGAGATTGGCAGATCCACCCTTCCCTTTTCTGTCAGCAGTGAATGGTATTTAATCCAACCATGTTCAAATTCCGTGTCCAGATTCTCAATGACTAGCGTTGAAAGGTCTGGGTGAGTTGTCGGGCAATGGTAGCACTCATTAAAGTTATCTGCATGAGCTTCCAGTTGGCAGGGGCTTCCACAGAAGATCCAATACATAGTCGCCGTACTGGTCATATCTTGGCTGCGTATCAATTCCTACCAAATCGGTATCCCAGGGCTCCGGATTGTCAGATACGTCGAGAGTGGCCCATATGAAGCCCTGGTTGTCGACACGGACATGAAATGGAAAGAGGCCATTCTCGTTCTTTTCAAATTCTCTCAGATCGATAGTTCGGTTGCTGATCCCGCGAGTCTAGAGTGAACGGTAAGTATCGTTTCCACTTTCTTTAACGCAATTGTCCCTCTGGCTTGGCTCGGTTTACTCAGCTTATGTACCAAATTTTCACCATATCAAATTGGAAAAACATTATTTTGCACTTTGCTAGATGTTTGAAATGGAATTTGGAGAGTCCAGTTGTGAAGTTCTGTTTCATGAATGCAGTGGATTTAGCTATAAGATATTTCCCCCATAATGTGAAGATATAGAAAAGGCCAAGGTTTACCCTATGTATCACACAGGCACACGCTGGTGAGAGAATAGACTTGTTGAGGGTCAAAGGAGATCGCCGCCAGATTCCCCATGTCACTTAGCCCACATGCTGTGACACACTCAGCACACTCCTACGCTTGGTTCTGCCTTCCGTATATCCAAGTCATTGTTTCCATGCTTCGAATGTATTCTTCTTTCAGAAAATCAAAGACATTGACTAAGTCAAGCCAGTCAATAGGCGCATCGCGAACATTCGAACGTTGGAACAACCCCGGGACAGCCGTGAGCACCTGGAGCCGCGCCATATGATGATATAGTCGGGAAATCACGCTCGTATAGATTATCAAAATCCAAGAAGTCGACAGAGTATCCTATAGTCGTAGCCTTCTTTGCGTCTGGGCCAGAGTTTTGGGCGTGGATAGCGATCACAGGTCTCTAGAGGTCCCGTATATGGGCATGATTAAAGCTCGTCACGGGCGCTGCTTTATAGAACAGCCGAAGGGCGTCATCTAATTGGCCGATTTCCTGCTGCAATAACGTACAGTTCAGTCGTCGCGAGAATAATTGCCAATCGATAATCGTGTAATCTTTTACCCGTAAGTGGTCTAAAGCCTCACGAAACTGAGCCGTGACGGGATCACTGCCCTGCTGGCGTATCTGGGTGACGAACTCCATAATTTTAGTAAACTACCGGTAGCAGTTCGCGCTATATTGCTCTTCGGTACTAGCCGGTGTATATTGAGCGTTGTTATGAAATCATCCTTTCCCAGAGCTTGAGGAAGGTGTTTAACGTGATGGTGTTTTCTGCACTGATGGATGGAAGTTCCCAGTTGCCATATTCTGTTCCTTCCACGGCCGCTAGGCCGTTGAGGTAACTGAGGACGATATGCCGGGATTTCAGGTATCGGTAGAAAATATAATCAAGGTCTCTTTTTTGGATATTTAAGAGCGGCCGAAGATGCTGCCATGATCCTTGATGTTTTCCACTTTGGCATGGGCGTAGGCGATGAAAATGTCATCTCGATTCCCAAGCCTGGGTTAAAGAGTCTACAGCATGACACAGGCAGGAACGCATTTCCAATATTTGGGCATACAGTCATATATATATGTATAAGAGTGAAATCAAAGTGCCATCAACAAACGTGAGGCTCAAAGTATACTTTATCCATCTGCGGATCCTGGAAAGTCACGGGAATCCGCACAGCTGACATAATCACCCACACAGGACGACCCAAAGGGGACTAGCTCCGGGTCAAGCGAGCTGGTCCGTGCCCCGTTCCCGATTGGGGCAGCACACAATGAATTTCCAACCCTAAAGTGCGATTCGACCTTCGTCCTTCTTCAACAGCGCCAACGACCCTCGTCCCCGTCAACAACCCCCCGTCAACTTCCCCCTTTCGACATTCAAGATGACTCACGAGTCCGTTTGGTACTCCCGGCCCCGCAAGTAAGTCGACTTTTGAGCCCGATCGCTGTCCAAAAATTATTCGTGAATGGCGAATGGTGAAACTGACTTGGATTCTTCCTCAGGTACGGCAAGGGCTCCCGCGAATGGTGTGTTGGACCCCTCTTCTGAACATGAATATGGAATTTCCCCCGATATAAGCGACGATATGGAATGAGATGGCTGGAGACGAATTTGAGATTGGATATTGAAATTGGGGGATCTTGGGAGGATTGGAGTGCTAATTCGTGTCTTTGCGACTACAGCCGTGTCTGCACCCACCGCGCCGGTCTGATCCGCAAGTACGGCGTATGTGGAATCTCCTCCTGATAAACATCCTGCGAGCGCACGTCGAGTGCTGCGTTTCGTGACCAGCGAACTCTGGGCTAACGCGAGTTATCTTACAGATGAACATCTGCCGTCAGTGCTTCCGTGAGAAGTCCACCGACATCGGTTTCAACAAGGTTCGTACCTTCATCTCCTACCTCTGCCGACTCGAGAACGACATTTCAGAACACGGAATATCCTCGACAACTCGGTCCACTGGGTCCCTACCCGGTCTCCTTCGCAACGTGATAAAAACTAACACGCCCACTCTCCCCTACAGTACCGTTAAACAAACCAAAAACCATGTCCACCTTTTAACGCCCTTCCCAATCCATCCTCGTCTACGATCCGTTCACTCGTGTACGTACCCTGGCGCTCCTCGATCTCGATAGTGTCCGGGATGGGAAAATAGATTCGAAGTGTCCGAAATAAAAAAAGCTCAAGAAATTGCGGCCCGCACTCCGTTTCCTTTTTTCGCATGACGGCCTCCAAAATGTGGTTGTTTTACTTTTTTTTCTAGATGGAGGAGGACAGTTCTTTGCATCTTCGGTTGCTTGTTGTCTCGGATGGATCGGTGGGGACTGGGGTTGTTGTGTGAAGAGATCGCAAAACGAGGATGTCATGTTTACCCTCATCCTTTTTTTCCTTATCCAATATCAATGACGGATTTTCTTTACTGGGATTTTCAGTTCGATCTTGGATTTTGAGTACTGGACTAGGGTGGAAGGTGGTGGTTCTGAATGACTACGAAAGGTAGACTTTCGATTCAACACCCGCCTCGCTCCTTGGGTATTGAGTCACAGGTTGACTCCGAGCATGAAACGGATGTGGCCGAGGCTCTAGTAGACTGGTCGTAGACTTTGATCTATGCGGATACAGTGGAGCGTCCACCTGAATCCCCGTTGATCACATGCTTGTAGTCGGTATCAGCCGCCCTTAAAACAGACGTCTCATAAGTGTTCTATATTACGGTCCTACGCTACGAACACCGAAACATATCAAACGACTTAACGAGTCATCCATTGGTCTCATACCCATTCTCGCTTATGTACATCAAACAAAAAGAACCAGATAACGCCCTGAGACCTAACAACCGAACCGAATCCATATTCTGCTCACTCATATCGTTCATTGTCGAGAAATCACTTCTCGGGGTCGATCGAGCGGATGCCGTAGAACAAGAGGTAAGCATTTTGCTTGAGAACATCGGCGATGCTGGCGACAGTCACTTTGTTGTCGTCCATCAACACCCACTATAGCAATAAATGGTCAGTATACGGCAACTTGTACATATCTGAGTTATCATGGGCAGCAGTGACGTACCTTGTCGCCTCCCAGACGGGTGTAGGAGTAGTAATGGCCCGAGTCCATGGATCCCTGGTGGACCACGACAGTGGAGAGATCGTAGATGTATTTGGACATGTCGACACGCTCCTTGTCCTTCTTGACGGTGTAGGGGAGCATGTTCAGGGTAATAGGGAAATCAATGTGGCCATCCATCTTCTCGGAGGAGGCCTGGTTGTGCTCGTAGCGCTACAAGATAGAAACATGTTAGCATTGTTCGGCTTCCATAAGATGAGAAGTACGTACCTTCAATTGCATGCACAAGATACTCGGAAGCTTGTTGATTTGCAGGCGCTTCGACGCTCGCTGCGGGGTGTTGCCACATTTCTCACAATGATATGCTGCCTCGGTGTGGTGCTGCAGGTCCTCGACTGCGGTGAAATTCTCCAAGCAGCTAACCAGGTTGGCGGTGCCAGTCGCAGTGGATCGTCCCAGCTTGCGCTTCTTATTCTGCAGCTGCACATCGAGACTCAAGTCTGCCATTGGGTCATATGTGTGGGTGGTCTTGCCGCACTTATGGCACATCACGCTGCTGCGAAGTTCGCCGTAGAATGTACGGTGGAAGAAGCATTCGCACTTGGTGTCGTAGTTCTCCGTGTGACCAGGTGTAGCTGCGTGGAGGGCATTGACGAGGAATTGGAAGTACTCGTGAGCGTCTTGCTGGCGATAGCCGGCCATCTCCTGTAATCCGGGTTAGCTGAATGCTCTTTTGTTCAGATTACCAGTTCATGGGCTGCTCTCTTACTCTTGACGCATCCCATCCATGGTAGAGGAGGGTAGCAGCCGACACCGCATCAGTTTTCTCGCCACTGTTGAATTCCATGAATACTTCAGTGGCTGCACATGCCATGCAAAAAGGTCTTTTGCAAGTGTGGATGTCATGGCCTCCTGCCAGGAAATAGGCATTGAGAGTGGGGTCGTGCAGGAGAGCTTGGAGAATGACAGCCTGATAACAGGTCTGTCCCATGTTCCAGACACCACGAGCACCACGACGGGAGCAAGGATTCTTGTAGGCATTATTCTTGACATAGACCTCAGAAGCAGAGTCTTCAGTCCATCGGCCTTTGCCATCTATCAGAGTTAGCTGATCTGTCTATGAAAAGGGGAAGGGGCCAAAGGGTGGATTTATACGCACCCTGATACTCAAACTTGCCCGAAGGGCCACAGAGCCGTTCCAGGCCATGGTCGTAGACAAAGTCTCCACAAGTCTCACAGAACACGAAGCGATTGCGTGACTCCATGTCTAAGGGACCCAGATTAGTCTCAAGCAGAAAGAAAATGTTAGAGCGGACCTCTTACAGAAGACGTGACCGGTCTTCTTCGTGTGTGCTTTGCGCTCCGAGTTCAAACAGACTTCCGAGCAAGTCAGACAGTGGTACTTTGGCTTCAGGGTAGCCACAGTCCGCAGGCCACTTGCGGGCACTGCGGCGGTCTCCGGCTTGGTGTACGGTGCCAGAGACTCGAATTGCTTGCGGTACCCATTTTTGAACTGGCCAGCAGTCGACTGATCTTGCAGGATTGTGGCAAGATGTTCTGGTGAGGGGTCAGAGGTGACTTGGTCAATGTGGGGGGGGATCAAGTAAATGCATACCACAACCAAACGCCGCTTCAGAAAGAATCTGAACAGATTCAAGACTCGCCATTTTGGATGAGAAGCGAGATGATGTAGGGGGGAGGTGACGATAATGAGAAAGGGATGAGAGTTGAGGAGATGGGAAGTGGGAGGTAGAGTGCAAGGAAGGAGAGAGGAAATTCGTAAGTAGAAGGACCCAGCCCTCAAGGCAACGATGGAAGAAAGGACGAAAAAAGAAAGATTAAACAGGCACCAAAGCTACCTGGGAAGAATCCAAGGCAGCTTCCAGGCGTGGGGTACGCAAAGATATCCAGTTGAGCCTCAAGGACTTCCCCTGAGTAGAACGAGCATTGCACTGCCGAAGGAATGATCAGTATCCCCATGCAAGAGTGGATACAGAAAATACCGAGATAGACTTACATGTTCCAGACCAAGAGAGTCAACGATGTCGTGTGGGGAAAGGAGATAGAACGAGAGGAGCTATAGGGCTCCTCGTCTGTCCAAGGGTTGCCGCGGCAGCTCACGTTGCCAGCAAAGCCCGCAACCCTGCCCCGCTTGATTTCAATGGATGACTGTTGAATAATCAAGGCAGCAAAAGACTCGGCGAAGGAAGACGCACACCACTTAAGTAAAGAAAGGGTAATAATCTCTGGGATATCGACAGTCCTCGGGGGGCGGCAGAGTTGGTTGGTTTGCCATCGGGACCTTTTTTTCGCCAGACGCCGATTTACCGCCGGATCAGCGATCGGAGGTGCCGCCATCTTGAGTTCCGCCGGGTTGATCATGCTACTTACACACCTGCAATCATCTAATGCTGGAGCATATAAGGTCAATGGGCTTATTGCAACTGAATTTAGATTGTACTTGATTCTATCCATCTCTTTATTCATTCGCATAGTCCTATCGTTCATGAATCTTGCTTCATTCAAGTCATAATAATTACAGGCCATGTTCATCTACTCCGTGTTCATTGGAGGCCAAGGGTATATGGCTACGGAGCATAGCCAGCACCATCCGGCTTTGTTGGATGATTTCTCACGTCCGGAGAAATTGCCGGAGCACCGTCTAGCAGTGTGCTCCTCGAACCATCCATCCCAATGGCCGAGTCCCTGTCATTCATCAGGATAGGCAAGTGTCAGGGTGTAACGTGCGCATTACAATCCCAGACAGCTTTTCACCGCACGCCCCGACCCCGAGGTAACGCGCTTGGTCGCGCCCGGTCAGCGCCTCTCGTGGCATACCGGCTGGTCGCCGAGCCTCGCGTGGTACCTGTTGCAGAACCTCTTGCAGTACCTCTCGTCGTACCACCTCGAGTTGTCCCCCGGGTGGTTCCCCGGCCGGGAGCGGTATATCTCGATGTTGGTTTCGAGGAGACGGTGCTGGGCGGGTGCTCGACAAAGGAAGTGTCCGTGGTCCTAAGAGAGTGTTAATTGGAGAACGTCGGGTTTGGAGCGTAGCTATCGCGTGAGAGCTTTCGCAAGGTCGGCCCAGTGGCCCGGTACTCACAAGAAAGTCATCTCGCCATCATCCGGTCGGGGTGGTTCATTTTCCGCCTCTGTGTAAGGGTTGTAAGTGAGTCGGCCTCCATCCGGTGCGCTGCTCTGCATACCTTTTTGAGCCTCAGCCTGCTTGGCTCTCTTAAAAGAGTCGGTGATTGGAGCCTAGCAGCGATGAGCATCAATTTCTCCGTACTGGTGTCTCCTCCGGCGCGTCTTCGTTGGGCAAATTGGCATACCTCTGGGAAATCCACGCAAAACGCGTTCATATTCATGCCGTACAAGAAACTAGCGAAGCTCTCGCTAAACCGCGTCAAACTCTCGTGCATCAGCTGTAGATGCATGAAATTAGCCTCCAGGTCCGCCATGGAGTCGGCGAGTTCTGCAAACTGCGGCTCCAAGGCATTGATGGCGGGTTGATTGTATCCGGCATGGCTGATGCTGTGACCATAGCCATGAGCTTCCCGGAGCGAGGAGCGCGAGCTCGGTCGCAAAGGGGTCGTGGGGCGAGAGGAGGGTCTCGGGCGCGAGGAGGATCGTGGTGCAGGGGCGTCCATGACTTTTCGACGGTGTGAGAGCGTTGTTTGTTTTGGGGAGAGAGGGGCACGGCGGAAGAGCTCGAGTGGGTTTGTCTCGAGTGGGCTGGCGAGCGCCTGGTTTTTGGCGTGCAGCAATTGGAAACTGGATCGAGGGCGCCGACGAGTACGAAGGGTTCGTGTAGGACTAGGAGGAGTTGTGCATGATTTTGGGCGAAGTCGAGGGAAATTGGAAAAGTCGAGGATCAAAGTTGAGCGGTGATCTCCCGTTGCAGCCCGTGACTTTGCATGACTTCACCGGGCATGCGACCATACCAATTGGCCCTTAATTCCTGCGTACGGATGTTTATATGCCCAAATACATGCCACCTGTCACCCTGGATTATATAGACTATATTTCTACCGCAAATAATCAGATATTATAGAGAAACATCATATTATAATCAAATCCACGATAATTGAACTATTTCCCCGCATTGGCCGATCGTCATCGGCCTTGATTTTGGGCGAATCCACTCGTGATCTCGTCTCAACTTCTGGCCTCGAGTCCCTGGAATTCTCTCCTCCTCATCCCAGTCCTTTGCCCGACTGTATCTATATAGGCGCCATCTCTCGCGCTCTGACTAAATCCAGACCCACTGGTTCCTTTTATTTCCCCCCGCCACATGCGGGCCTGCTCAATTCTGCGCCGCATCTCTCCCTCGGCCAATTCCCTTCCTCTTCCTTGTCGCATCCAGTCCGCTGCTGTTTCCCCGGAAAGAGGCGCTCAGATCGCCTCCCAATACGGTCGTCAGCCCCGACCATTTCCACTCGTGCGACCTTACTCCACACGGCCGCAGTCTCAGCATCAACCGAGGGAGGCATCCTCTCTTTGGACTATCACATTCACCCTTCTGGCCGTTGGCGGAGGCGCCTGGCTCCACGATAAGTACTTCACCTCGACGAATAACCCGCCGCCGTCGCATCCTTCCCCGACCACTCCGCCGCAATCACACTCCTTCCTCCAAGTCATCGATACCCTCACCACAATGCCTATCGAACCCGCCCCGGGTACCGTCGGGACCCTGACCCCGGAACAAGAAGTCAAATTGCAGGAGTTTTGGGTCCTCACCCTCAAGGTCTTCGGTGTCCCCCTCGATGTCCTCGAGGCAGAACATGCCAATGGCAAGGCCAACGCCGATGCCAGCCCCGCTCAGGATAAGAAGAAGTCTCCCGGCAAGCGCCGGGGATGGGGACTCTGGGGTAAAAGTGAGGAGGAGGACGACAACAAGAGTGTTTCTTCCGCGACCGACATCACTTCGAGCCTGGCCTCGATCAACATCACCGATGGCGACGATAAGCACGGCCAGTCCAAGGAGTTCCAGCAGGCACTCGTCGAGCTGCAGCCGGAGGAGATCCGCACCGCGTTTTGGAACATGGTGAAGCAGGATAACCCGGATGCGCTATTGCTGCGTTTCCTGCGCGCACGCAAGTGGGACGTCAAGAAGGCGCTCATCATGTTGATTTCGACGATGCGCTGGCGTCTGCGGGATGTGCACGTTGACGACGATATCATGACCAACGGCGAGGCCCAAGCCATTAAATACGCATCGAGTACCGATCCCGCTAAGAAGCAGAAGGGTGAGGAGTTTTTGAAACAGATGCGCCTGGGCAAGAGTTTCTTGCACGGTGTTGACAAGTTCGGCCGACCTATCTGCGTTGTTCGAGTGCGGCTGCACCGGGCAGCCGACCAGGAGGCGGATACGTTGGAGCGATTCACAGTCTATACTATTGAGACTGCCCGGCTACTCTTAGCGCCCCCGGTTGAGACTGCTGTAAGGCACCACCATTGCAACCATGATTTGAGGCATATTACTGACAGTATTAGACTATCATTTTCGATATGACCAACTTTACATTGTCGAACATGGTAGGTTATATCCAGTCGCTATCCTCACCTCACCACCTCTAACATTATCCCCAGGACTACACACCTGTCAAATTCATGATCAAGTGCTTCGAAGCCAACTACCCCGAATCTCTCGGATCCGTCCTCATTCACAAGGCACCCTGGATCTTCTCGAGTTTGTCTCTCCATTCACAATAGTAGTCAACACTAATCTAACTTGTACAGGTATCTGGAGCGTCATCAAGGGCTGGCTCGACCCTGTCGTCGCGGCCAAGATCCACTTCACTAAGAACCGCGAGGACCTCGAAGCCTTCATTGCCCCGGGCCAAATCATGAAGGAGCTCGAGGGTGACGAGAACTGGGAATACGCATACACCGAGGTGAAGGAGGGCGAGAATGCCAAGATGGAGGATACCGAGACCCGCGACAAGCTGATTGCCGAGCGCCAGACTCTGGCGAAGGAGATCCAAGACGTCACTATTGAGTGGCTTTGCGCGAGCTACAAGAAGGATACCGATGCTGTGAAGACTGCCAAGGATAAGCGTAACGGCCTGATTGAGAAGCTGCGTGAGCAGTACTGGATCCTGGATCCGTACATCCGTGCCCGCTCGCTGTACGACAGACTGGACATTATCAAGGGCGATGGTAAGATTGAATTTTATCCTGAAGCCGAGAAGAAGGATGCACAGGACGAAAAGAAGGCTAGCGGCGATGCAGCCGTGGAGACAACGGAGGCTGTTCAGTCTGCCTAAGTTTGGGGTAATGTGGTACCGGTTCTGGTTTTCATTGTGATGTTGGATTTTGTGTTTGGATACTGGAGGCTAGAATCTTGTGTGCTACATGGTTGTATAGTATGTTATATACCGACGGCATTGGCGTCTGTCCTACATAGCCGGTTAGACAATATAGAGAGGGTCTATATGTTCGAGATAATCTTGAAAGGAATTGCGGCTTGGAGGGAATGTGCCGAATGGCTGTAGTATCCGTCTTTACCAATTGAATTGTCATATTTATAGGTATGGATGATCTACGATAAGACTCTAGTGTGAAACTCCATTTCACTACGGAAATACTATGGGCGAGACCGCTGCCATCCCTTAGATTTCCCGCGCGCACCCCCTTGGGCCGTGGATCTCTGCCTGACAGGCCTAGCAAGATGTGTAAATTATCTTTTCGGAAAGTCTTTTGATATATTTTTCCGGATAGCACACATAATGTCTCTCGATCTAGGTAGTGGAGGTGACTATCTTTCAAAGCATCTGTAATGAGATGATTTTGATGTTTGGTCAAGATTCTGAACTTGCCACGAAACCTCCACGATATAGAAGACTACCAGATAGAACAAGGTGCCAGGCAGGAATCGTAAGGCCCCAAGTGGTGCAAGCGAGAAATCTAAGTGGTTGCAACAACCTTAGCCTACTATACTATATCAGGTGATATGCGGGGTTGCTATTTAGGGAGGCTTTCAGCCGCAACGAAGGAGAAGCAACAACACCATTACAAAGGCGTAAACTGCTCACAGGAACGTCTCAATGGAGCAAATCTCAGACCTCATTCGAGACTCTAAACTAGAGACACGGTTTCTTCCGCACTGCGGAGTGGAAACGGTTCACACATTCCGGGAGTCAGACCCAGCTTCTGGACAGCGCCTGGTGATCAGATCAGAGCATTGGCAGCGACAAAGAAGGATTGGAGGTGGTGGATTTGGAAGCGTTTGGCTAGAGAGACGTGTTAAAGGTGGACGGTCAGCAGCCACCGCAGCGCAAGATGGCGCCGTCCGAGCTGTTAAGCAGATTGATATGGATACGCGACTTGGGTCAATTGACTATAACCGTGAGTTGGAGGCAATAGCTAAGTTCTCACATTCTCGCGTTAGTCTCTACAAGGTGGCTGCCTAAGAAGTGTAAGGTATACTAATTGAAGTAGTATGAACATTGCTTTGTCAAGTCGTTCGGCTGGTATGAAGGGCCTGGTCAGCTCTTTATAGCTATGGAATACCTCGAAATTGGCGACCTTTTCACGTACTCATATCAAAAACCAGCGCTACCAGAGACCGAAGCCAAAGATATTACATATCAGATTCTCGATGGTCTGGATATGATGCATGAAAATGGGTTTGCTCACCGAGACTTGAAGCCAGGTGTAAGCTCACTTATACCTATGGTATATAGAGATAACTCTATAGCTGGTTTTGCTAACAGTGAAATTTCTATAGAATATACTCATCAAATCAAGCCCTCCAGCTAAGTGGTGGGTTAAGCTCGCAGACTTTGGTATCACCAAACGCATAGAAGAGGGCCATGGGCCATCAACGACAAAGGGTACCCCAAGATATTTCGCCCCAGAGATGTGGGGTTTCATTGAGCCAGGCAGTGCCTATGCCATTGATATTTGGGCTCTTGGAGAAATTCTGTTTGAGATGCTCACCAAAAAACCTGCATTTGCGAATACCGGATTGCTTGCACGCTATCAAACCCAGGAGCAGTTCCCAGTCGCCAAGCTCAGGGACGCTGGTGTCAGTCAACAAGGCATTGACTTCCTTCTTTCACTCATGTGTCTTCACCCTAATGATCGAATCACGGCTTCATCGGCTCTGTCAAACGTGTGGATACAACCACTGATACCCCAAAACTCCATAACGGTTATTCAAGGCAAACCGGAAATTCCTTATCAAATTACAACAGTAACTGAAGAATTTGCGTCATGGGATACGGAACTTTCTGTGGAAGTACCGAAGACTGTCGTTCATGACTTGCCTAGTTCAACTACCACACCACAACCGGAAAACGGTACCCAAGGAAAGGCCAGTGAAGCACAGAGAAAGGAGACACTCTTTCCCTCGGGGATCTCAAGGCCACAATCTATACACGAACAAGTCGAGGCCTTTGATCCCAGTCCCACCGAGTTTGCAACCTGGCATAAAGAAGGCGTCTCACTCTACAATCAAAATCAAATACCAGAGGCCGAGATTATGTTCCGAAAAGCTCTCCAATGGCGAGCGAAGGTGCTAGGCAACGATCATAGGGACACACTCTTGTCTATACAATGGCTTGGTACCTCCCTCTTCAAATTAGGTCGGTATGAAGAGGCTGAGGCTATGTTTCGACAAGCTCTTGAGGGGCGAGAGAAGGTGCTAGGCAATGATCATCCAGATACACTCGTTTCTACACACTCTCTTGGTGCCTCCCTCTTCCAAGTAGGTCGGTATGAAGAGGCCGAGGCTATGTTCCGAAAGGCTCTACAAGGGCAAGAGAAGGTGCTAGGCAGTGATCATAGGGACAGACTCGTGTCTATACAATGGCTTGGTGCCTCCCTCTTCAAACTAGGTCGGTATGAAGAGGCCGAGGCTGTGTTTCGACAAGCTCTTGAGGGGCGAGAGAAGGTGCTAGGCAATGATCATCCAGATACACTCGGTTCTACACACTCTCTTGGTGCCTACCTCTTCCAAGTAGGTCGGTATGAAGAGGCCGAGGCTATGTTTCGACAAGCTCTTGAGGGGCAAAAGAAGGTACTAGGCCATGATCATAGAGATACAGTCGGTTCTACACACTGGCTTGGTGCCTCCCTCTTGAAGTTAGGTCGGTATGAAGAGGCCGAGGCTATCCTCCAGCGAGCTCTTGAAGGGCAAGAGAAGGTGCTAGGCCATGATCATAGAGATACAGTCGGTTTTACACACTGGCTTGGTGCCTCCCTCTTGGAGTTAGGTCGGTATGAAGAGGCCGAGGCTATCCTCCAGCGAGCTCTTGAAGGGCAAGAGAAGGTGCTAGGCCATGATCATAGAGATACACGCTCCACCAGAGAATACCTGGACCTGGCCCTCGCCCGCAGGCGCTCCTAGTAAATCACAAAACACCTGGCTAGATGCAAATCATAAGCCGGCGTTGGATGTTGAAGGACGCAAATTGTGAGAATCGGACCTGTGGGCTCAACGGCCATGTCATTCGAGTTACTAACCAATGAGTTTGCTGCTAGACCAAGATACGAATCCGCAGACAGTCTTGAATATGTGGTGGTTTATAGTCAACGCGGGGGGGGGCTCAAGTTGAAGGAAGTCATCAATTCATTCATACAGGTATACTACCGGAGCTACTGGGAGTAGGAGAATGTTACTAATTTTCTTCCCATAAGTAAAAAATTCGGGGTTAACGGGCATCATCATCATAAGAGGGACACAGAGAGAGTTATAGTTGTCATGAACCTCTTTAGGAGAGCCTACAGCTACAATGAATTAGCCAAGGAATACTTAGTAACATGACCCGAAGCCCCTACAGTAATAAGCGATAGTAGAGATCACGAAAAAAACTTTACTGTCTACCTAGGTAGCCTTATCTATAAAGTCTAGTTAGAGACAGACACCTAGTGCAGCGGCAAACCCTCTGTAGTAAAGCAACTAGGAGATAAAGGATAAAAGTTGACAGCTTGGCCATTGGTAGCCTAGGTTGCTATAGAACTTTTCTATCCGTGACAAGACCACTATCCCCCACCATTTACATCTTAGACTTGATATCCTCGTAAAGAGCCTTCAGCTTGTCCATGTCCGACTCCTTGGCGGGCCAGCTAATGCCCAGACCCTCCTGCTCGTTAGGCTTGGGAATCTATAGAACAGTGAGTATGTAGTTCTTGTAGGTGAGAAAAGTGACTATCGAGAGATAGTTGCAAAAGAGGTTGATGAGAACTTACCATGTGGAAGTGAACCTATAATACAATGTTTAGCATACTGCTATAACGCTTCAAAGTGAGTTTGATATGGGTATACTTACGTGGTCAACGACCTGGTGCGCAATGCGACCGTTGTTCTGGAGGATATTGAAATCGGTGGCGCCGCTGGCAAGAGCGATCTTCTTGGCGACGGGCTATACGAGACGAATATTGTTAGTCAAAAGACCTGTGAGTTATCCTCATCGCTATCACCCCGTTGATGCTGGCTCTCCGTTGATTCGTGCGTTTGGCCAAGGACCTTGCGGGCAGGTAGGCCCTAGCTCCTAGCCAACATCCAGTCCGCACGATTGACTCTCCTTCTCACACTCTCATATCCCCTCCGTGTTTATCGACCATCACACTCCTGGTGCTAGCCACTTACCAGAATCTCCAGGAGGTCCTCGTCGGGAATGTCGGTCAGCTTCTCGCCGTGGAACTTGGGGATGACGAGCTATTCAACAGCCAGTCAGCATTGTCCTCTTTGATAAGACAGAATCAATTTGAAGCAGAAACTAGTTCATAGTATATCTGCCAGCAGTTACAGCTCCAGGGCGTCCCAATCGACGCCCTGCGATCGGTGCGGGGAAGGACAAAACAAGGGCGAGGAACAGCATACCGCATGGCCACGGCTGAGAGGCTGGATATCAAGGAAGGCAAAGACCTTGTCGCTCTCGAAGAGCTTGAAGGAAGGGATATCACCTAGACCACGGGGGAAGTTGTTAGCCAACATTGCACACTCGTCCAACCGGGGGGTCAGAGCTTCGTGAAGTCATTACGCGTCGAGCAAGCTACCCACCCTTGATAATCTTGCAGAAAAGACACGCGGCAGAAGACATTTTTTCAATCAAGTATTTTGTCCGGTGAACAAGAATTCGGTGTGATTGAAACAGTGTAGATTGTAGACGTAGGAAAGACAAGGTCGAACGTATTAATTCGAAGTCATCGATATGCGGGGTCAGCTCCGTCGAGCCGGCGGGGAAGGGAAAAGAAAAAGAATAATACTGCGGGTGGCGGGTTTCGAACTCGGGTTATCTGGATTATGGAGAGAAGCCATAATTGAGATAATGGTTTATCCCCCGAGGAGTGGGACAGGCTAGTACAGAACCCATTTCTTGCCTTTTACCAGAGATGGCCGTGGTTTGCCCACAATACTCCTCTACTCAATCTTTGGAACAACCTGCTACGACAAAGCCGTCGTATCTTTTTTGGTTTTTTTTTTCTTGGGTATGATTAATAAATTCAAATTGATTATCTACCATTTTTTAAAGGCTTTCCATCTCGTTTTGGTCGTGTTTTGGGCTGCTTGGTGGTTTTCGGTGCGTGTGCGTAGCATGCCCAGCTGCGGTGTGCAGAAGCGCTGCCATTTTGCCCCTGGGAACGACCAAAATCCACCAAACCCTTTAGGGAGAGATGTTTCCACCAATATGAATAGCATAATCAATATCTAAGTACCTGTATCCTAGGTCACTTCTGTATCTATGCTGAGCTATCCACCACCTTCCCCTCGGAGGGAATCAACCCAATTCTATCCAGTACCAAGGCCACCGCATTAACGACTCCATAAAACAGCATGGGAATTACTCCAAAAAAGATATTCCCAATGATACCTCGTCGAAGAATCGTCTCCGCCAACTCCGTTCGTGCAATCTCCGGTGCAACGGGTGACTTGAAGGGACCAAGTAACCGATAAAAAGTGACAAACGAAGCACCGAAGCAATAGATCAGCAAAATACGCAGCCCATGCTCGCGATACAGCTCCATCAGTCCTGGTGCACCGCCAAAGTCGCGAGCTAGAGTGCTCATGTATGCGCTGTGGTCGACACCGTATTGAATGCGTGAGGTCTTGGCGGCTAGGAGGTGGTAGTGTGGAGGGTCTGTTGGCATTGCCATTTTCCCGGTAATAAGGGCTGTCCACCACATGGCTTGTTGTTCGGCGATTGGGGGAATAGCCCCGACGCCTGGACGGACGAAACCGATGAAGGCGATATCCTGGTGGGAGGGATGGATGATGTTTCGAATTTGGGCGTCGGATGCCGTGGGGTATGTACTGTCAAGGTATGGGAAGGTTTGCTTGTACCTATTACCATATTAGTTCCAGCAACAAAAAGTTGATAAACACGGTGGAAAGACTGACCCACTACAGTATACCACACAGTCAGGCTTGATGACCCTATTCTTCAAGCGCTGCCAGTCCTTCCGTTTGGGATTAGCCTGGAAATGGACTTGGCCCGATTCATCGATATACTCGGGCCATGTACAAGTATCGACGACTCGTTCGGAGTTTGCATCTTCTGGTGGATCAATGTACCGATTCCCAATACAAGCCAAAATAGGGTTGTGTGTTTGATATGGCCGGTTGAGGTACGGCATCGCCTTGTTACTCTTGTTGAGGAACACGAACGCTCGACCCAGTCGCTCCTGCGGAAGACCACCGACATGCTGGTTCATGCCAGCCTGTGTCCCCGTCAGGAACCACAGTACTCGCTTGATGACAAAGTCGGAAACGAACCAGCGTAGTCTGCTGTGGGCGATTGCGCGATGTACGTATGCGGTCTCGAATAGATTGGTGATGAGACCGTCGATGGGAAGACCTCCACTGAAGGTCTTGCCAAAGACCTGGAAGCGACTGAGTGACTTGGGGAAGGATAGGAATCCAGTTCGGAAACACATTGTGACTGCTTTAGCGTCGGCCTTGATAGATTCATAGGCAATGTCTTCAGGTTCGAGTATCAGTATTGAGGGTGTCTCAGTAGTTTGGAACAACTTACCCATAGCTGTTTCACCACATCCCAAGATTAGGACGTTACGGCCTGCCACCTGGGAGCGATCCTTGTAAAGCGATGAATGGAAAACATCCCCCTTGATGTGTTCAATCCCCGGGATAGTCGGGACATTAGGCTCGACATGTAGCCCTGTGCAAACTGCAATGTGAGAACAGTCGTAAAATCTTTCCTTCTTCTCCTCTGCATCTGTCCCATTCAAATATCTGACTCGATGTTTCCACTCTGAGCCATCTGGTAGACGCTCCACCTGGATGACGGGGCTGTTAAGCTTAATATGGGCGTCCAGATTGAACTTGGCAACATAAGACCGGAGATAATCCACATATTCTGGAAGCGAAATATGGTCTGGACTATCCAGCGGCAAGCGGTGGTCCGAGAAGGTGGTCAACTGCTTACTGCTGACCAGTTCTGCATTCTGATAAGACCGATAATTGAACGTGCCACCAATATCCGCCTCGCTGGAACCATTCATTAATACTAGGTGGCTTATATTCTGGGTAGATGGATGGATACATACGCTTCAAATAGGCAAGCTTCGATCCGCTGTTCTGGTGTCGAGGACTCGAGCAAAGTCTTGAGAGCGACTAGGCCACCGGGGCTGTAGGAACGTTAGAGTCGACACTGGAAAGTGAAAGAGGAGCAGCTTACCCTGCGCCAATGATTGCCACTTTAATTGACATTTGATGCTGTTTTCCTGTGAAGCTTGCGATCGTGACAGATAAGAAGTCGTGGTGTAAAGCCGACTGCAATCTGGAAGGTGAAGTGCTCAGGCACTGGCCGGTTTTCCCGCATGAGCGCCATGACGTATCGGGAAGAACGATCGATCACATGGTAGTTATGCTTATTCTGATCGACTGGATAGAGAAGACAAAATTGGAGGAAGTTTCTACTTATCTCTTGACGCCTGTTTACCTTTTATTGGGCAGTATTCTTTGATCTGATATTGCCAAGAAAGTAGGAAGTGCTTTGGTGCTCGTTATATATCCACCCCGCCCGTAGGGGCACTCTACTATATACAACCAGCATTGAAACCACCTACTTAGAAACATGACAACCTTAGCCAGAACAGTTACTAAGTACAAAGTATATAGATAGGCACTGATTTGATAAGATTGAGCCTTATAGATTGCTACCACTCAAGCCGTCAAGACATAGATCCAGACGTTCTTGAAGATGGGGCAAGTATCTGTCCAATCACATTCGCTATATTGTCAGACCTTTTGTAGGTGATTGAAGATGAGTTGCTGTTGCAGCCACATCATTGGGATTGCAGCTTAATCAAAATAATGCAAACAAATAGCTAGGCCTCTAATTTCTCATTCCGACCAGAAATACAAAGAAAAGAGGCCGTCATCACCAGCGCAGACGAGAACTATCACTGGCATCCGAAACGGGATTAGCGCCAGAGTCCCGTGTTCCCGAATTGCAGGACACTGCGAAAGACCATCCAACTGCTCCTCACAACGCCAATCGGCAACCACTCCCCTCCAACCGGTCTCGCGATTCACAGAGGCCATGCAGAAGTGCCGGTCTATCAACCCTGCCCTGGGGTCGCGGGCCTTTGCCCCTGCCCCACGGGTCCAGGTCCAGTCCCAGCGCCGCAACCTCCAGGATGTCGCCATTACTCGCACCGGCAGGCCCGTTCTGAAGGTCCAGGGTGGCCGGTAAGCATTCAATTGCGCTGATTCTGGGTCTTTCTAGCTGCTAACGTCTTTGCGCCTTATAGCTCTTCCCTCGGAGGTACCGCTCAGCCCTTGACAACTCGATCCGATCCCACCCTGCGATATATGCTCACCATTCATGTCTAGGACACACTGCAACCGTCTTCGGTGCCACCGGTTTCCTGGGTCGTTACATTGTCAACAAGCTCGGTAGGTCGAGGGGTTTCGCCTGAGGATATGGGCTGAGAGGAATTGGAGACTGACATCCCGCAGCTACCCAGGGATGCAATGTCGTGATCCCCTACCGCGAGGAAATGACCAAGCGTCACTTGAAGGTCACTGGTGATCTCGGCCGTGTTACTTTCATTGTATGGAATCCACTGGAGCGAGAAATTGAGCTGAAGACGCAGATTGTCTGACTCGCCCATAGGAATACGACCTCCGCAACACCCAGTCCATCGAGGAGAGCGTCCGTCACTCCGATGTCGTTTACAACCTCACTGGTCGCCAATACCCCACCAAGTGAGTGCCCTGTCAATATTTGGGAATCTGGAATAGTCAATTGACGGTAATTCAGGAACTTCTCCTACGCCGACGTGCACGTTGACGGTGCTGAGCGCATCGCCGAGGCTGTTGCCAAGTACGACGTGGACCGCTTCATCCACGTTTCCTCCTACAATGCCAGCCGGGACTCTCCCTCTGAGTTCTTTGCCACCAAGGTTGGTTGATTGCGGGTATTTGCTTCATATATATGAAGATACTAACACAGCTATAGGCCTGGGGTGAGGAGGTCGTTCGCTCCATCTACCCCGAGACCACCATCGTCCGCCCTGCCCCGATGTTCGGTTTCGAGGACAACCTCCTTCACAAGCTCGCTGGCGTGTCCAACCTGTTCACTGCCAACCACATGCAGGAGCGCTACTGGCCAGTCCACGTAAGTCGCGTGACTCAACTTGTGTCGACAAGCATTGACTAATCCACTCTTTCAAGGCCATTGACGTCGGTGCCGCCCTCGAGAAGATGCTGCACGACGACAGCACCGTTGGTCAGACCTTCGAGCTCTACGGTCCCAAGAACTACTCCACCGCCGAGATTGCCGAGCTCGTGGACCGTGAAATCATCAAGAAGCGTAGCCACATCAACGTGCCCAAGGCTCTCCTCAAGCCCTTCGCCTACTATCTCAACAAGTACCTGTGGTGGCACACCATGTCCGCCGACGAGGTCGAGCGCGAGTTCATCGATCAAGTGATCGACCCCGAGGCCAAGACCTTCAAGGATCTGGGCATGAACGAGGTTACCGACCTGGCGGACCTGACCTTCCACTACTTGCAGGGATACCGTAGTGCCTCGTACTACGATCTTCCCCCGGCGACGGAGCGTGAGCGCCGTGAGGAGAAGAAGTACCTGCATGTGCTGGACGACCAGTAGTTGTGTTTTTAATGTGTACATAAAGCTGCTTCCTAGACGCGAATCTTATTTCCTTGTGTTGTCTGGATTCGATCAAAATCAATCTCGTTTGTCAATTTTATTTCTTATCAATCGAATTCGGTACAATTATCCACGGTCAGATAGAGTAATTGTTAACATATAATGAGTACATAGAGTATGTACTAATATCCCTGCATAAGCTCCAAGTGGATGCAAGCTCCGCCCCGCAATCGGATAACATTATCTCAAACCTCCCCTCCTCCATCTCAACTACATACCACCACCAACATCCACACCCAAAATGCCCTCACACACACCAATCCTCCTCCTCAAAACAAAATCCACTCCCCACGATGGCTACGACGATTTCTTCTCCACAAACGGTTACACACCATCCTTCATCCCCGTCCTCGAACACCGCTTCCACACCGAGAACCTAGCTTCCGTGCGCGAACTCTTCGCATCCGGCGCTTTCAACACAGACCCTGCCACCCCTACAGCTATCCATACAGCTAAGCAGCCCAATGGGAGTGACAAGAAGTATGGCGGTATGATATTTACCAGTCAACGCGCGGTGGAGGCTTTTGCGGAGATGATTGAAAAGAATGGTCGTATGTGGTCACCCTCCAGCGTACCCCAGCTCTAATGTTATAGCTATAGCTATTCCCAATTGGGATTTGAGACACAGCTAATAAATATCCAGTCCCATTCACACCCTCACCAAATCATCCCCCCCCCTCTACACCGTCGGCCCAGCCACAGCCCGCGCCCTGACAACCCTCCGCGACAAATACCTCCCCACAGCTACCATCCACGGCGCAGATACCGGTAATGGACAGAATCTGGCTTACTTGATACTGGAGCATTACAATGGGCTCTTCCCCGAGCTATCATCTCCCAGCAGCACTGGTATAAAACCATCCCTCCTCTTCCTCGTCGGCGAACAGCGCCGAGATATCATCCCGAAAACACTCATGGATCCGTCTAAACCGGAGACCGAACGGATCACAGTTGATGAGATTGTCGTTTATGAAACGGGGGAAATGGATTCGTTTGAGGTTGATTTCCGGGATGCGGTTAGCAGGGAGATAAACAGCAATAAGGAGACGGAGGGGAAGGGCCCGATTTGGGTGGTTGTTTTCTCGCCGACGGGGTGTGAGGGGATGCTTAGGGTTCTTGGGATGGGACCGTTTGCTGGGAAGGGTGGGGAGGGTCTGGAGGGGAGGCGAGCGGATGTTTTTATCACGACTATTGGACCTACGACAAGGGACTTTTTGAGAGAGAAGTTTGGGTTTGAGGCGGATGTTTGTGCGGAGAGGCCGAGTGCGGAGGGGATTGAGGAGGGGATTCGGAGGTTTATGGATGCGCGGAGGTGAATGATATTTATAGCATAGAGATGTCTGCTTTTGTACATATATTACTAGAATTGTATATACCGGAGGATACGGGTTCAGTGTATTTCTACATACTACAATGTCTCGTCGTTTCAACGTTGATTGGATTTTTAACATTGACAGATCACCTCGTAGATGGCTATTTCCAGAATTTGTTGTTATCTAACCACGGCAAAGTCGCGTCCAGGCTGACAGTTGATCGAATGATTGCATGCTCCAGAAAGAAAGAGAAAAATAAAAACATTGCTATGATCCCTCGCGCAGTGGCTCTTACCGCATGATCTCCTCGTAGATCAACACTAGATGAAGACGTCTCAGTTAGTACATTACATCCATCTAGCCACATCTCAAAGGCAGAGAGAGCCTGCCACCGGACCAAAGTTCAACTCACACTTCAATTGCTCCTTGCTCAGCGTATCCTTGTTCTTGTCGAAATCAAAGAAGCCCTCCGGAATTGGCGGCGCCGTGGGCTCATCTTCCGGGTCGTGGTATGGTTCGAGGTACGGGTGGCGCAGGGCGTCCTCGACGGAGATGCGCTTGGCGGGGTTGAAAGCCAGCAGCTTCTCGAGCAGGTCCAAGGCCTGATCGTTGCTCTTGGGGAAGAGGGCGCGGAAGGGAATCTTCTTCTTAAAGGGGAGGGAGCGGATGTACTCGCGTGCTCGTCGGGACTTGATACCGTAGTAGTCTTCCATTGTCGGCGTGCCGAGGACGTCCAGGATGAGGGTGAGCTGGTGGTGGTCTAGATATGAAGTTTTAGTGGATTGGCAAGGCATATAGAACGAAAGGCTTAGAACAGCCATTTGAATCCGTCACATACAATCCTTTCCAGGGAAGAGCGGCTTGCCGCTCAGCATCTCGGCCAATATGCAGCCCACACTCCACACATCAATGGCCTTGGTGTATTCCTTGAATGTCAACATAATCTCCGGAGCACGGTACCAGCGAGTAGCCACATATTCCGTCATGAAGCCGGAGTTGTCGTCGGTAGAGGCGGCGGAGCGGGCCAGACCGAAATCACAAACTTTCAGATCGCAGTTGGCGTTGAGCAGGAGATTGGAGGGCTTCAGATCACGGTGCAGCACGTTAGCGGAATGCATAGCCTTCAGCGCGCGCAGCGTCTGGTAGATAAAGTATTGACAGTGATCGTCTGACAGATCTTGCGTACGGATGACACGGTGCATGTCGGTTTCCATCAGCTCCTGCAGGTAAAGAGTCAGTATGTTCGAAGTGATATATTCCAATTTCTCTTCATACCTGAATCAAGTACACCTCGTTGAAGCCCTCGTAGTTACGGGGCCGTTGGATATCCAAAATGGAGATGATGTTCTCATGGTTAAAGTAGCGCAGCAGCTTCATCTCGCGCAGTGTCCGAAGGCAGAACATGGAGTGGTCGAAGGGGGTAATCTTTTTGATGGCAACCTTCTGGCCGGAAGGCTTGTGAATGGCGGAGCTGCATTATCATAAGCCTCGCTGTCACTGTACATGATGCCAAGTTTCTGGTAAGAAAAGTGCTTACCAGACGACACCGTATGCGCCCTCGCCGATTACATCCTGAATCTCATATTGATCGGACACGTTGAAGGAGATCTTGCGGGATCCTCCCTGTGCGGGGTTTTGTTGAACCATGCTGTCGGTTCTGTGGGACTGAGGTCTATGGTCAGCTCCGGTGGTCGGGCCAAAAGCCCAGGATAGGGCACGAGAGAACGGGAAGCATTCCATGATGCGGGGGAGGAGGATAACAAAGGTGAATCCCAGAAAGCCTTGTCAAGCTCAACTGGGGACAGATCCATGCACCTCGATCGCAGGGAGCTGCGATGAAATTGGGAATCCACGATTCACAAGTAAAAATGACCACGAGTATCCAAGTTTTGGGAGGACAAACGGCGCATCCACGGGGAAAACGCAAGACTAAGGTAAAGACGAGCTTACATTCGTTTGCGCGCTGGGTATGAATGCGAGTCCTTTTCAGTATTGATCTCTGTCCTAGTCGTCTATGACCGTTTGCAACAATCGGGGTGTGTCGCGAGTATGAGAGGAAGAGGGAGGTTGACGAGCTCGACGGTGCGATCAGGGGGAGGAAGAGGAGGAGGGAGGAAATCTGCGGCGAGTAGAACGAGCGACCGCGCTCTGAGGGGGTGTATCGGGAGAGAAGAACACCGTCAGGGGGGTGAGCAGGTCTCGGGAAGCTGAGAGGGAGTGGTGTCTTGGTTAGTGAGCTGTTGATGGTAAAGGTGAAGGAGGGAAGATGAAGCCGTGCCGAGGCGGGGTTTGAGTTTGGCGATCGCCAGCAAACAATAGCAGTAAATAGGAATGGGTGTCGGCCAGGACTGTAGAAGCATGGATGAGGATTATAATAGCATACCTGAGTTGTTTGATTCTCGCTTTCTCTGTTTTCTCGGTCTCAGGCTTTCAGTCTGCAAGTTTGGAAGATGGAAGGTGTTAGGTGGGGAGAGGAGAGGAATCAGCGGGACTCAGCCACGGGCCGCCGTGTCGGGCGTGGTGGGGCAGAAGACGAGAGCAGGGGGGAATTAATTGGGAATAATGAAGGGGAAGAAACTATATGAAATGAATTTGAAATGAATAGCTGGACTGGAAATCAGAGGAGAAAACTGGGAGTTCTGGTTTTAGTTATAGAATCCGGAATAGGAGGATACGAAGAGGATATAGAGACGAGTCTATTCGGGGACGACTGGTTCCTTTATGATTAAGAAAAGGCTGGGTAACTATTCTTACTACGATTGCGATTGGTATATAGGCCAATGATCTTATGTGACTGTGATAATTCTATAGGAATCTTGACGGTCCTATGGTCTATGGAGTATGATGTACGAGGATGATCGTCTTGGATCTATCCAGTCCGAGGCTTCTAGGCCTGGACATCTTATCCTAGAATCCTTTTGAATAACGATACCCTTGGTTTATACCTCATTTTAAAGAATCTGATCCCCTGAGAAAATCCTCCATTTCACGTTTATCTGGTAACTGAACCTTGGCTCTGACCGGGGCCATTTCTCCACTCCAGAAACTATCGCCATACGGAGAACACCACCAAGTACCATAGTTAAACAACTATAGTTAACTATGGTCAACTATAGTCACAGAACCTTTTCAACTCGTCCTAGCAACTCATTCCAAAACAGAGTTCCCGCCACCAGCGCCAAATGGACTCACCCTCCTCTCTCGAGCCAGACTGCACCCGCGCTACTGTCGGAGCTGGTCACAATCACAGTGACTCGCCGTCTCCACCTACCGCTCAACTGGCCTCGTGATTGGAGTACGACTCCTCCTACGGGTTTCACCACCACCAAGCCGGTGTCTGATGCTTTTTGATTGGAGTGATGATCAAACCGGAGAGGAGGAGGGAGTTTAAAATAACAGAATTACAGTTGCTTAGTGGAAGAGAGAGATACGAGTAGAAACACGGGTAGAAGAGTGTGATTACGGAGTATGGACACAGTACTAGTAGTACCTCCGGTATGTATTACTTCATAGTAGACTCAACTGGTACAACCCCCCGGGACTAGTGAAACTAACGAGCTGCGACAAAATTGCCGCTAATGCCACTAATGAAACTATTGAGGCTGAGGCGCAACGTGGGAGACAAAAATAACATAACCACATCGATTTTCGGAGAACTACTTCGTGGCCGTAGATGGTCTTGCGGGCTTCTAGGCGCCCTATAAGGAGAACACTTGGAAAAGAGAAAATACAACAGAAAAGAAAAAGAAAACACAACCTGGTCTACTTTCCAAAATAGGGAGAGGATGCCCGCAGAGAGAAATCCGAGCCCTTCATCCGTAATGGTACAGGCGGGAGATCGAGCAAGAGGACGAGAGAGAAAACGTGGGGGAATTTCATGAAAATTTGAGTATTTGAGGAGATGATGGGGGTAAAGGAGGAGTTAAGGACAAGGGGGGAGAGAGACGAGCAGATACAACAAAAAAGGAAGAGCATGTTACTGCACAACCTGGTAGAGCAAAGCAGTCAGTCGGTGAGAAATGACTTTTTGAGAGGATCGGAAGAGGAAACTGTCAAAAGGTCATCAGCATACCTTCTCCCGCAGCGTCGTCATCCATTGATCCAGGCTGACGCTCTGGTCCGCGCGGTCCTCCACCAACATCGTCTGGGCCCAAAGACGGAGACCGGGCTCGCCATCCTCGCGCACCACATACAGGTGAGGCACGATCATACTGCCCACACCCTTCGAGTGGTGGTCCCGACTCTTCTCAATCACCGCCCGCACTCGCTGGTTGAACTCGTTATCCACCTCGGGCAAAGTCGTCTTGCCCACCCGCAATTGGTTCCGGTCTGCCACACCGAACACATCCTCAATCAACTGGGGAACGGCGTCGCGACCGACCCACAGGAACTGCGTCTGGCCATCGTCGATCAGGTATAGACCGTATGAGGCAATACGGCCTGAAGACAGATTGACGGTGGGTGGGAGAAGAATCTCTCCCGTCTGCTCGTCAGGCACACCTGCATTGTCGGGCATGTCGTGGAGAGAGTACATCTTAGGGTAGATGTATTGAATAAGGAGAGGTAGAGGCAGAGTCGACAGAAGGCAAAGGGCAGCAGATCGCATATCAGTCGGGATCTGAGCGGACTTGCGAAGACCAAGCTATATAGAATCAAATTAGTAACCTAGAAAACATATGACTAGGACATATGGGATTGCATGACTTACGTTCTTGATCAAAGCAAGGAAGAGGACGGGCAGACCGCGCAGGTTGGCCGGGAACTGGAGGCCACTGCCGCTGACGCTGCCACCGGCAAGCTCCTTGCGGTAAGTCGACAGCAACTCAATGATCTTCGTCTGGAGAGCCTCACGAGCGGGCTCTAGACCGCTGCTCAGGGCACGCTCAACGGCCTTGTGGCTGAAGAAGGTGGCCACAGCCTGTTGGTCAGCCGAAGCATAGACGTCGGCCAGGTTCGTGGTAGTAGGCAGAGCAACGGTGATGACCCGGATACGGCGCTCACCGTTGCAGGTGGTGTGAAGAACGGCGGCCTGCAAGCAAACGACCGGCTTGGCCACGGTCTCGTCGATAGCAACCTCGACAACGTAGGCCTGGTCACGGGGGAAGGCGGGGAACGCGCAGAGATCGGAGCTGCGGTTGAAGAAGTTACCGTAGAAGGTGCTCATGCGCAGGCCAGTGGTGGCACGCACTCGGAGCACAGCCTCCAGACCGATCTCGGAGGAGAGATACTCGGAGAACTCACGGGCAAACTTCATGGCATCCTCAGACCGAGCGGCGTTCCAGCCAGGGTAGAAGTAGGTCTGACCACCTGTGTACCGGGGCAAGCAGCTAAGAGAGGCAACATCCTGGTATTGGGACGAGAAGAGGAACATATCGACGGACACCTGAGCCTTGGAGCATTCCACCGCAAAGCTCTTATAGAAGGAGTTGGCGGTCTGCAAAAGCGCAGACTCCTTGCTCGTACCCAGCACCTTCTTATCTTCACGCATCGTGAGAGCACCGTGACCGATGTTGGGCAAGGATGCGCTTAGCACAGTCATCTTACCTCCAACGGGCGAGATAAGCTTATAACCAGCACGCAGAGCAGAACCCATGGCGCAGCTGTTGTTCTGGGTGTCCTGGAACATCGTCTGCAGCTTATCCAGGAAGGTTTCGATGTTCTCCCGGCATTCGCTCAGAGTCACCAGAAGGTCGCCGGGAATTGGAAGGAAGGGCTCATCGAGGTCGCTAATGACCAACATGCGAGGGTCCGAGCTGGCTGAGCCATCGCGGGGAATGCTGAAGTAGTGCAGGCTAGAGTCCACGGCGACGAAGCCAAGACGGGTCCGTCGGTCCGCGTTGGGAATCCGGTCGAGGCTCTCCTTAATGCAGCGAGCGATAACAGCCAAAAGACCGCTAGTAACCGAAGCATAGCTGACATCGATCAAGAAGAGGTAAACCAGCGGTTGCGGAGGTCGGACCATGTATTCTTGAGGAGCAATGAACTCGACCATACTGTGGTTCAGATCAGCACGGAGCGCGCGGTCAGCAGGCCTCTGGTGTGTGGAATCCCAATCGAAAGCCTGAGGAACATCGTTGGTGAGGTTACACATGTTGCAACGCCAGCGGTGGCCATGATCGAGGAAGGTAACGAAGGGATTGATATAGGAACGGCAGCGTCTGCATCGTGAAATGACCTGGTCCGGAATGACAGGAATGGGGTCCTCGGCGTCGTGGAGGGCGGCATAAGGCTGAATGATGAGAGCAAATGGCAACTTGGACTTCTTGAGGAGTGAATTATTCGTAGGGACTGCGTTCAAGGTGGACCGCATATATTTGGGAGGGCAATTGGCGGTGGCAGACTCGAAAACGCTGGTCTGCAGGGCAGTCAGTCATCTTGGGCGACCCTCGCACGGCGAAAGATTGCATAGAGCAAGGGAGCTTCTGAACGTACCTGGGGAGGCAGAATGATGGGAGGAGGGGGTAGTCCAACTCTGCGACATTAAAGGGTTGGGAGATGAGGTCCGTCGGGTAGAGCTGGTTGAGTTGGACATTGCGTTGGGGCTGCACCGCGGCCTGTGGCTGCGGCGGGGGCATGTGGTGTGGTTCGCTCATACCCATTCCACCGAATTGCTGGGTCATTTGCGTAACACCGTCCGAGGGAGCAGCGTAGCCTGCGGCGGCGGGCTGCATCTGAGCCGGGTCGGCGCCGTAGGTCGGCTGTTGATATCCCGCAGCTTGCGCCTGCTGGGGATAGGCACCGAAGGCGCCCCCAGCGGTGGGTTGACCTCCCAGCGCGGCATTGGCACCCGAACCAAACTCAAAGGCTTCGCCAGCGTATGCTCTCTTCTTCTTGGCTGCGGCGCCAGTGGGCGGCGCTCCCTGCGGGGGGACGGCGGACTGTTGCTGTTGTGTGGGATCCGTGGAGCCATATCCGGGCTGAGCGTACCCTTCCTGGGGAGGGTAACCCCCTTGTGGAGCTGCCATTAAGATGTGCTAGCGGTCGAAATGTGCGAAAGTGAGGTCCTTTACGGGATTGGGGAGTCGGGATGAGCGACGAATTTCGGAGGGAGGGTGGTTGTGGTTGATATGGGGTCGCGGGTGACAGCTTTCGCTAGAACCCCACAATCAGCTTTACCGTCGACCAGATTAGGGTCAATATAGGACCGGCGAAGACAGATAAATCGTCCGAAGAACAGCAGACAAGCACAGAGAGGGGGTTAGATCATACCAGAGACACAGGGACGGAGGGGAAGAGGGAAGCAAAGGAGGCGGTGATGGCGAAGGTGGCCTTTAGGTTGTGGCGGGCCAGCCAATCACGGGGTCGCAGGCACATGAGAGCTCGGCCAAGGACTTGAAGTATACGGCGTACAAGGAAGTGATATTCAAGGGGTAACAAAGAGGACATATTACTGTTTAACAACTTATCAAATACTACACCAGGTATAGGTATCATATGTTGTTATCATTAATTGCTATTGCTTATATATCCGCCATTGTAACCCCCTGGTAGCTGGTTTGGATACTCGATCTAACTAGCATTAGTCCATGCATCTCGGCACAGACTAGTCGATCTTGCTCAATTTCAATAGGATATACCTCAAATTGAAGCTGTTTGATCTTCTCCCCTATTGTAAATATCCTACTATTCTCATAGTCGTCTTTGTATTCTAGTACTAGCACTCATGGCAATCAGAAAGAATGTGGCCGGGTAAGGCAAGCGTGGTTGCCCGGTCAACACAACCCACCACAAGTGTTCTTCCACTGCACACGAACACCTCCACATCTTCAATCTCCAATCTTGCATCGCCGCCCGCCACAGTAGGTAGTTTTTCTCTTCTTTCTTTTTGGAGGATTTTATCGATACTTTTTCTTCTTCTTTTTACTTGCATTCCTGCGATTCATTTAGCGAGGGAATTGGAACGCCGACTCAAAAACGGAAATCTCAAAAACAACAGCACAATCGGTCAACAGCGTTGAATGTGGGTATTGTCACAATGAGTGTTCGGGTCGTCGCACGGGTACGACCACTTCTCAAGTCTGAACGAGATCTCGATGTCATTCTTCGCACGGGCGCCTCCGCTGGCGCTGCCGAGTCCAAGCCGCGCGAGTCCCTGAATGACGATCGAAAGTTGGCGGCATTGAGGGATCGGGATAATGTCGTTCGCATCCCCAACCCTAAGAATGAAGGCGAGGAGTACACCTTTCAATTCAATGCGGTCTACGACGCGGATGTGGCGCAGCAAGAGCTGTTTGACGCAGAGGGTAAGTGACCTTGTCGTGTTCGGGGTGCTTAGTGAAGGGCTTCGTGTGGCATGTCAATGATCAACGCTCACCCGCCGTCATTTAAATAGTCGCGCCCACAATCAAGCACCTGTTCAATGGATTCGATATCACTCTCTTCGCCTACGGTGTTACTGGAACCGGCAAAACACACACGATGCGTGGCGGTAAAAGTCTCGCGGACCGAGGTGTGATTCCCCGACTCCTGAGCGGCATCTACAGGCGGAGTCGAAAGATGGAAAAGGACAGTAACGGAGAGACCACCGTGCAGGTATCTCTTAGCTACTACGAGATCTACAATGACAAGGTGTATGATTTGTTTGAGCCTCCCGAGAAGCGCACGTTGGCAGGGCTTCCTCTTCGGGACAATGGGGGCAAGACGGTGGTCTGTGGGCTGACTGAGAAGCCTTGTACGAGTTTGAAGGAGTTTGAGGGTCTTTATGACCAGGCAAACACCAATCGCTCAACATCGGCGACAAAGGTTAGTCAAAGAACCCCAGTTTCATGCGCTCCCGCCGCTGACCATCCTGTCGCTAGTTGAATGCCCATTCATCTCGCTCTCACGCAATCCTAGGAGTAAAGGTTACCGTCACAACCCCGGAGAAGACTCGAGTCAGCACTGCTTCTGCAATTGATCTAGCAGGTTCGGAAGATAACCGACGAACGGAGAATGACAAGGAGCGGATGGTGGAATCGGCGAGCATCAACAAGAGTCTGTTTGTGCTGGCGCAATGTGTCGAGGCCATCACCAAGAAGCAACACCGTATCCCTTATCGCGAGTCCAAGATGACACGGATTTTGTCATTGGGACAAAACAACGGCCTCACTGTCATGATTCTCAACCTTGCCCCCGTCCGATCATACCACCTAGACACGATCAGCTCCCTGAATGTTGCCAACCGTACCAGGAAAATTGAGGTACGAGAAGTTGAGAACGACCCGATCTTCAAAGGCCCAGCCAGACCCGCCGTTCGGCCGTCCTTGGCTGCAACTCGGAGGCCGCTGCAGCCCCTCACAGCTTCAGTGCATGTCAACATGCCTGCTTCTGTCGTCAAAGACCCGGCCAAGAAGGATGAAGAGAAGCCCCTCAAGGCTTTCAGTGTCTACTCCGATCGAACCCAGCCCAAGGCTGTGACTCAGATCCGAAAGGCCGAGGTTCCAAAGAAGATGTCTCTCTCAGAGGCGCATCCCATTCGAACGTTGAAACCACCCCGTCCGAGCATCGCCCCACCACAGATGAACTATGGTGATATCTGTGCGGCCAAGATCGAAGAAATGGTCGAGAAAAAGGTTGAGGAGATTTTGGCTGTGCGGGCCGTGAGCGAACAGTCAAGGCAAACTCAGGTTCGTGAGCTGAACGAGCAGCTTCAGCGTCGGTTGGAACAGCTCGAACAGCGAATTGAAGGCACGGAGGATGCTCGTGCCGAGGGTCTCTCCTATCTGCTCATGGCCAAACAGCACCAGGCGCGTGGCGAGAACAGCTCCGCATTGAGGATGTACCAGTTGGCTCTTCCGCATTTTCCGCACAATCAGAAGCTCGCATCTAAGATTGCCGCTCTGAAGGAGCGCCTCCATGGCAAGTCCCAGGCCCGCCAGTCTGTTGCCCATGTATCGCCTCCCAAGGGCAGATTCGGAAGCATGCTGTCTCTCAAGAAGGAGCCGACTCTTACACTAGGCAAGCGTCAGGTGGATGATCTTGATAGGGACTATATGGGTGAAGCTGGTGGTGATGGATTCTCCAGCGACGAGGACAGTATTCTCCCAAAGTCAAAGAAGCGCGCCACATCCAAGGCTCTCCATCGTGATCTGAGTGCACTGGATGAATATGATGATCCTGCCGTCTCCCCACGGACCATCCACCTCCTCTCCATCATCAACTCGCGTGATGTGAGCCAAATCAAGTTGCTCAAGGGTGTTGGTGCCAAGAAGGCCGAAGCTATCGTCGACTGTCTCTGTGAGATGGACCAAGCGGCGGGCACCACTGACGAAATTGTCTCCGACCAACCACAGTTCCAAGTGAGCAGTTTGGCCGAGCTAAGTACGTTGAAGGGAGTGGGCGTTCGCACCGTTGAGAACATGCGGAACGGAGTTTTGGTTTGATTTTGCATTTCCCCTTTTTCATGTCATGGGCATTGATTTGGGCATTTTGTTGGATGGTTTTCATGCATCTTCCTTCAGCGACGGTGCTGGGGCGTTTTTGGTTTAGCTTTTGCAGATCCGGGGATGTCCTGAATTAGAACAATGAAGTCTTTCCATTGAGAATGTATCTCCATACCCGAGAGCCTCTATAGGTATGCCGAGTATCTAAAGACTCTGATCTATGGTGACGAGGTTTAATCTTGACATCGGTGAGCCCCCCTGCGCCGCCTTCAATGAATAATCTTTCACGAAGAAGCAGGCAATCGTACTCGTTACATGGCTCAGGAGAACAAATCTCAAATCTAAGCTACTGATTACAAGGTTTATGCTCTCACAAAATCGGAATAAGCTGGGATTCTAGATATCCTCTGAAATCTTCATATTTGTTGTCCGTGGCAGCCCACCGAATCATTATTTGATAATGTGATGCATCCGTCTATCAATGCTCAATTAAACTGTTTTAAAATGCACCCCGTGAAGACTACAGAGTCCAGAGACCCTGACCTTATCAATCAACTATCATCAGCTTTGCAAAAGCATTATACCTTGCCAAGCTTTACGCCGCCAACAACAATCCTCGCGACGACAAACAGCGTCGCACCCGCAAGCATGACCACACCACAGAAGATTTGCAGACTCGTGTACGAGCCGGTCAAAACATCAGGGACCAGGGCACCGCCAATCGGGGTACCGGTGAGAGCGGCGAAGGAAATAATCGAGAAGCAGGTACCGTTGCGGACACCGACCTCGCGCAGATCAGAGATTTGAGCAATAAGGGCTGGAGCGAGGGACACGAAGGCGCCAGAGCCGAAGCCGTACATTGCGCTGAAGACGATGGCGGGGGCGTTGCTACGTGATGGGAGCCAGAGGGCTAGGACGAGGATGCCGGAGAGATAACTGAAGAAGATCATCACGTTGTATCGACCGACGCGGTCTGCCATGTACCCTGGGAGTGTACGGCCGAAGATACTGCATTGAAGTATTAATATCCGAGGTACTGGCACTGATAGCAGGACAAGATTGGATCTTACCTAGCCGCATTCAGGATCGGAATGAGATACTGCGACAAGTGCTCCGACATGCCATATCGCTGTGCCTGAGTAATAACAAACGTAAAAGGCAAGAACATACCCCAGAAGAAACAAAAGCACGCAGCAACCGTGACAACGAATTTCACATCCTTCAGCGGACGAACGAAATTCATAATATCAAACGGCTTCTTGGTATGCTTCAGCCTCGACTTGAGAGTGACATTGGAAACGCCCAGCATAGCCAGAATCAAGAACGCGCAAATCCGCATTGCCCAAGGGAACCCAACCTTGGGAATCAGATTCGACACCATGATGGGGAAGATCACTCCTCCCAGACTGGATCCGGAGGCTGTGACACCCAGTGCGAAGGCGCGACGTTTGGCGAACCAAGTGCTGACCGAGTTTACGCTGGCGTTGAATACGGCGCTTGCACCGAGTGGACTGCAAATTCCTTGCGCGAGGATGAATTGGTAGTACTCGGTTGAGAGGGAGGCCATCATGAGGCCGAAGACGTGGAGGAATGTGCCGCCTAAGAGGATATATCGGGGGCCATAATTGTCGAAGAGGGTACCGAAAACGGGGCCCTGTAGATATTGATGTTAGTATTGACTTCGATACTCGACTGGTATTGATTAGGGGGTACCTACAGCGAAGAACATGACGAATGTCTCCAATGATGTGATCCATGTCACGGTACTGGTGGACATATCACTAAGTTGATGACTTTCGTAGTACGTTTGGAAGACACCGATACCTAGACAAAGTCAGCGTTACGTCGATATGGCCAGGAACCTGACACACATACAGTTGATCCAGCCAAAACTGACGAACAGTCCGCAAAAGGCTCCTAGCACGGACATCCATGCTTCAGCTCCTCCATCCGGTGGAGGGCCAGGGCCTGGGGGACCAGCGGGAGCTGGAGTGACGCCCTCGCTATTTTCTGATAGAGGCTCTCCATTGACAACATGTTTCTCTGTCTCGACGGGGTCGGCTGTACGAATACCCTTCTCAAGGTCATCGTTAACTTGCTCGCTCATGGCTGGCGTTGAATTATCTGACGGCGCGGTGTTTGTGGTAGCACTGTCGATGGAGGGAGCCACATGCTCATTATTTGCACCCATTTTCCAAAGTCTGCTGTCTTTCGCAGACAGTCGAGTATTCACTCTCCTCGTTCGATGGTTCCGAGTCTTTGTCGGCTCCTATGTCATGCGACTGGGTTCAAGAGTAGTCTGTACGACAACGCATGTGTTAGAAGCTTGTACACAAGACATATTGCACAGACTAAAGATAGTTCAAGAGCACATTGACTGCCAGGGGTATTTGAACAGAAGGCATAATGGTAGCAACATTATATGCGATTTCATTTGACCGCAATGTCTGTTTCGAATCCATGATGCAAGGTGATGCCATACGACTTACTTCGATAGCTGATAGTCCTCAATGCAAGACAAGAAACTTTAAACCAGCTTTGGGTTCTGAGCCTCGGCCCGAAATATGATTTGTGATCGTGAATAGACCGGATTTAAAGGTGCTCGTCAGTAGGCTGGGTATTCGAAGGACCGGCAGAGCTGTTCTGGTGAGGATGTCGACGTCGTTGCCCTACGGCAGGAGCAAGTGAATTATATACAAGAATACGAAGAAGCTAAAACGAAAATGGCCCGCGACTGCAAGAAATAATGAAGAGATCCAATACGAGAAATCCCCGGTCGGACTCGGTCGCGCCTTCGGCCATCGCGCCAGGCTAAACTCCGAGTGCGATCCCATGGGCCCCATATTGCGATTGTAGGAACGCCGCTAAACCACGAAGAGTAGGGAGTCGACAAACAGAGCTCTGCCAGGTATAGGTCCGCCCTCGGGAGGCCACCAACTCGTCTCCACTTTGGAACCTGGTTTATCATCCATACACCATCAAGTCTCCTTCTGGACTCCGACCGCTTAGCTCCGGGGGTGGGACTGGTTACTCCGTGGCCAGTCCGTGGGGCCTTTTTGTTGGACTATCGGGATGAGGGGCCGAAAGGGCGTGCTCATATATCAATCTCGTCCAGCAGTTGTAGTCTAGGAGATAATTGATTGTTCTTAGGAGTGTATGCAAATACCGATCGTATATACTTAGACAGCAATTAGCGGGAGGCAGAGATTAAGTTCAGGATTGCTATAGAATTGACTGCCGTGTAGTCTATTCGGCTAGGAGCAAGCAGCCTAGATTTGCTGTGGTTTGTCGGATATCGGGAAATTAGAATTGGCGGTTCGTCCAGCGGCGTTTGGAATGGCTGCCCCTCGATATTATGTGACCTATTGCCTGCAGCACTTCGCATGCAGTCCAACAAACTGGAAGTGTTAAACCAACCATATTGCTTCTACACCTTAGATTGAATTTGCAGTGAGACTACATTACAGTACGGACCTTCCTATAGCATGTTAGGCAAACAGCGCGACAGCTCTACGGGCAGTTATATTAGCCCGCCCTTTAAGTATCAACTTGCCTGGAGTCTTTAGGGATCCGTTCTGTTAGACACAAGGATCGAAATGGACCCGTGCAGCATCGTGGCCATCGAAGATCAAGAGACGCTTCTCACCCCCCTTCGTACAATCGTATTAGACCCAATGAGATGATCGAGCCACCGAGTAGCTAGCTCCTCAGATATCCAACCACTAAACGAAATTCTGATCATCGTCCTTTTGTGATAGCCTTCGCTTCCTTCAAAATAGCCTCTATGATATTGCCACTACTCTTGAATATGAGATTGGGATCCATTTGCTAGTCATCGGCAGCAATAAATACTAGAGGTTCTACGTTGGCCATTCCTAATGGAGGATCGCTTTCGGCGGAGCTACCAAGCTTAGGCCAGGAAGCTGCTGAGGGTTTGGTAGAGAAAGACGGCAACTATACGCGAGACTATTACATTGCAGGAAGAATTAGCTACATGACCAGGACTAGCTTGGACTTTGCAAGGGGTTTGGTTTCAGACGTTGAACATAATAGAGTGCCACTCCGATAATCAAGCTCTTCCATGGGTACTTCTATTCGCTGGATGGGTTTCCCCACCTGCAACCCCGCGCGGCAGCTAACAAAGTGTCAAGTATTCGCGAAACGAGAAACAATGAGTCGGCATGACCGTTGATCTGGATTTGAAATCATCAGCGACTCAGTTTAATCGGCTCGTCCCTGGATTTCCGTCCACATTCAGATCACATAAACTCTTGCCTAATCTTCGTTTTTGATCGGTAGATTCTTCCTGTAGTCCCAAAGCAAGACTAACAAGATTATCTGATATTCAACTATATCTGCATAATGTTCAAAATGCCATCATACGTTATTACTGGAGCCTCTAGGGGCCTTGGAGTGAGTCTGATTCCCAAGGACCGACCGCATGAAGCTCAACATTCTTGAACCAAAACAGTGGGAATTCCTTCGCCAGATATCCAGCGATTCAAACAACACCGTGATAGGACTTGTTCGTAGAAAATCAGCAACCGAGGAGAAAGTGAAGGGAGAATTGCCGGACCGTACCAACATCCACATAGTGGAGGCCGACATCACTGATTATGCTGCTCTAAAGGTGAAGATCTCAGCCATGCACGAAGATATGTTATTAATGTATCTCTACAGAATGCGGCGGTAGAGGTTGCAACGATCACTGGCGGGGGACTTGATTATCTGATCGCCAATGCTGGTGTCGTGTCCCACTTCGATGCATACGACCCGATCGGTGTTTTGTAAGTTCAGTCAGGTCGACTTACTAGTCTCTTGAAAGGGGTAGTCACTAACAGAGCGAAATTGACACCAATAGAGGACATCAGCCCGAAACCCTGGAGGAGGAATTGACTGAGTGTTTCAAAGTCAATGTCGTCAGCAACATTCACTTATTCAATCTATTTATGCCTCTAATCCTTAAGGGTGGGATCAAGAAGGTTATCGCCATCTCTAGTGGCCAGGCTTCTCTCGATATCATTCCCAAACTGGGAATTGAAGTCGCTGCCCTCTACTCCATCAGTAAGGCGGGCTTGAACACTGCCGTGGCTAAGTTTAGTGCTCAATATGCTAAAGAGGGTGTTCTTTTCATGAGTATTTGTCCCGGAATGGTTGAAACAGGCCATTTCGTCGACGGTATGTTTGAATCTCCTTGCAATTTCCTGTTTCATGAGAACTGATTCTTTTTCTTTTAGCAACGGAGGAGCAGATGCAAGGCTTGAGAGCAATGCTTGGTGCCTTTTTTGAGTATGCGCCTAACTTCAGGGGACCTGTTCCACCAGGTGCGGCTGTGAAGGATGTCATCTCGGTCATGGAAAAGGCCAGTGTGAACACTGGCGATGGTGGCTCATTTGTATCGCACTACGGCAATCAACAGTGGCTGTAGAAGTTTTTACGAGACCCGTTTCCTGCTAGTCTCATAGATCTATGTCTCCAAACCGACATTACTTAGACTTGAAATTCTATCCTTGTGCGTTTTTAGAGAACGGAGTTAGACGAAAGTAGGCAAGATAGTGCAGCAGCTCATAATAGCACTGAGCTTTTCCGTGTACTCAATCTGGCCCTGTGAGAGATCATCTTGAATCCAAACAGCCTGGATGAGTTTCTTAGTCAGGCATAGGGAGCGTGAGGAGTCCCTCTTCTCTGTCCTACTGATCAGATCCAAGACCGTACACCTGTCCGCATCGGTCCACGCCTCACAGCTCAAGATGAGTAGTGGGAATTGACGCTCACATGAAGTCATCCGAGACAATATATCAAAACCTCGTTCAATACGTTGTTCAGTTTCCGATCCGATGATGTGTCCAAATGCTCGGTTGAGGTAGACAAGCGCGGCTAATTGGAAGAGTTCCACAGTGGTCGCCATACCCGGATACTCGTTAACTATTGTATTTGAGATTGAAATGGACCGGATTCTCCATGCAAGGACCTTAAGATAGCTCTTGAAATCATCGAACTCTTTGAATGGGATCATCTGAGATGGTCTTGCGGCGACTAGGTTACAAACCTCCGCCAAGAGCTTCAGGATTGTATTAAACGGCGATTGGTTCGAGTGTGCCATCTATCCCACATCAATTAGTAACCCTGCTCCTGTCGAATACAGAACCATTTTACCAACCTCGATACGGGGTTCGTGAGTATCCACCGGCTGCAAAGGGATGTCGACTGGCTCGTCCAAGTCCATCAGTGTGCTCTCAATCGCTGGCGGATGCCAGTGCGTGAGACTGAAACGAGATAGGACATCATGATAGTATACCCAGTCTAGTAAGACATTAAAGTCACTGTCTCTTGCCAATTTTTTTCCAGAAGAGGCATTGATGACGCTTTTAACGCCTATGATATATGATCGCCATTGGCCAGAGGTGCATGACGATTGATAAATCTGGGTTGATGACCGAATAATTTTAGTTATTTGCATCGAATCTGTCAGAGTTTATTAGCAGGTGAGACATAGTGGTGCATACCTCAAATGAGCACAAGAGCATCCCTGCCGCAACATGCTGGAGCGTTTCCATGGTTTCAATTTCTCGATTTGATGCGGCGCCTAGGGCTTTCAACGCAGCAATCTTAAGCTCAGCGGCCTGTGTCTGTAGTCCAGAGCGATGCAACGAGGCTACAGCGAGCAAGGAGCGCAGCACTGCAGCGGAAGATGGGGTATTATTCACGACAGCCATGCGAATAAGCATATTGCCCACGTTTTTCGGGTCATGACCAAAGGTTGCTAGAGAGCTTGATGCGTTGGATTGGACTGCGATACTGGTCAGTTTTATGGGGGAAACCCAATGACCGACAGGATCAACTTCGCCTACAGTATTGAAATAAACAGTTTTCTGTAACGTCTAACTGAAATGGATTCCATGGCATCGGTGCTCGTAGGGTCAGCCGCTGGTGCTCTACAAGTGCATTAGTGCCCTATCATCTTGCTGGTGAAAGTCGAAGGGTATTACGATTTGACGCTATCCCTAATAGCTGGCGGTGCATATCCATGTCCCACGTGGATATGTTAACTTGGCGGGCATTGGAGAAATAGTGACCTCTTCCGCCACGTTGCAGGGATGACCCAGCCACGATGGCACGTCGCTTGTCATTGTCCTTCGGCCATGACAGTCGTACACCGTAACCTTTGCAATTACGTTTAGTACGAGAACACTGCGTGCATACTGGGATCGTCCGATCACAGAGAATCCGGCGGTCTGGAAGCATTCAACTGTTAGCAAGTTCACATGTTTCTCATAGGCTCAAGGTGTCCGACGAACTCACCCCGACACGTCCCACAGCCTCTACTCGCCATGTTGTGTCTTTTGGGGAGAACTCTAGAGCCTTGAGGGTAAAGCAGGAGTATACACGAATTTAGGCAAATCCTCGCCGCGGCTCTAAGCGTTACCGCGGTAAATATCAGGGGATAATGTTAGCGTGGTAACTACTCCCCAGAGGTTGTGACCAATATTCTGCCGGGCACCTTGTTATCAAGAATTATGTAACGTAATTTCCGCCCGAGCGGATCACCCAAAACACCATACTAAATGCGATTTTTCACAACTTCAAATTTCAACGCTTTAGGTTGATTATATGATATTCTAGTACCTCACTATTAAATATATCATACTAGATATTTTCATAAACTCAGCAAATACTCTTGAGGGGTAAAATACAGATATATATATATATATATATCTACATTGCTCGATCGGAACATATTTTTTGTACTGTAGGTCAGTAATCATTTCCCCTTTATATGAACTGTACTACATTAATTCTTATGTTAGGAGATCGTAATATACTTAGAATCAACCAAAAAGATATTCTCGTTGTTGAAATATTAAGACTTGCAAAATCGCAATTAGGGTGGTGTTTTGGGTGATCCGGATGGTAGGGTGATCGCTCGGGCCCAAAATGCGACTTGGGATAATTTCGGCCCGCATCTGGCTCCAAATGAAGAATCGAGCCCATAGAACACGGGGAGCTGGGACTAAACTTGACTGGGCTCTTGTGGAATTCCCTCCCGATCGTAAAGGGTCTAACAAGGTGTGAGCACTCGTCACTATGAATTCTTGATTGTAGCTAATTTTGGGCTACTTAGCTCAAGGATGGCAAGGCCATCTTGGGTTACTTCCACCTTATTATTCCATCGGTCATGCAACCGCTTTACGGATTCATCACTCTCGTGAATTGATGGGCAAGTATAATCAGCCAAGGGCGGCTCATATTCACGAATTGAAGGATGGGTATGGTCATCGCATAGGCATGAAGCAGACATTTGAGCATTCTATAGTGGGACGGGGCAGAAATGTGACCTAGGCTCATTCGTCTACGATATTGCCTGGCTCATGATTGGTATGGTTATCAGTCGCCAAGTAGCGTCCGGTATAACTATTTCACTCACGTTGGTGACCTGGTTGCGGATATCAAGGTGGTTACCGGAGCAAAGGATGTTCGGCTACCATTCACTGATTGATTCTCTAAAAGGAACAGTTAAAATCTGTTTTGAGATTGTAGTAAGCTCCCTATACCTCAATGTTCCCTCAGCCTCGAATTTTTCAAGTTTACTGACATCGGCAGGATTTGTCCTGCGTCCGTTAGGAGGCGCTTCTTATCTCAAGATCAAGAGTTGGCGAAATATGGAAGCACCATGTCACAAGTGGTCGTGATAAGAGCAAAACAGGCGTATTATACACTGACATAATAGCTATACCCGACACGAAGAGCTTATAAACTCACAGTTTTGTTGACCAAGGAGAGTTACATTTTCCCTGGAAATTCTTTTGCTCAGCCTTAACCTAACTTTCAAGGTTCAAAACCTCAGCACGAGACATTAAGGTGTATCATTTGATTGAATTAGATTTAAAGTAAATGTATCAGCTACAGAGTAGCTTATATGTAATCTATGTATAGAATTTCTACCGGGAGAACCCTCTCTAACCGGCCTGGGTATAAGTCGCGTTGCTAACAGACTCGGCTGGCAGCCACTGTCCAGCAATGGTGTTGTTGTACGTGAGCTGGGCGAGTGTAAAGGTGTGCAGCTCAGAAACCAAAACAGTCTTATCCAAGGGCAAGACGCGGTGCACCATAGCGTTCTGGGTGAGCATCGAGATGTACTCCTCGCCGGAGACGGCGGTGACGCCAGCATCAAAAGTCACGCGAATCAGGGCATCGGGCGAGTTGGTGCTGAGCAGCGAGGTCGACAGGAGCCACAAGGCTGGGCCGCCGGCTACGCTTGAGGCATCGGCGATGTGCAACAAGCCAGCGTTGGAGCCGAGCATCGGGTGCTTGAGCTGGAAGAACTCCATCTCGCCGGTGGATCCGATGTGGCCAAAGGTGCCGGTGCCGCCGGTGGCATTGCCGGCGAGAGTGAACCACACTCCACTCATGGGGCCGTAGGCACTGATCATTCCGACGGCGTTGTTGCCGACGCTGGGAGGGATGGGAAGCTGTGTCGTCTCGCCGGTGGTGACGTTGATGCGCATGATGGACGAGTCCGTGTCTTGGGTGACGTAGATCAAGCCGGTGGTCGGCTCCTCCTTGATAAACACGGGGCTGTTGAGGCACTGGTATAACTTTTGGTCGGTGGAGTTCGAGATATCGGCGGAGAAGACGTAGAACTGGCCCGTTTGCTTGGAAGCCACCTTGAGGCCGGCCCAGACGCGGTTGCCGATCTCGAAGACGCAATGAGGGCCGTTTCCTGGCGCTGGGATGTCGATAGTCTTGATGATGGTCGGCTCAGTAGTGAGGTTTTGGCCAGGATCCACGAGCAGCAGCTTGTTTTCGGCCTGCAGCGACAACCACATCTTGCCCGGGTACACCGTCGATGGCCAGACGCCGTGTAGTTGGGAACTACTGTTGTTTCCCATAGGGAACGATTGGAAAGCAATGGGCTCCTCGGTGGTTGCATCCAGCTCGATCTTGATGAGCTCGCTGTCGGACATCTGCGTCAGCAGCACGAAATTGGTGTTCGGCACACGCGCAAACTCATGTGTCTCAGTAGCGACTGGCATCAGATACTCAGTGAGCCTGCGGCTGACGAGCGAATTGGCAGAGTTCTGCGCCGACGCGGTGGTCGCGCCGACCGCCAGCGCGACCACGAACGACTTGAAAATATGAGACAACATATCGTCAATTCTCCGGTTGAGAGTGTGTGCTTCGGGTTTTTTACAGCTGGGCAAAGTCCCCTTTATTTAACATCCTCTCCGATCGATCTATTGTGAACGCCATACATCGGACTAGTGGTTTTTGAATACTAGCTAAGGATCGAATACAGATTCAAACGCTTGAAAATGCGAGTGTCTGCTCAGGAGAACTGTCCATAAAACCGAGACATTACCAAACAACTAAGCCTGATATAGTTGGTGTCAAAAGTGGATCCGAACCCTTTTCCGATAGGTAAAGATCTGCGAAGAATCGGCTGTTTTCCGAGAGCTGAACAGCTCAGGAGACGCTGATCAGCCTCCTTTTGAGAGTCGACCGCATATGAGGCATAAGCGAGCCCACATGGTTGAATAACAAAAAGCCCGCAAGGCTGTATCTTTTGATCCTTCGGTTCTTGAGGTGTACTCAGGTTTACAGCTTAGGCATGATTACATCATGTAGTAAGCATCAGTTCAACCTTATTCCATTCAAAGGCAGTAGTCGTACCATATCCTAATTGGCAATCAGCTCCTAGAAACCTCCAAGATTCCTTTCATGAGCTCAAATTGAATTATATCCTCGCGGATTCTAGGAAATATACCGGATCACCCTTGCTGCCGTAGTCCTAAGAGTTATACTGTTGTTTGGAAATCAACTTGTAGAGTAGAAGGTTGCAGTCGCCAAGTTAAAGCTGCTTTTTAATGAATTCAAATTTACGACTGACGAACCAGCTTTTATGTACAGACCATGCTTGAAAAGCAAACATCGGTGTCAAAATGGAGACACGAGATTGTGTAACCTGAGAACGTGGCCCACTGTTATGCAATAGACCTTCAGCTGGGCCACCGAGCTGGGCGATCCTTCACTGAAATAATGGCTTTTTGCTTTTTGGTATGAACCCATGCGCTGTCAGGCCGCAAGGCACCTGAACTCTAAAGACCCGTCTTGAATGCTCCGGAAAGGGTCAAACTAAAATAAGTAAGTAGACTATCTAGTTAAACTCCATTTGACGCTTCTTATTCCGCGTTTGACTTGTGCATCCGTTGTCAACGTGAACTTCAGGTTATCTACCTACCGGTGCAAGGCTACATCTTAGGGCTCTTTAGGCAATACGGCTAGGTCACCAATACAGTAGATGTTGAAAGTGGGGAAGATGCAGAGATAGACTGGGGCATGCACAGGACATCGAAATTATCATTGAATAACGTACTGCTCGTACCTCGATTACTAATTTCATGGAAGGCGGTTCTTACTAGTGTAATATCATCATGTGGACATCTCCCTCCGCACCTTTGAATGAAGTTCGAGACACAAAGTCAGAAGCATACTGTTCAGTTCATTGATTGAAGCTGACTAAGTGATCAAGCGTTGAGAGACTAGTCTCAATGACCATGTGTATCATGGACGATATCGCTAAAAGCCAAGTTGAGGAAGCATCCACTGCCCACACCCTATGTATCCCCGTAACTCCAGAATATCCCCATCCCACTCCAGCGAATCTGATCGTGTAATTTGAATCTCAATAGTGCAATTCAAAGTCCAAATCCGCGTCACTGGAGACGTCGACGCCCGGAAGCTGCTCAGGCATGATCTGAGCGCATCTAGTTGCCAGAAATGAAACATCTGCGATGACCAGTCTCTTCAGGGTTGGAAACAGTGTCTAAAGTATAAAGGTCAGTATAAAGAAAACCATGTGGGAAGGTAGTGAAGACAAACCTTGATGCGCCGCGCAAGCTTGTATGGAATTTCCGAGTCCCGATCAAACGAATACCAAAGATCTTGCATAAGAAGGTACAGGGTTTTAAGCGCGGGAGCCCTGAAAGGTGGAACTTCAAGCTTGTCCAGACCAGGGAAAGCGTAAATGTATGCGATTGTCGCGTTAGGAAAGGTTATATCCCTCAGCACTTTCTTCTGCTTGCCCAGCCATCTATGATGTCTTAGTCGAAGACTGAGACAGAAGATTTTCACAAAGTTTGCGTAGATCTGTCGTCGAGCAGGCGGGATTCGACTGAATGGGTTGGCATTTGGTTTTCCGGGTCTCTCCCAGAGGAGGCGCATTGCTTCTTGGAACCAGAGGTGATTGACGAGGGCGCAGCGGCGGAGAGTTGTGTTATTGGGGCATTTGCAAGGCCCATTGCAGTGGCATATCCATGGTTGGGAGCGGTGCTTTGGGTTTTCTTTGAGGGCAATCCATTCGAATATCTCGCCGAGTAGCTCGGGGATTGAGAGCACACGCTGGGGAGCGGTCATTTCGACTGTGGTACTGGAAGGCATCGTGCAACGAGGTGTTCAGGTTCGCCAATTGTGATGGATAGTTTGGTTTGAGGATGAGGTTTGTTGAGAATGTGGGAAGGCAGGATGAAGCGCTGTCTAGGGAATTGAAGTGTAAGATTGACCTGGACTAGATAGTGGTGAGAAAAGGTGATACTCGAAGACAGACAAACGCATCAAGACACTGAACCGTGATGGGAAGCAAACGAGGACGGCGGGGGTTCTCTATCAATACCGCTGGGCAGCAAATAGTTCACAGACTTCATTGCTTGAAACATTGCAGCACTGGAGACATTCGCTTTACGAGCTGTTAGAGGGTATCTCATCTGTTTCCAGCTATGAACGCCGGAGTGTGATCATAGTACACTTAGCGGATAAAAGACTGTGTATTCTAGAATTCCTCAATCTGGAGAATCTATAAGCTCACTTGCAATCACGTACAAGCTTAGCTCGCGAGGCACTGGCACTGTACTCTTGCTACGGAAAGTCTCAAAGCCATATATCAGCTACAAAGCATGTACTTCATCCACATTAGAAACAATTCAGACATATCAATCAAACCCACAGGGGTATTCTTAAGGCTATATAATATAAACAAAGAAGTAACAAGCATAAAAATGCAAGCTGGACAACATAGACAAGAGAATCGAACAATAAAAGGAATGCTATATGCTAAACAGCACAATGCAATGAGAAAGAGAAAAGAAAAGACGGAAGAGAAAGGAAGTCAAAGACATGAGGTAGACATATCCCAAAAAGTAGAGGTATCAAATCCAGAGTTCAAGAGGGAAAGAGAGAGAAAGAGAGAGACCCCAACTTTTGGCGGTGGTTTCGCCGAAACAAAATCCAAGGTCATGGGCTCCTGTCGTCGCAGAGTCAAGAGCCGAGGGTAGATAGAATGTGCGGATAAGTAGATAAGCAGGAGAAAGGAGAAACATTCCAGCGGAACGGACATGGCGACTAAGCACGCGGTCGTCAAGTGGGTCAGGGTCAGGGTCCAAGATCGATCTTCGCAGGTACATCACGCGAAGAGCGGGGATAAAACCCATAGACTGGGAGGTGTGTGTGTGTCGAGGGGAAAAACAATGAAAGGCGCTAAGATCGATCGAACCGAGAAAGAGAGAAAGATAAATTGGAACGGATAATTGCGCAAATCATGAATATTCGGTGTCACGTATCACCTCCAGCGCGACTCCTGCGACCCGCGCAGCCCGGATGGGCGCCAGCTGCCGGTGGAGTGCTTGGAGACTGTGCTGGTAGGCGAGTTGGTGCCTCCGTTGAAGACGTATTCGCCATCGACGTATTGAGCGCCCGTGGAGAAAGTGCTGCGGTGCTTGCGACGGGCGTAGCGCTGTTCGAGGCGGTACAGCTCGAGCTCTATGGAAGATGGATGTTAGAGGCTGGGATGTTGGGCAGTATCCTTCTTGTGCCATGTGCGACGTACTAGCTTGTAGCTTATCGATGAGACCCATTGTGACGGTGTGAATGTAGATGTACAAGCCGATGCGAGATTGGCGAGTGTGCTGATATCCCTCGGATCTGTGACGAGGTTCTATATACGGAGACGCGGCGACAATCGTTCCCTCATGCAGCGAGTGGAACGTAACGTGGGAGCAGTTGACAAGTGTGTATCGCCGGCAGCGGACGGAAGATTTTTGATGGTTACTATTTGAAGCTGGTCAGTCTTATCACACCTTCAACCAGCTGATCAACAGTGCAATTGGGGGTATTGCTCACCAGTATACGAGGTATACAGAGCAGTGATGACCCAGCGAGAATGCTGAAAAGGGGGATATTTTGCGGGAGGGAGGGGGTGTATATTTGCAATCGCGGAGGAGGGGGAGACACACACACGAGTTGGGGGGCGCACGAGGGGAGTGGAACTGGTGCCACAAGGAAGCCACAAGTGTCCGACGAAGGGGGTTGCAGGTCGAGGTGGGATTGGACTGGACTTGGATTGCGGACGCAAGGAATGTGAATTAGTCGTGCGAAAGCGACTAGGGGGGGAAGAGAGCGACGAAAGCGACGGGATAGTGGAAAAGACTGGAATGTGGCACTCGGAAGAGGAAAAAGAGCGTGGCTTGGAGATAAGAAGGAAGGGAAATGATGATAGAAGACTTCAACTCCGCGTCAGAAAAGGTACAGAAAGGAGAGAGTCCAAGCGTTTAAACCTAACAGGCTCATTAACTGGGTTAAGTTGGTTAGCCAGGGGACGAGACTCGAGGACTGGCCCATTAGGGGACTCCATTTGCACGCTAACAAGCCACTAGCGAATTACTGGCCCGCCTTCTAGACTCTCGTCGGTTGATTTTGACACTGGGTTAACTTATGGAATAATGGAATTGCAATTACTGTGGAAAAGGAGACCGTGCGCCCGTGTTTCATGTTGAGTTTCTCCTTTTATCGCGTGGTGTTGACAGAATGCAAGGACGGAATGCTCTACAGTATGTACGAAATAGGTACTACGTACTACGTATGTAGTAGTATGTACTCTGCATGGCGAATCTGCTTTTTTCTATCCACAATCCACATGGCTACATCCTGCTGCATCTGACTCCATCTAGAATCGATTGGATCTGCTCTATTCGAGCTTCTTCTCCGGCGTCTCGCCCTCCTTGGCGAGCGACAGTTCCTGGGCTAAGGGACATGTCAGAAATTAGGATCAGATACCGAACCCACCAGATTCTTTCTATTCGTGGAAGAGTAGTAAACTTACCGTTCCATAGCTCCGCATAAACTCCCTCCAGATCGAGTAACTCCCGGTGTGACCCCATCTCCACCACTTCTCCATCCTTGAGCACCAGGATCTGGTCGCTATCGTAGATCGTTCGGAGTCGGTGCGCAACGAACACACTCGTGCGGCTCTTTTCTTTGAGAATGCTGTTGATGTTGTGCAGCAGCGCCTGTTCGGTGTAGGTATCCAGCGCCGAGGTCTATAATCGGTTTTTTCCCGGTCGGAGTCAGCCACATTACGCATGCCTTTTAAAAACCCCTCACTTTCAACTCAGATTAAACATCAATCTTGAACTTACCGCTTCATCAAAGAATAAGAGTTGCGGGTCCTTCAGCAACAGTCGGGAAATCGCCAATCGCTGCTTCTCGCCGCCAGAGATCATCATGCCGCGCTCGCCGACGGCCGTCTCGTAGCCTTCGGGCAATCGCTCGATCAGCTGGCTGATGCGGGCGCGCTCTGCGGCCTGGCGCACCTCCTCGTCCGAGGCATCGATGCGACCGTAGCGGATGTTGTGAGCGATCGTGTCGTTGAAGAGTGGCGTGTCCTGGGGCACCACACCGATAGCCTGCCGGAGGCTGTCGAGACTCACATCGCGCACGTCCTGACCATCGATCAAGATGCGACCGGACTGGGTGTCGTAGAAGCGGAAGAGAAGACGCAGGATAGTCGACTTGCCACAACCACTGGGGCCCACGATGGCAAACTTGGAGCCAGCGGGGATCGTGAATGTCGCATTCTTCAGAATTGGACGGTCCGGGTGGTAGCCGAAGGTGACGTTCTCGAAACGAATCTCGCCGCCGCGCTTCAACTCGAGTGGCTTCGCGTTGGGCTTCTCCTGGATGGTGACATTCACCTTTTGCAGGTTGAACAGGGTCTCCATATCCAGCAGAGACTGGCGCAGTTCACGGTAGACCGAACCCAGGAAGTTGAGCGGTACGGAGAGCTGGAAGACCAGTTGGTTGACCATGACCAGGTCGCCGACTGTTAGGGTACCGGTGGCCACGCCGTCGGCTGCCAGATACATCATTGCGGCCAGCGCAGTGGAGAAGATCATGTTCTGACCAGAGTTCAGCAGGGCCAAGGAGGTGGTAACCTTGATAGACGCGTCTTCGTAGTTCTTCAACGCCTTGTCGTAGCGGGCCACTTCAAACTTCTCGTTGTTGAAGTACTTGACGGCCTCGTAGTTGATCAGCGAGTCTACAGCGACGGTAGCGCCGCGGTTGTCAGCAGCATTAGCCTGTCGACGGAACTTGGTGCGCCAGGCGGTGGTGGTAATGGTGAATGCCGTGTATGCTACCATGGTAGTAGCTGTGATGGCAGCGAATTGGAGACCATATTGGTAGGTCTGGAAGAAATCAGCAAGAACTCACATCAGAAAACATCGAGAAACTTACAAGAATACCACACACGAGCGAGATCTCGAGTGCAGTTGGCACCACATGGAAGACCATGGAGGTCAGCAAGAAGCTGATACCTTTGGTTCCACGATCAATGGCCCGAGTGAGGCCACCTGTTTGGCGAGAGAGATGGAAATTGAGATCCAGTCGGAGTAGGTGGTCAAACACATTCCGGGCTACTTTGCGAATGGCCTTTTGCGCGACACTGGCGAATACTGCATTACGCAGTTCTTGGAAGAGAGTTGCTCCGATGCGGGTTGCGCCATCTATCAAGCATGGTTAGGAGCGTCTTCCTAAGACAAAGTCAAAGTGTGCTTACAAGCTATGATCATGGAGCCTGCCACGGTGTATGCCGTTCCACCAAGAGTTGCAAAGTCAACGTTCATAGAGTCGACAATGTTCTTAAAGTAGAAAGGAACTTCTACATTGAGGATCTAGAAGCCGAAGTCGTTAGTTCATTTGTAGAGGTAATGAGAAATCAGACGAATACCCACCTTTGCACCCACAAGCAGTGAAAGTGCAGTTCCAACCCGAAGCTTGGTACCCCAGTCATCCTATGATACTCGGTCAGCACTTCCGATGCCATATCGTTCCATCTGCGAAGTAGTACCTTGGGCCACAAGTATTTGGCCATCTCTCGCATAATCGCCCAGTCTGCACTGCGCTGTTCTTTGCTTGCAATAGCCGACTCACTTAGCAAGTCTTTCTTCGGGGTATTCTTCGCCTCGCTGGCGCCCGTTTTCTGAGCAATAGCGGCATTGGCTACTTCGGCGGCGGTAGCGGTTGGTGTAGATTTGTTTCTCGCAGAGGTTGGGTCTTTGCCATCCGTGGACTGGTTTCGCCATGGGCTGCCAGAGGTGAATACTCGTAGCTGGATCTTATGCTGTTGAATGCCATTCGGGCTTGTCCACCGTGCGCGGCCGGCGAAGCTCGGATGTATGTACCGCGCCGTGCGCCAGCACGGAGATCGGGCTGCTCTGAGCAGCATGGCTGCTTGTTGAAAGGATATCTGATCGCGAGAGGTGTTTCGGTGCACTGATTGTGTTCACAGGGGCATAATGGAGCGCACGCGGGGAGAATGGCGTGCGCTCGTGTGCTTGCGATAGCTCGTGGGGAAGGCAACCTTGGGAGCCGCCGGCTTCGGAGTAAAGAGTCGGGTTGCGCGAATGGGTAGGAGGGGGAGGTCGAGGAAGCAAATGATTGCTTGGAAGAGGTGTATAAAAGGAAGAACAACGAGACCCGCCCCGACCAGATCGAGTTCTTCCTTTATTCCGCGGTGGTCTATAAGGATAATGTCGCAATCGAATGCGGGCGTGGTGTACCTCCGCCGCACCGGCCGCGAGCTTCGGCGCCATGATTTCCCGGCTTGATTTCCCTTGCGAGCTCCAAAACTGACGTAAAGTCTTTCAGCACCACGCGGTCTTCGGTCTTTCTTCAGGCACAATGAGTCCAGCCCTCCAGCGAGGTGTCCGGACTCTGTCTTGGACACGAGTTGTCCCTCGCGCTCATAGACAGGCCAGATGTATTCAGATTCGCGCGGCACCTTCGGAAGAGCCTACCGTCAACGGTGACCATCTGCCCCTCGCCGGTACGCCTAGTTCCGCCGCATCGCGAGGTATGTTGAATTGGTGGAGTTTGATAGGTCATTGCTTGGATATGGGATCAACTGACAATTCTTGTTGATAGATGCGCGCTTCGATGTCGTTGGCGCTCCATATTCACTCCTCTCGGTATCGCTTTCGGCGTCGCAGAACTTGTACACACGTCGGGGAACATTGGTGGGATTGAGTGGCAAGGCGGATAATGTACGCCTTCAATTGCGATTGATACTGTGCGAGTGGGCAATGCGCTGATATTTCGTGATTGCGACAGGTGGTTTCGACGTTGAGCGTCCTCGAACCCTTCCGCAGGGCTCCTCTGGGCGTGCCTTTCCTTTATCAAAAGGTATGACACGTCTTGTTTCAAGCTCGGGATGAACCCGCAATGGAGTTGCTCACGAGAATCTAGATCTCCTCTGCGAGCCCCGTCACAGCCCTCGTTTCCGTTCGGTCTCCGACGACCTCCTTCGCAGTTGTGAACCTCAATGGCTCCGTCGATTGGATGGTTGCCCAGCGTCGCGCTCTGCTGGCATGGACAGGCCGGTCCTTGTCCATCAAGCCAACCATCAACACCAACCTGGTTTGTGGCACCCGTCGATTGTGAATATGGGATAAATGGCTGATTCTGATTCTCGTACAGAGCTTGGCTCACTGGGGTAGCTCCGAGGTCACTGGTAGAGGATTGATCGCGTTGGTAGGCCAAGGTCAGGTCTACTCTGTAGAGTTGAAGGCTGGCGAGCAATACGTCGCTCACCCCAGGTACGTTTTGCCGACTCAGCGCTGGGCCACGTTTGATTGTTCTAACGAGAGTGATATCTAGTAACATTATCGCCTACACCATGGCTTCCAATCCCCCTCGCCCCTACCGCTTCAAATCCACAACATTGAGCTTCCAGGTTCCCGGCCTGAAGACACTCCCACGTCTGCTGCAGGGAAACAAGTTCATCCGTGATGTTTCCAACTCGAAGGGCTGGAAGAACACCATGGGTTTCCTCCACAAGATTCGGACATGGTCTCGGATGACCATCTGGGGAGATAGAGTATGATAATTGCCATGGGTTTTTACGCGCAGCTTGCTGACAATATTTTTCTAGCTCTTCCTCCAATTCGATGGACCTGCAACCATTCTCATGCAGACCCGTGGACCTCGCGTCAACGACATTCTCTCTGAGCGTCAAATCACCGAACTCGCCGATGCCCCTCGGGGAATCACCAGCCCCGCCCCGCAAGAGACTAGCAAGCCCACTCCCTCCGAGGCAGAAATCTCTCGCTCCGTCAAGAACCTGGATCAGGAGCTCCGGGGAATCCGTCAGAGCGTTGCAGAGATCCGAAAGGACGGCAGCGTCGAGATCAAGGAGGTTGGCCGGACGAGTCCCAAGGACGCATAAGGGCGTGTCGTGTCTCTCTCTCTCTGCACTAGAGGTTATTTTCTTTTGGAATGGTTTACTTTGCATCTTGTACAACATTTTGGGCGTCATGAAATCACAGCTGCGGCCACTCAAATCAATTTCTTTTCTCTCTGTCAAGATGGACTACTTTCTGCGCTCTAAGAACACGAATTCTGTCTCTCTAATTCTAGAGATTGGGCTCTCTCTGGACTCCCCAGGAGCTGAACAGTCTTAGTCTCAACTCGTCTCCTACCATACCTTTCTAGCTCTAGTCACGAACTGAACACCTGTGAAATTCGCTTGGAATCTAGCCAGGTCTCCCGGACTGACTGGTGCTCCTGACGGCGCAGTAATAGTGATCTTCTTCAAACGAGGAAACGTTTTCTAGAGATAAACGTCGTCAGCACATTCCAATCAAGACTCCATATCCAAGAAACAAACCATCAACCGAATCGCCAATCGTTTCTGCATCTTATTATCAGAAAGAGGACCACCCCTACGAACATCATCATTCCAGACATCAATCGTAAGATCCTGAAGCACATCCCCCCGAATGCCAGGCAAAGAGAGTAATCGCTGTCCTGGACAAATACCAATCTTTGCAAAGCGCAGACGAGGAAATTTCAATCTTTCAAGAATCCTACTCTCCTTGCAACTAGATTGAAAGTAATTCGGAAGGGTAAGATCCACCACAAAGTTTGTGTAAACTTGTCTGCGTTCCAGGGGGAGCCTTTCAAGCGTTCGCAGCTTGGAGTATGGTAAGGGAGTCCACCATAGGTATCGCATTGCTTGGTGGAACCAGAGGGTGTTGACCCGTGCGTAGCTTGCGAACCTATTCTTTGGGAATGTTTGGTCGTTGTTATAGCCAATGCGTTGTTTGTAGCCAGGTTCTTTGTAGCCATCTGCGTCCCAGTGGAGGATCTCGGAGACGAGTTCTGGGGTTGAGAGGACGCATTGTGTTGCGGTTAGGCTTGAGGGCGGGGTTTGATGGATTCGGCGTGCCATAGGTTGGAAGAGGCTCTTTGAAGGGTAGAGAGAGTGGTAGATGGAAAGATCGGTTAGGCAGGAGGCTCTATTGATATAACGGAAAATCCAGTATGAAGGATGTAACAAAGTGCCGAGCAGAACAAAAACTAAGGAGGTGAAAATAAGTACGTAGAGCGAGAGCCAGATCATGTTGACAGTCTAGAATTTCTTGTAACAATTCTCATGCCAGAAAATGTATGCTTCAAGTCAATGATTACGAAATGTGATGTTTCTGCTAAGATGGAGGTAACAGGAAGAATGGATGGTGAGGAAGTGTGAATGACAAAGGTGAGCAATTGCTTTATAAGTTTATACAAGAACTACCTAATAACTACAGAATACATCAGTACTCCGAATAAATAAAAATATTTCAAGACAAGTCATTGCAGTAGATCTACAAGGAGAAAAGACGATGGGTATCTTTGCTAAACCACCGCCAACTGAGCTAAAGGGCTACTAAGTACATCAACAAGAGAACTATTCACAGCACTTCATCTCTTAGACTTGCGTCCTCCAATCCCCAGTCGCCCCAGATTCGGCAAACTCGACTTGTGTTTATGTGCAGAGCCGAGAATAGATGTAGAGCTGGTGGCTCGAGGGTCAAGCGCTCCCCGGTTGCCACTTGCACCCATGCTGGCGGTTCCAGGCACCTGGCCAATACCAATGCCGATTGGAGCTACCATGCCCGCACGCGGGGCATCAGGTAGACCCGATCGATCTCTCGTTCGGTCCACAGTAGCCGCAGATAGTGCGGCAGTCAACGAAGGGTTCTGTAATGTGTCCGTCGGATCCAGCGAGTGGCGCTGCGCAGCCTGCGCGCGGCGTGCTCGCTCTTGCACAGCCTTGAATTTATCGAGAAGTTCGGTCCATCGAATATCGTCACGACTCTTGCCGCGAGTACCGGAGGAGCGGTCAAAGGACGGTGCAGTTTGGGACGTGCTATTGGGACTCATGAGTACGTGCGGTCTGTTTTGGGGAGGACTGCTTCCTGTCTTGGCATTGGCATTGAGAATTCCATTTGCATACCTGCGGGGACCACCATGGAGGAAACCGATGTTGCTGACGCTGTTCAGCCGGTTTTTAAGGGCGGCAAAGGCGGAGCTCTGTGGGAGGAGCATGAGGACACCGTAGAGGCATTTGTACAGGTAGGGGTATTTTTCGGGTTCGAGGAGTTGGAGACGAAGGTCTAAGAAAAGTATTAGCCAAGGATATCAAATATACTGGGAGAAAGACAGTACAGGTAAACACGGGAGATTCTAGCAGCTGCACCAGTTTGTCGATCTGGATTAGCATATTGACCGTCATTTCAAGCTCGGCACTAGGTACGTTAGAGATGGTAATCAACGGTTTCAATGGCGGGCGGCTTACAATATTTGCAGGAGGTTGTAAGCCTGCTCGTAAGCCTGAGCGAGAAGACACAAAGAAAAGGTTGACACAGCATTGTGGCACCAAGACCGGAAAAGGGCGACGAAAAACATTTGTCCCTCCTAAGGAGCGTGTCAGCTTTTGCAAGTAGAATAACCTCGCTAGCAACGTACCCTCGTGTCAAGATTCCTCAAGCGCTTCCTCATATCTGACAATTCAGGTGCAGTAATAAGGTTGTTGTTCAAATTCTGCACCATGATGCTGGCAAATTCGAGATCCTGATCCAAAATTATTAGCCAAAGACCTGACAAATTCGACGGGCGTGGCATACCTCTTCTTTCTCCAGGCAATCTGCCAGAGTCCGGTAAATACGTTCGGGACTCAAATTCAGACATAATTGCCGTATAATCAAATTACCCCGAACTTCCAGCAGCTGTCGATCAGTAGAGAACAGCTGAAGCAGATTCACCATAAACGAGGTGAAGTAGTTATCCTCGCTATTTCTCGATATTTGAGACAACAGTTGCAGATCCTTGGTCACAACCGCTTCTGCAGGGTCCGAGAGGGTTTTCAACAGAGCTGGGAATGTCCCGTCATTGAATGCAACCACTTTCCGCGGGGCTTTCCGGTGTAACATGATCAGCCACGAGAGTGCAGCTACCCGAGTGGCTTCATTTTCATTCAAGAATTGCAGCGTAAGCGAGTTCACCGCAGCAGCGTAGTCGAGATCAGCTGGCTGCGATGGCACTGAGACGATACTACTCCGCGGTGTCGGAGCCCTGGAAGACTCTTGTGTTGCTCTCCTGGAATCGGGGTTGGAGATGTCTGTAGGTTTTCTCTCGATGCTCTCTTTGCTGGGTGCAGTCGAGGGAACCTTGGACGGAGTTTGCGCGTATTCCTCAGGGGCGTCATCTGAAAGGGAGTATATGTATTCAAGCAGTGATTTGTTGACTCGGTTCGCTGCTTGCCGTACTGAATCCGAACCGCTAGACATCGCTGGGAGCACTTGGGTCAACAGTCTCGGCACGAACGGGAGAATATCCTCGGGGCTAATTTCAAAGAATGCATCAATCCAGCGAAGTGCAGTCAATTGCATCTCCTCCTCTATACTGTTGTTAGTTGTGTGGCTGGTAGACCCCGATACGAATGTGTGTTTACCGAATGAAGTGTCCACGAAGCTGACCAGAATATCCAGGATCTTTGGGTAGTCGATATGAACGTCTTGCCCCGGAATCCAGTCACCATCAGCTTGGATCGCATCATCATCAAATAGCGAATCCGATGCTGAGTCCTCGACAGCAATGTCATCCTTCTCGCCATCATCGGCACCGGCGGTCTCAAGTGTCTGTTCAGTCTTGGCGCTCACGGTGTCACTAGCAGTGGAGCGTCTCCGACTCCCTTGTCCTTTTCGACTTTCTTCGATTCCTTTCTTCAAACGAGTGATTCTCTTGATCTCCGACAGGAACCTGTCTAAAAGGCCCTGCGTGGCAACGTTGACATCCTTATGTGGTCCACCGAGAAACTTAATCAGCCCCTCTAGGAACTCGGGTAAAAAGGTGACTAGTTCTAGGTCAGGAATAGTATCAAGGAGTGTCAACCAGGACACGAGGAAGTTGCGAGTGTATGGCCCGATCACATGGATTCGTTCCTTGAGCAGAGGTATGAACTTGGCGAGGGAGAATGCGGTGGGGAGTTCCGTTTCATGCGCGTCGTCTGGATCGGCTGTCTCCTTTTCCGACAGCTGTAGCACGGAAACATACGAGGCTGCGGATTCGGCTACAATGTCCTTCACCAGTCGATCGAGAAGCTCGGCGCCATTCTTCACGGAAAGCTCCGAGTCAGAAGCAAGCTATAGGCGCAGGTCAGCATAGCTTCAAACTTGAAAGCCAACCCCGAGTTATTCTCACCTTGGCCAAAGCATCGAATATCTCATTGAAGAAGAGCAGAACCTCTCCCTTGGCCACCTTGGCAATGTTGTACATGCTCTCGCAAGCATAATAACGGACCCGGGCATCTTGGTCCGTAAAGCAAGCTAGAACCGGTGGAACGATTTCTTTCAAGTACGGCGCAACTCCTTCCTACAGATCCAATAGGTCAGCCCACACTCTCCAACGCATTTCGTTTATATCCAAAGTTCTCACCGATCCCAGCGCGATCGAGGCAGCCGCCAATCCAATCAGACCTCCGTTTCTAGCATGGGGTTGGTGCACAGCGTAGGCATAGTCGTGGCAAAGCTGTTCGACGATCTTCGCAATCTTTTCTTGTTCCCCTCTGAAAACGGCATCTCGAACGATTTTCTCTAGCCTGAAGCAGTGTCGCGTGTTAGCACGGTGGCCTGACATGACTCCCGGAATTCCAGAACAACGTACTCCAGAGCTCCCTGCTTCCTCTTATCATAGAGCTTGTCGTTGAGCAACCGCTGTATTGAATGATCCATCGCTCCAAGCTCCAACGGACGGAGAAGATAGCTGTCTCAAGCTGTGGCTAGGCAATGGTCATGGTGGAGGGTCGGGTCGATCGGGGTTGGTTCACGAGCTCGCGGGCCGGGACCACTTTCAAAGGATATCGGATCGGTAAAATCCTCCGGTCCGGACTCTTTTTATCCAGGCAAAGCCTTGTTGTTTGCACTCAAGGGCTCGAGGGTGGGGGGAGAAGATGCGTTGTCAACGCGGAGATGGAGGAGTCCAAGCGCGGTGTGACGTATGTCAGCAACGGGCCTGGACTCGGCCCGAGAATCAGTTCCACCAGCAGCTGTCTGCTTGAAATACTTGCATGAACTAGCGAACAAAGGGGCATGAATGATGGGACTTGGAAATCATTGAAATTATGCTTTTGTTGGCGTTATTCTCCGCTTATATAGCAGTTCTTCAGAGCCTCTATCACTGATTGACTCAGATTGCGGTCCAATTTAATCGCGCGATCGGTGTTAGGCACGCATGCAGCCAGCGGCTCCCTCGCTTGGCTCCTTACTGACCAACGAGGGGGAAACGGGATCTTGCATGCTTGAAGAATACTCAGATAAAGAAATTGAGTTTAGAGACACAATATCTTGTGATATCTAAAACGAATCAAAAATATGGGCCTCGAAAAGAACAGGAACACGGCCTCGTAGAGCATGTAGATAGTATATAGCATTAACATAGAATAGCTTCTTATGCAGTGACTCATATATCAGTCAAACTCTCCTCTAAAGAACCAACCCCTCCGTCGGTCTTGTTCAAAGGCTTCATACCTGCTATATTAACCGAGCTAGATGAGTTGATAGACACATTCCTTACTTGATGAATGTATAGACAAGGGAGAAGCAGTATTTCATGAACTCAGACCTTCTATTTGATAATCGCTTCATGTGAAAATATCCAATAAACACGCCTTTCGCCTCAAAAAAATCACCACCATCAAAATCTATCAATGACTAATGTACTGGAACACCGATGAAACATCCTTTTCGCCAGTTTCCTGTCGAATAAGCAGATCTTGGATCTTCGCCAACGGCCCCTTCTCTCCATTGTTGACGAAATGGTTCCAGGAACTTGTATCACCGTAGAGCATAGCAGGAGCCTTCACAAACTGGGTACCGTCCTCGCGACAACGCTTGCACTTGAATGTGTCGTGCGTATCGCTGCGAGTCTCGGGTTTGAATTGGAACAACTCTCGGAGAGACTCGAGAGAGAAGTGGCGCTCAACGTCTTCTGCCGAGTCAACCACACAGGATGAGAGTGACTGTTTGTGTGATTGACGCTGGAAAATCTTCTCCTCGATCGATCCCGTGGCGATGAATCGGTAGACGAAGCAGTCTTTCTTCTGTCCGTCACGCCAAACACGGGCCAATGCCTGTTGATCAGCAGCCGGGTTCCAATCTGGATCGAACAGGACGAGTCGGTTGGCACCAATGAGATTGAGACCACATCCACCGGCCTTGCTGCTGAGAAGGAAGACAAACTCCTCGCCATTGGGGTCATTGAATTTGTCCACCAGCTTCGTTCGCTTCTTGATGTTCATCGTTCCATCCAGCCGCAGACAACCGTAGGCACGCGATCTGCAAAGCCTCTCGAACAAATCCAGAGTCTGGGTGTAGTTGCTGATGAGTACAATCTTATCGTTCGTGTCTTGGCGAATTCGTGCAAGCATGCGATCCAGCACCATCATCTTTCCAGAGTACCAGCTCTTGATGTCTCTGTCACGGCCACGAGCCTCGGGGGGTGTAAAGTCTTCAGGGAATGTGTATTCACAGCCCGGAAGATCTTCTGCCAAGTTCAGAAGGTCCGGGTGATTGCACAGCTTCTTCAAAATACCGATAGCCTTCAAAGGCTGACTACCCTTTCCTCGCAGCAGACTTCGGATCTCAGGGCTCTGAATGAAATGGTTGTAGAGATCCAGTTGGAACTGTGACATGTTACAGAACACCACATGCTCGTACTTGACGGGCAAGTACTTCGACAGAATGTCGTTTGTTCGACGGATGATAAATTTGTTGACAATTCCGGAAAGCTCTCGCAGTCGTTCATCGCCCAGTTTTCGGTCTTCCTCCGTGCCGGCTGCATCTCGGCCTCGGAGAATTGGGAGTTCGAACCTCTTACGGAATTCATTCTGCGAGCCCAGGAGGTTGGGATTGGCGAAGTGTAGCAGAGCAAAGTATTCCGACAGATCGTTCTGGATAGGTGTACCGGAAAGAATGACACGCCGGCTGACGTTAAGGCTGTTCAAAGCCATCCATGTCAAACTTTCCTTATTCTTGAGTCGATGGCCCTCATCACACAGAAGCAATCCGATCGGTGTGTCCTTGAGCGCATCCACGTACATGCGAAGGGTCTCGTAGGATACAATAAGCACAGGTCTGACGACACTTCGACCCGATGCAATGGCCCACTGCTTGATCTGAGAAGTAAGTTCGGCCTTGGAAGCCTTTCCATCAATGGCAAAGGGTGTGGTGGCATCCTTGCCCAGCCATTTAGTCAATTCGTTCGCCCAGTTGCCGACCAAACTCGATGGGCATGCGATCACACATTTCTGAATGGTTGTTCTTCCCGCCTCCGGATCTTGTTTGAGTAAAGTCCACATCAATGAGATACATTGCAGCTGGGAAAGGTCAGTTGAGAGTCTTCGTGTAGAGTTCTTTCTCTGGTGCATACCGTCTTTCCCAATCCCATACCATCTGCCATGATGCAACCATTTGCATTCTTATCAATCAAGCCAGTCGTACATCGATACAGAAACTGTGAAACCAACATGTCAGTTTTTAGTTGCAGCGGCACAAGAAATCATAACCCATACCTTGACTCCCTCCACTTGATGTGGTCGAAGAATCTTCGACAGCCTTGGATCAATAACAACAGGCACCTTTGGTCTTCCTTCCACTTTCTTCTTAATTCCAAGAATATCTGCTAAGCTCTTATGTACCAGAGGCTCATCCAATTTAGCCTCAGCCTGTTCTTTAGGTTCTTCCGGGTCTTTAGGCTTTGGGTCTTCGGGGATGTCGTCGACGGTCGGGTCATATAGCACGATTGCAAATTCTCCACTAGGGTCATGCAGTGGCTTGGCCACGAAGGTCGCACCTTGTCGCATGCCCAAAGTAGGAGCCGCTCGTCCCGCGTTGTATTCACCCGTATCTTTGTTAACCAGCGGGATCCGGAACCTTTGTCTGAAAGTCGTGTCTGTGTCCTTAGGCTTAAATACGGGAAATTTGTTCACTTCTCGGGTCGCCAATGCGAGTCGGTCGTCATTTGTGTATGCCTTCTCCGCGCCGTCCTCGACACTGCCATCCGCGTCTGCATAGTTGACCTTTCGTCTCTTTCTTGCTGGCTTTTCTGATGCCCGAGTTGGCGTCGCAGAACCCGGACATTTGAATGGTTTTGAAAGGCGATCGAGGGCGTTCACGGATTTTGGCTGTAAGGGTGTCTTGACACCGCCGTCTGCCGCGGCTGGCCGAGGGCGATACCTGTATAGATGTAAGCAGAAGCCCATGGAGAGCTAGCAAGCGAAGAGTTCATACATTTGAGCGATTCTAAGTCAGATACCAGATCTCAAACAGATGCAACTGTACAAACTCCCCCTGTACAAAAGGAAATGGTCGTTGTTGAAGTGGTTGCCACCGACGCGTTCCTGCCTCGCGTCTGCCTGCAACACCAAAGTGCCGCGGCCCCACGTGACCTCCGGGTCACCCCGCCATAGAAACCGGGGGAGCTTCGCATGTGGGACTACACATTCGTCACATATCGAGGCTCAAATGTCATCTGATTTCTGGGCTGGTTACCTCAGCGGTGCCCTGGGGATTATAATCGGCAATCCCTTGGATGTGATCAAGGTCCGACTGCAGGCAGGCCATTCAAGAGATGCATCTGCCCAATCACAACTAAGCCGCTTCGAGAAAGCGAGTTCGCTCGTACGAGGTTTGTGTGGTTTTCATATGATTTTTCTTCTCGTTTATTACAAGTTATTGAACAGTTGTGTTAATTGCGGTAATAGGTGCGGCTGCTCCAATTTTGGGATATGGAGCTCTCAATGCGCTGCTATTCGTGGCCTACAATCGGTCTTTGATGGCCATGGACAGCAGCATTACAGACCCCACTAACCCGGACGGTGTGCCATTATACAAGATCTGGATTGCTGGCGCTGCAGGCGGTCTTGCCAGCTGGACTATTTCATCTCCGACAGAGTTCATCAAGTGCAGGGCGCAGCTGGACTCACGTCCAGAGGTCTCGTCCTGGACGGTTGCTAAAGATATATATCACAATCGAGGGTGGAGGGGCTTGTACTATGGGGGAGCAATTACGAGTGCACGAGATTCAATTGGTTATGGTTTCTAGTATGAAGATGAGCCCTCTTCCCCCCGCAATATATATAATCGCTGACCCTCTATCAATTTCCAGTTTCTGGTCATATGAACTTTGCAAACGCTTTATGACAATTGAGAATGAAACGCCTCATCAGGCTGCTATGAAGATTCTCCTCTGCGGTGGCATTGCTGGCATTGTCACCTGGGGATCGGTCTTTCCTCTGGATATGGTCAAGACGCGATTACAGGCACAGACGATGCATGACCATTCTTTCACACATGTAGCCAGCGAGAACCAAAGTCTTCTACGGCAGCCTCGGGCGACACTGAATTCCTTTCAGATGGCCCGAGAGGTCTACCGGGCCGAGGGCATGGGTGCCTTTTATCGGGGCCTCGGGATCTGCAGCATTCGAGCGTTTATTGTGAACGCTGTTCAGGTAGGATCTTTCCCAAAGTTTTCTGCAGCATTATTGAAACAATTAAAAGCTAACAGGAGTATAGTGGGCTTGCTACGAATGGCTGATGAAGAGCTTCAACAATGCGAGTGTACCCGTGCCAGTCACTGAACGTATATAGATGTGTACGGAGTAACGAAACCAGAGCGTGGGAGGAGCCAAGCAATGAACATAGACCGAAAACCCGATTACGGTTAGACTTTATTTGGTATTGAGGGATTTCTATTGGAATTACTGCGGAGGATTGCTCGTAAGGGGGATAAATTTCACCCTGATGCCGTAGTCCGTGGGGGACCAGCGAGGACCGGCGATTCCAATCCGTGGGCCCGCAGACCGGCTGAGCGGAAGACCGCCGAGAATCGGCAATATAAAAATGCCTCACGTGAGTCTCCACCGAACATGCAGGAAAAGCAGAGTCGCGCGTTGTAGACATGAGAATCGTAACATTATCGACGTGCATACTTTTTTGGGACTTTTGAAATGCTTGGATCCAAGTAGTCCAAGCTGGAAGATAGCCAGAGAAGTGGCGGGTCTTCCTGAGGGGTATCTGTTGTGGCAAGTCGGAGTCCAGCTCAGTCTTTCATTTCAACATTGTCGTCCTCCGTTCGCTTGACATTGTCTGCGACACCCAATCCAACGGCGGCTTCGGCGATCTTTTGGCTGTGAGGCTCTTCGCGCAGGATGCGGAGTCTGCAAGTATAGCATTGGGTGGTCAGCGAGGTCGTTCTGAAAAAAGTTGGACGGGCGGACTGAGTTTTAACGACTAACCTGCGCTTGTGGTTCTTGCCCTTGGTGTGCGCCTTCAGGTTGTACTCGCTCTCAAACCATTTGGAGCATTCCATGCAATAATGCTGTCCTAGACCTGGCAGATCCTCTGCATCCTTGGTTTCCTTGTACTGCGAGAGATGGCGAGGAGAATCGATGTCGGCCAGGATCTGGTCGTAGTCTCTGCGCAGATGGTTAGCACCACCCCCTCCTTCATGGCCTTCATGGGCCTCAAAATGCAGTTGAAGAACTGTACCTAGTGCGACGCTTGGTCTTGACTCTTCGAAGGGCACCCATCTTGTGTTAGGCTCGGCTTTCGTTCCGCGCAGCTAGTATCAAAAGAATGAAGACAAAGAAAAAAAAAGCCGTTATCGCCGATTCCGGAGTAATGGTCGGGTAGAGTGGAGCACGGGGGTACGAGCAACAGCAGAGGTTTTGGATTGAAATTTCCGCACCGGTTTGTGGGCCGTGAGAGCGTTCGAAACGCCTCGGGTCTGATTGGCGGCCGACCACTTGGCCGCAGCGGGCGGGAGAAGGAGTCGGCACGCCTCGGCTCGTTCGGTTTCGTCACCGGCTTTACGGGGCTCCGTAAGCTTGGTAACTTTGGTATTTTATGACGTTTGCATCGCGGCATGTTGCTCCGGGGCTTGTTGCGGCCACTGGCCTGTGCAAAACTAGTTGATTACAAGGAGGCAAAAACATGGAAAAGTTGACATTATTATCTAGCTAATAGCTTGTTTATGTTGGAATCAGTAGAACCAAAATCCAATGGCCATTCGGGGAGCAGATGGGGACAATGCCCCGTTCAAGCCCACATGCGAGGGTATCGAGGTCGAGGGCTTGCGGATAAAGGATAAATGGGGTACAAGCCGAGAGTACCATGTACTTTGTCTGAGAATCAAGCCCGCATTGACCGTGCTTCTTTCTTTTGCCTTTGGCCCGAATATTGCTTTTCCTGACCAGGTGTCCCCCCAGCCTGTAATTACAAACTCCGTGATTGGTGGCAGCCCTTGACCCCGTCACATGCCGTGTATTGCCATTACGGCCTCCCCGGGGTGCCCTGCTGGTCTTCACATGGTGAAGAGGATCAATATAGCAGACTAGGAGCTTCAATACAATGAGGAGACTCGAGATGAGGCCTTTCAGTAGTAGTTATACCACATAACTGAAAAAACTATCCCAATTATAAGCTGCATTGAGCCTGATCAAAAACCCAGATCTCGCTCCACCAATCCCCCAGCCTCTTCCCAGTTGCGTTGCATGCGGAGGTCGGTATGTAACGGTACCGTATGAGCGTATCGCCATGGTAACAGCGGTTACGGCTCTTCGGTCCCAGTCGAATTCTCTCGCCCACTCAAAACCACCAAGCTTCCCTTTTTCTTCTCCTTCTCTTCCCTTCCCACTCTCCACTCTTTGTTGCTTCCACAGGTGAAGGTGGTTGCTTACTTTGGATGCGTTGTGCTGTCTCGTTTTAGAGAAAGCTATCCATCATGATCTCCACTCGGCTTGCGCGTGCCGGTGCGCTGGTAAGCTCTCAGCCCTGCATCCTCGGCTTGCAGAGGGCGATGCCTCTACTGTGCATTGCTCATTTGCAAGCCCTATCGAGTCTCAAACCTCGTAAAAATCGCATTGAAACTAACATGATCGTTTTCTTCGCAGGCCCCTAAGTTCCGTCTTGTAAGCAGCGACCCATGAATTTTTCGCATCGCGAAGAATCGTCCGCTGGGCAGCTCTACTGCGCACTGCAGAAACAGCCGTAGCATGACGAAAAAGACTGCATATGACATCAACTAACATGACTATCTTTTTTTCTTTCTAGCTCAACGGATCTCGGGCCTTCGCTACCATCAACAATGACCCCCTCGACAAGAAGGTCGAGATGACCATCCACGAGAAGGGCAACTACATCAACTACAAGAAGATGTCCGAGAACCTCGAGATTGTCCGTGCTCGTCTGCAGCGCCCTCTCACCTACGCCGAGAAGGTCCTGTACTCTCACCTTGACGACCCCCACGGCCAGGACATTGAGCGTGGTACCTCCTACCTCAAGCTCCGCCCCGACCGTGTTGCTTGCCAGGACGCCACTGCTCAGATGGCTATCCTCCAGTTCATGTCCGCTGGCATGCCCTCCGTCCAGACCCCCACCACTGTTCACTGTGACCACTTGATTGAGGCCCAGGTTGGTGGTGAGAAGGATCTTGCCCGTGCCAACGACATCAACAAGGAAGTCTACGAATTCCTTGCTTCCGCTACCGCCAAGTACAACATTGGTTTCTGGAAGCCCGGTTCCGGTATCATTCACCAGATCGTCATGGAGAACTACGCTTTCCCCGGTGGTCTGATGATCGGTACTGACTCTCACACCCCCAACGCCGGTGGTCTCGGTATGGCCGCCATCGGTGTCGGTGGTGCTGACGCCGTCGACGTTATGGCCGGTCTCCCTGGGGAGCTGAAGGCCCCCAAGGTCATTGGTGTCCGCCTCACTGGCCAGATGTCTGGCTGGACCACCCCCAAGGATATCATCCTGAAGGTTGCCGGTCTCCTGACCGTCAAGGGTGGTACTGGTGCTATCATTGAGTACCACGGTCCCGGTGTCAACTCCTTGTCCTGCACTGGTATGGGTACCATCTGTAACATGGGTGCCGAGATTGGTGCTACCACCTCCATGTTCCCCTTCAACGACCGCATGTACGACTACCTGAAGGCCACCAAGCGTCAGCACATTGGTGACTTCTCTCGTGAGTACGCCGCTCAGCTCCGTGAGGACGAGGGTGCCGAGTACGACCAGCTGGTTGAGATCAACCTGTCTGAGCTCGAGCCCTACATCAACGGTCCCTTCACCCCCGATCTTGCCACCCCCATCTCCCAGTTCAAGGAGGCTGTCAAGACCAACAAGTGGCCCGAGGAGCTCAAGGTCGGTCTGATCGGCTCTTGCACCAACTCCTCCTACGAGGATATGTCCCGTGCCGCTTCCATCGCCCGCGATGCTCTCGACCACGGTCTCAAGTCCAAGTCTCTGTTCACCATCACCCCCGGTTCCGAGCAGATTCGCGCCACCATCGAGCGTGACGGCCAGATGGCCACCATGGAGGAGTACGGCGGTGTCATCCTTGCCAACGCCTGCGGCCCCTGCATTGGTCAGTGGGACCGTAAGGACGTCAAGAAGGGTGAGGCCAACTCCATCATCTCTTCCTACAACCGTAACTTCACTGGCCGTAACGACGCCAACCCCGCTACCCACGCCTTCGTTGCCTCCCCCGACATCGTCGTCGCCATGACCGTTGCCGGTACCCTCAACTTCAACCCCCTCACCGACAAGCTGAAGGATGCCAACGGCAACGAGTTCATGCTCAAGGCTCCCTCCGGTGACGGTCTTCCTGAGCGTGGCTACGACCCCGGCCAGGACACCTACCAGGCTCCCCCTGCCGACCGCAGCACCGTCAACGTCGCTGTCTCCCCCACCAGTGACCGTCTCCAGGTCCTTGCCGGTTTCTCCAAGTGGGACGGCAAGAACGCCGAGAACATCCCCATCCTGATCAAGTGCCAGGGCAAGACCACCACTGACCACATCTCCATGGCCGGTCCCTGGTTGAAGTACCGTGGCCACTTGGACAACATCTCCAACAACATGCTGATCGGTGCCATCAACGAGGAGAACGGCGAGGCCAACAAGGTCAAGAACGCCTTCACCGGCAAGTACGATGCCGTCCCCGCCACTGCCCGTGACTACAAGGCCCGCGGCATCAAGTGGGTTGTCATTGGTGACTGGAACTACGGTGAGGGTTCTTCCCGTGAGCACGCCGCTCTGGAGCCCCGTCACCTCGGTGGTCTGGCCGTCATCACCCGCTCCTTCGCTCGTATCCACGAGACCAACCTGAAGAAGCAGGGTATGCTGCCCCTGACCTTCTCCGACCCCGCCGACTACGAGAAGATCCGCCCCGAGGACAAGGTCGACCTGATGTGCACTGAGCTCGCCGTTGGCAAGCCCATGACCCTCCGTGTCCACCCCGCCGATGGCAGCAACACCTTCGACATCTCCCTCAGCCACACCTTCAACGAGTCCCAGATTGAGTGGTTCCTCGACGGTTCTGCCCTGAACACCATGGCCCGCAAGTCCGGCAACAACTAAATGGAGGATTTCTCTTTTGGAAATTCCCCTATAAGTTGATGTGTGTTCTTTCGTTGCCTTGCTTTTTGACGTTCTTCAAGGGTTTGGCTATCAATCTATATGATAGCCCTGTCCCGTGTAAACTACGTTCTCTTGATGTGTTTAGCGACCCGAGAAAGAGAGCAGAGTGGCTATTGTCACTTTCTTCATATCCCACTTGGGTGGTACTGAGGAGGATGATACACCACTACCATCGTGTGTGTGCATGTCTGTCCCTTTTTTCGAGCCGGGTATGAGGAGTTGTGCTCTGGGAAAAATTTATGATCTTTTGTCTTTTCCGGCCTCAGGCCTCGCGTTGGATTCCCGATTACTTTTTGGGTGGGCTCAATGGATATAACTATCTGATTTTCTCACTACATTGTTTCCGTATGTCTTTCAGGATAGCATGCATACACTATTTCCTTGTGTTCTATCTATGTTCATCTCACTGTAGACTGTAGACTTGTATTGTGTAGAGAATCATGCATAATGCAAAGTGGACCTCCCGAGGATAAACGCAGGCTGAGCTAATCTACCGAGGCCCATCTCGCCAACCCCGCGGGAAGAAAGATGAACTCGATTCCAACAGCGATACTGCGGCGCAATCGGATTCGCAGATTCCGTGATTAGCGTACAAGGCAATTGTCCAGAATGCGGAGAACGCTTTTACTCCGATAGACTACTTTATCAATTACGACTGTGCTGAGATATACCCCGAATCACTCCTCCTCCGTCTTTCTTCCCCGCCCCTCTGGCCGGGTTATATTGCTTGGCTTTGGCGGCCTTGTTTTATAAGATCTTTTAGACCTCGCTCAGCGGGTTTACTGGGTCTGGAATCGACAGCATAGCCAGTGAAGATGGCGACGCAGCTCGTGGCTCTTCCGGAGGTTGAGCGCCTCAGTGCATCGGTTATTAGGATTTTGGGCGGGAACCCGGGGAAGGTGAGCATCACAACTCGAGGAATAGAGTATAGTCACGAAGTAGGATGGCTGACGAGAGGTACTTCTACTCGGTGCTTGGTATAGTTCACACTGCAAGGTATGTCCTGCCCTTCCCTTCTCTCCTTCTAGCACCCAATCTCCCGCACTATATACTCACTGCCCCCAGGAACAAACACATACCTTATCGGCCGCGGCTACCAACGCATCCTAATCGACACCGGGCAGGGCGAACAAGCCTGGGCCAAACAACTCCAAACCGTCCTCACCGACGAAAAAGCCACCGTCCACCAGGCCCTCCTCACCCACTGGCACGGCGACCATGTCGGCGGCCTGCCCGATCTGAAGCGGCTCTGTCCCGAGGCTCAGGTATTTAAACATCACCCTGAGCCGGAGGGTGAGTATGCGGATATCAAGGATGGGCAGGTCTTCCGGGTAGAGGGGGCGACGCTTAAGGCGTTGTTTACGCCTGGTCATACGGAAGATCATATGGCGTTTGTGCTGGAGGAGGAGGATGCGATATTTACGGGTGATAGTGCGTATAGACCTACTCCCTGCATAGCTGCCGTGGCATCGGGATATTTGAGACGTTCCGAGTACTAACTTATACCCAGACGTCCTCGGCCACGGCACCGCCGTCTTCGAAGACCTAAAAACCTACTTAGACAGTCTCCACCGTATGCGCGACCGCGTCCAGGGCCGCGGATACCCGGGCCACGGCGCAGTCCTAGAAAGCGCAACCGCCCGCATTGCCGAGTACATCCAGCACCGGCAGCAGCGCGAGGACGAAGTCCTGCGCGTGCTGCGGTATGGCAAGTTAGATGTGGCGGTGGGTGAACCCGAGCCCGAGCCGAGACGGGCGTGGACACCGCTGCAGCTGGTGAAGCAGATTTATGTTGGGGTTCCGGAGAATTTGCATTTGCCGGCGTCGCATGGGGTGTCGCTTGTGTTGGCCAAGTTGGAGGGGGAGGGGAAGACGGTGCAGGGGGATGATGGGGCGTGGAGGTTGGTTGGGGGGAGGAGTGCGTTGTGATTTTGGTTATAGAATTGGATATATTGAGTGTTTCTACAGGGCTATAGATTCATCTATGCATTGGGCGTATGTGATAGCCCAATATAGGTATCAGGTCCTTCCCCATTTCAAGTTACGTAAGATTCTGTAGACGTCAGTTTGCAGTCATTCTGTTGTTCAATTTTGTAGCAGGACTGGATTGACAAGGACCCAATCAAGGAAGTGGCTGGTGTCAGTTATTCTCGAGGCGGCTTGACAGGCCAGCGAATCCTAGGAATTGATGTGAATCAGAATTAGATAGAACATAGTGTACTTCATACTAGAAATTAAGAACTAGTTAACTAGTTAGTTACTAGGTTGTGACACAATAAAAGAGGGGAAACCAGCGCTAAAACGCTAAAACCCCGACGCGGCCTGCAGGAGGATTCAACCAACTCTCGACGCTGGAAGAACGTGAAAAGACCAGCTTTGTCCTTGAATCATCATCTTCAAGTACAAACAACAGGATATCTTACTTCCTCCTGTTTTCCCCTTTATTCTTCCCCAGCCCTGATGTGAGCGCTATTGAGGAGCTCCACTGTAGCTTTGATTCCAAGAAATTTGGGGGGAAACGCTGACCTCACACTCTCTCCCCTTCTCCCACCCCCGCCCTTGTTGGCTGATCCAGTCTTGACATCCTGACGTCGAGACGTCTTTCCACAACCGCCCCCCTTTTGGCTTGATTGTTGCGGACGAGAAAATAAAAAGAATTGCTGGTTTGGTGAGGTGGTTTCAGCTTGATCGGTTGCTTTCAATTCCGTGAGTCAGGGTCCTTCTCTTCTCTTTATGATCGTGCCCCAGTGGCGGGGCAACAAAAACTTAAGGTACCGTTTGCTAATTGAGTGTCCTTGCGGTCTACGCTATAGGGAGTTTCTTCCGTTCTTATTTGCTTCCCTCGTCTTACTTGCATCTTGACGCCTGTCTCCTCTTCGCATTGATTCCCATCTCTCTCGTCCTGTCCATCGGCTCTTCGCTCCGCTTCTCCGCCCGCAATGCCGTCGCTCGAAGAACCTAAGCAGAACGAGGCCCGGTTGCTGCTCGTCTCCAACCGTCTCCCTATTACTATCAAGCGCTCTGAAGATGGCAAATATGACTTCTCCATGTCCTCGGGTGGCCTGGTCAGTGGATTGAGTGGATTGTCCAAGTCGACCACTTTTCAGTGGTACGGCTGGCCCGGACTAGAGGTGCCCGAGGCCGAGATCCCAGTGGTCAAGCAGCGTTTGAAGGAGGAATACGGTGCAGTCCCGGTGTTTATTGACGATGAGCTAGCCGATCGCCATTATAACGGATTTTCTAGTGAGTTGGCCCTTGCTCCGGGTCTTGCTGGTGCTATGATATCATCCGCTGGTGGAGACCTCATACTAACCCCGGCCTTCTTTGCGAATAGATTCCATCCTCTGGCCGCTGTTCCACTACCACCCCGGTGAAATTACCTTTGACGAGTCGGCTTGGGAAGCCTATAAGGAAGCCAACCGGCTGTTCGCCAAAGCCATCGCCAAGGAAGTCAAGGATGGAGATTTGATTTGGGTCCACGATTACCATCTCATGCTCCTCCCGGAGATGCTGCGTGAGGAGATCGGCGACAGCAAGCAGAACGTCAAGATCGGTTTCTTCTTGCATACTCCCTTCCCGAGTAGCGAGATCTATCGCATTCTTCCCGTTCGCAATGAGCTTCTCTTGGGCGTTTTGCATTGTGACCTGATCGGTTTCCACACCTATGACTACACCCGGCATTTCCTGAGCAGTTGCTCGCGTTTATTGTGAGTCGGAATGCTATCCATGGGCTTACAGAGTGGGTTGACTAACAAGAGCAGGGGACTTGCAACGACGCCTAATGGAATCGAGTTCCAGGGCAAGATTATTACCTGTGGCGCTTTCCCCATTGGTATTGACCCCGAGAAGTTCAAGGAGGGCCTCAAGAAGGAAAAGGTGCAAAAGCGCATTGCTATGCTCGAGCAGAAGTTTCAGGGTGTTAAGCTCATGGTTGGTGTCGACCGTCTGGATTACATTAAGGGTGTGCCTCAGAAGCTCCATGCGCTGGAAGTTTTCCTTAGCGACCACCCAGAGTGGGTGGGTAAGGTCGTCCTCGTGCAAGTGGCTGTGCCGAGTCGACAGGATGTCGAGGAATATCAGAACCTGCGCGCTGTGGTGAACGAACTGGTCGGTCGCATCAACGGGAAATTCGGTACTGTTGAGTTTATGCCCATTCATTTCCTCCACAAGTCCGTCAACTTTGACGAACTTATTGCCCTCTACGCCGTGTCCGATGCATGCATTGTCTCGTCTACTCGTGACGGCATGAACCTCGTGGCATACGAGTACATTGCAACTCAGCAGAAGCGACACGGTGTTCTCGTTCTGTCCGAGTTTGCCGGTGCCGCCCAAAGTCTGAACGGTAGTATCATCGTGAACCCCTGGAACACCGAGGAGCTGGCCGGTGCCTACCAGGAGGCCGTCACCATGAGTGACGAACAGCGTGCACTGAACTTTGCCAAGCTCGACAAATATGTTTCTAAATACACTAGGTATGCTCCGTCTACCCCCAACATTAGCAATCAGCACCGATACTAATCATCGCACAGCGCTTTCTGGGGCCAATCCTTCGTCACCGAATTGACCCGGATATCCAACCAATCCGCCGACAAGTTCCAAGCAAAGAAGCTCGCCGTGGGTGCGTCCAATTCCGCTGACGGCAGCGTCACTCCGGAACAGGTCGCGTAGAATTCCTTCACGCTTGGGCTTTTTGTGATCTGCGAATGCCTTCTACGAATTATCTTACTTAGATGCTCTCATGACATGGATGTGGCGAAATGTATTTTGATTTCTTGATTTCTTGTGCTTTTGGGTTGCATGGGAATTGCTCTTTTTTACCATCTTTTTTTTCTATCTTTGTGTGTATGTTGGAGATAGTTAAGGGTCGGGGTAATTATCTTCTCTCATTAGATGATAAAGATTGAGATTGAGGCTCTTTTTTGATATTGCTTTTTGTATTTTGGATTTAACAGAACTGTGGTTACGGTCGAGGTGGTCTGGAGACGAGATCTATGCATATTACGAGACGGTCAGTGCGTGTAATGGCAACCTTCCAAAGGCCTTTCTAGTATGCATAATCCAATATGAAAATGGATTGGATACTTTATATTTTCTTAGCTGAAGTAAATTGGCGCTTAGCTAGAAGTATAGCTTTGCCGCAGCGCGAAGAGATTGGATACGATCGTCTTTGATATCAGAAAGGGCTAACCGTGGCATTGACCACCCTACCCCTTTCGGTTTAGAAGGGGTAGGGTGGTCAATGCCACGGTTAATAGGATCGGGCTTGTGTAGCTAATTTCAGTGAGGATTCAGCGCGAATTGGTGGTAGGAATACGCGATTGTGGCTGGGGCGATCGGGTTGGGCGGGAATTACTGTTCAACGGAACGACTGGAGGAGTCAGCGCGCAGCTATGTCATCACTCGCGACCAAAGCTGGCCAGGCCTTTCTGTGTGGCAAAAGTAATGATTCACCCCGTAAGGTTCGAGGTCGAGTACCAGAATCAATATGATAGCGCCACTAGAGTCATTATAATACGTCAAGAGCACACCTGAATGTCTCATGCAGAGTTACCCTTGTACATCTTCTAAATGTCGGCGCAAGACAGGATACGGCTTCGCGCTTAATGACTCTCTGAAGAGCATGGAGCTTACTGGCGCCGATCGCACAACTCCATTCTTGCAAGAAGCCAATCGGGTTTTGGTTGCTGTTGGACTATCTCTGAGCACCAGCTGTCTGGTGATGCGGTTGTATACTAAGGGTCTGATATTGAGGAAGTTCTGGTGGGATGATGGTACGTAATCCAGCCTTAATGACAGATTTTCAGGTACTCAGCTCATGTTGAGCCCCAATTAGTATGCATTATCCTTGCTTGGGTAAGAACAGCACCCGCTTCCCCCCCCCCCCGAATTACTGGATTTAATGTCGGCCTGATATGCAAGACTCTATCAATCGGCACGCAAACCGCTATTCTATGTAAGTCTCGTAGGATTGAATATGTAAAGGGCCAAGTTGCTGAATTGGAAATTATTACCAGATGGCTATGCTTTCGGAGGTATCGGAAGACACATCGGTGATTTGTCTCCTCGGACAATAGACACACTTCTCAAAGTATGAATTCCGTGAAAACGTGTGTCGCAAGAAGCCCAAGTGCTAACTGCTGTTTGCCATAACCTTGGAGGTTGTACTGGCAGCTGCAGTCATCTATATTCCTTGCCTCGCGTTCGCCAAGCTCTCTTTGCTTATGCTGTATTACAGACTTCTCAAAGCATCACAAGGGTGGGTATACAGCATCTACGCGATCGCCTTCGTCATCTTGGGATATAGTCTAGCACTGACCTTGGCTCTTATCTTCGCTTGCAATCCATTGCAAAAAGGCTGGGATATTTCGGTACCCCTCGGCGTCGGTTCGTGTATCAATAGGCCCGCCGTGTATCTTGCAACTGCAGTCACGAATACTTTGAGTGACGTAGTATTGATCCTGATACCGTTCTGGGTGGTATGGGGTCTTCAGATGCGCCTCATTCAGAAGATTGGCGTGATAGCTATGTTCTGTATTGGGTGTCTGTAAGTGTCCTCTCCTGCGCTCCCTTGAGATGAATTAGAGACCCCTTTGCGGGATTTCCTACACCCCTTACAACAACGCTAAAATTCATCATGATCAAGGACCATCGTTACCAGCATTCTGCGATTAGCGACCATATGGCCCTTAGTGACAACGCCGGATTTCTCGTATAAGCTGGCTCTTGCCAGTGTCTTCATGTTAGTGATTGTTCCCCATCCTGCTCTAATTAAAGTATTCTGGGAGGTGTCCAATGACAACAAATATGGCGTAGTAACATTGAAGCAAATTTCATCATCATATGCGCCTCTCTTCCCTACCTCCGCCAGCTGGTTCGTCATCACAGCCCGAAATGTTGTTGCAATCGCCAACGATCACGCGGAATAGTACAGTCGGCTAGTTCCTTACCAAGTTGGGTTTCTCCTCAAGATAGCATGGGGACAGTTTGAGAGCAATGGAAGCTCGGGCTGGCTTCAGAGGGAATCAAGAACAAAGCTCCAACTCTTCATAACGAATGCAAATGTCTGAACACCGTGGCTCTACACTATCTTGATAATGTACCTAATGATTGGCACGTCTATTGCAAAGTCTCCGCTAAAATATTCCATGATGTTGATCATACCAGAAATCTGTTGATAATTGGCAACAGCCATCCAAGAGAACTAATTCACCGCCCGGCAGAAATCAATCCTCAGCGCCCCACCCCAACCTTAACTCAACCCGTGATAAGCTTCGCTACGCTCCGCAATCAGGAGTAATCAGGAGTGCCTGTCGCAAAGTCTTGACATTTGACGTACAAGTTACCTTAAATCCGCGATAGAGAGTGCAAAGCGCTTAAACGCTGCTGACTGTGACTAAGACAGACCGTGAGCATAGGCCAGAAGCAGACTTCATCTAGACCCAAGTGGACTCAATCCAAGTCACATTACTCGACAATATACTATGAGTTCGAAATCATCTCTCTTCTTTCACAGGCGTAGCCAGAATTCACCAAGGCTCCTTGCACAACCATCCTCCACAGACCTGTGGGAACATGCCCTTGCGCTATATGTGAAGGACTTGGACCCGTTGAAACAGCAACAATTCCAGGCCCCGACGACGGTTGAGGAGTGTTTGGAGGGTATAGTTCTTAATGGGCAAAAGCGGAGATCGTTTACGCGTATTCTTGAGTTTCTGAGACCGTTGGTTGATCCGTTGAAACGCTTTGAGGGTGCGATTGATGTTGTCGTACAAGTTAACGCCGGCATCGCGTCGCCCATTTGGGGTCCGCTTCGTGTCGCAATCACGGTATGTATCTCTCGAACCTGTCCCTTTCTCAGGCGTAAAGTAGTACTAACCTCTTATAGATAGCTAGCCAGCATCTCGCAACCCTAGAAACACTGGTTATCATTGTGGACAAGATCGCCCACTCTGTACAACGCTATGAGAATCTAAAAACCCTTTTCGCCGAACACGATGGTGTACGCGATGCTATCGGACGTCTCTATTGTGAATTACTACGTCTTTGTGCTTGCGTCTCAAAATATGAAACGAGTCGCATTCGGTATATTTCGAATCCATTTGGGAAGGAGTTTGACGCTGTTTCGACGGCAATTGATCAGCGTGCGCTAAATGTTGATCGTGCGGCGCAGGCTGCGCATTTCCAGGAATCGAAGGATGCGAGGGAGATGTTGTTGGCTGAGACACAAGGTGAGATATACCAGTTTCGTGGATGATATGGGATTGATTGGCTTACTGGGTTGTACAGAACAGGATGTGCGTCGGATACAGTGTTGGTTGGCACCGGCTTGTGTTGAGGATGATCTTCAGCGACGGGTTTCAGAGTACCTCCAGGGCTCTGGGGACTGGATTTTGCAAGCGGAGGGGTTTAAAAAGTGGTATACCTCAGCATGGGGTGATTCATCCACGGGGACGGACGGCTCGCCTACGGACGTAGCATCCCATTCCATGCTTCAAGTAATTGGAAGACCTGGAAGTGGAAAGAGTATACTAGCAGCTTACTTGGTGAACCATCTATCCCAGTCCGGAAGAGTTGTGTACTTCTTCTTCAACAAGCAAGATTCTGAACGAAACATGATGATCCATGCTGCAAGAACTACTATCGCACAACTACTCAACCTCTATCCAGATATTACAGAAATTATCATGCCTGTGTACAAGCAAAGCGGGCGCGTGGTCGCAGACTCTCTGACGGACGTGATGAAAATGCTGAAACAAGTACTGGATCAACTTTCCTCTCGAGCAGATGGTCAATCCCATTGCATTGTCCTTGATGGTATCGACGAATGTGAAGATTGGGTTGCGTCGAACAGTCATCTTCTTGGAAGTCTCCCCAACAATGGATCTGTCAAGATAGTTCTTTTTTCACGAGTCGCATTGGCTTCGTTATCCTCGGATGTACCGTCGGATCCCTTGATAGTAACCATGGAGTCGAACCAGAATGTGGAAATACGAGCGTACGCCGAAGGCCGGATTCGGAAGATGGTTCACCTCGCAACTACCGATCTCGGGCTCCGGGTTGTGAGCAAGACCACCGAGCAGGCTGATGGCCTTTGGTTATACGCGCGACTTGTCCTGGACGAGATAGAGCGTGCTCCAAGCCGTGAGGTTGTTGAATCAAGTCTTGATTCTCTTCCATCGGGCTTGGAAGAACTCTATAATCATATCCTGTGCACAAAAGAGGCCAAAATGTCCGATGCTGAGAAACTCTTTGCTCGATACCTGTTTCTGTGCGCAGATATTAGCAACTATATGCCCGATTTCCTTGCTCAAACGACGGATAGTATTCAACAGGGCATGCTGGATCTGGTATTCCGGTTCGCCAATGGAGGGAACATGCCGTTTGATGTGCCGAAATTGGCAGAGAAGCTCGGCGCGCCTTTGATCGAAGTGTTGCGTCCGACAGAACACACGTATGAATTGAGATTTGTCCATCTATCCGTCTATCAGTATCTCGCAGACTCTACCGGGCCGGCCAAAAACGGGAGAATCCCAGAGCTGATACAGACTCGGCAGGTGCGAGGACTTCACAGAGGCGCTGTGGCTGTGTGGTACTTTACGAAATGTCTAGACTCAGAACTGCATTTACACGCCCTTCAGAGCGATTACTCAGAGCCAAGCCCCGACCACTGGTCTGAATGCTACTTCCCAATGGCATACTGTTTATGGGATGCCCTGAAGATACGAGAGTCCCATCTGCAGCATCTCCCAACACCCTTACTCGAAGAGGCAGAGAACACACTGGATACACTGACTGCTTTCTTGCGCACTCAGCTTTGTCTCCGGTGGTTCGAACTTTCCACTATAATCAACTATGCCGGGGATTTCCCACAATTACTCGATAGAGTCAGCGAAGCATTTGAGATTGCTCGATCTGAACAGAACAACAGTCGGGGCTTAAGGGCATACGATCGTTTCAATAGGGCACGTCTGAGTTTCCTTGGTGATTGGCAGCTCATCGTGCTACAGACTACTCCATGGAAGGTACCCATTGGAAAGTCAACGTGCCATTTTCAGGATATAGACTGTCCTGGATTTCTCAATGATGTACCAGGGCAGATTATGTTGCATACTGCCGAGCGATGGAGTGCAAAGTTTATGATGTTCAGTAAGGCTCGTAGGTATCTTGAGGGAAATCCACCGGGTCGAGCCCGATGTCCGAGGTGTTTGGCTGTGATGGGCCAGAGGGATATGGGAAAGCACCGCATGATAGGATGTCGGAGAAGGAGGTGACCTTGAAGATATAACGTTGATATTGATTTAAGCTCTAGCTAATTTCCATTCCTCTATATCGTGTTTATAAGGGCTCTCGAGAAAATGGCATGATTAGACTCGCCCCTGGTATCCAGGACGGCAAACATAATCTCTTCGAATACCCCATTCCATTCGGTTTCCTCGAGGACCTCCTTGTAAATCCTGGCAACCTCGCTCGGAGGATTCTGGAATGCACCGCAGCCCATGGCCCCGAGTACGCAATGCGTGATCTTGTTCTGCGCAAGAATTCGGAAGATTTGTCGCATCTTGTTCTTGACGATCTCAACATCCTGCGGGCGAGCTATTTATTATCAGCGTTGAACATCAATCATAATTGGGGAAGTATCAATGTCACCCACCAAATCTCTTCTTATCCATCGTAAGAGCAGGACGTCTCAAAGCCGGTAAACTAATAACGCCCACTGAAAAGATCTCATTAGGCTGATAAACCCGACCCCACGACCCAATCTCATCCCTGAAAACCGCCACGTTGGGTGACCAAATAGCGCCATGGACGGGAATAGGATAGAATCGTTTGTACAGAGTCGCAGCCAACGTGCTGCGCATACACAATGCCTCTTCTTGAGCTAGGGCCCCGCGAAGCCAGCCTCCGCCGGGATTCCTTTCACTGGCCATATTCAATACTCCGATTTTGGCGGATGGATTGGCGTCGAGAATTGTTTTGGCTGCTGTGAAGCTATCCATGTTTTGGACTGATAGCTTTGGTTTGGTTGTGGTGCTTGCTGTTGTGATGGCTGGGAGTAGTTGAGAGTATAGGACTGCTTCATTTGTGGCACTGGTGCTGTCAAGGATAGAGGGTGTCAGGGATTTGGTTTCTTCTGCGAGTCCCTGACGCTCGATTTTGTTTGGAGGCCTTGACGTGTTTGGTCTGAACGACATGGTGATAGGTCCTATACTAGGCTAGGACGAAAAGTGGTAGATTGGTTGTTTGACTTGGATTGCGAGGGGCTTCGGTAGCTATTTTATGGATTTCTCGGTTATTATGAGTCACTAAAATAATGAGTGGTAAGGCATACTTGAAAGGCTCACAGAGCTGGCGAATACGAGATATGAGGGGGTTAGTTAATGATGATCTGCTGTTGGCCCGCTGCCAAGTCATATACTTTGCCGCTTAGGGTGTCCGCTGCGGCTGGTAGGATGCTCAGCCCCACGGCTAAGCGAACTGATCAGTACAGCTTAGAACGTCGAAAAGTTGTCTTGAGAGTCATATCATTGCGAACAGAAAAGATATTGTGAGTATTTGAATTATTCTTCGAGTTTATTCGTTAGAACAAAATGCATTAAATCTATATTCCATAGAGCGCTTCACAATACAGATATTATAAAGTCGTTTAACGACGATATTATACAACTACACCGTCCACTCCGAAATTTTATTTAAGCACGGCACATACGGCCAGAGTCGGCCACAGTCCAGGCATCACTGCCAACGGCCTTGAGGGCGTAGAAGAAGTAGTTGGGATCCCACTTGTTCTTGACGGTGAGCAGAGGGCTGTAGTTGCTTCCGAAGAAGGTATCCTTCCAGTTGAGCTGGCGGAAGTTACCCTCGTTCTGGTAGCAGCCGCTGTTGGGGGTGACGGCCTCCAGCTGGGGAACGTAGTCATTAGTGATCTTCCACTGATCAGCGACCATCTCGGACCAAGGAGCAGTCTCGTTCCAGGCGGTACCGATCTGCATGGTCACGGCGGCGTTGCGGAGAGCAGGGAAGACGGCATTGCTGACGTTGCTGGGGTTGGTGACGTTCATGCCGACACCGACGGCGATGACGCCGGACTCGGTCAGGTTGCGCAGGGCAGAGGCCATGCCCTCGTAGTTGTTCTCCAGGGTGTCGCGGGGAATCAGACGGCCACCGTACTGATAAGTGGCAACGGCCAGGTTACCCCAGGGCAGGGGACCCATGTACTTGTTGTAGTGGTCATAGTACGAAGTGTACTGGGTCAGACCCAACACGTAGGTGATACCAAGCTTGGTGAGGGCGTCGGTGAAGGGGGTCAGGATAGCCTCAACCTGGGCAGAGGTCTTGTTGTAGGCAGTGACGGGGTTGATGATGAAGACGGTGTTGGTCATCTCGTAGATGACGGTCACACCCTGATCAACCATAGCGGGCAGCAGCTGGTGGAACTGAGCGACAGCCTCGTAGAAGGTATCGGTGGTGATGTTGGCGATAGTGAACTCGAGAGCAGCACCGCCGATAGTGGCATCCTGGTGAGCCCGGACGGTCATGGACACGACAACACCGTAGTTGCCAGCACCACCACCGCTGAGAGCCCAGAACAGATCGGAATTTTGGGAGCGCGAAGCAGTAACCACCTTACCGGCGGCGGTGACAACCTCAAACTCCAGGGTCTGATCAGCACCGAGACCGAACTCGGTGCTCAGGGCAGAGTGGCCACCACCTTGGGTGTAACCACCAGCAAGGCCGACGGTAGGGCATTCACCAGTAACGACGACAAGACCCTTGTCAGTGGCAGCCTCAAGGATCTGGTAGCCCAGAACACCAGCGCCGATCTTGAAGGCGGGACCCTGGTAGGTAGAGTCCGACCATTCGGTATATTCAATATCAGTCAAGTGGTGGGTCCAGACAGAGAGGGCACCGGCACCGGTCGAGCGACCCAGGTAGCTATTTTGGTCGCGTCAGTTGGGGTTTATTCCCGAAGTTTTTAAGTTTTGCGAGAAACTTACTCGTGACCAGTGTTCTTAATCACAAAGCGGATGTTATTATCACGGGCAAAGTTGACAGCAGCCACAATATCAGCGCTAGACGAGACATTGACGGAGTAGTCAGGGAAGTTGCCCAGAGTGCAAGCCTTGGTCTCCGCAGTGAAGGGGTCGCAAGTCTGGTTGGCAAAGAACAGCTGCATCACCGAGGATGAGGACGCCAGGCTGGAGATATGGTTAGCGTCAATTCATTACAAAAAAAGGGGGAAATAAAGACATACTGAGGCTGGGGCTCCGTCCAAGTGTTCTGCAGAGCCGTGCAAGCAGCAGCATCATAATTGGGATCGTGGCAAGGGCTGCCAATAGGGACGGTGGCGATCAGACGACCACCAACGGTGTTATTCAACGAAGCCCAAGCGGACGCAGCTGGCCAGCAGTCATCACCAGGCATGCAGCGGCACGAAGAGCTGCGGCGTTCACACGATGGAGAGGCAACGGCCGTGGAGGCCAGAGCCGCAACGGTTACCAACCAGGCCTTCATAGTGGAGTTGAAGAGTGGTGGAAAGTCAAAGACTGGAGTTGGCTTGCCGACCAGAAATGGGAGGAATGTTTGCCGATCGCGAGTTTAAATCGTCGCCAGGGGGGAAAACGGTCGCGATGCTCGAGGTTTTATGGAATGTTGGATGGTCACCAAGCACCTCGGCCTGGACTCGAAGAGGGTCTCACCACCGATCGGAGATTTTCCCCAGAGCGTCTAGCTTGGACAAAATAGTACGGACGACGGATGGAGCAGGAGAAACGTGGTGCACTAAAGTGGATTTCGGCATTGTAACTGCACTGGATATATTCCATTTGGGACGGATTCGTCGGGTTTGCCGGCATTAAGCCGACGGACGAACTCTGGGTCTCTCCATGCATCACAGGTTCTACAAGCTCTATAAAGTTGGGGGAATTGGTTTCAGGATATGCAAGTATTTTGAACGGAGTACTACATGCCACGGAGGACTATCGGTTGATCCATTCAAATGGAAAAGACAGCCGAGTGGCAGTGTATACAAGGTTTAGAAAGTACCTTTGGGGCTACTGCACTCCGTATACATAATTTAGTTTTCGCCACAATTTAATCCCTGCAGCTGCAGAATATTCTTCCGTACTCTAGTTACTACTCTTAGTACTCTTAGTATACTCTTAGTCCCGTTAGTCCTGTTACTACGAATTAGAACGCGGTAGTGACCTTCCAGAAAAGATTCTTCAAGCTCTTCACCGGGCGGTGAAAAGCTTTAACTATCGAAACTAGGCAAGCCACCGTAACCACCTGGATGATATTTGCGGACTGAAATCAGCGAGTCCTGGCTCCTCGGCGGAAGCCAACGGAGGCCTGGCAAATTTCTTTACGCAATTTTCAGTCAACATGCCAGGATCCGATCGATCGGTTGTCTCAGGTAAGGCGGTTGGCAGCCAATCAATACATTGTATACGCAAGGAAAGTGGATTCCAGCCCAAATTTTGGGAGTATCTAAACCAAGCTTTACCAAAAGTAGGACCTAAAGTGGAGCTCCAAGTGGGTATGTCCAGTGTCCATTTTATGAGAGTTTGCTTGGACCAACGGCTTCGCTATATCTACAATTTTCTACATGCCGAAGCCAGGCCGGACCATGGATGCTTTTTAGGGCTGGAGAGCGCTCGCCTGGTCTCATTGGGCATGAGTTAGCTTGGCTAGAGGCCACTCGCCGCGTATCCGGGGTTCCCACTCCTCGTCTACCATGGAAGTATCACGTAAACCTTTTCTTGGTTTCCCGTTCCCCGCCGAAAGGGTCGTTTCTAGTGTGAAGGTTCTAGTGGCGCACGTTGCAATTCAGGGACAGCCTTTCAGCTTCCTTTCCCTGAAATTGTAACATGGGCATCTGAAAAGTATAATTCCCATACCCCCAAAATCCTTCCGGTTCTTGAACTGGAGTTCTGCTGCAACGGATTTGTTATTAAGGGACGCGTGCTGTCTCACCACTTTGCAACGGTTATGCTGCAGTTCTAGGGGTTCTGTTCGTCTCCACTGTTTTTTTCTCCGGCCGAAGGGATCATCAACATGTCAAACAGTAACGGCCACTCCCTAGAAAGGGGTATCTGGGCCGCGGTGATCATTGCGGCGCTGATCGTTGTCTTGAGGGTCTTTGCAAAGATTAAGATCAAGCGGTTTTACGCCGACGATGTCTTGATGATCATTGCACAGGTATGATAAATTAGTTTCTGTCGCCTTTGGCATGCGCACCTCGTTGACTTAGCATAGATTCTTATCATTGCATCGACGGTCTTCCTCAGTCTTTGCGTGGAACATGGCTTCGGTGGTGATCTCACCAAGTTGGCTACGCAGGACTCTGAGCTAGTCTTAAAATATATCGCTATCCAGGTTCCTCTCGTTACATTCAGCACCACCATCGCCCGTTCCGGATTCATTATCTACCTCTGCGCGGTTCTCGGCACGAACAAATCATACAAGATTGCTCTTTGGGTGGTTCTGGCGATTGGGGCAGCGGGAAATATCACTTCGGCAGTGCTGCCTCTGAGCATCTGTCGCGATGTGAGGGCGTTGTGGGACCTCGAGGCGGCTATGAATACCACTTGTGGTGACACTGCAGCGGTCATCAAGTTCGCCTATTACTCTAACAGTACGTTTCCTGGCTTTTTGGATAAGGGGGGAAATGGAAAGACTAATTCTTTTGAAGCTTTCAACTCGGCCACTGATCTCTTCCTCGCGGTCTTCCCCACGGTGGTTTTCTGGAATCTCAATCTCAAACTGCGCATCAAGATCGGCCTTATCGTTCTTTTGAGTATGGGTTTCATGTACGTTTCTAATACCTCCCAGCTTTTTGACGAAAACAAACTAACGTGAATTTGAACCATAGTGCGATGATTGCCTCCATTATCAAGACCACGAAACTGAACCAGCTTCCCGGCATTACTAACCTTGGTGCCACTGGCGGCGTTGAACTGATTCGCTGGGGTTACGTCGAGAACGCTATCATTATCATCACTTCCTCTATTCCTTGCATTCGCCCCTTGGTTATATCCTCCGTCCGAAAATTCTCCAGCGTCACCCGTTCCTACGAACTCTCTGGACCTTTCAGCGCTCACCGCACTGCGGGAAACGAGACGAACCACTCCAAAATGGCACGACGATTCAACAAGTCTCACAACTTGGAGAATGGCAGCGTCGAGCGAATCCTGGATCACAGTACGCACACCAGCACTACCATCGGTGGACGACCCGACACGCCTGAGAGGGAGTACCCCGGTATCACCAAACAGGTCGAAATCTCGGTGATTTCTGATGATCAACATCGGAGACTTTGATTTCTGTATCATTATCCACTTCTTCATTCTTTCCCTCCCTTTTCTTATCCCTTTTCTCTGTCAAGATCAACGTTTTTACGATTGCATATATGCACTGGTTTCATAGCGTCTAGACTAGCATTACATAGCTACGATAATGTTTGAGATTCAATTATACATTTATACTTCCCACGTGTGCATCTCACCACGTGGATTTCTAAGTTTTTTTCACTCGTGGCTCGGGATCCATCGATGCGTCATCTAGACCATTAAATAGTTACACCTTAAAATAAAGAGATAGATCAATTCGTTTTGAATTGCAGACCTGTCATACCACAATCACCAGTCTCTCATTCTGTTGTTGGATCTACTAGCCCCAACGGGGAGAACGTAAAGTCAAACATCTCACGAACCAAAATTGCATCAACTCGCCACCTCGACTCTGAGAGTTATCAGTCTGCAACTGAAATTCAAACAGCACATCGTGCAGCAGATCTGCACCCTGTGAGACCCACGCCGGATTTGCGACTCCACCAAAGGGCTGCCGGTCGGGATACCGACGGCCTGGGACGGTGCACGCTGAAACCGTTGATGATCAGCAGCGCAGGGGCCATTTTTGAGAAGTATCCGATCTACGTGGAGAGCGGATCCGTGAAATCGTGTTGATCAGTGGGGACCGAGGTCTCTTGTGATAACGTTGGATTCATACTTGGGAAAACCGGATTGGAATTTCTGGTTTCCTTATCGTTGATTTTGATCGAGAGGGTGTTGTTGAAAAGGAGTGATAGCGATTCAAATCTTGTCAATCTCCGATGTAGGATGTCCAGACAATTGCATGGGAAAAGGGTATAAGTGTAAGGACAAGTCTAGCTTCGTTCCGTTGTGGAAGTCATTATGTAGTGGCGTTTTATAAGTCGAGGTCGAGAACAGACTTCAATTTCATCTCTTACGTGATTCGCTGGAAGATTATTTTTGAAATCGTGCCTGAGAAATGAAGAAGGACCTTCTAAAGGGAGGAAGCGGTGCTAAGTGTGTTAGAAAAGTCCACTTATCAGGTCGAGATACAACCCTTCGAACGGACAATGGACACTGTACTATGAATCCGTCGGTATGGACCGATTTAGTGATTGGGAATATCTTTGCTATATTTCTTGATTATATCGCAAAGCAAGCCTCCAATGTTTACAGTATGGAAGGGGTTTTCTCAAGGCAAATGTCCTGGTAATCTAGGGACTCGAAGATATGAGATGATGGCGACTATCTTGAAGTGAGGGGTCCTAAGGAAAACAAGATGCAAAGGGCAACAAAGGATTTAAATATTAAAAGCGTAGGCAATATGGACATAGAAAGCCTGATTGTACATTTTACTGTTAACTGATCTCGTGATTTCGCGCCTTCCCGATAGGCTAAGATTCATCGAACAACCATTGGTCATGGCTCAAAAGCTACATAGTAACGTCCATCTAAGATGTCAGAGCCCGAGCCTTGCCGCATTATCCGGGGCGATTCAAGAATTGGTATTGGCCTCTATTTCTCCAAAAGTTTGAGCACAACGCCGCCTCCGCCTATGTGGTCTAATTTGGCGGGTAGCGGCAAGCGGAACATTACCGACTCCAAGAGCATAATGGCAATTGATAAAGTCGTTCTACTCCGCTTAAGTGTCGCTGAAACCTGTAAAACAGAGATTTTGAAGAATTCCCAACCCAGGCAGCTCTTGAAACGATCACTGTAACTATGTCTTCCGTCCATCCTCTGTCTGCTACGGCCTTGTTCGATATGAAAGGCTGGGTCACAGTGGTGACTGGTGGTGGCACAGGCCTTGGACTGAGTAAGTAACACACGGTGGGTAAAGAGAAAAGAAGCTGTTTTGAGCTAACACAATCTATCAAGTTGCCGCCCGCGCTCTGGCGGCCAATGGCGCAAAGGTCTACATAACAGGCCGTCGGAAAGAGGTGCTAGACAAGAGCGCCTCTATTCATGGATCGCCCGACTCTTTGGGGTCGAGCGAGGGTGCCATCATACCAATTGAAATGGATGTGACTTCTAAAGAGAGCATCCAGAAAGTAGTTGAGATTGTCGAAAGAGAAGCCGGTTATGTGAATGTGTGAGTTGAGTTAGCCTATATCAAGTTCGAAAGCTGACGGTCCCAGACTGGTCAATAATGCAGGGATTGGTACAGGTCGTGCGGCCGCAGCCGCCTCTGATGGACCCGAGATATATGGAAGGGCTATGTTTGCGGAAAGCATTGATGATGATTTCCAGAAAGGTATGCTATGTTTGTCTGAGTACAGGAAGTCACTAACAGAAAATCAGCATACCTTTCAAACTGCACCCAGGTGTATTTTGTGACTGCGGCATTTATGCCACTGCTGGCAAGGGCAAAGTCGAGTCCTGCTCAGGTTCCTGGTAATGTCATCAATATTGCCTCCATTAGTGGCTTCACAAAATGGTCCCAGAACAGCCAGTATTCCTACAATGTGAGCACCCAGAGCTGTAATATCATATTCATGAGCTAAAAATTCTTAGTCCAGCAAAGCTGCTGTCATCCATTTAACTCGGATGTTGGCATGTGAACTAAGCCATGAAAACATCCAAATTCGCGTCAACGCCATCGCCCCAGGTATTAATCGTACCTAGGTTACGCAACAAGACTTGACTGACCATCCCCAAGGCTACTTCCCGACCGAGTTAACGACCAACTCTCTGGACCCCCAGAACCAAAGCCCATGGCCTTTGGACGCATTTCAGAAGGAAATGAAGCGTGTCGGTGCGAAAGCCAGCCGCCCAGGTACTGATGAGGAATTTGCATCTGTAAGAGGTAACCATATAATCCAGGAAGACCTCTCTAACAATTATCTTCAAGGCTATTCTCAACTTGTCTGTTAATGGCTACATCTGGGGTCATGTTATGGTAGTTGATGGTGGATTATTGCTTCGCCATCCTTCTTCTGTCTAGACTACCTTAATAGTTACCATAGGTTAAATTCATCTCAAATTTATTGTCACTACCTTGAAAATTCAGATTCTCTACTGTAAATCTATCAGTCAAAGGGATTATCATATGGAACTTCAGAGCTGTCATTAAGATAGTCAGAAATAGGATTCATCTGGTGAATCTTGACCCAAGCGGTGGAGAAGTCATCGAAAAGTGTCAATGGTTAATTCAATCGTGCTCTAGACTTGATCAGTAACAAGGGTGATACTTTCTCTAGTGTGCTCATTGTTTTGTTTCAATTCCCTCTACATTGTAAACGAGTCTGCGGGGTACATGTCTGAACAAAGTCATGGGGTCCAAGTTGCTAGACTGGGTAATTGACGCATGTCCCGCATCGCATCCGTCTTCCGCCATCCGCTTCGTCTGTTTCTATCAACAATGCTGAACATGAACGTTTGCGTCAATGGCTTAGCTGTACATGGGTTGTTTATCATATTTATTTGCGGGGAGCAGAGAGTTATTTTTCCCGCATATAATATTTCATCATTTTGGCATTGTTGCAAAATCAAAAACCACTGAGAAGCCGACATGGAGGGTTGGTATAATTCTCATTTCGATGCTCAGGTCTCCGAGCGAATATCTGGCACTGCATCGGGCTATGTGGTGTTACCTTCGTAAATGGCTGTGAGTCACAGTGAGGATCCATACCGGATTTGTGATGCTGAGTATACAAGATGATGGCAGCCTAATGAATGGCCTCCAAGCTATGGATCGATGGCAAGAATTTCTCGACTACCCGACTGGTTACAGGCTTGGTGGCATTAGTGCTTGTTTATTTGTCCCTGCTATCTTGTATGTTATTTAAACATATGCTATTTCTTGTACTGACATGGCCAACAGTTTCTCATGGGCAGCAGATATTATCGCTGATAGATGGGGTCGACGGGCTGCTGTTTGGGCAGGAGTTATCACCGTTGTAAGTTTGAAGAAATAACTACAATGCTTATTTTTAAACGCTGAAAAAAAAAGATGATTGGCTCTGCCCTGAATGCAGCAGCTATCAACCTGGCCATGTACTGTGGTGGACGGGCCGTGACTGGTATTGGCATCGCCCTGTGTTTGGCGACTGGTCCTACATTACTGCAAGAAATTGCTCATCCTCGATACCGCTCCAAGATTGCAGGTTTCTGTGAGTGAAAACTTACCAAGGATGTCGGAAAGGCTTTGTTGTTGACACAGTGATCTAGACACTTGTATTTACTGTAGGTCGATTGATCATACTTCGCCTAACTAGCAGGGCTAATACTTGAAAGACATTGCCAGCATAACATCTTCGTGGATCTGTTGTGAGTATTACTGGAATATGGTTACTGACGAAGCAAATTTCTGATTTTATTGCTAGTCGGCTGCCTTTATATTGAGAACAATTACTCCTGGAGAGTTCCATGCTATCTCCAGCTAGTCGGCCCGATCTTTGTCTTGCTGGCAACTCTTAGATGTCCTGAATCTCCTCGAGTATGTGTCCCTATCTAATTACCGTTTGTGAGAATCCGAAACATCTGATCCTGGAGAAGTGGTTGATCAGCAAAGGTCGTAAGGAAGAAGGTCTGGCTATATTGTCAAAATACCATGCAAATGGCCACACAGACGACCCATTAGTTCAATATGAATTCCAGGAGATTGAAGCAGCATTGAATCTCGAGAAGTCATGCAGCGAGGTTTCTTTCATGGACTTCACCAAGACCCATGCTAATCGCCATCGACTCTTGATTTTAGTTGCTGTGGGCGTAGGCACGAACTGGGTAGGGAACGGCATCGTGAATTAGTTGGTTTGTTCTTTCCATTGGACCTAAACAGTATGGCTAATGAAGTCCTAGCTACCTGTCACCAACACTTCACCAGATTGGCATATATTCATCTGCTAAAATTTCCGGTATCAATGCCGGGCTTCAGATTTGGAACTGTACGACACCCAGTTATCTTCAATTCGCCAACTACTAACGATTATGTAGTGATTATATCGTGTTGTTCCGCACTTCTTGTTGAGAGACTTGGGCGTCGATTCCTCTGGCTCTTCTCCAATTGCGGGATGTTATTTTCTTACATATTTACAATGGCACTCTCAGGCGAGTATGCTACGCATCACAAGAGCTCCGTGGGAATTGCCGTCATTCCCTTTCTCTTCCTTTTTTTCGGAGCATATGATGTCGCCTGGACACCTCTTCAATTTGCGTAAGTCTGATCTTACATTTTTCAATGAGTCAAACTAATCAAATCTAGGTACCCCGTTGAGATTCTGCCGTTTTCTTTGCGAATGAAAGGAATGGTAATTTTTATCATGGTTCAAAATGTTGCCGTGACAGTCAATACCTTTGTCAACCCTATTGCCATGGATGCTATCGGATGGAAATAGTAAGACTATGCCCCTTCCGCTCTTGCTATAGTATTAAACACCCCGGAAGGTCTCATATTGACGTCATATAGTTATGGGATATACATTGCTATATTGGCTGGGTTTATTGTGGTGATTTATTTCTATTTCCCGGAAACTCGCTATTTGACCATAGAAGAGATCTCAGAAGTTTTTGAGAACGGGCTACCGGTGAAAGGGGCTGTCAACATTCGAAGTCTACCAAATCGGGATAATAATGTGTCCAAGGAGGGTGACAGCAATGGGGAAAGCTCTCACATTGAGATTGCTTGATATTAAAGGCGAGGAAAGGGAAATTTTGAATAGAGCAACGAGATCTCCGTGAACCTTAGATGTCAACGGAACGCAATGAGAATTTTCACACTGTGGCTTCAGCTTGAAAATCCAGTTAGATCAAATTTCAAGTAGACGAAATCGCACTGGAAGCAAAGGAATCAAGAGAAAGCCAGTATATTGAGGGACCCTAGCACGGTGCACGTGGGAGCCTCAGATGAGAGATATCTGGTACAACACAACGAAGACCACCTTATACAGTGGGAAAACGTCAATGAATCTGGAAATGCCATTCTAGTGACTGGAAATCTCCATCAATCCATAATGCAGAAGATGTTCATTTGGGGGCATCGGTTCCCGGTTTAGATAGCCCGAAACACAACCTCTCAAGTCGCAGGAGTAATACTGTCTAATATAATTTTTTGGCACGCGTGATACTGGAAAGCTATTTGATTTCAATCTATTTGATTTCAATGAATATATTTAAAATCTGGTCCATCGTCAAGATGCGTTGGTCCCTAGGTTTGGTAATTTCGAATCTCGCCACGGCATAGCATGCAAGTATACCATGCACGCGGAAAATTACCTATAGAAATCAAATTGGCTCTTACTTAAGTGAAGCCGACAGTGGGACGTCTAGAGGATTTGTCAGTGAACGGAAATGAAGATTATTGAAGGGGGGCCAAGGTTCTCACGGCTGGTAAGGCTCTTCGAGGTATTTGATTTCCTCCTCGGAAAGCTTCACGTTCAATGCGGCAAGTGTTTCCTCAATTCTCTCGATTTTCGAACAACCAACGATAGGAGCCGCAACTGAATCTTTGTGGAGAACCCATGCTAGAGCGATATTAGCCATAGGGAGGCCACGCTTCTTCGCAAGCTCTTCGACACGCTTGTTGATCTCTCTTTCCCACTCAACCCCCATTATAGCTTCATCATGGTACGCGTCAGAAGTCTATATACCGTTAGTAGTTCGCACTGGGTATTCACAAAAACGAGCAGTCTCATACCGAGCGAACAGTCTCGTAAGCACGATCCAATGGCCGAGTAAGATCTTGTAGCCGGCTTGTGATTAGAAAAAAAACATGGCCAATGTAGTACAGTCAAAACTTACGGCCCTTTGCCATTGGGCTCCAGGGGGTGGAGCCCACTCCGAGGTACTTCAGGAGAGGCATCATTTCCCGCTCCTCCTCACGGTACAGCAAATTGTAAAAATTCTGACAAACGATAAAGGGAGTCAGTCTGTTCGAGATCGCATAGTCTAGTTTATATGTTAGAATCAATTTCTCGATAATTTATAATAAGGTGATTCTCCTACTCTGCATTGCATGGAATTGCCAAGCCCAGCAGCTGCTGATGCCAATATACCGAACGTATCCAGCTTGGACGACATCGTGGAGAGCCTGCATGGTTTCTTCGATCTGGTAATATGTTAATTTATGAAGTTCGCACGCATATATTCTAGAAGCTGGATGACACTTACTGGTGTCTCATAATCGAAACGATGCAGCTATAACCGTAAGTGATTGGACTCTATAAATAGACGACGAGATGAATTCTCCTACCAGAAGAACGTCGATGTAATCAGTTTGAAGGCGTTTGAGTGCACTTTTAACATTATCAAAAATGTGCTAGAAAGATCAGCGACCGGAAGCTGGTCCTTCAGATTCAAGCGGGAAGCAGTTACCTTTCTGTTATTTCCAGACGAAAGCGTCAGCCCCGCGGGTCCTGACTTGGTGGAATCGCCGACAGGAAAGTGAACCTAGATCTATTAGGAAAAAAATATGAAGAAAAGATTCAGCTGTGCCCGTACCTTGGTCATAATGACGGCAGCCTCTCGCGGGACTCTCTGGAGGAATTTCCCAAGAATTTCTTCGCTAACTCCATTGCAATAGAAGTTGGACGTGTCGAAGGTATTGAAACCTACATCCCAAGCTTTCTGTTTTGTTGCACATTAGAAATAAGACTGGAAATTGGATTCCCTTTTAATGATATTGTATCGTACCTGGAGGTGCTTGAGAGCTTCCTCCTCTTCGATACGCCAGGCAACATCAGATTTGGACCCGTAGGTCGCTGTTCCGAAAATCAAGCGGGAGACCTTTCACTCAGATAAGCAATTGCCTCGAAAATTTAATTTGCAATCTCTACCTTCAGACCACTGTTTCCAAGCCGAACATATTGCATCTTAGGTGCTTCCTTCTGGTGGCCATATTCCACGGGTACGGTACGACCGGCGACTGCTGGGTTCTTGATCATGATTGTGATGTTTCGGCAAAAGGGTGACGATTTTTGGACTGCTAATTTAATACAATAATGAAGGAGATGGAATTGAAATATAACCTGATACTATCTTCAGTACTATCTGCTAGTATCAAGCATAAACAATCGATAGAATTTGCGGAGACCCGCCATCCGCATCCATTTCCGCCACCCGCTTGCTCCGTCGAGTGCAGCATCCATCACAATGACCCCGCATCAATATGTGGGTCTCTTGAAACCCAGTCGGAAATAGAAGCAACTTTGGATGAATCTGGAAGTACGTCTAATCAGTGGAGTCGGCGCAGGAAGATCCCATCTCACGGGTTGCTTTCATAGAAGAAATATGGCAACAATTCGGCGTACTAGATACAGAAATGGCAGGTATATGAATCGCGACGGATCCTGGGGTTGTGGATGAATAATACATTATAGAATGTTAGAGCGTATAATATTGGAGTAGGTTGGCAGTCAATAATTTCAAAGAAGCGTAGCAAGAAATACAACGGCCCTGCTTTGGGTCGTAGCTATACTCTCTAAGCGAGTCCAGATGTATTACTATTCCGAGGCCATGATCCAAATTACCCCCAAGGTGACTATCAATTAGGGAATTTACTTCAATATACTGTAGCAGTTCGACACTTTGAAACAAGATAGGCACGCTTGAGCGTTCTATGTTTCTAAATTTCTTTCGGAATGTCTTTTGAATTGTCGTTCCGGATAGCCTAGACAATATGTCTCTATTTATCTTTCAAGGCATGGCTAATGACTTGGTTTTGAAGTTTGGTCGAGGATTCAAATTTGTGAAAATTCAATCTATGTACGGTTCTGGTTGAAGTATATAGGAATGTCCTCTCAAGATAGTACGGTTCAGGCATGAAGCTTCGTCATCTCCGCCTCAATCGCAGCCTTTGCCTTCGCATCTCCGCCGTTGAACGCTCCAAAAACGTCACGAATCTTGCGAACAACTACTTCATCTGAATCCATAGCATCTGATAGGGCCTTTCCATTATTGGCCAAGTAGTCTGTGTGAATGTCGGCAAGTTTGCCATCCCAATCAGGACCAGCCAGAGGGTCAATCTTAGAGTGGCCGCGAAGACGCTCTGGAGTTTGCAGATTGATATAATACGGCGACTGCTTCTTAGGAGGCGGGTTATTCAAGAAGGGATATTTGGCCAATGAAGTGGAGTCCAATGGGGTTTCTTGCAACTCTTTGAGATGACCAGCTAGAATGGTGATATGCTGACAGCCCAGCTCAGCATTTGCAATTACTTCACCAATGTGCGCATTACTATATCTTGTCAGGAGACAGTAGACTAAAGTTTTTGAAAGTGAAAACTCACCTCGCCATCACTATCAGTGGCTGATCCTTGCCAGTTTCCGCGTAGAGCTGAGTATAAGCTTCCAGAATCTGGACAATACGGGGCGCCATGGGATGCTTGAAGTGAGAACGTTAGTCCGAAAACGCTCTCAAATTGCAATATCGACCACTCGACTTACAGTCAAAGCAGGGTCATTGCCCTTGTGCATGAGAGATTCATCAGAATAAGCCGCAACCTCGTTGAAATAAGGGCTGATGTAAAGACACCCAGCTTGGCTTGCTGCAATTGCCTGGGGTAGGCTGAAGAGCGATGTCCCTAGGGTGCGAATTCCTTCCTTGTTAAGCTGAGCTGCAGCGACCATCGCAGGACCGGTGACCGAAATCTTAATTGCATAGCGATCCCGGGAAATACCGACTTCCTTGAAAGCGCGGTCAAATGCATAACATTGCTCAAGAACCTTCTCCGTGTCATATACACGAGAGGGTGAGACCTGAACCAGGACACGGTTGGAGATATTTTCAATGTTGTTGGCACAAAATTGAACCATCTGCCCAGCCATCTAGTTAGTAAAATGGATAATTGGTGAAACACACGGAAACCATACAACACGATTAAAAACCTCTTCCCAGCCTTGGTCTCCGAATCTTTTGACCATCTCAGCCATCATAGCGTGATTCTCCGGGCGAACCATAGTGTCGGAGCAAATCACTTGATTAGATGTTTCTAATGAAATTGTAAATATTAGGCATTTGAAAATGATTGGTGATTTGATACTACATGAACATACGGTTGTGTGCTTTGAAGGGCAGTGCTTTAGCGACCACTGGGTCGACGGAGTCAACGTCAACATTGCAGACGGCCTCGAGGGCTTCAAGCAAAGTACCGGGCATGATGAACGTAGTCAATGTCAAATCAAATATGGAAAATGAAATCGATAATTTTTTTAATTCCTGTTCTGCCCCCAGCATTTAAGGCCCAAATATGCCATCGCATTCCCAATTTCGTGCGCACCGCACCACAAAGCTTTGTCTCGGAGCCTCCCCCGTCGATCTTGCGGAGAGATGGAAGCGTGGAGCATTGATCAAAGTAAGTCACTCACGTTCCGCAGAAACCTTGGGATATTGCGCCTAGAAACGTTACCGAGGGCTACCAACATTGTGATTTGCAGGTTGATCGGTCTGGCGGCATTTCCCACCTAGCCGCCTATCCGCATGTGGTCTGAGGACTAATGAGAGAGCTATACTCAGCACATCCGTGGTGACAGGCTTCCGCCCAACGGAAACAAGTTAGTCAATATTTGTCACGCATTATACTCCCACGGCTCATGCGGGAAGTTGGTGGCAACACCGGGAATCTATGGCCTTAAAAACAGTACCGCTCATGAGCATGAGGTCTGCACTGTATTGGACAGCCCAAAGTCGACCGCTATCGAGTTTTTACAATATCCATACACGCAAAATGACCACGAAAAAGTTTACCACTGCTGCAACTATCAGCCAGGGCCCTCTTAGGTTTGTCTGCCCGTTGTTTCTGGTCGTTCTCGAGTCATTTTGTGTAACTTCGCTGACTTGATTTCATTTTTCGCATCAGAATCAAAGGAGGATACGGAGATTTCCGTGATGACCTGCACGCCAATGGCTACGCCGTCATCAAAGGAGCTATCCCACATGAAAGAGCAATTCAGTACCAACGGAGAGCCTTCAAATGGGTAACATCCTTTGGGACTCGTTTGGACATGAAAGACCCCAGCACATGGAAGGCAGAAAACCTCCCGGTTCAAAGTAAACTGAACACATTCGACAACTATTGTGTTATTCATGAGAAATTCATGTGGGATGCTCGCATGGAGCCGGGAATCGTCAATGCGTTCGCCAAGGTGTGGGAAACCGATGAATTACTCGTATCCTTCGATTCTCTCAATATCACCTTCCCCAACCGCGAGGACAAACCTCCTCGCGCTCCCTGGCCACATATTGACCAGTCTCCCTTCAAGCGCGGCATGCATTGCATCCAGGGAATTATCAATCTGAGTCCTGCCGGTCCTGAAGATGGTAGCTTAATGTGCTTACCCCGGTCTAATACTTTCAACGACGAATTCTTTGATACACAAACCGATGCTCAGGATTGGGAGGTCAAGGATTGGCGCCGATTTAGCGAGAAGGAAATGGATTGGTGGGCCAGCAAAGGGCTCACTCCGATCAAAGTCACAGCCCATCCAGGTGACTTGATTCTCTGGGATAGCAGGACTGTTCACTGGGGTGGAGAGCCTACAAAGAATAGCGATGTCATCCGAACGGTTATCTATGCTAGCTATTCTCCTGCTAAATTGGCAACTAAGGAGGCTATTGAAGAGAAACAGCGTGTCTTCTCGGCGTACGGCGCTACTACTCACTGGGCGCACGACAACATCTTCTTGAGACCTCAAGTTGCAAAACTCCCAGACGGTACAATCGACCCGCGAAACAGGAATGAGCCCCAGGAAAAACCAGAAATTACCGAGAAGTTGCAGAAACTGGCCGGTCTCATCCCTTACTAGCTTACATGAACGGATTTGACGGAAATGAACCATGCGATAAGATTGTATTTAACTACATTAGTTACCAGAATGAAAGCACATTAGTTTTGAAAAGGAAGATGATTATGAAATTTAATAACTAGCTGACATTGTTGTGTTTTGCGTAAACAGAGACTAGTGGGCCGTAAGGTGACCGAGACCCGATACTTAGTGGGAGGACTCAGTTGAGCGGGAAGCGGTAGAACCGCAACGACGCATAGTTGCCGAATGGACCCTTAGAGCGAGACATAAATAGAGACTCGCTGGCCGTCTATTACTACTACATGAGCATTTTTGCTACTAAGCAGCTACTTGAAGTTAGGGATGGACTCTGAGATTGAGAGGCTGGCGCTTCAAGCACTCAGTAAGTAAGAAAGGACATTGATACTAGTTCAAAAAGACTAATAACATGAAAGACGATCTGAGTCTCCAGCCAAAGGGGAGAAGAGTAATCATAGGTATTGCAGGTGTTCCTGGGTCAGGGAAGACAACCCTCGCGGCCAACGTGGCAGCCAAAATTAACAATCTCTACTCCACCGCAAAAGATGCCCAAATTTCCGATCACGACCTCGCAGTCGCGATTCCGATGGATGGATTTCATTACTCTCGCGCACACCTAGCTGCAATGCCGAATGCTGAAGAAGCAATTCACCGTCGTGGAGCTGCATTCACATTCGACGGATATGGATTCCTGAATCTCATTGAGAGCCTCAGAGCACAAGCACACCAAACCATGTACGCACCATCATTTGGCCACGAGATCAAGGATCCTGTTCCAAATTCTATCCCAATACCGCCAGAATCTCTCATTGTTCTGATCGAAGGCAATTATTGTGCTCTAGATAGGGAGCCTTGGCGACAAGCCGCATCGCTGATGACTCGGCTTTGGTACGCTGATACCCCAGCAGAAGTCACCCATCCTCGACTGGCAAAGAGACACCTGGAAAGCGGCATTGTGGGAGATGAGAAGGAAGCCTGGGAGCGCGCCACTGGTACGGACGAAAGAAATGCAAGAGATATCCGCGAGAATCTTCTTCGTGTAGATGAAGTTATCAAGCCTTGGTGAATTTTGAATAATCTGAAGCGCAATTGATGCAATGGGTACTTTTTCTCTCTTATTCAATATTCCTAGATAACATGCATTCTAAAAAGGACATCGTGACTTTTGAAGAAGACCTCGGTAATTGAAATAATCATCAATATTGAATGCATCATGCTCTGTTGGGGATGATCAGATCGATCGTTTTAACAAGATGAAAATTCATTATTCGCAAGATTTATGAGGTATATGCAATAAAAATCAAAATTTACAAGGTTTTTATCCAAGAAATAATATCCTACAGCAGTTGAAGTGGCTCCAGAACAATTGGAAAACTGAGATAAGCAAGTATGTTTATATATTTTAAGGTATGCGGTAGGTAAAATTTAATTAAAATGAGTGAACATAATCAATGGTAGTTTGCCCAAAGTTACCAAGCACGGTGGCCACCGTCAACAACCAGATCAGCTCCAGTCATGAAGCTGCTTCCATCTCCAAGCAAGAAAAGGACAGGTGCACGGAATTCATCGACAGTACTCAACCGGAAAAGCATGTTGTCACCAGTCCATTGCGATTCCATGCCCGGCTTTTCTAGAGCTTCAGCTGTAGCTGCTGTGCGGATATAGCCAGGGGAGAGAGAGTTAACTCGAATCAACGGGATATTCTTTCGTGATCCCCATTCGGCAGCCAGAGACCTTGTCAATTGGTGAACTGCTGCCTTGGAAGCGTTGTATCCAGCGGTATCCACGCCCTAAGAATTAATTAGTATCCTCTGATTATCTGCTGTAGCTTTGTAGTTTTAATCACCTTGTTAGAGACGTATCCACTCATGCTAGCCACAAAAACCAGGCTTGCCGAAACGTTTGTTCTAATCGCTTCATTGGCGATTGCCTTCGCGATCATGAATGTTCCGACGACATTAATATCCATCATACGCCGGAAAGATTCCACAGGGAAATCAGTAGCTGGGCCATTCTCGGATACCCCGGCACAAGCAACAAGGCCTCTGATAGGCGATTTCAGGGCCGAGACAATCTTCTGGAAAACGATTGTGATGTCCTGCTCGCTCCTAACATTACATTGATAATAGGATGCAGTCCGGCCATGCTGGTTTGCCGTGAGTTGAATGCCTCCTTAATGATCAAGGAATTAGTCAAGTTTATCTTTCATAGTTCCTTAAATTCTGAGCATCTTACTCCATTCAGAGGGCTTGGGCTCCTCCATAACATCCAAACATACAACATCGCCACTACTCTCCAAGATTGATGCAGTGACTGCTACGCCCAAGAAGCCCGCTGCTCCGGTGACTATATGAAATTCAATTTAGCCATGAATCTGCTTATTTGAAAATGTGACATTCTTACCGACAATTGTTCGTCGATCTAGCCGAAAAAGACTAGCAACGGGAGCCGCGGGATTACCCTGCGAAGGCTTCGCCTCGCGGTACTTGAGGTCATGTACGTTTCCATTTCTTTCTTGCTGGGCCATTTTGAACTGCGAAATATTGGTAGATGTTGGAAGAAGAGGCAAAAACCGAAAATAGTTGGAGTCCATGAGTTTGCGAGCGATCAGGTGATGGTGTTTTGCAGGACGCTGTTTAAGTGGGCATCGACTGCCACGCTAATTTAAGCATCTAGTCTGAATGTGTGGGCTACTCTAGCTTGTTCTACAAAAAATTCGTTTCTACAGCAAACATCTGCTTCATGCGGCAAAAGTGGCCCGCAGTCTTTAGAGGATGGGCAGGAACCTTTTGGGAAGTCCGCTCTCCCGCCGTTTCCCGCCGTATGATGATTAGCACCTGGATCAGTCGCCATTGCACGAGAGCAGTGAAGTCCACGCTTCTCCAACAGCCCACTCATTGGCGCTTCATGTGCAGCAATCTTCCTTCACTGCTTCGGGTATTGCGGAAAGCTACTCCGCAAGGCGCGCGGCGGGAATGCATTATATAGGAGACATACTTTTCCATTTCCTACGAAAACTGCTTCTTTAACTTCTGGCTTGAATGCTCGGTAATCTGATCCGTCGAAATATGTCTACTGCCAGATTGATCCCCCGTCCTCTCGAGGGTAAATTAGCAATTATCACTGGCGCCTCAAGAGGTAATCAACATTCAACGAAGAATGTCACTGTCAAGCAAGATGAAGAATTGAAACTAAAATTGAAATATAATTAGGAATTGGCGCCGCTATTGCTAAAGATCTCGGGGCCAAGGGTGCCAATATCCTTGCAACCTATACCTCTGCGTCTTCCAACCAGTTGATCGATGATCTTTGCGCGGAAATTTCCAAATCGCATGGTGTGAAGGTTGTGCCTTGCAAATCAGACCTCAATGAGCCGGACCAAGCTAGTTCCGATATCGTCAACGCCGCCAAGGCTGCATTTGCGGATGCACACGGTAACTTGAGGGTTGACATCATAATCAACAATGCTGGAGTGGGTGGTGACTACAAGCTTGGAGATGTTCCCACGCTGGAGTTCCACAGAATGTACGGAGTGAACGTTTTGGCACCGATCTGCGTCACGCAAGCTTTGCTTCCATTTTTACCTCACGACCGTTCCGGGCGAATTGTCAACATCAGCAGTGTGGCCTCCAGCATGGGTTTCGCTACACACACTCTTTACGGTGGCACAAAGGCAGCATTAGAGGCTATGACTCGGACATGGGCTCGAGAGCTTGCAGAAAGATGCACTGTGAATGCTGTGAACCCCGGCCCAGTGGAGGGAGATATGTATTTTGCGGCAGGCGAGAAGTTCTGGAAGCAAATGGAGCCATTCCAACTCAATTGCCCCCTCAGCGCCGTTCGTGAGGGTGTTGATGACCCTTCGCTCGTGAAGCTGGCGGTTGATAAGATGGGCGGGCGCAGGCCTGCATACTGGAAAGAAATCGCTGCCGTTGTTGGGATGATCTGTGGGCCAGATTCTGGGTGGACTACTGGAAGTGTGATCTGTTGCAATGGAGGCTTCAAGTTCCAAACTTAGAAACCGTCAGATCGCTTCTAGAGGCGTGACTATGAGGGTTTCCGAAGTAACAGCCTCCCTCGCCTGGGGGTCTTTAGGTCAATATAAAGAATCGAAACAGAAATATTCGGTATCTTGCGAAATAAATTCCTATTTTATAGTTCACCAGGACTCCTTAGACTTCCCCTGGATAGCCGCCTCGAGAATTTCTGCTTTTGCGTAATTGTCTTCAGAATCCAGCCGATAGACTCCGCACTAGATCCAGTTGTCGCCCATGGCTGGGTTGCAGTTGTAACTTTGCCCAGGAGTGTTGTAATATCGGGTACCAGATGTCGAAGCAACGAGCTCCCAGACGCAATCGTCAGAACAAATGCGCACGCAAGAGAGCTAAAACAAGTTAGTGATAAGTCGAGCACTAAGACCGAACGGAAGTCTCACGCTTGAATTGTCATCCACGTATACTGTGTTCTCTCACGGAGCACGTATGTTGCGGTCTCAATATAATTCCGACAACTACTGACACAAATCTCCGAATGCTGAATGATGTATGAAGGCAAATGCGTATTATCGGGTAATGTGGCTGCATATACAAGGCATGGACGGCATATGATATGCTTTGCTGACCAATATCGTAGTCGAAGCCAGCCGTCATGTAGGTTTGACGGCTTAGTCTCTGTCAGATCAAATCTAATGCTCACTGGCAATGACTCATACCAGGAGTCCAGTTGATGAGCAAGCTCTGTGCATATGCTTTCCAGTGAGCCAACGCTATCGATACCATATGATGTCGCTAGATTTGAGCCCATTCCTATTATTTCTCTGGGACGTGGCGCAGTGGCATATATAGCACGGTGGATGCGGTTCAGCAGTCGCCTAACTGAGCATATTGCCAAGAACGTAAGCCCGTCCGAATCTATACCATTTGCAAAGCAGGGGAACGGCATATTTTCCATCATTATCTCAATACCACTTCGTGGAAGATGGAACTCCGCCAGAGCGTCACTGCACCCCGATCAGCTTATAGTTGAAATAACAGGTGACTGAAGACTCACCATTCTAGCAAGAAGCAGGTCCAACAAAGACGCCCGAGGCAATCAATTTCCTCCTGGGTTATTGGCTCATTTCCAGCCCTGCTTTTATTAGCAATGTTCCACGCAAAGGTCGACCCACGGAGGACCCCAGCCGCGAGGTTGGCTTACTGGCTTGCCATCATTTGAACCTTAGATGATGCCATGTATACCATTCTCCATGCATGTAGAGGCCTCTCCAGGTAGCATAAGTATATGGCACAGTATACCAGGCCGGATGCCAATGGCAGATTGAAGTGATAAGATGTGATCCATTGAGAGGTCAACCGATGATAGGCTCGGCCAAAATATTCCATGCCATCATCCTCGGTGTATTGTCCCGGGGAGCAGGCCTGTCTATTAGAAGCGAGCTTTCCAAGTGCCAAGACCATAAGGCACAATGCCTGGCTGGATTCATTGCCAGCTCCGTCAAACAATACGCCATTGAAAAATTCACCGAATAAAGTAGGGTTGAGAATGGGGAAATGAGGGTGGATCTCAGAGAAAAAGGCAGCGAGAAAGGAGTCCGAAACATCTTTATCGATATTGAGAGCATCCTCAGGTACTTTGGGCTCCAAATTCCGAGTGGATTCAATTTGATAGAAGAAGTCTTCAGGGTATTCCCCAATGAGCTTCTTGATTTGATCCAGCGAGAAAAGACTACTAGTCGGTGTGAGATGTCCAATCGGAATAGTTAGAGGCTCCTCTTCCATGGTATGACTGCCACCCATCTGCTGACCGCTTGCAGGTGACCAGTGCAAGTTTTGCGTGTCAGCCACTCCTGGAGAAGAGTCATTTCCAAGTTGCTGCGGCTGGAGAAGTGAAATTTCAGGCGGTATCCATAGTGACGAGAGGAATGCAGAAACATCGGCGTGAGTTTCAAGATTTTCTGATTGATAGGTCGTCTCTTTCGGCTGCGATGATTTGCAATGATCATCGGCTGCCGCAGCAGGGGCGGCGCGTTGCTCTCGAATCAGTTTTTCAAGATCGTCCAGTCGACGTATCATATCTGCCGTTGTTCCAGAACGTTTTTGGGCAGATCCAGTACTGGTTCCATGTTATTTCCAATTGCTTTTTCTTATCATAGGATAGAAGGCGTCCTTACCCATCCCTCGGGGCAGAGGCCACATTTTCGGTTGCTGCCGAAACGGCAGTCGCAGCAGTCGGGTCTTGATACTCACAAGTTGCCCCAGAGACTTTGCAAAGGCGACAAGCGGGCTTGTGGCCGTCGCACTTGCGTTTTCTATTCATAGTCAGATAGTAGAGCTGATGCTCGGGGTAGGGTCGGTTACCTCTGTCTGCAAAAATTGCAGGCAATCGGTGCGCGTCTGCGTGGAAAATTCATGAGGACCTTGGATAGAGATTGGAGTCATTCAATTGACTCGCGCTGTCCGCTGTAATCTCACAGATTAGATGCAGGCAACAAGCGTATTGAGAACAGGGAAGGAGGAGGAAGCATTGACAACGGCTCCGCCTCCGCATCTCCGCACTCTTTCCCCGCCCTCGGCTCACCGCCCGCGTAACTCTATAACCGTCATCTCGTCAGTCTGCCCTGAGTGCTTAACTTCTTGCTAACGGGGCAGTGTGATTTATCATGAGTTTGAGTAGGCATAGCGAATTTCTATATGGACAATCATGAATGTGTAGAGTATCAATTACGAAGGACTGAGGAGACGGGTGCCCTAGCTCTTAGGGGCGTCGCCACCAGACCCGTAAATATATACGGCTATCGCCTGACCAATGCCACGCACTCAGGGCTCTCATGCACAGGATGGTAGACATTTGGAAGTGGATAAATCAGAATAAATCAGCAGGTTGAATGACCTTCTAGTCTACACCCCTACCAATTTTCTGCTTTTTCTTCAACCGTTATTCTACAGAAAGAGTCGTTGTCCGCATTATCTCGCCGGTTTATGCGATGGCTCCTATGAACGAAATCGAGCCCGTTTCAGATATACAAGAACTTCCCAACAGGCCAGGACCATCTTCGCCTCTCGATACAAGTCCCTCCAATATACAAAGGCAAGAAAAGCAAAGATGGAACATTCCGAAATCTAACATACCGAAAGTCGCTGCAACATATTGGTGCTTCATTCTTCTGGGAGCGAATGACAGCTCTTACGGGGTATTTATGGATTAGAGCCCGTCATTCTCGGAAAATCAATAGCTAACGTTTGAGTAGGTTCTTATCCCTCATGTACGATGGCGTTTTTATCCTCCTGATATTTTTCAACACGCTTTTGCTAATTCTACCACAGCTTGAAACATACTACGGAGTATCTTATCTCCAGGTCTCGCTCGTTTTTCTCTCTCCAATTATCGGTTTTATCATCAGCACGCTCACAAACCATACTTTACATACTTTGCTCGGAACACGAGGTGTGGCTGCGATTGGGGGCATTTGCCAGCTCATCGCGTATATCGTCAGTAGCTTCCACCCACCATTCTACGCTCTGATACTGGCGTATGCACTTGTTGGACTTGGAGCAGGTTTCAAAAATGCAACTTGGAATTCCTTCATTAGCGGACTGGAACATGCCAACGAGCTACTGGGCCTTCTACATGGGTTTTACGGCCTCGGCGCAACGGTATTACCCGCTCTAGCAAGCTCTCTGCTTTCGTCTAAGAACTGGCAGTGGTTCATGATTTATTATATTTTGATTGGAATGGCGGCTTCAGATCTCGCTCTCTCAGTCACAGTCTTCCGCTCTCACGACGCTCAAAAATATTATGCTGCTCATGAAATTGAGATGCACGCACAACCCAGCTCGGCAGAGGCATCTGATAACATCGAGCGCCAAGCGGGAAGAAAATCAGAAAGTGTGACCTTGCAATGTGTCAAAAATAAGGTTGTTCTTCTCTGCAGCTGTTACCTCCTTGCATACGTCGGATCGGAGGTATCCTTGGGAGGTTGGTTGGTAACCTTCATGACAAAGGTCCGACACGGTAACTCTTTTGACTCTGGGATGACCTCAACTGGATTTTGGGCGGGAATAGCGATCGGAAGAATGGTATTAGGATTCGTGACTGGGCGCTTCCTCAAGTCAGAGAAGCATGCAGTCGTGTATTACCTCGGTGCAGCGATTGTGCTAGAGCTTTTGTTCTGGTTGATCCCGAGCTTTGTGGCATCCGCTATCAGCGCAGCATTTCTAGGTATGAAGCTATGAGCGCTGAGGCTTTACTGAATGATGCTGATAATTGTTTTCTTGGGAAGGCTTTTTCCTGGGGCCCCTCTTCCCCGCTGCTATAATTTGCATCTCCAAGCTTCTCCCGCGATCCATCCAAGTTTCTGCCATTGGTATCTGTGCCGCAGTCGGTGCATCGGGCGCCTCGATTGTTCCGTTTGCCGTGGGTGCGATTGCCCAAGCAAAGGGAGTCAAGGCATTGCAGCCCGTTATCCTCGGCTGTCTAGTGCTTTGTACGATAATTTGGATACTTATGCCAAGACTGCCCCCACGCAAGTAATGAGATCTGGGTAATCAGAATGGCGACTGTTGGCATCATGTTGAGTTTTGATTAATTTACTTCGACCTAGAGGTCCGGAGCTGGATAAGAGATTGATACATAATGGCATTACTTTTCGGCTGTTACGAGCTTGGAGACTGGAAACCCCAAGACCGTATTTCCCTACAGCTGGCATGTTATTCCGAGATAGGACACAGATGATGCTGGCCGGCTCACGGGGTAATGGTACTTTTGACTTTTCAGGAATGGGTACTGGAAGCCGCTTTCTCCTGGCGGGCGGGAAAGCGGATAGGCGGAATGGGCGTGGCCGCATCTCTCCGTCTTCGTTAGATGCACATACCTAGGAGGCCCTTGCTTTCCCATCGACTCTATGACCCCGCAAATGTCGAATAAACTCAAATCCCAGGTGGACTGCAGTTGAGTTGAGCGCACAATTTTGTCATCAGGGTCGTAACTGGCGGGGGCAACGAAAATTCTCACAGTACCAACGGATATAGATCAAATAATAGCGCCGGCACTCTCATAATTGGCGTAAGGTTGCCTCGAATGTGAACTTTCTGATAGACTTACAGTGATACGTATTGCGGGGGCCTTTCTCTGATCTTCTACGACATTCCCTAAGATGCGCGTCAGTTTCGGACCAATCAGAGCCACGTAGTCAAGATTCCCCGTGGGGGTTAATGTGGAGACTTTTAGACTTTGCTGCTTTGACAGTGTGTTGCGCAGCCGGCTAAGACTTAGCACCACGCAACATCTGACGCCCTCTCGGAACTCAGCAGGAATGAAGAAGTGGGCCGCTTTAATCCTGGGGTAATGCCGTCGTACTAAAGACAAGTGACGCATTCAAGGCATATATGCTATCTGACCTGGGTTCATCGGCCATAAAACTGCCCATCGTGCCCTTCATTCATTCAATCTGCACATTGTACGATCTCAACGATGGAGACCTCCGTCAGAAATGAAATGGCTCAAGAACATCCCGACTATCGGAAGTTACATAACAACACCAACAAAGACTGGTGGAAGGATCCAGGTAGGCTGCCACTTCACGGTTCCCCATTCCAGAATGAGCTGGATACCAAGGTTAATTGGTAGGGCTTCGTATCAATGTCTACCACTGTGCTGGTCTGTGTGGTGCCATTTTCTTCAATGGATGTGAGTCAAGTTGAATCCCATGTCACTATCACTATCACTGAAACTGTCTAATACCGAAACAGTTGATGGCAGTTTATTCAATGGCCTTCAAACAATCCCAGCCTGGCTCGAGTTTTTTGATTATCCGAGCAGCAACAAGCTGGGACTGATGAACTCTGCGGCTCTGTTTCCCGGTCTTGTGGCCCCTTACTTCTCTGAGCGCATTGCTACCAAATGGGGCAGACGCTATGCCATATGGCTCGGAATCGTTATCAATGTTGGTACTCCCACATTGACATCTCGTATATTGTTGCTAAGAGGCTCAGGTCATTGGTGCTATCGTCAATTCGGCAAGTACGGGCTTGGGCATGTACATTGCTGGGCGGGTGATCATGGGAATCGGAATCGCTACAACTTTGACCATTGCGTCCACCCTATTGCAAGAGATCGCACACCCTCGCTACAGGGCACCACTTGGAACAATTTGTTTGTGACTCTTTGCTTTCTTCAAGCAGGTAGAATATATCACTAATGCGTTTCATCATATCAGATACCTCAATCTACTACGTGGCAGCAGTTATCTCGGCAGGCATATGTTTGGGCACACGGAATATTGCAGGGAATGCATCCTGGAGAATCCCCTGCTATCTGCAGTTGATTGGCCCGATTGCCACATTCATTATGACATGGACAATGCCGGAATCGCCAAGGGTGAGCCCTCTCAGGCAGACTTTAGTAATGTCGCTAATACAACGCAGTGGCTTATCAAAAACGAACGATACGAGGAAGCTATCCAAATACTTGCCAAATATCATGCAAACGGAGACATCAACGATCCGCTTGTTCAGTTGGAGCATCGTGAGATTATGCAAGGCATTGAAGCGGAGCAAATCAATTCCCAGGTTGCCTACACAGACTTTCTCAAGCCAAAGAACCACCACCGTCTTTTCTTGCTTGTTATCATTGCTATAGGCACGAATTGGGTCGGTAACGGAATCGTATCATATTATTTGTCGCCGATTTTAAATCAAGTGGGAGTGACTGCGAAGTCCCAGCAAGCCACTTTGAATCTAGGTCTTCAAGTCTGGAACCGTAAGTTCCACTATCCTCCCTATGAAACTGGAATTACTAAATTGTGGCTACAGTAATTCTATCGACAACAGCCGGGCTTAACTGTGATCGCATCGGAAGACGACCTATGTGGCTCATATCAAATATTGGAATGCTCTGTGCATTTGCGATAGTCATGGGCCTCTCGGGCTCCTACGCAACAACAAACTCAAAGTCCACAGGCCTTGCGGTAATCCCTTTTCTGTTCATCTATTTTGGATTCTATGTATTCTCCTGGACTCCGCTCGCCAACATGTACAGCGTCGAAATTTTGCCTTTTAACCTTCGTGCAAAGGGTCAAGCAATTTTCGTCACCGTCCAGAATGCTGCTAATGCGGTAAACCAGTGGGTCAACCCAATTATCCTGGAAGCTATTCACTGGAAATACTACGGCGTTTACATTGGCATCCTGATGGCCTACATTGTCATGATTTGGTTTACTTTCCCGGAAACTAAAGGCCTTACTATCGAAGAAGTCGCTACTGTTTTTGATGGTGAGGACGCACTTGGGATGGATAAAGGTACGGGTAAGGGAGTAGCAAAGACAGCCACAGCCAGTGAAAATCTATCAGACTCTGAGCACGTGGAACAAGTTTGAAAGGTGGCTGTCTTGCGTCTTCCTTGTCTTGTGCTGCCTCGACGAGTTTCAAAGGACAACCATTTAGAGACAGCAAGAGACAGAAACCGAAGAATTACGAATTGAACTTTTGCACTCTTTGAAAACAGAAATCAGTGCCACTGCTATCAAGTCTTTTGCAGCTTTAATTGAAGAACCCTTTGACACATAGATCTTATGTACAACAGTATCTATTAACGTGAGAACGGGACTATTGGCGGTCCCATGGGGCCTATGGATGCAGCCTCTTGAGGTTTATAGATGATGAATTAGTATGCTAGAGGGTTTATTATTAGGGACCTATTACGGCCAAGCCATAAAAAAGAAAAGAAATCTAGCTCGCATAACGAACCAGGCCTAATGCGGGTAGATTCTGCTCTATTGTACGTAACATGCCCTGATTATATTTTTAAAGGAACTTTGTTGATGATAATCCAAACGATTGCCCGAGACGTTATCCTAAAGCTGTCCAGGGAGACGTCCAAAAGACCTTCTGAAAACCCTTTCAAAATAGTGGTATTTAGTATGAATTGGGTCGGCAATACCTCATACAGGAAGAAGGAAAAGAAATGGAGAAGAGGAGTGGAGAAGGAAAGAGACAAGAAACCCCATAGACGCAACTGACTCTAGCCTACTATGGCTCAGCATCTTCGGTCTGCTGGTTCTCCTCATTCTCGCCGTTCTCATTGCCCTAGCCATAGGGGCTTAGGTCCTCAGAAGGAGGGGCAGGGTGGATGGAAGAACAGGGTCACTGTTACCCCGTGCTCGACCACGATCACGACTGGTGGGGTACGGACGGCACCCCCTTACCCACTTTCCGGGGAGGGTTATGTCTGACGGTCAGGAGCGGGTTCGGGGGGCGGGGAGGGTAGGCGCAGCAGCAGCACCAGGGCCGCTGATATTAGCTGTGGCGAGCTACTCGGTTACTTAGTAAAAATATCACTCGTAGGTCGCAGAAGGCAGACACACGAAACTGGACACACGGGTCTGGATCCAGCTGTCGGTGGCCGGCGCCTAAAGAAGATTAATTTACATGAATGATATGAGCACCCGATTGGCACTCACCCGAGCCTCTCTTCCTAGTCATGCTTAGTTTGTTGGACAAAACAATCATCGCTCCGCTAGACCTTTTCACTAGTCGCTAGATGTAGAAATTTAGACAGATATAAAATTAATCAAAATAGGTTAAGCCTTTCGTGCTGCTTGACCTTTTAGCGTACAGGTAACAAGATCCTGGGGTTATAGATGTTCAAAAGAAATTTGTGTTACATGGTAGTCACTACTCGTAGAATTAGATTAAGCACATCCACGCACAAGGAAACTACCCCCATCCAGCATAAGAGTGGCACCGTTCATGTGGCGGCTTGCTCTGCTAGCTAAAAACACCATCACACCGGCAATGTCCTCTCCTGCGCCGAGCTTTCGATCAGGCACTTGTTTAGATACGCCTTCGATTCCACCGTGGCGAGCCATGAGAGGGCCACTCATCCTGCTAGGGAAGATTCCCGGAGCGACAGCGTTGACAATGATTCGGCGAGGGCCAAGCTCGACGGCCAGATTTTGCATCAGATGCACAACAGCAGCTTTTGAAGCAGCATATGCATACGCTATCCCTGTATTAGAATTGCTTCGAAACTTGGATTGCACGTATGAGACCTACTTCCATGAGGGCCGACGTCACCAATTACCACACCAGCCACTGACGAGACCATAATGATCCGGGATGGATCAGCAACTGTGCCACCGATTTCAAGTAGAGGTGTGAATCTGATGAAGTTAGTCGATGTATTTTATCAGGCTCATCTTCGGTAAAACGCACTTCTGGATAGTAAAGAAAACACTGTTCACATTGACATTCATTACATTGGCGAAGTCCGACTCCTTGTAATCTTCGAGCTGCCCGATGAAGGTTGCACCTGCATTGGCCAGTAGAATGTCAACCCTGTCAGTGGTCTTGGATACCTCCGCGACGACTCTGTCAAGATCAGTCACGCTTGAAACATCGCCAACAATAGGTATAGCGCGGGACTCGGGGTGTATGTTTGGACCCTTGAGTGCATTCAAGGCTGTGGCTGCCTCATCGAGAGAGGATTCTGATCGAGCAATCAAATACACCTTTGAACATCCAGCCTGGATGAAACTGCAGCAATATTAACATTGATATCAGAGGCGGTCTTTCCATCCTATTGCGCCAACTACTTACCCGCTTGCAGCTCGAAGACCAAGCCCACGAGAGCCTCCGGTCACCACTGCGACCTTTCCTTTCAGACTGAAGATGTCATGGAAATCGTTGAGCTGAACGAGTTCTTCGGCCGTTTCCGCACTCATGATGGTCAGCTTAGAGGATTGAAAGATGAGTCGAAAAGAGGAAAAATAGTTTGAGTGGGCGAAGGAGGAATCGAGGGAAACACGACTACTTAAAGCCTCCGCAATCACCTCTTCGAGTAGGAAGTAAACCAGAACACGGACTACGCACAACACCCCGCAGTGGAGACTCTCGGCGACCATTCGATTCCGCTCACAAACGCCTACCCGCTCCCCGCAGGTCGAGATTATGCTCTGCAGCTCGGTCCCATAGTAGTTGATTCGTCTATTTCTGATTGTTTTCACACAAAAACTAATCTATGAATCTATTTCTGGGCTGAAAATTATTTCCTAGATTAAGAATAACGATGATTGATTCTCCTACTTTGATCTTCACTAGCTGTCTACAAATCCTATCCATTAACTCTTCCCCTTAGACGATGGGGCCATCGACTAAAATGGTGAGTAAATTACCTCCATTGCCGCAGGAAAATAACTTACTAATTGTTTTTATAGCCATTTTTCCATCAGGCCCACGGCCCTTGCTAGTGGTCTCGAATGCCTTACTTGCTTCCGCGAAAGGGAATCTGAATGGGGATTTTAGCTTTCTCCTATGACGTAGGATTGGATCTCAATTGCAGCCGTACCGATGAGTTAAGAGAGGTTTCAGGTTAATTCGACCTTGCCGGACCAGATCGACTGCAAGTGTATAGCATCCTGGGCCATACTATTGTCTTATTAGAACGCATAGGGAAATGAATGTCATGGGAAAAGCTTACACGCAGACTCCCGATCAACCTAACTTCCTTGTTGACAAAGATAGACATGGGAATCAGATTATTGGCTGGACCAGCGCCGACTTGCACGCATGTTCCACGGCGCTTTACAAGCCATATGCCAGTCTGGACACACACCTCGGCGCCGGAGCATTCAACAACGAGGTCAATACCTTCCCCGCGTTCTCCAAATCCAAACTTTTCCATGATTGCTTTTCCCTGTTTAATAGTATTAGTATCAAGCATTGGGGCTGAAAGGGGGCTGGGAAGAGACGAACGTGGCGTTTCGCGTATGTCATGTTGTCCTCTCCAGCCTCCTTTGGAAGAGCAACATGAATATCAGTAGCCGCATAGTCCTTAGCAAAGTCTAGGCGATGGGGTTGCACATCAATTGCAAGGATACGACGAGCACCAAGTGCTTTAGCAACCGCCATTGTCCTGTGGAGTCGCATATTAGCATGTTAGTGCAGATTTCAGGAATCACCCCTTACAAAAGACCAACGGGACCAGCTCCAAAGACAGCGACATTAGCGTTATGCGGCATCTTAGCAACGCTTTCAACCGCCATCACAGCGACAGCCAGAGGCTCAACTAGAGCACCCTCCTCCATGCTAACATTTTCTGGAAGTTTGTAGCAACTAAAATGGCATGTCAGAAAATGATTCTCAGATTTCGAGTCGCGGCCTTACAAGTCAGCTGGAATAGAGAAAAAACCCTGTAGGGTACCGTCAAATCCGTCGGCTGCCGCAAACTTGAAATCTCCGCATTGACCGTATGAGCCACTTTTGCAGAACTCGCACCGCATGCAACAAATACCGGGCTGCTGAGGAGTTAATACCAGTATGATGAGGAGGAACCTTTTCAGCTTCTTCGGATGTCAGAGTTTACCTCCATGGCAACTCGGTCACCAATTTTCAGGTTCGTCACCTGCGAGCCAACTATTCGGAACATTAGTAGAGAAGACGGTACCGAGGATATGGCAAGAATCCGCATACCCTTTGCGACGACGCCTGCGGCTTCGTGGCCAAGAATCAAGGGCTTGTCAAACACCGATTCACCAGCCTAGAGCAATATGTGAGCTTATTTTCGTCTCAACTAGCAAAATTCGGTACATACCCGCCCCTCGAGGAAAATATGCATATCCGAGCCGCATAATCCGGTCTTCTTTGGTGCGACAACAACACTAATATGAGGATAATACTGAGTAAACAGCCCTATGGTTTAACGCAAGAAGAACTTACTCGTAGGGGGCTGGATCGGCAGGAATGGGTCTTTCTTCCATCTCCAGTTTGCCCAATGCCGTCATAACACAGGCATTATTATTAGTGGGAATTTCTAGGTCCTCCATGACTCGCAGAATGTGCAAAGGGTAAGCGTGAATAGTTACAATTCGGAGGAGAGAATTTCAGAGCGAATTGTTACTTGTAAAACGGATCAATCTAGTCTAAATAAGTCTGGTTATCTCATACTCGATATAACCTATCTTCTATTGCTTGCTCGACTCTCTCAGGCAGATGTTTGTGGATCTTGTCTAAGCCCGCTCATCCGCAGGGATTTGACTCATTTTCATCAATTGCATGCTCCGATTTTGGGCCCACTATTCTCCCCGCACTTGGATAAGGAAAGGACGAAGCTTGGTAACCCTGACGGCCCGCCTAACCGCCCTGCCGCCCGCAGGCCGTAGTCAAGTTGTATTTGCTACCGCGAGTTCACAACAGCAAATATTCGTTCACGTAACTGGAAATAACAGAAAGAAGGTTTCACACATATTCAAAAAGCCGATTCCCACATTAATCAATCTTGAATTCAAGTTTCCGATTCAGCAATTGTCAAACATGGCCCCCGCGATCCCCACAAACCAGCGAAAGTTCGAGCTGAACGATGGTCGGAAAATTCCAGCGATAGGCCTTGGAACTTACCTTTCTGCCCCAAATGAGGTAACTCAGGCTGTTGTAGCTGGCTGGAAGTGTGGTATGAGACACTTCGATTGTGCTCAATTCTATCAGGTGAGGCTAAGACCATTGCGGAATCCATACGAGAGAAATCCTAACAGCCAATTAGAATGAGGAAGAAGTTGGCGAAGCGTTGAAGCTTTTGTCTCACGAGCCTGGATACAATCGTGAAGATATCTGGATAACCAGCAAGGCTTGGAACTCGTATGTTGCCAAGCACCTAAACCAGTCCTGTGTTTTGGCCATTCCTGACTATTACTAGCCACCATCGCCCCGAAAATGTGAAGAAGGCACTGAACCAAACACTGAAAGATCTTGGAGCTGACTACGTTGACCTTTATCTGGTAAGAAAATGAATTCTAATAATGCCAAAGATGAACCTGACTCTGTTAGATTCATTGGCCGGCCAATTTTGCAGCGGTTCCAGATGTCAATTCGGCGACTGGGATCTCTTTGACCCCATCTCAAGATGGAAACATGTTTCTTGACAAGGAACTAAGTCTCGTCGACACGTGGAACGCTATGATTGAATTGAAAAATCAAGGAAAGGCTAAGAGGTGAGCAATCGTCTGGGAGTGCAGATATTGCTGCCAATTATCCCATTCTAATATTTGACATTAGTATTGGTGTGAGCAACTTCAGTCCTAGGCACATTCAAAAATTGATTGATAGAACGGGGGTTGTACCTGCGGTCAACCAAGGTATCACCCTAAATTTACGCCTTCCTATCTTCTTGGGTATAGCTAACAGGTACTAGTTGAGGCTCATCCTCTATTGAATCAACAAGATCTGCTTGATTATTGTAACAGCAAAGGCATTCATATAACGGCATATATGCCGTTTGGCGGCGATGCCTCAAGAGGAGGTAATCAAGTCCTTGGAAGCCCAGTCGTCCAGGAAATTGCAGCAAGGACTGGAAGGCAAACAGGACAGGTGCTAGTCTCGTGGAGTATCAAGGTGAGAAAGCATCTGATATCTAAAACCATCGAGATGCTAATCCATGGGATATTCAGCGTGGATTCTCAGTCCTGCCCAAATCTGTCAAACCTCTTCGCATAGAGGCTAACTTTCAAGCCTTTGATCTTGACGATAAGGATCACGAATTGCTAACAGACCTGGGCAAAGTTGCCGTCAGATTTGGTGGTATCCCCTATACCTTTGACCCAGCATGGGAAGTAAATGTCTTCAACACCCCGGAGGAACAGAAGGCAGGTCTTCTGGAGCCATTTTGAAAGATCCGGAGTTCCTATGCCACACCTTAGCCTTCCTTTTCCGTTTTAGTGCTTAGCCCCTCGCCGCTTTTGCTCACTAAGTAGAACTAAGCACGCCCCTAAGCTAACTGGCTGATCCACTCACTAAGCACTCTAACTTGCTCTCTGACTAAGGATAACCTATAACTAACTAACTTAACTGCCTTAATAAGACGTAATACGCTGGCCCTATCTACGTAAAACTCCTTTTTTCTAGATTAGCCCTATAGTTAGTCCTATCAAAAAGTATTAGTAAGACTCTCGGAATCATTATCCTAAACTCTTTTTCGATGATTGATTAAGATCAAAAAGGGAGGATAATAACGAAAGAATAGGGACAGGTTGAGCTATCCCTAGGCGCGTGTAACCAAGTACTCAAGTTACCATATAGGGACCCAGATATTACCAGACAAACACAATAGAAAAGGTGGTATGGATTTAAGCCAATCCAATGTCACGATAATGAATGCCCCCACTTCTTCTCAATATCTATTTAAATTGGTCGAGCCAGTCGTAAATAATACGCTCACCAGCGGGGTTCCCCATGTGATAAGCACCTTGTACAAACCTGGAATGTAACTTCAGAGTTAGTGGCCTCCTTCTTAAGCAAGATGGCTGCAGACAGAAGCAGAGAACTTGCCGTGCTTCCTTGACGTTTCCATATTCAAGAGGAATTATAGAATCTTCAATGGGCAAAATCTCATCTTGCATTCCCTGGTCAAAGTCAGCTTTGTCTCATATCACATCATACAAGATCAAATTTCTCACATTAACCAACAATAGCCGACAGCTTGGATTGTCAAATATGCCGTTCTCTAAGAAGGAAAATCGCTCCTTCCCAGTCCTCTTATACTCGTCAACAGAATCATATCCAAACTTGTACATAAGTGCATCGACAAGTCTAGAACGTTGTTAATGATTAACAGTCTTCACAGGCTATCAAGAGAAAGGCACTCACGCATAAGGATATTCCATATTATTCTGCACGTTAATCCATTCAGAACTGAACATCCTATGGCTACCACCGCCTTGGCTCACCACTGCTAAGAGTCGGTCCGCGTGTGTATGGGCAATACGCATGGCATAATAACCCCCAGTACTCACGCCTCGAACACAGATCATTTTTCGATCAAACATCTCTTGCTCCTGGATCCAATCAAGAACACTCGACCACTGTCGTTCAGGACTGAGCGGATCATTCTTTAATGCTGGCGAGTCACCCGTCCCTGGTATCTCGACACTAAGACAAGCGAACCCACGCTTTACATGCTCTGAAGTCCTGTTCGTATGGTCCGTTCGATATGCATCGAGTCCACAGATGAATATGACAATTGGAACTTGCTGGGTCGGCGATGCGTGTTCGGGGACTCGGAGGTAGCATTTGATCTCTGGACCTTCGCTGTCGATCCTGTGTGTATGTGGAATGGTGATCTCGATGTTTGCTGGGTTGAGGTAGCGGCTACCTTTCAAATATGCCTCCTTACCCAGCTCCCAGGCTTCAAATGTCTTTGGAGATCTTGCGACCGGGAAACGTGCCATTCGATATACTCCGGCTGCGCGTCTAAAATGGAATCAGACATCATCCAGCAAAGCTCTGTGGACACTCACAAATACAACTCTGATGCCAAGACAACGTTGCCGCTCCGCTCTGCGTTCAAAGCTTGTTCTGTCAAAGCTTTTGCAGGGTGGAAAAATGGTGCCGCCAAGGTATCTGGGTCGTATGGCTCAACAAGCTTTTGCTGGAGGCCATTATGAGTACATAGCCACGTTTTGTAGTCAGAGTGACGAACCTTGATAAGCTCGTCAAAAATGGGATCGAAATCTTCCAATTTGCAGTCTACAAAAGGGTATATCCCTCTCGAGCACTAGTCTAGTTAGTAGTTGTGTTTGGGGTAAATATACCGTTTGGGAGTATACCGGAGTTCTCCATTTCGTTAACCACAAAGCTTCTACTGACTCGTGATGAGGAGCCACTTTAGTCATGCTTTCACGGACATGGAAAGGAAGAGTCTCTAACATGATTATACCCAAAGATCGACGCGCAATCTAGAAAGGATGCTTTGAAGAGGTCGTAGATCCAACATGAATTCATGCTTTATATAACTGTCATCAATGATCAAACACTCGCTCGGTATATGGCACATTCGGACACACGAAAATCCGATGGCGTAAGCACTAAAATCCTCAGGCGACCAGCGAAATGCAACATGATATGGGCGCGGAAGGACCGTTTTACGGATTACTGGATTATATAGTACAGAGCTGCCTACAGTACAAAAGTCGGTATGATTGTTAATAGTGCATATAAATTACTCGATAGATACAGTGAAGGGTTTTGGATAGGGCAGCTTATTTGATGATTCGGTGGGATGTTCTCACTCAGCGATCAGTTGTCCAGGGTGCCGAACATCCGAACCGACCGATAGAGGCTAAACTAGTAACGCTACCAGCCCTCCTTCAGGGATATTATAAATAGCCAATATGACGGCCCGGCCGAAAAATAACAATATAAGTGAAGTGCCCGTCTCCCAATAAGGTCAATCAATCAATCAATCAACACTCTATTAACCCTGTTGCCGCCTAACTAGTGGCGTAATGGCTAGGCAGGGGCTTCCTCCGGCGGAAGCAAGTGCGATCCCAACGCCAGTCCGCGCATGAAACAGTAGGTACATAGGAAAACGGCGTATTGCCATAGAAAGCGGCCCGAAAATCAGCCCGAAATAGTACCAAACGCCCGTAATGCCCACAATCCCACAATATATCTCTCAATTCACCCTCACATTGGCCTACTGCTTCCTCTATATCTCTATCTCTGCCTTTCTTGGCATCCCTATCCTCCTTAACCTGGTAAAAAAGGTGGAGAAATATTAGCTTGGTGATATATCTTGTCTGGACCCTGTCTTATAATTTGTGTCCCATCATACATAGAAAGTCCTATGTAAGTACTATCTTTCTGCTAGATATATGACTTTTGAATGTTATCTAAGCCTGCAAGATTAACCCTTCACAAAGTAAGTGGTCATGTAGTAGAACCCCCGAAAGAGCTACCATAGGGTTTATTACGCAGTTTTGTCTATTAGCAATGGATGAATACTGTTATAGAATAAATTGATCAATTAAATGACGAAATTGTATGTTTGATTCTCATAAGCATAGCTTTCCCAAAATCAAATGACCTCACCAAGAACGGTGGCCGCCATCAACAGTTAAGTCAGCCGCAGTCATGAAACTGCTCGCGTCACTAAGAAGAAACATGATTGGCCCGCGAAATTCATCAGGAAAGCTGATTCTGTTAAGCATATTTTGCTCTGACCATCGCTCCTCCATGCCTTGATTTGCCAAAGCCTCCACAGTAGCGGCCGTTTTGATATAACCGGGCGAGATTGTGTTGACGCGAATCAAAGGCATATCTACACGGGAGCCCCACTCTGATGCCAGAGAGCGACCAAGTTGATGGATTCCACATTTAGCAGTGTTGTAAGCCGAAGAATCTGCTCCCTGATAGCTTGCGTTTCAGCGGGGGTCAAGGAAGCAGACCTGTTAATTTGGCGGGAATATCATACCTTGTTTGCCACCCAGCCGCTCATACTTGCAACAAGAACCATAGCCCCGTCTACGTTTTCTGCCTTCATTGCTCTTGCAGTCGCCTGGGCAACAATGTATGTTCCCATTATGTTAATGTTCAGAATCCGTAGGAAGTCTGACGCGGGGTAATCGATCGAAGGACCCGTGTCTGACTGTCCAACACATGCAACAAGACCTCGAATAGGCGCTCCGAGGGCACCCTTTAGCTTGAGGAAAACTTCTACAACCGATTCACTGCTTGTCACGTCGCACTGGTGGTAAATCAGTTGAGCTTTTGTATCAGATGCTTTAGATTGTAGGGTTTCTAGCCAGTTAGTGCCCGTAAATGGCATGATCACAGATTTGAAACTCACTCCACGGCGCGTGGGATGGTTCTGGAGCCAAGTCGAGACACACAACGTTCCCACCACACTCCAAGACTGAATCGGCAACCGTCGTCCCTAATCCACCGCCGCCGCCGGAAACTGGGTAAGGTGAGTATAATTCTATGGCGACATTGATGACGAGATGGCTTGAAATGAGGTAGCATACTGATGATTGTATGACCTCGGAGGGAGAAGAGATCCAGCAGTGGTCTGTCTGCACCTCCTTGGCGAGGCTTAGCTTCTCGTGGTGTGGAGTCCTGGTGTGGCATTCTTGGGCAGTGGTTTGGTGAGGTTGAGCAACTTTTTTTTCTTCGAATTCAGGAGATCCAGTGCATGGCTTTTAAGTCAATCCAAGTTTTGGGGCAGGACAACACTTAAGGAATCTCCATGACGCAATCATCATTGTAGGCCCATGCCAATGGTGGCGGGCAGTAGTCAATTCAAATTATGGTGAGAAGACGGTTAGCGGCTAGCGGAAATCTAGTCACACAGTACAGAGGGATTATATTAAAGTTCAGAGGGGTGAGGGAATTACCGCGGCTTTGTTGACCCCTCGAAGCTAGCATAAGCTTTCTATTTGTCACCAATTCTTAGATCCCTGGGCATTACATCGACAAGGGAACAGTTGACGATACCGACATGCCTCCATAGGTGGAACTGTGAAAATCGCCTTCAAGTACGCGAAATCTTAATATAAAAAACGAGTTTATTTCACCTGTCCCAAATTTAACTAAACTGAGTACTACTACACTCGCACAAATAAGTCTATACCACCGCGCCCATTTATTTTCCAGTGAAGAAAAGCATTACTTGGAATATAGTTAATATAATATCATTAAATGACTGAGTAGAATCTACCCTTTCCAGTTAATGTCGAAAGAGGGTATCCAAAGAGGTATTGAAGACACAAAAATAGTAGTATAATAATGAATTCAAAATTGGCATATAACTCGGAAGAAGAGTGTCTCGAAGTCCAAAAGAACTTCATATAAAAAGTCTAAGAAGGGTAATTATTTCATTTTCTAAACCCTCTATACTGTAACTTGCGGTGGTTTCCATCCGTGGACCAAAAACGTACAGTCTAAGTCGGTAGCATACTAAACACTCTCGGGAAACGGTTCCGCTGAATGCTACTTCATTGATTGAAGCATATACCAACTAGAATTATCATCGCATTGTGAGGAAGAAATACTGGGTTTGAGCGCGCTAGAAGCAAAGGGCAACGAATGAGTGTAGATGTAAGATACTAGTGCAGTTCAGGCGGCAGTGACGAGCTACTGCCCGGTGACATATCCCATCGAATCTCCACACAGCAATTTATCCACATCAAAGTCACTGTTTCACACTTTACTCCTTTGCTTCACTCTCTTCTCTGATCTCGATAGACGAAGAACGGGCATCTCCGTTCTCTCCGCTCGCATTGTAAGCCTCAGCAATAGCACGATCACCATCAAAGATAATGGCGACCTCTTCAATTGTGCGATTTTTAGTTTCCGGAAAGCCGAGGTAGATTATAACGATCAGGACAGCATTGATAGCAATGTAGACTCCATAACTTTGGAACTGCGTTAGACATATTTTCAAACTGGGTTGTGGAGATGTACTCACTATTTCCATGCAAGTGCGGCAAGGGCAATAGGATTCACCCAAGTGTTCAGAGCAACGGCCAGAGTACTTATGGTAATATAAATTGCAGCTCCCTTGGTTCTCATCGAGAATGTCAGGATTTCGACCGGATAGCTAATTCCAACGTTAGTCTCGGATATGATGATCATTGGCTCCGGCTCTGACTTACGAGTAAGACATTGGCGAATATGCGATATCATAGGATCCATAAAATATGAAGAAGAAAGGGATGACAGCAACACCAGCCTTCTCTACACCATGGCTGTAAGCAGCCGAGAGTCCCATCACGGCTACGAGACTCAGAAGCTGACCCGCTGTTGCAGATAGCCACAATGGGCGTCGACCGGCCTTATCAATGAAAACAGAGGCTGATGTTGCAATTATCACTGAAAAGGTTAGCTTACTAAGCTATTAGGATAGCCCTGGGTCGGGTTTTTTGTACTCACAGTTCCACACATGGAGGCATGTAAGTATCGTCAACTGTTCCCTTGTCGATGTAATGCCCAGGGATGTAAGAATTGGAGACAAATAGTACGAAATTATTCCGTTTCCAACCCAATTCATGCTAATACCTTGTACAATAAGAATCATAAGTCTGTGACGATTGCCTGGTGTCCGTAGGAAGTCAGTGTACTTGATTTGCTTCGCGTTTTGCTCCTCCTCGATCGCAGCGCAAATTTCGCGGAATTCATAGTCAACCAGAGGGTCGTCTTCTAACCCATTGGCATGGTACTTGACTAGAACTTTACGTGCATCCTCCAGACGTCTATTCCTGACAAGCCACTAATATCTCGTTAATGCAAAGGCAATGGGTACGGCCGAATGGGAGCCCTTACCCTTGGAGATTCTGGCATAGTTGCCGTAAGAATCAGAGTCACAGAGGGACCGCATACTTGGAGCCAAGCTGGAATGCGCCAAGCCATTTCGCCGACAATTCCGAGGCAGCCAAGACAAACAGCGGACGATATGATGGCAGCAAGGTAGTATATCGCAGTGACTATAGAATTAAATCAGGTCCTTATCCTTGCTGATAGTTAGACAGACTCACAGAATGCGCTAACTGGTGCTCGATAACGAGGATGCGCAATCTCCTGTAGGTGTGCTGGGGCCACAGCGAGAGCTGCGGATGTTCCAAATCCCATAATCGCCCGACCTCCACAAAACATGCCAACGGATGTTGAAACAGATATCACAATCACGCCTACCAGCTGCGTAATGTCAGAAAGTTCCTTCAATTTTGGCAAATGGATAATATATCATGGGATTACCTACTGCAATGACTGAGCTAACCCAGACCGTAGTACGTTTTCCGAAGAAGTGCTGCATTGCATCCCCAAAAAAGCTTGCCAAGCAGCCTGGTAAGAATCCAGCAGAGTTCATGAGCCCGAGAATAGTAGAGCTAGGGTGATTGAAATATTCAGTCCATTCAGATATAGACTGAAGGCCATTGAACAAGCTTCCATCGTCTGCAAGTTCAGTAACTTCTGTGTGTTTATTAGGGCTACATGGAATCACTTACATCCATTGAAGAACATTGCGCCACAGAGACCCATGCAATGTAACATGTTCCATCGCAGGCCTATTTGTATCAGTGAATTTATTGCATCATGTCTCGAAGATATACCTGAACATACAAGGATCAAGGAACCACCATTTGTGGGTATTGTTTGGAATCAAACGATAGTCGGTTGTTTGCGCAGTGCCGCTCATGTTTGAGATGGATCTTTCAATTTTTAGCTTTGATATAAAGTTGTGAAAATCTGCTAGGGATGATGACCTTCGGAATCATATCAACTGTGTCGGCAGTCAGGCCTTTTATAAACCCCAGATTCAAGACAAGTTGCTCTCTTACCCCAGATTCTATATCTCGGCGGGGGTGGCATCATTACTGTGGGGTTACCCGGAGCTAATTCGGGCTATGGGGCCCGACATTAGACCACCCAAACCTTAAAGCTCATACCACTGCGTAACCCTTGCTTCAAGTCCGTTCCGCCACTTGGGTACTGCTATTTTCCTTGTCTGTGCCGCTGCTCATCCGCCTACCCACTACGGCTTATATTGCTGGATCAACTGCTCCAAAAACATCGATAAGTTGTGAATATAACGGAAGACATAGACGAGCGGTGCAGAGACATTGGTATATCTCTGCACAGAATATAGCCTATGTCCATTAAGCTATGATGCATAATTTTACTCGGTCCATTCTCGACGGCAGAGTAGATGGGAGGCGGCTAGCGGCTAGCGGGACCCAGAACTGACACCCGGACCATTTACTCTGTTCGGTTATTCTAGAGCTAGTATTGAAATTCCATGCTATTCGGCCTGAGCGCACATCACGGCTTCAGATTCGGGTGGTTGCAACTGAATAGTAAATCTTGATCACCTTCCTGGAACGGGGGTAGCGGGGTTTTGGGCCATTAAACGGATTCGATGAAAGTAAAACTATTCGCATGATTTGAGTTGCCGCCATCCGCACAAATCAGGGTATATATCTTGTCATGGTGCCAAAGGTACAATATATAGCGCTCAACTGAAGCTCAATTCGTAGTTTTCTCTTAGTAAATCTGTTACTGAGATATTGAATTCTCTACCCTGGGTCACAAACATCATCATGGTACGTATAAACCCCTTTTTCTCTGAAATACAAATTTAGTTCTCTTTCTCATTACTAACTATTTGTCGAAGAATAACCCAGCCGTAGTGGTCATTGGGCCTGGCAAGTCTAAAATCATCGACACGCCAATTCCCAAAATTACTGGGGAAAACGAAGCCATCATCAGAATCAAATTTGGGGGGGTGTGTGGCAGTGATGTAAGACTGACCGAAGTCAAAAGCGGATAACCAGTGCTTTGAAGCTGACGATCTGTATAGGTCCATTTCTGGGATGACGGCGCCATTGACGGAAACCCCGTGTCCGAGAAGAACTACCTGCCCTTGGGACATGAGGCATCGGGCACAATCGTCTCACTGTCACCTGAGGTTAAAAACCTTAGTGTAGGGGATAATGTGGCCATTGAACCAGCCAATCCATGTCGAGTTTGTATCCGCTGCCGCGAAGGAGTGTATAACCTTTGTCCGAACATGAAATACGCAGCCTCTGGAACAGAACACCCCGGAACTCTTACAAAATTCTTCAAAGTTCCTGCCGACTTCTGTTACAAGCTTCCTCCACATGTGAGTCTCGAAGAGGGGGTTCTAGCAGAGCCCCTTGCGGTGGCCGCTCATTCAGTTCGGATGATCGGTATAAAACCCGGTCAAAGCCTTGTCATTTTCGGTGCTGGTACAATCGGATTGGTTTGTGGAGCGGTGGCTAAGGTTTTCGGTGCGCGCAAGATTGTTCTTGTGGATATATTGGACAGCAAACTCGGTTTTGCCAAGGGTTTCCTCGACTGTGAGACCTTCAAAACGACCAAGGGGGCAGATCCCGAGGCCATGGCTGCTGAAATTATCGAGAAATTCAATCTCAGTCTCGGAGCTGATGCCGTGATTGAAGCAACTGGCGCTGCATCATCAACCATGGCATGTGTGTTCGTTGCTAGAAAGGGAGCGCATTTCGTTCAAACCGGTATTGGGAAACACATCATCGACTATCCGATCTTCCAGTTCAGCATCAAGGAACTCCACATGCATGGCGCCTTCAGACATAGCGAAGGTGATTATCGTGTTGCAATGGATATTTTGGAAAATCGGCTGGTTCCCGTCAAACAACTGATTACTAGAATGTACAATTTTGAAGACATCGAATCAGCTTGGACGGCTACACTTTCTGGCAAGGGTGTCAAGAATATGGTTCGTGGAGTTCCAGAATAAACACATAATCCTATACACTGGAATGCAATGAAGAGAAAGTCACATAAATTCTGAAAATAAGTAGCTTGTAGAAAAAAAAAAACGAGCCCCCACAAATATCACAGTATATCCAACCGTTGTCTTTTCTGAATGATACTCAGGATGCAATCGATGGACTCGCTACTTGAATTTGGCTTTGCCCAGCGACGATTCATAGAAATCATTTTCGTTAGAAGATCATCCAAGTCAGGTACTGATGGCTTGAGGACAGTACTTCTTGCAGCAATTGTCAAAACTAAAGCACATGACAGGCACCTAAGAAAATTAGCCTTGCAAATTAAGTTCAATTTGGAGGTAAGCACACACGCTTGCGCCATCATCCAGGTGTATTGTGATGGATATTTAAGGGCCTCGGTAGCATTGTTAACAAATTTGCGACAGCTTTCGACGCAGATTTGTGAGTTCATAACTACGAACGGGGGTATACTAGATGCATCAGAGACTGATGCAGCATACAACAAGCATGGACGGGTGATGATATTTTGTGCAGACCAGTATCGTGAGAGAAGCCAGCGATGAACAGGCCCATTTGCCGTATTTGAATCCAAATCGGGTCTGATTTGGTCCGGAAGCGAGGTGTACCAGCATTCCAGTTGCCTTGTCAACTCATTAATGAGACCTTCTAGCCCTGGAGTCAAAACGAGTCTGGAGAACATTGGTGACGATGCAATGCTATCCTCAGTATTTGATTCCTCATCAGACTCAATAAAGGTCTCGGGTGCTGCATACAGCGTGTGGTGAATCCTGTTCAGTAATGACCTCATAGAACACAGAGCTAAAAATAGCAAGCCGTCCTGCTGATCGCACCGCGGGAGCCGAATTTGGTGAACTACAGAGTCGATGCCACTCCTGGGAAGATGAAGCTCGGCTAATATATCGCTGAATGAGATTTTATTAGCCACGGAGACACATCTGATAATCTTTCTGATATATCTCACCACTCAATTATGAAACATGCCCAGCACAATCTTCCAATAGTCTCTTCGGCATCTCTGGGAAGGCCTGGCTTCTTGCTGAATGAAATGTTAGCCACTGTCTCTTATGAAGGCCTTGGGAGAGTTGTACTGAGAAATAATGATTTGAACCTTGGTAGAAGCCATGAATGTCAGCTGCCAAGCTGCCAGAGAGTAGTTGTTGTATGAAAGGTAAATCGAGCCAAGAATCAGGCCCATTGGCATGGATGTCCCGAGTTGGAAGTACGACCAAAAATTTGCCGTTAGCAGGTGATGACCAGCCAAAAAATATTCCATTCCATTCTCACTCTGACTTTCCACAATAATTCCAGACTCTCTCATATTTAATGCAAGTTTCCCCAACGCGAGAACCATCAAGCAGAGTGCTAAATCGATGCGCTGATGCCGTCCACTTCTTAGCGTATCTTGGAAAAATGGCCGGAATGTGTCACAATTCAGAACAGGAAAATGTATGTGTACGTCGGCAAAAAATGCGGCCAGAAGTGGTTCAGTGCCCTCGGGTGTCAAGTCCAGACCGTCAAGGTCTGACACGGGTGAATTTAGATTATTATTCAAGGAGGGCACTCTTTGTGACTCAACATGGTAAAAAAAGTCATGGGGATATTCTCCTATCAGGTGTCTTATTGGTTCAAGATCGAATAGACTGCCTGTTGAAGAGAGATGCCTATTCGGAATACTGAATAGTTCATTTCCAGAGTTGGGGTCGTGTGTGTTGTAGCGCGACACATGGCCAGGTCTTGGAAAATCCAGATGGGCCACTTGGAGATTAGGATGAGAAGTTTGCCACGAAGTGCTATCGTAACTTAACCCCGAAGCTATGTGCTGCAGTTGTGTGTCACCCAATAGCTCTAGCGGACTGTGTAGTTCGAGAGTGGTGTTTATTTGTGTAATTCCTGAGGCTCGTGCTTGCGAGTCTTCACGTTCATGACCATTTTCCTTGAGATTGAATTCCTCGTCAAACGGTATCGCCTCGGGTAGTGATGGCAGATCTTCCGCGAGGGCTTCGTAGGGGAATCGCACATCATTTCTGGACTTACTCTCTTCGCAAGCTTCGTCATTATCTTCTGTATATGACGATTGCTCTGAGCTCTGCAGGAGGTTTTCCAAACGATCCAGACGATGAAGAAGGGCCCGTTGGCCATTTCCCTTCGGTTCAGTTTTTCGAGGGGACCTTGAAGGAACCAGAAGCTGTCAGCTTCGCGGTATGATAAGCTCACGCGGAGCTGCAAGGCGTACTGATCAACAATTTTTGGATATTCACAATCAATCTCAGAGTCGCGACACAGACTACACCGAGGCTTTATTCCGTCACATCGTCGCTTCCTGTGGCGACAGTATTGGCACGCGACTGATATGCGCTTTCGAGGATAATGAGGCATTGTGAGAGTGATCAGAAACTAGTTGCCCTAGAGTCTCAGAAAGAGCCATAGAAGATGATCACGGATCATGAAGACGTCAAGGACAATACAAGTTCAAAAAGGGTCAAGTGCCACGATAAACCACAAACGTGGGAAAATCAATCTCATTGGCCTCCTCAGTCGCCTTGTTCTCGGCTTGATTGCAGCATTAATTATTATTATTATTACTGGCTTAAGCTTAATGGGACTAAAGTCCCTTGTACGAGGCGGAAGTGCGGGTTATCCGCCGTCCGCTCCCCAAGTGCCTTTCCCCATGGGGTCAAAACGCCACCATCCCACTATTCACTTACTACCTCACGAATTGTTGCCCGATGGGGTAATGGTTGTAGACTTGTACTGAAGCACCCACTCATTCTGGATTCTGGTGGAAAATTTTATAATGAGCCAGAAATTCTAATGAATCAGGCAACCTGAAGGTTCATCTAGCGCTCCCTTCCAATTCAATATGGCGCCTCCAACTGTTGACCAGCTTGCCAAAATGATCGATCACTCAGTAATTGATCCTTTCCACACCGAGCAAGACCTAGTCAATGGAATCGAACTGGCCAAAGATTACCACACCGGTCAATTTGTCACCCAGCCCTTTCGGGTGAAACAAGCCAGAAAGTTACTAGAAGGAACTGGGATCAATTTGCAGACCTTCATCGGATTTCCGCACGGAAGTGATCATACTGCTATCAAGGTCCTGCAGGCAACAACTGCGTTAGAGGACGGCGCCCAAGAGCTTGACATGGTTATCAATCTCTCCGCATTGTTGAGTGGGGATATTGAATACGTGGAACAAGACATTCGGGCAGTAGTTGAAACAGCAAAGGTGGGTGATGTCAGTTCTCTGCTTCTTTTTCAATTTCCTACTAACAATATAAAGTCATATGGAGTTGTCGTCAAAGCTATAGTCGAAGTCTTCTTTCTCAATGATGAACAGCTTACAGCAGCCGCCCTGGCTGCCGAGCGTGCAGGGGTCGGGTTTATCAAAACATCGACTGGAACACGACCTGATGAGATGCACAACGTCGAGCATTCTGTCAAGCTTCTTCGCTCTATCCTGAAGCCGGAGTCAGTAATCAAAGCGTCGGGTGGATGCTATACTATAGAAGCTATCTTGGCGTATTATAAAGCAGGGGCTAGGCGCTTTGGGGCATCTGAGACGGCTAATATCTTAGATGCTTATTCATTGTTGCTCGATGCAGGTACTACAGGATTAGAATAGTTCTTCTATTTTAATTAGTGCAGTAGGGGAACTGCTGACGGGTTAGTCGATTTGCCTGGCTTTGCGCGTTGCTTTGTTTTTTTTTATTTCACTTAAATTAATCTGATATACTGCTTTTCTATTTAGTCTGTTTGATTGGTTTAGTTTGTTGGATTTGTTAAAGCGGAGAGTTGCGGCGAAGGCCTCATGGAGATAAGGAAGGAAGAGGAGACACACTTTCGTTTCTATTCGATTTATATATAGTTCACATGCTTATTTATCGATTGCTTTCTCACAATCAATTCAATTTGTTTACTACGTCTTTTATCAGCTACGTTGTCTCCATCTGATTATCTTAGTCCATTCAGTATTCGTTAGTGGCGCTCGCCCTTAGGTGTGTGTTATAAAGGTTCCTCTCAGCCTTGTTAATGGTGTTTAGTATATAAACTATATATGAAGGGTACGGCTATTAGCACTTTCCCAAAAGGCCGGCGGCACTACCTAGGGTCTGATTCCTGCCTGATTTCTGCTAAGCCCGTCACATAAAAGAATTACGATAAAAGTACCCCCTTCCTTCTTATGTACACGCATCCTTTCCCTCTTCTCTTCTCTTCTATCTTCTTACCCTACTAGGGTCATATACCCCACCACTAAGTTAATTCAACTTAAATCCCACGGTCGTGAATCACTAGTTTATCGGCCTTACGAACGTGGCATTTACATTAAATCAGTACCCTTGCGACTTCAGAATTTAATTGAATTGAATGGGTAGTGGGTCATATGATTCTAGTAGGATATCTCGGATAGAAGAGAAGAAAGACAGCATGTATAGTGCGTAATTGTTAGGTGTGACGGCGCTAAACAGAAATCAAGCACCATATGGTGCGAGCAGATTTCTCATATAGTACCAATAGCGTCACCGAAGTTTAGATACTAAAGATACTTCTATAATACCTAACGATTTAGAGAAGCCTTTTTATTTTCCTTATGTTACTTATATTTCTATTATAGTATTCCTTTAGAAGATTCTATGGTTTATAGGCGCTAGGTAAGGCAGAAAGGTTCCGTAAATAGTAAACAAGGGATACACTATGGCAGTCTGGTCGGTACAGACAGGCCGAGACGCAAGAGAGATATGCAAATCGAAGAGGGACAGATAGATGCGCCAAACACACCACCAACAAGGCTGGCAGGAAGCCATACAACACACACCCAAGGGCGAGCGCTGCGAGCCCAGCAGCGAATGCTAAATGTAGAGAAAGCGACCGTCAAAAGACGTGGTGAACGAATTTAATTGGAAGTGAAGAAACTGCTGTCAAAACAAGTATGCGAAGTGTGTATGTATAAATCAAATAGTAAGATTGTGTGTGTCTGTCTAATCTCCCTTCTCTCTCATCTCCATGAGGTCTTTCGCCGCCACTCTATAAACCAATAAAACAAACAAATCAAATAGACTAAACAGGAAAGTAATGCAACGGACCAGACCAAGGCACCAAGCAGAGATTGACAAATCTCCCAATCAGGCAATGCACCAAAATCCGTCAGCAGTTCCCCCACTGTAATAGGTAATTACTTCGATATAGTAAGGTAAGGGGGCCTAGAGCGTGATTTTGCATGTTTGCTAACTAAGTAAATCGTAAGATTTAGGTTTAGGGTTTTCAGTAGATTAATCTGCTTCGCTCCACAATAATAATAAAAGATCCGTGGACCTGGCACCTAGCGAGGGGGTGCAGCAGCCCTGGAGTGGACATAGGTAGCGGGCTCTCACTATGAACAACGCAGCATGACACGGAAGGCTCTGAATATACAATGGGAGCGCCGAAGGAATCAAAATGAAATTACGAATCTATCGGGTGGTTAATGGACGTATCATCGCATGCCTCCTGTTGCTGCTGTCTCACTAAGCCCGGAGCTTTGACATACCCAATTAGTCTAGATGCATTGCTCGCAAATGGACATAGTCCTATCGGAGATAATTAACCGATGTATAAGCAAAAGTGGAACCATATATGGATGGAATTACCGTTGTCCTGCGGCATGTCCTGCAGCTATCGCTCCCCCACGAATAATATCTTCAAAATGTTGAGATCAGAGCTACTAAAAAATCGAGCCACGCGTCATTTTGCAATTTCGGAGGGATTGAACGGAGCTAAAGGCGTAAGTTCTTAATCTACAGTTATCTGGTTCTATTTTTGACTTCTGGGGGGCCTAAAACTATCACCCCATGTCGTAAAGCGGAGTTCACTCCAGGAAGCAGGTAGCTTTCTGTAATATGACATTTCAGAGGACTTAATTAAACCCCGCAGAGCTAATAGTTCGAAAGAAAGCATAAATACCGCTGTGATATTCTCTCTCTGTCTCATCCATACCGACTTGCACAAAGACTAGCTTGCCCAAAATGCCTTCTTATCTGATCACCGGGACATCTAGAGGGATTGGAGTAAGCGACCGTACATCTACAGTGCTTATATCCAAACATCATATTAATACTTTGCAATTATAGTGGGAGATGTTACAGCAGATATCTAGCAATCCGAGCAACACAGTCTTCGGTCTTGTTCGGAACAAGTCTGCTATCGAAACCAAGGTGGCTCAAGAATGGCCAGGAAGATCCAACGTCCATATCCTACAGGGGGATATCACAGAATATAGCTCTCTTCAGGTGAATCTAACTACATCATCTCCGTCAACAGAATATCGATCAACACAATATTAATTTTTTCAGGCTGCGGCCACTGAAGTAGCGAATATTACTGGCGGTGGACTCGATTATCTCATCGCCAATGCCGGTGCAGTCGCTCACTTCGATGCGTATGACCCAATTGGAGTACTGTAAGTCCACCCCTTCTTATTCAGAAAGAGCTAGCTAAGCCTTAGCATTAGTGGGGAGAAGCCCGAGGCTCTTGAAAGAGAACTCATGCATCTCCTGAGAGTGAACGTTGTGGGTAACATTCATCTCTTCAATGTGTTTGTTCCCCTTATACGTCAAGGCCAGGGAAAGAAAGTCATCGCTATTACTAGTGGACAGGCCGCTCTCGATATGATTCCTAAACTGAGCATAGAGTTGTCGGCACTTTACGCTATTAGTAAAGCAGGCTTGAACACTGCTGTGGCTAAATTTAGTGCACAGTATAACAAGGAAGGAATCCTCTTTATGAGTATCTGTCCAGGTCTAGTGGATACCGGGCGTTACAATGATGGTACGTATAAGCTACTCTATGAAGGCCAGCCAAATGTTTAATCAAAATTTGGCTAAAATTTGATTTGTGATGTTTATAGCAAGCCCGGCGCAAGAAGCACGCGTGAAAAAGATGATGCACTCCTTTGCGGAGTATGCGCCAAACTTCAAAGGTCCCAGTACCACCGAGTCTTCCGTCAAAGACATTCTCTCCGTCATGGAAAACGCAAGTGTGGCAAACGGGGATGGTGGATCTTTTGTCTCGCATTTTGGGAACCAGCAATGGTTGTAACTTCCAGGGCCTCTTTGTAACGGCGGTATGGTTAGTTCAATTGTGGGAGTATATACGTCTTCGCCAGAATTTTTTCACTAAGGAGCGCACACTTCATTTCCATTATCAGTGGTGGATCCTCTGGTATGCGTAGAATCTTTACGTGCTGTTCCATAGAAACAGCAGTTAGAAATTGCAACCGTAGTGTTTCTAGATATAGGAAAGCCGACTGTGACATATAGCCCATATCAGCATGAGGGGCTATATCCACCGCATGTCAGATGTCTTAGGGAAGGTATATTGTGATATGCAAGGACTTTGAAATTTTCGATGTTGCTCTCAAGCAGAAAGCTAGCACAAATGAGAAGTAGCCCTGGTTAGAGAAAACAAAGGTCTTTTTGTAAGCGTAATCTTATCTCGCGGTGCCCGGTGGTCCTATCATTAAAAATCCCAATGCTAGGGGGTATTTCTAAGGTTAACATCGTGTCTGACCTTATCAATACATCTCATCTAGCAATTGAGCCATCCTGAATTATTCTTTTCCTATACACTAAAAATAATCGCTTGCCAAAGACTTTGTTTCGGATATTGCGGCTGGTTTGAGTGTATAGAGAAACACCTTGAGTGGTCTACATCACATTGCTTTGCCGTAGATACTTCCCCCTGGTTGTCCCAGTTTCTATCTTTAATTATTATTATTATATTTAGTCCAAATCAATTATTATTGCTCAAATTCCCGAGAGATAGATATTGTGCTCTGTTATGCTGCAAGGCCCTACATACTTCTCCATGAAAGCCGATGCAAACATTGCAAACTGTCCCCGAGAAATTCTCAGAAACGAACTCCGCGACTCCGACTCCGCGGCTTCCAGTGTTTGGCGCTCGTCCAACCTTTCCAGTCTATCCCTACTCGACACTTTCGACGACCTGTCCTTTCAGCTTCCCAATCTCTCTGGTTAGGAGTTATCTGCGACAGGTATTTGAAACCACAATGGCACCGAGCCACCTCCTGCGGGCCGCGATGCCCATCCGCTCAATTGCATCGCCAATGAGCCTGGCACGATCAAGCATTGTCCCTTCCAATCTCTCCCTCCGCCAAAGCATTCGCTACAACTCTTACACACCTACGGAATCCACACAAGAACCCATCACCCCTCCACCAACGTCCCCCGCCACCCCGACGCCGACCATCCCCAAATCCCAAACTCTCAACCCGCCCACGCTGCTCCGCGACTATGCCTCCTCAACCAAGACCGGCACTGTCACCTCCGTCGGCCGCATGGACCGCACTGTCACTGTGGTCTACCGCTCTAACGAGTGGGACAAGCACATCCGGAAACACTACCGCAAGGAAGTGAAGCTCCTGGTATCCGACCCGCAAAACTCTCTGCGCAAGGGCGACGTGATCGAGTTCTCTTCCGGTGCTCCCAAGAGCCGCCGCGTGCACCACGTCGTTGAGCGCATTATCACTCCTTTCGCTGTGCCCATTGAGGACCGACCGGCTCTGTTGACGCGGGAGGAGCGCGAGCAGGAGCGTGAAAAGCGCTGGGCTGCGAAGTATGTTCGCAGGGAGTCACGGCGGTTGGGTGAGGAGCTTGATTTGGAGGCTATTGCACGAGAGGAGGGTCTTGTTCAAGAGGGAGAGGCGCTTTCTACGGCCGGGTTGATTCACCGTATTTTCCTCGGACAGGAGCGCATCGGCAAGGTGAAAAAGCTGGTGCAGGAGCGGACTGCTGAAGTCCAGGCATGAAAATGTGCTACAATGGGATTTGAAGGACTTTGAGCATTGGCCTACGTGTTTTTATCAGGTCTATTACCCTTTTCTTTTTGGATATCCGTGCTGGGACTACATATCGGATTATTTGTACTATACTATATTACAGCATCATTGATTGATTTACCATCTTGCTCATCGCCTCGGTGGTCTTCTGATCTACCAAATTTCTCACGGAGCGGGTACTAGATTCATATTTATATCAAGTCTAGACTCTTCGTGGCGTAAACAAAAATTGATTGAACGTGGCGGCATTAGAGAAGTATGTACGAGAAGAGAGCCCTATCCATCTCAAGAAAGAAACCAGAGTGTATACACTGCAAAACTGAATTGCACGAATCTCGCTCTCTCACTTGGTCATGGCTGACCATCCCCAATCCCTAAGAACTTGCGTATGGAAAGTAAGTCACTGGTATCAAGCAAGAGAAATCAACTCCTTTACCCAGAAATGACGAATGGCGATCCTTCTAAATCCCAAATCCTCCAGACTGTCGAGGAACAAACCCCCCGAGGTACCGTAACTTCGTAGACGAAATGGTCTGTGAACCCTTTTGCGGCTCAACAGACTATGCTGGATCAGGTCTCGTCAAGATCCTGCTATGAGCGTTGTTCCTGACAGCATTGAACGGCTCTCACGAGGCAAAGACCCGCACCTTGAGGTCGACACTTCCTGTGGCGAGCACACAGCGGATAGACATTTTGCTGGCTGCGTTGGGATCGTCTTTCGCCCCGTTGGCAGTCGAAGACTCTGCAGAGCCATTGGTTCCAGCAGCCCCGTTGGCACTGCTCTCCTTGATCAACGGGGGTGCCCACCGAATCGAGCTGACGAAGTGGTCATGAGCATTGATGGTGCGCACACACTTGCACTCTTGAGTCAGGTCCCAGCATCGTACTGTCTTGTCGTCTGCCACCGAGAGCAGATACTTCCCACCAGGATGGAAGACGAGAGCTCGCACCCAGTTATCGTGGCCAACCAATGTTTTGATCAGGTTGCCCCGGGCATCCCACAGACGAATAGTCTTGTCACGGGCACCCGTAGCAACAAACTCGGCAGAGGATGACGCAGGGGGCGGCTTTTTCAGTCCCGCTAAGGGAGCCAAATGTGGGTAACTCGTAGTAGGAGCGAAAGCAACACATTCGATCACATGTTCATGCCCAAGGAAGGTGGCCTTGGGCTCCCCTGACGATATATCCCAGAGACGCGGGACTTGGTCATCTCCCGCGGAGAACAGGAAGCGCCCGTCTGGTGACGGCGCAACGTCTCGCACCCAAGCAGAATGTCCCTGTAATGTCTTCACGCAATATCCAGTCGTCACGTCCCATATCCGTAGTGTCATATCACGGGATGCCGACACCAACAGATTGCCGGACATCGGGGACCCCGCTGCCCCTGATGGAATAAAGCGAACTGCAGAGACGCTGTGATCATGTCCTGGCAGGGTGCGGATATTCTTATACTCATCGGCAGGGTCCCACAATTTGATAGTCAGATCGGACGAACAGGAGGCAAGGAGAGTACCTCCTCGCGGTCCGCCATAATCCACATCAAGAACCGCCCTCGTATGGCCTTTAATTGTCCGTTCCAGTTCACCCAATTCCCAGTCCCAAATTTTGATCGTCGTGTCTTCCGATCCGGAGGCGAGAGAGGAGAATATAGGGTGGAAGGCAACACAGGTGACGGGTTGCCGATGCGACTCCAGGTCGTGGCGAGCAGGGGCTCGGGGTAGCCAAGATACCGGATCCTGGTTTCTTCGAGAAAGCGATGTAGGGGTAGCCGTATCCAGTTCGGTCTGAAGACTGGCTATCCGAGTCTCCAGATCCATAATCTATATCCACAGCACGTCAGTCTCCTTTTTTCTTCCCTAGCCCTTGCGTTATGCAGGTGTCTTTTCCCCCCACCTTCTTCTGTAGTCGGACTACGCTGGTCCATTTCTTCTCCAGCAGCCCCTCATATTTCTTCAGTGTGGAATCCTCGACGGAGATTGACTCTCCAAGTTCTTCTCGTAGCGCAGCGCAACTCTGGGGCAAGTTCGCAGCGGTCATGTAGGCAATCATCGCCTTGTGCCTATAGCGGAGAGACCCTCTTGTTAGTTCCCAATCCCCAAAAAGAACTTTCAATCAGAAAACATACAGCTCCTCCGCCTGTCGCGCCGTGAGGAGCTGGCTCATGGTGCCGGCGGTTTTGTGTGTCTCCCAAGCAGTCCTTCAGTGTACCTCCGCATGCACCGGAGGTTGTCACAATTTCAGGGTCCCAGTCGGACAGGGAGTCTAGATGATGAAGGCCAGAGAACCTGAAATTCAAGTCGAATTGAAGCAGGCGACCAGATTGATCGGAATTGCGTAAGATCGTGGGAAAGTCGGGATCGCAGAAGGCCAGCGATGATCCACCGCGGGGTCACAACAAAAACAACCCTCGACACCGCCAAGCCCGCTTGTTTACTTTCCGATCGCCAGAGCCCGCCGCTGTTTATTTCCTTTCCCCTCTTAACTACGGCCAGATCCTCACCCAGGCCCACCCATTTTTAACTTCTTATCGGGCTCTTGCGCTTAGGGTCGTTCTTCAGCTCTTGACCTTGCCCGGTGCTCCCGATTTCAAGCGATCCACATCCCTGATCGCAGACTGAGGCCAGTTCGGCACTCATAGCCCCCCAGTCCGTTCCTTTGGGCATCAAACACTTCCCGGTACGGAAAATCTTGTTTCATTGAGGTCAAAGGAACTTTGTTTATAAATTCCTTTGTCAGGAGGCTATATGCGCTGTTCCACGATTTACATAGCATGCTAACTAGGAGGCATCTACAGACTTTGCTCGGTCTCAGACACTTCCTTTGATCATTTAGCCCGTCACCATGGCTGAAGGCGAGGAGGACTTCTCCTCTCTACCCCTCCCCGATCGCTTTGCTCACAAGGTTCGATCTTTCTTGCGCTGTTGAATACGTTACGGCAATGCGGTCAATGACACCTTGGGACTAACCATCTGGCTCTATAGAACTGGAAAGTGCGCAAGGAAGGATACGAGGATGCTAAGGCACAATTCGAAAAGTCTCCTGACGAGTCAGATCCTGTCTTCACACCATTCCTACAAGACCCCGGGTTGTGGAAAGGGGCTGTAGCAGACTCCAATGTGGCTGCGCAAGTGGAAGGTCTAGGGTCTTACTGTGCGTTCTTGAAGTTCGGTGGAGTACAAGCATGCACGAGGTAAGTCTAATACTTGATATACCCCCTACTTGTTGTGGTGTTGACAATATCCCAGGACTCGACCTCACACGATCGGGCCGATTGCGGAAAAGGGTCTCCCCTGCGCCAGACCAGCGGGCAAAGCCAGTGCCCAGGAAGCCCTCCTACTATGCGTTGAACTCGACACGGCCGATCCCGTCCTCGAAGACCTTCTCCCCGTTCTTTCCCACAAAGTGCCTAAAACGATCGCTGGTGCCCTTGCCGCATTGACAACCCTCTACCATAACTTTGGATGCAAGATTGTGGACCCCAAGCCGACGCTGAAAGCACTTCCGAAAGTATTCGGCCACGCTGACAAGAATGTTCGAGCCGAGGCACAGAATTTGACGGTGGAATTATATCGATGGTTGCGGGAGGCCATCAAGCCCCTCTTCTGGGCCGACCTGAAGCCGGTGCAGCAACAAGACTTGGAAAAGCTGTTCGAGAACGTGAAGCAAGACGCCCCGCCCAAGCAAGAGCGCTTCACCCGGGCACAGCAGGATGCTATGGCCACGGCCAGCGCAAGCCCGGGAGCCGGCGACGGAGGGGATGACCAGGGTGGTGAGGAATACGCCGAGGAGGAAGCCGAAGAGGTGGATGTATTTGATCTGGCCGAGCCCGTCGACGTTATGCCCAAAATCCCCAAGGATCTCCACGACCAGCTCGGTTCGTCAAAATGGAAAGACCGCAAGGAAGCGTTGGACGCTCTTTATACTGCCATCAATGTGCCCCGCATTAAGGATGGCCCTTATGATGAAATCGTGAGAGCTTTAGCCAAGTGCATGAAAGATGCCAACATTGCCGTCGTTACTGTTGCTGCCAACTGTGTCGATCTACTGGCAAAGGGATTGCGCAATGGCTTCATGAAATATCGATCTACCATTATGGCTCCCATGCTGGAACGTTTGAAGGAAAAGAAGCAGTCCGTGGCAGACGCTCTGGGACAGGCACTGGATGCTGTCTTCTCGTCAACGGATCTCTCGGATTGTCTGGAGGAAATTTTGGAGTTCCTCAAGCACAAGAACCCTCAGGTGAAGCAGGAGACTCTCAAGTTCCTGATCCGCTGCCTTCGCACGACCCGCACTGTACCAGCAAAGCCAGATATCAAGGCAATCGCTGATGCAGGTACGAAAGCAATGACAGAGTCCACTGAGGCCCTCCGATCTGGCGGTGCAGAGATTCTGGGTACATTGATGAAGATCTTGGGCGAGAGGGCCATGAACCCTTACCTCGATGGGTTGGATGAGATCCGAAAGACCAAGATCAAGGGGTACTTTGAGACTGCAGAGGTGAAGGCTAAGGACAGGCCAAAGCCGATCGTTGCTCCTCCCAAGCCCGCCGCACCAGCCGGTCGAAAGGTAGCTCCAGGGAAGAAGCCTGCTCTGGGAATGAAGAAACCGGCACCCGCGGCCGCCGCTCCACCTCCAGTAGAAGAGGCCCCAGCTAAGCCTGCCGCCAGGGCGATCCCTTCGAAGCTTGGAAAACCCGGTCTTGCTCCTACCGGAGCGGGCCTCAAGCTCCAGCGTAAGCTCGGTGGTCCAGGAGGTATTGCATCACCACAGCGACGAGTCGTCTCCCCGCCGACGGAAGAAGCAGCACCTCCACCTGCTGCGCCCAAATTTGGTCTTGGTCGTGGCCTGGCAGGTCGTCCCATTACTAAGCCTGCAGCACCTGCAGAGCCAGCACCGGCTCCGGCTGCTCCAGCAGTGAGCGCCATGTCGGCAGCAGACCGTGCAGAATTGGAGGAACTCCGAGCAGAGAAGGAAAGGTTTATTCGAACAATCGAGGATCTGAAGACCGAGCGCTCCAAGTTCAACTCGCAGATTACAGAGCTGCAGAACCAGAACGCACAATTGATCGAGGATCATACCAGGGATGTTTTGAGCATCAAGGCCAAGGAGACACAACTGGTGCGCGCACGGAGTGACGCCGAAGCCGCGGAGCAAAATGTTCAAAAGCAGCAACGGGAGATTGAGAGGTTAAAGCGCGAATTAGCACGAGCACTTCGCGCGTCAGCGATGAGCCCGCCCAATGCCGGGTCCGAAGCTGGCAGCCTCGGCATTCCCGACTCTACCTCGATCTACCAGGAACCTGCCAGCAACGGACATGTTGCTCGCTCGGGCCTGCATCTTGGATCCCGATTTGAGAGCACAAGGCCACGAAGCTATGCCTCGGCCAGCCCAAGTGAGGAGAAAGAGAACAATGGTCTTGAGTCACCAGGGGGACTGGGTAGCCGAGATGCTGGCCTTGGCCTAGGTCGACGCAAGCTCAGCCCTACCTATGGTCTTTCTGGAATTGCAAGCCCCACACGCTCATCTCGAAACTCTGCCTATGGAACCGAAGACGAAGGTCCGCCTAGGTCTATAGAGCCTGCTGAGAATTGGAAGCGTGCGGCGGAGGTGACAAGCCAGCTGAAGGCGAGAATTGAACAAATGAAGGTAAGTGATGGTCGTCGTAATGGTAATGGCATTTGAATTCCCTACTAACATTGAGAATAGGCTCGTCAAGGGCTGTCACGACCACCCGCGCAACGTTAATGACCAACCCGGATGACTGCGATCATGATTATGCCTCTACCTCCCTACCTCCCTAACTTCTTTTCTCTATTCTACGCGTGTCTTAGACTAGGCTTTTATTTGTGATGCATTCATGATTTTTGGCCTTGCGGTGGGACATGTCTGGTCTTCTGGGCGCATTAGGCTGGGTCTCTTGGGTCTGTACTTTTTGCGCCGGATCTCTTGGTTTTTTGTGATTTCCCCATACCAACTCTGTTGTTGTTGTTGTTTTTTCTCTTTCTCTATATGGTTTTTTTAGGGTTCTCCATTTGTATCATAGAGGACATGGGTATGGGGGCTATGCTAATAGTAGCTGAATGGACTCGTTCGTGGACACTATGAAGCTCATTCTGGTTCGAGACATACCATGGACAATTTCTCAGGGAAATTGGAGTACAACTACCAATGTCTGATAACGTTTCTACATTGCAATAGATGAGTAGAGTTCCTTTCTAATCCTCGGGATACATACAACCTGCAACCACATTCAAAGCCCATAAAGCTCAGCAAAAGGATCCACATCCGGATCCTCATGTCGACTATACTCAATCCAATCCGCAATCCCCTTAGCCTTCTCCTTCCCAAAAACCTCCCCAATCCAAGCCAACGTCACATCAATCCCAGCACTAACCCCTGACGAAGTCCAAATATTCCCATCAACCACCCACCGCGCCCTAGCAACCCACTCCACCTCCGCCCGAAGCGCACTCATCTCCCTCCACACCATCTTATTACTCGTCGCGCGCTTCCCATCCAACACCCCCGCCCGCGCGACGAGTCCCGACCCCGTGCACACGGTAATCAGGTATTGCAGCGTTGGATAGGTTCTCTGGATGAATGCGATTGCTTCGGTGACGGGGGGCTGGAGCCGCGGGAGCCTCGGCCGCCGGGGACGAGAAGGACGTCTAGTGGTGGGGCGGTTGCGAAGGTGTGGGTTGGTAAGATGGATTGCCCCGTTGTCGTTGGGATGTCGGGGGATTGGGTGGAGACTGGGTCGAGGGTTGTGGAGAGGAGGGATAGGGTTATGGATTCGGTTCTGGAGAGGACGTTGATGCAATCTAGGGGGCCGAAGGCGTCGAGGGCTTGAAAGCCTGGGAAGAGGACGACTCCGATGCGGAGGGAAGCTTTTGGTGAGGGGTTGTCTGTGTTTAGTTAGTAACCACAGTCCTATATATTTAATAGAATAGTCATGGTGGGGGGATGAAGGCTTACCGCTCATGTTGATGGGTGTAGGTGTGCGGGATGAGTCTGATAGGTGTAGAAGTAAACAAGGTTGTTCTGGGGAGTAGAGAGGTGGCTATTTATGTTTGACTTGGAAGAGATAGAGATAGGTTCTAGTTGAGATGAGTTACGGTTACTTTGACTCATATGTGCAGGATCTCAAGCCACTAGAAGGCGTCCATTCTCGTATCCATCCATGTTAACTAACTTCTAATTCGTCCGGTCATAACGCGCCGAATGTCGATTCCAATGGGCTGATCCTTCGGGCTTGATGCCATGGAACCTCCCTACAGCGTGATTGATTGAATGACTATCATGTACAGTTACCGAAGCAATACGGATTCTGGATATTTTGAAAGTTCCATTCAGTCAATTGTTTAAGGTTAGATACTACTCAAGACTATATAGTTGCATGCTATCCACCCAATGGAAATATATCTCCGTAGGTATATATCCATCCACTCACCCAAGATTGAACAACAGATGTGACATTTCAGAAGAGGTACTAGAGTCAATTAGAATGATCCCTTGCAAAAAGACCATCCTAATCTCGAATTATAGATTAAGACATAACAAGATCCACCTGGGGATATAGATCGAGTCGTTGAATGAAAGACCATGATCACGTGAGGATGATCTAGGAGTGGAGCTTTGAGGTGGACCATGTCGAGGTCAAAATTGCTGAAGGTTCCACCGAGGAAAAATTTCATCAGCGTAGAACTACAATGGAACTACAGTGACAGATCTACAGGAAGTACGAGCAGACTGCATGAATGCCATTCTAACCATTTACTACACTAGCCATGAGCATCGCCGAAACGCGACAAGGGCATATTGAACAGTTTGAGAAATGCATTCATGGGTATCTGCAAGGAAAAAAAGTGGTACATAAGGCCGTCGAGGGGAAGTTCGTGAGAGAAAATATTCTTTTCTTTTTTGGTTAGAATGGGACTCTCAAAGGGCCGAGGGCTCTTTCCCACCAATCTAAAGCTAAAAGAAAATTTTTTGGCCGTCAATAAGTCATCCGGAGCCTGCAACACCTTGATTATTTTTTTCCCATTGGAACTTTTTAGGAGAGCGCTTTGAGAAAGGGGCGATCACGTCAAGACAAAATCAAGTCATCCCGGAAAAGGATTAACTTAGACCTTGATGGCGTTCTCAACAGCCTTGCGCTTCTTCTCCTGGCGGGCGTTGGCCTTGGCACCCATGATACCACCACCCCAGTGGCGGCGGGACTCATCGTACTTGTCGGTGTAGCCCTCCTTGATGGCGGAGAGGAGCTTGGAGAACTCAGCCTTGTCCTCAGCGCGGACCTCAGTCAGAGCCAGAACGGCGGAGGTCTGAAGGTATAAAGTTAGCTTGGGCTCATGGATATAGATGCTTGTCATGGGTAAACATACCTTCTTGTGGACAACGGTACCGAGACGAGCCTTGCCCTTGACAATGGCGTAGGGGACACCCATCTTGCGGCAGAGAGCGGGGAGGAAGACAACCAGCTCAATGGGGTCAACGTCGTGAGCAATCAGGACGAGGGAAGCCTTCTTGTTCTCAACGAGGCCAACGACGTGGTTGAGACCGTACTTGACGTTGTAGGGCTTCTTGGAGACATCCTCCTTCTTCTTGCCCTCGGAGACGGCGGTAGCCTCCTGGACGAGACGCTCCTTCTTCTCGGCCTTGGTCTCAGGGCGGTACTTGGCGAGGAGCTTGAAGGTCTGGGCAGCGGTGTTGCGGTCCAGGGTGCTCTGGAACTGAGCGATCGAAGGAGGAACCTTCAGACGCATGTTCAGAATCTTCTTCTGGCGCTGGAGGCGGACATATTCGGGCCACTTGACGAAGCGGGACAGGTTGCGCTTGGGCTGGATGTCCTGGCCGATACCGAAGTTGCGGGAACGCTTCTCGATGAGAGGGTTCTGTGTGGGGGGTTGATTAGTATTTTCCATTCTTCGTTTTTCTCAACACTCCCAGGGAAAGAAGAAGTTACTAACCTTAGCGGCCTTCTTGGAGGAGCCAGCCTTGCCCTGGGGGTAGGGCATGGCGGCGGTCTTCTTTCCGGACTTGGGAGGCTATCATTGAGAAAAAGAAGATCAGCGATCTTGTCCCTAACGGGCTGCATCTTCTTTGAACTCTAAGGAGCGCCATGCAAATGAACACCGTGTTACGGGCGTTCAATGCATGGCTGACCTCCAGCCAAAATCATCGCCATGATTGTTCCACATCTCTTTCGAGGCTGTGGGCAATCGACGGAATTGCGCTTCGATTTCGAAAAATCGGAAGCTAGACAGAATTGTCTGACGGCATCGCTGCAGTGGGCGAAGCCTGAACAAAAGACGTTCAAGTGCTTACCATTTTGTCGACTGAAGATCGGTGCGCTGGGTGACGGTTGACGGATGAGAAAAGGGAAAAGTTCGACAGACGGAAGACCGATCTTATGAATTTCTCGTGGGTCGCGCTAGCGTGGTCATGTGAGTAGGGCTTAGGGCTAACCGAAGTTGGGAGGTACTTGGCTCATATCACGTGACATGTATGATATTGAAGAGGCTCATTGGATGCTGGATGCCAGCCCCGGCATAGTTCTTCTATTATTTTTGAATCCTTAGTTAGTTTACAGAATAGAGGAGCTGTTATGATACGCAGTTTATTTTAGCATATCAATATCGGAAAATCATGGTCCATTATCATATCCGGCTACCCGTGGGCAGCACGCAAGACTCTATATACAACACAATCCATTAAGACGCCGTAGAAGATGACAACAATAAGGGCCATGCAAAAAAGCCACTGAAGATGCACCAAATCAGGTAAAGACAGCCTCAATACAACGTATTCCTAGCTCATCACCGCCAAGCCCCTAACCCCGGCAACGCTCCACGCCCCAGACTTGCGCTGGCAGCCTGAACAGCCTTCTTCTTCCCACTCGTCCCCTCCTGACTGCGTACACCAGCAACAATCTTCTCAATATTCGTCTCGACAACCACACCGCCAACAATCATCTCACTCAGCACCGCATGCATCGTCTCATACCCAAAGATCAGATCTAGTTCGCAAACGTTCTCAAACATGCGATCCAATGCCTCAACGAAGACTTGGATTAGATCGATCAGGGCGAGCGGGGACTCGGTCGAGGTGGAGATCATGATGAAGGAGAGCGTGGCGTAGGTGCGGTATGTTATTTGAGTTGGCGCATCGGAGGGTCCGGTTGAGCTGGCGGCGCCTTGGGAGAGGAGTGGTGGAAGGGGGAGGAAATTGCAGGCACTGGATGGGCGCTGCGAGACTAGGTGGTATATTTGGGCGATCAGTGATTGTTGGGTTTGGGTATCCTGGAAGAAAAGAGTTAGCGGGCTGGTGTGAGTGTTTGCGCAGGGAAATGTAGGGGATATACCAAGGTTGTGTAGAACTTGGTTAGCCGTGGCTGGCCATTGTTGTTGAAGACGAGGACTGCGTTGATCATCTTGTAGATTGACAGCTGTTGGTCACAGTAAAGTCCAGACCGAGCGATGTAGTGAAAGGTGGAGATGATCGCGGTCAAGTCTTGACTGACTGCATGACGATGCTCTTATCAGTGATGCCGATAAACTGCGGCCTCGGCCTCGGCCTGGTCCGTGCGGCCAATTTTCCGGAGACCGCGACGGGCCTGCTTCAACATGAGCACAACTGGCAATCACAATCATCAGCGAGGATGAGGATACGAGCAGCAGCAGCACGGGTCTCCGTGCCCAGAAAGGCAGTCACCAGGCCATTAATCGACCAAATACCACAGACTACCACGCCTGCCAAAATAATCCCAACTCCCTCCTCAAACCCAAACAAGCGCACTCTCGAAGAACTCACGCCCACCGATCTATGCTACTACTGGGATACCAAACCCCCAACACCATCCCAACTCGCCTTCGCAGACAAAATATTCATTCCCTCCCGCCATTCACCCCTAAAGCTATGGTCCGCCAGCAAATTCCGCACTACACCTCTCTCCTCCGTCGAGCCCGAAGTCGCATTCCTCGGCCGCTCGAATGTCGGCAAGAGCTCTTTGCTAAACGCAATCATGGGACAGGACATATGCTGGACGTCCTCTAAACCGGGGCGCACGCGGGAAATGAACGCATTCGGGATAGGCGGTACGAAAGGGGGCGAGCATAAAGTTGTGTTGCTGGATATGCCCGGTTACGGCAAGGCGAGTCGCTCGGAATGGGGAATGGAGATTATGAAGTATCTCCAGGGGAGGAAACAGTGGGTGTCAACATATTTTCTCCTTTGCAAGTACCTTCTACTATAGGCCAGCGTTTCTAACTACGTATACCAGACTCCGCCGAGCCTTCATCCTCATCGACAGCGAACACGGCATAAAACAAAACGACGCCGACATCCTCAGCCTCTTCCGCCGCTACGCAATCCCCCACCAAATAATCCTCTCGAAAGTAGACAAAATCCTCGCCAAGAACAAGAAACAAATAAAGTCCGGCGCTTCGGCAATCGGAATCCAGCGGCTACAGGATCTTCTACACAAGTTGCAGCCGCAGGTGCAGCCTGATCAGAGTGTATCGAATGGGCCCGGTGCCTTAGGGGAGATTTTGACGTGTAGTGCTGATACGCATGTTGGGCCTGGTCGGGTGTTGGGCGTTGATGCGGTGCGATGGGCTATTTTGTCGGCGGCGGGTATTGATGGGAGTCTGGAGGGTGTGCAGTCTACGTCGGAGGGTTTTACTTGATTGAGTGGGAGTATGCCGTTCATGAGAGTATATGAGAATATAGAGTCTACGATTGCCGAAGGTTTTGGCTCTCTACATACATGCCCAGCGAGGGCGAACTTGGCACCATGTGTCCACCCGAAGACTGAAGGCACAGAAAATGTTCGACCTCGTCGAGAAGTGGCTATTGCCTACTCCCTCCTATTGGGAGAGTACATTGATCAAGAAGTCTCCTTAGCTTGCCCCGAAACGATGCATGTGGCTGCCCGCTTGATCGGCCACGCCCAAGGTTGTGCTGGAAATGGGCCAGCCTACCAAAGATGACACTATTATACCCATCCTACTTGGAACATGCAAGAAATTATATGAACAACCAATTTGAATTGTATCTATTACCACCTAACAAGATCATGAATTTTGAAGATAAGAGATGTAATGATCAGAATTGAGTGTGTCGCAACAGGCTCCTAGGATACCGTAGAAGCCTTGCCATCGATAACAAAAACTTCAGACACAAGGAATGATAGTAACATGCAGGACACAGCAATGATGATAGCGAACAATAAAGAGACAACATTGTAGGGTAAATGCAGAAAGGACAAAGGGTGCAAGATTCGATGGATAAGATGATGAACGTGTGAAAGGATACCAGAAAGCCTCCCGAAAGCGAGAACACAAATGAAGAACGATGATGATAATGAAAATGAACTCAGGAAAAGTCTAACGCCAGTCCCCCCATCGTAATGCTGGATGACCAAATAATGCCGACCGCGCTATGCAAAGGGTTGTTTTCAAGGGAAGAGACCAGAGCCGTAAGGATAGGGTATCGTGAATAGAGTGTAATGGAGAAAAGCGGGCTTGTTGGGGGAATAGGGAAACGAAGAAAACACAAAAAAATACGTGGAAAGGAGATAAAAGGGCCAGTCTGGCGTGTGAGTATCGTGGTTGAAGATTGCCGCGGATCATAGTGGACTCAGTCCGAGTCTGAGTCAGAATCAACGTTGCTGGTGGCAATCTCTCGTCCGCGACGATTGACCACAATACGCTTGCCGAGTTTGTTTTCAGGGACACCATCCCGTGCGGCACCAAAATCAAGAACCTAGATAATTGGTTAGTACCGAGTGATATTCAGCAGTCTGGAAGAGATAATCACCTCAATGTACGTCAAACTGTCGCGCTGCACCGCAGCAACACATCGTCGGTCATTAAACTTCACCTGCCACACTCCACTCAAATCGGTGAGAAGATCTCGGACACAGGCACCGGTACTGACATCCCACATCTTCAAGGTTCGATCCGATCCGGAGATGACCTTTTGCCCATCATGCTGGAAGCAAGTGATAGCACCAGTGTGTGCACTCAACATGTTCTTGCAGTGGCCGTGTTCGGGATCCCAGATGCGGAGGGTGGAGTCTGCCGCAGCAGAAACGAGGTAGTCACTCTGCAAAGAAAGTAGACCAACCAGGGAGGTGTGACCTTCGAGGTTGTGTAGCAGGGAACCATCTTCCAGCGACCAGACCTTGACCATGTGGTCCATTGCACCGCTAATGCAACGGTTGCGCTTGTGGTCCAACACAACACTATAAACCTTCAAGGAGTGGCCTTGAAGGGTGTGAAGAACCTGACCGGTGGAGATCTTCCAAACCCTGACCGTGCAATCGTAACTTCCACTCACAAGAGTGTCGCCGTGGGCTGCAATTGCACGGACGGAGTGGCTGTGTCCCGACAATACACGCACAAAGTAGGGACAGTCAGTATCATCCGCCAGGGGTCCATTAGGATAATACGAGGGATCGCCCGGTTTCGGAAGCTTCCACACGCGCAGGTTCGAATCACGAGATCCAGTGATGATGAGAGGAACCTTGGGCATGATCTCCGGACGACCATCAGCATCCTTACCCACCTCTGTGGGCAAGACGATCTGCAAGCAGCGCACGGTAGACGTGTGGCCATTAAAGACCTGTGTACATCTAGCACGCTCAATGTCCCACACACGGACAGATCGATCCGTAGAACCGGAGACTAGCGTGTTTCCGTGATACTCGAGAGCCCAGACACCACCTTCGTGGCCCTCCAGAGTAGCTTTCAGAGCACCAGTCTTGGTGTCATAAACGTTGATATTCGTGTCATCACTTCCAGTCAAAATCTTGTCCGTGTCAAACTGCAGACAAGTGACAACGTGGCGGTCATGAGCGCGGAAGGCAAGGTGTTGCGGCTTGACTTCAGGCTTCATCCAGCCACGGCGGATAGCGTGATGTCGGCGATAGAGAGCCTTGTATAGGTAAAGTCCACGAAGGGTCGGCATACCGACATCGGGATAAGGAACGGCCGCAGCCGCAGCGTTGGCAGCGGCATACGGAGCCTCCGATGCAGCAATGTCCCTCTTCCAATCTGGCTCAGAATGGTCGGTGCCACTAGAAGAGATCTTGCGCTTAGCTAGCTTGCGACTCGAAGCGCGAGTGTTTGCCTTTCGCTTGGGACGTCTGTTCGGAGTCAAAGATGTCAATGGTGCTCTCTCGTGAGCGTGGGAAGAGGAAGCAACGGGCGAAGACTCTCCGTCAACCCGAGAAGAGAACTGTTTGCTCAGGTCTCTCTCAAAGTCATCAGTGCTGCTGCACTGCCAGCCCCAACCTTCTCGGATGGCTCGCTCCAGCTCTCCCTCGGATAGCGCATAACCATCACGATCAAGCAGGTCCTTCCATGTTTTCTCATCAGAGCTGACAATGTGGCGCCATTTCTTCGAAACCTGTGACGCGCGACACATGGTTTGGACATCAAAATATTTGATGATATTCAAACTCAGTTCAAGAGGGAGCATGGTCAGGAAATCACACTTCAATGTCGGGTTCACGACATCGGCCACAAAATGCAGAGTGGGTTTAGGGCATCGTCTCAAGAATTGATACATGAGATACGACTTCAGTTCGTCCGGTACAGAGTCAAAAAACTCGAGCACCTTGGGCATATCCATCAGAGATGGCGGGGATCGTGACGTAGTCGCGAGACTCTTGGGCCGAGAGACATCTGTATCAAGAAGGCGCACAGTCTTCGAGTACCGTGGAACATTGTGGTCCAAGCTAGAATCCGTGTCGACATCCGGCCCCTCGGAGTCAAAAGAGGACTCGCCATGCAGCGCATTCATGGCAGCCACTGGGGACAGGCTGGGGCTGGGCAGGCACATATCTTGCGCCATAGCATTGTCAATAGCCGAGAGTTGAGCCGTCAGGTCGGGTCTTCGCTGTGACGAACTTTCGGTCGAGGCAAAGGATACCGATTGTGTGAAGGAGCTCGGGTCTGATGTGACCGCTGCGGTTGTGTCCGGTTTGGTGGGTTGCAGCTCCCGGTTCTGAGCCAGGTCTTCCAAAAGCTTCTGAGCACCGGCGTCGGATGGGCCAACCTCTGCAGACAGGGGTGACCGTAACAGGGTCTCCCTGCGAGGGAAATTTGCGCTATGAGCCCGTTTCGAGGACGGGCCCTCACCCAGACTTCCGATATTGTGCTCAGTTTCCGGAGTGGCAAGACCAGCAGGAGAGAGATGGGTAGAAGCCGATGCATAGTGGCGGGTGCGTCGTGCTACAGGCTCGGATGGCACTCGAACCGCACGGGACCGAGGAAGAATAGCGGGACGAGGATCCGAAATAGAGACGGGGGAGACGGGTCGGGGCGGAGGATTGGGATGATTGATCCGAGCGACAGATCGTGGGGCTGCCAGTCGTCGGGAAGCACTATCATCCTCGGTGGTAAACGAGTTCACAGAGCGAATCAAACCGTTTGAAGACTTCAGAGCATCGTTCTTCTCGTTCAGCTAGAGAAACATGTGAGCCTTGGGGCACGGACTTAAGCGGATCGAGGAGCTTACCTCGGTGAAGGCCGCAGTAGTATCGTTGGGTTCATCGAAGACGATCGACTGGTCCCCGAGTCTGAACCGAAGATTTCTCAAGTTTGCTGGGGTTGGCGTAGATGCCAAGGGATATAGTCTCGTATCTAGGTCCTTTGTAGCACGCGGGGATTTGATCAGGAGAGGCGGAAAGGACGTTGTTGTAGTGGTGGTCGTAGTCACCACGGTGGTCCGAGTCGCGGGAGCAAAGGAGAACTGGGCGAAGGAGTCGTTACTTGAGGGCCCCTGCCCAACATCTTCCTGGTCGTGCTCATCCATGTCGCGTCCTTGGAGTATTCAACTAAGCGAAGATCCAGGTGGCGATAAACATGGGCGTGTGGTGAAAGGATGGATGCGTTCGGGGTCGAGACGATGATCGATTTTGGAGTCAAGTATGTCAAGCGATGGAGTAGGTAGAGATGGTATCTCACACCAGCTCGGGTGGGGGGTTGGGAAGTGGTAAGGTTGGAGAGGTGATTGATTAATCCAAGAGGTCGAACGATCGGATACCACCAGAATCCAGAGTTTTGATTCCGGGGTCAGAGGGAGGGGTGTTAACACAACACCCCGTCAAAATGATGGCGCAAAACAAACATTTACGGGGAGAGGAAGAAGGTTAGAACATGGTGGGAGGAGAAGGAGAGAGGTTTGAGGTAGGAAGCAAGGAAGGTTTCAAAGGGGAGGAAAGAGTGGCGGCTGACGAGGGCCTGAGTTGGGGGGCAAGGCGGAGAACAACAATTAATCCGAGTCCCGCCTTACAGAGTTACCAGATCGTTACGGCAACTATACTGGACGTCATGGACTTGGTGCTTCATCTTATTCTGTTTATTTTCCACAACCTGGCTATTTTAGTTGATCGTGTCTATACTATCCTAGATCATCTATACCGAAATCCATATTAGTTCTGCCCATCTATCGCGACCGAGAATTTCACCGGATTCTTTCCTGCAGCGTGAAAACCTTGAAACCCTGCTACCACCACCCATCAAAGCCGATTTGTGGTTCTCATTAGGGCCTGTGCCTTTGTTTAGTACTTGCCACCAACGGATAGTTCTTTCATGATTAAAACAGGTCTCTGGTGAAAGAGACCTGCCAAATATGCAGCCAGTTGATATACGTTCAGATGCCAATATATCTCTCTGTCTCGGGAGAGCAATACGAAGTCCAAACCTGTTTACGATGTGGGGAGCAACCGAGCCAACTTGCAAAACAACGGTCCAGCCACTTGCCACGGCCCAGTCACGTGATGCAGGTGGGGCCTCTTCCAAGCCGGTTGGCTTGATTAGTTAACTCTGGCCCAGGGCTGCTAACTATACTTTTAACTTGTTCAACCACTGCGCTATATGATATATGCCCGGTTCCAAGGTGGTGGCCACCCGGTGCATGCCTTGGTAACCCACTCTATGAGCGCATATCTCAATCAAGATGGGCAGTATGCCGGCAAACCCTCGATTTCAACACTGGATAATCTAGGTTCGATTCCTAGCAATCAAGTTTCGGGACCAATTCTTAGATTCTTCTTTGGCACCCTCCTGAGACCACATAGCTTTTCCTCGCGTCGGGGGACTTTGTTTATATCACAGAGATCCAGCAAGGCGACAAAGGGATAGATCCTTCCAGGGTAATAAAATGCATCTCCACATAATCTGATCCAAGGGATTCCCCATGAGCTTGGTCCCCACTCTCCCTAGATTCGACTGTTTACAACATGTACCATGTACGTCACCTGCAGGTACCCTATTCTCCCGTCGCACCCCTGCCCACCTAAAGTTGAAAGATGGTTTAACCAGTTCTACCCGGAGATTCGGTATATAGTACTGACCTGCAGCCGAATAGACCGGACAATATATAATCGATGATCGATCCTTGAGGCTCAACAAACTTGCACAAGCAGAACATATGGAGCCACTATATTTCTAGTCTATACCTATGGCTACTCTGTGAAAATGGGCATGCACAGGGATCCTTGAGGCATTGATTATCCCGTTCAATCAGGAAATTTTTGTGAGATAAAACGGGACCTTCGGGCAAGTGCAGTTGCTGGTGAACTCGAATAACCCGACGCATCTTATCTTGCAACTCTACAGTCTACCAGTTAAAAGAGTCGCACCCCAAGGACAATGTCGACTGTCATCGTTAGGATAAATCCAGCCTTCTACCCATTGACAGTTGCAATTCTCGAAAAGAGTCAAGAGAATGCTGACTGAATTTGCCATGTGGATCTTGAGGTATCAATCTATTGGTGGTCGAGTCACATATACTGGCTTCAGGAAGCAGGGCTGAGTTGTCTAAGCTCTCGAAAAGTGGAAGAAGCCGGCGTTATAACCATGGCTCTTCCGTTCGAGCAAACTGAAATTTTGATTTGAACGGTACAACAATGACTTGCTCGAGTGACACTTCCGCTTGCAGTGCTTCCGCCAACCTTGCTATTCCTGGGGCCCGACATGATGGAACATGAGGTCTGTCGTATCAGTCTTTTGGATTGTCTGGTTTTGTGGCCCTGGGGGCGAACTGTAACATCTCTCAAGGCTTCAAAATACGATTTTGATAAACAAGATGGATATATGTCCCTACTATCACCCAGAATGTTTACGCCTGCAATTCCTGTATTGGAGATACATCATTCACAAACCCACATGTCCATTACACTCGGCTACCATGATGCCCAATCTGCGCTGTTCATTAGGTGCCATGCCTTCCTACTTGATATGATGCCTGGTGGGATTGCCAGAAAGGCAGGCAGGATGAACTCCCAGTCATCAAGCGCAGATACCTTGTCCAAGATTAAATTGACCATGTTTGCCTTGGAGAGGCTGTCACGAGATCTCTCGAGGCTGCCTTGAGAGGGGGGTCGAAGACAGGCACGTGCCAATCCCTCAGGTGAACCACGTCGTGCCTGTTACGTGAAGGCTGCCTCCCAAGGCAGAGACAACCTCAACCACCATCACCACCAGCAATGGCGCCTAAACTGGTACTGAAATGCCCTCCACCTCCCCCAATCCTGTCCTCTCCCCCTCCAAGTCTTTTACAAATTGTCCGTTCATCGTCAACCGCAAACCCCAATCTACAGCTTTCTGGAAAAGTCACGATGAATCAATTCAGTATGATGACTGATCCGAGTGAGACGACTGGTCTCAGTGAGACGGATGATTACAGTGAGGCCGATGATCTCAGCAAGATCGATGAATTTGTCATGTGGGAGTACCTCGAGGCCAAGAAGCAAAAGGTAGTGGCAGAGAAGAAACGACTGGAGGCCGAGATCGAAAGACTGGAAAAGTGCCAGATGGAGACCAGAGATGGTTGCCCTGATGGATACAGAGCACAGGCGGTTTCGACATTCTACGAGAAGCCTCGACAGGCATATCCCCCCGTTCACCGATGCCCAACTGAGGTAGAGGCGAACATTCATCATTTCCCGGTGGTCGTACGTGCTATCTGATGTTCTGATCGAAGGGGATGACATGATTCTAACAAATCGACAGAGAACCAGCATCGAGTTGCTGAAGGTGGTGCTGCACACAATGGTATGGAATCTACCACTTCTCGATCCGAAATGAATCAGATGCTGACAGGTGGTCTTGCAGATTTCGACCATCTTCTTCAGTCGGTTCGTGTTTTCCAGATTTCACATCACATCACTCGCAATCATCTCTCTAACCTCACATTTGACAGAGAACTTCTGCCCCTGAGTTCTTTCGGAGTACGGGATCTTCCCATCTGCTTCAGCGATGAGAAGTTCAGTTTCGAAGACCACTTCCTGAACAACGGGGCCGAGCCGGAGGAGGCCTACCCACTGCAGTTGGACTGGGGACGCGTCCCGGTGATGGAGAGAAACAGAGACAAGAATACGGACGACATTCTCGATCATCTCGTAAGTTACATCTCGATGAAGTTGATACATCTCACCTACATTGGCTGACTTGCGCGAAGGAGAATAAGTTCGTTGAGTCTCTGATGAAACGTGAGCTGCTGGGACTTCAGTTCATAATCGTCAAGGACGCAGCTCGTCCGTTGGAAGTCTACGAGACATATACCATCTCCATCGACTACAGTGGAAGTCGTGGGTGCTCTGACCGGAGGGGGGAGAAGCCGGACTTTCACGATCCAATGGAGGATTACAAGTCCTCCGTGGAGATCAAGAAGGCGATCCTGGACATGTTCCGTCACATCTACATTGTGACCAACAAAATCACCACCTTGCCCGGTATGCATGCCACACCTATACGATGATTGAAACCATCTCAGCTAACAAGATACACAGAGCAACGCTGTCTCATCTTCCACACCTTCCACACACCCTGGGCCCCGGAGAGCAAGAACGGCGACGAGTTCGACAGTTCCTGGGACGATGTCCTCGCCTTTCCAACCATCTGTGGATGGAGAAGGAATACGGTTTCCTCCCGGTTCATCGACACCGGATTCTACGGGCAAGTCATCGGTACTATTACTACAGCGTCGGCTCGCCCCGGCTAATGATCAAAAGCGCAACTCTCAACGTCACTTTCATCAACTCACCCGAGTCGAACGAGAAGGCTCATGGTATCCCCACCCAGATGCCAACTCAGATTCAGTTCCGAGGTTGCCGACTACGTGACGAGGATATGGAATGGGCATATGGCACCCAATGGGTCGAGGATGAACTTGACGAGAGAGCTGCGGCCAAGGAGATTAAGCTGGAGCAGATTAAGCTGGAGAAGCCCACGTCCGAGGAGCCTACGCCCGAGGAGCCTACGCCCGAGGAGCCTACGCCCAAGGAGACTGCGCCCGAGGAGACTGCGCCCGAGGAGACTGCGCCCGAGGAGACTGCGCCTGAGGAGACCACGCCCGAGAAGGCTGCAACCCCAGAGCGTGCAATCAAAAGAGACGCAGACGAGGAAGCAGACGAAGATGGACCCCGGAAGAAGGCAAAGACCGCATGATCAGCATGCATAGTCCGGGGCACGATGAGAAAGCGGAGATTTCCAGATGAGAATCTGCTGGCGGATTCTCATTCTCACCAGAGAAAGCGTTTTGTTTTGAACTAGATCTATCATTTCCAGTCCATCGATATCATTCACTAGTGATAGACCGAATCCATGAATCGGATTTCCGCTGCAGTATTTGCCCGAATCGTAGGAGATTGAAAACGGAGTTTTGACCTCCTCCCCACGTCCTGCAGACAGCACCGTTGTCCGTAGCAAAATGCTCAATTGAGTCTTCTGAATCTTACGAGACCGTTTCCCAAGCCATGAATGATTTGCAGCGAGTGGATCCCACTCCCACCGCATTGGGACCAGTTACCAGACACAAACCCTCATAGCCAGGAAATCCCCATTCTTCAACGTCAATAGTGCATATCCATGATCTACAATATACCCACAGGGCACGCACTATTCGGAACTCTGGAGAAACAACTATTGCTTGCATTGTCTAGTATACTGGGGTGGAACTATTGGGGCACCATTAGCCGCTAGTTTACCCGACCATTGAGGTTAGCGGGCGCTCGAGTGGCCTCCTACAGCTGTCAAACCGTTCGTTTGGGTTCAATAGTGGTTTTTTGGGGGTATGGCTTGATGTGTTTTGAGGGGACAGACGGAGTACAGGAATTCTGGAAAACGGGCAAAATTTAATTGTGGTTGTGTATGGTAGATTTTTGCCCCTGTGATGAGCTGGTATATTTACTTCTGTAGACCTACGGGATATACCCCTATTCTATGCAGATCGAGATTGTACCTGGTTGCCTGACTAAAGGGGCATGCCATTACGCCAGGGCGATTAAGTAGTCTGATCGCGTACGAGCCAATAATATGTCTGCTGCCTTGAGAATAGCCCCCGATCTCGACGAGCGAACAAAAATAATGCCCCGGAGTGCCACCGTAGCTCGTTCCGTCACTGGTGGGTCTGATGTACGCTTGCTTCCTTACTGTAGACACGGCACACTAGGCTTATGAACGGAGCTGCCCGGCCAGATGATCTACCTCCAGATCGAACTTGATTTGCTCGGACCAGGTTCGAGGTTGGACGAACTAGCACACTAAAGGAAAACAGTCCCTGTCGCCGTGGACGTGGTGATGGGTGTCTCAAACAACCGGTCCATATTAGGGTCTCACAGGATTGCCGAATCTCGATGGTCGAAGCCGAGGTTGGCTCTTCACAAGGAACCACTCAAGTGCGGTCTAGGTACCGCCGGGAAAGTGCCGTGGACTAAAGTGGCATGTCATCCTGTCAGAAACTCTTGTAGGGTCCAGGTCCATGGGTTGCCGGGTGGGCGTTGTTTCAGGCGTTTGCCTGGGCGCCGTAGCTGGGCCATTTCCAGCAACTTGCAAGATTTGAGCTCTGTCGTGACTCGAGAGGCGTCTGTCATGGAAAATAATACATCAAATACTTAACGTGGGCGGCACACGTACCTCGTCACCAGTCACTGCCTGGCGCCCAGCGACGGACCTGACGATCATTGCCGTTCTGCCTTGCAAACCAGTCAGGACGCGACAACCCGAGGATGCTACTAGTATTTGTCAAGGCGCCACATCGAAGTGGAGGGAGTAGTAGTCTCCGCGTGCGAAGGCGATGACGCTCCCGATCGGAGGGTGCTACCGGCGAATATGGGCCGTCAAAAAGATCGAGTTGTGCGAGGGGATGGCCTGTGGGTTTGTGGCGAATAAAGTAAACACAGCAACGGGAACTGGCTCCATAGTTCTCCTTTTTGTTCGGCCGGGCGAGTATTGCACCTAGAGCCCCATCACGATTTGTGACCGGGCCAATGGCGCGGATTTCAACAGTCCGCTTGATTCTAAATACAGTACTTCGTACAAAAAGTGACAGGATCGAGGAAAAGAAGAAAAGAAAAAAAAAAGAAAGGGGATGGACCAGTCTGCTGGTAAGTTTAGAACGGTCTCTCTATGATGGAACTGCCGACCAGGCAGAGGAAGCTTAAGTGGAGTTTGGGAGGCGCCTAGGTTTACGGGGGCTTCTCGAGAAGGACGCCGGGGCGCGTTCGAGGCGCCTGGGTAGATTAGTGGAATCAATGCTGGCCCCTTTCCATGCAAAATCAATGGCAAAACCTCCAGGTAGGCTACAATTGACACAAAAAAAGGCCGGTGAAGCTTCGAGTTAGTAGGCAAGGATAGCGCATGTTTTTATTCGATTGTACATCCCGTGTCCCGAGTCGTGACCCTAGTGAGTACGTACGGGCATGAGGTATGGCCACACGTGTATTTTAAGGTTGCCCCCGTGGTTACCGCAAGTCAACCGCAGTAAGGGGGAACACGAGGGAAAGGATGATGCCTGGCGTAATTTCCTGAGCATTATTAGCGTTGATGTCCGAGGGGAGCGTTGTAGTCATTGAAAGGAGGGTTTGTCCAGTATAATGCAGGAACTGCAGGAATCCCGTTCTCGTAGGTTCGTACCCTCCGTATATACTTTGTACTCCGTACTCCGTCCGCTTTACGGAGTACAAGCCCAAGTATCCATGAGAAGTCAATTTTCCCCTAGCACCCAAGTCCCCATCGTGGGTTCCATGGGTCTCCGTGCGCCAGGAACCAGGCTTGCAAGGATGCTAAACACAAATCAAATGAAGCGACTCTGGTGAAAATTGACTTGGAGGCGAGATGTGGGTGCCTGTCGATACTTGCTTGTTTGGTCGACGCGAAGAGGGCAGTGGCTGTCGATCGCATCACGATTTCGTGGGCCATCGCGGGCCATTCCCTCTGATCCAGTGATCCTGGGAAACAAAGTCAGGAACCAGGTTGGCCTTCCAATGGCAGGCCCCATTCACGGATGCCGTGCTCCACCGGCCGAAATGAAACACACCCGTGCGAGGGCCCGATGACTCCAGTCGGAGGCAAGCTGGAGTCTATTTCCAGTGTCCACGGGGTGGTCCATGCAGGAGCAGACGGGCGCAGGGGTGGGTCACCCCTATTGGTGATGAAAGTGGGCTGGGGGGAAATCATAGTGGCCGATAGACTGTTGGCAAAGTCTGGGATGATGATGGTGTTAGCGACTTAAGTGGCTAGTGAGTGGAGGGAGAGAAAAAAAAAGGCGGAGTGAGGGAGGAGGAACCAATCGATCTGACGATCTCCGTCTTGTACAAAAAAGATCCCCGGGCCCTCGATTGCCTACTCCTTTCTCTCGTTGCTTGAATTTCTTCTCCCTTTGTGGTTTCCCTACATCCCCGTTATACTTGATTTCTCCCCATTACTCTTTCCCTGAACACGGTACGTGGTGGAGGCCCATGCGAGAACCGCCCAACGCTTCCCTCGGGTTCGACTGGAGACTGGGACCTAATTACAGAATCGCTGACCGTTCCGACAGTGGAGTTACCCCTCGAATCAAGACCGGGAAATTATTAAATACTTTCAACGGCTCGGATCTCTCTCGAAGAGTCGACGACTCCCCCGTCACACCCTCGAGGCGACGAATTACGTGGTCTCTCTCGACTTCAATGCCTAGTGACCAACCTTCTTCGGCTCTGTAATAATTCAATGGCGCCTCGGGACCCTTCTCCGGTGCATGTGCCTCTACGAACCTCCAGCCGAACTCACCTCAAGACCGGAGCCATGGAGAAACACGACGAGGTTGCTTATGTCGAGCGGAAAGCCTCCAAGGCACAACGCATCCTGGGCACCGACTTGCCTCTCCCTAATACCCAGACCGCATGGGAGAAGTCGCAAAAATCCCGCCGACAGAGCGTTCGGACCCCCGACGGCAACTCGAGACAGCAGAACCAGCATTCCGGGTTCGCAGCATTTCCTTCGTCTCGAGACTCGATCGCCCCGCCTCCGAATCTCCGCGTTCGTGCCTCGTCGCCGTTGCTCGGTCATAACTATCGATCCCAAGAACCAGTACCGCCAATGCCCAAGCCCTCCAAGAAGGTCCACCAATCCGGATCTTCATCCACTCTTTTCTCCTATTTCAGCTCCAAAGAATCGACCAAATCCAACTCGAAATCCAGCCCGACCACTCCTAAACAACACAGCCTGCAACCTCATATCCGTCATGAGCTGGGGCTGGACCCTCAAGTGACGTACAAGCAATCTCGCAGTGCAGCAAAGGAACAAGAAAAGGAAAAGGACTCCAAACGCAAGCTGCGCCCTCCCCGCATTGACCTGTCGATCCTCTTCCCGAAACCTCGAAATACTGCCCCTCCACTCCTGTCACCTCAGCGTATGACCAACTCGCCTTCCCCGGTCTCCACCGTCGTTTCAGACTACCCCTCCAACCGGATGGACCGAGGTGCAAGTGTCTCTGCGAAGAAGTTTGGAGAGCCTCTGCCGCAGCGGAAATCGGTCATTCCAAATGAAGGTCCCAAGCTAAACGGCGACCGCTCCGATCTGCTTTCCATTCCCGAATCGAAGGACGGCGAGTGGTATGATCAACCGCTTGAGCGGACTGTGGGGACGAGCGAGATTGACCTTGCCCTGGACCGATATGCCGGACGACGGTCGTTGTTCAGTCGCTCGAGTGTGTATACGACCAGTCGAGAGCAGCTGAAACCCGATACTCATCGTCCTGCGGAAACCGGAATCGCGGCTCGCAGAGGCCAAGCACCAGCTCCCATCCAAAATAAAGATCTGTATTTGATACCGACCACGCAGCCGAAAGAGACAAGTCGCCATCGTGCCTTGACAACCGAGTCTAATAACTCGCGTGGTGGAAAGAGTGCGGTCAGCAAAAAGAGTAGCAAGAGCACCTTGCGGAACAAGGATTTGCAGAATTCCAGTGTTCTCTGCCTGTCATCGTCAGAAGATGAGGATGAGGAGACACCAGTGAATCAGCAAGGCAAGGCCACCAAAGACTCTCGCCGAAGCAGCGTGGCCACGTACGGTGAATATGAGCCGGAAATCTATACTGCGCGCGCTGCCCAGGCTGCCATTGTCAGAAAGGTTGACCGGGCGCCGTCCACCAGCAGCCGCGGATCTCATCCCAACAACACACGTAGTCAGTCAAATCGCAGACATACTTCCATCGCCTCCACCGGCAAGTCATCAACAACCACTCGCCGCACCGCAAATTCCAAACGGTCCAGCCACATTCCCATTATCGCCGAACCCGATATCCTCAACCAGTTCCCACAACAGCCTCTCCGTACTCCTCAAGAATTGAAGGAGATCAATCGACGAAGCAGAGTCATCGCAGTGACCCGCCAGGAGCAGGATCTCCTCGAAGCGATGCGTCAGCGAAAAGGCAAGATTACACCGAGTATCTTCCAGTACAACAACGGTGCGCCAGAAACCGATCGTAATTCGATGGCCTCGGGCCCGTCGCGAGACTCGTTTTGCGGCTCCGATACGTCCTTCCTGCGCCTCAGCGCTGCGTTCCCGCCGTTCCATTCGCGGACAGATCAAGGTGCAACTCACATGGACAAAGACGGTTCTCCCTCGCAGAGTTCGGGTTCTGATACTGAACAGAAAACTGGTAATCCGATTGCCTCGCCCCAGTTCAGTCCGGGCTATTCCGAAAGTCTTCCATCACCTGCCACGAGCGGTGCTTCACCCCTTACGCCAACCCTCCCAATCCACCGATTCTCACCGCTACCCTCGCCGAAGCCTCCTCCCCGTGGTCCTCCCCCGCCATCCCGGAGGACCAGAAGCGGCACTCCCGGCGTCGTACTGATAGCAGCGAAGCTATCATGCTAAACGGCAATGGTGAGCCGCAGCGCAAACACGACCTCCCGCCTTGGTCATTCGACTTTGATTGGAATCACGACCGGGCGAGTGTGGCCCCCGTGTTTTAGAGTTGCATATGCAGCTCGATGCGCGACACATTCACTTTCCATTTTCCTTTTCTCACCTACCTTTCGACCTCATGTATAACCGTCTCTTTTTTTTTGTCTTCCGTGGATATCCTCGACCATCTTTACATTACCCATCTTTTCATACTTTATTACACCATCATCTTTGCATCTGGGCGTTTTTGGTAATTCCTGTTTTGGTTCATTAGAACTACCGAGTTCTATCTTCCTCATCTTGTCTTAATGACGGCTTTGACTCTTGTCACCCACTCTCTGATCTACTTATTTTCCTTAACCTGTTCACCATTTTGTGGGCTTCTCATATACCCGCTCCTATGTTTTCCCTTACTTTTTGCATTCGGTGGTTTTCTGATCTATGAGGAGGACTTTGATCCCCCCTTGTTTCCATTATCCTGATTAGCTAGTAAGCTACCTGTCAAATCAACTGCGAAATTTTGCATGGTGCATAAACATGTCCACCTCATACGTAAACCTCGTTCTTCTAGAAAAGCAGCCCTGGCCTGGCCAGCCCTAATTTGTGTGGCAGACGTGCATACAGGTCCCCAGTCCAATGAGACGGTGGCTGGCCGGGGGTGGTGCCGACTGGATAGAGACGCACTTGATCTGCGGCAAACAGATGCCTGTGAACTAATCTTGCCTCACTAAGGGAGTATAGCTGCATTCTCCGAGGACATTAGCAAAAGATAGATGGGCGAATGATGACATCGGATTGGGGGGGGGGGGGAAGGAGGCGGACTGGTGGGCTTGACGTCAGGCGTTAAAAGCTCCTGGAAGGTTGGGGCCCAAAAAGACGCCTCCCAATAGTCGGCCAGTCAAGGCGTCGACAGAATACACAACCAAAAGACGCGACTGGATAATCCGTAGTTGACACCCATTTTAAGCTTCGATGCCCAAAGGAATCAGAAAGGTTGAAGTTCTGGACTCGTGACTGCTTCAACCCCGTGATCCACACCGCCAATACCCCAGATCCCGAGACCTCAAAAGAGGCCCTCCCCTTGCGCTTCCCCCTCCATTTTCCTCGCCTTTGACATTTTGTGTCCTGCCCACTCCTTTTACGTTATTTAACTCCGACAGTCCCGCGACCGTTCCACCAGCGTTTGCAAAAAGGCCGAACTACCGTTCCTCTCCTTTCTGCAACCATCCCAGCCACCCTCGCACGGAGCTCCGCCGTGATCGTCATCCGAAGCCCTGCCGCTGGGCCCTAGACGGGTGATCCTCGATTTTCCCCTGCTCTGGCTTGTGGGAATTGAACCTTTACATTTGCCTTTCACTTGCCTGGCTCTTTTTTGTCGCTCCTTACACTGAATATTCACCCTCGCGATTGTTGCGTCGCTCCCCTTCTATTTGTTTAGCTAGGCGGGTCCCGTCTTGTGCTCGTTTTGCGGAGAATACATCCAAATCCAACCCCAGGGCGCGAACACGTATTTCGACACACTCGTCACCATGGGGGACCGCACACAACGCCAGCCTTCGTGGCTACGAGATTCGACCAAAAATGTCCCTTGGTTATTGGTATGGATGATGAGGAGAGCTCTGATGGAATTTGTTCATTGACATTGACCCACTGACCTTGGTTTTGTCTGTCGCAGCTTGCTGCGCAATCCACTGGATTCGTGTTGGTAAGTCGCTTTGCGAATGGTACTGCTCTCATTGAACGCGGAGGCTAAAGTTTCAATGTTTCTCGCATCTAGCTATCTCACTATTCTCGAATTATGCCACCCGCAGGTGGCAAGCGATACCTTACCTCTACCGCCGTTTTCCTGAATGAAGTCATTAAACTAGCGATCGCCTTGACAATGGCTCTTTACGATGTCTCGAAAAACGCGCCCCCCTCTATGCCCGCCACATCCCTCTTCTTCTCCCTCTCAAGCGCCGTGCTCTCGGGGGATAGCTGGAAACTGGCCATCCCTGCGGGTCTCGGCGTTCTCTCAAACTCCCTCCAATACATTGCGCTGTCCAACATGCGCGCGGCGACTTTCCAGGTTACATTCCAACTGCAGTTTGTGACTACGGCGATCTTTGGCCTGATGGCCCTTCGGCGGAGTATTGCCCCTCGAAAGTGGGGTCTGCTCTTGCTTCTGTTGCTTGGCGTGGCCTTGATTCAATTTCCCGATGCGAGTGCGGAGCAGTTGTCGTTCCGCGATGAGGCCTCGCGCCTTCACTTCCCCCGTTCTTTGGAAGAATGGAAGGCTGTGAAGGGCAGTGGCGCTGCTGCCAAAATGCTCAAGCGATCTGCTACCTATGAGGGTATTGAGGAAGATATTCTCACGGCCGAGCCACGGTTGAATCACACCGTGGGGTTGCTTGCAGTTATTGGTGCTGCGCTTGCCTCGGGTATGGGCGGTGTCTACTTTGAGAAGGTCCTCAAGGATAGCTCCAACCACATCTCCTTGTGGGTGCGCAACGTGCAATTGGCCATCTACTCCGTTTTCCCGGCGCTCTTCATTGGTGTTGTATTCCGGGATGGCGAGCGGATCGCCAATGACGGCTTCTTCCAGGGTTATAACTGGACAGTCTGGGCCACAATTGTGATCCAGGCTTTAGGTGGTATTATCTCCACCTTTTCTCTCAGCCATACGCAACGGGATCCCCGGTGCCTGGCTACGACCACCAGTCTCATTCTCAGCATAGTTGGAAGCATTTGGCTCTTTGACTTTGAGTTGACAGCTAGCGTGAGTTCACACGTCACGATTCGATTGAGATGTCGAAATATACTGATAAACAATGTATAGTTCTTCTTGGGCGCTGCTGCAGTCTTGGTGGCCACTCACTACTATGGTAATCCAGCTTTCAGCCCTGCTGTAGCCAAGGTGGGTGGAATGCGGCCACCTCCAATTCGCATCGACAACTATGAGAAGGACTCTGGCAACGACAATGGATCCCCCGTGGGAGGCCCCCCCGACGAGATTTCCATCAAGTTGCCGACCACTCCCTTCTTGTCTGACGGCATGTCATCTTCTCGCCCAACATCGCCGAACCCGGGTCACACACGGGTGAGCTCCAGCCGGAACCCTAGCGGAGCCCACTACTTTGAAAAGGAGTAGTTGTCCAACGAAACAAGATTGGTCTGGCTTTCCCAGCCAACTGTCTATTTGATGTTTTTATGGAGATATGACTTTTGGATACCTGATGGATACGGTAAGACCGCTATCCGCAATGAATCTTTGGATGTGGCTCTTTTAGCATTTGGCCTGACCGTCTGTGGGTTTGGATCGATTTGCGTATGAGCGTGTTGTATAACGTTGATAAGTCGATGAGACTTTCGGTCATGTATGCATATATACGAAGCAATGAAATTATACCATATACCCCCGACTGTAGTTCCAGTGCTTGTTTGATGTCGCTGGCACGGGACTATCCACGTGCCCGACTTCCGGCTTTAGGTATCCCATTTCACCTCATCCCACACAAATCTCCCTCACGCTCATGACCTTCGAACTCCATATCTCTCATCATGAAGCGTAATCCCTTCATTCATTCGAGAAACTTCCAGCACTCGCCCAAAAGGCGCCGAATTGACCCCGCGTCTGCTAGCTCTCACCAGGCCAGTAGACCGGGGTTCATCGACCAGAGGTTGATCGAGGGCTCACAGTGGCCGGGATATCCCACCTTGGTTCAGCAAGGACCCTCATCAATCCAGACAGGTATCTCGTCAGGGCTTGAGGAGGACGTCCATTTGGATGCTTTCGGTAAATCAATTCCAATTCATGGTTGCGCCAGTGGCTCACATCTCTCCAGATCTTGAACTGCTCGCACAGCAGAAGAACCGTAGCATATTCCAATCGTCGAATCCTGAATCTTCCCATCCTTCACCCGAAGAGGAGATATTTGCTAGTCCGAACTACCAAGATGTGCTGCCGCAGAAGTCCCGGTTCTTTGACTGTGAGTGTCTACTCGATATCAACCCAGGATAAGTACACAAGCACTGCGAAGCTGACTGGTACATCCAGCCTTCACTCACACAACACCTCTTCGTGGACTGGAATCTAGCCAGACAGGTTCAACTTCTGCTCCACACTCGAGTCCTTTGAGGATGATGCATCAAAGGAAGGAACAATCGTGGCGGAGTCAAGGACAATTGGAACCCAGAACCGACGCACAACGGGATGGACCAGTCCAACACTCGCCACAGCAGCCGCTTACCTCTCACCCCAGTATTCTTACACCCGCAAGTGGCCATCGAAACCAAGGCAACCCACCATTTGGCCAACTCCCCATATCAGTACGAGGCATTGTCCTAGTCTCGGTGAACGAACTACCCGAGAAATATCGCTCCATGTATCCCTTCCCATTATTCAACGCAATCCAATCCAAATGCTTCCACCCCGTCTACAACACAAACGACAACATAGTCCTCGCCGCACCGACAGGAAGCGGAAAGACCGTCGCCATGGAGCTCGCTATCTGCAGACTCCTAAACGTCCTGAAAGACGAGCGCTTCAAAGTGGTCTACCAAGCACCAACAAAGTCTCTCTGCTCCGAGCGGTTCCGAGACTGGAGTACCAAATTTGCAGCGCTGGATTTGAAATGCGCCGAGTTGACCGGTGACACGGATCATACGCAGCTGCGTGGTATCCAGAGTAGTCAGATTATTATCACGACGCCTGAGAAGTGGGACAGCATGACGCGCAAGTGGAAGGATCATATGAGGCTGATGCAACTTGTCAAGTTGTTTCTGATTGATGAGGTTCATATTCTCAAGGAGACTCGTGGTGCTACGCTAGAAGCGCTTGTATCGCGGATGAAGAATATCGGATCGAATGTGCGCTTTGTGGCGCTGAGTGCGACTGTGCCGAATTCAGAGGATATTGCTACGTGGCTTGGTAGGGATGCGACTAATCAACATGTTCCTGCGCATCGTGAGCATTTTGGGGAGGACTTTCGGCCGGTCAAGTTGCAGAAGTTTGTGTATGGGTATCAATCGCCGGGGAATGACTTTGCTTTTGACAAAGTCTGCGGCACCAAGTGAGTCGAGTCTAAGAACTTCGAGAAAGAGGTTGTCATGCTAATAATGAATTTTGCAGGCTGCCCGAAGTCATCGGCAAGCATTCTTGTCACAAGCCTATCATGGTGTTCTGCTGTACCAGGAACTCATCCGTCTCAACGGCTAAAGAGCTCGCAAAGCTCTGGACCGTGACCAATCCGCCGGCTCGACTTTGGAAGGCCCCAGGAAAGCGCATTGAAGCTAGTAATGATGATCTAAAAGGTTAGTTTGCAACCGTATTGGGACTGAAGTCAGAATATTGACAATTTATAGCAACGATCACTGCCGGAGTCGCATTCCACCATGCCGGCCTCAGTGCCGCTGACCGACACATGGTGGAAAAAAGCTTCCTGGAAGGGCAAATTAGCGTCATTTGTTGCACGTCGACCCTCGCTGTTGGCGTCAACCTACCATGTCAGCTAGTGATCATCAAAAACACCGTTAGCTGGCAAGATGGCGGATGCAAGGAATATTCCGACCTGGAGATGATGCAAATGCTCGGCCGAGCAGGACGGCCTCAATTCGACGACAGCGCAACGGCAGTCATACTTACTCGAAAGGAGCGAGTTGCCCACTATGAGAGACTAGTTTCCGGATCCGAGAGTCTAGAGAGCTGCCTGCATTTAAATCTCATTGAGCACTTGAATGCGGAGATTGGTCTGGGGAACGTGACAGATGTTCAATCAGCGACCAAGTGGCTTGCGGGTACGTTTCTGTTTGTGCGGCAGCGTCGGAATCCTACCTACTACAAGCTCAAGGAGGGGGCTAGCCAAGAAGATGAGGATGAGTTGCTTCGACAAATTTGCGAAAAGGACATCAAGCTCCTCCAGGAGTGTGGTCTTGTCGAGAAGGAAAAGCTTTGCTCAACTCCGTTTGGAGATGCCATGGCCCGGTATTATGTTCGCTTCGAAACTATGAAAAAACTGCTGTCTCTTAAGGCTCAGGCAGATCTACCGCAGATTGTGAGTACACCTTACTTTTGTCCAAACTTCCATGTCGATCTAACAGAAATAGTTCGATGTCATCGTCCAAGCCGAAGAGTTCCACGAGATCCGTCTCAAAGCCGGCGAAAAGACACTCTACCGTGAGATCAACAAGGATCCAGGGATTCGCTATCCGATCAAAGTTGATCTAGCTCTGCCATCCCACAAGATCTCTCTTCTTCTCCAATCCGAGCTCGGCGCACTCGACTTCCCAGCCAGCGATCAACTCCAGAAGCACACGTTCACGTTCCAACAAGACAAAACCCTCGTGTTCGCTCACGTAAACCGACTCATTCGCTGCGTGATCGACTGTCTGATTGCCCGAGAAGATTCAGTCGCCGCTCGAAATGCACTTGAATTGGCGCGTAGCTTCGGCGCCAAAGTCTGGGACCATTCTCCGCTTCAAATGAAGCAGATTGAGCAGATTGGTGTAGTGGCTGTTCGAAAACTGGCCGCTGCTGGGATCACGGATATCGAGGAGCTTGAAGCTACAGAAGCACCGCGGATTGACATGGTTTTGAGCAAGAACCCGCCATTTGGAGTGAAATTGTTGGCGAGATTGAAGGATTTTCCGAAGTTGAGGGTGACTATGAAAGTCGTTTCTACGGTGGGGGTCTCTTGCTGTTCTCGGGTTCAAGCTATGTATGACTGACTTTGAATCCCAGGAGTCGAAGAAGGGAATTGTCAAAGTTCGGTTTAAGATTGACGTTGCTTTCATGAATGACAAGATTCCCGGCTTCTTTCAGCGAAAGTCAGTCTATGTTTGCTGCTTGACGGAAACATCAGATGGTCGATTAGTTGATTTTCGCCGCGTGGGGTGAGTACCCTACATGCCGTCTGCCTACATCAAGCTGACAAGTTTTAGTGCTAGCAAGCTTCAAGACGGCGTTGATGCTACGCTGATTGCAGACATGAATGCTACCGATCAATTCATTATCTGCCATGTGATGTGCGATGATATCGGTGAGCTCGGAAGTCTTGTGCTAACGAGTTTCGCTAACATTGCCTAGCTGGAACTGCCAGGCGAGCTGAGATCAAGCCTGATCTGCCATCGCATCTATTCTCGAAGCCCCCATCTCGAGGAGCCCAGTCAGGAGCCGCAGAGCGTCCCACTTTGACTGAAACTCGTGGCAGTATCTGGGATATACCCAAAAGCCCGCCTAGGCCTTATGCAGCCCCAGATACATTCGATGGTGACGACCTGCAAGCAGAGGATTTCCTGATTGTCGCGGAGAGCTCAAGCAAAACCAAGCAGCCAGACGAGTCTTTGAAAATTCCAATTGATGACAATGACTGGTTCTTGATTCACGATAGTTCCTCTTCCCAGGGAGCACCAGAAAAGTCGCAGAAACACGGCAACGATTGGGCAGCAGCAATGGACCAGCAAGATTACGATGACGATGAGCCTGAGCCCATCCGGCTCTCGAATGGAAACTGGGCTTGTAGTCACAAGTGCCGAGACAAGACGAGGTATGGAGCTCTCATTTCTTATTTCCATCAACCGAGATCGTTGCTCACGGATATAGTTGCAAGCATTTCTGTTGTCGGGAGGGCCTGGAGAAGCCACGCAAGCCACGCAAACCCAGAAAGCGAGCGGCTTCGAACCACAAAGCAGGGAAACTCAATCAATTGACTCTCTCGGCTGCAATCACGAAACGGGACAAGACGGCAGATGTCGGGAAAGCAAAGAAGCCAGCGAAAGAGACTGCCAAGTTGACTGCTGCGAGAAAAGGGAAAGACTCCCTACAGTCAAAACCCCCGGAATTGCCTCTTGCGAGACGAGTCTCCAGTCAAGGCACGACCAATCGATCTGCCATGACCACCAAAGGGGAGAAGCCAATGGAGCAGCCAGAGACGGTCTACAGTGACTTTGATGACGATAGCTTTGACGACTTGCCGCCTCTTTCCTACATTCTACAAGGATCGGGATCAGGTATACGTCCGGCAGATTCTAAGCCTCGTCAAGAAAGCGACAACGTCTTTGATGGTCCAACTCCCGGAGTCGAGCAAAAACAAGGAGAGAATAAACCAGACAAGCCCCAGCTCCTCCAAACTCCCGAACCTCGAGACATCATCGAAATCTCAGATGACTCCACCCCCGAACCGGGACAAGACATCTTCACTCATCCCGAAGACATCGGAAGCTCCATCACCACTGCGCCTCCTCCAACTGCAAGTGGCAACCCGACCAACCATTTAACCCGCAATTCGAGGAGTTTCTGCCGAGCGTACGAAGCAAGAATTCTTGAACGAGCCGAAAGATTGCCGTCTCCAAAATGTTTACTCCCCGCACTCAATATGAGACACACCCTCACCCAACTGGAGCCATTGTCCGCTGTTGATCTGACGTCAAAAGACCACGCGCATCGAACACTGACCAACAGTTCATCTGGCTGGGACGATGTTGATCGACTCTTGCTGGAGGAGTTCAAGGGCGTTATTAATCATTATTAGGCAAGGTTTCTTGAGGCACTCCTCGATTGAGATACGACTATGTTTATTCACTGAGGAGACCGACAGCTTGTATGTTTATTTGTACGGATGATATTGTTCTCTAAGAACATGGATACGCCCTCTGTATGCAATAGGGCATGTATGGATTGATGACCAAGTTAGGAAAAAGCTACGGAATACGGTTATGTGACATTGCACTTAACTAGCTTCAGAGTTAATAAAGTCAGCATTTCTCACATTCGTCCTGGACTATGCCTTCTTACTGTGTTACCCCTCTACACAGTAATGATTTGGTGCTCGACAAAGATATATCATCCCAAACAAATAAAGGACCAAGTTCTCAGTGGGGGTTCATAGCCGGAAAGTTGAGAGGGGTCATAGATGTGGTTAGAATGTACGCAGCCGAAGCCATATGCGGAAGAGGATATCTGTATATGGAATAGTAAATTTTTGGTTGGCACGGCTAAGTCAAATTAGGGACTGACGTGCTCATTACGAAATCTTTGTCAATCGTTCTCGAAGTTAATCTTTCCTCCGTTCTATTAGTCTACGCAGCTACTTACTCTCATCACATTCAAAGCTGTTGATTGTTTCTTACAAGAATCACCCGGCGACAGGTTTCTCCCATCAATCCGCATCGAGTCCTATCCCAGGAAACAATTAGCCGGGCTACTTAGTCTATCAATTTAATTGTTCAAGACGGAACAGGCAAGAATGGCAAAATTGTTCTTGGACCAAACCGAGGCCCACGACAATGCCGTGGTTGGTCTTGGCATGATGTCCCTTGCCACCCTTCTTGCCCATGTCTCTCTAAAGTCATGTCCTTCTTTAGACGAAACGGAATTGGCGCTTGTGTTTATTTTTATGATGTTCATCTTACCATGCATTTGGGGTGTGGGACTATATGTATGGGGTGACAGCCTTGCGGAGATTTCAATTCGAAAGGGGAGACGGTCTTTCGTTTTTGGGCTTGCCGCAGTGAATGTTTCTTTGGCTTATTGGCTTTTGTTCGAGCCATGTGAGCAAGTGCGAGTGTATATTGCCTATACCTTTTGGTCGTTCCATGTTGGCTTGGTCATTGGGGCGTTCCTTTGATCCAGGCGGGTTGCTCTCCCATTTGGAATGGCAAGTGCTTTCCGTATTCTGAGTGGGACTCTTTCGTCTGAAGCTTGGTAAGTGGTAAATGCCGACTCAAATCTGTGCTCAGTACTGATCTACTTGAAAATTAGTATCATTCAACTTCTGTATGCTCATGATCCCTTGGCTCGGTGACAGATCACACCTTTGCTCCTGATAACTAGCCACCGTTCACCCTCGAACTCGGAGAAGGCAGGAGACATTTGGCCCAAGTACTTTGCTTAGAATCATAACTCTTGGAGCTTCTTGTAATCTCCACCCAGCGGCTCATAATGGGCTGACCGTTTACTGTCCATAGAAAATATGGGTTGCTTAGTCTGGGGACTGCAGTATTTCTTATTGTATTTTGAGACTTACTTCCACGACGTTAATAGGTGAGTTTTTTTTGAAAATAGTGCAACTGAAATAATCATCAAAGACTGTGATTGATTCTCGTATAGTCCGATTATAGACCGTCTGTTGACAGGGCTGAAAAAATGGCTTTCAGAGCTCTTGACAACAAATTTGCTCAGCTAGCAGGTAATCTTCAAACCCGTTTCCCAATATTTCTTCCAATAGCTGCTGCACAGTCCGTAATCATCGTCTGTTCCTGAACAATATACTGCTTTGTCCAGTCAGTCAACTTGCCTAAGGCTGCCTTGACGTCGTCGAGCGCTCCAGGGTCTTCGTAATTATTAACTGCAACGACGTCCTTCTTCCAGTTCAGCCATCCACCTTCAACGACCTTGTCCTCAGCTAGAACATCCTTGTACACATTCATCCGCCAGTATTTCCGCTCCCGTACGACAGGAGCAAATGCATCAAGCAGTGTCCGGAACATGATATTTATGAGCTCGCTGTTGGTTGCTACAGAGATGAAGCTTTCCTCCACTGCGTGAGTGGGGATGATTCCTGGCTGGATAACAGGGGAATTGGCGGCCATCCCAGTGCCGATGCTGAGGAAGCAGTCGGTTGCCCGGGTAGGGCCAAACACACCCAGGACTTCAGTCCAAAGCCTTTAGTGCGAGTGATTAGTTTTCAAGTATAGCAAACCCTGGAAGACTTTGTCACATACCATCCCAACGGATTGTTTGCACCCAATCCGCCATCAACTAGGGTATATCCATTGACTTGCAGGGGCTTGAAGTATGCTGGGGCAGCAGAGGTAGCACGCGCTGCTTGCCACAACTTCATATTCACCAAAGCACTGTCTTCCATATTGTTTGGATTTTTATAAGAGCGCAGGAAAACAGGGGCTCGGTTGTTTGCAGCTTGGGAGTTGGTAGCCATGAGGAAACTTTCACGTTTCCGAAAAGTTAGCACACTAACGATGTAAAATGCGAGCGAAGCGATACGTACATCTTGCAAGGCGCTTTCTCATCAAGAAGGTCCACGTCGGAATCACCAAGTTTGTCCTTGATGAGTTTCTTAATGATATTTTCCAGGTTGGCAGAGTCGTAGAATTCGCCGTGAGTTGCAAGGTTGAAGGCTTTCTTTATGTCACCAGTTTCGGGGAAAACTTCTTTCATCACGTTATCATACTGAGCAATGCACTCGGCGACCGTCATCTGGAGACGACCGAGCATGATGGCGATCAAGCTAGACCAGGCTTTAGTAAGTTGGAAACACCAAGAAGAGAAGAACAGAGCATAGACAGAGATGGAAATCATAATATTTACCCTCCAGTACTGGTACCACCGATCATATCAAAGATCTCGCAAGGTTTCTTGCCGGGAACTACCTTGTCCAGGACAGCCTGCAGTATCAGAAGGCTCGCAATGCCACGAACACCACCACCATCTTGCGTCAAGCTTCTGGTTAGCATTTGGATTTAAGAGGAATATGGGAAAGATTTTGAAGACCAAACCTACCAAGTGAAAGCACTCGCAGGGGACGATCATCTCTTCCAGTATAAGCATCTGCACGACTCAGATCTAGAGGAATCTGAGGCTTGAAAGCATCATTTTGCCTGTCGATCTTTTTATCACTAATCTTCAGTTTGAGATCATTGACTTCATCGAGTGTTTGCTGCACACTCATCATCTGCTGAAGGACATTGGAATAGGGTGGCGGTGGCTCAAGGTCTACTAAAGTCAGTAACTACGATTGGCCCCCGAACAAACTCGGCTATGTCACCCACCATTTTCATCACCAACATCGAAGATAAGATATGCGTCTCTGCCATAGAGTTCCCAGCCTGGAAAGCGAGCACAGACTCGGACAGCCAGGACGTTGCCAGGCTGCTTCAGTTAGCGAAAGTCAGAAAGTCTACACAAGACTGCCTTACCTCCAGCTGCCTTAGCAGGTCATGGTTGCGATCGAAAACCTGGCCTGCCAACTAGAAAGTTCACTCTTGTTCAGTTACCCTTCCATGCCGCTTTCGTCGAGGATCATAATGACATACCCAGCCATAATCATCCGTGAGAAAACGATTCTTGTGGCTCAACCAGACAAGCTCAACACTGTCTTTCATTCGTGGCTTGTCTGACGACTCATCATCAAAAATTGCCAACTCCAGCCAGGTCCAGTTCCCTGAGGATGTATCATCCACATGTCCCTGGTCATGCGTCTCTGCAAACAACTGGATCTTTTGGAAACTTTTGATAGTTGCGGCATTAAGTGCCTAATCAAAATTTTAGCAACAAACCTCTGATCGAAAACGAAAATATTCAAGAGATACCTACGTTGGTCTTGAACCAAATTCGATTCTCAATAGTATCGGATTCACCCGAGACGAGAGGTTTATTGTCATCTTCACGGGGGTCCGCCATGAAGGTATAATCTCCGTTCGAGGGAGAAGGCGAATCATCCACATTCCCGCAAGGCAGGGTTGGGAGATCTTTGACTGTTTTCAAATAGGGCTGAGGAGACATTATGTTCAAGTATGGATGGTCTTGGCTAACTTAGTTTAGGATGGTATCGTTGAAGCAGACAGAATTGAAATTTCGACGGTGTTGGAGATTATAAATAATCGTTGTCGTGGCGATGAATTGATGGGCCAGCCCACGCCCACATAGATCCAGTAAGCAGCCAATGCCACTGTTGAACTCTCGACATGCGGGCTGACCTCGTATTTGACTGATCATCTGAGATGCTTTTGTTGCCATAATTTCGAAACAGCCAGCCGTCACTTCACGTGGTTTTCCATCTAGGAATACTTTTCTTCCTTTATAGACACATCAGGAAGCTCTCTACTCATAGACCCTCGTTTAAGCCCGGCGTCTTCTTGTGCTAATTTTAATCGAATCTGGCGGCACTGATCAGATGGGAATAACGGTGCTCGTATAACCTCAGTTTAGGCCGCCCGAGCTGGCAAGCTGAAAAATGTGGCTTCTACAGGCTTTAAACCCTGGCGAGATCAGCTCGATATTTAGGTTATAACTGCCGATGAAAATCGGAGAACACCTCGTCATCGGGCCGGTCCGAGGGGGCTATGAGCAGAAAGGGTAGATCTTGCTGACTCCAGCGGGCTGATAGAGACTGCATCCTCATACCTTTGAGCAGATTTCTTTGGAAAATTTAAGAAGGCTTTTCCAGGCTTAATAAATACATACGACTGTCAGATGATGGCTTCCAAGTCTTCATAGGTTCGGTACGTGTTCCGCCATCGGCAAATCTAGCCTCGTGCTGCGGGGAATCTACATGACTGCCACCACTGCCTGACGTACTGGCATGCAGTACCTACAGAGGGGGTTGCCTAATTTTTGGAGTAATATAAAATGGCGCCAATTTTCTTTTGCCTCTAAGCTCTGTTTAGCCAGATTTGCTCCCGGGCTCTTTCATTATATGACAGTCCAGTAGGCAAGAATGCGAAATCCCTCGGGACCGACGTCAATCTTACGCATACGTTGGTCTATGATGACATGCTACAACTCAGAACAAACATGTATCATGTCGGTGTGGAGATTCTGAGCTCTGAGGAGGTATCTGGAAGAGTCGATCCGATCGATACGAGAAATATTTTCATCCAACAAACAGTCGACGTCGATGTCACAAAAGCTGCCCACTCTCCACCTTTTACAGAAACATAGCATTTCGAAACGCGCAATGTCTTCGGCATTATCAAAGCCTCTCATAATTTGATTAAGCTGCTCCTCATGAACCTGCTGAACTGCAGGTTACATCAGGTACTGCCACAACAGGAAATTCAGGATTTGTTGGTTTCATATAAGACTAGGGGATTACTAAATTGACCCCCCCCCAATCATATTTTGACCCCCCCACTGCCTGAAAATGCCTGAATTTTCGGGCTCTAAGGCACTAAGGCTACTAATATTTTTTCTGCCAAAGATTCTGCCGCCCTTTCTGCCACCCTTTCTGCCCATCACCTACCATCATCCTGCCACTTTGGTCTCTGTAGTCGACCTTTCTGGTTTACATAGTAAATCCACCATACAATCTACCGTTAAATGCACGTTTTTGATAGGGAAATCTACATCAAATTCCTATAAATCTAATCAGTACTACAATCAGTAGTATAACCAGTCCTGGTTACCTTGCTGCGTAGGCCTGGTGGACCTAGCAGATCTCCTAGTTGCCCGGGTAATAGTGGATTATTCATCCTCTGCAGAATCCTCTGCTAGAACCTCCGAATCCTCTCGCGAAGGGCTACTACACCCACCACGCCTACACGAAGAAAGAAAGATTGGTGGTGGTTGCGGAGGACTTAGTGGTGGTGGTAGATCTTGAGGTTAGGCGGTGAGGGCGGTGAGGGCGGTGAGGAAGATGGTGAGTGGATAGTGGAAAGCGGTAAGGGCGGTGAGAGCAGGGGGCATGGAAGAATGTTTTTCCATAAGCAAACAAGACAAATTTGTAGCCTTAGTGCCTTAGAGCCCGAAAATTCAGGCATTTTAAGGCAGGGGGGGTCAAAATATGATAGGGGGGGGGGTCAATTTAGTAATCCCCTAAGACTAAGTATAATTCACATGAGCGACATTTATCACAAATTCATATGGACAGTGTAAGCGAGCCCTAATCATTCAAATACGAAACGAGTCCAACAATAAATTCGGGTTCGACAAATAAAACTAAAATTAAAAGTCGAACACATTGTCTTTTTTGTTTCTTCTCAATTAGCCATGGTACGCCATACGACCTGGAAGTATCGATCCGCACAGTAGTTCTGCCCCAGAACTGAACAAATATGGTCACGTGCGTTTCCCAACAGTATAGCATCCCCAACTTGTCGATTAAGTTGTGTGGATGAAAGATTGCTTCTAAGAGCCTTGCTAGACTAAATAACTTCTGTTGATTTGATTTCCATTCAGTAGGGGACCCCCAGGATATATTCCGAGCTCTACATCATCTTAGTAATCTTAGTATGCGTGTGCGTTCTTAACTCGATACAAGAGTCCTCAACGGCCCAGCTATAGTCGGGCTTCATTACACGACACCCTAGATGCTATAGGTAATACGGTGCTGATCCGTCCAGAACTACATAGCTAGACCGAGATATGTCATTTTTGCATTTCTTCTTGATGTTCTCTTCATTCCCCTAGGTGCGGACGATTCTAGGTTTAATATGTGTTCGGTGCTAATAAAATGGCTGTTTTATTGTGAGGCAGACTACAATAACTCTGTGGGAAAGAAGGCGTTTAATCTGCTGTGAGATATCAACTTGCGATTTCTTCGTAGCGAAGACGCTAGGCGTTCTGACTTACAGCGAGTACAAGTGGTGCTATACTAGGCTCGGGTACTCTCATCTAGAGTCATGTTCAAGGTTTTGTCGTATATCGTGGAAAGATTCTTTTGATGGATCTTGCCAAGAAATCTATTGCTAGAGTCCCGGAAGAAAAAAATCACTCCAACAGTATAAGTTGCGTATTTCATTCATTGGAAATAGCTATCAAAACGCGCAAAATCTGCTATCAATATTTTTTTCACCCTCTTGGGCAATGAGTGCAAGAATGGTTTTACTACAGAAATGCGCCGCGAAGATACTTACTGTTACATCTCAGAAGAAAAGGAAGTTAAGCATTGTGTCGAATACGCTCAAGAGGACTGGAATGTATCTAGCTGAGTTCATCTTGGAAAGTCACTCGCTTCCCCCTGCTTCGCTCATGCGGAAGCGGCTGCAATGACACGACCATTTGTTTAAGATTCTCTAACCTTTCCTGCTGGCTTTTTATCTTTCCATATCACTAGAGTGATGTGAGCTACAAAGTTGTTCACCTAAGCAAAATCCTTGGCAGCAGAGAGGCACATAGCCGTGTGTTCCGCTCGGCCGTGGATTACGTGAGTTGAATTACTAGACAGGGGCTTTATAGCAACTAAAGTATGAGTCGCTTAATGATGATATTCAATAGATTTCAATCAATTCCAACTATAGGCTTCGCCGCAATCCACCGACTGTTCAGCGTCTGTGAACTGATCAAGCTGAGCTCTCGCCATTACACCACAGCCTCCAGTCCTCTTCACCCATTTTTAGGGCCAATTCAATTCCCTGGCTTCCTAACACACGATAAACTGCTTGGCAAAGCATGAACATTTTTTTTTCGCGAGATACAATGCAACATTTAGATGCTTGAGAAACGCCCAGCAGAACGGCGTGTGCTGAAGCCATCTGATTTCTGGGATGTATGCAGTATCTTACAACACGATAGATTTGGCCGGCATAAAGTAGCATTTGTTGCGGATTTCGATCTCGATGCATGAGTGTTTCTGTTTCAAAAATGGTAAGGCGTATGACTGCCAAGGTTGTCCAATAAAGTAGAGATATTTTGGCGGTCTTCAGGCTCTTGAATTGATCCGATGCGAATAGATAAGGTCTTGACGTAAGCTGGCTGATATCGGCATCCAAGGGCTTGTCATCAAGTAGGTCAGCTGCTCCAACCATCCAGTCAACTCGTACTTTTCTTTCAAGCTTGTGACAGTGAAACAAAATAGATTCTCGGATTTCTCGAGATATTATAGCCGGAAGACCTTTGATGGTAGCTAAGTCCGCACGAAAGTCAATGATGTCTGCTATCAGTACGAAGAGACCATCAAACGGTTCGATCTCCTGTCGCATTCGTAGACAACTCCAATCTAGGTTTGGCTTATCCCGTGTATTCAGGACGGCAAATAGCTAAGTTCGTTTAGCATGTCAGTCATTAAACTAAGAGGTACTTCCTTACCGTGGCCCATTTTTGACGATTCATCAACGCTCTTCCCAGTCTCTCATCTATAGAGAAATGTGCACTATCATTCTTCATCAAAGCTGTGCCCCCACTGATGTGATTGCAGCAATCCTTTAACGAGCTTTTGGAGTTGTGAATAGTCTGTTTCAAAGTTAATAACACAAAGCGTTATGCTTAGCCTTGAATGACTGATCTCACTTCAAATGTATGGAACACGATCGATGTGAAAACTAGCATATAGGATTGTCGACTAGGTTGGCATATTGCGCGTCTCATTGCGGCGAGTGCAGACAAATAAATATCCATTCCATGTCGTGCCAAGGTCACATTGTTTGTCCTCTTTCCCAAATACACAGCCGCTAATGCAATGACGGACCTGGTGAACAGCGTTGATTGAGAGGAGAGATGAAAAAAACGGGTCATCAAAAGATACAGACTATCATCGTCAGAGTTAACTTGGGGGTTCTGACCAAAATATGCCTGCATGAATGCATAAAATAACCCTGTCCGTGCGTGGTCACTCATGTTGAACAAAGTCATTTGCAATGCGGGAAGTTTGGCTTGATCATGATAGAAAGAATGCATCCATTTTAGCTGCTGGAAAGGTTCATTTGTGACAAGATGGTGATTCCGTTCCTGATCTCGGGAGATTTTCCCATTGTCCCAGCACCCGGTCTCTCGGGGGAGCCTACCATCACCCTAAAAGTTTTTTTAATAAAGGTGCAGTAAGCTTATGCTTCATACAGTATAAAGTA